TCTTTTCCTAAAATATGAGTTCTCAAATATGTTTTTGCATAAGGGTATATGACAGATGCTCGCTAATTTCAAAATCAACAAAAATACTATATCTAGATTAAAATATTCGTCTTATTAAATTGGGCCCGATTGAGTAAGGTTTGGACTGACATCGAACATTTAGTTTCTAATAATAATTCTAGCTAAATCATTTCCTCCATAATCTCGAAAAACATAACTATCCTCCAAAACAATCTATGGATGAAAAATTTTATAAAGATCACTTTTCAAGCAATAAAGGGGATCCTTTTTTATCGCAAGTTCATAGCCGCAATTTCTAATATTAAAGCATACTTACAAACAGGGTTGAAAATATGTTCCACTGGTATCTGTTTCTGAATCAATCCAATTCTATACAATTTGAATTGCAGCCATATAATCAAGGATTTAATTTTAGTATGAATTAATAAGCCATTTATAAGTAAGTAGTTAAAGTGACAAAATTATCAAAGTAGCTAAGAAAAATAAAAATTTGAAAATCATATTGATTAATATTATAAATAATAAAACAATGATTAAGAAATATATTTTATAAAACTATTTAGTGATGAGAAATAACACATTTTAACAGCAAAATTACTCAACCACCTCTTCTTTTAATGTAGTGGAACCAATTATCAATCTATCTCCAAGTATCATTCAAAGAGATAATAATCTCTTATTTAAATTTTGCTGTCGCTTCTTAATCTGAAATATTTAATGCCAATTAATCCTCTATATATTTAACATTTGATGCCTATTATAGCTCCGGCATACCTGCAGAAAGATTCATTAAAAAGATATTTATTAAAAAATGTCCATGCTTTCTAACTAAATTGTATGCGTTTGTGCAATCTTGCTAAAATTTTTTGAAAAGATCTCCATCTCGGCCCCCCATCACAAAAGCCATCTATAATGATAATATATTATACTTCTTCTGTTAATACAAATTTAGTTCTTTCTCTCTTAATTCCAAATTTCTATTTAAAATTACCTAAGAAATGACCAAAATCTATGTGAAATAGATGACCTGTGTCAGTAATCATAATATTTCCAGAATGTCTATCTCCAATTCCTAATACATAAGTTGCAACGCAATAACCAGCACAAGAACGTAGAAAATTATCAGTTGCTGTTTCGAATGACTATGGTTCAGTATTCTTTGTTTTTAAATGATTCCATATGGTTTTCTATTAAAATGCTCCCATCACACCAGCATCTCCATGTATCTTTTCAATTGTTAAACTGTTAGTCACAACTTCTATCATTCCAACATTGTCTTATGTTGAAATAGTTTTATAAGGTTTCATTCTAAAATCTAAGCCTGCGTCTAACCAAATTTTATCCATAATTTTAATCAATTACAACGTCAGCATATCTTGCCTGATATCGTCCCCAGTTTTAAACATTATTTTTAGAAGCGTGGATTGTTTTGAATCAACATTTAATTAATCATTTGCATGCTCTTTGCCATCTTTTCCCTATTTATTATCATCAGGCATAATGTTAATTTATATTAAACCTTCTTCGCTTGTTTTGCCAATCTTTTTAGGTTGAGAAATCAATAAATCCTCATCTTCCTCGATGCATTGAGGAATCACTGACAACCATAAAGGCATTTTTTTTGAATCCATAACTTTACATTCACTCATCTTAAACTATTAAGCTTCCATCCTTGAATCTAAGGCAAATGAGAAGGGTTTAGGTAGTTTTGGAAAAAGTTATTGCAGTTCTGCTTATAAGAATGAAACTCTATTATCTTTTGGTATGTTTTCTTCTTTGACTTTTTATGCAATATTATAAAGCTCATTATCAACAAGAACCTCATTCATTAATTATTATCTAAATTCCCCACAAAGCATAAGTAATTATTCTAATAAAAGAGAATACCTTTCATAAGATGGTCTAACATGCAATTAGGCTTTCAACAACCAAAATAATTCATGACCCACAACCCATGGATTTTACAAACTTCTTTCTAGCAACATCTCAGCTAATGGATTGAAAAGGTGTTTCTCAAACATCAAACATTATGTCAATTCTAACATATACAATTACAATTCATCATCAGACAATATACTTACTCTCTCAACTGCATACAACCTGACAGTTTCGTCAGCAAATGGGGCATCCAATAAGGGCAATGCATCTTCTGGAGGTAAAGGAGTCCATAATTTTATCATATTGTGTGCTTCCCTTACTTACTCAGGATCATCCCATTCTATAGCCATTAAAAATATTTAAAGTGCATATGGTAAAGTCTTATAGTGATTTCTACAGATCATTAGAATATATTTATGTTGGTCCGTAAAATATGGTCTATTTAGTGGATTGTACTTTAGTAAGGCCTATAAGATAGCTAGATCTTCGGTTCGTGGTGTAGTGGACCAATTTTTAAAAGTGACAATTTAATTGTAACTCTCACTCACAGGTTGATTTTAAGAGATATTTTATGATGAGAATTAATGGCTTAGTTTGTAGGAACTAAATTAAGAACTGGATTGCTCATGAATATTGAAGGAACTTCCTTGTCCCATATGCATTACTGAAGGGGCTAGGTGAGTGTTTCTCTCATTAAATTCTCCAAACCTCAAAATTGTACCCTATTCTTAGGATGTAAATCCAACCTAAGAATATTGCTCATAAGGGCTGGAATGTTATCTTTAATGAATATTAGTTGCTGCAAATAAAGAACTTCCTGCTGCAACTCCTCTTTATTTTTTACTAAAGATGTGGGATCCACCATTAAAATTGCTTGCAGAACTAAATGAATTTGATGTTGTTGAATAATTACTTTGATACAGGGTTCCAAATTATTCAGAGGCCAAAGTTGATGATTGCATCTACTAATACGTTGAATAATCAGAGTTTGGAATAAGAGTATTTCTCATTTCATAGTACCTTTAACTTCTTGCTGATTTCGAAAAACCAAGTTCTTCTAATTGTTTTTCATCTCTTAAACTCCATTTCATTGGTAAATTGAATTGATCTAATTATATTATTAATCTTCCATAAGAATTTGTAATTACATCAGAAGTAATTGCTGCCTACTATTATGAATTAACCCAACCAAAATATTGACCTACACAAAGTAATCTAGGATCAATTTTATAAAAAGGCCAAATGTTCAACTAATTCATATGAGCTCGAAATCTCTTTTCTTCAGAAAAAATATACATAGTGGTGCAACCTATAATTTATTGCTAACCTATAGCACTATGGGCTATGATATTGAAGCAAAGTCTTGCTTCTTAAGGTAGTTATGAAATCTTGATTCCTGGAAAAGTAATTGATTAATAAAATTTGGGAGAGTGACTGAAAGGCTATTTCTTTGTTTCAGCTTAACACCATGGTGTCAATAGCTTACAACCGTGATATAAACAAACCTGAACTGATATTAAAAAGGGTAGAAAGTCAAGTTCGTATCTTTCTTAAAAAGTCTCTAATTCATCTAAAAAATCTTATCCTCCGAATGGAATTTATTTACGAATATCAAGATTTCTAGGATCTAAGACTCTACCTGTTCTTTTATGCAATTTTAGATGCACTTGTCTACCTTAATTTTACTCTCTATTTTCAGATTTGTTGTTTTTTGTTTTATGATTATCATCTTCAACTTTTGTACTAGTTTTTTTAGTAATATATTGCGGAGGTATTAATCCATTATAGGTTGCTCTTAATTAGGGTTTTTCAAATTTATTATCCTATTCAAGAGCTTAAACAAGATTTTCTATTGAACAAATTCTGACACTAAAAGGCCAGTCGCATTCTCCAGAGTAAAGAATATTTTGATCGATTGACAGAATATTTTATCTAAACAATTCATTCCTCATAGAAACCAAGTCATTAATATATCCAACTCCTTTTTTATTTCCTTAATCTTGTATTGATTGTTTTTATGGATTATCTCCTACAGATTATCTCTTAATCTTTTCGCTGCAATCTAAATTTGAAATATTTTCTTGACTAGAACCTCTAGGTTTATCAAATTTCATTTAATAAGTGGCTCCTATTCCAAAAGATATTCTAGTGTTGATTATTTCAAATTCATATTTTGGTAATGTAGAAGGTGCATACCATAATAATATAGGAACATCTTTAAATTTCTTCCATTCGATTGGAGGATATTAATCAGCTCCTTTTATTCTTTAAACAATAGGAGGAAATAAAGATGATTAATCTGTGTATTTTGGAACTTCTGTAAGAATAACTTCCAAGTGTTTCATTCCTCTTAATTACACTCTAACTCTATCATAAGATAGCATAGGGTGATTGCCTGTTAAAAATTCTTTAAATCCAGCAATTTGCAAGATAAATTAATATTTTTCATCTTTTGGTTTAAGCTTCACTTTAAATCTTTAATAGATTTCTCTTAAAACATTTTTTATAACTTCATCAGCACCTGTTACTAATCCGGCTTCTATTTCTACAATATTAGGTTTCTCTAATAATTGAACTTCTGGTGGCATATTAACAAATAATTCTTTATATTGATTCAATTTCACCTAAAGTTTGATTGAGTTCACTTTAACAAAAACTTAACTTAGTGTGGATTAACAAAGATAAGTTGGAATTGAGGAGGATTATTTATGTAATAAATATGATGGAATTTTTCTCCTTCGATATTATTCAATTTGTTTAGATGCCATTCGCCAAGTACCTAAATTAGTTTTATTAACTCACCTGATTTCAATTTTAACATTTGTTCAATTTATTAAATAGCTTGAATTGCTTTTTATCTGTATTCTTAATCGACCTCATATTCAATTTTGAATTCATTTGTATTGATATTTAAAGTATAAATCTGGCAGCTGTCTGGATCTGCACATATTAACCATTTCTCTTCAACTTATTATTTATCCATTATTGGCAAAACAAAAAATATTAATAAATTGTCTTAAACTTTTTACACTTTATTGCGTTTTACTGATTAATTACAAAAGATATTCAATTCTATAATTTTTATTTATAAACTCATTCTCATCATTCTTTTCCTGCTTATACTTCAATCTCATATAATTTAATCAAGCCCTCGTAGAGTCTCTTGGTAACACTAGCTTCTGTGACTCCAAATCTAGCAGATGGAGAAATATCAGCTGTTCCTTCCTTGTCCATTGAGGAATGTTCTCCTCCACATCCTCTTGCTTATAGTCCAAATTATTTGGCAATTTCTTTCAATTTTTTTTCATCAGTTCCTTACTTGGTAATATTTGGGAATTTTCCAAGAATTGATTGTCTCTTGCCTGTTCCCATATTTGTTGGACATGTTGTTATTACACCATACACTGGATGTTCTGCAAATTATAATCCACTTTTTTCAATTCCTGTTAACAAATCATGCAATGATTTATCAACCATTCCTAAATCATTACCTTATACAATAGAAATTATTCTTAATAAATCTTCTTCTCCCACCCAAATCATTTTTGTTTAATCTTCACTCAGCCAAATTCCTCTGCCATAAGGCCAATCAGAAGCGACTCCAGAAGCAGTTAAATAATTGTCTGTTGTCATGTCATTGAATAAGAAATGTTTATGTCTCAACTCATCTGCTTCTTTATCACTTATTTAATTTTTATGACCAGGAGTCAAACTATAATATTTTCCTGGAATTCCAAATGAATCAAACACCTCTACCATCTTACTTTCAAATTTTATCCTTTCTTCTTTATCCATCGAAGGAGGAAGATTCCATCCTTTAACATTTCTTGCTACTCTGGCTCTCATTGACACTTTTTCTAAAGTTGGATTGATTTTAGTCAAAACATATTCATCAATTGGAATATTCCAATCATGTAATTGTTTAGTGTCTCCTTATATTTGGTGATAGTCTCTAATTAATTATTCCAAGTAGAATGCATAAAAATCGTAATCCTCTGGTCTAGTAGCGCAAATGCCGACAGAGCTGTCATCATTTGTCAATCCAGCAAGCATTAAATCCAAGAATCGTTATTGATCTTATTATGGAAGAGTCCTTGCTTTTTCAACCACTTCTGGAGTGAAATACTTGTTGCCCAAACTCACTTTTACAGATTTCAATTCATCCCATCTTGCTTAGATTTTTGCAAAATCTACATTTCCTTCTGCATCCAAGTAAAGTTTGCGAGCCTCTTACTTAAAAACACATTGTTATTACATGTTATTTTAATTTCTAGAAAAATTGGATATTTTTTTCAATAAATTAGAAAATCTTGCATTATTTATTAGACATCACACAATTCTGATAAAACCAGAATTAAATATTAATTAAAATTAATTGTGATAAAAATAACCAATTGTGAAACCCAAAAGATTTGACTATCATTAAAGCTTATTTTTACAGCAGGATAATAAATTTAAATAAAAATCAATAATTAATCTTTCACAGTTTTACTTTACGAATTGAAAACTCTTTCTTGATGTTTTTTCTCTCGAAATCATTCTATTTAAAAATATCTCTTTAATTCAGTTAATTATTCGAAGTATCAGTTTACAATCTAAGAGATGCAACACTTTTACGAAATTATTGGCTTTTAGAATTATATTGTTCAGGTGATTATATTTTATTATGAACCAAATCTAAATGATTTCCTGGGCCAAAAAGCAAAAATGGATGTATCAAAGCATCTGATGAAGTCAATCTTTGATTTGGAGTTTTTGCTAAAACTTTTTACAAAAAATCAAGACAATTTGGAGATAAATTTAAATGTGATAAACCAATATGCCCATACGTATTTTCTTCAATTAGACCATCCATTGTTTTTGATTAGAAGGGTTCTTTACCTGTAAGAATCAAATACAATACTAACCCTAGACTATATACATCAACTTTGAAATCATAAGAATGTCCAAGTAGGATTTCCGGAGCTACATATCCTGGAGTTCCGCATTTGGAGAATAAATACTCATTTTTATCATTCCAGAAATCAGCTAGGCCAAAATCAATTAAACAGGCGGTTTCTAATTTACCAAATTGATGAAGCATAATATTCTAAGGTTTAATATCTCTATGAAAAATGCCTTGCTTGTGTAAGAGTTAAAGAGCTTGAAAAAGTGGTTTTATTATTAAAATTGATTAAATCTCTGATAATCCTCCCAATTTTAGAGAATAAACTAATTCAGATCCGCTTAATAAATCCATTATTAAAGTTAAGTGCACTTTGCATTCAAAAACCTCATATAGTTAACAAATATTAGGATTAGAAAAGAGTCTTGTTATTTAGACTTCTTTAGTTATCATTAAAAGTTCTTAATCCTCCAAAATTATTTTTTTTTTATAAAATATTTTTGCTGCATATTCTTTATTGGCTTGCTTATGCTTGACTAAGTAAACCTTAAATTACAGAGAAATTTACATCTGCAAAAGTTCCATTCCCTATTTTTTTTAATATTTTGTAATTTCTAGAAAAATCACTTTAAATCACGTATTTTTTCAACTTTTTAATCCATAACTTACATTCTCCTATAATTGTCAAACTTCCATCATATTTTACTAATTTAAAGCCTACTAATTTATTTAATGAATTATGAATAAGGTCCAAGAAACTATTTTCAAAAAGGATAATTTTCTAATTAATCTATGTACATTTTACATGCTAACTATATCTTATATATTTTTCATAAAGGGTTAATTATTTCATTTTACTTTTTGAATCTGACTCTATTTTAAACTTCTGTTAATCTATTGGTTTTGAGGAATCATAATCTTAGTTTACCCATAAAGCTTTGCCATCATTAAATATAGAATCCTTCTAAAGTAATTAATTGCACTAAAAATTTTAATCATTTCCTATTTACATTTTTTTATTAATACATCATAAAGATAAAAATACTTCTAATACCTCAATTAAACTAGATTAATAATTTTAAAAGAAAATTTTGATGATTTGATAATTATAAATTGCAAACCCAAGTTAAGATTAATTATTGGTTCTACTATTAATTGAAAAAAACTTAATAACTATGATAAAGGAATTAACTAAAAGAAATAATTTATACTAATATTTTTATTAAAGCATAATATGTGGAATCTCCTTTACTAAAATCCGATATGTTTTAAAAAGAAAACAGCTCAGGTACATATAAAAATAAGATAGGATCAACTTAAACACATTACAACCCTTTAGACAGCGAAGTCATGCTTACATCTTTAACCTCCTTGGTAATCAACTCATTCATTATCAAAATTATCCAATAAATATACACATTGTAATTGATAAACGCTAATTTCTCTTAGTATAAGATTTAGATATTGTTAATCAAAACCTTATACTTATGTCTAAAATGAAGGAAATTCAAAAAAAGAAAAATAGTTTCAAGACTCCAACATCTTACTCAATTGATCATTTAAGAAGAAAAGAAACTACAAAAATAATATTGGAAAATTAAACTTTATTAAAAAGGCTTTAATCAGCACACTCATAATATCCTATAAAATTTCTAAAGAAGGATCATGAGAGAATAAAGTAATATAGAGAAAATTTATAAAAAACAAAAAGTAATCTTTTAAATTATAAAGGAACTTACAATGATTTTAATGTGTTAGCATAATAAGAAGTTTAAAGAAGGGTGATGTCTTCATCACAATCTTAACGGAAATGTAATTAGTTAATGCTAAAATAAGTTTTATAAACCAGCCAAAGAAATAGATAACACACATGTTAAACAGTTCCATCTTAATTGTGAATTTAACTTGTATTCAAAATTGAACTAATATTTGTATGTTAAGACAATACTTTTCCACACTTCTCCAATATAGTTTTTTTTTGCCTCCATCCTCTTAGTTTATTATAGAATCCTAATAACTTCTCAATTTAAATGAAATTTTATTCTTTTTAAGTCTTTAAGGCAGATACTTTTGTTGAGAATTATAATCTAGAATATTAATCCTCAGAAATTGAGGTGTAACATTTCTCACATTTTTAATCATGTTTTAGATCAAACATCATTGAGTTATAATTTCAAAAATATATTTTAATAATAAATTTTATAACAATATTCAATATAAATCATCTTAAAATTTATATAAAATTTCAACTTTTTATGTCATGTCTGCTTTGCATTCCTTGCAATCTGTCGGATTACATTCCTCACAAGTTAATGTGACATGTCCATTAGAACAAGAAAATAACCTTTAGGCCAATAAGTTGTCGCAAATTTTGCAATAAATTGTCTAATAGTCAAGCTTTCCTCCCTTTTATTATTCATAGATAAGTTTCAAATATGTTGGAATGTTTTCATCTTAAATGATCTTGGAAGGGTTGATTTAAAAAATTTAATTTTTCTTTTTTGATAGTTAATCAAAGGTTATCTAGTCCAAATATATTACAGAAAGAGCATAACACTTACTGAGAGATCTATTGCAATAAAAGCACTCTTTAGATTCAAGACATAAATCAACACATTCACTACAATATCTTAAATGACCGCATTCTTTTAATACTCTATTAACTTATTTAGCCTTACAAATTCTACATAAGTATCTTAAATCCTCATTGTTTTTTAAAGTCATATTTTTATTTCTTTCAAATTTTGGAAGAGGAAGATATTATGCTAATTCTATTTTTCTATTTTTCGTTTCTAATATATTTGTGATTTGTCCATAAAAAACAACTGTATTATAATTATTAAGAAAACTAAATTAATATCTAAAAATACTAAACAATAGGCTTTGAAACAACATTTAACAGTATTTTTTCTGCTTCTGGAATAATTTTCAGGGTTAACTTGCATATACCAAAATTAAGTTTTTTTGGATTTTCAGTAATTTTCCCATTAATTTTATCTTTAATGCCTAATAATTAAATTGGACTATTATGGCTGTTCTAAATCAAAAATTCTTGATTGTAAAATATCATCTTAAGTTAACCCATTTTTCTAAACACATCTCTTGGAGGCAATATTGGTAATTCACTTAATTATATTTCAACATCAAATGCATTGATTTATTCAGGACAGTATTGATAGCTACATAAAATTCCTTATAATATCTTATTCTCTTCAAATTTAACAAGCACTAAGTTATTGTAATTTTTACCTTCACCACTTGGGCCAATCTTTATTTATTATATCCAAGCCTAACATGTGATCGATTTTAAGAGCTATCCTACATATAATGCTCCTTAAAGAACCTTAATAACATGAAATGGTTCTTCATGTCTGACTACAATACATTCTGTTTAATCAATTAAATTTGTAGTTAAATTTATTTCATTATGAAAGAATTTTTAAATTTCATTCTATTCGCAATTTTACACAACTTTCAAAATTGGATTTTTAAGCGAAAAGACATTTCTTTCCTCTTCAATTATTCTTTCTTGATCATTAAATATAGATATTATAATTTATTCTAATTATGAAATTGCCTGCTTGTATTATTATAATTTTATTTATTCCAAAGAAACTAAAACTTATTGATAACTAAAAATATGACAGAAATAATTTTACCCTAATAATTTGAGAGTTTTAAATATTGAAAAATTAGGATCTAAGCTGTTTGTTAGGTGTTCATCGTTATTTAATTTAGATAAATTTATAGGAAATTAATCAAGAACAACAACAGCATTATCAAATTTCCATAATTCTTTTTATTGCTAGTAAATATCAGACGTTATGTAGCAGGTGGAAGCAAATTGGTATTTATTAGCTGTTTATATTTGTTATTCTTCTGAAAATGCTATAAGAACTATATTCATTTAATTTTATTATTAAATACTTCATGATCATAAAAGAATATTTATGATCAGATATTAAAAAAATTGAGATCAACTTTTTTTCTACTTTTAGAGATTAGCATGTAACTACTGTATATAATAATGTAAATAATAATTAGGAGGATTAATTCTTTTTATTTTTCAGAATATTAATTAATAAAACTTTTTGATTATAAATTTCATGCAGTTGGATCATCTGGAAATGTATAGATAATTTTTTGTTTATTTTGTAATTGATCATTGCAAGTCTGACATTCTTTGATTTAGCATTCATCACAAAGTAGTGTTTAATGATTATTATTACAAATAGAGTATTGAGTAATTCTTGAATCGCAGTTGTCACAGTTTACTTCGAAATAAATGGTCTATTCATCATTAATTTCATTATAAATTTTCATAAAAGGCAGCATTTCTTTATCAGGATGGTTTGCAAAATATTCAATAACTTGTTTATCAGTCATTGATTTGAGGTTTTAAAGTTATTATTATGTAAGATGAATATTGAAACTTTGAGTGTTATTGCTAGGTTTATCACAATATAGGCACTGTTTTGCTTCCATACATATATCTTTACAATCGTTGCAATATCTTAGATGCCCACAATTAGTAGGAACATATCTAGCCTTTTCAGTTCTGCACACTCTACATCTTTATCTATAGTCCACCCCATTGTTAATCATATTTTCTGATGGAATACTTGTCAATTCAGGAATTAAAACTACTTTTTACTTTTGAACCTAGTTTTTTATGATTTACAATATGTCTTAATTTTGTATTTTTCCACAAAAAATTAATTGTTAAGTTAAATTTTTGTTTTTGGGAATAAGTAAAGTTAAATTCCTTGCAAGTATTTTTGGAGTCAAGTAAAATTATTTACTAAACCTAAAAGACATTCCAAATGGTTTTGTTGTTATAGTCTTCATATCTTTGTAAGTCTTGTTCTCTAATTATCCAAATATTTTTTTCTTCTCAATCTAACCTTTAATTGTAATTGAAAATTTATACATTCAATTCCATAAAAAAATGCCTTTGAATCAGATTTTTATATTTTCTATAATACACCCTAGCCGACTATTTATGGGCATATGAAATCACCTCTGGATTCTTTAATTTGTAGTAGGTATTTATCTTGCCTTAATCCGATTAGAAGCCCATTTATTCTCTTTTTTAAGTCAAATTAAAATTCAATAATATCTCCTTTTTAAGCAAAATTCTTTTCTTATTTTGAAAAGTAATCAACAAAGTTTTTAATTTATACTTTTTATAATGCGCCTTATTCTTGATAAAGCACAGTTTATCCATTCAAAACGAAACCATCTATCACTTATGCTATGCCTTTGTTCAGATCTGTTTCATTAAAGATAGCTAAGATTAAATCAGAATCTGAAAAACTTGCTACGTCTTCGAAAAACTCCAAGAAATCATTTTAAGTTGGTTTACTTGAAGTCTTAATTAAGGGGTTTAAAAAGTCTAGTTAGTTTTATTCTTGTTAATCGTTAAATCTTTCGTCATTGAAGATCGAATTGACTTCTTGATTAATCCAAGAGTATAGATTCAATAATTATGCATTACTTTAATTATTATCATTCTCATCATAAATAATAAAGATTTAGTTATACCTAAAGCTAAAATTTTATTATGTACCTAAAAAATTGCAATAATTTGAGCATTCGAAAATTATAATTATCCATAGTGAATTAATGAAATTCTAAATCCTTCAAAAAGAGAATTGCATATTCAAACATTGACAATTATTGTAAGCATTTATGATCATTATTTAAATCAATTGATTAATAATAAAGATTAATGGTTTTCTTTTGATTTTCTAGCTTATTTGAATTTAATTGTTTCATGAAATTCTAGACTTTTTCTTCGTTTTCGGAAATTAAAAGAACTGTTATTACTTGATGAGTCTAATCTTAATTCATTATTTTTAATTCTTTAATATATAAATTAATTTGAAATCAATTTATGGGAAATATATACCGAAAAATTAATATCACTAAATATCCTTTCCTTTTGACAAAATAAAATAATAAATTAGATTTCCTAATAAAAACCCTGTGCGATAATCCTCTATTGTTGGATTATAATCAGTAATATCCAAACTAACACAAAATTTACCTGCCAAATAAATTATTTCAAATATTTCTTCTACACTTAATCCTTAAACACAAGGCCTGCTTACTCCAGGACAAAAAGCCGACTATAATATTTATTAATATATACATCTATAGCTTCTAAAGAAATAGAAATATGAATTCTTTTCCCTTAAAGATTTGTAAGTATTTATTTAAATAAAATCCCTGCCTGTGTAACTTATTATTCCAAGTCTTGATGAAATACCTTCTATGTTTGCCTAATCTTCTATAAGCTTGTCCCACTACATTTTTCATTTATATAATTTTCTTATTCTTAATTTAATTTGCTATTATCATACCCAAAATAGGTAATTGATATTTTCCTTGTCGATGCTCTTAATCCTGAGTTAATACTTGGTTTATTGCCATCATATGGTAATTGAATATCAGGAATATGATTAATTGAAATAACATGTAAATCATCACTAAGAACACCAAAGACACAATCTTTGGATCCTCCTATTACTATTGGAATGTGATTTTTATTGTGTACAATTTTCACCTTCTAATTCAATTTTTCCAAAAGTTTTTCTAGATTTTAATCATCTTCAACATGTATATTTCCATAATCCGATACTATAAAATTACTAATATCTTTCATATATTCAGCATTCCTTAAAGGACCAATTCTAGGCAAGAATCGTCTTAAAGAGTCAGGTCCATGGTCCTATCCTATTCGAACATTGTCTCTTTTGGCTCCTAGATGATGAGGAAACCCTATGATGACATAATCTCCATCTATTCCTTCTACAATTTTGAATCTGGGATCGTCAGACATTTATTTTCTTTTTTATTATTAATAATAATGTTTGAATTTAATTAATTAGAGAATGTTCAATTAAGAAAGCACAGCGAACTTCATTAAATATATTATTTAGATTGTGGTCTAGTTGTAATGCTTATAAATTTTAACTCAGATTATTATTTTGATGTAATGGAACTTTAACTAAAGGACACTCGAAAATTAATGTAATATTTTCCTATAATAGATTAGAAAGATTAATTGCATTCCTTTATTTGCATTTTTATGTGGAGAATCCAGCTTGGCTTTGGCTCATTATGATCAAAATGATGCTTTTATTATTTAGTCATTTGACTTCCTCGAAATGAATAAAGTATAAACAAACTTCAAGCTTCCTCCAACTTATCAAAGCTATACAACTTTTTATTTTAGATTTACCAAATTAGCTATGCTATTAATTCAATATGAATCCGGTTCGATTATTTGTTACTTTTTGAATAGTTATTTGGAAATTCACTCTTAATTTCATCTCATAGATAAAAGCCAAAATTAAATCTTGAAATCCATTTATTAATTAAATTAGCATAACTGCTTTATCTCATTATATCTAGAAAATGATTTGGAATAAACATTGTATGAAATAAATTCACAAGGAATTTAATCTAATTTAAAATCATAATATCTAAATGATAAGAATTCTTTAAATGGATGCGCTTAATCAATTAAATAAATATTATTGGCTTTTACTCCTAAAAACGATTAAAATTCCTTCATAGAGTTCATTAATGAATAAAATGAATCAATAAGAACAATTGAAATCAGTTACTTTAATTATATTATAAGTATTGAACAAATCTTATTTGTAAATGAGATCTATGTTTGTTGTAAAATTTCAACTTAAAATGAAGAGGAACTTGAATAGTTATGTTTATTTGATAAAAATACTTTTGAGCTGGTTTCTAGAAAGGTCTATTAGGATTATATGTTAGACATTTAATGCAATGAATAAATCATTATTGAAACCTAAATGAATTTATTTGATAGAATAAATTGTTTACAAAAAATCCATCAAACTTGTTCCAATTAGGATCAAGGTTTATAGAAATAAAATGAATTAAATGATCTTAATGATTTCGATGATTTCTCGGGCATCACGATATTTTATAACCTAAATCCAATTTATTAAGCAATAAAAATTATGAAGTTTTTAGAGTTTGAAGAATAAATTGTTGAATAAATTGCCCAAAAGCTTAAGAAAAGTACTCCCTACCATCTGAAAAGTAACAAATTTGATTTTAATTGAATGAAATTTTTATTTAATTTTGAGTTTCTAAGTATCTTTTCGTTTTTTCCTGATTTAAAGATTGATTAATTAAAACAAATTTAAAATTAAATTAACATTATAAAATGAATAAAATTATTGATTCAATAGAAAAGTTAGATATCTTTGGTGTACCTGTAGCTTTATTAACAAACGAAAATGAACCAAAATTCAAAAGTAAGTTAGGAGGATTTATTTCGCTTTTAGTTGGAAGCACAAGTTTGGTCTATTTTTTATATATCATGATCTTATGGATTAATAATTAGGTCCCTCCAAATGTGAGTGCAAAATAACAAACAACTGGATACTCAGAATTTGCATGGTCTGAACCATTAATCACATTTAGTTTATATGATTTTTCCTCAGAAATTGATCCTTTTAGAAAAGAAAAGAATTATATTACTCCCTTATTATTTACAATTGTTGATAGCAGAATTGAAGACCAACCTATTTTATTGTATAGCACAGAAGAACATCCTAGATAGTTCTAAGTTGAGGAAGGATCACTAATTTTGAATAATGTATATGGAAAGGATGAAATACATAAAGAAATGAAACAATATTTACTCACTTTTGTAGTGTGTTCAGATGATTTAAATATAGAAGGGATAACTTGTGCAGATACTAAAGAGATAGAACAATACATATAAAGTGATCATGGATTTCTGTTTATAACAATTAAGCTACATCAATTAAATTATGTTACAAGAGAATTAGAATCCTTTGAAAAATAATTCTATTCTGCTTTTGATCCAAGGCGAACAATTTATTCTTAGGTTATGTTAAAATAATAAGAAACTATAATTGATGATGGAATTCTTTTCGATAAGTTGAGACATTATTTTTTCTTGAACAATTATGAAATTACAAATTAATAAGTAGATATTGATTTTATGACATCCTAAATTTATTTTATGTCTAAAGGATAGTATAAAGTAAGTGCAATAAATTCTTACTTATTTAGAATTGACAATATTTCTATAGTTGAAAATGTAATTATGCCTAAATTAGGATAAATATTAGCTTAAATAGGATCAATAGTGTAATTGATTTTTATCTTATAATACGTTGCTGTGTACTATAATAAATAATTATTTGAAAATTAATTAACTCATGACATCATAACAATGTACTATCCAGAATTTAAAGAATTATAATTAGATCGGTTTAATAAAATAAAATTCAATGAAAAAGAAAAATCTAAATCTCCAAAATAAAGTATAAATTCAGCTTATAAAATTCTATAAAAAGGGGCTAAACAAAAATGTAGATTAAACAATATATTGTATGAAATATCTAGATTACAATTTGTTTTTCAATAACAATTAGGTAATAAGGCATTTTAAGTTTGTCATACTTTTGGAGGGTTGATTTCTGAGAATTTGTATGAAACTATAAATATGAAGGAATCGAATCAAATGATGGTTTATCCTTTTGATTCATTTGAATAAACTCAAAATAAAGTGGTTCACATAGAACCTTTAGAATTATTAATAAAATAAAATTGATTAATTTAAATTAAATATTATACATTTTTAGTAATATGTATTGCTGATTTAAAATAAATAAACCTTATTTCAAGGTCTTAAATTGTCATTAAATGTTTTCAAGATTAATTTAGGACAACTTTTGTATCCTTATTTTTTTGATCCTTTTCCTTATTCAGAAAACCTAATTGCCATTGATGTAATCTACATCTTCAAATGATAGCATCTAGAGCGGTATTTCTAAGCATTTTTGAATACAATGCTGCAACCAAATAATAAGAAATTAGTAGGAAAATTTCATAGTTATATTGTATTAACATAATAATAAGTTGTAACTTTTATTACTTTTTAATAACCTAAACTACACTCTTTGACTACGAATATTCAAAAACAACTATTAATTGAAATTCATTTTTTAACCTAAATCATATAATATTTCAATTCCTGATGGGAGGAAAATTCAGGAAATTTATTTATCATCCTCTGAGCAATTAAAGTCAATTGAAATCAAGGAAAAGTCGATTAAGATATAAAATTGATTTTAATATAAATTTAAAAACAATGTAATTTGATTATTTGTATCATTTTTTAAATTTTGACACACGAAATGAGTTCCATTATTGTTATTTTGAGAATTTAAAATTAGAAAATCTATTTTCAGTTCTTGCCGATTTTGGTGTTCCTGGACTATCTGATGTAGTATCGATAGGGCTTTCAGTGTGAAGTGATTTAATACTCTATTTTTAAGAAAACCTTGGACTATCTAAACTACCAATATGAATAATTTTTCGAAGAGATCCATTTGACTTTTGCTTTTAGAGTTAACTTTAAGTTTTAATTCGAAATTATATCTACTCTGTTGAGAAAGTTCCTAAGATAAAAGGGTGACTTAATGCATCCCTTGCAGAAATTCTTTTATGCTGATCTACCTTAAGACATTTCTTTAATAAATCAAGGCATTCAGTCGAACATTTGACTTCAGAATAATCAATTTAACAATCATAGTTGGCAGTAATTATTTGTTCATAGTTAAATTATTCCTTAATAAATGGATTCTTCTGAGTGAGCAGCATAAATAAAATAACTCCAACGCTAAAAATATCTACATTCAAAGTGTATCTTTTATCTTGAAGAATTTCTGGTGCTACATATCCTGGAGTTCCACATCGAGTGAAAATATACTTGTGATCGTTACAATAAAAGTCAGCAAGAGCAAAATCAATTATTTATAATTATTCGATTTGCTCTTAATTTTTAAACAAAATGTTTTCTGGTTTTAGATCTCTGTGAAATATCCCTAAGTCATGTAAGTATACTATGCCTTGTAATATTTGTTTTATTATTATTCTAATAGTGTCCTCGCAAAATTGTTTAAAGAGTATTATTTTAGCTAAGTCTCCTCCCTCAAGATTATCAAAAACTAAAATAAGCCGATTATCTTCTTAGAATACTTCTTCCATTTGTACAATATTTTTATGCTTCAATAATCGTAAAATCTATATTTCTTTATTTATCTATTAAATATCTCCTCCATCTAGTTCGTAAACCTTTGCTATTTTTTCATCATTGGTTACTCGTTGGCGGATCTTATAAATCTAAATTTTTAATATATTAAACCTTCTTTTTTTCTTTTTCAACATTGACAGAACACAATTTGTAAATCTGTAAAAAATTGATTTACACACAATATTTCTTTAAATGATCATATAATTAATCTATTTCTCCAAATATTTCAAGGTATTTTCCCTATTTACTAATTTTTAAGCCTTATTAAAATACTAAGGAATTTTTGACTTTTTCAAGTTGGCAATTCAAACAATTTATGGATTTCTTGTATTAGAAAAATGTTTACTGTTTTAGAATAAAATATCATATGTTCAGCAATTTTTAGTTTCTTCATCTTCAGATTATTCTATCTTAAAACAATGAAAAACCCTTCTAGCTATATGACAAAATTATTTTAAGGAGGCTTAATCCAAAAAAGGTCATTATTTGCTAAATGACCACGAAAGTTCTGTTAATAAAAGTTCATTATGAATATATAATGAATATTAAATTATAATTAAGTAGATATGCTATTCTTTTATTTTAACGAATACTAAAATATTTCCAAACTAAAGTAATCAAAAGATGTAGTCAAAATTGATCATAAACAAATCACTTTCGGTTTAATAAGAAGCAGAATTAATTTGAGAAATAAAATTCATTTATATAAATTAGTTTGTTTTGAATTCAAAAACTGTTTAAATGAATTCATAACAAAACACTCTTATTTTATTTGATGCAAATCATTTTTATTCGATAAAGCATATAAACTATGAATAAATTGAAAATCAATTTAAATATATATCAATCAATAATTTCTAAAAATTCAAATATTCTTAATGCAAGTGAGCGACCAGCAAACACAACAACTATTAATGACAGCAACTTTGAAAAATGGATAGTTAGAGTTTTATACATCTGATTAATATGATGAATATATGATTCCTCCAAACTACACGATCGCTTAGCAACATTAAGTAATTTTACAATCAATTTCTAGCTCGCCTGTAAAGTAGGTATTCCTAACCCTTATAAGGAAGGCGAGACAGTTAATATTTGTCCATGTTGCAAACAACAAATCGTAATATTATACCATGATTATTTTAGCAAAAAACACAAATTGATTTATAGAGAGATGAGATGGCCTTTTCTTTCCTAGGTTCAGGCTATCCACTATATTTTAATTTCATCAAATGTTGTCTTATGATTGTGGGAGTACTGTTCTTAACATCAGGACAATATTAACTTGTTTCAAACTTAACAAGCAATGATTGTGAAGATTTAGTTGTTTAAGTGCAACATCAATATAAAGAAGTGTAAAAACAGGATTCATGGAAAGAATAAGTACATAATTATTGTTTAAATGATTGGATTGCGCGATCTTCATTAGCGAATAAAAGATTTTAATCAATTTTAACTTAGTTACCACATTATTTTAATTTTTCCAGCGTCATCTTCATTTTAGTCATAATATTCTTTTTTAGAAAATCTCAGTTAATTATAGACAACGATTGTGATATTAAAGAAAATACACCTTCTGATTATACTTTGATTGTTAAAGACATTCCAAAGGATTGCAAACAATAATAATTAAAAGAGTTTTTTGAAAAGAAGTTTGAGGTCGAAGTTATGGAAATAGATTATATCTTCTATGCTAATACTCTAAAGGAATTAGAATTAGAATTGGAAGAAATAGTTAAATTATAGAAAATTGCTCTAGAGAAGAATGATAATGATCAATTATTAAATTTAAATGAACAGAAGAAGTAAAAACAAAATTAGATTACTGCTGAAGCATTGAGAATCTAATCTGACTTTGAATTATTTTCTGGAACAGCATTTTTGTCTTTGAAATATGAGGATCACAAATAAATAATTTTGAAATCTTCAAATTATAGAACTAAATAAGTTATCTCTAATATATTTTTTGGATGTATCATTTAAGAAGCAAAGAGTTTAGAACTTAATGATACCTTTATAAAAGTTGATCAAGCTCCTGAACCTGGAGATGTTATTTGGGATAATATTGTTCACAATGATAATAGGAGGTTTTGGGTTAGATTGCTTGGTTTCACTTTTTCTTAAATTGTAATAGCTTTGTTCTTAATTACATTGCTAGAATTAGCTAAGATTTAAGCATAAGATGCCTCTAATGTTCCAGCCACTTTAGTAGATGTAGAAACTGATTAGGGTGTTGTTTAAGTTTCTTTACCTTCACAATAAAAATCTAAGAATATGGGCTCTATGATAGCAGCCTTATTAACTACTTTTATAAATTCTTTTGTTGTTGGACGTCTTTCTAATTTTCTTGTGGGTTTTGAAAGTTATGAAACCTATTCACTTTATACTGTATCATTAGCTTCCAAATTGTCATTAATGTTGTTTGTTAATTCAGCTATTATTGCATTTTTAGCAAGCACAATATACACTCGTAATTTATTTGGTCCAGGTGGTCTCATTTACACAGAAACATATTTTTTCATGACAAATGCTATAATTCCACCTATAGTTACTCTTGTTGATCCAAACAGAATAGTAAAATCATTGAAAATATGGTGGATTAAGAAGTTCAACAAAGCCGTAACTCAAAAAGAATTAAATAGTTTATATGAACATAGTGAGCATATGATAGAGTTGAAATATGCTGATATAATGAAAACTCTATTTATTACATTTTTCTATACTCCATTGACTCCTGCTGGGTATATTACTAGTTTTGTGGGTTTGGCATTATATTATGGAGCAGAAAAAGTATGATATTAATTAATAAATTTAGTATGTTATTTGTAATAGAATGACTGTTAAGCATACTCCGTCGGTTCAATTATCAATATTGATGACAGAAATGATGGAATATCTACCAATTATTTACGCTGCAGGATACTTAATTTTTAACTATTAAATAACTGGAAGTACTAGCTATTGGGCTATTGCCTCAATTCTCATTTCATTTTTAAGTTCTGTTTTACCAATGTAATATTTTGTTGAAAGTTGTTTTAAACAAGAAGAGCAGGATGAAACTACATCGTATAATGAGGCGAAAGTGAATTTTTCAACAACATATTCCCTCTAAAATCCAGTGAATAAATATAATCAAGAAGAATAAGTTATTAAAAGTTAGATCAAGTCGAAAAGTCAATCATAATTGTGAATGAGATATTCAACATTTTTATAAATTAATTTTCATTTTTAGTAATTCTCTGAAGCAAGAGAATTTAGAAAAAATAACAATAAATAAAATTTAAAGAGTAAATCTGTTCTACAATTAAATATCTGCTTATAAAATTGAATAATTTCTACATACGATTTTTTTGTTTTAATTAAAAATTGCAGTTAAATATTGGACATTGATATTAATTAATATTTTTTATGAAAATGAGTATTCTCCTCCTCTGATCTATAGAAATTTATTAATGATAAATCTATAAATAAGGATCCGACTTTGGAAGATATTAATATTTGAAATAAAAACTGGAAATGAAAATTATTAAATAAATAAGTATATATGTTTAGCTACTCTTCACCAAATTTGCCAGAATCTCTCCATAATTCACATTTTTTATTACTTACTCTAACTGCTCCGCCTTCAAATCTGAACCCTGAATACTTTAGCTCTTTGATGAATCAGTAAAATTAATTTTGATAAGCAAGGTATGGACCAGTCCTCCAAGTTAAAATTTTGAATAGATCATTAATGGAATGTAAAGTTTTGGTTGAAATGGCTAATACAGATGCAGCTAAAAATGCAAAAAAGGCTTTAGATCAGCTATCATCAAATTTTATAAAGTGCTCCTACTATTAAGAAGACAAATTACACGGTTCGTTTACTGTTGGATCCTTTGAGACTATTGAGGATACGACATCCAGCACGTTCAAAAATAGACATTCTACTTCTTTGAATGAAAGTAATTTTTAAAGTTATATGAATTGTAGTCATAAATGATGCTGATTCAAAACCTTAAAGCGCAACTGTACTGCCAATTAGCTAAAAACTTATTCCCTCTTCAAAAAACATTTAATCAACAAAAACAGTCTGTTTGAATGGCATTTCAGGCAAAGACTTAGATGCACTAAAAATTTACAATATCTTTAGCAATTTTGGTAACATAGATAAAATTATTTTAATTAAGTAACATATTGTTATTAATCATCATTGTAGTCTGAAGAATTTTGCTTTGGTGAAATATTTAAAAGAAGATTAAGCTTATTTCGTTTATTAACACTGCCAAAATATCCAGTTTTTCGAAAGCAACTTATAAATCACATTCGCAGCTGATGATTCTATTGAGAAACTAGTGGGCCTAGACACACTTTATAGAGAGCAAGATTATTACATAGGCTCCGAAGATACAGATAGGTATTCAGAAATTTATATCCAGATTTAATGCAAATAATAAAATGATATTATTACCTCCAAGTTAAGTTCTTCATATCTCAAATCTTAAAAAGGTTTCCTCCAATGCAGAAACAATGTGGGACATCTTCTCTGAATACGGCGTAGTGGAAGTATTGCTTTGATATATTTAGGCTGTCAAAGTGTTGAATTCATAGTTTAAATTTATGTGTTTAGTCAAGATGGAAAGCTTGAAATAGGCATTGGAAGTTATGGCTTTAATGCACAATGAAGAAATTGATGGAAGAAATATTCAGATCTCATTTACGAAAGCAAAGATATGATTATAATAAGAAAATAATTTAATTTAAAATTCATAAAAACCATACATGCAATAATTGTCATTTTCATAATTTTCTCTTTATAATATTAATTCCAATGTTAATTGTAAAATAAATATTATAATTATTATAAAGATAAAATAATTATTATTATTATGCAAGATCATATGTAAGTAACAATATGACGCATGATTTTTGTATATAAAACTCTGTTAACCAGATCTTTTTCTTTTAATAATACCCTTATAATTTAATTATGCATTGCTTTACCTATTTCCATCAAAACCTTTATTTTTAGTAGTAATACATCCAACAGTAGATGCTCATGTATAATCAAATGTTAAAGTACTTTAATATTCTAATATTATAGTGCTTAAGCCTTTCAAAATTAGCTTTACTAATCAGCCAATAACTAATTACCAAATTAAGCCGAATTTCTATACTCTTAACTTTCAAAAAATGAGGATACTCCCCTTATTTAAGCAAAAGCCAGCATTCCTGCAAAAAAAAAAATTATTAGAGCTCCTAAAAAATAATTGGAGCAAGTGAATGACCAAAATAAACCATAAAAGAAGAAAGTGTTTCTTTCAATGTTGGACATTAGAGAAGTATAATATAAAAAGTATAATCTTTAAATAATGTAGATGCAAATGTTCAAATGAGGAAATATTACAAAAGAATACAACTTCATCAAATGAAGTGAATGAGTGAACAATTTTGAATTCATAGTTGTATATATTTTCATCAATTTAAACAAAATATTTTTGGCTTGGTAAAATTATAAAATCCATTTTTGCGGTACTCTTAGACATACTAAGCATCAGTAATATATTGAATAAATATATATAAAGAATTATGGTCGATTTTGATTTACTTTTAGATGAGTAAAATTATTTAATAATTTTTTATTATGGAATCAATTCTAATCAGAAAATACATATATTAATTTTTATTTATTTATGCACTTCCTTTTCTCACATAGCCTTATATGTTATCTATTTTTAAAATCATTACTAAACAAAAAAGAAATTATTAACTGAAAAAGCAAAAATTTAACTTTAATGCATAAATTTCTTATAAATAAAGTTAAACTTGTAATAAATTAACTGTTATTTTATATTTAATATAAAAGAGTAAGCAATAACAACGAGAAACAGTATACTGTTTTGTACGTATAGTATTTTTTTAATTCATTTTGTTAATAAATCTTATATTTTCAAATTTTACAAGAGTGAAGAATAATGTATCCATTTTTATAAATAATACAATTTTATAAGGAATTAAAGAATTTTTAAAAACCAATTTTAATAATGAATATAAATTAAATTATAAAATTATTATAATATTAATAACGAAAAATCACTAAATCTCATATTCTTCAAACAATTTTTTTATATTTTGGATATCAAATTGCAGGAATCCTTTAAATTTATTATAATATAATTGCTGAAAACAATCAAAGCATTTTGAATTCCATTGTAAATCTAATTATGAAATGCATTCCAGCAATTCTTATTAGTATAATTTTGTAATGTTTTTTCTTGTGCAAAACTCGAATATTTACAAACAAGCCTTAGCTACTGTTTAAAGAGTTTAATCATCAAAGTTCACTGAGTAGTGTTACAGTAATGTTCGAAATACACTTCTAACGTGAGGGACAGGAGATTTTAATTCAGGATTATACTCGAATTCTCTAATAATTGTAATAAAGATATACTTATCTTAAATATCCTCTATCATATACCTAGCTAACATATTTGAACTTAATACTTTAAATGGCTCTCTTCCTAATAGTTATTCCAACTCTTAGATTGATATTTCATTGCCTTTAAATAATAACTACAATAAAATAAGAATGTACTTTTTCTGCATCTTATAAAGAAATATTGTTTTTTCTTAACGTCAATTTGAGTTCAGTCGCTATGTCTTCTACTTGGCTCTTTTATATGCTTTTCACCATTTAATCGCTATCTTAAATTTAAGTGTATTAAGAATTTGACTGCTAATCATCAACATAGGTAGTTTTCCTCTTTTAATTGACTGTCAAATATCTATCGAAATTTCTTGCTTTTTCAGATAATTATTAGATCTCTTTTTACAAATGTTCAATCCTCTCTTTATAATTCTGTCTTTCGTACTCATGCTAATTTATTTTTTGTTGAAGTTCTTGTTGAGTTTAATCTATAAGAGCTTTATCTTCAGCATTAGATTTTCTAGCAATTGCCAATTAGGTTCTGAGATGAGATATTTCTTCATCCTTTGTTATTAACTCTTCTCTCAATTAAAATTCATTTTTATTAGAATGCTTTACATTCATTTCACTTAAATGATCTCTCTCTCTAAATTTTTATAATTATTAATCTTTTGCTTATAAAACGAGTTACAATTATTAATGCTTTCTAGCCATTGAGAAATACTCTACTTTTATTTTTTCTAATTCCTTGATTTGTTAAGCGGATTATTATAATTTTTAGAATAATTCAATGTTATCATTAATTATTGACTCAGTGCTTCCTTGAAACTTTTAATATACATAATATTTTTCTAATTCCAATTTTAATGATTATATAGTTTTCTCTAACTCTATAATCTTTTTATAGTTAGTGCTCTACATCAATTCAATAACTTCCTCTTCTCTATTTTTGAGTCTTATCAGTGCTTATTTTAATTCCCTTTTATAATCCACTTCACCTTAAATAACTAAATCTTTTTCATAACATTATAGTCTAGCTTTTAGTTTATTTATTTCATTTTACAAAGCCTTGTGCTGTTATTTTTCTCGAATCAATTCTTCATATAATTATTCCTTATCCAAACTAATTTATTTTGGAATCACTATCTTTCTTTATTAACAGACACTATCTGACAGCGTATATAGTTTATTTATATAGTTTTTTTGGAGGAGATATCCAGTAGAAATACTCTAAGCATGTTATGATTACATACTATAAATTTTATTAAAAAAATCATGTAATCTAAAATCTTTCTCAAATCAAAATTTTAAAAAATTATTGCTTAGATTAATTGATTGAAATACGAACAAGATTAATCTTTAACATTTAATAATGATTGCTCAGTATTTTTAATGAGAATAGATATAGTATAACTTATTTTTTTGCACATTAACTTCTAGAACCGAGAATACTGCATAAATTGAATGAATATTGCTATTTAGGATGAATAATATTCTCACTATAATTAAAAATATAATCAAATAAAATTGACTTTTTGTCAATTATATTAAATAAGTTTATTTTTTCCTTTGTTTATAATTAAATATTGAATTTTTCTACACCTAATAAAGGGTTGTAATATTAGGTCTAATAATTCAAAATAAATTTTATCACAAATTGAATATATTAGATAATTTTTATTTGATAAATTCATTTAAATACTATTTCAAATATTTCACATTCAGTAATTTAAACACTTGATTGACCAAATAAATGGGTTGAGTTAGTGATACTACCATACTAATCACACTAGTATGCTGACCCTAAGCTGGAGCTGGCACCATTAAAATTTGAAGGTATATATAAATCGTGACCAGAACCGAATGAAGGCCCATAACCTGAATTACAGTAGATCGCATGTGCTTTATTAGCTGCCTTTAAAGGATAAATCTAATTGTGATTTTGGGAAAATAAGAATGACTGTAATGTGTCATCTAAAACATAATTACCTAAGTGCTATAGCCATTAGCATGGTGAAAATGCCCCACAAATGTAATTTGTGTTTGACTTGAAAACCATTAATAAATTCTTTCTGCCATATACTTTATTCCAAAATGTTGTATGGTTCAATCCATCCTTAGACCCACAATAGACAAGAATTGTGCATTTAATAACTTATTTTGATTTTTCTTCTATTGTTTATAATATCTTCTAATATTGAGCATCTTATAATGCACTAGGCTTAGCTTTGATATCTTTAATGAGATCATTATATGTTTATTGTAACTTATTTAATGAATTTTGAGAATTTTAATATTGTGATTATATTGAATTTATTTGTTGATCTTTGGATTGCAAACTATTTTTAATCTATGAATTAACATCAGTTATAGTTTTATTTAATAGTTCCATTTATGAAATGACCTTTTAGTCTTATTCATCAGATTTTTTTTTTTATTGCTCTACCTTTTAGGTTTCCTATTCAAGCTTTTCTTAAGCCTGTTCTAATTACTACTTCTGTTTTTCAAAATCCAATTTAAGATTTTAAATTTGATTTTCTAATTATTATATTTTCTCTTTTAGTTTGCTTTAAGCATTTATTTCTTATTTCAAACTTCCTTATAATTATGATACTAAATTTTCATCCTTGTATACAATCAACAATTCCTTGTATTTCTTGGAAATCTAATTAAATTATGAATATTATCTTGAAAATAGTGATTCTGAATCAGACTATTTACTTTGATCTGTTTGTTCAACTTTCTTAAGTACCTTTTTCGTTTATTTCTAATTAAATAGGTTTGAAAATTCTTTTTTTTCCTTTAAAGTATCAACTTAGTTTTATAAATTGTTATATAATTAAATTGAATCTTCAATTATAGCCATATAGGATTAAAGCAAAGATATATTTTCCAAAAATTATTTAATTTCATTGCAATTAATGATTTGCTTTTTTTCATCTTCATTCAGAATTACAAGGTCTATATATCAAATATTATTAATACTTTCATAATTCTTTTCTATCATTATTATTTATTCCTTTGTTAGGAGATCATGTTTCACAAGATTTTCTATAGTTTCTTTAAGCTTATGATAGAATATTGAATCTAATTAATCTTATTGTGCTAACTTTAATTTTAAGGGTTGATATAGATCTTTTTAACTTAGAGCTTCCAATATTTCTTGTAATTGATTTTAATCTAATTAATAAATATTCTTCTAATATAATGGGAAGGGGGACAATTGTTTTTCTGTAATAACCCTGTTAGTTTACAAATCATTAATGATTGCAGTCAAGGTTTCTGAATATTTGTCCCTTAAGTTTGTAATAAATGTAACGGCTTAATTAAATTTAGACTCCCTATTCTTGCTATACTTTGATATCATTTATTTGGAGTTAATTTTAAACTTTGTCCAATTTTCATCTGCATCCTCTAGAGTAGTATATTTCTGAGGAAACTCTTATATACACCTAGAACATGCTATCCTTTTGTGTTCTTATTGACCTGATTCTATATTGACCATAATAATTTCTAAACCATGTTGTTCACAAATCTAAATATTTATAAAAATTTTACCTTGATATCTTTTTCAGATGGCATGTCAATTTGAAATTGAGTTTTGATATTTTATAATGATTCTAAAATTTTTTAGTACTAAAAAGTGTTTGAAATAGAGCCAATTTGGTTTTATACATTTTCTATTAATTATGAAATAGCATTAATGTTTTATTCTCTTTAAGGTAATTCATATTCTTTATCAGAATTGTAATAGTATGACATATCCTTATCTAGATCAACTTCATCTTAACTATCTTCCTTTGTTTTTATGTCCTTATTACTATCTTAAATCTGAATTTCAATATTATTTTGTGTTTTTTCTATTTTTTCTTTAACATGTTGATTGCATTCTTTCAATGATTATTATAGCTATTTCATATAATTCAATTAGGTCTAATTATTTTCCATAAACTGTTTCTTCTAGTCATTCTTCATCTATTTGATCATTTCAATCAATTCACTAAGTAATAGAATTTGTTGCCCATCTATCCTCAGAATCAAACATTTGCCACATAAATATTTTTCATTTTATGTTTTTGCCAATTTTAAATCCACAGCAATTATTTCATGTTAATGCTATTAGCATGTTCTATTCTAAAATTCCTTTTCGTCCATTATTATGATATTTTAATTAACAAAGCTTTTATTCGCTAATATTCTAGAAAAACTCTTCTTTTATTTATAAATATTAACGTTGACTTTATATTCTCAAATCATCAAATAATTATTCGGTAACTCTGAGTGGGTGTTTCATTTTAGACACATTAAATTTGAGTAATTATCATGATCTAAATGTGAGAAATGGGATTCTTTATTTTTAGTAGATACAATTAAACGATTGATACTAGATATCTATAACTAAAATAAAAATTATTTTAATAATCTAGGGAAATGAACTTTTTGAAGAGGTTTGATTAATTTGGAGTGTCTTATCAATAAGAGATATTTAAGAATGAAAAACAATTTAAAAGTGTATTTGGTGGAATAACATCTCTTTTATTGTATACCTTGAGTATGGTGTATTTTTTTTATAAATTGTTTCTTTGGTTAAATGGAGATATTTTACCAAGAGTTTCAATTCAAAAAACAACACAAAATTATGCTGATGTATCTTTTGAATATAATCCGATTATTTTTTAAGTTGTAGGAATGAGTGGAGATAAATTTATTGATCCATTTTCCAAAACTGAAAATATCATTACACCTTATTTTTCTTATGTTGATGACATTGTGATTTCTAAAAAGCAATTAATGTTAGATTCTGGAGTTCCTCCTACAAGAAGTGGAATTTCGACTTCCATTACTCCTCAAGATATCACTTTGGTTCTTAATCAATAAGGTTTGAGTTAAGACACTCCTAAAAGTTAAAGACAATTGATGATTTTATTTGAATAATGTGACAGTTCTCAATATGATAATTGTGCAGATAAAGAAAAACAAGAAGAATTTTTCAAACAACCTTTAAACACATTTTTCTTAACTATCTAAATGCAATAATACAACACTAAATTGAAAGATTTTGAAATGATTTCTAAGCAAATCTACTTTATTTTGGATAGAGAAACCGCTTTGTACACTCAATTATTATTCAAAATAACAACATCAATTACTGATACAGGTTTCTTTTTAGAATCAATCAAGAATTAAAAACTTATTAGTGATTTTCAGACTACATCTTAGTAATTACCTTAGAGTAACTTTGAATAAAGTTTCGGAAATAAATATCTTGGAGTCTTCTTGATTGGAATAGATAGTTTATCTGAAACCCAATAAATCATCTATCCCAAATTGGGAGAGATTCTTGCAGATGTAGGTTCTATCATGTCAACTCTTATGATGCTAAAATTGATAGTCATCTAAGTAAACTCTAAAATTTTAGAAGATACACTTTTAAAGACAATAATTACTTATTATTACCCAGAAATATAGTAAATTTAATTTTAAAGCAACTTTTTTGGTTAAATAATTAGTGCTTCTAAAAATGGTAAGCAAATACTAGATACGGCTTCTTTTATAAAGTTTTATCAACAATTAAAGGATTTTACAAAAGAAAAATTAACTCTACTTAATTAAATATATGAAGTCTCAAGGATTTAATTTATTTTATAATCTATCCAATCTAAATAAGCATTTAGGCAGAGTCATTTTGTAGGTATACGGCTAGCGAATAATAATATCTTAAATCAATCGTATTAAATTGATTTCAATGAAGGATCAATAAATGCCCCCAAAGTATTTTTGAAATCATCTGAAAAAAGTAAAGATGAGAAGAATGAAATTATTGTTCCTTAAAATAATAAAAATCAACCAGAAACCATTGAGCCATTAAAGTAAGTTGAAATTTTATCAGATGAAGATTTTACAATTTTATCTCATATGCATCATTTAAAGAAATAAATAGAAGATTAAGATAAGAGTATTCCAATCTTTTATCAAATTAATACGATCTTTAATTGATTTTATTATTATATTTGTATTATTGATAATTTTTCATTCTCTTATTCATCCTTATTTTCTAGATTGAGCTAACTCTTATTAGGTATGATGTAATTCCTTTTAATATTAAATAATATTTACATCCTCTAAGGCCTGAACTTCTTTACTATTTTATATCAATTCTTCTTCAGCTTCTAATAATCTTTAATGATTTTCTTCATATTCCTTCTATAATTTTTCGTATTTATATTTCACTCTTTCAACTTCACTGCTGACCATAGCCATTTTGCTTTCAAGTTAATACTAACATTATTAAATTACATAATACCTTCACATCTTCTAATTATTTAATTTAGGCTTCCAATTCTTATATTTTCTTATCATATAAACCATGTTCTTTATCCTTTTCATTTAAAATAGTCAAAGTTCTTTCTAATTCTCCTTAGATATCTTCTACATCTAATTAATGAGCTTTGAGATCATCATAATTTTATTGTAAAGCACTCATCTCATCAAGTTTGCCTTGATATTTCTTATTTTAGGCTTCAATTTAAGAAGCCAATAAAGCTGTTTTCATTTAATACTCTGACAATTTTGATTCTAAAGCCCTCAACGAACTATTTTCTTCTTCTACACTCTTGAATTTCTCTGTGAAATTAGCTAATTGTTTTTTGGCTTCCTCAGTCAATTATTATTATAATTTAATTTCGTCTTAGTTTTTCTAAATTTCAGCCTCAATTTATGCTTTTTCATGAGCAACAGCATCTAAATCTTAAGTTAATTTAACTTATTTCAAATCAGCCTCATTTAATTAATGTCTTAATTCTTCTACCTATTAAGTCAATTCTTCAACCTCAGCAGGTAAATCCTAAAGTTTCAATATTTCACCTTGTAATTCCTAATTCTTTTGGTTCAATTATGAGCATTCTTCTGTTTTATTTTTTAATCTATAAGATTATCTCTCAATTTCAGTTGACAACATAGCCACTTTATTTTCTAAATTTCCTCTCTCTGATAAGGCTTTTTCTAATTTTTCTTAGGTTTCATCCAATAATTTTTGCATTGATGCAATTTCATCTTGTGTTTTTTTTATTGATTCGTTTAATGTTTCATTTTCTTATTCAATTTAAGCCATTTTCTCTAAATCCTCTTGCTATTGCTTTGAGAGTTGTGAAAGCTCATCAAATTATTGTTACTTTGTTTTCTCTTTCACACTTCTTCTTTCAATTTCAGCTGAAAGCATAGCTGTTTTATTTTACATTTCATAAACTTTATTCTCTAAATCTTGATATTTCTCTATTTCTTTATGTAAACCTTCAATTTTAGCCCTTTCTTCTAAAAGCAATTTATTCAACTCCTCAATTTATTCAGTAAGTTTTTCGTGATGATCTTAGGCAATCTGTTTTTCACTGGACAAGGTCTCCTATGTCTTTTATAGTTCTGAAGATTCGAGATCAGCCTTTTTTAAGATTTCTCTCCAACTATCGTACTCCTGTTATTATTAGTCTTCTTATGCTTTATACCTCTACAATGCATCTTACATTGATTCGAAGTCAAACTTCATGTCATTCAATTCATTTATTTTAACTTACTAGCCATCATAGTCCTTTTTGTATTTGTCCAATTTGATTCTTTATCTTTCAATTTCAGATGACAACATAGCAACCTTACCTTATAAATCAAAGACTTAGGTTTCTAACTAAGAAACTTATTCTTAATATTTAAGTGCCTCATGATATTTTTGATCAAGTTCTTTGATTAAATCATCCTTTCCTTTAAGTTCAAGATTTAATCCTTCTATATCTTATTGAAGTTATTCAACTTCTGCAAGGGTATGATTATTTTAATCCAAATTTTCTCTTAATTCATCTATGGTCTTCTCCTTGTTTTTCAATTATGCTGCCTTTCTTTCAATTTCAGTTGCAAGCATAGCTACTTTATTTTCCAAAGCATATTTTTCTTAAATGATTTTATCAATTTCTTTGAGTTGATCAGTAAGATTTTCGATCTTTTACTTCAAGATTGCAATTTCCTCATCCTTGCCCTAGATAATTGCTTTCAATTATGCAATTTCTGTTTATAATTATTGTATTTTTTCTTTATATTATTTGGATTCTTGGAGGAGTCGCTCCAACTCTGCTATTCTATTATTCAATTAGGTTATTTGATTGTGCTAATCTTACAATTATTTATTTTTATCATTTAATTGTTATTTCAGCTTATCGATTTCTTCTTTTAGGATATTTTTTTCACTGACTTATCTTTCAAGCTCTTTAATTCTCAATTCTAATTGTTTGTTTTACTAACCTCTTTAAAGTAAGACATCATTTAATCTTTTGATTTCTTTGGTAGAACTCTCAAGTTTTGTATTCACTTCTTTGAATTGAGAATTTTATCCATTTTTAGCGCTTTCTAATTAATGAATATTGTCCTTTAACTCGTTGTTTTCTTATTATAATCTTTCTAATTGAACTCTTAAGTTTTTTAATTCATTTTAATATCCTTAAGCTTGCATAGATCCACTTCTTCTCAATTCGTTAAATTATGAATTTCTTAATGTTTCGCTGCTCTTCTTAAATTCTTCAATTCCTTTGATTCTATCGGTATCCAATTGCTAGTATCTCTTTTTCCAAAACTCAATTTCCACTAACAATTGATTAATTTTATCCTTTTGTTCTTTGATGACTTAATCCTTAATTGCTAAATCAGCTAATTAGTCTTCGTAATTAGCAATTGTTTATTTAGCCTAAAATCAAATAAAACTATAATACCTATGAGAGCTCATCATGTGCCCCATCTAATAATTCTCTCAAGCGTTTGTTTTCCAATCTTGCCATTTTGAGATCCTAATTTTCTAATTCAAGTTCGTCGCATTTCACTCGTAAAATTTCATTTTAGTTTATTTATGCTCTATTTTCAATATTTAACTGCTTTATTGCATCTTGAAGCACTTTGATTCGCCCTTCTAAATAATCAATCTAAATACTATATCAAATTCTTACTTTCTTTAGCTCTCCAGCATTTATTTAAAACTATAATTCCAATTAAAAGAATTTATTTCTCCACACATCGATTTCTTCCTACATTCTAGTAATCAATCCTTCATCAAACTCTATTTGAATAGGTTCAGGTTGTTTTCTTGGAGGGGTTTCAATGATTACTGTTGCAAATTAAGGTGCTCCAGGTTACAATTAAATTCTTGGTGGGTGAATCTTTAATATTAAATTTTATTGATTACAGGTAACGGTCTGAAAGAAGCCATGGTTTTGATCTTGAAAAAGATTTATTTTAATTTTATTTATGAATAAAATATATTTCCTCTTGAAATACAGGCAAAAAATTATTATTAATACATCTCTGTAATCAATAAATGATAAGATTTTCTTATTATCTGTTTTATATATATAAAATATCTGCAGCAAATTTACCCAAATTTAATTCCATCGAAATATCTAATTAATTATAATTAAATGGGATAGAGTGCAAATTGTTGTAAATAGTAAACTGATAGACTCTCTGAAAGTTTTTCTGAACAAAACAATACTGATTATTTTGGCCCTCAATATGCCACTTGTTATTTTATAAACACAAAATTCATTTCTCATTTTGAGATAAACAAAGGAATAACAGAAGAATAACCAAAAGGATAACAAGCTGCATCTTCAACTAATCACACTGATCAAGAAATTGTTTAGAGCTCGTTACAAAAAAACGAGAAAGTATAAACTAATTCCAATAATATATTTGGTTCCTTACTTGATTTTGATTCTAACAATATGAACTCATCATATGAAAATTCAATAAATGCTAATAGAAGTATACTTAAGAAAAAAGCGAAAAACACTTCTAAACAAACTAAAACTGTGAAATTTAAGAATGTGGATTCTTCGATCCCTTTCAGTATCACTTAACAAAAGTAATTGGGAGAATTATTGAAGAGAAAATAAAAATGATGTTTCTACTTTTGTTCCTTCAGAAAATTATTACACAATTATAATTATTCAGTATTATTGATAAAAAATCTAATTATATTTATTTCGAATATAAAACCAAAATGAATAATGTCATAAATTTCTCCAAAGTAATGCTCCATACTGAATGAGCAATTTACCCAACTTGAAACGAATTTTTATAAAATCTTATTTGATAAATTCAATATTTTAAGTAAATTGGTATTTTATAATTTATGTGATAAGAAAATTCTCCAATTAATAAAATATTTCTTATTAGTTTATATAAATTATTAGAGAAATAGATATGTACCTACCTAATGCTATTTGAATCATATTAAATTTGACAATTAATTTAACCAAAATTTTCAATTTTCAGGAGCTAATAATGACTTGGCCAGATTCAAATATATTTATCAAATATTTACTAAAATAAACATAAATCAATTGAACATTTAAAACCTATCATGATAAATATCATTTCAATTTGTAATGAGTATATGAATTGATAATATAATTATTGAAAGAAAATATTTCATTCTTTAATGAAAAAAACGATTACTCTGCAATCTGATTATTCTAAATCATCTTTCTTTAATGATGGGAAGGAATTGTTTTGCAATCCTCCACAATTCTAAACGGAGTTTACATTATTTGGAACTTTTCTCATGAAATCTAATAATCGACAATATACTGTGACGATATTTTTGCATGAATTCACAATGAAAATTATTGAAGAAGTATTTATTTAGTTCATGGAAGAAAGGAGAAAGACATATTAACCTAGAGAATGTCTGTGTTAAGAAGGCATTGCATCCAAAAACACAATAATTAGGGTTACGAATAAGCAAAAATGGATAATTTGTTGAGTTTTTTGGAGAGATAATAGAAATGTGGAAATAAATAAAAAAATTTGTAATCCAAACTGACTTCTCATTAAAGTACAAATTAGGTTAAAAATTAAGTGAGAGATTTAGCTCTTCAGTAATTCTTAAAATTATCTTAGGTATTTAAGGCTTTTAAAATCATTAATGGGTAAAAGGTAGCCGTAAAAATAATTGATAAGAGTTTAGTTTAAAGAAATAACGCTAGTGAAAGACATTAGTTAATTAACGAGCTTACTATTCTTCGTTAAATTAATCACAATAATTTACTTAAATTACATGAGACATTTGAGAGTGACGACAAAATATTTATAGTTTCAGATTTATTGGAAGGAGGACATTTGAAAAATTCAATATTCAGATTCAGATACTCTGAATAAGAAACTGTAATCTTGATGTAAACCTTATTCAAATCACTTAATTATATGCATGAAAGAAACATATTTCATTAAGATATCAGATTCGACAATATTCTCCTTAGAGATTAGCAAGATTTAACATCGGCATGCATAATCAACTTTGGAAAATCTGAAATTATATAACAAAATATGGCAAGCTCGAAAAATCTCAATTTTTATGATTAAACCTCACTCATTTAATTTATTAGAAAAAAGGATATACTATCCTTAGGCATCATAATCTACAGTATCTTTTCAAAGAAACTTTACCAAGAAACATAAATTTTAGATGAATTATTAATGAAGAACTATGAGAGTATGTCTGATCTAGAGTTTTTGGACTTAAATCCACTTTTGTTGCAATTTTTTGAAATTTTCTTTACTTTAAAAGGCAAGACATAAATGGATTCAATAAAATGTTCAGACATATTAAATTTGGATGTCTTTAAGCTTGCAACAGCTAGACGTACATCTAAAATTTAGGGAATACCTCAATAGATCAACCATGATTTTAAGCGTACTTCTAGATTTGCTCCTAAATATTCTATAAAGGAATAATAATTAATCTCTAATTTCCAAAATATTCTCAAACTACCAACAATCTCTGATTCTTCAGATTCAAAGATCTCATAAAATCATTCTTAAAGTCCATAAACTGAAAATTTCATTTCATCAAGATTATTATCAGATGAAAAAGCAAGTTCATTAAAACCACGTTATAGTGTTTTAAAGAAATGCTTAAGTCCAAATATTTGAGGATTGATTGAATAATTTAACAATTCTTTTTTTTGATTAATTACAAGATTTATAAACATTTTATCATTTTTATTCTCAATTATTTGTGTATATATAAACGAATATATCAAAAATTGTTAGAGAATAAGATAATTGAATTGTTGATGATTAAAGCATAAATATCTGTCTCCAACTCTAATCGATCAATTTTTTGCAATTCAACAGGTTTATCATTAAAAGATCTATTGTGATTTAAACCACAATAATCAATACTAACATAATTTAAGTCTGTATTAATACAAAATAGAACAAATTTTTATACTTCTGTAATTTAGTCAATTTATGAAATTATTGAAAAAATTATCTTTTCAATATTATTATTATTTGAAACTTATCCTTATTTAGTACTGAGAGTACTATTTCTTCTAGTGCCTTGATTGTGTATGATAATAGTGTGATCCAATTCAAATTTAACAGAGTCAATAGTAATTTATATTAATTATTATTTCTCTTATAATAAATTATGTATTCTTTGTAAATAGATATATTGAAATAGTTTTGGGTAGCTAAAAGAATAACTATAGGATCTATCGTATAGTGGTTAGTACCTGAGGCTTTAACCCTCAAGACCTTGGTTCGAATCCAAGTAGGTCCTTTTTTTTTTTATAAATAATTTTATATTAATATGTTTTATATTGTCTTTTCAATTGTGATTCAAAAACTTCAGGGATATAGTTTTCCAACCAGATTTGGATCAACGATTCTAGATCCTCTTGAGGATTGTTCAATTACTCTGTTTACAGAGGAACTAGTCACATTCTATTGGACAGTCACAGATTTAACTTCAGTGACACCGCCCTTTTTAAGTGCTTCTAATTCAGCTTATGCCATAATCAATTTTTCTTATGTTTCAAAATAGTCATTGTTTAATTTCTTAAATCTTGACTTCCAAACTTCAACTTCCTTCATAGAGAATAAGAGATTACATTAGTCAAAGTCACAGTTTCAGTACTCTCTACAGTAACAGTACTTTCCATATGGTGATATCTTTATTCCCATTCATCTAATTCTTAAAGCTTCTATTGAAGAAGGCCTTATAGTTTTTCTAACTCCAATTTTGAATTGTATAATTAACTCTATTTTATTAAAATGAAATACTTCTAAGATTGCCAACCTATCTTTCAAAGATTATGATGAATTATCACTTCTCAATTCCATATATTCTCCTTCCTTTTATCTCAACCTATCCTATTCATTTCTCAGATTTATTTTTAATCTTTCTATTTCCATAGACAAATCTGCTATCTAAAAATTTAAATTGCTAGAATACTCTAGTTGTATTTTCAACTTTGACTGTCTCTTTTTCGACTTTTACTTATGGCTATCTGTTTAATAATTCAGCCACTCTTTGTCTCAATATAAGAACTTCCTCCTTATATTATTCTTCTTCTTCACAATGGCACTCCTTTTCACATTATTATGGATATGGCATTGGAATATAAATTGGCATGGGCATTGCTTAAGGTTGTGGACAAGGCTATGGACAAGGTTGGCAACATGGGGTATTGAAAGCAACATTATAGACTCCATTAGTTTGTCTGTTTGCTAATGTGGCAAATGTAGTTGTCAAATAATTTCTTCTAACAAAGTTATAAGTCGATCTTTATTCGTTTTCAACTGTAATCACGCGATCAGATACTTTTGTGGTCAGAAAGCTTTCCTCTCTTTTAGTTGTCATATTGATCATTTGTTAAGAAATAAAATTTATATTAATCCAATCAACTTATTTACTATTTATATATTTTTAATAGTGTTTGTACAGCTATTAATAATGAAAGTAGCATTGCCATTAAGTTATGAATATTCAATTTTAATTATTTAATTTTTATGTCTGTGTACGAAGAACCGCTTTCAAGCCCTAACATGGCAAGCTCTATTGTGTACATGAGTAAAATTTGACAGTATCATTCAAGATGATGAATTCTTAAATAACTTTAAGATGAAACAATCGCAACTCACAATGCTAGATAAAATAAAGCTCTCCCGAGAAGTTAGTGAATAGAGCATTCTCTCTTAAGATTCGGATGAATTTGAAGCCAAATAAGGATTTAAAAACAAGGTCTGGAAGGATAGAGCCTTGAACATTATAGTTCTTGTCGCTCGATTTGTTACTTATCTATTGACTAATTCGGATAAATTTAAATTACGTTATTTAGACCACAGGCAATTCAAAGTTATTGGAGATTAAGCTTCTGATTTTAACTTTTATTTAACACAAAAATTAATTAGAGGCAAGACTAAGAAAGGTTCAATAGTAAATTATCTAATTATTCTAAGGAATTAATATAGACAAAAATTAAATAGTACCTCGGCTTTTTTCAGGTTTTTTCATCAATTATTAAACCAATAAAACCTGATAATTCATATAAGCTTTATTGGGATGTTTTAGTCTTTTTCATACTTCTAATAAACATCCTCTATATACCTCTTAAGATTTCATTTGAAATAAGTGTGGTTGATGGAGCAAATTTATTTTTAGACACCTTGCCTTAATATGTCTTTGTATTTGAAATAATGCTAAATTTTAATGTGGCCTATTACTCAAGAGGAGTGTTAGTATTGAATCGAGGATAGATTTTCAAACACTATTTGAAAGGCAAATTTGCTCTTGATTTTATAGTTCTCATACCGTTTATGATCGGTCGATCTAATGTTCCATATATAGAATTTGTGTTGCTATTTAGAGTGTCCAGAGTACTTAATTGTATTATCCTTTAAGGTTATGTATATTTTCGAAAACATTGTTGAAACTATGAATCTCAGAGTAAATTTTGCATCCGCTGTTGATATAATCTCATTGATGTCAACTTTCTTGTTTGCATCACACATTATAGCTTGTATTTGGCATTTCATAGCAATCTAAGAATCATCCTTTGAAGAAAACACATGGATTCAAAGAGCAAATTTGGTCGAGGATAATTGGTAGGCCAGATACATTACAAGTTTTTATTGGGCTTGTATAACAACATTGACCATTGGTTATGGAGATATTATACCAGTATGAGTCTCATAATTATCGAATAGGTTACTCAATACGAGAAGATATTTGTAATTTTTGTAACTCTTTTAAGTTCAATTATATTTGGATACACAATTTCAAGTATTGGGTCTATTTTTGCTTAAATGAGTGAGAATAAAAATTATTTGAGAGATAGAATGACAGTGATTGATTCTTTTCTTAAGAAAAGAGGATTGAATAAGGATTTGTAAGTGAAAGTAAAGAAGTTCTTTGAATATTTTTTGAAACAAGAAAGAGATTAAGAATCAGAATGTGAAAAACTGATGTATCATTTATCTGGAAGCCTAAATAAGGAAGTAAAGATTGATTTTTACAAAAATATGTTATGTGCTTCTAAATTAATCAGGCAAAACTTTTCTGCTCAATTCATTGAAAAGTTGTGCATTCTAGTTAAAGAATAATCATTCGTGCCAGAAGAAATTATCTCTGTTAAAGGGTAATTACAAATTAATGATTAGATAAAAAGTTGACAAGATTTACTTCATACTCAAAGGAGAAGTAGAAGCCTATATAAGTAACAATAAAACCATTAAAATCTATTCGAGAAATTAAGCTATTGATGAAAAGTCATTCATTTCTCAACACCCAGCTTTGTTTTCAACCAGAGCAATTAAATTCTCAAAGTTAGCCTACATTACATATGATGATCTACAAGATCTACTCAAATATAATCAAGAAGATAGAGAACACTTCTACTAGGTTAAACATCAAATAGAGTTTGGTGGAAGAGTCAAAATGGGAGGATGTGAATTGTGTCATCAGAATCACGATTTCATCAAATGTCCTTTCGTATTCTATACACCAAATAGTTTAAGATTATTTAAAAAAAATGATCATGATGAAAAGTAACATAGAGTGTATAAAATGCGGTCTAGATTAGAAGAGAGACTTCATAATGTAATGTAAATTAATTACTATTTAATAGAACTCCTTAGGATAATTAAGAAACTAATAATCTACAGTATTTAACTACTGCGCATATTAAGGATTATTAAATGAGATTGGACCCAATTCAGAATTCATTATATCAAACAAATTCAATTTCTAATAGGATTCTGCTTATGAAGATATGGAACCTAGTTTGACTAATTCTGATAATGAATCAGAGTATAAACCAATTAAATCTTAAAATCAGTTACAAATTCGAAGAGATTCGAGAAGGAAAGTCTCAGATAATAATAAAGATTCTTAATCTATGAAATCAAAAAAAAAACAGACTAGAATTTCTATTTAAAAAGTGGGTTAATAAAATAGAAACTCCGGCTAAATTGAGAGAGAATATGTGCAATAAGAAAGAAAATATAAATCCAGTGCTAAAAGAGCCACCTTAATCTTAAATTAGATGAAACTTGAATAAAGTGAAAGGGCAGATGATGACCCTTTACAAACCCAGTTTTAATAAACAATTGCTCTTACATTATAGACCCAATAATAACAAGGATAAATAACACCCTAAGCCTAGCATTCAGCACAACTTGTGAGAACATTTGATGTGGATCAAGTACAATTTATTGAAATGGATATTGCTAAAATTATGGCATCTAAAGAATGCGATATTGATACACAAAAATAAATGGAATTTTATGACACTCGATTTAATTTGGAAATAGTAGTTGGGAAATTGAAAAAAGTAAATAAAAAGTTACCATTAAAACTAAAGAGAAAGAGATTGAGAAAATCATTTGCAAGATCTCAATCAATAAAGCATATTAGCTAAACCAAATCTTGAATAATATCTTATAAAGTCTAAATATAATAGAAAGTATTCTTGGTTTTTTGAATTAAATCAATACTAAAGTTTATCCTAATTTTATTCATTAGAATTAGCATAAAAATATGTAATATATTGTAATCAACTTTTAATTCCAAAGTCACAACTTTGTAGAAGCCAGTTTTGTTGTCTTCCTTTTTTTTAATAAGATCTTTTAAAATCCTGATGCTTTCAAGTGTTTTACCGAATTAGCCAACTCATCATTATTTCCCAATTTAGTTAATAATAATTCAGGAGGTTCAGAATAGTTTTTAAGATTCTATTTTTATTCGATCAAAAATTCACTCTCTAATAGTTGAGCCTTGATTGTCGTTTAGGCTTTATTAAAATATTGTTATGATATTTGTTTTTCTCTTTATGCACTAAATTGTCGTATTTATTCAGATAAAGAATTGTTTTTTGGTGTTGTATTTGTAGAAGGGAATTTAAAGACATTTTTTTCATATTTTTACACTTTGCTTTCATTTGTTTATGGAGTTTTCATTGGAGTATCATTCGCACCTAGAATGTTAAAAAGCATAGTCTTCCTCTTTTAAACAGTTTCAAATAATAAATTCGCTTAAGTTTCATTCTCTGTGTCCTTCTTTTTTTCCTCTTCTTTTTCTTATTGAATGGACTCAACCTACTTTTTTAAAACCAGATTCCTTGATTATATCAATTTTTATTCAGCCAATCTTAGTTTAGAAAAGTTTTAATTGTATTTCAAATTACTCATTGCACTCTCCTTACTTTAAGTTAGGTAATCAAAGTACATTAAAACATTAAATTCAAAATGTTTGTTAAACTAAATAATAAATTTAGAGCATTTACTTCTTAAATGTTTTCTTCTAAAATGCATAGACCGCTTCCAAATTCTTATTTAAATTTTAACATATCATAAGCAAATGGAAATTCTTTTCTTTGCTCAGATTCTTACTTAATTAATTTATTGCATAAGAGTTAAGATTACTCAAAGGGCACATGGTTTCTTGGTAGTCTTCTATCGATTATATTATTAATTTCTTATTCCAAAGTTCTAAACGAACTTTCTTTTTTGATTGACTTGGCCTATAACTGATATTCCTCATGTTTGTTGTGTTCACTTAATTATAAAAGTTTTGCTAAAAAGTTGTTTCCACTTTTTTTATACTTATGAACCTTTGTAAATTTCCTGTATTTTTAGAATTCTGAGGGTTGTTAAATTGAAATACTAGTCAATCCTAAAGTATCATTAAAAAACTAAATTTCAGTTCCACATTTGCTCGGTCTTCCAGATGCTAAGGTTGTATCAGTTAATTCACTGTTGGTTTTCTTATGAAAATGGTTAGTTTCTTCAATTTCAATTTAATGATGATTGCTAACTATGATTTATGGCTACTCAGCTATCTTTAGTCTTTTTTCAAGTAACTCTTCCTACAATGTTCTTGGAGTGAAGCTAGTGCTGCTTTTTTGGATTTAATAATCAGTTAGAAATTTAGCAAATCTTATTAACTCTCCATTTTCTTATAGATGAAGGGAATAAGTTTCTAGTTTATTGTTATCAATTTATTCAATAACCTTTTACAATTCGAAACATTTTTCAAAGAAAATGAGAATGGTACATACAAATTTGGAAAATGAAATACAAGTCTGCATTTCTTAAATTTCTCCTTTCAATTCATGTGCTTTGGCTAATAGAGATATCGAGGCAACAACAATGGAAGTAGATTTCATAATCTATTTTTAAAATTGCTTATCTGATTATGATATTCTCAATTGTTCTTTCAAATAGAAAAGGGGAATTACTGTTTTTTCTAGTCCTAAAATAATTGATAAATATAGATGATCAATGGTTTGTTACATTGAATTGATTTCAAAGTATGCTGACCCAATGATCATGAGCATCTCTTGTCTATTATTGATGGACTTTTGATGAAGTTAAAAATTGCAATCGCTGAAATAACTAACAACTATAAATTTTTTTAAGATTAGCAAAGCAAAAGTATTTTCCTTCCTTAACTTAAGATAATAATAGTGGTATTTTAAAGTGTCCTACAGGGATTACAGAAATAATCGTTTTTATTGAAAGAGCCATTTCCTACTAACTTTAGTCCTTTGATTGATGATCTTTTGGGATGCTTGCGGAGACATGCAACTCAAACGTTTTGGAGTGAAGACCTTGTGGATGGTTTCTTCTTTTTGCAAATATTGGCTCCATAGATAGAGTGCATCAAAAGCTCTGTAAAGGATAGGCTTAACTTTATGTGATTTTTTATCATATTTCAGTAAATACTTGAAAAGTAACTTATTACAAACATATGAATATCTTCTGACAATTTTAATGCAGATTTCTGCAGAATCTTAGTATTCATATCTTATGAGTAGTTTCAAGGCTTTGAGATATTGCGATGTCTTAATAAGACTGTTGATCTCATTTAATAAATTCATTTCGTATTAATAATAATAAAAGTAAGACATAATGGGGAATAGAATATAATCATCGAGTGGATTGCACCTACGATGAGATGTATTAGTAAATTATAATGATGATGATATATTTGGGTGGAAAATATTAAATATATATTTCAGATAAGGATTAATTTAAATATTTTGTAATGGCAGAGTAAATTATTTCGCTATGAATTTTTTAGGGATAAGGATACAAAAACAGTCCCCCTTGATGAGAATGATATCAACTTATTGAAGAAATACGGTATGGGTCCATATGCAGAGAAAATCAAATAATTGGAGGAAGAAAACAAGAATTCGGTTGCCACAATAAACAAGATGGTTGGAATTAAAGAGAGTGATACGGGTTTGAGCATCCCAAGCACATGGGATTTGGTGGCTGATCAAAAACTTGCTTCAGTAATCGAATGACTTAATTAATTAAGGAACACCCTTTGACAGTGGCTAGATGCACCAAGATATTCAAATCATCCCTTCAACAAAAGGATCTCTACATGATCACCATCAAGCACATTGCTAAGTATGTAGTAGGCTTGGGAGAGAAGGTGGCCCCAACAGACATAGAGGAAGGAATGAGAGTCGGAGTTGAAAGATAAAAATATGCAATTTAATTGCCATTACCACCCAAGATTGATCCCTCTGTCACAATGATGACTGTGGAAGACAAGCCCGATGTTACATATAATGACATTGGAGGATGCAAAGAATAGTTAAAGAAATTAAGGGAAGTAGTTGAAATGCCTTTATTGAATCCAGAAAAATTTATCACTTTGGGTATTGATCCTCCCAAAGGAGTTTTGATGTATGGACCACCAGGAACAGGTAAAACATTGACAGCAAGAGCAGTGGCCAATAGAACTGAGGTATATTGTGATTGTATAATAAAGGCATGTTTCATTCGTGTTATTGGATCAGAGTTAGTTTAGAAATACGTGGGAGAAGGAGCAAGGATGGTTAGAGAATTGTTTTAAATGGCAAGGACAAAGAAGGCATGCATCATATTCTTTGATGAAATCGATGCCATTGGAGGGGCTAGACATGATGATGGAAATGATAACGATGTTTAAAGAACAATGCTTGAGATAGTTAATTAATTGGATGGTTTCGATTCTAGAGGCAATATCAAAGTGTTGATGGCTACTAATAGACCAGACACGTTGGACCCAGCACTTTTGAGACCTGGAAGATTGGATAGAAAAGTTGAATTCGCCTTGCCAGATTTAGAAGGTAGAGCAGGCATATTCAAAATCCATGCTAGAACCATGAGTATGGAAAAAAACATTAGGTATGAATTATTGGCAAGGTATGTTTATATGGTGAATGAATTAGATTGTGTCCTAATACGACTGGTGCTGATATCAGAAGTGTTTGCACAGAGGCAGGCATGTTTGCAATCAGAGCTAGAAGAAAGGCTATCAGTGAGAAGGATTTATTAGAAGCTATTGAAAAGGTCATCAAAGGATATCAGAAGTTCTCAGCGACTCAAAAATATATGGTTTATAATTGATTATTATAGTCATAAATAAAAGCAGATTGTTATAAATAACTTATGTTATATAATAGATAAAAACATTATTGCCATTCAAGTCCAATATCTCTAACTTGGTTCTCTGGGGAATTTCATTTCCTCTATACAGACAATCACATCATCGTAGATGGAGTTATTAATGAATGGCAAATTCTACAAAGCTGGTCCTTGTCTCACTCTTGCATATTTATCATACACTGAACCATGGCAAATACAAACCCAACCCTATCATTAATCATTTGCTTAGTACATTATAGGCACCTAAATATGGGATTGGTATGCATCCTAAATGAGTACACAAAGCGCTGACAACCAATACCTTGGTATTACCACAATTGGTAAGCACAACCTCAGAGCTTAGAAATTTAGGTTTCTAGAATACCTGGGATCCAAAATAGTCTCTTTTGGTAAATTGTCTTCATCTTTAATTTCTTATTGTGTCAATCTTCTAATGAATACTGGTGTACCATTCCATACAATTTACATGACTTCTCCAGGGGGTAAATCTCCAATACTATAAAACTTATGCTAAATTATTACTCCATTTCAAGATAGGTGTCTCTGTCATATCTCTTCCATCCGTCCAATCTTCCTATTAAACCTACTGCAAATAGTCTTGCAAAGGAGAGCAATCCACCATAATAGACAGCATTTAATGCATATATTTATGTTCTTTTAATTTCGGTCTCGTGTTCGTTATGGACTCTATGATCAATTCGTTAAGCAATCATTACCTGTTTTCATCAAACCAATTATCCATTTGTACTTTGAAATCAATATGATCACCGAAATTTCCTGGTCTAGCTGAAGTTGTGAAAAATTGCGGTGCTTCAGATACTTAAACTCCTTTGTATAACTTTTAGTTGACTCTGCTATTGTATTCTGAAACTAGACCAAAGTGAGCTTTGCCAATAAACGACCTTCTCAATGCTCCACTAATCATTTTTAAATCTTTTATATAATTTATTTATAATTAGTTATTCTTTTCATATTTTCATTTCTTGTATCGATTATCTAATGCTCATCAAATTGCTTTTAGTAATTTGTTCTGGAGAGGCCTACAGAATTCTACTGATCTAGGCCTTTTTAGTAAATATTTAGATGTTATTGTTATTCTCAATTATCAGTCTTAACAGACTGTAGTAGAAGGTCAACTATTCCAACACATAAACCATGGTCTCATCTTGCAATTGCAATTATTGTGAATCATTCGCTCCAGCCAATCTGGAATTGCATTTGTTGTATAAATCCCTTATGCATCTCTATAGTAAGGTACTGAAGAGTAAATAAAATTCATAGCTTTCAGTCACTGACTTGTAGTTTTCGTATATTTTTTGGAAACTTCGATCCCTCAACACAGATAGCTTGAGTGTGTGATTGCTTTCGATCATTTAATACTAAGATAACAATGAGGGTTACTTATTTATCATGATACTCTTTGGCAATTTGATAGAGTTCGTGGACTTGGCTTTGGTATTTTCCAACAGTCTCAATGTAAATATCGAATTCGTACAATTGCAAGACATTCTTCTTTTTTTCAACGACTTCTCTCAATAATATGGTTTTAAAGAACATGTTTTTGATAATCAGGAACTTCAATTTGATTTGCAATTCTTGATTGAATACTAGTTGTTTATCAAGTATTCTTAGGATTCTAAACATCAATTCAATGAATTAGAATTATGCCTGTATGACTTCATCATTTTAAGTCAAGTGTCTCACACTCTCTCTGCTTTTTAATGCAGATTGGGGCATGGCAGTTTATGCTATAAAATTAATTTTGCGATTGTGATGGTATTCTGTGGTTCTTTGGGGAGAATAATTTTCTCGATTTTTAACAGAAGGATTTCTATCAGCAATGGGTCTGGGGGCAGTCATAGTGTGTCTACGATAGAAGATGGGATGGTGTTCTAGGTCACTGCAGGAGAACCTTTTAGATTCATCAACTGAGAGACACTTGAGTATGAATTCTATCGTTTCTTTTGATACTGGAATATTTGGAGGAAATTATGGGTGGGTTTTTAATATCACTTAGGCTAGGTCTTTTTCATTCTAAGCTGAAAATGGAACTTATCCATACAACATCTCATAGAATATGACTCCCAAACTCCAGATGTCAGTTTTTTCAGAATACATATTTTTAATCATAGTTTATGGAGACATGTATAATGCTGTACCTACATTGTAGTAGATAGTTTCTGGAGGTGCATTCATCATCTTTGAAAATCCGTAATCTGCTAATTTTGGAATGCCATTTCGTATCAAAATATTGATTGGTTTTAAATCTCTGTGAATTACTCCCTTTGCAACCTACTCCTTAAAACCATTGACGATATGCTTCATTATTTTAATAGCCTCTATTTCATCGATTCTCTGCTTTCGTTTAATTAGTTCTCCCACATTGCCTACAATCATGGATTTTATAGGTTACCTTAATTGCAATATTCAGTTATGATATAAGTACTTTGTGGCTTGTGATAGTAATCGTACATTTTAATCACATTTTCTGATTTCATCAATGACAAGGCCTTGATTTCTTGATTCAATAGGAACTCCTCAACCTCATTTGTTATTTTACTTCTATCAATAATCTGATAGTTCAAATAATAATTATACTTTTATCGCAACGGTCTCATTTGTATTCTCATTTTTGCCTTTGAACACTTGACTGCTGAAGCCTGATCCGATCTAATCATCGGCACTGTAACTATAATGTTCGACCTTCACTATTTTACTCGACTAAAAAGAATTTGCAGTAACTTAAGCGAATTTCATGTCTGATATAATTTTAATTAGTTTGTTATATCGATTAATATTAAACTTTATGGACTACACTACTAAAGATTCCTTCTTTGATGACTCTGAGGAAAAGTCCTTCTGGACATAAACTCAGTTCCCTGCCAAAGTCATCCAAACCGAATTGCAAGACAACATGTTGATTCACGAGGAGAGAGAACTCGTGAAACGTAAAGTTGGGATTATGTCCCATTATCTGCTACTTTTTAAGGAATAAGTATTATCGAAAAAGTAACACCATTTTAGGAAGTACGTAAGTGGATGAATTTGATCAATGTTACCATGGAGCTAATTAAAAACCCAGTAGCTGGCCAAGGAATTAGATTTCTAAAGAACAAACAGAGCTTTGAAATGTACGGAGATGTGGAACCCTGGTACAACTACCTCAAAAAGTATTGCATCCAGAGAGGCTTCTCCCAAAGATACTCATTACTTAAAAAAATAGGTCAGGGCAATTTCGCTGAAGTACTTCATTATTTCATTCTCAGGTCTTCAAGGCTGTGTGTAAGACTGATGGCCACGAGTATGCTATCAAATGCTTCAGGAAATCCGATCTGAAGGAAGAGGTCGATAAATTATCGATTATTAAAGAAACTTCTATCATGAGAAAACTATAAAATGAGTCAGTAATAAAAATGTACGAAGTCTTCGAAGGAGAAGAATACTTGTACTTAGTTCTTGAATATTTGAAGGGCGGAGAGCTACACAAGTACATGAAGAAGTCTCCCCCTTTTTCTGAAGAAAAATGTTCAAAATTAATTTACAAATTATTAAAAACTTGCCAATTTATTCATGAATAAGGAATATTACACCGAGATATCAAGCCTGAAAATATCATGCTCAGAAAAAAAGACGACATAGAAGACATCTGCATCTGTGATTTTGGATTGGCTGATCATTACAATCCAAGTGGCAAGTACCTATTTACAAGATGCGGCACTCCAGGATACGTCGCTCCTGAATTACTATAGGATAAAATCTATGATTACAAAGTAGACGTGTACAGCATAGGAATTTTGATGTTCATTCTTATTGCTGGCAAATCACCATTCGAAGGCAAAGATTATGATGATGTAGTAATGAGGAATTACTATGCAAAAGTTAAATTCGAAGATTGTAAATTAAGCGAGCATGGGATGAGTCTCCTGCTCGGACTCATGCACAAGAATCCAGTCAAAAGGTTGAGTGCTTCAGAGGCACTCAATCATTAATGGTTCGTATAGGAGAAGCTAGCTAAGACATGCCAATTTAAAATTCGAAGACATAGCAATGTAAAGAGATTACCACATCTTGACGGTTCTCCTATTCCAACTTCTAATTTCCTAAGTCCCAAAAATTCATTCAACAACCTCAGTCCCCATAGTTTGACTCGTACTGATGACAATACGCCAAATTCTCCCATCACTCCTGTTACACCTCTCTAACACAAAGGAAAAGCCATTCGTAAATCGATCTTCAATCTGTAACAACTATGAGTATATAAATCAATTAAATTCAATACAATTATTAACTCATTCCAGAGTGTCTAATGCGATGATTAGGATTATCTCAAAAAATAAATGAAAAACGATATTAATGTGAATTTCATAAATACTTAAAAACTCTTTTGTTAACGATTAAGCATAAATAATTTAAATAAATTTTTCTCAAAGTCGACTAAGCCACTAGTGAAAATGGTAAGCCTATTTCATCCCTATAAACATCATAGATTCAAGAGCCATAAATTAATCCTCAATTAGCCCCAGTCATTGCTAAGCAATTGCAAATGATCATCAAATAACCAATTGATGGTAATTTTATATCTTATTCCACCAATAGGAGTCCATGTAATTTTCAACGAATAAGATGTTTTTGACATTTAAGCAGATATTGATGGTCCAGGTAAATACATCCTCTTAATTTTAGTTGACACTCCATTCTAAGGAGGTGTTTTTAGATGCAAACTGATTTTGCCACCCCAATTCCCCTAGATGGCACCTAAAGGTAGACCAAACTAATTAAGTTAGGCTTATTTAATACCAAAATCTTCCATCCAAATGTGTCAGAAAAGGGAGAGATTTGTGTCAATACTTTAAAGAAAGATTGGAATCCTCTTTAATGGTCATTAAAAAACATCTTTGAAGTTATTAAGTGTTTGTTAATCGTCCCCTTTCCAGAAAGTTCCTTAAATGAAGAAGCTGGAAAACTATTTATGGAAAACTATGACGAATATTTTAAAAGAGCCAAATTGCTAACAAATATATATGCATTGAAGTAGGAGGCAAACATTTTAAAAGGAAACAATTAAGTACATTATCCATATAGATTTTCAGATCGTTATTGACGAAGCTGATAAAAAAAATAAAGTAACCTAAACCTAACAGAAAAAAGAAAATGATTAGAAGAAGTGGCTCAAAAGAATATGAATACTTATTATTACAAATGATATAAAAATTATTAAATTCTCTGAACCTTAATGTGTTCATTTTAATAAATAAAAAAATCAGATTTGGAGTCTTCTCAATCTATGGGGGATTTTCCTTCTGTTTCATTTAATTGCTTGCTTTCAAACAAAGCTTCATTTGAGTCAAAATTAGCCCTAGGACTAAATAAATTAATTACCATTATTTATTCTTTTTATAAAATTGGTTTTAATTATATTTTAGGAAGTAAAGGGCAAAAGCACCAACTAAAACTCCATAAAAGGCTCCCCATTAGGCAACTACATCAATGATAGTATCTTTAACAACCTATATAATTCTCACTTCTTGATCCAACCGTAAAAATATCTAATACCCTTTATAAATTGATAAACTCTCAGTGACTGCACGACCATCATCATTTTAAGTTACATTAGTAACATACAAATATTGTCTATTAACTAAGAGATAATCTTCATGCTTAGTTTGAAATTAAGTCAAGTAATCACCAGTCCTTGATACTAGTTATTTCTATAGAACAATCTCAGCTCTGTTGTAGAGTCCAGGCACTAAAAAGTATTAAAACACTTGATATTTTAAGCCCTCGGTCTTCTTCCCTACAAAATTGACATCTGGTGCTTGATTCTTGATGTAGAGGAACAATCTCCCTCCCGCAACAACCTATATGAATTAACTGTTAGTTTTACTTTTCTTATCTACTTTTCAGTTTCGCATTGCAACTTCTTCTCCGGATGCAGATAAGGACAGTAATCTATCTGTATTCTTGGATAAATGAATTCTTCTGATCTATATAATTGACCCGATAAATTAAGTTGAACCTAGGGACATAGAAAGGCTTGTTTGGAGGCATTCTAAGGCATCCAATCAATTTCGCTGCTGTAACAAATCTTTAGAGGTATTTAAGTTGAGGAATTGTCTTATTTAGCCGGATCCAAATATTTAATAACCTGTTGCATTGTGATGCTAAATATGCTCGTATTAGTGATGGATTCATTCAAGACATCCTTGCCATACAGAAATTGCATTGCTATTTCAGGTCCTGCAGTTAAGGAGACAGAATCATCCAATTATGAAAACTCATTCAATCTTGGCACATTGTCAATTACGAAAACTAAATTGATTGTTTATTTACACACAAAGCTCGATATCACGTAAGTAGCAAATACAAAGATAAATATGCAAGTTCCAATTATACTTGTTCTAGTGCTAACAGGATATGTTTTAGGAGTAGGAATAGCTGAAAATATATCTATTTTGTGTAGCCACAATCTCCACCTCGGCAGTGTGTTTTTTAATCTTTCTGGTTACAATCGCTGATAAGAAACTCTATTGTCAGAGAAATCCTCGATATCGGTCATTAAAAACAATATAAAATAAATGAAACTAATACCTTTTCAGAGTGAATTTTTATTATATAGAATATATATTTAGATTGCAAATAGAAAAATCAAATACTTATAATCTGATTATTTCAAATGAATATTTTTAATTTCTGATTTGTGGATAGAGCCAATTATTCAAGTTCCTAGACCTATTAAAATAATCTATTCAATCAATACCTCTTGATAAGTTTCTTCAATTATCTATAGATTGTCCTCATTTTACTCTTCATCTTCCTCGTCCTCGTCCGTAAACCCTATTGCCTTTTTAACTGGGAACCAATCAATTTCATTATTAATCATAAGTCGTTTGACATAGGTTTCATTTCCTGATAAATCATTTTTTGGTTTGAAAAATAGATAAACTTTATAATAGACGTAATTCCACATATGATGATTCTTCTTGATGTGTGAATAATGCCCATATTGTGTACTCTTATCCAGTTTTTCACTCTGAATTCCACAGATAAAGCAGTAGTCTTCTAGATTCGATTGTTTTTCAAGCATCTCATCCTTCAAGGCACCAAAAGTATCGATGATAATACCAGCAACCATATTGATGATCAAGAACACTAAAATAAATTTGAAAAGAACATCAAAAACAAATCTATAAATAAATCTATCCTATTGATAAGGAGTTAATGAATAATTGATAGGCAATTAAGAGCCAGTGGGATCTTATAGTTACGTATCAGCTAAATAATCTCCAATGGCTCCTCCATTTTTGAATGTTTAATCGAATGTCTACAAGAAACACCTCCACATAATTTAACAAGATTGGTCTTGGTATTAATCCCAAAAGAATAAATAGCCAATAACTGCAAAGTAATACTCGACCAACAAGAATACCAAGAATGATAACCCCATCTATATTTTACTGATCCAAATTGCTTTTATCACTATCTTCAATGTTGATATTCTCAGAAAGTCAGCCAATAGCAATACAAATGCAAATGGATGTATAATTAATCCGACAATAATGCATGCCATATATCCACAAAAGTATGCAAAATCAAAGTCAACTAAACAATTAATAAATGATTTAACTATCATTACAAAACTCATTATAGTTCTTTCTATACATCCCATAGGTTTGCCTAGGAATTCAACCCACATGTCAGTAATCAAAAGGGGTGCTTTCTTTATGGCAAAAAATGTAATGACCAATAATGAGAATCCCAAATTGAGATATCCCAAAATGACTATGAGAGTGTTAGTCCAAGTAAAATCAGATACGTAAAATAGACGAGGCTAATTTAATCTTGCATCCCACAACAAGTCAGTATCAGGTTGAGTGGAATCATAATATAGTTAGTTTTATACAACCCATTCTAGTGAAAATTTAATACCATTAAAACTCACTGGGAAGGGTGTTGGAAGAGCATCTGTATAAGCATAATTACCATAAGAACACAAAATCACTAAATTAATAATAACATTTGTAACAAATGCTAATTATTCCCATAATAATTTATGAGTCGCAATCAACTCCACAACTTTCAATCTCTTGAATAAATTTCTTAATAGTTCTTCATGTTCCATCACTTTCCTCATCTGATCAGCAGAAGTCATCAAATACACTAATTTGTCTCGAATGGATGAATGATCAACCTATTCACAGAAATCCTTTCTGGATTCTTTGGATAGCATTTTGCATTATGGCAATAAAGGGAAGTAAATCCTATGGAGTTAATCATCCCTTGCTATCTCTATAAAGACCGTATTTTCTGAGAAGAATTTGTATGCATCTTTTTAAGCTTTTTTCATCTCCTATGCCTTCTTCAATTCGTTTGATTCCTCATCCTCCGCTTACCCAAAAGGCAGATTGATTTTGATATTCAGATCTATATTTATTTTAAGATCTAATAGGCCTTCTAACCCCTAATTAGATTTTTTGTTGACAAATTAATACTCGTCGATTAATTTACGAATTTCTTCAAGATCTGCCTCTTACGACTTTTTATTCTTCAGCATTAAAATATTGATTATGATGAACAAGTTGAATCCGTACTCAATAATACATTAATTCTTTTTCTTCAATTCAAATTCGTCACTCTCATCCACGTATGTTTTAAAACACTCCACCACATATTCCTTCTTATAGATTGAAGTATATAGCAAATAGAACTTAGCCAATTCATTAACTAAAACAGTGATAGGAATACTTCGAATTAAAAGATTCATAATTTCATCATTTTCCTCTTAAAGCTCCATTAAACTAAGCAAAGTGTTTGTACACTTAAATTTCAATCTTTTTAATTTAACCTATTGAATATCTATCTTATTGAATTCAAACAATTTGGGATCTTCTTTTAACAAATCTACACTCCAAGAAACAAATTTACTAGTTACAATAACAACTTAATTCTCTTTGCAAGGACCCTAAACTACTTCAGTTAAAGTGTCTAAACACTATACTAGAGATTCATATGTTGCATCAGATATTCTATTTGAAATAACCAATTTAACCATTAATGACACTATATCATATGACACTTTCGAATTAGCTTGTTGTCTGAGGTAATTTTAAAGGTCATTATTATGACCCTCACATAACAACTGTATCACCTACAACGTTTTTGCAATGAATTTCCTCTTTCTAATTTTCTTCTGATCATCCTTCTTTCTTATCTTTCTCATTGAAGTCATATACTCTGTTAGAATTGTGTATATCTTTAAAAAGAAGGCTTCACTATCTGAATTCATTTTCATTAAATTTAAAATGCTCATCTAAATTACTTTGTTTCCCCCTTCCAACAAAGAGATGATCCACTTTATTAATTGATAAATATATAGATCCTCAGTCACCTTATCACTCCAATACAGTCTCAGAGCTATTTGTGTTGCTTTAAGTGAATCCAAATGAATTTACATCTTTATTAGTTATTTCTCATTCTTGATCTACAATAATGCTCTTATAGATTTTATAATGAAAATCACAGTGTGTCTGCTGGCATTCCTGACTTTCCAATGTTCTATGTAATTTAATAGCTTAACTATGATATCATCCCTTGATATGATGAGATCCTTAAGTCTAATATCCATGGTCTCCTTAGGCTTCTCAAAAATGTCTTATACATTTAAGATGACCTCTTTGAATTTCATTCTTTCACTCAATACTGCCTTCTTGATTGATGAACTTCTTAATATTTTTTTGACAAACGCATTCCATGATTCATAAGAAGATGACTTATCATATTATTCGGAATCCTATTCCTGAATTAACTGTGTTGGTAGATTATTATTAATTTAAATCTCTTAATGATTATTCTCAAATTGTGAGAATTAATCCTCAGATAGATGAAGACTAAAATTATTGGATAACTCCATGAATCCTGCCTTGTAAGCAGGTAATTTTTCAAATTTAGGCAAAGCAGTAACCAATTGCTAAGCAAATTAAAATATAAATTTCTCTTTTTGAATACTTTAGTCTTAGGCTAACATTTTTAGAGAAATCATTCCAATGTCTTTGAGAAAATTCAGAAAATACACATTAACCAATTTGACTATCTGTAATGCAATGAAAGATTGATCTTCCTTTGAAATCCTGGGCTATTGCATCTTTTATGATACAGTTTATAATAATTTAGTAAATTCAGCACAGCAACTTTAAAAATCATGTAAAGCCTTGTCAATTTTTTCAAAATAGATCTTCAATATCGAAAATATTTGTTCCTTCATCTCTAAAGACCCAGTTGGTGATTTCGTATCATACAATAGCATTTATAATAGTTATCTCACTGAAAGATTCTCTTAGAGTTGAACAATAAAGTTAACACTTATTTCACTTTCAATGCATCCACTAACCAACTAGATAAACTTCTTCCTAAACATCAGTTACCTTTCTTCTTGGCGCTTGTCTTCATAAAAGAGTGGCAAATCCCTTTTTGGAATGATTTGTTTGGTTGGATCAAAATAATTGTAATTTGATAGAATCTTAGACATTATGGCTACTTATATTTTCTATGAATCTGTCTCCTTCGATGCCTTTAAAAACACAAGCATCACTTCCAAGAATTCATATTAATGACCATGATCATTTATTAAATGCTGTACGTAATCAAAACATTAATCTTAGGGTTTTAAACACAGATCTACATTATTATTATATAAGGATTTGAGGAAAGCTACCTATCCAATATTAATTCTAACAGGCTTATCAAGTAATGTTACATAAATCTTGTAAATTGAATTTTGATTACTTTTATTCCCCTCCGCAAATTTACTTAAAATTTAATGACAAGTTGTAAAAACCTTAATAACATACTAAATGAATTATTTTCTATATGAATATTAATCTGAATTTTCGATAGCTGCAGATTCAGGCTTTTTCTATTCTAAACTTAAAGGAGGTAAATTTTTAGCCCTATTCATCCCTGGAGTGATGGCAAAGTTAGCCTGCTCCTTCTCCTCTTCTGCAGAAATGTGGAAGTACTTGATTTTTGAGTAGATGACTCTAATCCCTGATTCTAAAAACTTCAAAATTAACTTATGACCTCCCAAATGCTTAAATATTTTTTATTTAATATTAAATGATTCAGCATCGCACTTCTGCTCAAATTCCTTTAATATTTAATCAAACTTTTAAACAGTCTAATGCAAGGCTTCTTCTGCCTTCTCATCATACACATTAGATTCTATTATTTATAGCCAAGACTGACTGTAACTGATCTAATTCTTAATATCATTCACTAAGGTAGATAAGAGCTTATAGGAATTGTTGTCAGCCTAAACAAGCGAGACCTTTTTTAAATTTAACAACAACTTCTTCCTTTATGTGAATCTTTTGTAAAGCAAATTAACAACTGAGTTCTGCAAATCGGGATCCTAGGCAAAATAGAATGCCAAAATTAAGACTTCAACAAAGGGTCTTTCAAGGATGTGATCAAAGTCTTGTATTTCTTCTTCTTGATGTATGTTATCCTCCTCATCATCCTTATTGTATTTGCCAGGTTCAATACTAAAACTGGGCATGATTTCATTTGCTATTTCCTCATCCTCTATGTTTGAGTAATCACTGTGCTTTTTCTAAAACCAATTGATTGCTTTTCCAATTTGTATATCTTCTCGCCATTCTAACAGAGTTTGGAAAATGCCACAAATTTCCTTTTTAATCAAGATGAAGAATTTGCTTTGCTTTTAAAACTTACATGTTTTTGTAGTAAAGTATTTGATTAGTTTGAATAAACTTGTGTATCGCTTCAAAAATGGGAAGGACTACGAAAGGTCTTATTCTTTGTGAGAGGTTCCTTGTTCTTCTTCCTCTTCCTCAACTTTAGCCTTCTGAAAAATATTTAAATTTATCATGTATTTCAAATCTTCCTTCTCTTCCATATATGATCTTTTGATTTGATTATCCTTCAACTCCTAAAAGTAATTGTGATCGTATTCCAATAGTTTTGCCAAATAACAAACTAAATTCTTCAAATCATACTCCAAATTATTTAAATCTATATTATGATTATTCAATTTCAATGTAGTTTGAAGCAATTAATTCGCATGCTTAGAAAACAATCCAAATTTGACCATAAGACTTAAACATCTAATTACTTCATATGTTAACTCATTGTAAATGCTTGTAGTTTTATCTTCATTAACATTAGTGTCATCTAAATATTCTATTTTGGCCTTCAAATACTCTAATAACCATTTTCTGATCTAATAGGTTCCTTGAATATCATTTGTTAAATTAATTTCTATGAATCTATCCGTAATGTCGTCCTTCCCACTTTAATTAGAAGTATTCAACACTCTCACGAAACTTGGCTTGTTTATTATACTTCTTGGCTCTTGATCAATATACAGATTTAATATTAGCTAACATAAAATGGCCTTAATTTCATCGTCGATTTGAATTCCCAAATAATGCAACAAGGCCTTTCTGGGTAGTAACTCCTAAAGATTCTTAACACATGCATAATTTCTATTTTAACATAGCTTCCCATAAAGTCTTAGTTGTTCTAAAAAGTATTGTTGAATTCTATAATCAATAAATTTGTTTTCAAACATCTGTCTTTGTTATTCTTGAGGTTTTTAGAAGAATTCCTGGATTTGCAGTTATTTGCTTTCATATTCCCTCTCAACAAAAACTCTGTATTCCACAAGAAGATTGTTGTCTAAGTAATCTATTCTCATAAGATGACCAAAGAGGAAATTCTTATTTTCAACAATAGCCTAAAAGATCTTCTCTTAGTTGATGTATATTGATTAATGTTCTTGAGATGTGAATGCCGAAAGCAATTGCAAGATTTCCACCTTGTAATAAGGTTCAAATTGCTTCAGTCTATGAGCCATGGCTTAAAAGATGTCTTGATATTAGTTCTGTGCAACCTCGTTGATCTTTTGGCGATGCAAATCTTCTAGGATTTCTTTGTTGTCCCTGAAACATTATTTCAATGATTGAGTCACAAATGAACCAAATCCTATATGATTACTCAAATTGGTTAGGAACTTAAGAATGAATTGCTAGTTATCCTAGTTCCTGGTTGCAGCAATACTTAACAAGTGATATCCCAATTAACATATTTCGTATCTTTTCTTGATGATTTCTGTTTCCTATTTGATGGATGTGTTTTCTATTGAAATATTACATGATAATACATATCTTAGAATGACCCTTCCTTCTTTTAAGAGTCCATTTGGATCCATCATCTGGATTGATCTGGTAGAGTTCAAATTCATCTAGTGTCGGAAATATCTCAATCAGTAACCAACAAAGCAAGCCCAAGGAGTACTACTCTTTAAATCTATCCTATCTTCCTCTACACACTTGCAATGGTTCCTGCTCTAAACTCATATTGGCAACCTGACTGTTGGTTAAGAATTCACTCAGAAATTGAATCATCTCCTTGACTCTTTCAAACAGAAAATCAAATTATTGTCTCTCTATATCAGATTTCGGATATTCTGCGAATTTAATCAACAACTTCTAACTTGCAGTAACACAATAGGTTTCCCAGACTTACTGTAAAGATGCTTCTCTAAATCTATAGGTATTAATGTCCTTAACGTAATCTAATAGATTGGGTTGTTAAATGCCTTCATTTTAATTGAGTGACACCCACAATCCACTTTTTGCATGTTGAATCATGAAAAAGGCGTCCTTCGATATCTTCTAAATTGACTTAGTTTTTCCCTTGTATTGAATTAGGTTGTCAATGGGCACGAATCGAAATTCAGTGCATGAAAAATCAGCATTCTTTGAACTAGTATTAGCTCTATTATAGGGCATTAATCTGGGATTGGAGGGAGTCCCTTAAACTGACAAATAGCATCCAGTAATGATGTTCTTTAATCTGTAAGTCTGATCCCATTTCAACTCTCCTCCAAGTTTAACATTATTAGATTCTATTTTCCATAGGCCAAAAGGACTCAATTCATCCGACTACCCAATTTTAGGCGTTTTAATTAGAGTCAATAGAATCTACAATCCGTCCAATAACAATTCTCTGGGCTAAGTAAGAAATTGTTCCTTCAAATCCTTCTTGTCATTTTGTTACCACTCATACAATATGCCTTTTTTCTCCTTGGCTAAGTTGGGATTTCTGGAGGTCATATACATCTGATAATAGGGATCTTCAGGTCTTTAGCAGGTGAAGAACAAAGGCATTTCAGAACTCAAGATCCAAACGCATGAGCCAACTCTCATGTAGGTGGATTCTTTGAATGGTTGTTCGTAGATGTTGACTTTCCAATTCTCTTTTGAATCTATCAAACCAATAATGGTGTCATTTTAAATTATGCTCAAGTAAGGGGACTTGCCGCTGTACTTTTTTGCGCATGCTATATATACAATCTCATCCTCGTATACGAAATTGTCAGACCTACCCCTTTGCAATTTCAAGGAGGGATCAAAGTTGAAGAAACAACACTCATCAGGATTCTCGGTTAATTGAAGACTATTAAAATTACTTCATATGTTACAATAGATTGTTATTGTCATCCTGATACAAAGTGAGGAATTTGAGGGAGTTGATGTGCAACAACATGAAGTTACTACTTGCAAAGCATATGGAAGCATTATAACTTTTCTGAATAACACCCAAATTGAATTAATATTCCGATTCTAATTTATTCCACATCTCCTGTATTGCTTCTCTTCTTTTTTCCAGCTCTAAAATATTTAACTATAATTACTATTCTCATTATTATCAATCAATTTCTTTCTCCATTCCTAAATCACATTGGCCTGATGTTCGAATGATTGAATGCTTGAAAACGGAAGTACCATGAATAAGCTGAAAGAAAAATCATAATAATCCTACTTAAGTAATCATAAGTTACCACTTAGCAAATGGATTCAAAGCTCTTAAGTTTCACACTCTTATCCATGAATCCATCGCTGAACATGAAACTATTCAGATTACTCTCTGTCGATAAATAGATCACAGATCCATAAGTAACAGGTTATAACAACTGTTCTTCCATAAATAATATAATTATTATATAATATTTTATCAATTTCCCTTATCCTGAATTCCAATGCAAACCCATATTTCCACTTTTCACCCGCGTTACATATTTCTTAGAATATATATACACATACACATCAATTTAAGTGGAAGTAATTAATTTACGCAATTTAAATTCAAATAATCAGCTTCTTCTAATAAAAATATCGGTTTGATTCCCAATAAGTGAATTTTCAATAATTATGCTTCTATATTTTTATTTGTTATTATTAATGATATAATCTAATAATTAACCTAATCAGGCTCTTGCTTCACAGAACATTCCAGTTAAAGTCAAGAGAGCAGCAGCCAAATTATAAAGGTGGTTCAAAGGCAAACAAGATGTCAAGGCATATCAAAAACTTAAAAAGAATCACAGATATAGAAAGAATGTGATTGCTGAAATTTATAACACGGAAAAACAATATTGCAATGATATCAAGATATTGAGTGAGAAAGTGTTGCCATTGGCCTAGTAATACATCAATTAAGAGAATATCAAAACGATATTTATGAATTGCAACCAAATAGCGTAATGGAATTAGGAATTCCTAAGAGCTTTAGAATTTGGCTATCAAGGATATATTGGTAATGCTAAGGAAATGTATAAACCATATTGGGTAATTAATCTCATTATTCTAAGGTTGTTTTCGAAGGAAACACAAAACAGTTGATGAATGCTAGTTGTAGAGGATTCAGATGCTATTTCGATTATTGCAGTTAATTTAGCAAATCTAATCAACTTGTTGATAAGTTAAAGCAAAGTGACCAAAAGTTCAAATAGTTCTTAACTCTCATAAGTCCTGAATTAAGAGGGATGGATTTGTCTAGTTTCTTAGTCAAACCAGTCCAAAGATTGCCTAAATACATTTTGTTATTCAAAGACTTGGAAAAACACACTGAGGACGACCACCCTGATATGAAGAACATTAAATTCTTACACAAATACTTTAGAGACATTAATGAAGAGAACAATAAATCTATTGATATTTATATTGGAAGACTGTAAATTAGTGAGTTGTGTGATCAATTTAAATTAAATAAAATGGATTTACTCTCGGATCCATTGAGAATCTATAAATTTGAAGAGAAATTAAACATTATCTAAGCAAATAAAGAGTTAATTGTTTAAGTACATGCTTTAAGCGATCTCTTAATTGTGATTCATGAGAATAAATTATTTAATTAAGTCAAACTCGATTCACTGTCTTTTGTGAAAGATCAGCCAGACACTAAATACTTTAGCAATTTGTTTTAAATTGTAGGTGTTGGAGAAGTCTTATAATGTTTTGCAGAGTCCTTGTCAATTAAGAAAAAAGCAATCGAGCAATTTGAAAAGCTGATTCAATTGAATAGAGAACAGGAATGTTAAAAGGAATTAAAGTCAGGAAAATTGACATTTATGAGATATCCAGTCCAAGTTGTAATTGTGGGAACTGAGGAAAGAAATTTCCAGTCCTTTTAGAAGCATACTTAATACATAACCGAGATTTCCATTAATAAAGTTTATTAAAATGTAAAAATGTTAATTAATCCCAGATATTTGTTAGATATAGTGAAGTTGAAGCTATGTGTTAGAAATATACAAAAAAGTATCCAATGATTGAATTTCCAAAATTCCCCAATTAGAGTTGGCTAACTTATTAAAAGACAAAATCAATTGAAGAACGCAAATTTGTAATCGAAGGATTCTTATAAACATTACTACAATCTAAAGAAACCTAAGGGGACAAATAGATACTAAATGAATTAAGTATGTCTAACATCAATTTTAGAGTTACCATTTAATTTTTTCGAGTTACCTTAAATAGTAATTGAACAATAGAAATCAATATTTAGTAAATATAACACTACTTTGGATGGACTAGATGAGTTGAAAATCTAAGGAGTCTTGATAGATAGATTGAAGATGAGTGCTGGTGAGATTTTAAAGGCAGTTTGCATAGAAAAAGAAAGCAGAAAGAAAAGCATTGCTCAAGTTTAACCAAACAGAGTAGTAATTTGGCAGTAAAAATACTCTACAGAACCAAATATGAAACGAGTCATTATTACTATGCCTGATGGAACTATTACTGAGATTGGAGTTGACGATAAGGCCAGGGTAAGTGAGGTACTTCCATTTGTGGCTGGATATAATCAATTGATATACTATAAAGATTTTCGATTGTATTTGGTCGATTAGTTGAAAAAGTAAAGAGTTCTTGATGATGATGAAATAATTAGTAAGGCTTACGATGACGAATACTAAAATAACCATAGATGGCTCAATAAATTAGAATAATTAATAACTGCTTCTAACACAGAGTACTAATTTATTTATAGAGGAGTGTTGTCATTAAGATGAGGAAATATTTGTATATGCCACAAGAACTAGAAGAATTTGATTACAAAGAAGACGCTACTCGATTAATATATCTTGGGTTCTCTATCTTAGAAGATGTTTATGACGGTAAGTACTACTTAGGATTCAAAGACTACTGTCTATTTGCTGCACTGTATTATCATATCAAGGTAATCTACATTCTCTTATGTTTCAGTATCAAGACAAAATTGAACTTTCTCTCGCTAATTTGCAACTAGACAAAATCACCAAAGTTATACCTCATGATGTGTATTCAGGGAAATCTGATTCTGAATGGAAGGAATTCACGATGGAATGCATCGTTTCATTGAATGAATAATTAGATAAAATTAGTGTAAAAATTACTTGTTTCATCATATTAGTAATTAAATAGAGTGGAGAGACTGTAAAAAAAGGATAATTCATAATTTAAATTTACTGACAAAAGATGTTTGGCAGCGATGATCATTATCAATGCTTCATAAACCTTTACTTAGGGTAGCATGGCCATTTTTTAAGTGTAAACCTATGAACAAACTTAAACCTATTTTAAACAAACAGGAATGGAAGTGCATGCTACAATGTATTTGGGATTTTCAGCCAATAAAATTTATTTTTTAAACCCGCAGAAGAAAATAAAATTCAGAGAATTGGATTACAGTAAATTGAATTGGGTTATATCTTATCCTAGTTAAGTTATATTTAATTTCGAAAATTTTAAAGAGCCTCTTCGCTTTGATACATTCTAAAGTTACGAAGTATGAAATCATAATTACTAAAAGATAAAATTGCTAGTGGAATAATACAAGGACATTCATAAGTTTAATAAGGAATATAATTTAGAGAATCTCTTTCATAATGATAAATCATAATTTATTAAAAATTGACTCACAAAATTTGTAAATGAGTTATTAATTAATCATTTATAATAATTTTTATAAAGAAACTTTGGGGAAAATTTATTAGGAATTGTCTATTAAACAGTTTTTCCTAATTCAGGTGTTTTCGATTGCATTTTCTTAACTCTATCCTTCTTGATCTAGGAAAATTCAGATATCAATTTATTAAGCATGGCTTGATTTGTTTCTTACTTCATGGATGCCCTATTGGGAGGCATTTGCTTTTTGATAAATTTAATAGCCAAAATATTAGGACTAGCTAATTTCTCAGTAGGCTCCGTTTTCCTCTACTTTGAATTTGAATTCTCCATCCATTCCTCAATTGATTATTCAGTTATTTTAAAATTTTAAGTTACTTTCTTATCAGAATTCTCAAAACACTTCACATCCTTACTAGTAGGTTAACTTAAGTGTCGTTTCTCCTTCTCTACGCTTTTGCAGGTTTTTTATTCTGAACTAGACCTGGTACTTTCGTGATTTCTCATATTGTATGGCTAATCCTTTTCGTTCAAAAAGCTTAGGTCTTTTAAGAATTGATCAAAACCAACCAATTTACCTTCATAATGAAGATAAGTCATCTTGTTTTCTTATATTTCTTTAAGGCACTATTAAAGTTTAAAGAGTTTGCTGCTGTATCCCCCCATGATTTGATTAAATGGAAGAGGACTCATCTACACTATTTTTTCATAATGATTCTTGATATCATTGATGTATGTTGCTATTTGATGATCTATTTATTTAGCTTATACTTTTAACTAATTTGTTTATTGTATTCCTGACCAGAGTTATTGTGACAAAGCAAACAGCAACTCAGATTTACACTAAAATTAAATAAAATTGATTACAAGATGCAGTTATTTTTCAATGTTTCCGAATGTTTTAACTACCTATGTATATTGGTCATTATAAAATTTTTTTAAATTTGCCTCAGTGCACAGGAAATTTGAATGGATGTTGTCGATTTCGCTTTTGGTCTGGAGTAATTAATCTATGAATGAGTCAGTTTATTTCTTCTTAGCATTATCTACAAGATATTAGAACCATTACTATACCCTCCTCAATTAATTAAATTTTATGTCCTTATTATGCAAAAACAACAGCGCATTTAGTGCAAAGCTTCTCGTTTGGTCCTTCAGCATTTAGTAAGACGTATTTAGCCTTTATTTAATTAAAGTTTTTTTACTTTTTTTTCAGGATGCTGTAAACAAAATGGTTGATTGCAATTATAATGAAACTCTGAACTCTATTTAAACTTTTCACTAAAAATGTTAGAGCTCTAATGAACTGGAGTGTCCATACCATTCCAAATCTGTAAAGACGAGAGATGTATTTGATCTTCTTTTCTCATTTGAATTTTAATTAATGATTGTTATGATTAATTATTATTCATAAACTAATATACGTTATAATCACTTCTTTAGATACTATGAATTATTTCAGTAAAAAATTAAGTTAAATTGAAGAAAAAGAAGAAATGTTTCAAAGCTTAGTTGGTTCTTTTAATTCATATGAATTTATATAATTTTATTTGATTATAGAACAATAGAATATATCTAGATACTACAAATTTAAACTCTAAGAGAATATAAACTAAACTTCAGAAGCTATAGATTTAAAAATCCAAGTGTGAAAGATCTAAAAAAATGAAAAATGAGTAAAATAAAAAATAGAATTTGAAAAGTCACTTTTGATTATTACAATACAATAATATACATCTAAAGATTTGATAATAGTAATGGTTTGATAAATTTATGAATGATTAGCTGCGATATTTAACCAAAGTTCATTAAAAATCAGAAAAGAATATGATTTTTGTTATGTACTCTAACTTAATCCTTCCACTATGCTAGATAACATTTATTTTATTGATAAATAGATTGAGAAAGATTAATATTTATTAATTTAATATTACGAGTCATTTAAATATGATATTTTAATCCATTATGGTTTAAGCATCTTACAAATATTGATTTTGCTGATCATATAATTATATATTTAGAAATAACTCAATTATTATCTTAAGATCGCATTCTAAAATAAATGTCAAAAGAAATGAAATTTTAAGCAAATAGTAATTATTATATTAGCCTATAAAATTTATGTATTGATTGATTTAATGCACTATTTCCAATATTAGTAAATTCAAATAATATTTTTCATTTTAAATACTTAGATATTATAAAATGAAATAGTTTAACAGATGTAAAAATAAGTTAAAATACAAACATATTTCATATAATATAGAATCTAGAATCCTTTGGAAGATTCTATCTATATTTCATTTTGACTGTCTCTTGAGATTATTTATTTAATGCTAATAAGGAATACAATGCATTGTTCATGCATTTCTTTGATGTTAATTCTTTTTTGGTTTTTTCTATTTAATTAGACCTAACCTAAGTTCTTAGTCTCTGGCCTAAATCTTACTTTATCTGGGTTAAATTGAAACCATCTTAAATATCAGTTAGATTGGTGCTCTTTAAAAGATCAGAAATAAATTTCTTTCTTTAGTCGTTGATTAAGTATATTTGATATGGGTATTTGACTCCATTTTAAATCACTTGTTCTTTGTCGATCAATAGTTATTAATTAGGTGTTTTCTATGAAATAATGCCAGGATCTGTAATTAATCGTTAACAACTTACAATTGAATTTTCAAAATCATTAATCTAAGTTTTTAGTCTTCCTCTTCCTTTTTATCTAGCCATATTTTAATTAGCGTATTTTCTTAGGGAGGATACCTTATCGCTGAGTTCGTCAGCAATGGATTGATTTTGTTATTTTGTAAATTTAGTTGAAGGAAGTACTAAATCACCAAAAATGTGTAATCTTTTATTTGTTATTTGTAATTCTTTTTCATCATAGTTAATTGATTTTTAGAGAGTTTACTGTTATTGGAGTAATTAGGGTATAAATTGGGGAGGATTTCTTTAGGATTAAGATTTATTCAAAGATTGACTTCGGATGTGAGGCTGCAATTACTTTTAATTGGGATTCTTGGGGAATTACATAATTTCTTATATTAAATATATATAAATAATGTTATTTCATTTAAAGCAACAACAGGATCGTTAAGAATTTTTAATTTGTTATTGAGTAATCATGAAACTATTGAGATGATTATAACACTTTTGAGACCAATATTTTACATCCAATTAATGTATTTTGTTGGAGTGCTCTGGGTTGAATTCAAGAGCCTCCAACACTGTTTCTAAAAATCGAAGAGACGAAGAGAATTGTATTTCCAAATGAAGCCCCTCTAATGTCTAATAATAGTGAATGAGGATGGTCTTACCTTAATGTCTTTAAATAGTATGTCAGCCATTGTGCTTGGAGTAATATTATAAAGTTATTGAAAGTCGGGTTGATCAAAGTTAATGAGAAGCAGAGTATTTTAGATAACAATGAGGCAAGAGATCATATCGTCGAACATATTGAGAAAATTGTCTAAAAGAACTTATTTTTACTATTTTGATTTTAAGCCTTAAGTTATTAATTCAAAAAACCTGCCATGTTTTCCATGAATCTCATTTCATTGAATTGATTGTAGTATTCGAGGTATTATAATTTATTTTTTTCGATGATTTAGTAGTAGGTTTGACTGGCCTCGCTAGGAACAACGGAAAGGGGAGGTTTAGAGATCGTTGATTGATACATCCTTAGTACAGTAGCATTATCTTATTCGAATTGAGGGACTGAGTTATAGTTTTAAGTATTTGAAGGAAAAATTTTCTTCATTTTCATATAAAATTATTAATATTATTAAAAGGGTCAACCAATTAGCTTTAATAAATTATTATGATCGAATCATACTATGAGCCAGTAAATCAATTTTAATAATTTTATTTATTAACAAGAAATAATACTTGATCACAAACCGAAAAGTTTCATTGATATCATGTATTATTCTATATTGATTATTTGAATAAGATTATTCACTTTTATTATTTTTATTAAAATTTTAATTTCAAAGGTTCTCCTGATGATGGTGATGGAGAACTTTCTTTCAGAGTATTTATAACAGAGGATGATTGAGCAAGTTGTCTAATTTTAAATATAGATGTTTTACAATTATTGAATTCTCTATTCTCTTTTGATAAACTCTTCTATCTTTTTATTATCAATTTGGATGTCATCTCCAGCAATTACTCCAAATTAAAATATTTCCTAATCTTTTAATCTCTCCTTATACTTTTATTTAGTTAGATCTCCTCTGCAAACAGGGCATATCTAAATGACAATGCATCTTTACCTACAATTTCTTTCTCCATTCGTCTAAACAAGATTAATGAAAGAGATGTAAACAATAAGTCAGTTTTACTAAATCCTGATTATCAAATTCAACTAAACAAATCTAACATTCTGTAATCACATTCAACCCTGGATACTCTTATATCACTTATTCATATAATTCAACAGGGATAAAATCTCCAGAGAATTGTCTTTCATGAAATTTCCCTTCTTTTTGTGATTTTTCAGTGCTGTTTCTTCGGTCTGATGAATATTATTCAAATTGCTTATTGTTCCTTTTTCTGCAAATAAGTGCGCAACCTATCAAAACAAAAGCCAATATCAAGGATGCAAACGCACCAGCAAGAATGTAATATATGATTCTATCATCCGAGTGATCACTGTTTGCTGCGTCGACACTCATTGTTATTAAAACATTCGTTGCTTATTTATTATAAAACAATAATAAAAGCAGTGGAGTCATTTATTAGCCTAGTTATTAATTAATTTCATCGAATAGACTTAAACATTCCTTCACCTTTTCACTTGAGTATGTGATCTTTCCATTGTCCATCTTATTCAAATCATAAAATTGACTATCATGAAATGGAAGGTAATCTTTCTCAAATTGGCATGCCAAAAAACAATCGATTTTTTAATTAGCATTTATGTTAATGTCCAATGAATTCGTATTATTCAAGTTCAGTGGTATTGAAATTAAAACCTCTTTTTGGCTTTCGAGAGATACCTAATGATCATCACATATATTACGACTTATTATTCATTTCCCTTATAGGGCAGTGATTAAATTTAACAATTTGTTCCAAATAAATTCCCATTGCATACACAAAACGAAGGTTGACTATATGAGCATAGCCCAACATTGTTACAACTTCTATTAATAATTAACCTCATACTTAGAAAAGCACGTTAACGGTGCTTAATCGGCAATTGTTATTTGATATTCTGCGTCTTCACTTGAAAAAATGTAAATTGAGAATTTTCTTTCCTTCATACCAAAAATACTAAATTTGTTGTATATCCACTCAGACTGCTCTTCATTATAATCATATAATATGATCTATTGCTAACTCTATTAATTTAATATAGCATTGTTATCAAAAATACACTATTTCCTAAGTATTGAAAACAATATACTTATTTGATTCTATTTAAGTTTTAACTTGAGATATCGAGCTTATGATACTTTTTATAATGTTTAAATTCGTTATCGAGCAATATGAAAGTATAGGATACGAAGTAATAGGGTTATAAGTCAAACTTATAACTATAGTTGATTGACCAATACTAAATTCGTCATAATTGTTCAAATCAATTTCAATTACATTTATACCTCTAGTGGTATGAGTTGATTTCATCATCAAAGCATAACCAAACCCAATTAAAATAGTTAAAAGAATCATCTTGAATTTTTTTAGGATAATAATTTGGTTACTAATTACAATAATATTTAGTTGTAAACCAAAATCAACGAATCTTTTCATTCTTGAACACTTTAATAATTAAGATATTGAATACCTAAAATTACATATATATTTTTCTGAAGGTCAAAGATGATCTTAATCATAGAGAAATAAGAATCCATAGAGAAGAAAGAAACAACCTAAATAATTAGTAGACTTGATATTGACTATTCTTAATAATGAAATGAAAATATAATATCAAAGTAAGATGCAAGATAAACATCATTTTCTTAGATAGATACTTCCTCATTATAATATTACATTAATTAGCCACACTTAAATATACTATCAATTAAATGTTAAAGATTTTATTCACTTTACTTGAAGTCCTTTGTGATTGAACACATAATCATTATAGCCTATTTTTGATTTATGATCTTAATTTTGAAGGTGTATAAAATATTTTTATGGCCTTCTTAAAAGCTTAGAGCAAAATGGCTGCACTATTTCTAAATGGTTTTAAGATTTACGTCTATTGCAGTTCCTTGAGATATAGATTAACCATTTTATATTTGAAATGCTTTTTTTACTTAAATATTAACTCGAATAACAAACAAAAATCAAGTATATTGTAAAATTAATAATCATCTATTAAATAGTTATTGATTTTTGATTATAAAATCCTTAAAAGTATACATTTACATATTTATTAAATAAATTTAGAGAATAAACTTTCAATTTATGAATTAAATTCTATAATATCCCTTAATTCTTTGCCAATTATTAATAAAACAATCTTATTTTTTTATCTTAAATAGCAAAGTAGAGTATTTTCCCTTAGATATTTGAAAAGTGATTGTTTACTTATAAATCATCTATAGATCAGAATTATTATAAATCTTTAGACTATATTACATTGTTAGTAGATAATGACCAATATACATTTATTTTGATCACTTCGTTTCCTTTATTTCAGTTCAATCTTCTTTTATTTTGATACAATGACCATTTAAAATCGTATGTAATGTGAAGATTTTATATGTCCTTCAATAATTGTTATTCAGATAACTTTCTGGTTTATTTTGATTCATTTGCATTGAGGGTGGTTTGAGCGAGGTCTTGAATAGAAATGAGATTGAATATCGAAGTTGGTTTCAAATTTTGAATTTATCTGATTGTTGTTGACGATTAATAATTTTATATTATGTTTATTCCGGATTAACGAAATTTGGGAGGAAGACAAATTATTTGTAATATGGTTTGGAATCATCGACTCTCCCTTAATATAATGGATGATAAATCTGCAGCATCTCCAATCTAAACAAAAATGCATACTCCTCGTTAAGGATGCTACACAGATAGACAAGGATAAAACAAGCCATCTTTCTTTTTTCGGAGAATACCTACTAGCAATTACCAAAAATACAAAGAACTACTTTACAAAAAGCCATTATCATTTCCTAAGAATTAGCAATAAAAAAAATATGACACGGATATTAAAATTATAGATTGGAATGTTGTTGAAAAGGAAATTAACAAATTCGGGAAAGAATTTTATAAGGTCAATCTACATTAGTTCATTTAATCGTTTGCAAAAAAAATGAACATAAAAAAAGAATATGATTTTGCTACTCTTATTGAAATGATATTGAATTCCTATCCAAACATTAAATAAGAAGATTTAATCGAAATAGCCTCTGATATTATTGTTGATGAACTTTGATAGTTAAGTTTTGTCTATTATTCAAATAAATTAAACTTAAGTGATTTAGTATTAAGAAATTTAATATCAAGTAAAGACTAATATACATATATTTTACTTTACTTTATTTTAAAAAACCTTTAGATTTTTGAAATTTATCCTCAAAAAGGTCTTACGCCATTTTTTAATTGTATATTCGATCCAAAGCATCTTTGTCTAATTGTGAACTTCAATATTATTTTCAATTTAATTTATAAATATTCATCAAACACACTCATATTAATTCTTCATATTAATAAGGTTGTAAAACATGAATAAATTAATTAACAAAATAATTTTATATCATTTATTTATACTAAAAAGGTTTCACATAACTCTTCAAATTAATGTTTGATCATCAGAAGATTTTTCCATATAATATTCAGCTATAGTGGATTCTATATTCTCCCCATTTTCATCTTCCTAATCAATCGGATGTCTAACATTAGTTAATTCTTAGGTTTATTCTATTTCCTTATTATAATTTGTATGTAGTAGTATAGCAATATAGGAGGTCATCATAAGCATATTGATAGGATTAAACAGATGATGATCATAGTTTTCATAATATAAATAAAAAGAACTTTTCTAAAACGAATAGACCATAAAAAATAGAATATCTATTATGAATAAATCCAACCCTGAATATAGAGATAAATATACGTATTAAATGTGATTGCAAACTAATCATAATCTCATAAGCAAAAATACTAGCATACAAAAGATAGCATATCCAGCATATTTTCAAAAGGTTATTAATGTTATCTACCTGATTCTCCAAATCTTTAATTACAAAGCTCTGATTTTCAAATGAAATCAACCATCTATCAATACTGATTGGTATAATTACAAATATAGAAACAAGAGTATTCCTAAGTTTGTTAGTTTTATTGTTTTGTCCTTATAAATAGGACAGAATCTATAAGAAATACCTTAAAAACAAAAACTCTCCTATTGCATAACATGTCTATCCGATAAGCCATTCAATTGCTTCAAATTCAGGGAAATAGCACAAAGGTCTTAAAGGTTAAGCGATTAAAATTATGATTAATAGCATATGGGGTTTGTTTTGTTTTATATAGTTGCCTAAAGGGATCATAGAAGCACTCTCTAGTTTATTCATTTAATTCGCTAGAAACATAATAACAAGACAAAGAAAAGCTACAAAAGCATCTTCTAAGTACTTTAGATTATTTTTAAAATATGCTGTAATTTCTAAATTTAAACCTTTTGTGAAAATTGCATAAGTGCAAACAGCAGATAATTAAGTAGTCATAATATAGTATTCATTATTGTTGATATTGCCTAACTTCAATGTAAAATCGAGCATATTTAAATTATACGAACTCTATACTTCTTATTTAGTTGTTTCTGAATCGATAAATGGGAATGTAGAGTTATTTTGATCTTCTAAAAATACATTCGAAAAGGTTAATTATTTTGAGGTTTGAAATTGCTAATAGTAAATCTTGATGTTTTATTTTATGTCGATGGGTAATGAATATAAAAAATAAAATGTTGCCAATGTTTCATTAGAATTCCAAATAAAAACACAATATTCTATATTTTCATTATCCCCTGATTAGCCATATTGACAGTTTCTTTTAAGTATTTCTGATTCAATAAATTTGATGTTCAATTGTTTATCAATGAAATAGAATACTCCAATTAGTACCCCAAAAATAAATAAATTTTTCATAATTAAATGAAAAAATTAGCAACATTAATAATTACAAAATTAGGGTTTTAAATATAATCATTTTCATTTTCTAAGTGAGTTTTCAACTCTATTGCAAGTTTGATCAATTAAATTAATTAAACTTTCTTCGGTTGCTTCTCTCTCATTTTTCTCATTTTACAATTCATGATTCAAATAATTATTCATCTCATCCAACATCCTAAACATTTAACCTTGAGCTTATTCTCTTTATTTCTTTTCACTCGTTAAAATTTCCTATAATTTAAGAATAGAATCTCCAAGTCTTCTGATAGTATTTTGATTTTACTCCTCCCTAACATTATAAAAACAAGATATACCTTTATCTTCTTTCTTCTTCAACTTCTTCTTATAATTACAATACTCTATCTCCAATTTCTTAAGAATTTTTCTCCTCAGTTTCTTCTCTATATTTTTGCTATCTTGCTAAATCCAATTTTAAGCTGTAGACTTTATCGTCAGTATTTTTAGTAATCTTAACTTCGAAATCCTTTCTGTTGATTTTTTCATTTTGCAATTCCTTTCCTAAGAACCCTTCTAATAACCTCAAATCTTTGGATCTTAGCTTCTCATCTCCAGCCTATCATCTCTTTCAAAAGATTACTTCTCTGATTATTTTTTCATTTTAAGCTCCTTCGTCAATTTTTGATAGTTATTCTCTTAATAATTGAAATTTTGAATCATCTGCTTAACTTTATTTAGTAGCTTTGTCTTCCAATATTTTTACTCTATTTTCAAATGTCTCTTTTTTAAACTGAATTAAAATTTTATTTTACAGCCTAATCTTCATCAACCTAGTGCTAAAGATTTGACAATTTTTCAGATAGTTATGAAATCTTGGCTCTACTTGGTGAAAGTGCTCTGTCAGCACCACCAACGGTAACATTTAATCTTGATGGAGAGTATAAAATCTTTGATGAAGACATAATTTTATTAATAAAATTATTTATCATATATCATTAAATAGTGTTTTGAATTAAAATTTCTTTATATCAGCTTAAGAACAAGTTCTTGTGGTACAAGCCTTCTATGAAGAGGATTTGCTGTTTGGTATTAAAAATAATGGCAAAGGTTTTGGTGAAATCTGAAGTATTGGAAGGGATTTCTTCTTATTTGGTCTACAACCATTAAGTAAATAATTATTGTAAATGCGAGTAGTTAATTTTAAAGTGGTTTTTTTATTTTAAGCTTTATTCATAAGTCCAATATTGCTCTCACTGCCTTATTTACTGACTGTTAATTAGGTGAGTAATCTCAAGTTTGTAAACAGCAATTAAGCATTATTTTATGCTTGAAATCTCTCAATTGATGTTCCTCTTGATCTTATTGCTTTATCACTCAAAACATTTTTGAAAGTATATGTTTAAACATTTGCAGATTACATTATAATATTTAAATTTAATGATAAATACAGAAACAAACCAAAAAAATAATTAACAGATAAAATATAGTTTAACTTGAAATGTAAGATTTAGTTAAATTAATTAATTATTCACTCATTAAATTATATTTAATAGTATCAAATTCAAGATTTTTCATTCTAGCCTCAAGATTTCCAATTCATATGGTTTAAGGTTTTTGATATTAGGCAATTCCCTTCCATTTAGACGTATCTAACCTGATAGAACGTCCTTAAAGAATGAATGATTTAAATATTATTGAGCCTTTCCTCTATAATTTGGATTGTATTTAATAAACTGCTTTATGAATTCTATTGTCTCGCTGGATTCCCATTCCTTCTTTTTTATTTGAGGCATTTTAATATCCTCAAATTAACTCTTCATTGATTATAATTCATGTTTCTTTGGTACTCCTAGAATCTTGATTACCTCTGCAATAACTTCTTCAGGTGTGTTTCCTTCAAAAGCATCATTCAAGGTCCACATTTCATAAATTACACAGCCATAAGCCCATAAATCAATTGAGTTGTTGTACTTGGTGGTTCCAAGTAACAATTCTGGAGCTCTGTATTTTACATTATTAACGTTGTTAATTGAATCTTCTCCTTCAATTAAAAACTTCGCTTGTGAAAAGTCTGCCAATCTTAATTCAAAGGTATTATTATTAATGAGGATATTGTCTGGCTATATATTCCTATGGCAGATTTGGCATTCATGTAATTAAGTAATTGCTCTTAGAAGTTAAAATGCAAACGATTTTATTAATATTAGAGGAATTTCTCTATTTCTCAATCTGTGTCCCTTAATTACTTAAGCGAGATTCAGAGGCATAAAATCAAAGAGCATATTGGTTTGATTATTGTTCATAAAATGATGTCTCAATTCTATAATGCAAGGATGATGATACTTTTGGAGTGCCTTTAGAATCAATAACTCTCTTTCTTTCTCTTATTTATTGTGTTAACTTTATTTCAGACAGACATTCTGCTAGACATTTGGAAGTTCTACCTATTTTAACCAGTTAAATACTTTAAAAATATTGGATGTTTTATCAATCGATCTATTTTGCTTATTTTGTCTACTCTATTTCATTGATGATGGAATGGATACTCGATAATTGGTTTCAATAAATTTTTTCATATAATCTGTGATTTTGGTATGATGAGACAGTGATCTAGATGGTTTATTTTAAAGCATTGGTTAATATTAAATCAAAAATTAATTATAACAAACTATTTTCTTTTGCTTCAATTTAAGTTTAATTACTAATTACTTTTTCCGCTTTGATGTATTGATCGAATAATTTAGATTCCTGTAAAAATGGTTATGTAACATGTAACTAACTAAAAATATATAATCACTTATTAAATTATAAATTAATTATAAAAATTAGACATTAAATGTTTATCCCTCCTCCTTATTATTACAAGTAGTTTACAACTTCAAAAAGCTTTCCAGTACCTGACTTAGATAAAGTTAGGTAACACACAGATGATTATTATTCATTTGGAGAGTTTTATTAAGTATTCTGAATAATAATTATTAGTTCAAAGATTTTGAAGTTGATTAAATATAGGTTTTAAAAGAAAAATTGGCAGAAAAAAACATTCATGGAAATTTAAAATTAAAATTAAAAGAATTAAGCAAAGAAATTTTTGATATCTGTCTGAAAATACAAGACTCAATTGCAAATGTTGATAATTAGCACATAGAATTAAGGTAACAATTACATGAGAATTACGAGCAATTTAATTTAATATGCTAATTTATAAACATTAAATAAGTATTGATTTATTTAAGACTGTAGAAATACATAGATTTAGAGGAAATTTTCAAGATTGAACTATTAAAACTTAACCAAATAAATAAGGAAATGGCAGTTAAAATTGAGGAGTTCCAAAAACAAGTATCTGAACTAAACTCTGATTTTATCACATATTGATATGAAGTTATGTATTAAAAGTATGAATATTTAATATAGTATTAAAATGTTTATTCTGAATAATATTATATTTATCCTGATATCATGAATAAATACTCACTTTCATTGTCCCCATGAAGCAATTTATCTCTTCACATTTTCATAGTTTTTTAAGGTTTAATCGATCTTAGGTTCAGCTCTTAAGAAGTCTTCCTTTGCTCTATTATATTAATCTATCATATTAGTTACTTTTTGTCATTAGCTTAGATGGCTGCTAATTAATCTTTGCTAAGTGAAATCAACTTCTTCTATCTAGAAAGCCTTAATCAATATATTACTCAGCAGGAGATAAATTTTAAATTTTACTAACATGTTCTTTAATTGTTTTAAGAATCATCTCAATCAAAGGATCATTTTCATAGGTCATTTTTCCTTATGCTAAACCTTTAAGAGCAGACTTAAACAATGCCTTTTAGATTTCTGGAAGGTTATTCTTTAAATTAGTTTCCAAGGACTTCTAAGCAGCTTCAATAATTTCTTATAATAATCTATTTTAATTAATCTAATTTATTATCTTTAAATAATATTACTTGTTCTGCTTATTAAACTGATTTAAGGATGTTTTGAGATCGCTCTGCAACGTGTCTCTGGAGATTTAATTATTCATTCATTAGAAACTAAAGATTATTGATATGATAGTACAGTGTTAATTAATTCTGCTTTAACATCTCTGAATTCCTTGTGTAATTACCCATATTCAATTTATCCTTTGGCTGCTTCAAGGAGTGTTCTAATTTTGAGTTACATATTCTCGTGATAATATTGGTCTAATTAGAAACATTCATTTCCAGCTACTCTTCTGTAAAATCTGGCCAGCAATGGTTTCATAAATGATTTACGACCTTCCAAGTAGAAGTACATGATTTGCATCCAGAATAGGAATGGTAAGAAGGATGATTTAGCAATCCAATGAAGATTTGTTGTGCCTGCTGCAAATCCAATTACAATCAATCCTCCATAAGTGAGAAGAAGATATTTTCTTGCAACAAGGAAATTTTCATAATGTGGAGAGACTTATTCTGGACCAATGAAGTTGTAAAACAATTCAGATGATTTAATCTACGAAATAATATTGAACACTTACACCACTGAAGTTCACTGGATTGTGTGGATTATTGTATGGATGCTCGAATGCCTTGCCTTAAGGTGCAACATTTGGTGCTTTATTCTCTTTCTCAATAGCTTCACTACATGATTAAGATTATGCCCTTACAGCTTTTGATTGAATTGAGTGACATATTCTGCATATTTGCTTTGGAATTTTAAGAAATTCTTTCCTGCAATATCCTTGTGAGTAGCAGCTGCTGTAGCAAATCCGAAGAATCCCACTCTTCCTGAAGATTTTACCAAAAATTGCATCTTTTTTAAAATATTTAATATAATTATTCCTATTATATATAAAAGAGAGAAAATTGAATACATTATTGCATAAAACATATACTAAAGGTTTGAGAATTTGTATACAGAGGATATCTGCGAACATATAATTTGTTAAATAATGCAAATTTAGTCCTTTTTTAAGAATGAAATATTTAGAATTAAATAAGCATTTGGATTATAAATTCTTTAAATAAATTAATTTTAAAAGAATATCCCTAAAAGGATTGCAAATTATATCATAACTTATTTAATTTCTTGAAAAGAGTAAAACAGAATCTATCAACGATAATTACTTAAAATTGCCTTAATTTTAATTCATAGAGATATATATTGATGGCGCGAACTGTTTAATTTATTCTTAAACTATTTGAGTCTATAAATAAAAGTTATAATACTTAGCTAATACAATCAATTATAAGTTTATACTAAAAATAATAATTTGCTATTCGATAAACTAATTAATTTTGATTTAAAACTTATTTTTTTAATTTTGTAATTAATGTTTTTGTTGTTCCAAAGATGTTTTTCAAACTTCAAAAGGTACTAGAAGATTCAAAGTTTATATCAATTGCTAATAGTTTTTTTAAAAACAACAAATATATCCTTATTTAAATTATTGAAATAATAAAACAGGAAAACCCTTATTTGAACTTTTTAAGTTCTTTCTCATAAATAGGTGATTCCAATTAATGATAGCTGCAATAATAATTCATGATCCCATATCGTTAATATTTAATATCAATCTTTATAAATTAGAATTACTACTGCCACCGTCTTAATCCTTTTTACAACTCATCAATATCCCTTTAGAAATATCATACAGTTTAGTCAGTATCACATTATTGATAAAAAATAAAATTAATTAAGTTTTAGTAATTGAAGACAAATGGAGCTTTAATGGTAAATAGTCTAGAACAGTAGCATGACTTCTCGTTTACCATAAAAAAAGAATTGGTATTTAAGACATCATTAATAAATAATAGTTAATTCATCAGATACCATCATTAGTCAACAGATTTCTCTAATTCCAAAAATATATTCCCCTAGATGCAATCCGTTTGTAATGATACTATTCGCAACGATAATCTATATGTGTAACCGAAGATTTGTATACAGTATGAAAGTTTATTGAAAAAAAACAAAGAAAAAATTTAAGAAATTAAACAATTGATCTTAACTTCAAGAAAATCGAATCCAATATTAGTAAAGAAGAACTAAGTTAAAGAGTAAATTAAAAATGAACAGAAAATGATAATTGAAATACCCAAACCTATTCGCAATGTTTCCAATTTTTCTCGTGATAGCAGTCAATCGCTCACAACCAATTAAACAACTCCATTAAGGAGTTCTAGTAACGATAAACAATTTAGTTACATGCAAATGTCCAAAAATCATAAATCTCCTTTAAATAGATTTAAAAAGATTAAATATTTAGGGAGAGGCAATATAAGTGATGTATATTCAGTTATGTATTATCCTAATATTTATTTACTTTAGTGATACAACAACAGGAATGATAGCAGCTTTAAAAACAATATAGAAATCATTGATAACTAGCAAAGGCATTTAAGAGTTAATAAAAACGGAAATAGTTATTTAAAGTGTTATAAGTCATCAAAATATACTTAAGTGTTATGGAGTAATCAAAGATGAAAAATAGGTATAATTATTTAGTATAAAAGATTGCATTGATTTTGGAATTAGGAGAGATAACATTATTTAATTATCGGAAGGAAAAAAAGCTAAATGAAAAATAGATAATTGACATAGTATATCAGGTCTTAAAAGGAGTCAATTTTTTGCATTTGAACGGGATTATTCATAGAGATATTAAACCCGAAAATATCCTATTACAAAATGGGATAATAAAGCTAGCAGACTTAGGAATTTGTGTTAAGGCAATTGAAACAAATTAATATTGTGGAACTCCTGGATACATGGCTCCAGAAATAATGGAAAATTAGAAATATAATAATAAGGTGGATTGCTATAGTATTGGAGTTCTTTTGCACGAGTTAGTATTTGGAAAACTACCAAAAATTGGATAAATAATTAATGGTGACACATAACTTATAAAGTTAATCAACTAACTTTTAGAGGTGAATCCTAATAACCGTTTGAGTTGCAAAGAAGCATTAGAATAGGATTTATTCAAACTATGTGAAAGTAAGGCTTTGAAATAGTCAGAAATGATAAAGAATACAATTTTATGGGATTGTTGAAATGCAATATTTTTCAAATAATCCCCAATTTTGTTTAAAACTAATATAAATATATGAAATTGTTTTATATATTGTCTGAGTTCGAAGAAAACTGACTCAAAATATCAATAAATATTCTCCAAAATGCTTTTTTAATAAGTTAACTCAAATTTTGACATAAATAGGAAAACACAAGAAATCTCTTTGATTATTAATGTTGATCACAAAGTATGCTTTTCGGTTCCAAACTCTTATCTACGAGTTTGGAGAGAAAACATGAAAATCGTAAAATTATGATGTAATGGAAATTTATAGGGTAAATATGAAAAGGTAATTGCTAAGCTTTGTATAAAGAAACTACAATTACTATTAAAATAGTTTAGCTGAATATAAGTTGATTTAAATCTTTTTCAAAGATGTATTTGCTGGAATTTCTGAGACTAGTTCTGTTTAATTGGATAATTCAAAAAGTCACATTAACTGAATATATGAAAAATTGTCTCCTAGTTGAGACATTTTTTTGAGACTACCGAAAAATTTTGCTTAAGAATTGAAGCAAGAAAGTTTTATTGATTTATTTAAATCATATTGATATTTCATAGCTTTGTTCAATCAACTTTCCAAGTAACATTTAGAAGTCTTGCACTCCTTGTTTACTCCATCACACATCTTCTTGCATTTAGCTTAACTTTCTAATGATTATCTCAGTTAAGATTATGCACATGTATAAATACAGATATTTATTTATGAATCACATTTGGCTTAACATTCTTTGATTTTGCTGGCAAGGACTATGGTTACTTTAAATTGCTTACCACCATTAAATAGCAAAACGATTAATATAATCAAGTATTTAATATTCATTTTAATTATTAAAAGTCATTAATTTCATAACTTTGTTTAGAATACGCTTCCATATAAGGAACTCATTGAAAGATTCTTCGATCAAAGTTCAATTATTGATAACATAAGTATTTGGTTAATTCTTAGAAGAATGCAATTTCAGAGCTCATTTTAAATATCTTCATGTTAACTATTATCGTAACAGACATGGCAGACTTAGAAAGTGAACATTATCAAAAGAAATAAACTGAAAAATCTAATTGAAATAGTACTTCAAATAGACTAACTAATTATACAAATATAACAAACTTAAAACTTAGATTAAAATTAAAAAAAGAAATGAAAATTTAGAATGGAATATTAAAAAAATAATAATTTGAAAAAGATTGAATTTAGAATTTAATAGAACTAGATAGATATCAACTAGTAATTTAGAATTGGAATTTAAAAGATATAATTTGAATGGAATCCAATAGAAGAATAGTTAATAGAATTAGAGTTTAATTACTCAAAGGTAAAACCAGAGATCAATTACTTATCAATGAGAGAGAAAGCTAAAATATAAATTAGACCGAAGGTATCGTCTTAGAAATAATTTAAAATAAATTAAATGATATTACCTTACAATATACTATAATTCTTCATTTTAATTTAACCATCATTTATTCTGGTTATTCTAAATACTATTTCCAAGTATTTTAAAATCTAGCAATTGTAGCACCATCCAATATTCTATGGTCGCAACCAAAGCTTGTGTAAATCTGAAGTAATATATATAAAGAAATTAATACAATTTTTCTGGGTTGATATGATCCAGCGATAAATCTAGGTTATAAAACAACTCTTCCTATTCCTACGATACATACTTAAGGAGGTAAAATTAGAGGTCCTACATATGTGCCTGCGATAGTTCCGATGTTGCTAATACAAATTGTTCCATTATTCAATTCATTGGGGCCTAATTTACTTTCATCCCCTAACTTTTTTAATCTAAGGTTATCTACAGTGTTTGATACTTGTTTAATTATTATTGAACTTCTAAAATTGATAGATTTTAGACTGATTTAATGTTTGGCACGACTAAACCTTTAGGGGAATCCATGGCAATGGAAATGTTATGATCTTGATGAGTGATAAATTAAAAAGGGGCACTGGGATCATATGTTGAATTTAATATTGGGAACTGAAGTAAAGCGAGAGAAAAGGATTTAATAAAGAGGGTCATAAAAGTAATATTTTATTATTTCTTTAATTCTTCTCTAAATGAACTCTATGATATGATGATTAAGGAATACTAAAGATGTGACATCGATTTCTTCTTGTAAATACAAATGTGGGATGGTATTGGATTCAGTCATGGATTTTTGCATGCCCTTTTAGAAGTCACTCATTTTGATAGTTTATGATTATGATGTTTAAGTAGTTTATTATTGTTTGGGTTGGTTTTGATAATTTGAGATATCATCTTTGGTGATTGTCCCATAGATACCAGTACCTTTAACATTGTTAATATCAATATTATGTAATTAAGCCAAATATTTAGCAGATGGTGAAATCCTTTAAAGTGATGATTCTCTTTAGGGAGTAGGTTTCTAGGCAATTTAAGGTTTTGTTATTGGTGATGGTTACTGGGTTGTTTGAGGGGTGGGGTTGGAAACTGATGAGGCTTCGTCAACATCGATATCTACAAACAACTCTCCAACTTGGCATTGATCTTATTCTTTGTGATATCTCTTATGAATGACTCCAGTGAAGCTACTAGGGATTTGAGTGAACATTTTGTCAGTGGATACATCTGCAACAGGATCAAACTATCTCATGAGACATATTGTACTTCTGAGATTTTATCACCTTCTTTGACATGCCATTTCACAATAGTGGCTTCCTTAATCTCTAGTAATTATTAATGGTTTTACTTTCTCCCAAGTCAGGCAACTTAAAATGTTTGATGGTGCCAAAGTATTTAAGAATTTTTAACATAATAATTTATTTAATACGTACTTTGTATTTCGAATATTAAAGTTATTTAAGATTATCATTTCTAATTGAACGAGTACATATAGATGTCATTAAAGGACATTAAATTTCTGTCTCCTCCAAATACGATCATTATGTCACCCATTACAATAGCACTATGACCATCCCTAGCGCATGGTTTCTTGCCACTAAGAGATGCCTATATCGCATTCTTTTTGCCTGTTGGTGATTGTATTTTTCTTTATCCACCTTATTTTTCTTAATTTGTGATCACACTTATTGAATTTTTAATTTAATCTGTTGTGGGTGATGAACTCCTAAACTTTGATTTTTCTTCTTCATTCATTTCGAATTCGGCCCTATTTTTATACAATGTTTTCAATACAGCATTTAGTTTTTCTTTTGTTGCAATCGTTTCTTCTTCAATTCATCCATACTATTTAATTAGAAATTATTGTTTGTATCAGTGGGTTACTTTTAATCAAGATTTTTCACAGAATTTCGTCTTTAATGAAGAGAATTCTTTTGCTCATCATCCAACAATAAAAAGGATCTAGGTTCATTCTTACCCTTCTCCTTCTTCTATGGTCTTGCTTGACTAGCCTTGTCGAAGGCAGACTCATTTAGCATTTCATCTGCCACTTGTCTTCTGCTTGTATCTTCTTCCAATTAAATCCATTCATTCCCTCTGTATAACCACAAATCGTTTTTCTCATGGGTTATATCATGAATTCCACCAAATAACATAATCCCTTAAGGATGAACTAGTAAGGATGTGGATGATCTTGTCTATATGATATCAATAAAACTATATATACTCCTGGAGATTTTTCTGTTACAATTAATCCCCACTATCTATTTTCCAAGTCAAATTTCCAAAAGTCCCCAAATCTCGACTCGTAATTACATCCTCCATATACATACAATTAATTTCCAATTAATGTAACTCCTGCTTCTGCTCTTCCTTTTGGGAATTGTGCTGAATTGTTATCTCCTTTGAATATCATTGACCAAACTTCCTTCTATAGATCATAAAATAGTATTGAAGATCTATATCCAGTATCACTGTAAAATCCTCCAAAGACAACCATGTATTACTAACATTATCGTTTGCACATTACCTGTTCATTCCAAAGACAACTTTGATGCCCTTCCACTGCCATCTTCTTGCCATCTATTATGCACTCCTTTCCCTCAACAAATACTTCCTCCTAAAAATCATAGATCCACAATCTTGCAGTTGGTGACATCAAGTTTTCCTTTCCTCCAAATATGTACATTTTATTCTAATGAACTACTGCTGTATGATTTCTTAATGGCCCTGGAACTTAATCTTATGCATTATCTCCTGCGGCTTTCTTCATCAAGATTGTCCAACAAAAAGACTTTGGTGAAACAGGTGATGGAATTCTGCAAAAATCACTCAAAATTCCTTCATTAGTTTCATATCCCCCATACACATAAAGACTAACGTTATACATTTTATATTTACTAATTCTCATGAGCCACACATGAATGATATGATCTTCTATGGATATTTTTACCCAATGGTTTCAATTCTTGCCACTTAGGAAATACATCCTATCCTATAGTTTATTATTATACCATCTATGATTTCGATCTTAAAAATTCCTCATCATCATCCAACAATTTCTTTCCCTTCATTTTTTAATATTTATTTATGTAATAAAAAGAACCTAAGCTTTGCAAGAAGTGTAAAACCAACAATCCAAACATTATCGTACAAAAAGATCCTGTCTGTAAAGAATGCTTTATTGGATATGTCGAGCATATGTTCAAAATGTCTTTGAGACTTAAATGTAACATAACCTAGAAAAATGAAAAATTATTGGTTTGCTTCTCTGGAGGATAGTAAATATTCATCTAATTCAAGAAATTCAACAGCTCTAGTCAAATTGGCTAGTGATGTTGTGCATTCAACTTGTGCCCACAACAAAAGCAAGATGTTTATTGAAGTTCATGTTTTGTACATAAATGAAAGTTTTATTATGAAAGAATTTATATAAGAATATGTAATTATACTATATAAAACTATAAGCAACCCCAAGATTACACCAACTTTGTAACTAATGAGTGCAAACTGCCTTTCCAAATTGTTGACATTCAATCTATATACCCAGATCCTTACATTTTACTTTAATAACTTCATAATTTATCAGAAAGTGGATCATCAAGGGAAGATTTCGTTCGTTTGATCAAATAACATATCATCTATGATTATGCAATTAAAAATGGATACTAAAATGTAAATCCAATCCTTTAATTTAGGTTTGCTTTGGTTAAAATGGACAAAGATTAGCTGCCGATCTATTTTCTTAGTTATCCAAAGGAAGAGGCCTTAGTCTATAATCAGCCACCAAATACAATTTTTCATTTATCTACCCTCTCAATTAAAACAAATTACAAATATTGCATCCTCTTAAAGAATTACTCAACAAAGATATTTTATACTACCTTCGATTAAAATCTAACTTAAACTTCCCAAATTTTATCTTGGGACAACATTTAAGTAATATTGTCAAAAACGTATTATTAAAATAATAAAACTAGAAACCAGCTCACGGTAATATTGATCATTTGCTTGAACAATTTATTGATAAACTGTAAGAAGGGTTCCCTTCCACAACCTTCACAGTTTTGAGTTCAGCTGAAAAAGTTACAATTAAACCTCTTCAGTAACAAAGCCATTGTCCATTATGTTTGGAAATTAGAGACCAAGTGTATAATCGCCTCGAAGTAGAGACATTAGATAATTCAAATTAAGTAAACCTATCTAATAATATCATAGTAATTGATCAATTATTTAAGAGCCAACACAAAATATTACAACAAAATATGTTTTACTTGTAACAGAATGCTGTAATCAGCTTAAGAATTAGAGAATTTTTACAATTTAAAAGGATTTCCACCTTTAATTGTCTAAATTGCTGATACCATATAATGAGTATTAGATATTATGTATATAATGTTAATTAATTTTGTTCACTCTCATTACTAGATTCAAGAAAGTGTATCAATGACTAGTAATTAATATTTATAATTCCAGAATGATTTTCATTACTCCATTAGGTAAATCAAAGATTATCCCAATGTGTTTAATATGAGATATGAACTTTAGAAATGTGCAAAAACCTTACTATTCATTATTTTTTTTAATTTTGAAATATTTCTAATTTAATAATATATTACAAAGATAAAAAGAATGATTTAATTATTATTTACTATTTATATCATTTTGTAATATTTAACAGAGATATTTTATTTTTCCCAATCTGTCCTGTTAATAATCTTCTTCTCTTTATTAAATGGACTGCAAGTTAAACATTATCTATATTAGCAATGAATGTTACCTGATTTCAAGTAATACCATATTAATAAATTCAAAAATGGAACTGGAATAGCTGCATTGATTGAATTTATATTTATATCACAGCAATTCATCATAGATTAAATTGAATTCCAAGCTTAAGTCAAATTATTGTTATGGAGATGAAGGGCTGACAAATTAAAGTGATAAATCGCTTTAGAGTTATAATTTGAAATACAAGTTGTCTGAATTCCTACTATGTTTCTGCATTAAAATTATAAATTGCTATTATTATTAATTTTATTTAAAAATTAAGTGACACTGCTGCTGTTGATAAAATTAGAGGCATCCTTCAGTTTTGAAATTTAAATATATGCTTCCAAAACATATTATATAATAATGTATTTATTATTATCCGATAGATTATATTCTAGGGCCTCCTTACCTTGTGATAATGCTAAGTTGTAATCTCCTCTACAAAGCAATGAATATGTTAAAAATACAATAGAAGACTCAAATATCTAAGTACCTTAGATTACTAATTATTCTTAATCCAAATGAATGATTTCCTCTCTTTTTTCTTTTTTGGATAAGATAATTGCATTACGAAAAGATCTCTAATAGATTTTATTTATCTTACTTTATGGCATTGTTTAGTAACTCCTTATTAGCCTTAGATTAAACAAATTTGCTATCTTCATTCTTCTAATCAATTTTGTAAAATTAATCCTATACTTCCTCATCGGCATCACTGTAAATTTCTCTACTTTGAAGAATGATCTTCTTGCCTTCATCTTGAGCATGCAATTAAGACTGATCTTCGGAAATTTCATATAATTCATTTTTGTCCGGCATTGATTCATGATAAATTTGAATGAAACATACTCCTCTATTGTACCAAAACTTAGCACTCTGATTACACAAATCCTATAGTTGATTATAAACGTTGAGGGCCTTTTAGTATTACTGATCCATAAACAAAGCATCTGCTAGATTTTAATACATGGCATACAATCTTTGTTTCACATTATTCATAATGATCCCTTCATATAGATTTTACTGTTATTAGACTAACTTCGTTTAAGATATAGCTTTATGAAAATAAACAGCAGCGATTGCATATTTACCCATTTTGGCATGAACACACCCAAGGTTGTTATAAATTTAAGCCAAATACAGGAATTGTTTGGATTGAGCGAATTCTGCATTTTGTTAGTTTTATATTTCAGATTAGGGAGTCATCATTTTAATACACTTATGAACATTCTCATTAAGTGTTAAATGCCTTTAGGCTTTCATTAACTTAAAAATCATTTGAGCATGCAATTTCAAATATGGTTGTATGTCTTATGAAAATGAAGGCCCTGAATTTTATGATATTCCATTTGATAAATCTAATTGGGTCATATAGTTCTTAAAGGATTATTCAAGAGGGTTTAATTATTTTTTCTAATCTTTTTGGTTCGACAATATGTAAAATCGACATTTAATGACATTTAATAGAAAAAGGAACTCCTCTTTGCTAAATGTATTGGGGTGTGAATCTGGATAAGGTAAATCTGACCCAATTAACAGTGAAGTATAGTTTTATTATGATTGCTATTATTAATCATCAATCTGATTGGGCTTTAGATTTTTTTGTTACAGTGATTTTAAGGTTTCATCAGAGGACAACTTTTTGTACAATTCGCTTGCATAAACATATTCTTGCAATTGAAATGATGTTTCCACTAGAAGGAGATTTACTTTAATGTTTAAGTAAATGTCAAGGCTGTAATTGTCTTTCAACTATTTCAATAGGTTATGGGCCTGCCTTATCTTGCCACTCAAAAATAGCATGATTGCTTTATTGTATTGCAAAATACTATCATCATCTTATTTCTTTTCTAAAATGATAAACTTGCGTTAATAATTACTTTTTTAGAGTTAGGGTTTTTTAATTTCATCAATGATTTCATCTAATTTTTAAATACAAGCATTAGCATCCCTAGTTATATTGTATTCACAAAGTATGATATTTTCATTAATTTGCACCATAGATTGATTTTGATCAGACTACTCTTTAAGCTGCTTAAATTTCTGTAATTCCCTAGACTTAAATTGTAGATTACTCCATAGATTCTTTGTAATGTCCTTCTCCGAAATGTTTGAACGAATTTTATAAGATTGCAAATGATTATGCCATAAATTATAAACAAATTATTTCAAAAATCTCCCTAATCTATTTAAGTTCCAAACATGATGTACTACAATAGACCACTCCCTATCAAATACAAACCGAATCCTCTATACAGACCCTTGACTCCTTCCTCTTGTGCTATCAATCTCAAAGCATGCCAAGGTCCTGAGTACCTAATAGGTATCATGCCGGGTAATGTTGACTAATTTCAAAATAATACTCTAACATACTTAACAATGCAATCTTCTTACAATGGTTAGAAAAGGATAAGATATTAAATTATAAGAAAGGTACAAATATAGCATCTAGAATTACTCTAATTTTTAAGAGAATTATATAGGCACTTGCACCAAAAAGACAAAACCATTTTTATATAAATAAGTAGTAGATCCTTGAAAGTATTCCTTCTTATGTCTAACATGCTTTTTAAAAGCACTCAATAAATTCTTATACAAATAAAAATTTGGTAATCTATTTTGCAATATGAATCTTGATTAAAATAGCATAAATGGATTACTGACAATATCAGAAACAGTTGCCAATCCTAGAATCACAGCTTAACGCAATAATTAATTTCCTTCATGCCACATTGCTCCTAATCTAAAATCTAAGTCAGACAATAATTTAATCTTCAAATGACTATTAGCCAATAAATGAATAATGCCGATCAAATTGCCTTTATAAAATGCCTACCAACCCTAATTTGTCAATCCTTAGAATGCTTCGCGATAAGTCGTATAAATAGGAGCTCTAAATGGTTTGTTGCTTCCAACAGCACCACTCTTAATCAATAACTCAAATTTCCTTTTTTCGTGAGGCTAAATGTCTCTTGTTGTTTTAACCAATTATGTTGATGTCTTAGTGCCTGATTCATCTGGTAAATCACCATATTTATTTTAATGGGGTATAACTGATAGTTATAAGGATGTATAAAGGGTAGTTACAGGGGCAACCAATGTTGTAACAATGGATTGAGTAAAGTAATTGATCCAAAAATGTTTGTTGGTTTCTGCCTCTATTTATTTAAGGGTTTGTTCATTGATGAATAGATTTGGATCTATGCTCTTTTTCACACTCTCTTAGATTGATTAATTGTCTTTGTTTGAAAGAAATTATGAGAAATCTTTACCACTCATTATTTATAATTATATGAATTCATCATCTTATCTCATAAATTTTGTTATGGTTATTCAAATTATCCCTTTACGACTCTTGGAACCTCCAATTTAACTTCAATCACCCTTTTAATTAACATATCCACAACTGCCAATTTATTAGCTTCATAATCTGCATATATCTTATCAATTTCTGCCTTTGTTTTTCTTTCTAATTCTTCTTCCTCCTTGGTTGATCCAAAACGCTTAAGTTGTTATTTAATATATTACTCTAAGTATTTCTTGATTATATTTGGTTTCTTCCTCTCTTCGGAATACTGCAATTTCCTAATCAGCTGCCACTTTGGCTTCTTTGATTTTTTTCTCTCTTTCCTTCTAAGCTGTCTTAATAATGTTATTTGCTTCCTCTTCAGCTTTTAGTAATTCGTCTACAGCCCAGTTCTCTCTTCCTTCAGCCATGATGATATATAATTTATTAAATGATTTAATAAAAAAATATTATCTAATTATGCATTATCATTAATGACTCAACAGCTATTTCTAAGATCAATCTATTTCAAAAGGTCTCTGAAAGCATTCTTAATCTCCTTCAATGATGATTTCGATAATTAATTTGCATAGAACGTAATTCTTATCTCTTTAGATATTTTTATAGATCAGATTAAAATTCCACAACTCTCTTAATATGCTTAGATTTGGTACACAAATTTTAAGAGAACCACCTAAGAAATCAAATTCTGAAAATGATTAAATGCACATTTCATCCTATTAAACCTTTAATAAAACAGTATATGGAATATTCTTATTTTCAATATCTTCAGAATTCCAATCATCTGTGATGATTGATCAAATTCAAGGGAATCTGTTTCTAAATTATTAATTTCTTTCTAAGATTCTTATTGTTATCTTCTATGAATAGTTCTCATTTCTTTTCTTATTTGTTACTAATTACAATTTAATGAATTTCATATTTTTTTTATCTCCATGNTCACAGCTTAACGCAATAATTAATTTCCTTCATGCCACATTGCTCCTAATCTAAAATCTAAGTCAGACAATAATTTAATCTTCAAATGACTATTAGCCAATAAATGAATAATGCCGATCAAATTGCCTTTATAAAATGCCTACCAACCCTAATTTGTCAATCCTTAGAATGCTTCGCGATAAGTCGTATAAATAGGAGCTCTAAATGGTTTGTTGCTTCCAACAGCACCACTCTTAATCAATAACTCAAATTTCCTTTTTTCGTGAGGCTAAATGTCTCTTGTTGTTTTAACCAATTATGTTGATGTCTTAGTGCCTGATTCATCTGGTAAATCACCATATTTATTTTAATGGGGTATAACTGATAGTTATAAGGATGTATAAAGGGTAGTTACAGGGGCAACCAATGTTGTAACAATGGATTGAGTAAAGTAATTGATCCAAAAATGTTTGTTGGTTTCTGCCTCTATTTATTTAAGGGTTTGTTCATTGATGAATAGATTTGGATCTATGCTCTTTTTCACACTCTCTTAGATTGATTAATTGTCTTTGTTTGAAAGAAATTATGAGAAATCTTTACCACTCATTATTTATAATTATATGAATTCATCATCTTATCTCATAAATTTTGTTATGGTTATTCAAATTATCCCTTTACGACTCTTGGAACCTCCAATTTAACTTCAATCACCCTTTTAATTAACATATCCACAACTGCCAATTTATTAGCTTCATAATCTGCATATATCTTATCAATTTCTGCCTTTGTTTTTCTTTCTAATTCTTCTTCCTCCTTGGTTGATCCAAAACGCTTAAGTTGTTATTTAATATATTACTCTAAGTATTTCTTGATTATATTTGGTTTCTTCCTCTCTTCGGAATACTGCAATTTCCTAATCAGCTGCCACTTTGGCTTCTTTGATTTTTTTCTCTCTTTCCTTCTAAGCTGTCTTAATAATGTTATTTGCTTCCTCTTCAGCTTTTAGTAATTCGTCTACAGCCCAGTTCTCTCTTCCTTCAGCCATGATGATATATAATTTATTAAATGATTTAATAAAAAAATATTATCTAATTATGCATTATCATTAATGACTCAACAGCTATTTCTAAGATCAATCTATTTCAAAAGGTCTCTGAAAGCATTCTTAATCTCCTTCAATGATGATTTCGATAATTAATTTGCATAGAACGTAATTCTTATCTCTTTAGATATTTTTATAGATCAGATTAAAATTCCACAACTCTCTTAATATGCTTAGATTTGGTACACAAATTTTAAGAGAACCACCTAAGAAATCAAATTCTGAAAATGATTAAATGCACATTTCATCCTATTAAACCTTTAATAAAACAGTATATGGAATATTCTTATTTTCAATATCTTCAGAATTCCAATCATCTGTGATGATTGATCAAATTCAAGGGAATCTGTTTCTAAATTATTAATTTCTTTCTAAGATTCTTATTGTTATCTTCTATGAATAGTTCTCATTTCTTTTCTTATTTGTTACTAATTACAATTTAATGAATTTCATATTTTTTTTATCTCCATGTAGTGCTTATGCAACTTCTTTTAATTTGCTTTAACATATAATTATGTTATATTTCTTGAGATTTCTCTATTACTAATATATGAATTCTATTCTAAATGGATCAATAGTGCATTAAATTCATTCTAAAATAATCCTTACCCTCATTCAGACTATCCATAGTTTATTTTTATTTGTGAGATTTTAACAGAGAATCGTACTTCACCTTGAAAACTCAATATCTTCATTGTTAGAATAAATTGGTTAATGGATCACCACCAATCAATTATATCAAGTCAATATTAGCTCAATTAGAGGCTTTTTGCTTCAGAAACAACAAAAAGTCTGCACTCCAAAAGCTGAGAGTACTAATGAAAATAATACTAGACCCATGTAAATTATAATCATTATAATATTATTTTTTTGCTTGATGTCTATACTTTTTTTACTCCACTCAAGGTTTTGCTCTTAATAATTTAATGCCCTTTCCAATCTTTACCATAATCACCTTTGAAAGAGTGATAATCACTCAAACAAGCCTGTTGTAATGGAATCGATGAATAAATTTACTCTCCTGCCATTGATATTCGAGATTAGATTTTTAATGCCATATTTTACATCAATGCTTAAGTTGTCTTGCGATACACAGGTTATCCTTATTCATCTAGACAACTATTCAAATCTAGGCGCTAGATATCAGATTTTAATATGTTTGGATTTGCATTATAAAATATGTCCAAATATCGTATTTCACTTCCTAATTTATGTCTTTGCCATCCGAATTCAATAACTTCTATGCATTTTTGCTCTTCTTTAATTTTCTCCTTTATTGGTGAGAGTTCTTTAATAGGACTCAGAATCATAAAACTATTTTCAATCCCTTCTTCTTTTGATATTGTAACTTTCTTGTTTTTAGAATTTTCTTTATTGCTTTTTTGGGCAGACATACTAAATTAGAGTTAAAATTTGAATTAATATAATATATAAAATCAATAAAAATCAATACTTTATTTCACTTTACAGGTTAAGAAAATCCCTAGGCAAATGTTTGGTATTGACTATTTTTATTTTTTCATGTTTTGTTGACGGTTTCAAAAATCTCTCTTTTAAATCCTATGTGGATAAACATAGTAAATCTAGCAGTTTTTCTTAGCTCATTTTATTTATTGATATAATAATGGATTCTTTGGATTTCACTTTCGAATGAGTACTAAAACTAACTTTTTGCATATTCGTTAATGATTTTTTCTTTGGTAAAAGGCCCCTTGCCACACTCTTTTTCTTAATTAAATTGTCTTCCTAATCACCTTCAGTTCTAATAATCCTTTATACTCCAAAGTTGTTTTACATATTATAAAATTAATAAATAAATCATTTTAAAGCATTCATTTACTTTATCAAGTAATTGAGATTAAATGGAAAATTAGGACCTTAGAAACGTGTTACTCTAGAATTTCTTTTTGGGACAATTATCTATCCAACTTCAAAATTAAATGTTTGTATTGCAGATTTTTATCTAGTTTAAATCGGTTTCATTCTCCTTTAAGGCGAAAAGCTTGTTCTAGTTCTTCTAGCACCAGCAAAGTCTTAAATTGGTTCTATGAATTTCCTTTTCAAAATTGAGATAGCCAACTTTGGCTCCTTGCACAATCGTTTCGGTGGGAGGGTGTAAGAATGTTAATATAAGTCCATAATTAATATTAATGATATTTCATTAATCAATAAATATAATAATAAGTAGAACAAAAATATTCGAGGGTGTGTTTATAAAATATGACTCAAAAAAGGAAGCAAAAAGTCATTTTTTCAATGACCAGTTTGAATAAATCACTTCAAATATAATCAAAATTTATGAAGTTGTTAATTATAAAATACTCAGTTCAGAATTCTACTTCACATATTACTTGTCCATCTCTCAAAAAGTAGCACAATATCAGAAAAAATACTATAACCCCATTCAAAGTTTATCTATTTTCTACAAACTAAGTTTGATCAATCATGTACTTATTCATCTTTCTCTTCAAATTATAAAATTAATAAAATTTTTGAATATTTTACAAACATATATAATGATTCCTCATTCAAATTCTAGATTTTTTCGAAGTTATTCCTATAATAATATATACATGGAACAATTAATTGATTANATTTTAATATGTTTGGATTTGCATTATAAAATATGTCCAAATATCGTATTTCACTTCCTAATTTATGTCTTTGCCATCCGAATTCAATAACTTCTATGCATTTTTGCTCTTCTTTAATTTTCTCCTTTATTGGTGAGAGTTCTTTAATAGGACTCAGAATCATAAAACTATTTTCAATCCCTTCTTCTTTTGATATTGTAACTTTCTTGTTTTTAGAATTTTCTTTATTGCTTTTTTGGGCAGACATACTAAATTAGAGTTAAAATTTGAATTAATATAATATATAAAATCAATAAAAATCAATACTTTATTTCACTTTACAGGTTAAGAAAATCCCTAGGCAAATGTTTGGTATTGACTATTTTTATTTTTTCATGTTTTGTTGACGGTTTCAAAAATCTCTCTTTTAAATCCTATGTGGATAAACATAGTAAATCTAGCAGTTTTTCTTAGCTCATTTTATTTATTGATATAATAATGGATTCTTTGGATTTCACTTTCGAATGAGTACTAAAACTAACTTTTTGCATATTCGTTAATGATTTTTTCTTTGGTAAAAGGCCCCTTGCCACACTCTTTTTCTTAATTAAATTGTCTTCCTAATCACCTTCAGTTCTAATAATCCTTTATACTCCAAAGTTGTTTTACATATTATAAAATTAATAAATAAATCATTTTAAAGCATTCATTTACTTTATCAAGTAATTGAGATTAAATGGAAAATTAGGACCTTAGAAACGTGTTACTCTAGAATTTCTTTTTGGGACAATTATCTATCCAACTTCAAAATTAAATGTTTGTATTGCAGATTTTTATCTAGTTTAAATCGGTTTCATTCTCCTTTAAGGCGAAAAGCTTGTTCTAGTTCTTCTAGCACCAGCAAAGTCTTAAATTGGTTCTATGAATTTCCTTTTCAAAATTGAGATAGCCAACTTTGGCTCCTTGCACAATCGTTTCGGTGGGAGGGTGTAAGAATGTTAATATAAGTCCATAATTAATATTAATGATATTTCATTAATCAATAAATATAATAATAAGTAGAACAAAAATATTCGAGGGTGTGTTTATAAAATATGACTCAAAAAAGGAAGCAAAAAGTCATTTTTTCAATGACCAGTTTGAATAAATCACTTCAAATATAATCAAAATTTATGAAGTTGTTAATTATAAAATACTCAGTTCAGAATTCTACTTCACATATTACTTGTCCATCTCTCAAAAAGTAGCACAATATCAGAAAAAATACTATAACCCCATTCAAAGTTTATCTATTTTCTACAAACTAAGTTTGATCAATCATGTACTTATTCATCTTTCTCTTCAAATTATAAAATTAATAAAATTTTTGAATATTTTACAAACATATATAATGATTCCTCATTCAAATTCTAGATTTTTTCGAAGTTATTCCTATAATAATATATACATGGAACAATTAATTGATTATTTTACAAAATTAACTAAATTTGATATTTAATTAATTTAGAAATAATGAATGTCCTACTCAAAGGTATGAAATAATTATGTCACCGCCCTACATTCAATTATTGGCTTTCGGCCCATCCAACTACCAAAAGCATATCCTAATTAAGTCCTAGATAATTATTAGACACAGCCTTAATTAAAAGAATCTGCCAAAAGCAAATCCCAAAACATACTATTATGAGTCAATTTTGTCTTTGGCATGGCAAATAACCAAAATCAGGAAATCAAACTTGCTTTTCAGAAAAAAAGTGAGCATATCTATTCATAAATAGAACTCGACGATCTTGGATGCCTAATGTTCAAAAATAAACATATGAATCTCTAATATTAGGTAGAAGAATTCATGTGAAAGTAACAGCTAAGACAATGAAATGCATTCGAAAAGCTGGTAGTTTCGATAACTATATTTTATTGACGAAACCTTAAGATTTAGATTCTATTTATGGTGAATATTTAAGAAAATTGATGCTCACTAAAATTAATGATCCATCTTTTGAAGTTTCATATTTTGCTAAACATTTAGATTCCTCACGTTTTAAAGGCTAGGCCTCACAAATTCTCAAGGAGAGCCCAAAGGTTTAGCAGAAGACCTGCTGTTGTATGGCATCCACCTGAAATTAGACATAAAGATTTGACATTTTTGAAAATAAGAACACCTAATGAAATGAATCCAGAAGAATTAAGAAAATTAAGAGAATATGACTCATTGAAAGATAAGGTACATGTAATTAAATTCTTAGTTTGAAGATACTAATGATGTTATGCATCCTGTTCTGAATGAAAAATTCTTTTAGGATGAAAAAGAATGGCCAGAATTTGCAAAAGTTGAAGGAGAAAAAGCTTTGGCAGAGTTTTTAAAGAAGAAAGATAAAGAAAAAATTAGACTTACATTAAAAGCAGTTGAGGAAGGACAAAGGGATGTTGATAAGGCTTTAGGGAATATTTGATTTAGCAATTATAAAAAGAGATATTAAAACCAATTTATTGGTAGAAATAATTACTGTTATTTAACATTATCAGATAAAAGTTTAATTTTATTTTATCATCAAAAATGGTTCATAAATATTCCTCTTCTTATCCATGTTTCTCTTTTATAAATGTTTGAATACTGAAACTTATCCTGATTTTTGAGTAAAAGTAATTATTTTGTAAAAATAAGAATGAAAATATAAAAAAGTAGATATGTCTTTGTTTTTTACCATTTTTTTGGTATTAATTTTGATCCAAAATAGCAATCATAAATGTTATTACTACTGAGTCCTATAAATCTTCTATATTGAGGTATAAATTTATAGAAATCAAATAATAAATTATAAATTTAATTTAGTAAAATTAAGGCAGTCAGTTTATACTCTAAATTACTATAGAATAAAAGTCTTTAAATATATATTTATTATGATATTTAAAAAATCAGAACTAACTATTAGTTTCCTATTAAAAATTTCTAGCAGTAATCATTGACATGTCCCGTATTCTTAAGTTAACTTTTTTGGAATTCATTTATATCGAAAATGCTCTCCTTCTTGTTTCTATTGTATATAAATTTATACTGTTGCAAAAAATGCTATTATTTCCTGTCTTGATGTTATAATATTTGTTAAGAATATTTTTTTACCACCCGCTCTGGTATGGAGTAAAATCTTAAACAATTTTAGGTGCTTATTTGAATTCTTAACTTGTCTATTTGATTAATTCCTTAATAGAGGACTGTTTAATAAATTTTTATGGAAATTATTGAAGTTCTATTTTAGAAGGTTAAGCTTAAATCTTTTGTTATTTATTGTTTATTTGTTGGTTCTGTTATATTTGCATTATGTCAGCTATTGAAATATGTGTTTCTTCTTGTAAGCAATAAGTAAGAGCTCTTTCTAACATAAAAATAATAAAAAAATTATATAATTTCTTTATATTATTTGATATATCAACAGAAAAGTTATTGGGAAACACTCTAAATTTAAATAAAAGATTAGATATTGTGAAAAGTTCTGGTGCGTGTAATATAAAGAAAATAAGAATGATAAAATAGAAAGCTTTAAAAAAAAAAGGTTAATTATATTAACAAATTTAATACTATAAATCAATTAGATCCTCTTATCATTAATATTTAAGGAATTAAAATTCATAATCAATCAATACAAATAACTCTCTGATTTTGGCTGAACTTTTTAATAGAATTGTATTAATTATTTTAATTTAATTGAAAACATCATACACTCCTGGCAACCTTGGGTTGAACTTATTACTTTTGTTATGATGATAATAAAAATATGATGCTTCTAAAAATTACTCCCCAAACTTTATTATAAGATTATTCCATTATTTTTTTCAAACACAGTTATTCTTGATAGTATTTATAAAATAAATAAATTCTAAATATTAAATTAACTTTTTTTTCCTTTCATGGAGAATAATCAAAATGATGAAGAATACCATTTTATTCCATAGAGTTAAATAAATGACAATTAGGATTAAAACGTAGAAATATAGAGGGATGGGGATATTGATTCTTGGAGCTATTGCTTATTAATCACATGTGGGATGAGTGCCTTAATAGGTGGTTTTTTTTTATCCGGAATGACTTCCTCTTAAGAAAATTCACCTGATGAATGCATCATTATCATTAAAACAATAAGTTATTACTCTTAATATTTAATTATTGATGGGGCAGCTTAAATGTATATATTCAATCACATCATAAAGAATTGTTATTTTTATTATTTCATGTTGTTTGCGGCCATTTAAAAAATACAATATTAGAAAATCAGTCGATAAATAATTATTATTTTAATTTTTTGATTAATTGTTAATTTTTCTTGTGATAATCATCATAGAAACAATAATCAAAGACAAGAAAAGGTGTATAACAATAGGAACTAATTTAATAATAATTTTCTATATGGTTTTGGTATACATTTTGACGTTTTTATTGTCAGTAGAAATTTGGAACTTATGAAGGCATTAAATCTAAGTTATTTTGATTTATATTCAAAAAAGATAAATTTTATATAATTCAACTTTGATAAAACTATAAATCATCACTATTTAAACAAAAGCCATTAGTAATATTAATTAAAGTCTAAACTAATTCTATTTTAATTTTCTCTTTTTTTGAAGAAATTAACACTTAATTAGAAAGATCAATTGAATTGCATCTAACTAAATAATTATATTGTATTTTAAAACAGATGCATAATCGTACATTTCAAAAAATTAATCGAACATATCATATATAAAATTTGAGATTGTGAAAAATTATAATAATCATTTCAATTTTATTTAATACTTAATAAGTTGAAGCTATTTTCACATGAATATTAATAAAGAGTAAAGAATAAATTTGGAAAGTTTTTATTCCAATAATCAAATAAGTCTCTATCAGAATTTCCTAATAATTATTTACTATTCTTTGTAAGCTAATGGTAATGATTCTTAGTATTACGAATAAGCTAATAATTATAAGATTAATTTTATACTCTTATCAACTATAAAGCCTAGGTCTTATCATATCCTCGAATTTGTTCTTTTAAAAGTATTTCGCATTTATTGCCCCAATCATCCTGAAAAACCTAGTTTTAAATGCACATCTCTTATAATGTTGTTTACCCTGGTTTTTATGGGAAGGTTTCGATATAATCGCTAAATTCGCAGATAAATTTTAGTTTTTTTTCTTTTGGCCAAAAGTAAGGATGTGAAAGGAGATTACCATAATCAATTATTGGTCCATCAAAAAGCAATTTCAATATTAAATCTCTAATATCTAAATCTTTGATTTTATATTTCTTAAATTTATTCAAAACGGCCTTTAGATTTATTAAGGATAGTTTTTTAAGATCATCTCCCCTTGATAGTAGATAGTAAAATATTGCTGCTAATTACTACTTCAAATTATAGCTATTAAAGAAATCAGGATTAGCTGATTTATTCTTGAATCTATAATAATCGGCTCTCTAGGACATTCCAAGATCAGCAAAATACGCTTGTAAATCTTAGTTAAATATGATATTTTCTGGATCTAATCCATGGTGTTTAATTTGTTTTTCTTCTAGTTCTTAAAGTCCAACTAATAAATTATATATAAAGGACTTATAAAAATGAGGGTCTAAAAGGGTTTATTTTATTTTGATTTTGAGTGAATCATTTAATTTATTACAAGATTCATATTTTACTAAATCTTTTAAATTTATTAAACCTTTTTCCATTGCTAAATAAAAGTGATTATTTCTTTTTTCATAGAAATATAGTTTTATAAATTTTTCAGAAGTTAAAGAAATTTATTGAGCAAATGATTTCTCTAATTCGCCATCCAGCATACTTTAGGAAATATTCAATAGATTGATATCTTTAACAGCAACTGTTTTGTTTTGAAAAAGACCATCATAAACATTTGTTCCATTCGAACCTTCGCCTATGATTTCTAATTCATTGAATTAGATTTTATTCTATTAAATATATTTTAATTCTATATTTGATTCCTTAACATTTATCTAAAACTTCGGCTTTTACTTTTTAAATTTAAGTCCAGTTAATAAAGCAAAGCCAATTACAATTATAGTCAACAATATCATTGTGAAGGAACCATCATCATTGTGAATCTCAAAGCATTAATCTATGATTTCAGGAGTAGTTTATTGATAAACCATTGGTAACTTCGAGGTTTTTGCATTATAGAATTCATTTAAACACTATTTTAATTTTGTCTCTTTGTAGATACCAAGAGCAGTTGTAGGTTTATAATCAGTTTGCAAACATTATCCATTCTGCTAGCATTAAAAGTTGTCATTTAAAATTGATATTATTGCTAAACTTTTTGATTCTATTTAATCTCTGTTTATAGGTAAAGACAATAATCCATTTAAATTATCATAAGCGAAGACTTGAAACACCTCATTATCTAAATATAAATCAAAGGTTTTGTTGTTCCATTAGACGTAAATTCCATTCTGAGTCTTCCATATTTTAGTAGTATTTGAATGTTATTTAAATGTTTAGTTACTTCGAATTTATTGCAATAAGAATTTAATATACACTCTAGAATTATAAAACTGAGAGAATTCATATTCCAAATGAGAAATATACTATTGTTATACATTGATTAGAACTCCTTATTGGTAGAGTTTGGGCTTCTTTAAAATCTACTGCACATCAAATTGATTTAACTTTTTTAAATTACCTGTTGTTATATCCATAAAAAATGCCAGATTATTATTAAAAACAAGGGAATTTTTAAACATGCTACAAGTGCTAAACAATAAATTAATATCATCTTGTTCTATTTCCTAAGTTAGTTTGTAGAATTACATATAGGAAATCATCGTAAAGTAAGTATGTGCCATCTTTGTATGGTTGTAAATAGTGTGTAGAATTATTGACATTTTCGGATTGAAGAGAGATCCCTAATTATGATACCCATAGAATTTGTTGGTACTTTAGATCATAATTGTAAATCATTCCATTTTTAGTAATAATCTATTATATGTATATTGAGTGTACTAAGATTTTATCCTAAAGGATGGATCCGTAATAGTTATACAGTTCAATATCTCCAGATTTAACCTAAAATAGTAGGAAGAGAAAGATGGTAAGCATAAATATATTATAAAATATAATGATAATTTCACATTATTTTATTTCCACCAACCTATTCAATTACAACATCAATCTCATCTCCAGTTTCCATTCCAATCTAATAGATAACGAAATACATTATACGTCTGCTGGTGTTTAGGTCTCCAAAATTCTTTCTCCGTCAAATAAAAATCTAACATTTTAGATTTGGAGCTAAATTAATCACTTCATAATACATTTTGCCTAGAACAATAGGCATCCATCAACTTCTTAAATTGAGTTTACTTTTTGATTTTAAAGAAAACCTCCTCGCCATCTTATGATTTCACTTTTAAGTTCAAATATTCTGCCTATGATTGATCTGCCATTTTAGTTTATTAAAATAATTAATTCATTATTTGATAGTATATTTTATATATAAACAGTTGTAAAATAGAAACATAAACAATAAACAAAAGATCATTTTAACTTGCTGTCTTCATTAAGTCCTTGTGTCGATTAAGGTTTTTAAAATCTATTAAATATTACTGATTTGTTTTCTCTCTGGAGAAGCCTAACAATAACAAGAAAGCTTACATCATCATATTCTTTCAGATGGAATTGTTAAACTTTGCTATTTATTTCTTTAATTTTTTCAAATATTTCCTTAAAATCAAGACTCCTAACGTTATTTACACAAATAAATGCTTCAAATAACTGGAAATAGCAATCTTATATTGATTATTAATATACATTTAAATGTTGAGTTGATAATGGGAGTATTTACTATCCATATGTTAAAAAGATGATTCACATAATCCTACGTATAAGTATGAACTATGCAATCATAGTTCATAATTTATGGACTCCATGTTGAGGAGTCGTCATTTGTACTTTGGGTCATTGTATCACAGTTGTCTGCTACAAATATTCTAAACATAAATTTACTGTATTCTATCATATTTTAAAGTCTTCTTGGACTTAATTATAGGTCGTCAATCATAATTAAAATGAAATGAGATTTTTAAGTGATCTATGGTAGTTGAGGCTGTTGGATGCAATCAAAACTAAATGACGAATTTACTATGAAATCCTCAAAGTATTCGTCTACTTAGCAATTGCTTAATTGCTTTTATTTTTTTTCTGCCTTCACAATTTTCTAAAAGAAATTTCAACAAATCATACACTTAAGTAATCTTCTTCTGAATTTGCATGCATACCTCCACTTCGAAACCTTCTCAAACTCATCCTTGAATATTTGATTTTTATTTCTTTTTATTTATTTATTTAAAAAACACAATCATTAATTTCAATTATTAATTGTTAAAATGAAAAATATAATATGAATTTTCTTAAGAATTTCTGAATTCATCAATTGTCTATTCAAAAATCCCTGAAAGGAGTGACTTTATACTAAACCAAAATACTTCAAAACGAATTCAACTTAAAAATGAAAAATAGCTGCCTTTAATGGAGTTTTTATATTAAAATAAATTTTAATATATCCGAAATATATTTATATATTATTCTAAAATCATTTAGAAAACTCTTAAAGACTAAGAAAATAAGGCAATTTTTATGATAAATAAGACGAAATCATTAGTAGAAACAAAATATATAACAAATAAATAATTTGAAACGAATACAGTATTCTTTATATTTGTAATATAATTAAATTATACAATAAAACAAATGGATAAGTTCTTTTTATTGAAAACTTCAATCATTGAAGAAATTACAGAATTCTCATTTAGAATGGATGAACCTTCTAATAATCTTTTGATTATTAAATAAGTTTATAGATTTACAATTATTTTATTTTTCTCTCAAAATTGCCTGAAATACTAGGGAAATGTCATTATAAGTATTTCTTTAGGTTTTTACTCCACACCTTCGATTAATATTATTTTGAGAATCCTTATTTTTCCATTTAATTAAATACGGAAGATACTAAATATATATATAATACGGCATGAAAGCTCGAAAAAATGAGTATTATCTCCAAAAAAGAGCGAACTTTATCAAGCTTTTCAAAAAGTAAACAATAAAGATTGTATTAATAAAATCAATCAATTTGGAGTCTATCTGAGCCTTCGGCTAAGAATTGGGTTTCGGTACGGATTGAATAACTCTTGAGATTGTGTTTTTTCTTTAATCAAATTTTCAATATTTATCTTCTCTGATCCTTGATTTAGGATTTATGCAAAGGACCCATACTATTGAGATTCAATTGAGCCTTTCGATTTTGATTTACATATACCCATTTCTGTTTGGTTAATTTAATATTAATTGATGAATTTATTTTTTTATCATAAATAGCTCAGGTGTCTTGCAGATAACATATAAAACGATTCAAAATAATAATTTATTGAATTAAAATATAATATAATTTCAATGAATTCATTAATTATTCTTTCTATCTCCATCTTTAGAAGTATTTTCACTAAATGAGAAACTAGACTCAAGCAAACTTCTTTTTTAACATAATTCAAATCCAGGCATTTCCATTTCTGAAATTTGTTCCTATAGTTTTTTTTCTAACTTGGATATTTTAGCGATATCTAATTGTTAATTTTATCTTGCTTATCTTTTCATATAGTTTAGTAAAGTATCCTTTGATGTCTTGATTGTGAACATCAATAAATCAAGAATAAACATTGATAATACAGATAATGCCAGACTTAGATAAAAGGCATAGCTTGAAAATAACATCTAAGTAGTTCCAAAAATGGCAGATGAAGGTATAATGTTGGATACCCACATATAGGCAAAATAAGTACCTAAACTGGTTCCTAAATAGGCAACCCAAGTTATGATTGTCCAGAATTGAGTATTCAAAGCTAGTTTTAATGTAACAAGCTAATAATTAAAAAAATTGATTACAATCATGATGGCAGTAGACATTGACATACTAAAGAACCATAAATCATTGTTATATCCAGATTGTTTAATGAAAGTAGTATCATTTAATTCTAGGTAAAATGAAAAGAAGCATGCCAATCCTTAGAAAATTCCAATTGAAAACCATTTAAAAAATCTAGAAATAATATTATCCATTAATTACTTTTCGCTTGTAAATATAGTGTTTTTTTGGCCTATATAATAAAGTAATGGATAACTCTATCTGAGTATGTCATTTTCCTCTTCTCCTTAAGTGATTCTTTTGCTGCCTAATATTGTTTCCTTCCTTTTTTGTGTATAGAAAACATCTTCATCGAAGATGGCTCTTATGACCACAGGCAGGAATGTAAATACAGTATTGTAAAATGAGACAAAGCTAAGTTAAATGATGAGAAATAATACAATTAATCAAATACACTGGTTCCAGTTAATCCACAAAAGAAGGCAAAATAGAATTGAGGGACAGTGAATATGATATTTTTGTAAAAGAAGTATAAAATCATTTCAGAAATACGAATGTAATTTTATCTTCCATGAAATAACACTAATTTCCAAAGACATTTAAATTAACCAATAGCATAATTACTAGCTTAAACAGCTCTCATACCTTCTTGGCCATAAATTCCAATCCCAATATGTGCCTCCTAAATCATATTGACATCATTAGCACCATCTCCAACAGCCAGAGTAATCTTTCCTAATTCATTCTTAACTAATCTAACCATGTCTGCTTTTTATTTTGGAGTAACACGACAACAAATAACTGTATGAAGATGAGGAGCTAACAAAACTAAATATTTAGTTAGATTTTCGTTTTCATTTAGAACAGCCAACACAATACCTTCTATAATCATAGCTCTTTTAGAAGTAGGTTTCTATATAACATGATCAGCGATTTTATTAAATATAGATAGGATATCACAACCAGGAGTTAAAAAGAAAACGTCCATTTACTCTTATAACAAATTACAAGATCTACCAATATTTTCAGCTGTTTCCAATTTATCTCCAGTCAACATCCACACATTTATATTAGCTTTAAGAAAATCTGCTAAGGTTTCTGGAACATCGTCCTATAATTTATCTTCCACAGCAGTTGCTCCAATGAGTGTAAGATTCTACTCAATTTGATTAATTAATTCAGTTTACTTTTTTTCAGCGTCATTCCCACCTAGAGTGTCATTCATAGCTTATGAGAACTCATTGAACTTTTTCTCATCAAGAACTCTCATAGCTAAACATAGTGTTCTCAATCCTTTCCTTGAGAACATATCCAATTTTTTATCAACCCCTTCTAAAAATGGTTGATTTGGACCCAATCTTTATTTGATAATTGCATCAGCTCCTTTAGTATATAATTTAATCACACCCTTATGCTTAATGATAACAGACATTCTCTTCCTATCACTATTAAATTCAAAGGAGAACAAGAGTTCAACCTTTTCCTTAACCCCAAGCACATCTACCTCCATCATGCCCATAGTAATCCCTTTATATATTATGTTTAGCCTTCGAGCAGCATCTACTAATGCTATTTCATCTGGAGAAGGTCCTTGATAATTGAAGGTGCCATCATCTTAAAATTCAAGAACACACTCATGACAAGTGGCTAGCAACATTAGATTTTCCTTGACCAAATCTCCTTGATTTCTGATTAAATAGGTATCCACATTAAGATCTATGGTTGGATTCTTATTGGGATCAGTTTCAGAAATGATGGATTAAATGACTGCGCCAGAGAATGTGTATTCAATGCCTGCTTTTTCATTAACAACTGTGGATCTTCGAGAATGCACAGTGCTCTGTCTTCTTAAGATCTGATTGCCTACGAAAGTGCTCATTTCATGCTTATCAAACATGGATACATCTCCATAAGTCTCATTTCCACAGACAGATATTTTGAATTCCATTTTGTTGCAAGTCAAAGTTCCGGTCTTATCTGAAAATACATATTGAACCTATCCCAACTCCTCGTTAATAGTAGTGCTAAACACTTTGACATACTTATCATTTTCAGCAGTGTACATTTCCCTATCCTTTTACATAAATATTCCCTAACCTACTTTTACAAATTCCAAAGATACTATTAAACTTATTGGTATCAGAGTGTTTAGCAGTAGGAAATAGGCAGCAAAGGTCATCAATGAAGCCAAAGCACAATTTGGGATGTCTGGATCATAGATGTCATCATCTCCATTATAAGATGTATAGCCAGCAAAGCTTTTACTAAAATAATCAAAATTTATGTTATGAATGTCGCAGTTTATTCCATAGATAATAGCTAAAACTAAACAAGCAATTGTTTGCATGATCAAGATGTAAATAATTCTGACATTAATCAATCTGTCTATGTTGCTCATTTTGTTTTTTTGCTCCTCGGAATTTCTCATTACTTTTGTGTCTATTCCAGTATAAACCACAACTCCTATAGCCCATTTTACATTTTTCAATTTTGATCCTCTCAATAAAAAGTTCTTATGAGTTAATTGAATTTTCTTGCTCTCCAAAAAGAGTGTTCCATCGAAATTGTAAAGCAAAGCATTCGGATTTATACATTCAATTACACCTTCTCTGCATTCCATGGTTTAGGTCTCTTTAACTGCTTGTTTCGGTTTCAAATTCTTCTCCCCATCCAAAGAGGAGGTTTCGATGAAACAGATCCCGTCTTAAGAAGTTTATAACACCACTATGTCAGCAGAGATTATTTCTAATTCATCAATTTTTATGATATCTCCTATGAGTACATCTTTCCATGTTTTCTTCACAAAACCCCCACTGGTCCATATGGTAGTGGGAGATGAATTCAATTCATTATCACTAAGGTGTTTTTGATAATCTTCATATCCATCTCTTAACATGGACAAGGACACCACAAAGAGCAAAGGTGCAATAGAATTTATCGGGCTAAATGGTGAGATGGATTTAAAAAACGACAATATGGCAATAATAAGAAAATAGATGTTCGCCATCCTCTAGAATTGTAATGCTAATGAATATGGAAGGAAGGTTATCATATTGTACCTCAAATATGATTTAATGGATACCTGCTTGTCCGTATAAAATTAGTTGGATATTAGTATTGCTTATTTTACAATTGTTGTGTAGTCCCGAAGTAGAGTTTGCGTTCCATTCTTAAATTATATAAATTTATTCCATATAATCACATTCTTAAATCTAAAATCGAATCTTGTCATACTATAACTTCCACAATATCAAAGTAACACAGTAGAAGAACCAATTATCAAATTAATAAACCCTATGCAGTTCTTCAGCATAACGTTCATTAATGAACTTGCATTTATGAATTATAATGATTTTTCTACTTCATATAACATTTTATTCAAATTTTGATTAAAAAGCCTTAACAATCAGTTGCTACCTTAGGAAATTATCAAAATGACAAGACATACATCGAGATATTGGTTCTTAGTCAGCATCATAGATGGTCATCAATGGGAACTATTTTTGAAAGATAGACACTTGAGAGGTTATATGCAATTTGGAGTTGGAACTGATTTAAATGCGATGGTATTCTCTTTTGAATATCAAAATTTAATTTGAAGTATACAATTAGAATATAAAGCTTTATAACAAAATTTGAAAATATAAATATTTAAAATAAGTAGTGAATCGTAAATCACTTAATTTGTAACAAATCATTAATTATCGGATTGAATACTGTCTGCCAATTCCATAAAGGATATACACATTGTTGGAAACATATCTTAAAAGTCTTGATCTTATTACAATGTCCTAATGATTTCAGCTGCTATTATTAATTGTGTCTGTAGCGATTTATTGAACTTTTTGTCCTGAAGTAATAAAGCCTCGTCATCTTGCTGAGGCGGTCGAATTAAGCCTTTTATTCTTAATTCTCTTCTTATGGTGTTTTAAATGATTATTTAGCAATTGTTTTTTTATGCGAACAACTGTCTTAACTGATCTCTGGTCTTTTGTTTTAATTGATCCAAACTCCCTACCAATGACAATAGCAAAGAAAGTTATTTGAATTGCTTCAACGCTTGTTGAGGGTGATAAATGTTTGGATTAGTATGTATATTTTAATGTGAATCCCCAAGAACCACTTTTGATGGCTGAGTCTAATGGCACTTATTGGCCTCTCGTTTCTTACTGCATGTCTGCCCCATCAAATTTAATTTTATCTATGTTTTGATTAGGTACTAAATATATAATAAATTATCAATTATATTTGGAAAGTTTAGATTATTTCTTTAAAATAACATCATTGCTCCTTAATTCTTGTTTCATTAATTTGTCGACATCCTTGTCTATCTTGTACTGTTCATAAAGTCTCTCCATCTCGTCGAATATAGCAATTCCATTAGTAAACAGATCTTCGGCCTCCTTCTCCAATTTCATGTATTCTAAATATTACTAATAAACTCACTTTTCTGATAGATGGCTTGATACAGAGGACTCTAAGTCGTGAATTCATAGATGTTCTTGGCCTGATTTGTCATCATATTGTATTGATTTTGGTGATGCATCATTTTGAATTGATCTGATTTCATGAATGAACCCTGAATCCATTATTTATCAAAGTCCAATTTCCTCCAATATTCTTTCAGTTTCTTCTACTAAGAGGGTCTAATAATGAAAAAGTATTCGCTGAAGAGTTTGGTTTGTAATTCCAAATTCTCATTCAAAACTTATTAATTTTTAAGGATTTTAGTTGCTGATTCCGAATCACTTATGTTTAATGTAATCTTTACATCCTTCAACTCAGTCAATAAGGAGAGACTATAAATCTTCCAGGCCTCAATTAAATTGTCATCCACATACTTATAGGTTTGTAATTCATATCTTATTTTGTTTCTGATCTATTTGATTGACTTAATTTATTCACTGTGTTTTTCTAAAATGAATGCAATCTCACTCCATTTCTCATCAACTTCAGAACACCCAGTCCATCTTATTTTGAATAGAAATATCTTTTGTTTGTCATCCTCATCGTTATTCAAAACCTTAGGCTTTATTTTAGACCTCTCCAATTTGATGTTGTAATAGTAATCCTCTTCTTCTTGGGTTCTCTTTTTGCCTGGATGATACAGTAACACCAAACTGTTCATTTTGGCTCTCATTCTATAGGAATCGTTGCCAATCGGAATCACATCAAGGTCACGATACAATTTTCTACCCCATTAATCTGCTTCATTCTCATATTGATGATTCTTTTGAATCAGGGCTTCCAATTCTATATCCAATTCCTTTAAATTGTCGTAAAACTAATCAGCATTGAACAACCCCTTATTGATTTTACTCATGTTGTATTCTATGTTGGCAAAGGCCTCACCTCTTTCAGTTGGAGATAAAGTATTTAAATAAATTGATGATTGTTCCTTCATGGTTTTTAATTTCTCATAAATGTCTTTGGCCTTGAGACGATCTTCTGGATATTATTATTTCGCATTTTATACATATTCAACATATTCCTTGAGGATGATAGCAAACCAATGAAACCTGAGTTCTTTGCAGGACCCTAGATTGTAATTGAAAGTGGGAGTCTCATCCACAGATTCGTTAGGATTATTGAAACTGTAGCGTACATTCATTCCTTTTGAATTTCCCTTGTTGCAAAGCGAAACTCCCCAAGTCCACAACTTATAAGCATCAGTCAATTTGGGGTTGTTGAGAAGATGAGCCTTTGTGATGTTGATCATATTGATCCTCCTGGAAATCACCTTATTCTGCAAAAGATCGAGGTCTCTTAGACATTGGGATTGCAACAAAAACAGCTATTGCAAAATCAACACAAAAATTACTTGATCGAAGGCTATGATATGCGTTTGTTTCATATTGTTATAGATGTTTTTGTTGATGGATTACTGGACATCTTTGGCACTAATGCATCCCATAATTAATAATAATATTAATATGACTACAGCATCATGTGTCGATCCTCGTTACTTTACAAGGTACCATGCTAATGGCACAGGTATGGAAGTGAATTTAACATGAAGGCAGAGACTACTATGTTCAATATTCCAATGGTGGTCTATTGAAGGATAGTCAAACTCATTTTGAAGGAGTCTACGAAAGAGCAGGATTAGGAAAGAAGGAAGTCCAAATCAGTCTCCCTAGTATAACACCCAAATTCTAACATTATCCTAATGATGGTTCAGGAAGGGATTTTTACATTACGTAGAAATTTATTAAAAAACACAGATGCAATGAAGGTGGCCAGTTGCAGAATTAAAGAAAGTTCAATTATCTATTAAATTTGCGGTCGTACAACAAAATGCCTGAAGAACCGTTATAAAATGATTTTCTTCGTAGAACATCCTACACAACAAAGAGACAAGTCTTAAAATCAAGACAGTTGCAAAGGTACTAAAGATTCCTACCATTCTAGCCAATAAAAACAATTAACTTTGAAGTTGTGCAGCCCAAAAAACATCAAGTGACCTGAGATAATTTTGAATAATAATTAATATAATATACATAATTCTTACGAACAAGGATATCAATCCCATCTAAATCATAATCCATCAAATATATATTCTCCTAAATTCAGAGATATGGAGTTCAAAATGACTAAAATCATGGTCCCCGTTTTTCAGTAACTTAACATTGATAGTATGCATCTTCTTCTTTTATTGGAGTTTAACATTAGAAACTGTGACAGATGTGGTGATCTTCATACATAATTTAATAATAGAAGTATCATAATAATAGAAATTAGAATTATTTTAGTTTAGCCAACTAAAGTACAAATTGATGATTCATTATTCTTAACAAAGGAATGTATGAATGTCTTTCAATAACATTGGGTGATGAAACAACTTAAGATTTATTTTAGACTTAACCATTCTTACTTTATAGAATTATTATAAATGACAAAGCAAAAGATGTAGTGAAATTCATTAATCAAAATCAATTTTCTGTTTGGATTTTCCGAAGAGATCAAATTTGATATGGTAAAAGTCTTCCAAATATCCAAAAAGAAATTTACATAGTTTATGATCAATTATTTAATATTCGGATTTTAAATAGCTTTAGCATCTGCAAGTAATATTTACCATATCTATAATGTTAATGAATTATTATTTACTAAGTTTATATTGATGAAGGAATTTAACGCTTAATTATTAAGTAATTAGTATCAACAGATATCAAAGATTTCATCATCATTATTAATAAGTTGATTGACAAAATGTTACTATTGAATGGATCGGAAAGAAATTCAATGGATAATCAACATTATGGATTAATAGTTTAATTATAAAGTATATAATCAATTTATTCATAAAGCAACTAATAAATGAAGATACTAATTGAGAATGATTTGGATGGTTTATTGTAAAATCAAATTCTCAGTGACTTAATTAAATGAATCTTGAGATAAAAATGAAACTGTAGCAAAAAAGTTGATCGAATATTTTGAGTATAGATATACTGATATTTTAATAAAAAATCTTAATTCATAGACATTTTTCAAGTTTAATATTCAATGATATATCAACAAACAAAGTAACAAAAACCATCAATTGAATAAAGATAATCATAGAAGTCTTGAGCTGAAATTTTAGTATTTAAAGGTAATCCATTGAATATGAAATTAATCCCTTACACTTTGGTATTTAGTGCTTATCCTATTGTTTATTGTTGATCTTTTATTTCAAGTATTGTTTACAAGTGACCTCCTTTTTTGAAATAAATTCTTATAGGTAGTTGTATTCTTCCTGTGTTTGGTTTTTCAAATATTTTCATATAATATATAAAGAGGTCTTCCTTATTTTCAAATGAAATGATTCGTTTGAATGCTTATACTTCATCATTAATTGAAACATTTTAAGTTAAATTTTTAATGGGATCCCCATATCCTTCATGGTTATAACGGCCAAAGCATGCCCATTTAAGATTAAATTTGATTTGGTTCTTTATTTCATCTTCCAAAGTTAAAAAGTGGGCCTAATTCTAATAGATTAATATTAATTCAATAGGAGTGAATGTATCCTCACTTTTATATTAATCAATGAGTACTCCAAAAGGTATTTAGTAAGGTAATAGAGTGTCTTTATATTGAAAAGAAATTTGATTTATCTTATTAATTTAAGGCGAATAGGAATTGAAATGCTAATGGGTAATTCATATATTTGTACATCATAGATCTGCTAATAATAGAAGAGTAAATAATGTTATCTATAAATCATTAAGTACAAAGGCGGTATATTGCTATATAGGAGATTTACCTTAACAGCCAATCTCATATTCCAAATTTCTTTTTGATATTACTAAGAGTTCATTTTAATAAAAATTATTAAACTTAAACATTTATTTATATAAAATAATCACGAATTACAAGACAGATCGCAAATGATATATTATTTGAGGATGATTAGAAAACATGTTCAATCATCTTATACTATGAATCATATACTTTTTAGCTTTAATTATAATCATTAATTCTATCGTAAAACATTTCCTGTTGCTTAATTAAGTTTTATTCTAGATATAGATTCAGATTTAATCCATGAATTGAATTAAATAAATATTGATATTGCTAACTAATTTACATACATTTAATAAATCATATCGCTGATAACTCCTGTCCTGGCCCATCTTCTTTATCTTAATCTGCTTATTAAGTCAAGGCTTTTTTATCATCTTCTAATTTGGTTATTCTATCTCTAAGTCTTTTGAAACAAGCTATACCAAGTACCGCAAGGGATAAACATAAAAATATAAGGAATAGAGCAATCCCAAATAGTGTAACATTCTTTCTAGATAGTACACTAGTGTCTTAGAAGACAATTGAAAAGACTTATTGAGATTTGGTAGCAATGAAGGGAGAAGAGGAATTTAGGAAGTATTATGCAACTAAGTAGCTTTCCTGAAAGTGTTCTTAAGATTCACATTCGATGCGAGCTGCTAACTGATCAATACTGAGTAATCTTAATTCTCTTTTTGACAATCCGACAAATGAGTCATTCCATAGTTTGAGTTACAACATTTGAGGGAATTCAAAATAATTGTTACTTGAAAATTTAATAAACTGTGAGAAGATGGAATGCTATATAATTTTATGTGCCTCATATCCAATTAAAACAGCATATTTTTCATAAACTTTCACATCATAAAATTACATCTCATCAATATAATAGTGATTTAAGTAGTAGGAGTTATCCGTAAAATTTAAGAAGATTTCTAAAGCATAATCTTATCTTCTTTGTGATTCTGCAATAACAAAAAAGGTATTTTTGTAATGGCTGAAATCACTTCCCATCAATATTGGAACTCTGAATTTGAATTTAAAATCATAATCACAAATTAATAGACCCTATGAATGATCGAGAATGTAAATGTCTAATATAATTTTAAGTAATTTTACTCTCTTCATCTCCACTTATGTCTTTGACTATCAAGTGTTTCTCTTCAATTCTGTCTATATTTTTAAGATACATCAATCGCCCGTCTTAATAATTGTATACATCAACTCCCTCATTGCCACAAGCAACATAGATTGCGTTATCTTTAAGATAGGCATCATAAACGATTCTTCTTTATTTAAAGGGTTCTGGACTGGTAAAGAATGTGTTCTCACCAATTGATCTAGGAAGATATGAGATTGATATTAATACATCCAATCAGGTATACTGACACCTCCATTCTCGGATATTATGTAAACTCTCTTATTGTGACTATTCCATAAGAAGATTGGATGAGATATATCAGAGTGAGGGATTTTCAATTTCTATTAAGTTATGGTTTTAGTGAATTGTGAGTGTGCAACATTAACTTCTTGTAAGGTGAAGTCATTTCTGATTATCAGAGCTCTGTTCTACAGCACTATCAAATCTGTGTAAAAGATTTGGTCATTGCTTGGCAATCCCATTCTCAGGTGTTATGAAATGTGGAATGACTTTTGAATAGGAACACATCCTGGCATTCCTTACAACCTATGCTCTTCTTATTCTATTATGTCATAATCTTGATCTGTGAATTTATATTTATGAGAATCGGAGGAGGTTCGTTTCCATAAGACAATTTAGAAGCATGATGGATCTTCATATAAAATTTTAGTTTAATCTACAATAGCAGTAAAATAGGCGTGTTGGTTGTTCTCAACATTTAATTTGACTTCTGGTTTGCTAGCTATTACAGAATTAAGTAATAATAAAATAATCATATTATTATGCTTAGGGATATATGAAAGCATGAGATCATAGAATAATCGATATTTTAGATTATCAAGAAAATACGAGTATTATAAATAAAAATTACTTGAACTGCTAATAAAAAAATGAAATAATTTATAACCTATATCAATATTCCTGAAGTGCGTGGAAAAATTCCAAAATGTCAAATCTGTCAGAAAAGTTTCAGTTTCACAACGAGGGAACATCAATGCAAAAGGTATGAATAAAACATTATGCAGATGTCTAAGAGCTGTATGTGAGGGATGCTCTCCATTCAAGATTAACCATGTTAAAAAAGATGGCAAAGAATCCACAAAACCGCATAGAATGTGCAAAATCTGTAAAGAGGTATATGGAAGTCTAATTCAAGGAATCAGAGCAAATAAAGAATTTTGTGGAGTCGAATCATATTGCTTATGGCGTTGACACCTTATCGAAATAATGGCTGGGAGGTTCACTAAGTCAACAGGAATATAAGAATGCTCGTGAGAGTGCTAAAATAAGATTCGATAAAACAGAAATAAGTGGTTTTGACAACATCAACTATTCTCTAAAAGAATTTTATTATCTAGTGGGCAAAGACAATACCAAACTGTAGAATGTTTGTTTGACATTCTGTTCCAAGAATCCAGAAGTGCAATTTTCAGCAGAATTAGTATGTTTGGCCAATTTTCTATTATGTTTTTCATCAGAAGCATCCACTTATCAATTATTAAGCATAATTTACAAATAAAAGCCCCCTGATGAATGCATCGTAAGCATATTAACTTACTGCGTAAAAGGCTATGGTCTAGGGGAAGATGAAAAGTCATTGTTGAAATAATTCCTACAAAGTAGATTGAAGAGATATTTAGTCACATTCGCAATCAACATGTTCAATTTTGATACAACTCTATTTCTAATCACGCAACTAATCAAAAAATACGATTCATTCATTAAAGGGTTGTCTGCAATATTTATGTTGGCCAGCACTTTATTGAAGAATACCAATCATGAAGATCTTGAATTGTGGATATTAAGAAATGTGAGAAGAAAAGATGCAGAAAGTAAATTAAACCTCATGCAGATGCCTGCCCCTAAACAGGAAGTCGAGATTAGAGACACATCCTAGTCAATTAGAAGCGTTGCATTTTCAATGATCGAATAATAAGATCAATCATAATATAATGAGATGAAAGCTGAAATATCCAATCTAAAATTATAACTTGCATTGAAAGAGAATGAAATTGAAAGCTATAAGTTTTAATTACAACAAATGCAATCTCCTGATGACTCAAAGAAAGACAAATATATTCAATAAAAAAATGATGAGATCGCCATTTTATTGGCTAGAGTTGATGCTTTGACCTTAGAAAACAAATAGTTATCCAAGAAAGAATCTAATTATTCAAATTAAAGTTCTATATAAGCAGAATAATAGAAGATTATCTAAGAATAACAATAACAAATAGAACGCTTAAAGACGAAACTCAAAGATACTACTTTTGAAAATAGAGCAATGTCAATGTCATTGGCTACTAGTGCTTAGAGTATTATGTCTGGCAAAGAAGTGCAGGATTTAAAATAAAAACATGAAGACGAAAAACGATAACTATTAGATTAAATTCAATCTTTAGAGCAGAATAAAGCTCAACTTCAACGTATTATAGATTCATAAAAGTAACTGAACCAAAGAGTTGTTGATTACATCAGCTCTATGACCATCAATACTAATGTTATAGAATTGTCACTCAAACCTCCTTTGGAGAGAAGCACTAAAAATGATAATGAAGATTACAAGCTCCTTATCGATACTAAGAATCAATAAAATCAATTGTTGAAATAATTGCTTATGACAAATCAATAGCAAATTCAAGAGCTGAATAATAAGCTCAAAGATATTAAGCAAATGATTTATTCATCATGAAATTATAAAATATATATTTTTATAAAAGAAAGAGAGAACAATATTTTACAATTACTTCCTGTTCAACTTCGATTGAAGATATTTAATAGAATGTTCAAAAAAAATAGATTTATTTATTTATGTTAATATTATCAATTTTAATATTACTGCTCGTATATGTTGGATTTAGATTCTGCATTCGTTCGAAATACAACAAAAAATACAACATGCTTGTATTATTCGGATCTGGTGGACATACTTATGAAATGCTGATGAGTTTGAAGAATTATGATTTCCAAAGAAAATGTCAGAATTTATATTTTATGCATTCCTTCGCTGATTCATAGGAACCAGGAAGAGTGGCTAAGTTTATTGAAGACAATAAGGTATATAGACTCAATAAAATAAAAAGATTGCTTTACCAAAAGTGGAATGGATTACTATTCACAGAAGTAGAAAAGTCAAATAATCATATCTGTCTTCAATAATCACAACAATCAAGGCAACACTGCATACATTCTTGATATTATTGAGATTCAGAGATCTGGATATCTTTATTACTAATGGTCCAGGGACATGCATTCCAGTTGTGATTGTTTTATTTGCACAATATGTAATGGATAAATATTATCCTAGTTATTATTTATTAGAAAAAGATGCAAGATTTTGTTTATTGAGAGTTGGTGCAGAGTGGAAAATTTATCTTTGAGCGGAAAACTATTATATTGGGTTAGTGATAAGTTTGTAGTGAATTGGGAATCTTTGAGTAAGAAATACAGAAGAGCTACTTTTGTTGGTAATTTAATTTGAGTATAATAATTAAATTGCTGGATGGCATGTGATATATATATATTGTTTAATTAAATAAAAAAATAACTGATGTTCAAGAACTCATTCCAAAGTGGATTTCTTTCAATTTTATATTCAATAGGATCAAAACCCTTGTAGATTTGGGATAAACAAAGTATTTTATAGGTCCAATATTAAAGTTAAGAATGGACATATCAAGCGAATTACAGATTAAGATATTTAATCATCAGTTCTAGAAATCATGGGTACAAATGTGAGTACTAATTTCATTACTGCTCCTGCCGATCCTAAAGAAACTTTGGGAATCAAATTGCCATTCTTAGTAATGATTATTAAGAATGTAAAATCATCGTATTTAATATCTAGCTTAAAAAATATTTTACATTTGAAGTGCAAGTCCTGGATGACAAAAACGTTAGAAGAAGATTCAGAGCCTCTAATTATCAAGTACATCTTAATTCACATTATTAGTCGACAACCAGAGTCAAACCATTTATCTGTACTATGCCTATGAGACTGGATGAAGGATGGAATCAAATTCAGTTCAATTTATCTGATTTCACTAGAAGAGCATATGGTACTAACTACATAGAGACATTACGGTACTTATTAAGGCAATTATAATAGAGTTCAAATACATGCCAATTGCAGAATTAGAAGAATCTATTTCAGTGATCGTTTATATAGTGAAGAGGAATTGCCACCTGAATTTAAATTATTCTTACCCATCTAAAAATAAGGATGATCAATAATTTAAATAATTTTATTCATCTACATATTCAAGATTACATTCCACTCTTATATTTTATATTTTACAATTATAACTCCGATACAAGTTTACATTGATCTAATCTTTGCTATCAAATCTATTTTCATTTTAATTTAACCATCATCAACCCATTTTTTAATTTGAATCGTATTATTGAAGCTAATATTCAATTAAGATTAAAATAAACTGGAAAAAGTTGCAATTTGAATAACATTATATCGTTATTCGTGAAATAATATTTGGGAAATTTTAAAAAGATTATAAAATGAAAATCTTTACAAGGCAATTTTTATCTTCCACAGTTCTTAAGTAATTCTCAAACAGGATTTTATTTATACATTTTATACATATTTTAACCATCTAGATTTTTATAAAGCAGTTACTCCCTATCTGTATGAAGATCTATTTCCTAATAGGCCATCTAAAAAATCAAAACAATAAGAAGTGTATATTGGATTAAAACTTTTTTAATATACATTTAGAATGCTGAAAAATTAGGCAAAGGAATTCAACTTGGGAAGATTATATTTTACTTTACAATTTGCTGGCTGTTATGTGNGCATGTGATATATATATATTGTTTAATTAAATAAAAAAATAACTGATGTTCAAGAACTCATTCCAAAGTGGATTTCTTTCAATTTTATATTCAATAGGATCAAAACCCTTGTAGATTTGGGATAAACAAAGTATTTTATAGGTCCAATATTAAAGTTAAGAATGGACATATCAAGCGAATTACAGATTAAGATATTTAATCATCAGTTCTAGAAATCATGGGTACAAATGTGAGTACTAATTTCATTACTGCTCCTGCCGATCCTAAAGAAACTTTGGGAATCAAATTGCCATTCTTAGTAATGATTATTAAGAATGTAAAATCATCGTATTTAATATCTAGCTTAAAAAATATTTTACATTTGAAGTGCAAGTCCTGGATGACAAAAACGTTAGAAGAAGATTCAGAGCCTCTAATTATCAAGTACATCTTAATTCACATTATTAGTCGACAACCAGAGTCAAACCATTTATCTGTACTATGCCTATGAGACTGGATGAAGGATGGAATCAAATTCAGTTCAATTTATCTGATTTCACTAGAAGAGCATATGGTACTAACTACATAGAGACATTACGGTACTTATTAAGGCAATTATAATAGAGTTCAAATACATGCCAATTGCAGAATTAGAAGAATCTATTTCAGTGATCGTTTATATAGTGAAGAGGAATTGCCACCTGAATTTAAATTATTCTTACCCATCTAAAAATAAGGATGATCAATAATTTAAATAATTTTATTCATCTACATATTCAAGATTACATTCCACTCTTATATTTTATATTTTACAATTATAACTCCGATACAAGTTTACATTGATCTAATCTTTGCTATCAAATCTATTTTCATTTTAATTTAACCATCATCAACCCATTTTTTAATTTGAATCGTATTATTGAAGCTAATATTCAATTAAGATTAAAATAAACTGGAAAAAGTTGCAATTTGAATAACATTATATCGTTATTCGTGAAATAATATTTGGGAAATTTTAAAAAGATTATAAAATGAAAATCTTTACAAGGCAATTTTTATCTTCCACAGTTCTTAAGTAATTCTCAAACAGGATTTTATTTATACATTTTATACATATTTTAACCATCTAGATTTTTATAAAGCAGTTACTCCCTATCTGTATGAAGATCTATTTCCTAATAGGCCATCTAAAAAATCAAAACAATAAGAAGTGTATATTGGATTAAAACTTTTTTAATATACATTTAGAATGCTGAAAAATTAGGCAAAGGAATTCAACTTGGGAAGATTATATTTTACTTTACAATTTGCTGGCTGTTATGTGAATATATTCGTGTATCAAAAAATTGGCTAAAAATGGTTATTGGTAAAATTTATTAAAGAGAAACTAATATTATTCAATTTAATTATGGTAGACCTTGGATGGAATATAAAGGTATCATTTGAACAGAATGCATGAAATCATTTCTTTATATATCATATAGATCTTTTTAAATAATATATATATTTATATACTCATTTTAAAATAAGGAAAACTTGATAATAATTATAAATTATGATACAGTTTAAACTATTTTGATCTAAATTTGATTGATAACAACCAAATTAAATTTAAAGCTATTTTTAATGTTTAATATGATTTAATTAAATATATGTGAATGTCATTTATTCTTTGGATAGATAAGAATCTTGAATTGAAATGAATATTATACTATTAGATTATACAGGTATTGATGTAACTTGTTATTGATTAATTATTTTATTAAAAATTAATCATTATGAGATAGATTTAATATCACTAGAATTTTCTATACATTTAGATATTCAATCAATAATTTCAATCTTACTTCAAAGATTCCAATGGTTTCATTGTTTTATCGTTCTCAATAAAGCAATCTATGATCAACATAATGATAGAGAAAAGACACATCAAAGCAAATGGTAGATAGGGATCTATGTAAAATAATGGAAATAAAAAAAATGGAGATGGAATGGCAGAAGATTTACCTATTCCATATGCTATAGCTGTGCCTTGCGACCTTAATGATAAAGGATAACTCTCACAGCATACCAATCCAAGAGTTGAGTATAAGGCTCTCGTAGCAAGTTTGATTAAGAGCAACCCTATAAATAAGAACCGTTATCTGAGAACATATAGAAGGGTATTTGCTATAATTAGTAAGATGGCTGAATAACCAATAACTTTCTTTCTCCCTCCTATATTAGGGTCATCTATGAAATAGTATAATGATATAGCAAAAATTAGCTCAATTATAAACATATATAACATCGAGCTTAAACCTGAATTATTGTCTGTAAATAGAAAAGGCATTAGTAAATAAATACTCATATTTTGCATATTGGTTAAAATGTAGAGGATCCAAATTTTTATGGTGATAAATCTATATTCTTTTGATAATATTCCATATTTATTTATTTGTTATTCTAAATTGACTTGATTCTGTTTTTCTTGCCATATCATTAATCCATTTTTCTAAATTAAATGTTTATCATACCTCATCATCTGTTAAGGTAACTTCAATTCCAGTATTCTCATTAAGAATCTTTTCTATTTCTTAATACGCAATCTAATATTTTCCTCTATTAAGATAATATCTGACAGTTTCCTTAAGAAACAATAAAGAAAATATGAATGTTAATGCCACTGGAATTCCATTCACTCTTATCAAACCTCTCCAATTTCCAGATGTATAATCATCAAGATAAAAGAAACATAGAACAGCCAAATAAATCTTGCCTATCACAAATAATAGCCCCATAGTATATGCAAATCTTCCTCTATATTTAGGTTCAGAAACCTCTGTGATGAAAACATACCCCAAAGGATAACTAGTTCCAAAAACTACTCCAAAAAATAGTCTTAATATCATCATCTCTTTAAAAGAGGTGCATATGCTTGTGTAATATATCAAAACAACTGAGAATCCTGTGAAAATTGTAAATGTAGTTTTTCGTCCCATCAAATCTGCAATAAATGCACATAAACAGTTTCCTATAACTATTCCTAACAAAAATATTGATCCCAATGAGGCTGTTTGTTATTTATTTAAATCCCATTCTTTTTATACTATTGCTATCAAAATTGACATGTAAGCATATTCAATGCCATCACAAAATTCGACCAAACCAATGATACCCAAGGTTTTAAACTGATGGATACCTGTCTGTATTTTCTACTCTAAGAGATCATCAAATGAGATCATAATTTTATCAAAACGAATTTATTAAATATATTAATAATAAATTTTCAATTTGAGAAATTCACTTACAATGTTGGTGTATTTTGCTTAGAATTAAATTTATTATAGATATAATCCCTTATTTGAGGTGTGAAAATAAGTTAATTAATAATAAATTTTAATTTATGGGAAGCAAGGCCGAGAATTAAATTGAATAATATTCAGGATAAGACTTTGGTGATAAGATTAGCTTTACCGTTGGTGTCAGTTACATGTTAGGTAAGTTGAATTTTATAATTTTAGCTTCATCAATAGGATTAATGAAGGGAGCAATAGAAGGATTCCCAAGATAATTCAATATGCCCAAAAAATTGATTCTAAATAATTTCTTTAATGCTGTAGGGAAACGCACATCAACATATGGTTAAGCTGCTGCTAGTGCGAGCATGCTTTATTATTTTGTGGGTGCAGGAATGAATCTCTTGTTTGAAGATGAATTAGCTGATATCAACTAACTTAAAAAAAATATGCTTTGCGGCGCTATTTCAGGAGCTGTATACAAATCTACATTAGGTACTCAAAACGAATATTGAAATCTTAGGAATTGTTCCATTTTTCGTTGGAGGGATAGTTGGAGGATCATTAATAGGTGGTCTTACACTTTTAGTAGAGAATTTTAATAGAAGAGGAATTGTAGCTTTTGAAATGAAATTTTGATAAGTGTTATTTGTTTTTTTTAATTAATTTCATAACTATATGGGTTCTTCTCTATGTGTAAATTGCACCATAAAAACTGAAGAATCGGATATGCAAGCATTCCCTTAGGTGTAATAAATTACATTTGAGTATTCATATCTTTAAGAAATTGCTGAAATTTCCATGCCTCCAGAACAACAACAATAATAACCTGAAACAGACACTTCTAAGAATATAGCAAGTCCTTAATTGAGAGGTATTTTGAAGCATAATTTCTAACCACAATAAGATCTCGGAAATTTTTGTGAAGATAACTAATTGCCTACAATTACTATTTAAAAGAAAAAAGTCAAATTTAGAAAACCATCAAAATTTTTTCAAAAGGACTGATTATATAATAATTCTGATAATTAAAAAAGCTTAATCTGTATTCAACAAATTCATCAAAATCTGATTATTGACTTCAGAATCATTTCAATTTTTTGGATCACAAAAAATAGAAATAACAAATGTTTCTCCAGTAGCCTTTCATTATTGATCTTTTCTTTAGGATTAGCCTTCTTACCTTATATATAATTGAGGTAACCAAAAGAAATAATCAATAAATAGCAATATGATAACGAAAATAATTTCTTAATTAAGATCTCACCCTTTTTTCTCATAATTTACTTAAATAACACTGAGATAACCCTCTTAAGCTGGTTTTACAACATTTATTACAATATATTAATTGAAAATTTTCTATTGTTTGCTTTTTTGAATATTTTAAAGAAGAAAAATATTATCTTCAAGTATTCAACAAAAATAAAATCTAAGCCAAGAGTCAAATGGTATACTTTCATACAATATTCATATTATTCAACTAAAATTGATTTGATTCATGTTATTATATGATGAAACAATTGAAAAAAAATTAATTTTTTGGTGAAACACTATAAATGCCTTTCAGAAATTCTGATATTTCTAAATATTTTAATTATACATATATTAATATAACACATGTAAAAATAGAGATTTCCTGCTCTTGGCGACTGGACTGAAAAAGTTTATAAATATCATATATTCTTAGAAAACAAATTCATTTGTAGAAGAAAAGTTAGTTATTCGAAACCGTGAAGAATTAAAATCTAAAATTGGAAAGATGATATCTGAAGGTGCTCAATAGATTCAAATAGTGACTGATTTCGACTAAACAATATCTTCTTTCCTCAGTCCAGCTACATTTAGCTTGTTTAGGTTAAGAATAATAATAATATTGTAGAATGTCAGAATTATCTCCTTAGGATTTCAAAAATAAGATGCAATCTTATTATGATTACTATGTGCCTATAGAAAAGGATTAGAGCATAAAAATTGAGGAAAAGAATAAGCATATGCATGAATGGTATTAGAAAGTATCAGAAGCCTTTCATGAAGCTAAATTCACAAAGTCTTTATCGTGTTAGATATTAAATACATCACACATCTATTTGAGATATCTTTTCGAACAATTCTTTAATAAATGTGTAGAAGAACATGTTCCATTTCACATCGTTAGTGGTGGACTAGATAAAGTGATAAACACAATATTGGCATCTATTCATGAGATTGACACTTATGATGAAATGACATTGCATACGAATGAAATGATTTTTTAGGATGATACCTTAGAAAAGATGGAGATGTTGGTAACAGCTACCACGAAAGCAAAAATATTAGAAACTTCAGGAATAAAATTCAGAAACAATACAATTTTATTAGGAGATTTGCCAAGTGATTTTTATATGACTAAATTCCTTAATATTCCGAATTAAGTAAGCATAGGATTTTTAGCATAGGATCATTCTTAGTATTTATTTTCATTTATATGTTAGTTAATTGGAAGAATATACGAAATTATACGATATCACCATAATCGGTGATCCTAGTTTCTTAGTTCCATTGGTTTTGTTATCCAAAGTAATGGGATGTCCATTAACAGAAGAATACACTTAGCTTTTCAATTCACAAAATTATGATGAGCTTCGTGAACTCTTGTGAAATAGAGATTATTTAATACACAAAAACAATCATTTTTTCATTTCTTTATATTCTATGAATTATTCTCGTAGAGCAATAGAATTTAGCAATATCCAAAATAAAATATATAATCAAATAAATTTCATATATATATATTTTTTAAGAAATGAGTGAACAAGAAAATTAAACAACTAAAAATTAAAGTCAAGTCATGCAATCTACTGAAATGCCTAACTCCATGCAATTGGAAAGTTCAAACTAGATTTATACCTACAAGGCCCCTTGGTTGATCTACGCCATGGGATTTCAATAGAAACCTACTCCTCAATCTCGTATTGCAATATGTAGTATGATTGAAGATATTTAGAATGAAGTATGTACTTTTTCATCATTTATAGGTTTTCATACTACAATTGGATAAAGAACAAGAAACATTTGGCAAAAAGGCTAAATTCAATCATAGATATGCTCCAACTAAAGTGTTGTGGATACCTGATATCGAAGGCAAGTATCCTGATTTACTAGCAACTAGTGGAGAAAATTTAAAGATTTGGGAATATGATGATCAGAATTCTCAAGTTAAGATTAAGTGGGACTTAAAAAATGTATTTAATACAAATCTTAACCAAATATAGACAAGTGATTTTAATGCTCCATTGACCTCCTTCGATTGGAGTTGTAAATAACAAAATTATATTGGAACTGCTTCAATAGATACAACATGCACACTTTGGGATATTGAAAAATAAACTGTAGTTACTTAACTCATTGCCCATGATAAGGAAGTCTATGATATTTGTTTTAGTGTTGATCATTAGATTTTTGCATCTGTTGGGGCAGATGGTAGTTGCAGACAATTTGATTTAAGGTTTAATTTTAGTAAATTCTTAGAGCCTTAGATCATTCAACAGTGCTATTTGAGACAGAGAACAACAACCCAATTGTAAGATTAGCATGGAATAAAATGGATACCAATTACTTAGCAATCATAGAAATGGATGTTAATTATGTTACATTGCTGGATACAAGGTAAATACATACTCATTTTACAATAGATAACCACTTCTACCTTTGGCTAAATTAAAAAATCACAAAGACTATGTTAATGCTATTGCATGGGCACCAGAGTCAACTACTCATTTATGCAGTGTGGCCGATGATTAATCAGCCCTGATTTGGGACTTCTCAGAACTTCAGAACAAATAAAATGATTAAAATTCAATTGGTATTCCTCTGTTTTTAAATAGATCCTCTACTGGAGTACAAAGCAGAAAATGAAATTAGTAATATATCATGGTCTTTGACTAAAGTTGATTAAGTGAGTATTTGTTATAACAAATCATGTTAAATTTTAAATGTTTGAAATTCATTGCAATCTAATACATGTTGAATATAATTAATTTTCATTACTATAAGCCTAAAAACAACAAATAATTCATCTTTTCAGAAAATTATCGATATTAATTATTCTCCAATTATAATTCTACCCTAAGACCATTTAATCAACACTCAACCCGATTACACCCCCAAAAATATTTGTGTTTTGGCTTTCCTGTTTAATCGCTTAGAATTTTACTGCATGATAGGCATATGGATGTAACTAATTGATTAATTCTAGAACATACATCAAAGTTTTGGATTTTAATACTAGTCTTACATTTGATAAAGCAATCTAAAATAAGTGTAAGTTTTGGACCAAATCTGAACTAATTAAGGGGATTCTTCAGTATCTTGATTAGGCTATTGTAAAATTCCAATTTGCTTTAAGAAAATTCTAATTTAAAAAGTGGTTTCTAATTTATTAATTTTCATACTTAAAGGTAGTAACTTTCTTAATCATTCAATTCAAAGCAAAAAGTAATGTCAGAAATAATAATTTCTTCTTCAATTTCAGGATCATAGATTGGCTAAATAAATTAATTATTATCTTGGAGTCTTTTTAATCCTGTTTCAAACCCTTTTACCAGCTCAGAATCACAAGTCTTATTAGCAAACTCTTTGAAATCTTCATGGTTGATTGAAGCGATTACATTATTAAAAGCATAGATAAATCCATCAACATCTTTGATTTTCAAACCATCCTTAACCAAGTCTGCTACTAATCCATTATAAATGGGAGTTTGATAGCCTATCAATTACGATATCTATTATACCCTTATTATAATATGGTATCACTAAGTGATGACTTTTTGAAAAAGAAGATGCTATTCGCTTTAGAAACATTAAATATTATTATCATAAATATAATTATCAATATCCAAAAAAATAATTATTTTTTTGTTCCATTAATTTCTATTGTATATATCGATTTTAAAATCCAAATCTTATTAGAAAAAAATGAATATCATCTTTTATTATTCTCAATTCATAAACCTAAACTAGCAGAATCTACTTTGCAACTGACTTCTTAAAAAACAGATTCTAAATATACTAAATTTTATTGTTACATGGTAGATATTTTAGATAAACCAACTATTGATATTCATCTTAAATTTCAAGACTCCTACTCTGTATTAAATAAATAAAATTATTTTTATCTATTTTCATTCATTATTTTTTTTAATTTTTTTGAGAATTTTCTTTAAATGTCTAATCTAAAGGCTCCATATATAAATCTGAATTTACACTTTTGATTAAATTTCAGGATATTAATGTAGTAATTTATGAATTTTCTTCTTTTGTTTAATTGTGGATGCTCTTTCAAAAAATGTGTAATAAATTTACTGTTTTTGTATATGACTAAAGTGAGTATTAAACAATTTCTTATTGCTGTTTCTTAAAATAAAATAATAATAATAATTTTCGAAATATTAATTCCATAAGCCCATAATACCCTATCGATTTAATTATGGGTATTTATGTCAAATTTATTCATATAAATTATAGCGACCTAATTTTGAAGTTAATTCAACTTAATCTGGATTTTAAACTCTTTAGTGTCATTTTATCATCAATATCTATATGTGAACTAATCAATCTTATATTTTAATAAATTTGTTATTGGATAAACACATAAATAATTTTTTCTTGATGCTGTAAAAGAAATTCCAATATAGAAAATGAAAACAAATTATAGCTATGTATAAGATATGTGATTTCATCCATCTTATTTATAAATTTGAGATCATAAACTTCTTTACTTTAGTAATTACAATCCAATAAGAATTATCTTAAGATATTTAACTATGGCATATATGATAATCTCAAGTCTTTTAAGCATTTTTAGAACTTATTAAGCATATAATAGGTTATAAAAATGATCTTAGTGGGTATTGATAACTATTTCATTCTTTAAACTTCATTGAATTTTAAATAAATGTAGAGTTATTAGTTTCTAGGAAATATTGTACTTAGAAGAAATCATATATTATGAAAAGAATCCAAAAAACTTCTCCTTTTAGGATAAATAATTTAATAAAGCAAATAGCTATCTGAAAAGTCTGATTTAATAAATTTTAGTACCAAGAATAATTGGTTAAAATTAAACAGAACTCTAATTAATAATTATTAATGTATAATACTTTACACACTCAATTAAATTCTAAATCTTCTGGTTTGATTACTTTTCCAGTTGGTTTTTATTTTAGTTTTTACTTATCTCTTAACATAGACTTTCTCATATCTAATTTGATATAAAGGGCAATTACCAAATGCATCCTCATATTTTCCATTTTAACTACTATAGTATTAGTATACTGTCTGATAAATTTCATATCCAAAATTTGAATACATCAAAACAGCGATTTTATTTGAAGGTCGAACAAATCAATCCACATACTATCCATTTTAACTATTAGTTACATCTTCAATATAATTCATCAAGAACCTTGCTACTCCTCACCTTCTATATTCTGGCGCGACAGTAATTGCCTTAATAAATTATTATTTGTTATACACTAGTATGACCTTGCCAATTCTGCTTAGTGTTATTAGCTTTTTCTCCTTCAATCTTTCCCAATACTTAAAAATAAATAGAAATATTACAATATCCTTAGAAATTGCCAAAGAGGTTTTTGATGGAAATACAAATTCTGGCCATTTAGCAATATACTTTCCATAAAGGCCGACATTGAACTGAATTTAGTTGAATTGTTACTGTCTCAGTCAGGATGTCTAAATTTATGTTGTTGTAATCCAAAATATCGAAAATTTGAAATGGTTTAATGGTTGACATAATAATAAATAAAAAATTTATGAATTAATTACCAAAAGAGTCAATTATAAAGTTGTAATCACACATAAACAAAGAAGTTGTTATATAATTTTAAGGAGGAAGATAAGTCAAAGGAACCTTATTATCATTTGATAATCAACTCAATCTAGTATTGGATGAAGTGAGAGAATTGCCATCTCAAAGAATATTAGGACTTGTAATTTGCAGAGGAGCTTTAATAAATAGTTTTGCAATTGATGGAATGGTAGAAATTGAAAATCCATATATATGATTTATAATATTATAATGAGTGGTTAAATTGATCCTCTAAATGTCAAGGTAAAATAATTAATATGAATATAATAACTGAATTTAATTTCAAGTCAAGTTTCAAGGGTCTCCTAATTGATTTCAATATCCCTCTCTTTTAATATTGAGATTAATAAGCAAAAATAAATTTTCTAATTTATTTAAATATGATAATTATAAGACTCTCTCGTCACTTCTCAAAAATCAAGAAGGACTTATTAACCAACCCTGAATTTGATAAAATCCATCCTTAATTTTTAGATCATAAACCACCTACTACCTTGCATAGATAGTCTAAAGAAGTGCCTTATATTAAGTCCCTTTTGAGATATAAAGATATTGCTGTACCAACATTTGAAAATGCTTTACATCAAAATGTAACATCATTATGTTATTAAGCAAGTTTAAAACCTTTGTTGAAGGTCATGTCAGTCCAAAAGGAGCATTGAAGAACTTATCAGAAGAATAAATGAAATAAATCCAAACTCAAGTTACAAAGAAGTTGTAAGATTTAGAAGACACCGGACTATCAAGAGAAGAGATTTTAACAAATGGTGTTGAAGTATTTAAATAATTAAAAAATTAGAAAGGCATTCCATTAAGTTATGATGCATTTTTCTAGTTGTTAAAAAATAATGAGTAAGCTCGTTTAGTTTATATGGCACCTGGAGAGGAATTTACTGTTTAAAAGATAGTAGACATAGCTTTGAGATAAGATATTGGCAAGGATTAATTTAATGTTCCAATTAATAAATATCCAAATAATATGAAATTAAAAAACCATGATAAGTAGAAGGACATTTTAGTAAACACCAAAGATCATTTAGAACATGTAAATGAATTGGTTAGTGATGAAGTTGTTTATCATCATCATCCCTAACCTAAAAAACCTATCAGAAGAGTCAACAATTATGATATTCATTGGAGAAATACAGAATTCTTGGTTTAATTTTTGAACAAAAGTGCAAAGATTAAAAATAGACATCAAACCAGCTTAGCAGAAGTTTAGCATAAAAAAGTATCAAGGTCTATTAAAACAGCAAAACATATGCGTATTTTAATATGTTAATTTTAGTTCTCTTACCATCTAATTCAACTATTCAACCTTATCATAAAAAATCACTTACTAGCATTGAAGATGACATCTAAGAGTTCACAAGAAGAAAAGTTAATTTGGCAACAGGTTAAATTTACACAGAAACTCCATTATAAAAAAGGGAGAGATCATTGGAGAGCTAGACTATGATTGAAGATGATTAAGAAATAAATCCAGGTTCAGCTAGACCAAATAATTTGAATATTATTAAAGGAATAGTGTATGCAGAAAAATTGAAGAAGAAAGAATTAGAATAATAAGGCATCAAATTGACTAAAGAAGAAGAAGATTCAAGGAATTATAGATTCAATGGAAATGATGTCAAATTTTAAGTGATGAGAGATGAACAAATACTAAAATAAGAAATTAAAAAGGAAATTGAGGCTAAAGATGGAGAGTTTGTTGAAGAATTTAATAAAATCAAGGTAAATTATTTCTCTAATTTTAATTATAGTCTAATGTTGAGAAAATCCCCACCTACTATTTGAGTTAAGCATTTATAAGTGAGTAAACCTTATAAATGGAAAAACTATAGGAACTTGTTTATTAAAAACCAAAATAGGCCTATACCTATGATGAAAGTTTAAGAATTATTGAAGAAGTTAAATCTAGATTAAATAAGTGATATTGTTAATATTCAATCATACACATGTTTAAAACCAACATCTGTTTCACAAGATATTATTCTCTTTTCTAATGTATCTTTAACATCCTACAGTTTTTCTTTATCACTTTTTAAAACATTTAATTGTGCATCCAAAAATTCAGCATCATGTTTAGCATCCTAAGATTTCTTTAATGCCTCGTTTAGTTGTCTTTTCGCCTTTATTTATTACAATCAGTTATACATCATTTTATATAAAAGTACATAGATCATCGCTTGATTTACCGTGGTTATTTTTTACTGTTGCTATATCCATTCTTAAGTTTGACATTTCTTTTTTGCTAATTTCTAAGTCCTTTTTGAGCTCGGCTAAATAATTCTTCGAATATTTGATTCAATACCTCTAATTTTGCAATGTGATCTTTGACATTTAATTAGAGACTTTCCTCAATTGATTTTTGCCTCTTTAGCATAAGCTTTTGTCTTTCTCTTTCTGGGTCTATTTCTTGATCAGATTCCAAACTTTCGTTTAGCATATAAAAATATTAATAATTATCATTATGTGGTCTCAGCGTTTTTATTATTATTTTGATATTGTTTCTCATAATCACTAGGTGATAATTTCTATGCTTGTTCTATTTTCTTTTAAACAAATTATTGATGGGCTAATGAATTTTATAACTCCATCATTGCTAACTGTTCTTATTGCTCTAATTCTGATATTTTAAAATCATATAACTTCTTTTCTTTAATTATCTAATCCTTTTCATTTTCTATTTGGTATCTAACCTTTTCCCTTTTTTATTTCATTTTTAGCACAGCCACCTCAGTAGATTGCCTTTCTTCTTCTTTTACTTATATTGCTTTTATTCGATAAACTTCCTATTCCAGACTTTTTTGCATTTAAACTCCCTAAAAATCTTTTTTTAACTGCTCTCTGAAGAGTTTTGCTTCTGATTTCTTTTTTATTAATTCATCTTCCTTAATTTTTTTCAGAACCTGTCTTTGATGATGAGATACAGCCAGTGAGAATGGAGGAGGTTGTGCTTATTTTTGTTTTAACTTATTTTCCTTCTATAAATTAATATTAAGAATAGAATACTTTTAGTTATATCTCAACTCTATGTCTGTAAATTTCATCAGCTCTTTCTTCATCTTATTGAATGCGTTTCATCACTTTTTCATGTTCCATTTTCAACTACAATATACGATTCTAAATTTTTTATGCATCTGTTTCAGCATGCTTCTTCTAAACAAGGGATGAAAATAAGGTTTTCTTGTCTTGAGGCAATTCTCCTGAGGACATTTTTTTATCAATTAATTTAATAGTAAAAATCAATAAATTATATTTAAATTTACAATATAAATAGAAGAGTCATAAGATTTAATTTTAGAAGTGCTTCTTGTTGAATTGTAAGGGCCTTTTATATAAATGATCTGTTGGAAGAAATAAACCCTTTAAAGTGTCTTTTATTTAATCAGGCTAAAGAGTTTCTCTCAATGTTTAGTACAGTATTTATTCACTCTACATTTTCTTTATTGTCTGAGCTTGATCTCCTACTGGTATTTTATCAATTTGATGAACAATATCATGCAATCTAGAATTAATTTATGATATTTTTCTATTAGATTTCAAATCTTCGTTTTAGCTTGGAGGAGACAATGAGTACGGGGCTTATACTTTGCGAGAGGTTTGCCCTTTTTTTCTGAAAAAGTGCTCTGTATTTTATTTTGAATCACCATTCTCGGGTAAATGTCTGACTGTTTTAGCAAATATCAAATGCTGTTTTTGACCCGCTCAAATATAATATATGATTATACTAAGTAAAATTTTATTGATTTCTTCTTTTGCCTACTCCCTCTATTTTTATCTGTAATTTTTAGCTATTTAATGCATTAATATCTCTTTTTTTATCTGATCCTCCTTTTTATTGTATATTTTCTTTGCAGCATTCCAAATCATTTTAATCACCTTATCTGATTACTCTTTATAATGCTATGCATTTAATTGCCCTTAATCTACAATTACTTCATCTTCTTCCTATAAATTGTGTTAAGAAGATCTTTAAGAACTCTTAAAATCAAAGTTGTTTGGTTTTCTTTAATATTTTCGAATTTGTTATAATTCCCACAGTTTCGCTTTTGCTTCTATTTCCCCTTTTATTTGATCCTAATGGGCCAATTTTAGTTCCTTCCCTACGTTGATTGGAGATTCAAAATCATAGTCAGAGTTATCTAATTCCCAACATTACTCATAGTTCTCTTTCACTTATTTACTTTTTCTTCTCTATCTTTCTTATTAAAGCTTATCTACAATAAAATATAATTTTACAATTTTTTGCAAGCAAATAATCAACATATTCCTGATCCTTATCATCTACCTACTCCTTTACTCTTAATTTAGGCATACTAAAATTAGCTGACAGTAATCCCTTTGAATTAATAAATGATGATAAATTCTCAAACTTTTTTATATTTCTTTAATAAAATTGAACATCCTTCGGTATTTATTGATGCTTCAATTTACTTTGTGTCTTATCAATCAGCTTATTCACTTTATCAACTACTGTGAATTTTCTTTATTATGGAAATTATGTTAAAAAGGCCAACTGTTGAATTTTTTTGTTCGTTATTTTAGTAATATTATCAGCTGCATTCTTTATACTTCTATCAGAATCTTAAGATTTTAGCATTTATTTTCTATTTTCTTGCATTTGTATATATATGTTTATAATAATAATATAAATTTACTAAGGTTGAATTAAATAAAATATTTTTGAATAAGGGTAAAAGAACTTAGAATCTATCATCGATTGAATTAAGAAAATATAAAAGATTAAATCCAATCCAAATCGTGTCATTCATTAATTACTGTTCATTAATAAATGTACTTTATTTTCTAATGCATTACAATAGTCTTTAAGAAAAATTTATAAAATAAGTTATATAAAAAATTGAATTAGTTGAAGCTTTTTTCGACAAAATTCCTAAAAATTATTTTGAAATTACTATGAACAAACAATTAGCAAGCCATTATCGCAATCTTTTTACTAATTCAAAGTTTTGTATTACAAGATAATTAATTTCCTTGTATTTTGATTAAGACCAAGTTTATAATATTTAACCAAAATACTGATAAATCATTTTAATTCATATTTTATCTCGTAATGATAAAAATTTTAAGAGCTGCTGACTTTTTTGGAGCTCCTTTTGTCTAACAAATAGATCCAAAACAATCTATATATAAAAGTGCTTTTGGAGGATTAATTACTTTGCTTATAACTTCTGCCAGTTTGGCATATGCAATTTGGGTGCTTTACAAATGGCAAAACAATTAACTAAGCCCGAAGATTTCTAACTCAATGTATGTATCTGACTTTTCTTTGCTGGATTTGGATTATGATGTTATTAAATTGTATTATTGGAAAATTGAAGAAAATTACATTGATCCTTTTGAGTCCAAAATATTATTACCATTAGTTATGTATACTACAAATTTTAGTTTTTCTGAACTTTAAGTTATAAATAGGTCAAATGAAACCTCTACTGATGGAACTCAATATTATTTACCAAAAATGAGCTTAGCTTTTTAAAATATTAGTGGTGTAATTTATACCACATCTGAAATGTATATATAAATAGTGAAATGCTCTTAAGTTTATTTAAAAGAGGATGAAAAATGTGCATCAGATGAATTAATCGAATAATTTTTTTCGTAACCTTTGAATACGATTGTTTTGTAAGTACAATAAAAATAATTGAACTCTTTAGATGGTACTGTTTAAAATAGTTTATAAGAATTCTACATATAAATAGAAAAATCAAATTGCTACACTCTAAACACTTTTCTTTAAAGCAACTTTTACGAACTCTAAAATTCCTTCTTATTTGGATATCCTACTTATCTTGAATATATTAATGGAGCATTTATATAATCTTAAACAAATACAATTGAATTTTGTAGACAGGCTTACGGAAATGATGTACTAGGTTTAATTTACATAGTAATGAAGGGTAATCAAATAAAAACAATTTTTGAATATCCACATGCCGGTGATCTTTTAGCTAATATTGGTTCTATTGTATCAGTTCTCTTTATGATCAAACATATAATTATCATTTTTAACTAATACTATCTCAATAAGAAAATAATAAAAAAACTAATCTAATTTTATTATCCAGAATTTAAGAATATTATTATACGTAAGAATTGGAGATTAAAAACTGTAAAAGTACTTCTCAATCATCAAGAATTAGATATGAAGGAATTTAAAATATTTCATAAGAAAGTAAAAGAGTAAATGGAAAATAAATTAAGTTACTTGAATTTATTATATGAAATGTCAAGGGTTTATTTCATTATTAGATCATTTAAGCAAAGAGAAGAATTAAAAAAATCTCATTTAATTGGAATCAAACTTAATTTAGCTTAATCCAAAATTATAGTTGATTCTAATCAAAACTCTGATTGGACAAATCGATTATAAACAACTGTTTCATATCTTAATGATGAAGATGCTGATTTGCTATCCCTCTCCCATATTTTTAAACAGCATATTTAACTTTAAATTCCAAATGAAATTTACATGGAAAACGAGTTTTATGAAAATAACAAAATATCTTGAATAATAATTTTCAATCAATCTTGTATTAAATTAGTATTAATAAAAATAATATATTAAAGACTTTTTAAATTCTTAAGATTGCTTCATTATTTCGAAATATATCTATTATTATTTGCACATGTTTCAGAATCTTGGTTCTATTATTTTTAGACTACCAATGTTGAATGTATATATATTTTCTAAGAATTACTATTTAAAGACTGGCATATAACGTACTACATTTTTGTTCTTTTTTTAATGCAACTACTGATCATAACTTGAGAAGTATTTTCTAATTTTTATTACAATTTTATCCGGCAGTCTTTATATTTTTAAAGCTGATTTGTTTAATTTCATTTTCGAAATGTTAATTCAACATTTCTTTGTGTTATCACCTGATTTTAATTAAATAATTTATATTTAAAATATCAATTCAGTTTTGACACGAAGGTAAAAATCGAAGGATTTTGTGGCCAGAGACTTACATTTAGCACAAATAATTGATAACTTAAAGTACTTTATACATTAAATCCAACAGATTAACTTACTATAAAAATTAGATGATTCTGGAAATTTTGAGGTCCAATTATATTATTTGATTAACAAATATAAATTCTTCATTCTAATTTTTCACAAAAAATGAAAGGTTGATATACATTGAATTGAGAGATTACTAGATTTAAGTTTGATAAAGAAATCAAAGATGCAAATTGTAAATCATTTAATAATAACATAATATTAAATTTAAAAAAGAATAGGTTTTTGTCAACTTTTTGATCTAAAATGTTTTAAATAAATAATAATCAATATATAAATTTTATTTCTTTTTTCAAAATTCATTATATTTTCTTTCATCAAATTAATTATTAGATACAGAATGTAAGTATTACGAACCGCTGATTTTTTTGGGGTCCCCTTTATTCAACAAATTGATCCAAAACAATCTATATATAAAAGTGCTTTTGGAGGATTGATTACTTTGCTTATATGTTCAGCCAGTTTAGCTTATGCTATTTGGGTGCTCTACCAATGGCAAAACAATTAACTAAGCCCAAAGATTTCCAATTCAATGTATGTGTCTGATTTTTCTTTGTTGGATTTGAATTATGATGTTATCAAATTGTATTATTGGAAAATCAATGAAAATTACATCGATCCCTTTGAATCCAAAATACTATTACCATTAGTTATGTATACAACAAATTTTAGCTTTACTGAGCTTTAAGTTATAAATATATCAAATGAAACAACTGTTGATGGGTCAAGTAAATATATCATACCTAAAATGAATTTGGCATTTCAGTATATAAACGGAGAGCTATATACAACATCAGAAATGTATATTTAAATAGTTTTATGTTCTGAGAAATATCTTAAGCCTAATGAAAAATGTGCCTCTTAATAATTAGTTGATGAATTTTTTAAGTAGGCTTTAAATACTGTAGTGATGCAAGTTCACTATAAATCTTTAGATTCAAAAGATGGATCTGAATAGACAAGTTTATAAGAGTTCTATTCATAGATTGAAATGAAAAACTGTTACACTTTAAGCACTTTTTTATCAAGTAATTTATATGAAGTTCAAGATGCTTTTTTATTTGGAAATCCTAAATATGTTGAATATATCGTAGGATCTTCAATACAATCTTAAACTAATACAATGGAATATTGTAAACAAACCTATGAGGGTGATATTTTGACAATATTTTATATAATGATGAAAGGAAATCAAACCAAAACGATTTTTCAATATCCACATGCCGGTGACTTGTTAGCTAATATTGGTTCTATTGTATCAGTTCTTTTCATGATAAAACATGCAATTATTTTAATAAATGAATATTAACTTAAACAAAAAATACTTAGAGAAATAATATCTTTTTATTACCCAGAATTTAAGAACATTTAAATAATTAAAAATTGGAAGTAGAAAATAACAAAGATCACTTTGAATGATAAAGATTTAGATGTAAAGGAATACAAACGGTTTTATATAAAAATAAGGAATTAGATGGAAGTCAAATTAAGTTATTTAAATATGTTATATGAAATATCAAGAATGTATTTCATTATTCGATCATCTAATTTGAGATAAGATCTAAAGAAATCTCATTAAGTAGGAATAAAACTGTTATTACCATATGTTAGCGAAAATTATTTTGATTCAGGGCCGAACTCTAATCTTTCTAATAGATTAGGAATGAATCAACTTATTTTGAATGATGAAGATTCCAATTTATTATCAATAGCAATGAGATAATCAGAACCTATAATAGATTAATTGCAAGAGGATGCTTGTTCTGTAAATCAATTTTTTGAGATAAACAAATTGAAATGAATAATTTATTTTTTTACATGAATAATATTTTCATCCTGGATTATAAAGATGCATAATGATTTTTGCTCATTTTCTGAATTCTTTATTTTTCTTTGAGTAAGAAAAATTAAATAATCATCTATTTTAGAATAAAACTATGATATTAAAGTAAAATTTGAAATTATTTCTATCTTATAATTTTTTGTGTATCTTTAAAGGAAATCCTACTATTAATGAACCATCAAATAAATCCAGAATCAACTAAAATTTTGATTAATGCTATTGCTTTCATTATACTTTCTATTCATACTTACTTAAAGATTAATTAAAATGACAATAAAAATAAATTTAATTGTATATAATTTGTTAATTATATATATATTTCAATCAAATGGTTAAAGTTGAGGAGTTGATTCATCATCAGAAGCTTCAGTTCGAAATATTCTGTTTTATTAGTTCACTAATTTCTTCTTTCTTTATTCTAACTTCTGTTAAACAGCATCAGTTTATATTTTCATTTCTGATTATATATATTGATCCATTTTTTCAGTCTCTGATTTATAATCCTAATTTAATAATTATGATTACATTCATTAATTTATCTAAAGAAGGTTCTTGCTCTTTTTTAAGCATCTAAATTTATAAAGTCAAGTTCATTTATTATCCTCTTGATTTCTAATGGTTTTCATTAAGCTCAAGTCCTTTAAGCACGTTCTTGCGATCTATTTATTCAGCTATCGAAGGTGCTCTAGAAACAGTCATTTATTTTGGGACCTAGAGATGATTGTAGCTCTCTTGTTCATTCTCCTCATAAATGGTGTCTTGTTAAAACATAGATTTGATTGTATCAGGTCTTGAGAGAACAAATTAGATTTTATCGAGGAAATAGTTTTTAATGGGGTCTTTGTAGAAATCATAATACTCAACCAATTAAGCTTCATTATTAATGCAGGATATACCATATTTTTAAATCAAAGTATTGATTTTAGACTTATCCAGTACTTTGATATGAAATCCTTCCTCTAATTTTGTTAAGGCCTAAAAAAATTATAGTGTTAATGGTGCAATTTTAGACTTTCTATTTTATTATTCTCCACTCATTTAATATAAATATCAAAATAATTAATTATATATAGTCTTCATCTGTTAATTCTATATAATTTATGTTCGCAATAAAATATTCATCATTATTTAATTTAGATGGGGAATTAAATAAACATTAATCTTTTTAGTAGAAATATATACAATCGTTATTTTTTTAAAGCAGAGAAAAAAAAGAGACAAGATTCTGAATACTTAAATAAAGTCTTTTATAAATACATTTATTTATCTTATATTTTGTTAACAATTAAATAAAATAATTATTTCGAAATAATGCATCCAAAAAATAGCACACCAAATTTTAACATAGAAAAGTAATCTATCCCATAGAATTCTTGTCCAAATAGGTCTGTTTAGAATTGTAAATGATAATTTAAAATTTAGTTAGTGTTTATGATGACTATTAATATAAGAAAGTAACAACAAAGTTGGATTCTAAAGATCCGATGTTTCATTCTCACATTTTCGATTAGTCAGAAACTTTGAAACAACAAATATTAGATTTACAAAGACAAATAAAAATAAAGGAACTTAGTTATTAATAGTTAGCTACAGCATTTTTTTAATAGCAACAAAAATTCGAAGAACTAAAAACTGCATTTACTAAGGTAGAGGAAGAGAAAAAGTACCTTCAAAAAGAGATACAAAATCAGGTTGAAAAAAACGAGTTTAACTAATTTGACATGAAACAATTATAAGAAATAAATACGTTATTTCAAAATGAAAATACTTAGTTGAAGTTGGCCGCTGTAAAAGTAATAATTCTATAGAAATTAGCTCAAAGACACCATTGTTAAATTATAAATTGATAACAAACAGCTGAAAGATTAAATCGAATCTTTGATGACCAATCCATTAAGTTGTGAAAGAAAAGGAAGTTCTAGGCTATCTTTTGATTATTTACTAAATGAAGCAGAACAAACATAAACAGCTTAAGGGGTTTCAGGTACTTCGCTTCCAAATTTCGAGAAAAATTGCATTTGTTCAAAAAAGATCATACATATACAAGCAGAAATTAAGAAATATTAAAAATAGTTATAGGAGAAAGATTAACTGATTGAAAAACTAACTCAATAGAATATTGCTTTATAGAAAGCTTAAATGAAAATACAGAAATCTTAGAAAAAATAAAATTTATTTGGAACTCCAGAAACTGAAATAGCTAAGTAGGATCCAATCCTAGTTTAAAATGACAGTAATGATACCTCTCGATAGTTAAATACTTATTTAAGTGATAGGGGATTTAACAATGTGAATAATCTAGAATCATAAATACCTGTATAAAAATTAACTGAAAATTAGTTGAAAACATCTACTAGTGCTAGATCTGTTTTAATGAATAAATCTAAAAAAGAAGTAGAGCAGATCTATAAAAAAATGAATTAATCAGCCCTTTTTACAGCCAGTCTGTTTTCGACAATGCTTGATTATAAAAATCTGCATCAAAATTGTCAATAAATAAGGAGTACTAGTTACAATTAAGTAAAGTAAATATGATGATAATACATTTTGCTATCATTTTAATCTATATATTATAAAATATTATTTAGTATCAAATAAATTAATAGACATCTCCATATTTACGATTATTCAATATAGTTTCTACTTAAATGTTATAAATCAATCTTTATTCTAATTTTTTCTCACAATATGCTAAAAGACTTATTGAAGAGCAAGGTTAAACTTGTAAGATACTTCTATTATATCAACTACTTTAATTATCCTTTAAATCAGTTCACTTATCATATCATTGAATAACATATATATCTAATTTTTCATTAAATAATTCAAATATTTTTATTTAAATATTTAATATTTCAATCTTATACTTAAATTAGAGCTAGTCTAAGTTTATAAGATTATTCTAATAAGAATTCATTTAATATCTTAAATGATATATAATGCATCAAAGGTGTTCTATATTTAAGAGAATTTAATACAAAATAAAATAAATATTTAACTGAAAAATACTTAATACGTATGTTTAGCTTTATTTTTCTTAGAGATAATTCTGAGTGAAACTTGAAAAGTTTAGGGTTCTTAATTTAGTTATGAATGTTTTAGCCTATAATAAAAATTAAATAATATTTAGTTGTTAATTATATTATTATTGTTTTCTAATTTCAACGAATAAATGGCAAAAGACTTATATGTTTTAAGCGTAAAATTTTTTTCTATGACAAGAAATAAAGTTCGCAACAATGTTTCAGTTCATTAGGAAATTTTGAATCTATACAGCAAGTAAATGATTCTAATAAATGGGATGATATCAAATAATCAAGACAAGACCTAATGAAAAAATATCATCAATTCAAAACGAACGAAGTTAAATAATCAACTTTGTCAACCTATTAATCTTAAAAGGTAATAAAACCTTAATTGAAGGTTCTCATTCCAAAGTTTGATAATTTTGACATGAAACTAAATATCAAGAGGGATACTGGAATAAAGAATAAAGACAAAGAAAATATTACAAGTTCACAATATAAACAACAAGAAAGACCAGGATCAAACAGCTAGAGAATCAGACAAGAATCAGTATATGATAGGTATAAGACAATATAAAAATAGACTATATAATTTGAGAGATTCTGAAAATAAAGGGACAAAAGTAGTTCAAAAAAACCTAAATTCGAATACTAATCATTCATAAAAATAATCAAAGTTAATTTTGGGTCACAATATTTTAATTCAAAAGCGATCCTCAGATCCATCAATTTTGATGCCTATTTCATCTTTGATTAAGAAAACTCAAAAGCACTAATTAGATTAACAACAAGACCAAAAAAGTACATAAGCTCAAATTGATAATCAATAAAATAATTTTAAAGATCTTTAGAAAGTCAATGTCAGTAGACAGTAAGCTTGCCATCCTGAAAAAAATGAGAGTAGTATATAAAACTAGTCAGCAGCAGTTCAGAGTAATTTAAATTCTTAGTAAATACCAATAAAACATTGTTATTTTTCTTTGGTAAATGTTGAAGAGAGTAAATAAATTGATTTAAGTAGGGTTCTAAAATAAAAAAGTGAGATCCTTAAGTAGTGAGAAAAATAAAACAAATTAAAGCTGTAAATCATCAAAGGGTAATCGTGCACACACCTAAGGAAAGTAGGAAGTTAAAAATTAATAAAAAATCAATAGACTTTATGAATATATTTTAGAAGGAAATTACTGACTTATAAATTCACTTCATCATTTATATATGTAATTCAATTTATTCAGGCTTTTATTCAATTAATTCTGTAATATTTTAATGTTTCTTAATAATTTATTTTCTAAATCCGATCTTGAGTAGAATTACTATAACTATCACCAAGAGTATTATAAGGCCTAGATAAAATATATAATTAAAGTGCATCTTTTATTAGTTCTACTTTTAATGAAAATCTTTTAGTGTAAAGGCTAACATTTAATATATTGTATACTATTTTCATGATCTAAACCATTAAGATCAAAATAAAATTTCATTTCACTTCCAATTTGTATTTCTTATAGAATTAAAAAGTAAATGATTTTGCTTCTTGGTGAGAACTAAAAGGTTGAGAGAGTGTTGTTCCTAAACTCTATTTTATTAAGTTTATCTAACTGAATATTATCTCTGTCATATATTTGATCATATTTCATTTCAATGTAATATGCTTCAATAAGTTAGACAGTATCAGAAATAACAAAATAATGATCAGATCCATTCGATACACCATGATTTACACATTCAATATCAACAAGGTATTATTTTTCAGATAATGTTTTAGTGATTCTCTAAACATCATCTAAACTGTATTAATAAAAATTTTTGATAAATGGTTTAAAAGGTAAGTAATTAATAAAATCAATTAAAGGAGGAAATTCGGATTGAAATAATTAAAGCGTTTTTTCTTAATCTGGAAAAAAGTTAGCAAAAATATTAGAGTAAGTTTGTTCCCCTAGTTCCGGACACATAGCAATAATGCCTAATTAAATGATAAGATTATGAATTTATATCTACCTTTAGAAAGCATCCAATCAGCAGCTTCTCCATTGGCAGTATATTAGATTAACTCTTGAGCATGGCCAATTTTATAATGTCCTTAGAATCGGCCGTTTTGCTTGAAGTCCTCATAAATCATATACGGAATTCCATCTTTATCAAGTTCTTCATTGCCATAACTGTAAGGTAAAAGCCACTTATTTCCAAAGCTATGTAGATTCATAGCCATTTTAATATTATAGTTTTCAACGACATATTTGATGGCTTAAGTCTCCTTTTCAGAAAATGCCACACTCCCTCTATAGGTTTCATCACAAGGATCATTAGAACTGCCAATATTATCATAGGCAAATTGATATCCGTAATTTCTATTTATATCTACTCCTGCTAATTCGCCTTCTTCAGAACAAGCAATAGTTCGATTTAGGTTTTTTCTTGTTTTAGGAAGTAGATTACGTTTATTGAATTCAGCCTCGATTTCACTGTATCCATCAATATTTACAAAAGGGACAGACCTAACTTCAGATAATAATAATACAGAATGCAATTATGAGTAATCATATTTATATAAAATGGATTTTTTTCATGTTCTACTTCCCATAAGATATATAGAAACAAATAAATATTCATTTGTAGGCTAGCTACTTCTCTAGAATGATGTAAACTTGTTATAAGCATCTTTGGCTTTTCTTTGGTAAAATTAGAGCATAATGAATATGAATAAATAGTGTTATTGAGATAGGATTATCCAATCTATTAAGAATGAACAAGATTAGTAGTTTTTTCCAGTTCTGTGAATAAATTTTCTACATCTTTTATCGATAACCTTCCTTCAATTAATGAGCCATTTATCAACTCATTTTTGATATGATGGAGATCTCGATTAAAAATACCTTTGTAATCGAAGCAAATCAATGTTGGTATCAATGAAAATAAAATTATCATTAATATAATTAAATAATGAAAGTGAAGAGTGCTTTGAAAAAGATGTGTGAGCATTGCTATTTCTAAAGAAAAGGCAAAAAGGTGTATGTGAGATGCAAATCCGATCCACGTCATAAATAGAGACAAGGAAATAAATTTAGCACAATTATTGGAAATCCATATGTTGAGAATGGAATGTTCATCTAAATCCCTCAATTTCCAGAATATCATATTGATTTCAAGGATTTTATTAAGAGGTTACCATTTATGTGAGTTAATTATATAGAGAGCATACAAATAATCATTATCTACTGCTATTTTATTTTTGTTTTCTTAGTTAAATAAATTATGAGCAAAACTTAATTAAAAAATCAAGTGTTCTCACATCAAAGAAATAAGAAGGTCAAATGTCAAGCTATTACAATAATATTGAATTCTAGATATTGTAAATATAATTAGATATCTAATATTTTCATAATTATTTTAGCTATTGCACTTCTTGTCGCCAGGATAGACTAAATTCATTTACTTTTGATAGGAATTCTTCTTAAAAATTGGAATCCCTATTAATGTGTTTTAAATCAATGAGCTTAGGCTTTGGCTTTTGAACTTAGTCATACTCCTTTAATTGGCCATACACACTATTTTGAATATCATTTTGTTTTAAAGTTTCTAATGCCTACTTGAGATCTTCATTTTCTTTAAGGATGGGGATCTTAATTTGTTTCAACATATCAAGATTCTTGGACCAGAGATGACTTGCCTATTGTTCATACGATTATATGATTTGGAACATTTGGCTTAATAGATCAAGCAAATCAGGGACTGTGGTATAGCCTGAGGAATGAATACTTTCTCTTCACTTTGAATTGATTTCAATTTTTAATGAACTGAATATGCATGACCATTTGGAAATGATGTCTATCTCTGAGATATTGGCATCTTAGGAGGTGAAAACTAAGGACTCGACTTTCTCTTGTTTTTGTTCTTTCTGTAAATTAACATACAATCTTATTTACCTTAACTTATAGTCAACTAGTTTTTGAACAAGGATATTTTGGGAAATTTGATTCATTTTTTTAATTTAATTTTACAAATGAAGAATATAATCCCTTATCTGATATATTCATATTTCTATTTTTAAGATATTCTCTATTTTAATAAAATAATTAGGATTTTAAATTAAAATTACGAACTCTTTCAATTGTTAAGGTACGTAATTGTAATTTGAATCATTGATGTCTATCCATATGCTGATGCTTATTAAAAGTCACTCTGTGGTATTTTTATTTATAATTTATAATTTATAAAGTTTATTTTTTAAGAATAATCTCAAATTGAGAATAGCTTTTTCAGTACAAAAGGATATTATTAAATAATTAAATATTAAGAACCACATTTATTAATAATTAAATATTCAGAAACACGATTAAACTTTTCATGCAGGTTAATAGAGACTAAACTATTGAATTTTAACGAAGATATTACTTTTTCTGGATCTTTAGAATCTGTAGTTGATGTATGAGATGGACTAGCTATTCTATAGGGGGAATTCTGGACACTTGATTACAAGGAGTAATTGTTGCTAGCTATCATAAATTGGAGTTTGCATTTTACGTAAATAGGAATTTATATTTGGAGCAGGTAAGGCCAATTATTACTGCTGATGTTGGCGATTGTATGAAAAAACATTAGGATCAAACTAAAAACAGAATTCTGAGAATTCTTTGGCATATTTATTATTTTTACATTAGTTCTATCTTGCGAAAAGGTAATGAATCGGACTATTATACTAATAATGTGAGTAGGGTGATCCTATTGTATTGTATTGATTGTTTTCGTTATAAGGAACTATGTAATTTGACTCGGATCTACCAGGAGAAGGCTCTTCATAAGAATTTTTGAGAATATCTCCAATCTGAAAGGCTATAATTGGAGGATTAATGAAATTCGATACAAATTTGGGGGAGATTTGAAACTATTTTGGCCAGAAGAACGGATATTGTATCAAATTTTTTATTGAACTGTTGTTGCATTTGATTTAGACACTTTAATTATCGATGATTCTCATTACTTATAAAACTGAGTTATTTGAACTTCTGACAGTGGCATTTGATTCAGCAGAAGCTACAAAGTCAGCTTGCATTTTTGATTGAGTATTTTAAATATCTCTCACCAATAGCCTCATCTCCTCGTGTTCTCTTTTATAGTTGTCAAGTTCTTAATTGTTGTCCTTTGTTTCCATTTTTTGCTCAGATTCTTCTTAATTTCTTCTACGAATGTACTGGAGCATACTTCTATTAAAAGGAATAGTGCAGATTTCATACTTGAGACCTCGTCTAAACCACTTGTGTCTGAATTCGCTCTGTCCATATTGGTTTTTAGTTTTCTTAAAGTTATACATATTCAACTATCTAATGTGAAAAGTAATATAACCTCAAAAAGCTTGGGTAATTTTTATGCTTGAAGTAATTGGCTAGTACTTTGGAGGCTAATTCATTGTTATTGAATACGATGAACGCATTTCCTTCGTGATTCCAGCCTATGATGTGAGAGAGTGAGGAATTCTCAAAGTAGAATCAAATTATTACTTCTAGAATTTCATATGTTTTTAAAAGGAATGATGGCACATTAACCTTTAAAGTTGGAAGCTCATTGATATCTTAATTTGACATAATAATTATATTAGGAATTTTCAAGAATTTAAAAGACTCTAAAACCAAAAATTCTAATGTTATAATAAAAGAACATATTGCCAAACAAATGAATTATGATCAAGATCACTTTTGATTAAATTATTAATAATTAAAGCTATGTATATCCATCAAATATATATAAATATTATATGTGAAATAATTTTAAAATTGAGAGTTAATTTGTGGTCATAGAATTCTGAAATCAGATAAAAAATTTAATATTTTTGTCTTTATTTAAGAATACAACAAAAATAAGTCTAAATTTGTTAAATTAGAAGATTACTAATCCGATTCTTATGATTCCAAAATTCTAAAATTCTAATATTGTCTAATCTATAAATAACAGCTTATAATAAAGAAAATTTATAAATATGTATTAAAATAATGATAATGTGAAATCATAAATAAGTTGGAGATTAGTAATTAGCTTGAATTATATAATTTCATCCAAATGATTTCAACCTCTTTGGATAGGATGTCTATGATATGTTGAAAGTATGATAAAATATTGAGAGATCATGATAAATTGCATGCATAAACTTAGTATTAAGGAATAATGCATTGCATAACCATAGATTATTAATAAATATTCATGGTCTCCAATTAGTCTATCTTCGATTTATTCAAAAGAGATGAATAAATATTGTCTCTAGTTAGTTTTTAAATATAAGTATAATTCTAATTCTGGTTTTATGTTTAGAATGAGAGTGATAACTCCATTTTAAATAAGAACCTAGATAAGATTTGATTTCCGTTAAACTAAGAGAATTAAAGGTATATCTTTGATGATATGTTAATGGAGATTTGATAATTAGAGCAATATACTTTGTAATACCCATTTATTCATAATCTTCTATAATTGATTAATACTAATTCATTTTTAAATAATGATTCAAGACTTATCAAAAGACACAATCCAATGCACCTACAAAAGAGGAGCAAATGAATAACCCCAAACTCCACATTCACACATAGAATTTGTTCCCTTTAAGAAGATTTACAATGACGCACTCGACGCTGTAGGTCATACTCCTATGATTCGATTGAATAAAATCCCAAAAGAGTATGGCTTAAAATGTGAAGTGCTTGTTAAATGTGAATTTTTGAATGTGGGTGGCTCACTCAAGGATAGAATTGGTGTTAGAATGGTTTTGGATGCTGAAAAATAAGGTCGTCTAGGACCAGGCAAATCCCTTGTTGAAGCCACTTCTGGAAACACCGGAGTAGGATTAGCTTTGGCTTGTGCTGTTAGAGGATATCCATTAGTCATTACCATGCCTGAGAAGATGTCTCAAGAAAAGCAAGATGTCCTTACAGGTCTAGGTGCTAAGGTCATTAGAACACCAACAGAAGCTGCTTGGTATGAACCTGAATCACTGATTCAAGTGGCTAAGAAGATGGCAACTGATGATCCCAATGTCATATTATTAGATCAATATGCCAATCCATCCAATCCTTTGGCTCATTACGAAGGCACAGCTGAAGAAATCTTGTGGGCTTGTGATGATAAATTGGATGCTGTCATTATTTCAACAGGCACAGGTGGTACCATCACTGGAGTTGGTAGAAAAATTCATGAAAGGGTTCCAGGATGCAAAGTCATCGCTGTGGATCCCTATGGATCTGATTTAGCTTTACCTTAAGAGGTTAATAAGACTGACATTAAAACATACAAAGTTGAAGGCATAGGATATGACTTTATTCCCAAGGTCTTAGATAGAGTAAAATCATATTCTATTATAATAGACAGAAATCGACGGTTGGGTTAAGACAGTTGATAATGACAGTCTACTCATGGCAAGAAAATTATTATCTTAAGAAGGATTATTATGTGGTGGTTCTTCAGGTGCCACTGTTTGGGGAGCATTGGAATGGGCCAAAGCTTAAAACTTCACTGAGAATCAAAGAGTAATTCTAAATATAATGTTCTATTTAGATTGTCATCATTCTGCCTGATAACATTAGAAATTATATCACCAAACACTTGAGCAAGACTTGGATGATTGAAAATAGGTTCATTCCTTATGATGAATTGAAAGAGCCTGAACATCCTTTAGCTGGAAGACCAATTACTGATTTGAATTTGCATGAAATCCAACCGTTGGATGTAGCAACAGCCACAGTTGGATAATGTTTGGAAGTCTTAAAAACACATCCCGCTGTTCCACTCCATGAAAATGGCAAATTATTGTCAGTTGTTTTCTAGAAGAAGATTTTGGCTGGAATTGTTAATAAGAAATTGAATCATGTATTTTTATAATTATAATATGATTAGGCTGATCTAGCTAAGAAAGTACACTCTAAAGAATTTGTCATAGTTCCAAATACTCTTGATTTAAACTAATTAGAGAGAATTGTTGAAAGACATGAAGTAGTCTTTGTTGAGGATGGAGATAAACTCAAATATGTAACACCAAGAGATTTGTTAGGTGTCTTTGCATGATATATAAAACATGAATAACAAAAATATAATATTAATTTTCATTACAATAAAATAATGGAATTTATTAGAGTCAAAAAGTTTACAGACCCTTTGTTTTATGAAAAGAAATCAAAATTTAAGGAAGATCCTCAAACAAGAATTACTGCCTACCATTACTCTGATTAAGCAATAACACTTGGATTGAGCAATGGATAAATGATGCAATTTCGAAAAAAAGGATTTGATACCAAACATTTCTTACAATCCAAAGATTACGAAATCTTAAAACCTGTAGAAAATAAAAATAATCACAAAGGAGAAATCAGATGTTTAATAATTGAGAAGTTTTCTGACAGTTATTATATATTTACAGGAAGTGCTGATCGTACTATAAAACTATGGGAAAACGATATCAAAAAAGGGTGTATATAAACATTATTTGGCCACACAGGATCTATAATGGCCATAGCATTTGCTTAGGATAGTTTGTTTTCAGCTAGCAATGATAAAGTGCTTAGAATTTGGAAATAAGAGAGTGGACGAGAGTTCATGTATCATCCATGGTTTGTGACTGTGTAAATAATTTATGATTTCTCGATGAAGAAATCTTTGAATCAGCAATCCTATATAACTGCATTTTTAGTAAAGATGCCTCAATTTCAACTCTATGCTGGTGACACTGATGGCTCATTACATTTATTTATGAATTCGCAACCAACTCTTCAATAATAGTAGACTTACGTAAAATTAGAAAAAAGCTTCTTTTCCTTCCATCGATTGCATGTAATTTAAATTATAGAAGTAGAAAAAGATAACGCAATATTCTCAATAGCTTATGATTAAAAAATATTAGGTTATGGTGAATCAGGCGGTAAATTCTTTAGTTATAAGAACCCACATAAATGTCTATTTACATCTATCAGATGGAGTCAAACTCATTAGGAATTGATTGCATCTGATGAGTAAGGCAGAGTATATTTTATGAACATCTCTAGTGATAAATAGGTGTTAGAATTCAAATTATACGAATGCAAAATCTTAGGAATAGATCTTATAGGTAAATTTCGAGTCTTATTATTATAGATCATTTGGAAGCATTGGTTGTATATACAGAATAGTTTATTGATGTTCTGAGGATCAAAAGGGGTGTTAGAACAGGAAATCTTCTAGATTAACACAAAGGGCCAGTAATTGAAATATTAGGTATAGATTGTCCTTAAGAATTTGAACCTAAGAAATTGGTATCAGCTTCTTTGGATAACACCATAAGAGTTTGGGATTCAAAGGATATGTCTTGTATTTCTACAATTGAAACTGGTGAAAAGAATGAAGTTTCAAGTATGCATTATCTAACAAATGCTAATCTAGTAGCAACTGGGCATGATAATGGTGAAATCAGATTGTGGAATATAGAAATAGGATCATTTTTGATTATTGATTAAAGTAAAGCTAAATCTAGGCATAATAATACTGTTTGTGCATTAACAAGTTGCACATTTGATAGTGAAGAATACATGTTTAGTAGTGGTTATGATGGTAGAATAAATGTTTGGGAAATCTTTGAACGTAAACAACGATTAATGGCTAGTTATATTATGCCTTAATTAAAATAGTCATTGTTAGCCAATCCGAAAGCAACAGCAGATTCATTAGGCAATGAAATTCTGTGTCTTTTATTTGATAAGACAACAAAGAGAATAATAGCAGCTGGAAACAAATGTACTATTTATCTAATCAATATGTTCACTTATGAACATGATGATTCATTTGTTGGACATCAAGACAGCATTACCTGTTTGGCTCTGGACGGTAAAATCTTATTTAGTGGTTCTCATGATAAGACAATAAGATTGTGGAATCTCAATAATAACTAAGCGCTTACTTATTTTTCAGGGTTAGATCATCCCATTTAAAAATTGTTAGTCATTCCTGAAACTGGATATTTGGTTAGCATAGGAACTGGGCTGCTCCTAACTTGGGATTACCCTAATAAAAAGGTCATTTCTAAATTTACAAAGCCAGAAACATTCAAATGTATAGCCTATTTGGATAAAGCATTGTTTATTGGAACTGAAGAGAACAACATACATAGTTATACTTAAGAGAATAATTTTGAGGACATAGACAAGTAGTATCAAATGATAGATGTTAATTAAGAAATAGATGACGATTATATGAAAAAGATTATAGAATAAAACTAACAAATTTTACAAGAATTTTAATAATAATAATGATTCAGTTACATATTCAACAATTAATTGATTATTATATTTACTCCTTTGATCCATTTTAAATTGTTTCATAAATTCCATCCTTAATTGTATTTAATGTATAATTAACGTTTCCTATCTATTGATCAAAAATCAAATCATAAATTTATTGGTAGTCTGTTACGAAGTATAGATTTAGTCCCTTTAATAATTATGATGGCAGATTCAATGCATCTCCTAAATTTGCATAAGGCAAAATTATATCAACAATATGAAGAGTCTTGGCAGCGATAAGCTTTTATTAAATACCACCTAAGAATGGAAATAAAGAAATACCAATTTTGCAGACTTATCCATTTAAAGAGATTTCTCCAGTCATAGCTAAGTTGCTGGGAACAGTAAAATTAGTAACTAAACTTATTAAGGCTGTTGTGATAGCAGTGCCTGCAGAAGGTCCATCTTTAGGAGTAGCCCCTTCAGTAAAATGCATATGAATAGCTGATTTTGATAATAGCTATTTTTATTCTTCGTTAAGATATTTATATGCGTTGATTTTGGCTAACTTTAATGATTCTTATAGCACTAATTTAATGTTTCCAGATGCTACAATTTATCCTTTCTTTTCTATTTCACTTTCATCAAAGCAACTTTCAACTGTCAAAACATGTCCTATCATACCGCCAACAGTCAGAATGTTAACTTAGCCAGGTGGAAATTTTTTAATGGATCTCTATTCCAATTGAATATCAAAGATGGGAGGTCCTAAATATTATGATATTAGTTCTAAGTTTTTATCCTTGGTTAGATCTAAGCTTGAAATGGTTGGATCAAATACAACTTAATTCAATTCATCAACCTTATCACATAGATTAGGATTAGCAGTTAGTAAATTGGTTGCATGTTTTCTGGCAATCTTTTCCAAGCATCTTTTTAATTCTCTAACTCCACTTTCCTAATAACACCAGGCTTTGATTATTTTAATCAGAGTTTCATTATCATATTTAATCATTTATTGTTTTATTCCATTACTCTCTATACTTTTGTTTACAAGAAAATTATTAGCTATTTGTAATTTCTCCTCCTGGATGTATGCTTAAATATCAATTGTTTCTAATCTATTTTTAAGTGGTTCTAGCATTTAGAGTGTGTCATTAGATGTTAATATGAATATCACATTTGAAAAATCAACACTGATATCCATATAGTGATCTGTAAAGTTATGATTCTCTTCAGGATTCAGAATCTCCAATAGAGTATAATATGGATCAGCACCACCAGCATGATGTTTTGAAACTTTATCCAATTCATCTAAAATAAATACAGGGTTCATTGTATTAGATTTTATTAATTCTCTTATAAATACGCCTGGCATAGAATCAACATAAGTTCTTTTATGACCTTTAAAGAATGTTGGATCAGCCACACCTGCACAAGAAATGAATCTTGAAGTTCTTTTTAATGCTTTGGCAATACTCTTTGCAATAGATGTTTTACCTGTTCCTGGAGGACCATTCAAAAGGAGAATAAATCCTTTAGCTTTTTAACCTGAATTCTTTAATTTGTTGACTGAAATCATTTCGATTATTCTTTCCTTAACTTTTTCTAATCCCTCAATTTCTTTGTTTAAGACATCTTTTGCATATTAAATATCCCATTGAACAGGCTATTATATTTAAATACAATATTACTGTGAATTTAGAAAATGGAATACTAAACACTTCATCTAAATAGGAATTAATTTTATGAAATTCTGAACTTTGTTTATCAAGAAGACTGAATCGCTCAATTTCTCTTTTGACTTTTTCTCTCGATGATTCATCTGTAATTAGAGAGAGTTTATCTTAATATTTCTTCACTAACACCGATTGCTTTTGCTAAATTAGTGGAATTACATACTTTTTCTCCAACTTGGGATTGAGATCCAACTGATCCTCCATAGGATTATGAATTAGGAGCATCCTTTAAATAATTCTACCTGATATATTCAGTTGCTAATTTGGCTAAGGTTTATTGATGCAATTTCAATAATGATGAATCTGATTCTTTGAAATGTTTGTTTACTAAATCTAATACTCCTTACATGTTTTCGAGTTGTTTTCTCAAAATAAATAATCTTTCAATATATGTTTAACTCTCCAATAGTTATTACACAAATTGAGATGTATTCAATTTCAAATTATTTGTTTATAATTTTGAAAGTCCGGCAGCTACCTAATAAACAATTTCATCTATTTGAGTGGCTGTTAATTTTTCACTTGAGTCAAGAAGAGAGTATTTGACTTCTGTAAATGCTTCTATCCTATCTATTTAAGCCAATTTTCTGATTTAAGATACAAGAGAACTTATCTGTTTAACTTCATTTTTTATATCAATCTGTAATTCTGCTTAAGTGAGAGGTCGATCCTTGTAAGGTACTCCTTGGGCAAATATTCCATCTGGAGTCATTTCTATTTTAGTTATTTTGAATCTGTAATTTTTCTATCTTATTATTTTAAATCACTTACAGACTTTGAAATAATATCCAAATTAAATGTATTGTTCATCGGATCATTGATCAAGATATTCCCATTGGCATCTCTCTATTCCAATACTTTGAGTTCAGAATTTAAACTCTTTTCAACCGATTTACTCAAAGCGATTCCGATTGTAAAGATTTCCCCATTGTCCGGTGAAATGATAGTGTAAAGAAGTGGCCTCGTGATACGTTTTAGATTCCCTATCTTTATTTAACAATTCATTGGATTATTGGGAAAGATAGGCTGGACTGAACTAAAAAGACAGAAATCAGTTGTCCCTATTTTAGAGTCAACCTCCTCAGGATCACAAGAGTAATTCTAAAGAGGTATTGTTTTCAACTTAATGTTAGAGTTATTTTAGGCACCTAATATATTGTTATTCAATCACAAGTTACCATTGCTGAACCCATAAACACATTTCCTTTGTAAGGGGATGGCAAATCGATTCACCCATAATTAAGGACGACGGAATAGGAATCTACTCAAGCTGCGCATATTTGATTTTTATAATTTAAAATAATACTAATTATAATATCTGACATCTTAGAATCCCAATCTAAGATTTTTATATATCATCATCAATATTCTTACATGTATATAAAGCATTCCTTCTAATTTAATAACAAAATAACTTGAACTTCGTATCCATATTTATATAGTACTCCTTTACAAAAATCTCTAGAACTATTGACCTTCTTTCTGTTACCCTGATTGCCATTCAAATTAAATCATTCCATTTCCATCATGTTTCAGACATATCCTATTATTCACGAGAATACTTATAAGTCATAATCTCTTAATTCTTCTACCAATCTTTTTGATATTGAGGGTTAGATCTATTCTCATAAATAGCAATAAGATATATCTAAAATATCCATATATGCTCAAACAATGGTAATCTATGGAATTCTATCTCATAATTTTCACCGTTTTAGCATTAAACAAATCTCCAAAAAGATTCACAACTAGAAAACGTCAACTTCTGTTAAGTCATATATTATTTATATTTCCTATTTCAATTTAACTATAACTACAAATGTTCTTGGAGATCTTATATATCACTTATATAATTGAAAAATAATAAAAAAATTAAGGTATTTTAATTTTCGAATTCACCTTTTTGATTGATTTAAAGATACTAAGATGCTCTAAAAATATTCAAGAATTATAAACAATATATTTCAATTCTTAACCAATATTTAGAATTTAATTTAAATTTGAAATAAGTATTAACAATTTACCACACTAATTAATATATAGATTTATCAATAAATCAAATCAATCTACGATTATCAATAATACTTTTGATATAATACACCTACCATACACTCACTAAAATAATGATTACAGTTTCAAAAATTGAAAAATAAAATAATCTTTAATGAGTTGTTTGCATTGATTCATAACCACTTTCTCTTCTCTATTAGGAAAATTTGGTTTCGAACATTATATCATTGATTCCATTTTACAGATGCTGAATCTACTTCATTAACGGATCTAAGTCATGATGTTTAATATGTTCATAAGTGGCATTGTGAATATCGAGAGCAAATGTTACAATCTGGTCACTGCTGCCTCCTTCGTTATCAAACAAAAATTGGTAGTCTCCAGGCTCAGTAATGTTGACTGAAAACACGGCTTCCTTCTTAGCTGCTTTACTACTTATGATATTCCCTTTTGGATCTTTAATCTAACATACTAAATTTGATTCTTACCAAGAAATTAATTTTCTCCTTGGTTGTCATACTGATAAAATAAGCTCCTCTTATAGTTGTTGGATGATGAATTCCTTCTAACAATATTTCCATGTTGCCTTGCTTCAATTCAAATGCAATCATATCATCTGGAATAAAGTCCTGCATCATCAATTCCCATTCTTGCATAAGATCTTTTCTATCTTGTTTATCTTCTTCCGCATAATTTATAACGTTATCATCTTGGCCCTATATTAAGCCAAATAATAAGAAAATTATAGAGATCATATAAATAAATTATAAAATAACTAATATTTCTTAATTATTACGAATAGATGGTCTAATCAAGACTTATTAAATAGTTTAAAGATATCATCTGTAGGTTGAGGACCTGAATTTCCTGCCGACAACATAGAAACTCTTGCAGATTCATTTTTTTTATCATTGCTAATCATTTAAAAAGTAGATCCCATCTAATTGCATTCATTTACATTCTCAAGACCAAAATGTTTTTCCAATAGAAGTTCTATCCTGGATAGTTCATAAATAATGTTTATTAGCCGTAGTTTTTTGAATGCAATATCGAGATGTTCTTCATATTGTTTAATAAAAGTTTCGTTGTAGTTTTCTTGTTGATTGTTATCATTGATTGGAATTATCTTGCCGAAATAGTTTCTTTTGATAATTATGTTTTTTAAATTTGGATAGTAGATCTGCAGAATTTCAGTTTGCATCTCTACCTTTAAATTATGATTGTTTATGAAGATTGCTAGGTACTTCAACATAAATATCACCTACACGATAGAACCTATATAAGCCAGAACCGCACTCAGTTTGGGCATAATAATCCTATCTGAAATCTATAAATTATCAATCCTTATCTAATAAGCCATAATGGCATTTAACTTAATATTTTAATTCGAAAATGATGAGACTATATTTTATAAATACTGATTATCGACTGATTAATTAATTAAATAGAAATCATTGATTAACTTAAAAGTAACCTAATTTTAAAATAATAATCCATTATCAAGATTAATCGCTTTTTATTAAATTGCTATCTAAGTGTATTGAATATAGGTTGGAGAGAGTGCTTGATATGCTTACTTAGTTATATATTCTATTTGATCTTCTCTATAGTTATATTACTCCAATTTCATCATGATTGAGAGAAATCCATGATACTCTTTCATGTATTAATCAATCACTTCTTAACTTGCACAACTGCTATTCTCTTCTAAGTAATGGTCTAAGCATTGAATGAATATCAACAAATAATTTCTTTATGGTTTAAATGATTGATCATCAAGGTCCTAATTTAAGTTATTGACAACCAAAGTCCCTTTATTTAATCCTACTGTGAAAGGATTTTCATCATCACTGAATAAGGGTAATGGAGGACTAGCAATCTCATAGTTTTCAACAACAAATAATAAAGGAGTTATAATATTGTTGTTCCTTTGAAAAGGATCCGAATTGGCTGGATCTGCTAATTTGAACTAAATGAAGTTATCTTCCAATTCTTGCTCAGAATAAGCCTATGCCGATTAATTACTTGTGATGGTAGGAAGAATGTTTCCACTAGCCCACTCGGATAAGACATATGCAAAGTAAGCCAAACTTAATACTGAAGCAAAAATTGAAATAATCCCACTACTTGGACTTGAATACTTAGATTTAGCATCATCAGTTAAAACTGGGACTGGTATACTAAATAAATCGATTTATTTTAAAAGATTTCTAAATTGTTTAGGAAGAGTTGCCATCTAATTTTTTAACTTAATTATTATACTTTTAATAATAAAATAAATAAGTAATCAAGTATATGTTCCTGGCATAAATGATTTTCTAATGTTTATTTATTTTTTCATTTAAGATTCTTTAAATCCTTGGAAAACTTTGTAATTTGAATAATTGAACTTCTTCTGATAATATTTGAAATTCTAAGGCTCATCAAAATAATCTAATCCCTGATGGATTTAATATTGTTATTAATCTCTGTACTGATTAAGTTTGTTCTATAGTGATGAAAGATTGTTCTTTTCAGCATCCTTCTATTCCACCTATTGAATCTAAGACACATCAGGTTCTTCCTATTATTTAAAGGGATCATCCTATATTGATTCAGTTTTATTGAATTCTACTTTTTAATCAGAGTCTAATCCAAACGATTGAACACTTTACAAAATACTTGACTACTTTTTGAGAGGAGATAGTCTTTGCATACTGATGTTTTTTACGGTTTTAAACTAATTCAATTTATATTAGAATGTACCATAACATTAGCAAATTTCTTGATTTTTGATTTATTCAAACCATTGACCAAAGTCTTTTGATTGGTTCTGGTTGGCCAATGCTTTCTATCATATCTTTGTATCTTGATTCTATCTTAATTTGAATACAAAATAGTGGCATTATCAACTAAGTCCCAGACCTCGGGAATGTAATGAGTAAAAGGGCAAGCTGATGCATAATGATCAAATCTATGACAAGTCCAACAAAATTATCCAAGAGATTGGAAATTTTAAGAAAATATCAATTCATCTCTGAGTTTACAAAATATTTCATAATCATCTGGGTAATGTTTTAAGACATCTAAGAAATCACTTCTAGTTATTTTATGCAGTTAACTGTATTCTTAAGAATAGGCTGTGGCTGTTCTTGCTTATCCTTATATATGATATTGTAAATTGAATACCTGTCATAAAGGCAAATTCACCAAAGCTGTCTCCCTTTAGCAATTTCTTTTTGACTACCTCTGAATTACCACATTTGATAATTACAGTTCCACTTTGTATAAAATAAAAGCTTTAATCATCATTAGAATCACCTGCTTCAATTATGACATTTCCAGTTGAATAATTAACTTCGGATATTTTTTCTGAGAGATCTTTTAAAAAAGGCTTTGAGAAATATTTTGAAAAAAAAGTAGTTTACAAAAACTACCCATAAGATTAATACATTAATTCCTATTTTAATTCAGGAGCCAACATTTGGAAAACCAGTATTTCCTGTTCTTAATCTCTCAGTCCCTGTTGATGCCAATATTCATTGAGATATTACCTAATTATTTCCTGTAAATCAGAGGGTACTTATTTTTATTCCATAAATTTATTGATGCTCACCTTATACTTAAATTGCTTAAGGTCATTTAAATTGTATTCTTCCATCATTTTTTAAAATGAGTTGATATTGTTTGCAAAGATAATGAGTCCAAACATAACTCCCAAAAGAGACCAAGAACACTCTATAATATTCATAGGAGACTAATCATTTCAATAAAATATCTTACTATATCACCATAACCCATAGTGGTTGAGACTGTTCCTAAAGAAAAGTAGAATCCAAAAAAGTATATTTCATGCAATGGTCTATCTAAAATAATTCCAAAATTGCCTTGATTTGTTAACCACGAATTATAATTTGATTCCACACTGTGTAATCCAATAATATAGAACACGCACAAGAACACATTAAATGCAAAAAACATGAATATAACTCTCTTACCCACCTCATAAAATACTCTCGTCCTTCTATACAGTAAAACCATTTCATTTAACTGATCATCAAACCTTAAAAATGAAGGTAACTTAAAGTAAAACATTAAAAATATAAATCTAAATTTAGATGTAAATAGAGATAATCTAGCAATTGATATTATTAACTAGTTATATTGAATAAAGCTTACTGCTGAGAGATCAAAAAAGAAGTTCCCATAGAGGTAGTTTATTGCTATTTTTCGACTGTCCGTAATCACAACTCCATGTTTATAATAAGCTGTGATAAAATCCAACCCCATATCTATCACAAGAAAAAGCGATATTGAATAATACAATGCAGCCACTTGTTTATCTGTTTGCAATTCCTTAAAATACATAAACTGCATTACCTACCAAAAACCTTATCCAAATGCGATGTAAACTGGTACCTCAAAAAAAACAAACAAAGTTAATAAGTTGATAAATAACTTCCATAAGATTATTTGTTTTGGTCTCAAAATTGGTAATTAATACAAAATGTCTATAATAAACTTATTAAGTGTACTTAATTTTTATGATACACCTTCTAAACTGTCATTGTATAGTTAGCGGATTTTCTCTAAAATAAATTATTGTGATTGTTGCTATTCCTTCTCTGCTCTTTCTTCCATAGCCAATTTGGCTTTATTCTAAAATTATTTTCCATTTGAAATGCTATGGGAGCTTTCCAAATATTATTCGTCTTAATTATTTATGGATGAATCATTCAACAAAGATTCTTAAATTGAATCCCGGTGTTAGAGTTCAAATTATTAAGCTAATGATGACATCAATAAATTTATTGGTTTGTTATTTATATTAAAATATCATTACGAAACAATTTCTTAAGATAAATCATATAAAATTTATTCCATATAAATGATTAAACGACTTAATGTATAATCTCTATTAAACACTAATCATATCAATTCTATTCAGACATATAATCAGTGTAAAAAACCCTGAGAGTATACGAAACTCTTAGTTTGTTCGAAATCTACGCCATGATTATGCATTTCGTTGAATACAAGTTCCAATCCATATATCACATGTAAGTAGAGTATTCAATACAATAGTCTCTATTAGTGATAATTCAGCATGGAAATTATATTAGGTTAATTTGATAATTATAAATTAAAAGCATATTTAATCACTAAATATTAATGTAATTATAATTATCTTTATAAAGATGAGAAAAAATAAAAAAGCGCTAATGGAAGGGTTTGAACCTTCGACCTGTTGGTTAACAGCCAACCGCTCTGCCGACTGAGCTACATCAGCGTGTTCGAAAGATTAAGTGTTGAATAGGATTAATATTGAAGGTGAGGCAAGAGTTTATATAAAAATTATTATCTTTATCATTTGAAATACTTTATTATTTATCCTCATTGAAATTTTTAACAGAACCCTATAGAGAATTTATTTAGACCATATTTGGAGTTTAATAAGTGATAAAAAAAAAATATGTTGATAATACATATCAGATGTTTTCGATACATGTTATATATATTTGGTTAAATCGCTAATAAGTCCTAAAAATGTTGCTAGTAGTATGAAATTTGAATAATTCCAACATTCTGTTCTTAAAGTCTCAATTTAACCTGAATTATTTATTTTGGCTTGGATTTACATTTAACTTAAAATAGAAATAATATTGTAAATTTACTCCAAAAAATAAACATCATTAGTGAATTATACAAGTCACTCTATCGTTGAATTTTTATTGACAATTGGAGTAGATAGATTCTTTTTAATTAATACGTCACATATAAAAATTTAAGGTTTAGTAATTTTGAGAAAATATAAATTTTTTGATTCATTTTTTTGTGTATTTATTTTTAATATAATACCTTCATATGGATAAAGATGCTTCTCTTAATACTCCCAACTTAAATAAAATTCTGTATAATATTATTTAATAAAATAAATGGAATATTAAAAAATATTCTTATTTTCCAAGTTTATCAAGTCATGATTTTGGTGCTAAGAATTTTCGAATGAAGTATGAAAATATATCAAAGTATATGCTTGATACTAAAAATTAATAAATCATTAAATATTAAGAATAAAGATAAGACCACTACAACATTAGTATGATTGATTATCAAAATAATCTTCGTCCATTTACAAATGACAGTATGATTTAAGTTAGTAAAGAAAACGATATATTATTCTCTTAATAAAAGTTTTAAATTTATTATAAATTTTCTATTCTCCAACTCGTCACTTCTACTCATTCTGATCAAAGTTTTAATAAGAATTTGAATAGTTTATAATATTATAACTAGTATTAATTATAAGATACATCTTAATAATATTAGTATTGTAATCGCTACATTACGTAATTCGATTTTAAGGGGGTAGTTTGTAAGTTTATAAGGCGAATTTAAATCCTAGATATTTGTCGATATAATATTATCAATGAAATCAATCCTTATTGCTCTTCTTGTTATTGCTGTCATCGCTGATGAAGCTTGTGTTAAAGAGAAATGCCCAAAAGAATATAATGCTTGTGTTGCTGAAGTCTTCGGCTGTGCTTCAAAGGCCTTAAACTGCAAGAACAAATGCGGAGAAGCAGACCCATGCTATCATGACTGTGCTTACGAATCCAAAAATAAGAAATTGATTGACTTGTACTTAATATAGAAATTATTAGATATGAATGCGGTCTTAAATACTGTCCCAACACAGCATATTGGAATCTCATCCTTTAAGGATGCAATGTTGAATAATGTGTTGCTGATTTCTAAGCTGAATGCTTATAATCCGTTAACCTTAGATCAGTAGAGTGCTTAATGAACTTTTCATAAAGACATCCAGAATGCGATTGTTTAAATGAATGAGGCTATAATACAATTTAAATTTCAAATATATCATAAAAATAGATTGTTCTAGCACTCTTAAACACAATTTGTATCTTATACAAATTATGTCAATAATATATTATTAAATTTAATGTCTGAATTAGAAGAGCTCTAACACGATTTAGCAGAAATATAATAATTTATTTCAACCCTCAAACGCAAATCCAATATTGATTACTTAAACAATAGAATCAAATATCTAGAGAACTCCATTAAAATACTGACACCATAAAAAGTTGAATAACCACAATAACAACAATAACAATAGAAAGACTAGGACACTCTCATCTATCAAGGTATTACAAAGTATGCTTGGGATCAAGAGGGGAATAAAGTCAAAGTGTTTTTGAATTTGGAAGGAATTGGATAATTGCCTAAAGAAAATATAAGTTCGTAATTTACATCGACCACTGTTGATGTAAAAGTCAAAGGCTTTAAAGGTCTTAATCACAGGTTAATAATGATGAAATTATTGTAGATTTTCAATTAAGAAAACATTTGATGAGCTTAAAGATAAGGAATGTTCAATCAAAGTAACCAACAACTCAATTGTGATTAGCTTAATTAAGAAGGACCAAAAGAATTGGGATTAATTGAATTTTAAGGAGAAATTAGTAAATAATGATAAATATGCAGATTGATACAGACCCATCCAAATTAGACAAATAAGATCCATAGGCATCATTAATGAATATGATGAAAGAGATGTATTAGAATGGAGATGACGATATGAAACGAACCATCGCTTAAGCTTGGAGTAAGTCATAGGCAGAAAAAGGGTTATAATGAGTATTATGAAAAATAATTATATATGTTAAATTAGAGCTAACTCAAAATAGATAATAGGATACTAAATTTTATAGAGAATGCATGAAAAAATAAACTTAATAAGAACAACAATTGCCAAATCATTTACTAGCTTCAATTAAATCTTAATCTAATTGTGTTTCATTGATTTCCTAATCTACAACAAAACCTTCATCCAATAAATTATCAAAATCTTTATCACTTAATAATTCTAAAAATTTCATTAAATATTCTACCATTTTATTGAACTTTGGGTTTAGCATTATTCGTTTATGTATTTTTTAAATCATTTAATTATTTCTATAACTACTTATCTCTTTGATTAATCTCATTAAACTTTTTAATCGCTTCTTTTAAATCTAATTCTTATTGATCAACTTATTTAATAAAATCTTCATCAATTTCCTCAATCAATTATTCATTCTCTTGCAACTAATCAATTTTAATCCTATATCTACTTGGATGTATTGCGACTATTGCTTTTCTACTTCCTTCTGTCCTACTCCTTAACCAATTTTAAAGCAAACAATAGAAATTACTACTAGTAATGCCAAGTGTAATATTTCCATTAATTACAATATATAAATATTATTTCATAAATATTCTTATTTCACATTCATTTTCTCAAATTTGATATCAACTTCATAAGATAAATTCAACCTCTCCTTCAATTCTATATGATGTACTTTGGGTGTGTACCTAATTAGAGTGATAAATGTCATTTAAATACCCAAACTTCTTCGGCTTTATTAATCTAAAGTCATGCTTGAAGGCCTTCCAATTATCGCTTATAGCCTTTTTAAGAGTTCCCTTAGTGTTTTAATCCTTCTCAAATTCAACATAACTGAAAGCAAATATGCATGCAATTGTCATGATGAACATCTCCAAACACACTAAGGTATTTTCAATACTACTAATGATTCTTTCATCCGTAAAGTGAATATCGTCTGGTTCAAAGCATTCCCCGATTTATTTTTTGAATACAGACAACACAAGTGATTGCCAAAATGTAAAGAATAGGGTTATTTTTATTATCAAGAACTTCAATAGTGGCCTAAAAATTCAAATACAATAATTATACTTATAAGGACTTAAGGGTTTCTTAAGAGCCACATAGAAGAGGATTAAATAATACAGAGAAAAGGACTCACTCAATACAATTATGATTTCGGAGGCCAATTCCAAAGAGCTGATTAACTTCGAATGGAAGGGTTATGAAACGATCAAGAAAAGAGTAAAAACTGGTTTAATGATGCAGTATTGGAGTACAAATTTCTTACATCTATATGTGAAGTATTTCGCCTTTGACTCTGTAGTTAAATAGTATTTCCTTGAGCAATGATTAAATGGCCATAAATGCTCTATATATTCTTCATTTTAAATCATTGTTTCATACACTTTCTCATCTGTTATCTTGTCTAATTCCTCATCGTATGCCATATAAGAAAACATCAAATAAAAGAATGTAAACAATAAAAAGGCTAAGTAAATGTCTCTTATCAATTCAAAGTATTATGCTAAATTCTTTTAAAATAATATAATACTGCGATCTCTAGTGATAGTATTGAAATGACAGCATAAAAAGGAGACATCATTAATATGACTAATATCATGAAAATTGCATACTGATAATTTTGCTTTGAAAATAGGGGAAATTGAAATAGTTTAAATGTTTCCAAATCAAGAACCAACTGATTGTAACTGCGAACACAACACTTACTATTGAAATAATCTATCCTTTTTCAAACAAGTAATTGATGCAGTTTTAATCACAAACAAGAGGACAAATCATAAATTATATAATATTTAATATTCATAACAAAAGAATATTCAAGTCTATTCATCATTCTACATTTGTTCTAAAAAATCAGGATTTAAAACTTCAGGATGCTAGATGAACAGATGAGAATCCAGTATCGGATGCTCAGTGGGATAATCACCTACAATTTATTCGTTCTATACTGCATCTGGATTGACCATCGAAGTTTTCAATTGTTGTTGGCAATAAAATACACTTTATTTTAATGAAGCTCTTTATTCAACCTCCTTGCTTCTATTCAATATTTCCTTCGTGAATAAAAACAAAATGAACCCTATCAAATAGATACAACACAATATAATATATGTGACTAATGCACTTGTCTTATCACTATCCTTCCCTTTTGATGTATAAGTTAGCAAAATACTACTCAACATGGCCGTAGTGGTAGCCCCTGAAACCATCACTCCAACTGAGAAACTACCATTCAAAGGGTAAATAGATTCACAACTATACTCTATTAAGACTGGCACCATAGGAATTAGAAAGAATCCTAAGAGAAACTGTTAAATGCACAAAGGGATTAGTAATTCAATCATTAAGATTGGGTATGTGAGTAATGTTAACACAAGTGAGATAATAAATAAAACAATTCCAATAGCCTTGTATTTCTTAAATTTTAACACCAATTTAGACACAAATCCAGCTGACAAAAATCCTCCTATAATTAGCAACGAAGAAGCTATCGAATAGTCGGTATCAACAAATCCAAATGGCGACATTAGATAAGGTACACTTAAACCAAATCCTTTGAGCGTTCCAAAATATAGACTAAAAGTACAAAGAATCAAAATAAAGTTTTTGTTTTTTAAAAGCTTTCGTATTGAATCGTAGAATCCCACATCATGATCAGAATTAGCAAATCCAGAAGGTGGAGTTTTTGGGTTATTTTTTATAAGAAAAACAACAGGTATAAGGGCTAGGCTCAAAAAGAATTGCTGATATTACAATTAAATAGATAAATCCAATCCCTCCTATTTGTTTTAATCATTATATGAATAGTCCTTAAAAATCCAATTGGCTGGCCATAATACGCTAATAACCATTGAAAATGTTTGAAATGCGTTGCATGCAGCCAAGACTGCCATACGATTTGAAGGGAAAAACCAATTTTATGCCATCGTAGTCTATCCATTTAAAATAAAAGGCCTTGAAATTCCCAAAAATAGTTAACCTAAAATGGCAAAAATAAAAGAGTATTTATTAATTAAGAGTCTAATGCCATAACCAATAATTGTTAAGATTACGCCTATACTCATTGATACTGCAAAACCCTTCTTAACAATAACTCAGTATATGTAGATTAAATACCTGAAGATGCGAAAAAAGTGAATACAGGCTACATAATTAGGTATATTGTACCAGTGAGAGTTATGATTTATTCGTCTACATTGTATAATTATACAAACTACGATTAGAGTATAAGGTATTACTTGTTTTGCATTCGGAATAAAAGTTTGATATGAAATACCATTTATAAATACGACTACAAGATAACATGTTAAAATGATCCATCTATAAGTGTATTGTGAATAAATTTTAGATCCCAATAATGTAGAGCTTTTGGTTTCTTTTTCTACTTAATTGCATTCTTCGATCTGCACTTTATTATAGGTTTTTTACATCAAATATATTATTACATAATAACAATAAATAACTTTCACATTTTTAATCCGACATAGCCAGAGTATAGGGCAGGTCTCAGTTTGGGATAGGAGGTTTAGGTTTTCACTCTCCTTCCTTCGTCATTCTCTTGGAATAATTGCTTAAAATAATTTAAGCTTTATTCTTATTTCTTTTGCATCGTTATCATTTGATCGAGCTTTCCCATCAAAACCTTTCTTTCCTTATTATATAACTTTTCATACGTGCATGTTATTATGGTCATTATGATGTTGCTTCAGGTTTTCGAAAAGCAATTTATTTTATATTTCCAAAATATCGGATTTATTTTTTATTTATTAAACCTAATAGCAGAGCTTATCTAACTTATTTTCTAATAGTTTCTCCTTCAAAAAGATTCTTGCATTTTAAATAAAATCGTTTACCCCTTCTTTTCTTGGAGTATGGAGATTACTATCAGTTCTATTTCTCATTGACCAAATCTAACTTATATGTCTGACGTGCTTTGATTTCTTCAATGTATTGAGGATTTCCTCCTTTTTTCTAAGCGAATTGTCAGACTCATGAATTGGAGGTGCTATATCCTTCCAACTTTGACTGCCAATTGAAATTGATTTCGAGATTTGTTTTGCTAAATTTCCATTCATTACTAGAGTTTTGTTTTCGTAGGAACAGTTCATGGTAGTTTGCGTTTATTTAAAATCCAATAACTTCTGTAGCAGCTCTTGGGAAGTTAATGGAGATGATTTATGTTTCTTATTGGGTTTTAGATGATAAGAATTACTTTTTAACATTTATATTGATCTTTATATTATGATATATTATAATAATAATCACAAATTTAGAAAATCAATTAAATCCTTTTTATTATTTTATGATTACTATTGATTGTTAAATTGCGCTTGGGGTTGTTAATAAATCTATTGACTTTAATTGCTTTGAGATTGATTATAAAAATTATATGGTTGCAATTATGGAACCTAATTATAAATTTAAGGCTGTTATTGATATTATTGTGGAGGAGAATTCAGTAAATTTATTGGCTATTAATTAGTCTACACTGGCTATTATTGATCTTTTTTTAAGAATCCAAAGGCATTCTTTTTTGGTTACGTTTACTATTGATTGGTACTCTATGAATTAAGTAAGTCATCAAAACTTATACCATTTTATTATTATTGTTATTATTTTTGTTATTGCTATTATACTTATTATTATTATTAATGTGATTGTTAATATTATTGTTATTGGGTTATTTATAATTATTATGGTTAAAATTATTATTAATTATAATTTTCTAAAGAAATATCGCTAAATGCATCTAATAAGTTAAGTTATTATGTATTTTTCTATTGGGCTAAGGGTTATTACTATGGTATTTGTTATTATTATACTAATGGTTATTATTATACTAATGGTTATTATTATTATGGTTAAGCAGTAGGTTGTTTAATTTTCAATTATTTTAGATTAAGTTTTTATTGCTATTGTTTTTATTATGCATCATTTTAAGAAGCATCCAAAATATCAATTAAATTTGTCTATTGGTTTTATGAAGTTGATTATGATTACTATTATTGTGACTGTGGCTTAGGTGGTTCTCTAAATTCAAATTAAAATTCCTTTGAATTATTTAATTTTTAATTACCTTTTATTTTGAAACTTACTAGCCATTAACTTCAGCTAATGTCTAATCGATAGCTCCTGATAGTAGCTATTAATCAGTTTCAACTCTCAGATATTATTAATTAACTTAGAAGAATTCTCTATAGTTTTAATACTATTGACACACGTATTGAATAGCGTAAATGCATCTCTAAGAATTAAGTGAATATCTTACAATCTAGACTTTCCAGTTATCCTCACTATGCAGCTTATTTAAAAGTATGCTGCCTATAAGTTATTCTTAAATAGTTGAAATTGCTCTGGCAAATTCTTTAAGAACATTGTCACTTTGCTTCAATTTGATGCCACCCAATTTAATGACTTCATTGACCAGATGAAATTCATAATCACTAAATTTCAAGATATATCTTACAATCCTCCTAATTCCAATTCTTCATAAGTTAACAGCTATCCTTTTCTATAGTCCGTGATTCTGCTCAATTAAATGTTTCCTATGGCAGGTTGAGGAGGCAGAAGTACGTCATTGTGAATTTATTATTCATTCTATTTTGGTGGAGTATTATTCAATAAATTAATTGAGTTGGTTGCTTTATTATTTGAAACACTAATTTGTTCTGGTTAGGGTTAAGGTTCATCATCCCAACCTTTTGTAATTCATTAATTCTTACCTCCACCTGGTCTTCCTTTTTATCTTGGTTGATTGGATTAGGGTAATTAAATGGCAGGGATGACTGGGGGCTAATAAGTTCCAGCTTATTAACCAAAAGATGTGTTCTCCAATTTGATTGCACTGGGAGTCTCAGATGGCGTCTACTTCTTAAATTTATTCAAAATGGATGACATGTGTGTCTCACTTTAATTATCTAATTTAATTATTATCAAAACTAATTTATAAATAAAACTATAGTAATGTTATTTCCGTACACATAATTTCCTTTATTTTATGAGAACATAAAGATTATAAATAAATAATATAATTTGAGCACTCTTAAAACAGATCATTTTTTTGCCTTTTTCTTCTTTGACCCTTTTTATCCCTTAACTGCTTATTAACTTTTTAATTCATCTTCTTTCTATTTAGCTTCAAGGGCTTTTTCTTTCTCAAATTCAAGTCTTGCTTCTCTTTATCTCTTTTGTAATTCTTCTAAATTATCAGCCTATTAATTATGAATATATTTTTACAATATTATCATTAAATGCTTCATCATCAAGAGAGAAATCTTCATCTTTCTATTCTAAAATTTAATCTTCTTCAGTCATTCCTTTTAATTATTATTTCTTTGCCAAATTCAATAACTTATATTAAGCCAATATCTTTTTCTTTAAAATCTCAGCAGTCTCGTCTTTCAAAGAAGAATCACCTACTCTGTTCTCTAAATCATCATGATTTAATCTAGACACATGAGATTTTAAGTTTTATCTAATTTAAATAAGAGATGTTACACTTTGATAAGATTATGAATGATATCATCATTAACTTATCCTGCTTATGTTAATCTTCTTTAATCAACAGGAATTTTGAAATAGATATCAATATCATTCATTTATAACTTATTGGCATCAACAAATAACTCTTTATCTTTAAGTAAGACAGCGTGTTCTTAAAATAACTGTTTACCTGTTTTAGCAAAGGATTAATATTCTAATTCTAATTTCATTCTTCTTAAATTATCAACTAATTTTTGTGCTTGATTGCTTAACTTCTCTATTTTTTCATCAATAATTTTTTAAGATTCTTCACTTTAATCTTCATGTTTAAGCTTAACTAATGTATACTCATCTATTTTTCTATATAACCACTTAATTTGCAATCTAGACAATCTTTCCTCTGGTGTCTCGAATAATGAATATGTGTTTTAAGCTTTGATGTTTGCATCCTATAATACTTTTTTAATAGCAAATTCTGCATCCTCATTGTAATGTTGTCTATTTTACTTTTATTCTTAAAGTCTATCCTCAAGTTCCTATTACAGTGTATCTAAGTGTTCATGATGTGAGTATTCAAAATCAAGATCGTCGTATAGTTTTGTTATATAAAATATTCCCTTTCCAATTTAATATTGGAGGTTTTCTGGGAGATCTTCAGGTATAACGAATTCACCTTCATCATCAAAGGTAATATTGTAATGCTACAAAACTCTCAAATATTTCCTTAATCTATTCTTTATTTTAGATGGTGATTGTCTAATATTTTACAGAATCTATTTATCACTTAGACCGTTCAATTTATCTTATGTTGCTACTCTGTTATAATAACAATTAAAGACATTTGTTGCTCTCTCTGTAAATGTTTCTTCGTCTTCTTTATGTGTGGTCTCCTCTGGCTTATCATCATGATGAACTACTTTTATAAGGGATTTTTTGTAATTATCCATCAAAGCTTGAGTTTCAGGGTCCAAAGGTGAGTTTTTTTCAAACTCTTAGATTTTTAAATCTCTTAATAATCTATCTCTTTTTAATCTCTATTCAAACTCTATTTCTTATTAGGCTAATGTCATAAATGATCTTGCTTAATTTGTTATTGCTAAATTATTTGCTATTTTAGTTTAATCTATTTTTCTTTGCATTTTTGCCTAAAAGGCCATTTCAGCTTTTTCAAATGCCTAGTCATATTATATTTCTATACCTTATCAAATTGATATCCCTTTTTTCTTAATGTATTAAACATCTTCAAGAAGCGAAATAATGATCCTTCATTTTAATTTTCTCCAAGTCCTTCCTTTACTAATGGAGCATATTTAAGGTCTGGATATCGATGCATTAATTTGTTAAGCACTTTTTGATTCTCAGTATCATTTACTTCCTCTCTCAAAGGATATCCGAGATTAGTTTCTGGTGGTCTAATTGCATAAACAAGTGGATTGTGTTATTTAGGATTAAGCATTTTAAGCCTACGGAACATTTCAAATCCATCGTAAAAGGGAAGTTTTGAATATTACCTTAAATACATAAATTTATTTTTAATATTTAGATTGAATTTATAAAAAAAGATGATTCTCAAAATGAATTGACTATTTTCTTCAAATTGGGAATCATAAAATTTAAAGAACTTTGTTTTTCTTGCCTCTCAATTCGAACTTCTTAGGGATTTATACTTTCTTCTTTGTTAAATAATTAAAACTCTCCAAAGGAATTTTACCTATCTGCATCATTCTCTTACTCATATTATTCTAAATTTTTTATATCTAAGAATCAGAGGGATACAATTTTTAAAATTGCTATTTTGCATCATCAAGCTTCATTTATTAAATAGTTTACCTATTATATAAATTCTCCAATTTAACTTTTTATATCCGGACTTACAGATTGATGACTAGAATTATTATGATGATCATCCTGTTTAGATTAATTTTAAGGACTTTTAAAATAATGAAGATTTTCAAATTTCTTATCCTCTCTTTAAGACAAAAACGAACTAGGTTAAATTTCAGGAAGAGAGGCATGGCTCGCTTGTTGCAATGGGACTATCCTTCTTACAAGAGGATTAATTAATTTACCATTTACTTGAGGGAACCTCATATCATTGCTTTCACTTCGACTTTTTACTAGAATTTATTTTTGACTCCTTGCATCAATGGTATTTGGTTAATACTATTTCAGTTCTTTAAGCTATTCTTATTATTACTTTAATAACTTTTAATTAGGGGGCTGTGGTAATTTATTTTTGTAAAGCATTTTAGTTGTTCTTTCTAACAGTTATAAAACTTTTTGTGATTATTCTTTGAAATTTTTTCCGGCTTCAATTGCAATTTCATCTTTCCCAAAATCTAATGGAATAAATGACTTGATGATCTATTCAGAACTCATAGTATCTCTATGTTTCTTTCTCTCTCTCTCATACTTCCTATCCATTTCGGATAAAACAGTTTTGTGATTAATATCAATTATTAACTAGTCAATTCCTGTATAAAATTTTTCACTTGTTGATCTTCCATCTTCGATGACTTTTGTTCGTTAACTATTTTCATTATCAGCTTATAAATAAAGTTCGATTTTAGGTTTAGATCTGAAATGCCGTGAGTTTTCTATGAATTTCTTACTTTTTTACACAATTTCTGCATAATCAAAAAGATCCTCTTTGTCAGTATGTGATTTTGATCTTTTAATGGATTTCGGTATTTTTTTCCGATTCTTTTTCATCTATTAATCATTTAGATTCTTAAGAAAGAATTTAACATCAATAAAAGTGTCCATTTATGTAAAATCTTTCATTTTATTTTCAAAATGCTGTTCTTTTGTGATTTTACTAATTTTCATCTTTTTTCTTTCATTTTATAAGACTTTTTGTATGTTCTCACTCAATAACCTGTTTCCTTAATAAAATGATGATTTTTTACTTTAAACTGTATCCTCATTATAAAGCTACTCATTCTCTACTAATTGCTTGTTTCCTCTTTTTTTGTCTAATTGGCCTTTGACAAATTTATAAAAATCCTACTCAAAATCCAACATATTTAATAATGTCCAAAACTCAACAAAATAAGCCATTTCATTCTATCGAAAATTAAGCCGATTTCGATTTTAGATAATCCTATTTAGCTATAACTTGGTGCTTAATGTAAATATTGATGTAACTTCAATCAAAGATTTTTATATAAATTTAGATAAATGCTATGCAATCTAATAGAAAAACCTTAATTCTATTATTTTCAAATATTCCTATATTTAGATAATATATCTGGATGAAGAATTAAGAAAGTGGAATGAACTTTTTAAATATACTACATCCATATAATATGATTATTCGTGCTACTCAAGATCGGTGTTATAAAAAACAATATAAATAAATACTTATACATAATGCATATTTGTGTTTATATAAAATAAAAAAAACATAATGATTTAATTATGAGATCAATGAGATTGGATTAATCCGAATTTCCAAACTCCACTGAAGATTTCTCCATTTCTGTTTTAAAATGTACCAATTCCATGTTGTTTTCCTTCCTACCATTCACCATTGTACTTTCTACCGTCACTCCAAATTATTTTACCAATGCCATTTTTTTGCCCATTTTTAAATTGACCTTCATATGTATATTTTCCTTTGACTTCCAACTAACCAAAACCTTGTTTTTTGCCTTTGAACCATTCTCCTTAATAAACTTTTTAACCAGCATCCCAAACCTTTATTTTATTAAAAATTTTATACAAATTTTCCTAATCCATCAAACTTGTCTTCTTAAAATTGTCCTTCATAGGATGAGCCATCATTTAAAACGAATTGACCATGCCCATCTTTTAATCCATTTTTAAATGTTCCTTTATAGACTGATTTATCTTCATATGTTTCAATCCCTTCACCATGTTATAAATTATATTACCATTCTCCTAATTTAAATTACAAAAGATTTTACCTTCATATCTGATATTATAAGTTGAATTAAAATAGGTACCTTAGCCATTCATATAACTATCCTTCCACTATCCCCTGTAGTATGTTCCATCAGGTGCACTGTAAAGTCCTTCTCCATTCAGGAACCCATCCAACCACTTATTTTAAATTATAATTCTATACCGTGCCTTCCAAGTAAAAACTATGATTATTTTATTCTAATACCCGTCCTCCATCACCAATCTACCAAACCCTGTCATTGATCCAAATTGAAACTAACTATTCCTTATTGTTGGTGCCACCGATATAACAACATGATCTTCCTATTATTACGCAACAGTAGATCTTTCTGTTATAATGTGTTAGGCCTATTCATAACAAATTGGGTCTTCATTCAATGAATTTTATTGTGGCTAGTTAATATTTTCCTTTTATTTTTTAATCTGAACTCTCTTTCTTGTCAAGATTCCTCTAAATCTAGCCTGAATCAATGCAATCTATTTCAATGTTGGTTCTTTTTTCATGATCTCGGGTGTTAATTGTATTTTAATCTCTTTTATTTAGAATCCATTACAAATCTAACATGACCCCATTCAAGTAAATATTTTAAATACTGATTTAATGATTAAAAAAATAATAAATGACACAAGAAGATTATTCCTTAATTTTCATACCAGATTTAAATTCTGATAATTTTAATTATTACAATTTTAAATGTAATCAAAGAACGATATTTCTTAACAAAATTCATATTCAATTTAGTTTGTCTCTTTATTTTATTCCAATATCTTAAAAGGTATTGTTTTTAGAGGATGAAGGATAAAACAATCAAAAAAGGTCTAAAAATATATCAAGATACATAGCTTTTTACTCAAAAGAATTATCTAAAACTGCTTCCTTTTATTTAATTGATAGGTGTCTAATAAATAAAATATGGATTCTTAATTGAGACATTAAAAAATGATAACATAAAAGGATGATTATAATTTTAAGATATCAAAGAAAAAAATTTAAAGGAGCAGCCTTAGTGGATGGCTGAAATAGAATATAATGATATTTGTAAATATGTTCATAAATTAGCTAAACAATTGTATCAGAAGAATAAATAAAATTAATTTATTTTTAAGAATATTAGTATTTGTTGGTTATTTTAAAAAGGAAAGAAAGTAAGGAAAAAATGGAAATGATTGGACATTTTTGAATAGATTAAAGTATTACATAATTTTAAGCTATTTTGGGATAGATATAAATGATGTAATATCAATTTTGTTTGCTTTTTTCCATCATAGAAGTACGCTTAATCTATGAATATCTTTCTTAAATCTACTAGTCTTTATGGGGATCTAAATCAAGTTATTTCAACATTTGATTATTAAAGGAATCTACTGAATCTTCAAAAGTCAAACACTGGCAATCTTTGGTTACCAAGCACTCTGTATCTTGTGGAGGTATATAACTAAGTCATATTATATGATATTTACGTATATTGAGAATAGACTAAATTGTTGATGTCCTTCAATTCACCCCTGAATAAATATCCGCCAAAAATAAAATCACATTTTTAATTTGCAGTAAATTTTTTTAATTTACTTTTAGTTCTTAAGAAATCCAATAATCTCTTAATTTCTACATTTGCAAGTGGTCCAGCTTAATTTTCAAACATCTTTCTTAAATATTCTATGAATAACTGAGCTAATTACCAAGAGAATTAATATATATCTTGAATTCGAAATCTGGATTCTTACTCATCAAATCTTTAAGAATTTTGAGATTTAAAGAATACAGCAAAGAGTCAGCCGTGGTTTTAGCTGTACTCATGCATGTTCCATCACCTATAAGATTAGTATATGTAATTAAGGTTCCTAACCCTTTCCTTATTGTACCTCCTGGAAATTCATCGACAACATTACCTTTGCTTACAATATATATGTTCTAGCATGTCATTCCTTATTCATATATAATTTCATCTGGTCCAAACTTCTTTTCATAAGCACTTTTAATTATGTTATCTAAATCAGTTGAAACAAGACCAGAAAATATTGGAAATTCCATAGCCAAAACGTGGAAAGATGGTAAAACCATATCAAATTGATGATTTTCTAAATCAACCAATCTTGTATTGATTTCCTTTTTAAGCAATTAATATTCTTTTTCATCGACTAATCCATTCTATTGTGTATCATCGAGATAATGTCTTTAATGTGTTAAAATGGAATGAGATGCCCTTTTAGTTTGGATTGCTCTAACAATCTCTGGAAAAGTATCATTCAGAATCCCCAAATATCCTTCTGCTTTTTCAATTTCCTTATTGAGTTCTTCCATCACAACTCTAATTGCATCCTTACTCATTGGGAAACTTCCAGTCAAATGAAATGCCTCGGTTGCACAAGATAAAAATGTGGTGGTTACATCATAAACAAATCCTAAATGCTTAATCATATAGTCTCTTGCAAATGGTCCTATTAATGGCATTTCCTTGACTTTAAAGAAAAAGTTCACACTGCTAAAATTTAAGAAATTTTTATATAATTAATCCCAAATATTTAAAATTGCTTTTGTGTGATCCAAACCTATATCACTTGATTCAACCAACAAACGAACTGTGTCTTCTTCACACAATCCATATTCAAATTTGTCATAATACAAACCCTTCAAAATTCGATAGATTCTGTATCTAACTTCTCCAAAAATTTCTTGATCTGTTAATCCTTCGTATAAGTTTGATGAACTTGTTTACACCTTATTACTACCTAACATATATTTTATTTCAGTTTCTAATTTCTCTATCTTCTCTATAAATTTAGGTTGGCCAATTAATTAATTCACTTAATTCCAATCAGCCATACTATAAAATTAATCTGACTCTAACTCTCTCATTTTATCTTATGAATTTACTATCAATTCTTCCAAGTATTTCTTATACACCTTCTTCTTAACAACTGGATTTTCTATCATCTCCAAATATTGCACCAAGGCTTTGCAAGTGGTACCATTAATTAAATTTGTTATTGCAGCCATTCCTGCTCCATAGAAGACTGACAAATGTCTAAATCTAGCTGGCAATTCTTCATCACATCCAACCATTAAAGATAACGTTAAACCTAAGGCACCTCTTAAACCTCCATATACAAGAACTATGAATTCTGACTTTGAGATAGGATATCCAAAACATCTTAAAAATGGCCAGAATGTCAATATCATTATAAATCGAGCCAAAATCATAAAAAAGTAAAACACTATCATTCTAATATAATCAGATTTATGGATAAATGTTTCTTCAATAACTTAAGTACCAACAATAATTCCAACCAATAAGAAAATTAAAGTATCACAAGAATATTAGACAAATCCCCAAACAGTATGTACAGAATGTTCAACTGATGATCTTATTCTTGTTTTTCCAAAAGCACTCCAAAATAAACCTAAACCTACTACTGCAAGCAATCCACTAGTTTTAAAAAAGCAAAACTCTGCCCAATAAAATGTTAGATAGGTGAATACAAATGTTAACCATGTGACCTCGATATCATCACCTAAAATTCTCTTTGTCCATAAAGCAGCCAATATTCCCAATACTAATCCTAAGGCTGGTCCGACCAACGAATTCCTTACAAAATTGAGAACAACTTAACTTGCAGTCACTGCTTCTCCCTTTCCACTAGCTGCTTTTGAAAATTTGTTAAAAAATATAAAAAACACCATGGCCACTCCATCATTCAACAAAGCTTCTCTAATTATGGAATAATTACTAATACCCCTCTATTAAATGGTTGAATGCCAAACTAGCCCCTAACTCCTTTAATAAAGCAACGACAGCCACAGGATCTGTAGCCGATAAAACAGAACCAAGAGTAAATGCTTAATACCATGTCATATCATTATCATCATATCGTAAAACCATTTTAAATATAGCTCCAAGGAGAATGGCACCCTATTATTAGAATTGTCAAATACCCAACCACAACCTGGACCAGCTAATAGTAAGATGTTGACCATTTGATATTTGAAAGTATACCAATCACAATTAAAAGCTGATTCAAATAGCAAAACAGGGACAAACACAAACACAATCAAGTGAGGATGCATTTTTGACAAGATACTTGCACTTTCACCAACATATCCCAAACTTTTTTAAAGTAATCCCAATAATATACCCAATGATAAAATCATTGGAGAATACGGGAATCTAACTTTATATCACTTCGATTACTTTGTCTTTTTATTGATCTCCCTTAATATCAACCCTGAAACAATTCCCAAGGTAAGAAAATAAACGATATTTGCAGATTTTTCCATTTCATGTTCATCCCTCCATAATGAATCTTTTGGTGCCTCCAATTCCTCTTCGTGGCCCTCAAATTCATGTTCATGCTCTGCCATTTCAATAAATAAATTTATTGTATATTATACCAGATACAAAATAAATTTAAAATTATGCTGTTATAATATAGTACTTCTTTTAAACATGACGTTAGCTCACTATGAATATTCTAATCATTAAACAGAGTTATTTATTAACATTAGCAATAAAGTAATAAAATTTAAGGTCTTTCAATTATTCTTTTAAGGCCTTTTGTAGAGGTTAAATTTAATTCATATTATAATCTAAAATAAATCCTAAAAATAGAATACAAAATAGAACGATCTTAGATATCTTAAATTTAAAGTCATATGTTATTATAAATATGATAGTTAAAATTACCAATTACAAATGAAAATTGCTGTTGGAGTAGAAAAAATTATTGTTAAATCAAAAATCTATACTTTTTTTTTTATAAACATATAGCTTTTTGAAGAGATATCTTGTAGCGAATGAGAAAACTTATATTAAATAAGACAATTGATTTAACGTGTTACTAATAGTTAATAAACTGAATAATTATTATAAGCCCTAATAAAACAAGATACATCTATTGAAATAATTCTTGTCCTGCAAATTAAAAATATATACTAATAACTTGATTAATCTAAGATAACTAGTTTTAAACTTCCAAAAGTATATTTATTAATAAAATGCTTTTTCTATTTATGTATTTTAGTTCTCAAATATTACTGTTAGCTTCGTTTAAGTATTATATTGCTTATGAAATAATTTTGAGAAATGGATAAAAGAAATAAGTTGAAGTAAAAGATTAACTTTATTTCATTATGACTCTTTGATTTTCTACCTCAAAAAAAATTATAAAAGGATTTAACAGAAAAATAAGAAAATAAAGGTTACAATAAGAAATTCAGATATTGAAAAGATCTCTAAATTTAGTAAAAATATATTAAGTCTAAAGTGAAAAAGTGATTTGAATTTTATATATATCTATCTCACAGAATTATTAGAAATAAAATATTCTAAATTTTAATTAAAATATGACTAAAAAATTCTATTGTATTAGTTAAAATCTTCATATGGTAGTATTAATTGAACATTGATGAGGTTTTCACAAGAATGTAGAGAGAATTTAAATCTAATTAAGCATCAAGAAAAGTTAAGTAAAGTGTATATTCAGTAAATTACTAATGTACTTGTAATAGACAGGTATTGATATTGTAAAGTATAATTTAGTTCGAAATGATTTATTTATTTTTTTTGCATTTTGAGTAAAAATATATAAAATGTATTCACTTTCATAAAAATAAATTTAAATCTGCAAAATAAAATCTATAATCGGCAATTTTTTATCAATTTGAAAAATTACGGATTGAGTAAATGGTTGCAAAAATTTAGAGAGAAAGTAATCTTATTATAAATAATAATTCAAATAACATCATATTTGTTGTTGAAAACTACTTTTGATAATTTAAAAAAAACTTACAATATAAATATTTTGTGGAAGTTAATAGTAGGATTCGAGAAAAGAAATAGTGATATCAACATCCCATGTATTAATTTTGATCAGGTGTCATTTTAACTTTAATTAAAATCTGTTATTTTAAATTATCAAAGATTTTCTATATTATTTAAATCCATATTCTTTGTTATTTATCAGTGTTTAGCATTGTTATCGTCCTGCTTTTTAATTCTCTTGATATGAGAGAGCTTTATATTAAATACTAAGTATTTGTACTAATCCGTTTTGAATGCATAACTATTATATTTATTAAAAAAATGAGAATGTATGTTATGTTTGTGCTATTGATGTATGCAATAGCATTGAATTTCGAGGCATCTTTGATGTCCCATACATTAGCTGAAGTAGATGCTCTGGACACCTCACAATTGAATTGCCAAACTCCTAGATCACATTTTGATGAGTTGGAGCAAACCTTGACTCAATGGTAGAATGTTTTGGAAAATAAGGAGCGTATCCCTTCACATATTGAAACATTAACTGAAATGAAACACTTAATTAAACACAAGAAATATTAGTAGTTGGTGGATAAGATTAAAGACTTAGATCTCATATCCCCACCTGTGCTTTCTGAATTATAAAACAAATTACAAGGATTGCAATCTCATGGTAACGACATTTATTTTATTATTAAGATAAACATGAAAGAGAAGAATGCACAGAAACATTAACTAAATTGTGTGCTTATCTAATTAAATAAATGAATAATGTTCACTAATAATGCTAACAATCACCAGTTACAGTCATTAAGGTCAAAGGTAAGATAGAGGATCTCAAAATTATTCAATCTGGATGCTAATAAGCATGTTAGCCAACATGCCCAGATGAACCTGTACCAGAAGTTCCATCAGAAGTTGCAAGCGAGGAATTTAGTGAAGAGCCAGTCGAAGAAGGCGTTCCTCCAACAACTCCTGATGATGAACCCACTCCAGATGATGAACCAACACCAGATGATAAACCTACTCCTGATTAACCTACTCCAGATGACAAGCCAACACCAGATGAACCCATTGTTCCTCAAGATGAAGAGGGTCCAACAGATGAACCACCTGTTAATCCAAGCACTGAAGAATCGCCTGAAGTACCAACAGTGACAGAAGAGGGAACAGAAGAATGGACTATTCCAGGAGAAGAACCAGAACAACCAATCCCAACACCATCTGCACCTGACTAACCAGAGGAAGATCAAGAAGAATCATCAAATCCACCTGTTTCTCCTGATCCTTTAGTATTCCCAGAGGAATAAGAAGAATAATTCGGTTTCGAAGAAACTCCCCTTCCACCTGTTTCTCCTGATCCTTTAGTTTTACCAGAAGAATAAGAAGAATAATTCATTTTCGAAGAAACACCCCTTCCACCTGTTTCTCCTGATGCTGTGCTATTTCCAGAGGAAGAAGAATATTTTAATTATGAAGAATCACCACTCCCACCTGTCAGTCCAAATGTAGTATTACCTGAAGAAGAAGAAGAATAATTCAATTTTGAAGAAACCCAATTTCGAAGAATATCTCCACTTCGTTCTCCATTCTCAGAAGAACATGAAGAATTCGTTTTTGAAGAATAACCTGAGGAAGAAGAAGGTCCACGGGTTTGCCATACATCTGAATCTACAGATATATTAGAATTGGCAGCTACTTAACTTGACCCTGAATTTACTAGCACACTTACAATTATAGGCCATTATGGTTTTGGTTTATACTTCTAAAAATTGTAAAAATATCCAGCCTTAGCTGAGGGCACTGAATTCCATTTAGCCAGTTTATAAGATAATGGTAATACAGTTTTGGGAGTATTTGTAACTAATACAGGTGTTAAATGCGTTACTGTTGATGGAACGACATATTAATCTACATCTGTATCGAATAATGACTTTGAAGGTGATTGGAGTTTTGTATTCATCAGTCATGGTTAAGGAGTTACTGGATGTGGAGTCAAATTCTTTGAAGAATAAACAGCATTGAGATAGACTCCTGCTTCCCATCCAACATACACTAGTTTAGACTTCAAGATTGGTGGACCATAAGATTCTCATCCATCGTTCTAAGGAAAAGTATATGGACATTATGCAGTTTCAGCATCAAATCTACGCTTCACTAGTTAAATAAAATATAATTTACTTGTTTATCCATGCAATAGTCCTCCTGAAGAAGAGGTTTGTGAATAAGAGACTGATGAATTAGGAGATTATGAATTTTATGGATTTGAGGATACATCTGATGAAACATTTGACTTTTCAACTTGGGATGCTGGTTACTCTGTTTCTGGTTGGATCAAATGGGAACCAATAGAAGATTAAGATATTTGGCACACTGTCTTCAGATTATCTGAAAATACAGATGCTAATTTGGAAGAGATATAATTAGGAGACAGAGATTTGGCTGTTTATATTGGTAATTATATGGTTGGAAATTAATTTTATTTTACTACTTACACATATTCAGGATCTGGTAATCCTAATTTGTGGGACTCTCTCAGTTATGGAGTAACCTTGGGTCAATGGCAACATATTTACTTTGGATATAACAGAAAACTTAGATTCGCTAGTTATTGTGTTAATCTCGTGATTATAGAGGATCCATTGGCTGCATTGGTTGGAGCAAATTAAATTTATGATGCTCGCCATTATCTTGTACCTTGGAGGAGACTCTACATTGGTAATGATGGTTTATACCCTGCTTTCAGTGGACAATTCTATAATTGGCGTGTCAATCGTTGTATTGGTTTTCCTGCTCGTGATGTTGTATAAACACCAGATGACATACCTTTTGGATATAATCCTCTCCCTGAAGTTCCTGAAAGTCGTCGAATTCCATAAATTGAAACATTTGCATCCCCTGAAGAAGAATAACCATATTGGGGAGAAGAAGAATAAGAAAGAGTTCCTGTTGCACCAGACGCTGTTCCAAATGTTTTCCCTGAAGAGGAACAATCATATTGGCCAGAAGAAGAAGAAGAGTTTGTTCCTCCTTAAACATTTGCATCCCCTGAGGAAGAACAACCATATTGGGGAGAAGAAGAATAAGAATACGTCCCTGTTCCGCCATCTGAATAGCCTCCTGTTATTCCTGATGAAATTAAACCAGAACCATTACCTGAGCCTGAACCTTAACCAGAGCCCCAACCAGAACCTGCACCTGCACCTAAACCAGCCCCAGGACCTGCTCCTACTTCTGAACCATAAGTTCCAGCAGTCAAAGAGTATTACAAATTGTTTATGTAATTTTAGATGTGAAGCTACAATCGATGTCACTAAAGAAAACGCTGCTGATATCTTATGTGCTATCTCAGAGTATTTAGCATAGATAGCATCTGGGCATGTTCCTGAATTAGGTATCAATCCATCAAGAGTTTGCTTCTGTTTGAAATATGATGATAGTAATTCTCAATATTAATTATTATTAGGTGATTCAAATGAGTCATTTATGCAAGTTGAAGCCATTCTTAAAGAAAATGATGCGCATTCTATAAATAAATTAGTGGGCTAAAGAACAATTTGATTTAAAAATAATAAAACATAATCAAATTTATAACCTATATTTTCTTAGTTTTATTTATTGTATTTCTTCGATTTCTATATAATATTAGCTTATGCTCTATAGAATATTGTGAACTATTCTTAATCCCTTGAAATATATTTTATTTACGATAATAATAATATTTATATTAAAATATGACTTTCTAACATGTTTGCTTATAAGGAAGGCTTGGAAAACCAATAAATTAAAGAAATTTCTTCTAATTCTAATAGAATTCTTTGTTAGAAAATTAACATGTAAATAAACAAATGATAGCCTTTATTATTATTTTTATATTTATCATTCTTCGTTTGAATTACATTGCTCTTAAAGGTTGTTTACCACATATTTGCTTAAATAATTTATTAGTTCTTATTTTGTACAATAGAAATCGCTTTAACAATAAGAGGCTTTTAAGAATTATTTATTATAGTATATATATACTCTTTACCCTTAAATCACAAATTCAAGTTAAGATGCAAATGGAGTCAAATATTATTGCTCTGTCAAAACAGAAAGCATAGCCATTTAATTAGATTCGGTTCCTGAATAAACACTCAAAGATTGACTTGAACTTAGTTATTTTATGATCCATCTGAATGGCTCTGACACTCCAGCATAATGCTATAAAGGTTCAGAATTGGCTCCAAAATATACTAAAAATTGTTCAACTTCATTAATATAATTTTAAGTATCCTAATCTGGATTAGGGAAATTAAATCCTTCAAATCGATTACAAAAGAAATCATCATAAAATTCATCCACATCAGAAAGAGTTAATTTACTTTTGTCGATTACCGTGCTTGGGTTGGCTTCTTAGATCCAATAATAAACTTTGTCGAATTCTGCTCTACTTAATAGTTCTTTTTCTTATTGTTTATATTTTGCTGAAGATTAAACAGCTTTATTAACAGTTTGCACTTTGGGACAAGTATTATTCTTTTATCCCTGGAACATATAATCTAATGGCTTATTAAATGCTTCAAAATTTAATGCAAGAGGATCTTCAAAATTAGAATTCATTATTTCATCATATGCTGTTTGATTTGTTACATAGGGTTGATAATATTCTTAAAAAAGTCTATGTAATATATCTGCATAATTTTATGGGCATAAACCTTTGATAAAACATACAATTGATGATGTGCATCTCGCAGATTTTGAGGATTGTAGTTCCAAAGTTTCATAAATGCAATTTCCAGAAGCATCGAAGATGTCTTCTCTTTATTAGTTCACCCCAAGTTATATTAATTATTTAACTCCTTTCTCTGTCAAAATGGTTGGATCCACAATCCACAAAAAGTTTCTATCTATTTCAGTCCATGTATGAGGATCTCTTGCTCCATGGCGCATTATCAATATAGACTAATAAGCCATAGTAGTTGAAATCAAAAGACAAAGAATGTGAATCATAATGATGTCACTATTTATTAATTAATTAATAAACTAGTATAAAGACACAAAATTAAGTATATTGCTATTTATATAAGATAATATAAATTAATGATTTATGAAAATAAGTATTCTATATCTTTTTCAATCTGGAATCAACTTATACAATTTTAATTTAGTGAATGAGAATTATTTCCTATGATTTAATTCTCTATAGAATTATTAGGTAAATTGGAGGTAAGCTATAAAATATGTATAAAATACTCTCTTTATTCTATTTGATTCTGTTGATCTTAATTGGATTTGTAATATATATAAATCTGAGTTTGATATTCTGAACTAATGTGATAAAGTAATATTACTTATGATTTTTACTAATGATTTAAGTTCTGATCCAATTAGAAATAACAGATATGAAGTTGATGAATAAATTAAATTAGGATAAAATTAGAGTAAATATTTTAAGAAATTTAAAGGACATAAAAAGATTAAGGGTTATTAATTGAAATGAATATAAATAAGAAATGAAAATTGGCAATAGATATATTATAAATTAAGATTTCAAGATTTTCTTAATCAAATATATAACAAATTAAATCATTTATATTGTTTAAGTTTGGAATTTAGGAGCTTTATATTTTTGTTCAATTCTGATTGTAATTCAAATAATTAATCTTAAGTTGATTATCTGCTAGCTCTACTTTCCTTTCCATAATCAATAAACGAAGTATTTTATGAAATTGCAATATTTTCTTTGTTTGGAGTCCTTGTCATTTGTATCAATTTATCCTACTACTCTATAATCTTCATTTCATATTCTGCTTTCAATTTATTTATTTAACTTTATACAGATCTTTTATAATAATCTAATTCCTATTGTAGAGTTTTATTTTGCTTAATAAGGTTTATATTCTCTAAATTTAAAGGATCTATTCTTTATTCCATCTATTTAATATATTCATTCTGATCATCGACTTAATAATATGCTTCTCTTAACTATTACTCTAATCTTTCTATATAGGCGCCACATTTATAATCTTAATCGTCCTTAGACTAAATTAAAATTAAACCTTTATTCTTAATTCATGCTCTTAGGACTCTAATTTTCTATACAGTTAAGCAATTTCATCACTCATCCTTTCTATTTGTTTTTCTTACAACTCTATCTTTGAAATCTTATCCGTTTCTTATGAAACAATCTGTTATTCAGCAGCCAATAGCTTTTACTTTAATTCTTCGATAGTTTTATTTGCTAATTCCAATTAGTATTCCATCAGTTAATTTTAATTTTGTAATAAAAATATAAAAATTATTAGTGTAATGCCTATATTTCCCTTTATTTTTTGAACTAATCTTACAGCTTTTCTTTTTAAAGTGATTCTTTTAAGTTCTGTGAATAAATGAGAAATCCTAAAAATGAAATAATCTTTAAGAAAATCAAAGTGTATTTTAAGATTAACAATTTATTAATTTCTTACTAATGATCATTTCAAAAGAATGATATAATAAACATATAAAATTCTAAGCAATTAATAAGGCTATTTTATGTATTTTCAGATTATGATTAACTACTAAATAATAGAAATATTTGAGCTTAGATTTAGAGTGAATCTGTCAATCTAATAATATAATTAATCAGAACTCTTAATAATCAACTACCATCAAGTAGGACTGAAATCAAACTGTTGCAATTTATTATAATGAAAATAAGATAAAAATCATACGAATAAATTCTCTTTTTTTAAAAATCTATTAATGGCTTTTTAATTAAGATAGAAGACTCAATTTAAGATTTTAAATTTTATTATTTCCGTTGAATAGCCATTTTAGAATAATTTATTTTCACATTTAAGTCTACTTTAATTTTTCCACATAATAACTAACATAAGCAGCAGAGAAATGATTAATAGTCAAAATCTCATTCAATACTCTACTAAAATTACAATTTTATTAATAAAAATGAAAAGAATGATGGAGTTAAAATGACATCACATACAACAATATTATTTCATTGCAAAAATTGTACCTAATAGTTTATAACTTCTATTTGTTGTTGAAGTTTCTAAATCTCTTGTTAGTAGAACCTGGAAAATATAAATAAATCAAGGGATACTTGTTTTGCTCATTGAAATATTATTGGATTGCATTAATATTTTATACTTCTTTGGATTTGATTTATTACAAATTAGATTTGAAAGCTTCTGATTATTACATGACTTATTTCTTAATTTCAGACTATTCGAATTTTAATGATTGTAATTTATATTTGATCTAAGACCAATAACGATATAATATGTACAGATTTGAGGGCTTACTTAACTTTTATTTCTTTAGGTGTTAGACTGGGTTAGGTGTTGATTTTTGTTTTAGTAAGAGATTAGCCATTAATCATAAATGATATAGAGGTTTGAGGGGCTGATTAATATAGTTAGTATTTTCTTGATTAAGCTGATTCATTTCTGACAATAAACATTCTTTGATAGTAATTTTTGGAGGGTTTAGATTTCATTATTAAATAATTAAATTGCAAGTTTCATTATATTATTCTAGCCATCTACTCCTAATTATTTATTACCTACCAAGTTAAGTAGTGCGAGTTTATAAATTTTATTAAGTGAACTAAAATTCATGATAAATAACAATTTAACAGAATTTATATTGCATTGTTTAGGATTAGAAAGTTGAATTAAATTAAAAGAGAATCTAACATTTAAATGCAAATATTTTTATTTGAATGTTGCCATTCTGATATTCTAATAATTTTGATAAAGAATTAAATAAATTTTGAAATCCTTTAATTAATTTATCTGGACGTAATAACACCAATAATGTTTTTGAATCAATTTAGTGCATTTGTCAAAAAGAAGAATATTAATTTGATTCAAATTGTTTATATTTTTTTAAAGTAATAAATAATAGAAGTTTTAGAACTGTGTGAATGTAAATCCTTTACAATTTCTAAAATTTCTAAAATTATCCATTAAATCTAGCAGCTTGAAGATTATATCTAGATAGATAATTATAGTTTTAGTAATATTACTTTAAATTAAATATCAAATAAAATGATTGGAATAATATTATCTTATAATAGATAATTGACTGCTATCTTGAAAATATAAGAATTTTGGAAATTATTAATGTATATTTCATAAAAACAATAGTCTGAAGATGTGATAATATTATTTAAATAAAAACTCATTTGATGAATCATTTGTTTTATTATATAATCAAATTTTGTTCGATTCTTTTTCGATAATTTTATCTGAAGCACTCATCAATTGAATGAAATTGATATACTAATTAATAATGATTATATATTGTACATGTTTTAAACATAAGAATGGAACTGAAACGTACATTAATGCTTAAATGAAAAACCAATCTATAAATACATTCAAATACAAAGTAACCATAGCTGTCTTAAATTTTATATATGGATTATAATTACTTCGCTTAATAAAACCATGACAAATAGCATATATGGAACTTTGTAATAAATTTCTAAAATTTTGTATTTAGAGACTGCTGTTTTGTGATGTTTTTCATTGCAATATAAAGTTGAGTACATCTGATACCAATGACTACATAAATCCAAGGCCAATGCCCACAAAAACAAAAATCCAATAGTTGGATATAATTTATATAGTACTGCCAACAAACAAGCATTAGAGAATCTATCAGTAACCTAGAAATATTGATCATGTGAAATACCATATCTAAGACACTTCCGAAAACGCTACATTGTTTGAATTTTCTGGCAGCCATTCCATCAAAAAGATCTCCCAATTAGCTCACGGAGTAAGCAACAGCAGAGACAATTGGATCAAAGCTTCCTGTGTAACAAAAGACAAGAGCACATACCACTCTTGCATATCCAATTAGATTTGGGATATAAAAGTATACAGACATCAATAATTAATTAATTTATCATTTTATAAACATTAACACTCTCAATAAATCATCAGCATCAAATCCACAACTATCAAATGTTCTTAATTTATTATATCCATTTCTTCCCTAAGCTAATATCAATTTCTAATCAACTGAATAAAACTCTTCAAAACTCATATCCTTTACTAATTCTGTTCCTACCTTACCTACGACATAAATTTTATCACACTTAAATGATTTAGTTGGTTCATTAGGTAATAATTCATATTCCTCTATTTCTGTCAATAAATTCTTTGTAACTTTTATTGTTGGAATTCTTAAATCTGCCATTGCCTCATATATAGATGTACAAATAGCTTCTAAGTAGGCAATATCTATTTAGCATAACAGAAACACTTCGACAACTAATACCCATCCTTTTTGACCAACCTTTAATTCACTCATATCAGTTTTATATAGAGATTCTAATAGCTCTTAAAGATACAAGGCTTTCTGTTTTTCATCATTTGTTCTCTTCATTGAACTTACATTTATTTTTATTGAAGATTAATCACCCAACTCCAACTTTATTCCAGTATAGATTGTGATTTCTCCCTCATATTTGCATGAACCACTTGTGCATATAAGATGAGATCTCAACAATTTAACTTCTCTCACCTCATTATTTTTACGTCCATCACTTCTTATATTTACTGCAATTCCTCCTTTAATGAATTCTATTTATCCTGTGCTTAACATTAATTGTTTTCACTAATTAATTTAATTCTTTATAAACTTAATTCTAATTATTCAACTTGAGTATAATTATTTAATGAAATTATAGGATTTTATAATCTCAACATATAACATTTAAGTGGGGAATAATTTTAGCAATATTATATTGTTTACTATAATAAATACATATTGTTATATTATTAACTAAAATATTTTAATTTAATGAATGAAGATGAAATAAAGCAGATGGTTGAAAAATATAAACTGAGAAAAGAGAATTTCGATTCCTATCGACCTAATAAAAAATACTATTTTGAAAACTCAGATGAATTATTAGCCAAAGCTTAACTCAATGAATAATAAAGTTTCCTTAGATCATTTAATCATTACTAAGATCTACCTAGAGCATCTGTAAATATTTTAGGAGCTAGAAGATAATGGGAATTTGTTTCAGGCTATTTTTTAGTAACAATCCCAGTTTCATATGTAATTGGAAGAATAATAGCAAATGAAAAATATGGGGTATACAATGCAAATCATCGAATTCGAAGAATGAGAATATACACATATCTTGGATTCGCTTTTATAGGATTAATTTATATCCCTACAATTCCTGTTTTTACTCCTTAAAATTCAGGCATATTCTAGCCATAATTTTATGAAAAAAAAGTTTAGAGAGATCTAGATCTAAATTTGAATTTATATTAAAATGTCGACACAATTATAAACTCAGATTAGGAACCAAGTTGGGATGATTTCAAAAAAGTGTTAAGGAATGTTTAGAAAAAAACTCTTATGAATGTAAAAGTGTGAACTCATTATAAATTTATTAAATATCATATTTTATAATACATAGTTATATTCTAATTATTTCACTTAATTTATTATATTTATCAATGGAGAAATAATAGATAAATATATTGATTTAATAATTCATATCAATTTACATAGTGTGATATCATAATTTAGTATATTTTTAAGGTTTATCAATTATGATACAATCATCATCTTCTTTGCTATCACTTTCTACAATAATTGGTTCCCCAATTTCATGGTAAATTATTTAAGGTTAATCAAATTAAATAGTCATTTTATTTTCTCTTTCTGGACTCAAACCTAAATCTATTTCAACATCTTATTAAATTTTTTAGTTCACATAATTAAATACTTCATTATCGACTAGAGTTGGTAAATCATCTTAAAAGTAAATGCACAATACATATGTCCACATACAAATCATTATCTAATAAAAGGGTTTTCTAGAGCTGCAATTTTATTAAACTATCATACATTTGTTAAATAATAAATTAGCATAATATTAAAGGAATTCATAATCCAAACTATCTATTAAACTTTCAATATCTTTATCAGGGAGTTGATAATACACAACTTTTTTTTTAACTTCCTTAAAATTTAATTTTTCATGACTGAAAATGAGAACCAACCTTTTCATTCTTTCATTCTATCCAATTTCCTATAATTCTATAGCAGTCTATACGAATGCTGAGTATCCTACTTGACTATTTAGATGGATATCAGCAATCACATCCTTAGTAATGTCTTCCTTTTACAATGTAGTTAGCATCACACTGCAAGTAGCTTCATTAACAAAATATGAGTTAGAACATTTAAAATTTTTTCTCATTCTCAAAGATCCTGATGTAAAATTAATCTTAGGTCCACAGCAAGCTTTTAAAGAATAGACCACATCCAAAATGAACTCATATTTCCTACCATAAATATTTATAGTTTTTCCATTGTCATTCTCTTTTTTAAAGAAATCCAAAATCGGAAAAATGATGGCTTTCATTCCTATTATGAACCTTGCCATTTGCTCACAATAATAGTTATCAGAAATAAAGATTTACTCCAATAAATCAGGGCCATTGATTTCTATGGGGGGAAACCAAGTTGATTTGGAAAAGTCGATTCTAATTTTCTTCTCTTCTCTTAATAATGGCATTCGTCCAATATCACATTATATCGATGTATATTAATTTACTTTTTAAGCAATAAAAAGTCTTATAGCACTATACTATTCATAGAGTTTAATCAACTGCAGATTCAAACATGATTCATATTCTAAATATTTCCATTCATCTGGCCATTGTTATTATTATAAATCTGATTCTAAATTTGGGCTGTTTTCTTTCATTTTACTCCAAAACTTCTTTCTTATTTCTTTTCCTAACGAATCATCGTAAAACACATCGTATGCTACTCTAATCCAAAACTCTATGGATGTCTTCCGATTTCTTACAAATTTGCAAATACATATTTTAAAACAAGGAGATTTCAAAGTTTCATTTATTATATTTTCTAATCTTCTTTATTTATAGACTTCCCAATCTCTTAAAAGCTATTTATCATTTTCTAGTTTCTTTTCATTTGGTTTCAAAACCACTCCCATTATTTAATTATAAATCTCTAAATCATTATGATAGCAGTCATCTAGATTTCTAGTTAACTATCTTAATTAAAAAAACTTCTTATTGTACATTTAAATAATTAAATGGTTATCGTCAAATTATATAGATCCATTTAATAGTCCAATTAATATATGGTTTTTTATTATTAATAATTAGAAGTTTATTATAAATCAATTTCTAATCTATTTGCATTTTCAGAATATTTACTTTATTCATTGAACTAATGAACACCAAGAAAATTATATTCTCTAAGAGTATGAATAATACTTATATCAAATTCTGTAATTCTTATTACTATTTCATGATATACATAAAATAGTGCTATTTTAGAATAAATTAATTCTTAAATTTATAAAATTACATAGTAAGCGAAGTTTATAATCCTCAGATGCATTTTCGATAGAAATAAAATCAATCTTTCAAAGTGATTATAAATTACACAAATAAATTGTTTATTTAAATTAAAATAGTGTTTTGCAGTTTAGGCATAGAAGTAAAGAGAAAAATTTGGCTTAATATTCCTCAGCCTTTTGTTAATCGTTTTAAATAACCCAAATTTTAAAGGATTTTATCATTAGATGTAAAATAAAGATATAATAATGATAAATATTTAAACTCGCATAAGGTAGTAATCCTTCCTTTAATATTAAATCATTCTATTTTATTTTGTTAATTCGTTTGAGTTCTTTCTGAGAATGTTGTATTTAATTTAAAGTATTCCTCATTCAATTTTTCCCTTGTTTTTTACATGGCTTCCCTGGATGTCATTATCATTCTCATTACCATAAATGGATCAGCTTCATTTTTAGCTATTTCAAATTCCTTCCTTGCACTTTTTCTAATGATGTCTCTCCTTTTGAAATAGAGTTAAGATTATACCAAATCTCTCCATTCTTATTAGCCCAATCAAATTCTATTGAAAACTTTAATATGTCTCTATATAATCGTAAAGCTTCCTTATTCTGAGTTTTTTTGGCTGCTGCCCCAACTTTTAGTTTGTGGAATGGATTATCAAATATGTGGGATAATATGCTTTTTTAATTCATTAATTATAATTATTCATATTGGAACTTAATTAATGGATAAGTAATCTAAAACATTAATCACATTTATTAAGTTAAGGGGATTATAAAGCTAAATAAAATCTAATATGGTTAAATAGAAGAGGATGAAAATGAATAAATAATTATACAAATAATTAGACTAAAGAATTAATAATACCAATAGTAAATGTAGATGAATATCAAGTACAGTGGTATATTATTTTGATAACTAATTGCAAACACTTTTATTAAAATTAATATTTTGATATAAAGACTTATGAGAAGCTTGAATAACAAAATTTTATAATTCATGAAACAAATATTCTCCTAGTTCCATATTAAAATTTCTTAATGAATGTTTAATATTGATTCTTTAAAAAAATTGTATTCAGAAAGGCAAGATTATAAGGGAAAATGGACATTATTTCTGAATATTTGAACTTCTTTTTCTTTGTCAAATGAAATATGAAAATTGTTTATTTATATATTTATAGATTTTAGTTTAATTAAAAATAAATTAATGGATTAGCATAAACTATAATTTAAGGAAGATCAAATAATGAAAGTAAGTAGTATATAGTATACCATGTAGCCATTTAAATAGGAGAGATTTAATATCAAATAATTTTAAAGAGATTTAGAAATTAATATTCTGTCAAAAACAGATGAGAAAATAGTATTTGAGATAATCAATATCGATGCTCCGATTGCTAATTCTTTAAGAAGAATAATGATTGCAGAAGTAAAGTGAAATGTAAATAGAGATCCCTACTATGGCAATCCATAAGGTTTAAGTAATCCAAAACACCAGCGTAATACCAGATGAAGTATTGGCTCACAGATTGGGGTATATTAAATGGAAATCATATTAGATTAATTCCAATTATTGCCGACCCTCTGCAATTCATTGAAAAAGATGATTAAGAAGAATATAATGAGTTAAACTCAATTGATTTTACATTATATGCAAAATGCGAGAAAAAACCAAATAGCAAATAGGACGATCCAATTGAATAACAATACACTAATACAACAGTTTATTCAAGCAGTTTAATTTGGTAACCAAANGTCATTATCATTCTCATTACCATAAATGGATCAGCTTCATTTTTAGCTATTTCAAATTCCTTCCTTGCACTTTTTCTAATGATGTCTCTCCTTTTGAAATAGAGTTAAGATTATACCAAATCTCTCCATTCTTATTAGCCCAATCAAATTCTATTGAAAACTTTAATATGTCTCTATATAATCGTAAAGCTTCCTTATTCTGAGTTTTTTTGGCTGCTGCCCCAACTTTTAGTTTGTGGAATGGATTATCAAATATGTGGGATAATATGCTTTTTTAATTCATTAATTATAATTATTCATATTGGAACTTAATTAATGGATAAGTAATCTAAAACATTAATCACATTTATTAAGTTAAGGGGATTATAAAGCTAAATAAAATCTAATATGGTTAAATAGAAGAGGATGAAAATGAATAAATAATTATACAAATAATTAGACTAAAGAATTAATAATACCAATAGTAAATGTAGATGAATATCAAGTACAGTGGTATATTATTTTGATAACTAATTGCAAACACTTTTATTAAAATTAATATTTTGATATAAAGACTTATGAGAAGCTTGAATAACAAAATTTTATAATTCATGAAACAAATATTCTCCTAGTTCCATATTAAAATTTCTTAATGAATGTTTAATATTGATTCTTTAAAAAAATTGTATTCAGAAAGGCAAGATTATAAGGGAAAATGGACATTATTTCTGAATATTTGAACTTCTTTTTCTTTGTCAAATGAAATATGAAAATTGTTTATTTATATATTTATAGATTTTAGTTTAATTAAAAATAAATTAATGGATTAGCATAAACTATAATTTAAGGAAGATCAAATAATGAAAGTAAGTAGTATATAGTATACCATGTAGCCATTTAAATAGGAGAGATTTAATATCAAATAATTTTAAAGAGATTTAGAAATTAATATTCTGTCAAAAACAGATGAGAAAATAGTATTTGAGATAATCAATATCGATGCTCCGATTGCTAATTCTTTAAGAAGAATAATGATTGCAGAAGTAAAGTGAAATGTAAATAGAGATCCCTACTATGGCAATCCATAAGGTTTAAGTAATCCAAAACACCAGCGTAATACCAGATGAAGTATTGGCTCACAGATTGGGGTATATTAAATGGAAATCATATTAGATTAATTCCAATTATTGCCGACCCTCTGCAATTCATTGAAAAAGATGATTAAGAAGAATATAATGAGTTAAACTCAATTGATTTTACATTATATGCAAAATGCGAGAAAAAACCAAATAGCAAATAGGACGATCCAATTGAATAACAATACACTAATACAACAGTTTATTCAAGCAGTTTAATTTGGTAACCAAAAGGACAACAAGCTAAATTGTTTGCTGCTAATCCAATTCGTCCAGTCCACTCAAATGTTATAATTGCCAAATTAAGGGAAAATCAAGAACTCAATTTAAGATTGATTTGTGAGAAAGGCGTAGGCAAGAGACATGCAAAATGGTAGCGCATAAATTCATTTTAGGTCTCCTGTGTGCACAGCCTTCTATAAATTAATGCCATCAATTACTATAAAAAATTAGTTGGATGCTTAAAGATAAGAGAAATTGGCATCTATTTGTCCAATGAAAGTGTTTGGAATAAAAGGAAATTAAATAAAAGTAGTGAATCCAAGAAATTGCACTACTTGTAGAGAATGTGTAAGAGAAGCCAATGGATTTGAGAAGGATGTAGAACTAAATAAAATAGATAATCATTTTATTTGTAATAATCATTGAATTAAAATGTAGTCTCAATTGAAAGTGTAGGATAATACGAAGCCAAAGATATAATGTTATAGGCTATAGATGTATTTAGATCGAAAGTGTAATTGTACATTAAAGAATGATTTTTTATATTCATTAATATTAATTTTTATATTCACAGCATTAATTGTAAATTTCCAATCTATTTGCAAATATCTCTGTATTTACATTTGTTATTATTAATCGGTTTAGTTTCGACCACTTTTTTCAATTAAAACTAAGTAATTCGATATGTGAAGTTGTCCTAATTCTAAGCGATGTTATTGCAAATCTAACTATAAAGCACAAGGTAATCTAATAATATGATGGCAGCTTCTTCTCTAGGTTCAGGAATCTACATATTAAATATGATGGATACCTAGAAATCAGTATACAGATTTAATTTGATTGACAAAACTGTCCTAAGTTCATAAATGGCTTATTTTAATACTGGCAACATCAAAACATAATGAGTAAGTACTTCTAAATCACTTTTATCGAAAGCTGCTGCAAATTTTTAATCTTGAATAAGGATCTTGTATATATTTTGATTATCTTGAACTCTTATCCACTAATGATAAATGGGGTATTTTTACCAATCTTTCAAAAGATCTTGTAAAGTTATGTTAAAACTCATTGATTTCAGTACTGTATTATTTTTTGAGATCAGTGTTTAGGGTATATTGATGGAAGTTGACTAATCCTAAGGTGTTGACATTTGATTCCATCATTAACTTAAATTGCTTTGTCTTAAATAGGGCATGTTTGATCATAAAGTAGAGTATTTTCTCTTACAAACAATTCTAATTAAAGAAATCAAAGTGATCTATCAATTTGGCTACTCTGAGAATGAGTTTTAGTAAATAAAAAATGTTCTATAGTATTAAATCATTTTGGAGAAAGTCTTTAGTTGGATTTTGAATGGAAAATTAGGGCTTTGGAGGATGATTGAAATAATTGTTGCTGTAATTCCTGTCGATTACTTCTCTAGGACTGAGCCTTCGCTTCCATTCATTGTCCTTTTGTTATTATTAGTATTGAGTTTGTCCTCTTGTGATGTGGAAGGATCCACTAATTTATAGCAATCTAGGTTTTTCATTAAATAAAGGGTGATCGAGCAATTGATTTGCTGAGAATCTTTTGTTCATGTCTACTTGCAAACACTTGATGATGAAATCTTTGGCATGGAGTGACAATAGAATCTTTTTTGGAAATTGAATGGGAGTGGTCGTAATTAATTTAATAAATTCTTTCTCTGTTTCGGCTACCCAGGGAGTGCAACCTTTTTAATTAAACCAACATCATACCGCAGAGAGTTTAATAAAACATAATGCCAATGCTCCAAATGTCACTTTTTTCGGAGTATTAATTATCCATCAAAGCCTATGGGCTCATATATAGTGTTGTACCAACATTGTAATACACTTTCTCTTGAACACCCATCATTTTAGAAAACCCATAGTCTGCTATTTTTGGTATGCCATTGCTTAACAAAATGTTTGAGGGTTTGATATCTCTATGAATTATACCTTTTCTGGTTTGTTCCAAAAAACCGGTGATAATTTGTTTGAATAATTGGGTGGCCTCATTCTCTTGCAGATGATTTTTCTTCTCTATCAATTAGGCCAGATCTCCTGTTTAAAATATAAATAGGTTCTCATACCTTGATTGCAATACTCAGTTATTATGTAGGTGTTTGATTGCGAACGAATGCATTGATACATTTTAACGATGTTGGGAGAATCCAACAATCCCAAAGCTTGGATTTCTTGATTGAGCAACATCAACTCAACTTCATTTGTTAGTTATTTCATATTGCACACCTTTGGTTTAGTCAATTAATTACCTTTATTGCTACCTAATCTCCATTCAAATCATTCACTCCTTTGTAAACTTGACTCTTGTAGCCCGAACCAATTAAATCAGATTGTAAATAACTAAAATGACTAATTTGAATTCTAGGAATTTATTGCATTTATATTATTTAATATAATTCTTTCAGTCTCAAAGGTTTATTGCGTTTATTGGCATACCTTTCAATTATTAAATGTGAAAAAAAGTAAGATATTATAATAACAAATTCAATTTAAATGAGCTAAGACAAAAAGTCCTTTTTCGATTTTACTTCACCCTTTGATTTGGAAAGACAAATCGAGATTTTTCATAAGTCCCACAAAGATCAGTTCTTTGTCCCAAAAGACGACAAATTTAAGATGAAGACCCTGGTGCTCCAGAGGAATTATCTTATCAAATACAATTAGAAAGTATCATATTATCCTTATAAAAAAAGCGTACTTCATAAAAGTATTTCAACATTACTAATGCGTTACTTGAAATTGTTAGCCATCCAAAAATGGGTTTGGGGATATCTCTAACAAAAAATGGAGGAAATTTTACATTTTATGGTGTTGTTGAATAATGGTTTTCGCAAATGAAAAAATGGTGTATCCAACCCAATTTCTCTAAAGATTACAAAATTGTCTCACTGATTGGTCAAGGCAGTTTCGCTAAGGTACTAGCTCTTAAGTATTTTTAGGTTTTTAAAATTTAAAGAATTTGTGACATGAAAGAATTCGCTGTTAAAGTGTTTGATAAATCGATTTTGAAGAGTTAAGACAGGCGTGCTCTTCTAAAAGAGATTGAACTTCTCAGATTGATGAATCACAAAAATGTTGTTACCATTTAAGAAACTTACGAAAACGATCAATACATCTATTTGGTCTAAGAACTCTACTAAGGAGGCGAATTACATAAGGAACTGAAGAGAAGCAGAACTTTCTCAGAGCGAGGTGCATATTTAATAGTTCAATAAGTTGTTGAGGCACTGATTTATGTGCATTCTCATGGAATACTTCATAGAGACATAAAGCCTGAAAACATCATTTTGAAAGAAGAAGGAATTATAGATCAGGTGGTTCTGGCAGATTTTGGATTGGCAGATTATTATAGAAAGGATTGTAAATACATGTTCACCAGGTGTGGGACACCAGGATACGTTGCACCGGAGTTATTATAGGATAAAATTTATGATCACAAGATTGATGTGTATAGTTGTGGCGTACTCCTCTACTACCTTCTGGTAGGAAAGGGTCCCTTTGACTCTAATAATTACGATCTGACAGTGAAAGCAAATTTTAATGGACATGTTGATTTGGCTAAATTCAACTTTACAAATGAATGTCTGGATCTTTTGAGAGGGATGTTGGATCCAAATCCTCTCAATAGATTCACATTCGATTAGGTTAAATAAAGCTAATTCTTTAAAAGACACAATTTTACTTAAAATCAAGTGAGTAGCTCAACAAGTTTAGGCAGCATTAATTATCAATCGGATACATAAGTCTTCTCTCCATAATAATCCCCATATTTAGAACACAGAAATTTGAATGAATAAAAAAGTAGGTTTGTCTAATATAGTTCTCCACTGTATTCACCTATGAGACTCAACTCACCCAATTTATCTCCTCTTAATGGTCCTTAATAAAAAAGCCCCAATTTACCAAGAGTACCCATTTAAATATGAAATTAATATATATATATATATAAACTCGAGTTAATTTTTATAAATTAATAATGTATAAATCCTTTTTTGATAATTAAGATCAAGGTTTTTGGTCACCTCGAAAAATCATCAACAATTGTCTTCCAATTATAGAAGGCAGATTTTATGTACCTACTAAAAGCGTTGATTAATATGATCTAATTTCTCTTAAATTATAAGGGAAATGTCTTATAATGAAAGATGGGAGTGTATGTATCATCCTAATTTATAGACTGAAATTTATGCAGACATAGAAAATGCTTGTCTTATTAGAATGGAACAACAAGGGATTTGTTTAATAAAAAATTAAATCGAATTCTAATTGTACGGCAGCAATGTTGATGACTTTTTTATCAATCTCAAACAGTATTGCCTCCAATCAGATTTTCAATCTAAATATCATCTCCTCTCTGTAATAGGACAAGGAAACTTTGCGAAAGTATTGTTTAATTTAATTATAGGTCATTAAAGCCAGAAACAAACATAACTTAGCTGAAAACGCAGTGAAAGTATTCGACAAATCATCATTTTCGTTACTATCAGATAGATCAGCCCTAGTAAAAGAGATTCATATTTTAAGACAGTTGTCACACTCGAATATCATCCAATTACATGAGGTTTTCGAAACAAAAACTCAAATTTATCTCGTATTTGATTATTTATCTGGCGGTGACCTCACTAATTTCATCAACACCCAATAGTTGATAACAGAAGAACAAGCTAAACTAATTATGATGGAACTTCTCAATGCCCTACTCTACATGCACTCGAAAGGTATATTCCACAGAGACATAAAGCCTTAAAATTTACTGCTTCGTAAAAAGGGCCAAATTACTGATCTAGTTATAGCTGACCTAGGATTGGCCGATTACTATAGAAGAGACGGCAAGTACATGTTTACTCGATGTGGCACTCCTGGCTATGTGGCTCCAGAAATCTTATTAGACTATCCTTATGATTTCAAAGTTGATATCTATAGTTTGGGAGCCTTGCTCTATGTCATGCTAACAGGGAAGCCACTCTTCAAAGGTGCTACTGAACAAGAAACGGTCCAATTAAACACAGACAATAATTTGGATTTTTCAAATACTTCCTTATCCAAACCTTGTATTGATCTACTAAATAATATGCTCAACAAAAATCCCTTGTTTCGATATTCTATTTCTCAGTGTAAGACTCACGAATGGTTCTAATTGGATACTCAACCTATCTTTATTCGTCTCAGACATTCAATGAAATCTAAACTTCAATTCAACCTCGATTTAAACAGCGAAGACAGCAGTCCAAGTAGTCCCAAAAAAAGTTAGAAGCTGTTCAAAATTAAAACGAATTTGCTCTCTCCCAGGTTAAGTGGAAGTTCAACCTCCAGTTTTGAAAGATAATGTCAAAAGAGCAGGATAACTTGCAAAACGGAACCGTCGGAATAGAAGTCCACATTTAATAAGCTAAAATTATCAAAGTAAAGATAATCTTAAAAATATTGATAGTCTTATTGATAATTTATTTCTATACATTCAATAATTCATATTCAATTTATAAAGCATTCCTCCTTGTGATCAAATTTGATTAATTATATGAATATAAAAAGACAAGTGCCATCATCTTCGTTTTTCGATGTTTCCAAAGGCTCATTATGGCTGAACACGACTGCATCTCGGAACATCAGTGAAGCCATCCAAGAAAATTTCTATATCTACTCTTCCAAACATCAAACATTCAAAATCAAGACCTTATATTTGTAAGGTCATTTCATTTTTAAAAAGAAAAAGAATGTATTATAGTATTATTCATACTTAGGGTTAAAATAAAATAGCTGACATAATAAATGCAACCATCTGTGAAATTGAACAACCTACTTATGGAGCAGGAATCAAAATTACAAAGTATGGACAAACAATAGAAATTTATGGAATGATCATAAGTTGGCTATCATAACTTAAGTTTTATTGTGTTCAATAGGATTTTGCAAGTAAATATTCAATTATTACATTACTTGGAAAAGGAACATTTGGAAAAGTATTAAATTATTTTATAAATCTTAGGTTTATAAAATAAAATCCAGAACTACTCATTAAAATTATGCTGTCAAAGTATTCGATAAGAAAACTCTTATAAGTTATTAAGACTATTTAGTTATAACAAAAGAATTGTAAATAGTGCGTACTTTGAGTCATTCTGCTATAACTCACTTTTATGAAACTTTTGAGAATGCTGAATTCATCTTCATTGTCTATGAAATGGTCGAATAAGGCGAGCTCTCTACTTTAATCAAAGAAAAATATCTTTCTGAAGAAGAATGTCTCTATGTCACTAAGCAATTGCTCTAAGCATTATTGTTTATGCATGCCTAAGGCATAATGCATAGAGATTTGAAGCCTTCCAACATATTGTTGAAAGACAGAAACTCACTGCAAATTGCTATTACAGATTTTGGATTAGCTGATTTCTACAGAAGTGATGGCAAATATATCTATACAAGATGTGGAACTCCAGGGTTTGTGGCACCTGAAGTACTCTAGGACAAAATATACGATTACAAAATTGATATCTATAGTGTTGGAGTCATCTTATTCATGTTATTGTCTGGAGGGAAGTCTCCTTTTTAAGGACCTGATGCTGATGAACGCTTATATCAAAACTATAAAGGTTCAGTGGACTACAGTCTCTTGTAGAATGTATCCGAAAAAACATTCAATTTGTTATAATCTATGCTTGAACTGGATCCTTCTAAAAGAACTTCAGCTAAAGTAGCCCTTAACCATTAGGTATTTAGAAATTGTAAGGCTACCAAATTGTCATTAATTATGAATAAAACTCCCAGAGGCAATGAGAAAATACTCAGTCCTAGACTCAAAATAAATACAAATACTAATTTAGACAAATATTTGTAATTGAGTCCAAGACTTCTGAATATCTAATAAAAACCAGTCAATAATATGAAAAAAGAAGCGATTAGAAGAGGCTTTAAAAAAATGCAGACTTTCTCTCATCGATCCCCATAACTTTCGCCAATCAAAACCTAAACAAAATTCGAACCATTCCCATGATACAATAAGTATATGTAATTTATCATAAATTAATAATTGATGATCAAAAAAGAAAGAGTTTGATTCTAATCAACATTTCACAGTTAACTGATATCTTATATAATATATTTATATTCATGGGAATTTCTTATGAGCATATTCTAGCACTTCATAATGATCAAATGCAAATGCATCTTTACCCAATTTGAGCATTTCTTCAACACTTACCCATTGAGCTGTCTTAGCATCATCCGCTGCCTCAGGCTCAGCATCTTCTGGAACCTCAATCTTATACACAATAGAGACGTAATGTCCTCTTGGATCTCGATCTGGAGATCCTTTTACGTCTATCAAATCAACACTTAATCCTAATATTCCAGTTTCCTCTTTGAGTTCTCTCAAACAACATTAAATTGGGTCTTCACCATAATCCAAATGTCCTCCTGGAAATGCATATCTTCCCAAAAATGGTTCGCGTCCTCTTGTTATTAATAATACTTTTTTGACATCATTTTCTAGTTTTCTAAAACACACTGCGTCGCATGCTAATTATGGTCTTTATTTCATTAAAAATTAAATAATTATAGAAAATCATTAATAATACAGAGTAGGTGTCTTTGCTTAATTTAGTAACCTCAACGATTCATAATTGAAACAACAGATATCTAGGGATAAATCATTTTTCTTTTTGAATCTTTTTTTTAAAATTTAAGTTATATTATCTTTATTATCTGTAGAGGGTGTTTTTATTCGATGCCAAAAATTGTTAGAATTCTTCTTCACTTGTTTTTTATCACCACTAAGATTGCAGTATTGAGTCTCATTTGGAATTGCCTTATTGTTTTTATTTGAATCTATTTAGTTTTATTTTATTTTGTTTAATTGAATCTCTTAACTATTTTATCTGACTCTTGTAGAAGGTCTTGTTAAACTTACTTTCGGAGTCGTTATTTGTTTTATTGCTTTCTCAAAATTTGTAATATTGCTATAAAGAATTCTGTGTTTTTTTGCTTGTTCCCTTCTGCTCTGTAGTTAACTATAAAACTCTTGATCATTTTAAGAAGATAGTTCTCTTCTTTTTTAGCTCAAATAAAACTTTCGCCTTGTGTCTAAAAATTAATCGAATTAATACACTTCGACACGTATCTTTTAATAATAATAGGGCATTTGGGTTGCTATTATAAAATTCCTGCTCATTATCAGAAAAAATTGCTTCTTTTTACACTTGATCATTGCTTTTATTTGTATGTGCACAATTAGTAAGGGAAAGATTATTAGTATTTGTCAGTTTTCTTTAAGTGGCTCTTAAAACTTTCCTAATATCATCCCATTGTTAGTGTATCAATTGTACTTTAACACTCATAACTAAATATTATAATATTAATGTTTATATATTATATATTAATATATTTACTATTGGTTTTCTTGGAATTATTAACTAAATAAATGGAGATGATGCTTCCAAACTAAGCTATTAAAAGAGAAAAAAGACATATTTCTTCAAAAAGTGTAAATTTTCTTTGAAAATCATTAAACATAATTTACAAATACTTAGGCCTTATTTTAAGGTTTACATTTAAATACACATATTCTAAGTTATTCAAATACTCTTGAAATCTTGTAATACATGAATTAGAAGTATTAAAACCTCTTAAGAACAGAAAATAAAATAAGCATTAATTGTGGAATGGCAAATCAATTTATTGATTTTCCAAGCAAAACAATATCTTGAAAATTCAATTAAATATATTTACCATAATTTTTTCAATTAATTCTGTTAAGAATTATTACATATTCTTAAATTATATAAGGTAATTTTCATATTTCAATATTTTAATATAATTTTCATATACTATTACCTAATTAAATGATAAATTTATAAGCTAAGATGGTTATCTTACTTGTAAATTTACTTTATTTCAAAAGATAAGAAAATACGAATCAACATTCTGGAATATAATATAGAATTATTTTCTTTATTAATTAGCATTTTTATGTTCATATTAAATCTTTAATTTCCATTAAATAAAATAAATATTAAAAAATGGCTGAGAACGATACTATTGAGCCATCTGCCTACTTCTTTGGATATATTGGAGTTGCATCTGCAGTCGTTTTTGCCAGTATTTTAATAATTAATCGTAGATTTGGGATCCTCATATGGTGCTACAAAATCTGGAGTCGGAATTTGCTCAATGGGTGTTTTAAAACCAGATTTGATTATGAAGTCTGTTATTCCAGTTGTCATGGCTGGTATTCTGGGAATCTATGGGATGATTGTTGGTGTTATTTTGTAAGGAAAAGGTATTGATGATTAATATAATAAATAGTTTCATCAATTACAGCACAATCAGCATCAAAATAAGGATATGCTTATTTATCAGCTGGATTATGTTGTGGACTGAGCTCTTTAGTAAGATATATTTATTTTACAGATTTTAGGCTGCCGGATTATCAATTGGTATTGTTGGTGATGCAGGAGTCAGAGCAAACGCCTAATAAGATAGAATTTTTGTAGGAATGATTTTGATTTTGATTTTTGCAGAAGCTTTGGCATTGTATGGGCTTATTGTGTCCTTGATTTTATCATAAACATCATGAGTATTATTATTAAAGCACAAATATAAAGATTAATCCATATGAAATACATATATAATAATATTATTCCAGATCATGATTGTTTTGATACAGTTTCAGCACTACAAGAAGCAAAAACTACATTGGCTTATGGTTTCCCACTTTGTGATCCTTTAGACTCAATTGTCTTTACCAAATCCATATTCTCGATAACCCGCCCAAAAACGACATGTTTTCCATCCAACTTTGAGAATATAATAATTAATCAATTACCCAATGAGTTTCTGCTGTAGTAATAAAGAATTGACTGCCGTTGGTATTTGGTCCTGCATTTGCCATTGAAATACAACCAATTTCATGTTCCAATTTGAAATTTTCATCATCAAATGAGCTCCCATAAATTGAAGCTCCTCCATATCCATTTCCACTTACAAAATCCCCTCCTTAAATCATAAAATTTGGAATTATTCTATGGAATGGAGATCCAGCATAACCTATACCTCTTTCTCCTGTGCACAAAGCTCTAAAGTTCTCAACTGTTTTTGGTACAACCTCCCCAAAGAGGCCTAATTAGATTTCACCGGCATTCTACCCATCAATTGTCACTCCTATTTTCACTTTATGTGTAATAACTTAATTTGATAAAGCCGAGAAAACTCCAACCATCATTAAGCATAGAATTATCAATTTCATTTGATTTTATTATCTATAGATTTAAATAAACAAAATCTATAATATGCCATCTCTATCCCTTTGATCTATTAGGTATAGAAGATGATAACCTCATTTACATAATAAAATTTAGAGGAATCAATGCACTATTAATGCATTCTATCATTTTATGAAGGTAACAAAAATACAGAAATTATATTTGCTCTAATATTATTTCAATCAATTTATAAAATAGATCTTACTAAAGTATTGGTAAATAATGAATTCCATTTGTGTAAACATATATAGAATGAATTTGACAGCAAAAATAACTAAATAATAATATCAAGAAAGATATCATGGGCAAATATTCTATAATAAAACCAATTCTACTCCTTTCTATTTAATGTAATTTTGTTTAACAAGTCTTTTTTTAGCATTATAAAAAATTATTTTTCATAATAATATTCAGTGTATTACAAATTTATCAATAAAATTTGTATCATTGAAAGTAATATCTAATTTTTAATGTTATGATTAAGCAATTTATTCATTATTAATTCATTATTTTTAATAATTCTATAAAAAATGATTATTTCTAGTTAAAACTTTCTCTATAGTTTTGGCCACTTCTAGGATTATTTAATTTTCATTAATTCAAAGATTTGAGCAAAAATCTTATCACCAATATTAATCTCCTAGACAAATTGCATTTAAATATATCGAACAAATAAAAATTTATTATTGTTAAAATTATTTTAAAACTAAATTCATAATTTCTTAAATTAGTTCTTAGAATATTTTCAATAAAGAATATAGGTTAACAATTTTGAATTTATCGACTATTTTACTTAATAAATCAGTCTCTTTAATTGCTACATGAAGAAATAGCAGAATAAGTTTAAGCAGCACTCCAAGTGCATGAATATTGTGATCAATCAATAGGTAATGATCAACAACCAATATATCTTTAAATTTAGCTATTATTTGCTTGAAATGTTTGTATCATTAAATAATCAAATATAACGAATAATTCAGAATTAAATATTTATATATAATTATTTTATTATCATTCTATTTGGCTGAAATTCAGCCACGACCATTAAATATTTGATCATATTTTCTTTTAGGTATACTGTGAGCTCTTGGGCAAGTGTAAAATTAAGTGTAAAAAATAAAAAATTGAATTAATATAATTACGATTACCATTATTTTTATATTTATTTTTAGACTGAAGATTCCAGTTCATTTTATTAGAAAAGGAACTTCAACTCATTAATTTATTATGAGAATGAAAGAAAAAAAAATTATTAATACATATTAGTGATTATTTTGTTTTTCTTTCTTTGTTTTTTCTGAAGTTTTTTTATTCCAATAAAGTTCATTCATAGTCTTTGAGTTTTTCTACCAAATACTCAATTACTAAAACAGGTTTGTCAAACCTCTAACCTGAAGACTTCCTTGAGCTTTCTCCTTCAGACTAGATGTCGTTTAAATTGAAATCTTCTAGACTATCTAGGGAAGGACTTGGAAGAGGTCTTCTGTAAAAAATGCATAAATACCTAGTTTTTTAAGGGGAAGAGGGAGTAAAAGATGAATTTGAGTTGAAAAAGGATTGGTTTGAATCCATTAGAGGGTTGTTTCTTTTATTAAAAATATTTTTATTAATTTTCAAATTGGTAAATCACAATTTAAATTTGCTTTTCATTATTTTATTCATGAAATATGATTGGTTCTAATTCTAATAGATGATTTAATATATTGAATGAGAAAAATTGCATGATTTCAAAAACGATTCTGCTTTTAATCACTCATCAATTAATAATTTATGGGAAGCCCCCATAGTATTTCCATTAAAGATTACTAATTTGAATCTTGGAATTTCAATATAAAGTTTAAAGATTTTAATGTTTTAAGAATACTTTATAAGAACAATAATAAATTCTTACTTCTTTCCAAAATATTCTTACTTCATTCTCGTTAATTTAGAAATCAAAAAGCAATCTTAAAACTTTATATAGAATTTGATCTTATTTTTAATATATGCCAAATTTATATGAACCTAATTTAATGTGATAATAAATTGATACACTACCAGAAATGGAGATGTAAAAAAAGTATTTTTTGAATATGTTAATAAAATAAATAGAAGATAAAAAATAAATGATATATATAATTAAGAATATAAAAAGATATAAATGGAATAAGAGGAATGTGAAATATGAATAGATTGAAATAAGGAAAAGTATAAGTAATAATAATAAAAATAAAAAAAATCGATGCCTGTGAGACTCGAACTCACGCGGGAAATCCCAACGGCTTAGCAGGCCGCCGCCTTAACCACTCGGCCAAAGCATCTAACTTGTTTTATTTATGACTTCTAATTATTTATAATATATATCATTATTCTTCTTTTATTTTATATTATAAACACATTCATTTCTATATTCTTATAATTTCGATTATCATATTTCTAATATTCTTATTTAATAACCATACTATATATTATTGATATCAAAATAAAATGTGATCTCATTATTTCTACACAATTTCCTAAATATCCTCATTCTCTCTATCTTTATTAACAAAAAACCAAACTTAATTTATAATCTAATACTTATTATTATGATAATTCTGTATATGAAAACTATTTATAATATTAACTATTACCCAATTATAAATTTATTATTGAATTAAGAAAGGTAGACTAACATAAATATTTTTGATATGATTTAAAAACAATATTTAATAAATTAGATTTGTTTTAATGGATTGGCTCAAAGAAAATTATTATATTTTATTTAATTAACCTTTTTTTCTAGTATGAATATCATTTAAGTAATGTTCTTATGAATTATAATTACAATATTTCCTTATTTCAATGTTACCTCATGCAGATAACCCGGCAGCATAGCGGCTTAAGTACTATATCCTAAAGGTTAGATCATATGTGATCTTTGTCTTACTTTACTTTAGCCATTATAAATAATGGCTTATAGAATCTATTTCAATATATTACTATAATAAATTAAATAAGTAATTATAAGCACATACATTCAAACTAAAACTTAATATGAATATTTCATTAATGTATTGGACATTAGTATTTTCATCAATATAATAAATGGATTATAAATATTATTAGTATTATATATAATTCAAATAATGATGGATTTTAATACAGATGAATTTTTTTACGGGATAAACAAGTCTTTGTATTACAAAACAGAGGAATAAAAGAATGAAATCAAGAAGATGGACCCAGAATATCTCACTCGAACGTATTTATTTAAATTTATAGAAGGGGAACTGATTTTGTATTATTACCAAATTCACCTGAATTCATAAATCATAATGAACCATTTGAACCTATGTATATCCCAAAATAAACTATTCTGGAAGAGAGTTTAAGAAGAGAAATTGAAAGAATCTGTTTTGCAGACACATTGCTGAATAAAGTAGTATTTGACTGTGCTGATCCTAGTCCTTTTACTAAGGTACCATTATCATGATTTCCATAGGACGTTGATCCAGCAACATATGGTTTGGAAGTCTTACCATATTATATGCCGTAATCTAAAGAGGATTCTACATTAGTTTTTGAAAGTAGATTTGAAAGTGGGAATCTCCGAAGAGCCATATAAATGTAACTTATCAATTCAAAATTATTAAAGTTGTGACTATGAGTATAACCTCATCCTTAAGCCTGACTATTACACTACAATGAACACATAATGGTTCTATTTTTCTCTATCAAATACAAGAAAGGATGTGGAGTATAGATTCAATATTATTAATATGATGAAGCCCGATTCATTATATAATTCTGGAATGAAACCGTTAATGTATTCAGAACAGGGTGCAAAATAAAAAAGTAATAATAATTTTAAATATATTAAAGAGATAGGATGGTTTAGAGATGGCCATGAAATTTGCTATTATCAAAACAATATGAAGAGAAAGAATGGAGGGTTCTATTACACTTTAACATTCGCAGTTAAATTTTAATATGACTTTGATTGCATCTACATTGCCCATTGTTATCCTTACACATTCACTCATTTGTGCAGATATCTAAAACAGTTGGAATCTGACCCTGCTAAAAAAAATAGAGTGAAAAGAAAATAACTATGTTAAACTATTGCTGGAAACATGTGTGATTTCTTAATCATTGGGGATTTTAATAATGGCAAAGAGAAGAAAGGAATTGTCATTACTTCCAGAGTGCACCCAGGTGAAACTATGGCCAGTTATGTTATGGAATACATGATTGATTTTTTAACAGGTAACACTCATGAAGCAAGAATCCTAAGAGAAAATTTTATATTCAAAATAGTTCCAATGCTTAACATTGATGGAGTTGTGAATGGAAATTATAGATGTAACTTAGCAGGGGTTGATTTAAATCGATAATGGATTGATCCAAATAAGAAGTAACACCCTACAATTTACCACACCAAATAATTAGTTAAAAAGACTAAAGAAGAAAGAGACTTAGTACTCTTTTGTGATATACATGGACATTCAAGAAAGAAGAACATCTTTATGTATGGATGTTAAGGAAAGGATCCTAATAGAAAAGAATTAGTATTCCCAATGCTCAATCGAAATAATTGCAGCGTTTTCTCGTTCAAGGACTGTTGCTTTTTGCTTTAAAAGGATAGAGAAGGTTCTGCTAGAGTATTTATCATATTTAATATTTAAGATTGCCTTATGGAGAGAGCTTTCGATTATAAACTGTTATACTTTGGAGATGTCATTCTGCGGAGCTGACTTTGGCAAATATGAATATTTTCATTTCAACTTAGATATTTACAAAGAAATTGCACAATCTTTTTGTTTATCAATTATAGATTGTTATGAGCCAGAATAGATAAAAGTTAAATAAGTTATGGAAGAAATTGAGTAAAATAGTCTTAAAAACTAACAAAAGGACGACAAAAATAATTCAGGTGATGAAGGGTCTGATTACTCTAATGATGATCCAAAAGAATAAGCTATGCCTCAATAATAATAAATTCAACTTTAAAATAATGATTAATGTAATGTTTTTATATATCTTCATTTTTAGAACTAGGGTCATAAACTAAGAAGTTAAAAAAGATTCCTTTACTCCCTCCCAAAAAGAAAAAAGGTTAATGAATATTAATAAATATAATTAACTTATATTTAATAATTTTCATTATCATGAATTATAATAAATAGTTCAGTTGTTGTCTTAGTTAGAAAATTAATCCAAAGGTTTCTTTGGTTTATTAAAGGCTAATCCACCTCTTTTTAAATATAGAATCTATTCTAATTTCAAAGAGTCTGTGTCTTCAAATGTTACAATCTTTGTTTCTTCTAATTAAATGATAATCAATTTGATTTTTACATATTATAACATCCCCAAAAGAACTCTGCTTTTTGCTTAAACTCTTATGCGAGTCCTAATCCTCTACCTTTTTGGTGCTCTAAAATTTAGAGAGTTAACATTCTTTAGGCACTGATCGCGATATTTTTTTTTATGATGAGTTTTTTGCTAAAGAATTTATTGATCTATTTGATTTATTAGTCTTTTAAGAATTCCTTTAATAAAGAGACTTGATGTCATTTGTATGAATTGAAAAATCTAATTAAAATTCTTTGCTTCTATCATTAGATTGTTCAGACTATTTGATACTTTTCATTGATTGCCTATTGCACTTATCCAATTCAAGTCCACTTAACATTTAGTTTGATTTATAATTAGTTTCTGAAGTCTAACGTGAGTGATGTAAAATGTAAGGACTGTCTAGAATCTCTAAGCAACTTATTCTATCTTCTATTTTAAATTCAAGCATCTTCTTAATTAAGTATTTCAAATCTGGATTAACATCTTGCCAAGGAGACTTATCAAAGTTAACTTGGCATTTTCTATTTAACTCTAAGATTTATGTTGCAGTAGGGGCTTTGAATGGCATATATCCAGCAACAATCTGAATAGATAATAAATTTATACCAAATACATAATTACACCTAAACTAAAGATATCACTTTTAGCAGTATAAGGTATTTATCTGAAAATTTCTGGAGGAAGAAAACCAGGAGTTCCTGCTTAACTAACTAATTATTTTTCGTTAATGATTTCAGAGAAACCAAAATCAACTAATTTTAATTATAAATAGTCTTTTGATTCTAGCATGATATTTTCTAATTTGAGATCTCTATGTACAAAGTTTAATCTATGCATCTCATATAGAGCATCACATAATTACTTTAATATATAAGCATAGTGCTTATCGTTGAATTTAACCTTTTATTTCACATAAGAATATAATGTTCCTCCTGCACAATATTCCATGATTAATATCAACTTATCTTTTTCTTAAATTACTTCATATAGTTTCATGATATTTTAATGATCAACATTTTTAAGAGTTGTAATTTCATTATAAACCATTGACTAACCTATATTTAAATAAATATCTTTACAAGCAATCTTTCTTTGTGTGGATGATCATCATAGAATTATTTGAAATATGTTTTTGCAGCAAAATACTTCTCATCTCTTTTTCTACTTACTTTATAAACCGATGCAAATGCTCCGCTTCCCAGCATTTCCAGTTATTCATATAAAACAGTGAATCCTCTCATTAAACAAAATTGTTAGATGCATTCTCCTAATTTTAATGTTTGGTCAATCAAATGATCAAAAATAGTTATTCCAACACCTTGGGTCTTTTCTAAATACAATACTGGTAATTAGAGATTTCTTTTTGTCTTTTAAAAACTAACAATCATTCTTATCGACATATTCAATTACAGGAAACCTTTGGGTAATGTATCAGATTCCTTTGACAATAATAATACAAAATACTTTTTTATAGTACATCAATAAACCAGAACTTGTTAATCTATAAAAATAACCCTTGACAATTTTCTTCTTTTTTCCTATTCTTAACATATTACTGGCAAAAATGTAATCATCAAATATCCAATTCTTTTCTGTATCCTTGTAACCTCTTCTTTCCCAAAATTATTTTATTAATGGATCATTTTTTATTTTGAAAAGTGGCCAACTAAAATCGTTATCAGGTTTCGTTAAAATAAAATTTGGTTTTTAAATAACAATGGGTTTCTTAAAAATATTACCATAAAGTGAATCATTTTTCATCGTTGGAGTTCTGGATTATTATACACTGTCATTATGACCTGATTGTTGCATTTGTCTTGAAAATGTTTAGGTTCTTGGAATGTTTTCTAAAGCTAGACCCATACTATTCTTCTTAACTAGCAATGGTAATACGGAGACACCATTTCGAAATATTGTTTATTGAAGGGGAATCTATTAATCATGTTCAATCATAATATTTTTTTTCATTTAATATTAAATTATTTTAACTCTAAATTAATTATTTACATTCTAATAAATGAATAAATTTCAATATTTCTCTAAACTAGAATTGTTTTAAAGAACTCTTTCTGTTCTTATTAAAACAATAATGAATTCAAAACAATAACTTAATAACTCAATTAAATTATAAATATTGGTAAGCATAAGATTTTATCAGAAATTTGATGAATGATTTAATGTGTATTATAAATCAAAAGGTTTTAAGTCTCCATTTTTATAAGATACTTCTCAACAAATATTTTTTTCTGTATTAACACACATAGTAAAACTAATTAGTTTATTAAAAGGAAAGAAATAATTTAAAAATTTAATCATATAGCTTTAAGGCTAAGCTATATATCTCTTGGGGAAGTTTGATGACTTTTTATAGAATTTTAATATTTTTATTTTTTGTATTTATAGCATAAGAAATAGATATGAATAATAATTAAAATCAAACCATGGCCTTACTTAGGTCAATATCAAATCCTAAATCCACATTACTTACATTTAGATTGATAAAAATAGTTATCAGTTCGACAAAGTGTACAAATTTTCATAAAGTTGAAGTTCTTGTTAACCGTTTCTTGTTTACTTTATGTTAAATTCTCTAAGAAAAGAGCTTAATGAAAGACAGCTTGTTCTTGAGCTTTACTTCCAACACTATCTGTAGTACTATGTCCACTGCCTGTTAGATCAGGTTCTGAGAGTTTCAATGAATCTATGATATTAGGTTGTTCTAGTGGGATGAATTTTGTGCCTGGAGCATCTCTTGTGAAGGTCTTGCATCGATTACAGTATTTTCTAAAGGAGTAATTCAGATTTTTGCATCCAATGCAAATCCAGTCTAATGGCTTATTTTACATTCTCTCTTTGTATAATATATATATATATAATTGATTTATTTTAATGACAAAACATTTCATTCACATGCAATTTTGTAATCAAAACTAGTTAATGCAATTTAAAATGCTTGAAGTGGAGTAATAGGATATTGGAAATCTAAATTGAAATCATCTTCGCCAATTCTCCCGAATTACAATAAAATGTTATCCTCCTTCTAATCTTCTATGAGTTGAAAGTTTTTAACACTAGGTTTATCTACTCTTTAATAAAAATTCAAGACAAATGCTTTGTGTTTACTATTCCATTATGGGGGCCTATTCACATAAGTGACAATTTATTCTCTATTGTTGTTTAAATATTCCTTTAATATTCCATCCTTTGAATTGGAAGGTTTGAATTCATACAATTAACCTCGCTCATTCAAATTCGGCAATAAAACCTTCATTTACTCAAATGATTTACCACCATTTTACGAGGTCCTTTTGAACCAAGAATGTTACTTTCATACTGAACAATCCCTAATTGCTGTCTTAATTTTTATGGATCTTTTGTTTTCTCTGGATTTAACCCTGAATCATATAAGATAAATTCAGTTCCCATAAAATTGCTCCTAACCTTTCCTAAGAAATTGTCACTCTTTTCCATATCATCTTTCGATTGTGAAATAATGTAATTGCTTGTATTGTTGCATGCTCTCTTTTTTGCACTCATCAAATACATATATCCATTTGAAACATGCATATGATATTTAGGATAAAATCTACACATTCCACTTCTATCTCTTTTTATTGTACATTATATCATTCCTCCTTTCTCTGCTGGATTTACCAGAAAATGTTTCTTACCATAAGGCATTGATATTGAGGACAATGGTTTTGGATATGGACAAGTTTATTTTGATTATTACTATTATTATTGTTATTATTGTTATTGTTATTATTATTATTATTATTATTCTTATTACTGTGACTACTCTTCTGATGCTTAAGACTTTAGTTCGCATTATTCAAATATTTCATGAGAAGACTCCTCTTTTATGTTCTCCTATTTTTCATTTTCATTGTTTTAATTTTAAAAGAGAATTTAACTTGGTTGTTCTTTATCTATATTTTCTGAAAAAATTTCAGTTTGACTTCCATCTAATTAAATAATGTCATCAAATTATTCATTTTATTAATCAAATTATTGGTATTGTTAAGGATTTTTTAAAGCTTAATCTTCCTCCAATTTTGACTCATTTTTAGTTTCTTAGGCTTTTTTTTTATAATCAAATTATAACGTGTTATTTTATTTTGAAAGTTATGGAAGATCATTAGTTTTAATTATTTATTATCCTGGCTCATAATACTAATTATGATTGTTTCCAATTATTGTTAACTAAAATTAAGACTATTATTTACTTAATCAATCTTTAAATCAAACTCTTAGCCATAAGAAGACTCATTTTAACCAAGTTTCTTTTTATATTAGGCATTATTTTGCAATGCGCTAATTTAATCAAAAGTCTTTGGTTTTGATTAGATTACCTGTTATTATTACTCAAAATAGGGAATATATTTACAGTTTATTCTTCTTATTCTTATTGGCTAAGAATTAAAGGATTTATAATCTAGTTTGCTCCATTTTTTTCATCATCCGAATCAAACTAAACAAGACTTTCAACTAAATCATTAGTTTCTTAAATCTAGGATTCAACCTACTTTTTAGAAATTTCCATTTCTCTCTAATATTATGAGATTACTATTTACCTATTAAATTCTACTCATAGGTTTATTATCTGATTTAGATTCATCCTTCTGCTTTACTTAAAATCGATTCATATTATTAGACCTCCCTTTTGGCTGTTGTCGTGAACTATATTACTAATTCTAAACTGAGGAGTCTTATGCTTCATTTATCATTTCAGGATTAAGGAACATTAGACAAAAAAAATAAATATAAATAAAATAAACTATTATTCCTTAATATCTATATCAGATTTCTAAGTATTCGAATTATTGTACATTATTTTTGTTTTCTATAAAAAATATATCACCTTCAATTTTGGCCAAATATTATTAGCTTAAATCTTAAAATGAAATTTCTTGGATTTATCATATCTATATTATTGGTCTTATTCTATTTTGTAAATGATTTAGATTATGATATTCATTGGCAACTAGGATTTGGGAAACATTTTTGGTATTATTTTAATAATATCAGAATTAGGAATATAATGTAAGGATACAAAACTATATTTCTCAATAGCGTTGTTGTTTCATAAAATATTAAAAAGAATTAAGCATTAATTAAAAAATGGCAGTAGTCTACCTACTTTTTTATCATTCATATCAAGAAAAAATGCATTCCTTTTTGGATAGAACTTAGTCACTTAGGTGAATTCATATTTATCCAATTTCTCAACAAATTAAGTTTCATTTTATTCAATTTTTATCTTATTTACATAAATTTATATACAATTATGAATACGTTCTTTAGAAAATCATTTGTAAAATATCTATTATAATTAAATATTTTATTATGTAAATATCCATAAAAAAATTAATATAAATATTACTAAATCATACTAATATAATCTTCTTTTTCTTCTCTATTTAATCCACAATCATACAGTCTTCTTCTTCACTTGGGTCCAAACTGAGCCCTCCAACTTGATTAGCAAAATCAAAGTTAACTTTTTGAAATAAGTATTATTCAAATTCTGGCTCTTCATCTTCTTCGTGAGAACTTAGTCCTAAATCAATTTAAATGTCTAAAAATGAATCCGCCTTATCATTATTATCTTGAAAAACATTAGCTACTTCTAAATTTGGTATTTCTCCTGAAAGATAGACTGCCAAAACATATGTCCACATACAGATCATTACTTGATAAAAAGGTTTTCTTGAGCTGCAATTCTGTTACACTATCATGCATTTGTTGAACAAAATGTTTGCATAATACACTAGAAACTCGTAATTGAATTTACTTTTTATTGTAGAAATTTGTTAGTCAGGAATTTAATAGAATTTAATTCCTTTTTCAAGTCTTCCAAACTCTAATTTCTTTTAGCTAAATATAAGAACTAACCTTTGATTCTTTTCACCATGATAGTACATTTAATTATCCTGAATAAATGCCGAATAGCCTCCTTAAATATTATTTTGAATATCATTAATTACATCTTGATTCAAATCATTTTCTGATAACGTTGCTAACATAATGGTACATTGCATTTCATTTATTTTATATGAGTTTGTACATTTATAATTCTTTTTCTTCTTCAATGATCCTTAAGTATAGTTTATAGCCTATCCACAGAAAGCTTTTAAGGAATACAGTACTTCTAATACAAAATCGTGTTGTTCACCGAATAAATTAATAATTCTTCCTTTTTTCTTATCTAATCTAAAGAAATCTAAAATAGGAAACATTATTGCCTTCATTTCTGTTGTAAATTTAACCAATGAGTCACAAAAATAGTTATCTGAACTAGACAATTACTCTAAAATTGCTGGACCGCACATATCTATTTTAGGAAACCAAGTAGTCTTTGATAGATCAAATTCAATAGATTTTTCTTCTTTCAGCATCGGCATTCTCCTTAAATCGCAAGTAATGTTAGTCATAGTGTTTAGGGTTTAAGCAAAAAAGGGACGTATGGGCATGTATTGTTCATACAATTTGAGTAATTCAAGATTTAGACATGGTTCTCTCTCCAAATATTTCCATGCAACAGGCCATTTTTTATTTTTCAAGTCTAATTCTAAGCTACTTGATTTCTTTCTCATTGATCTCCAAAATTTCATTCTCACTTATTTTCCTTTTGTTTCATCATGAAATATATCATATGCAACTTTAATCCAAAATTCCATGCTGACTCTTTTTTTTTTTAAAAAATCGCAAATGCAGATCTTAAATATATCTGAATCAAGAGTAGAGTCTATTATATTCGATAATCTAAACTGTTTGAATTAGTCCCATTCTTATAGCATTTGTTTATCATTATTCAATCTTTAAGGATTAGGCTGATATTTTTTTTACAATAATTTTCCATAAAGTTCTAAATCTTCTTTAAAAGACTCATCAAGATTCCTAGTCATCTATCTTAGTTGGAAGAACTTTCTATTCATATTTTGTTTTATAAAACAATTAATTCCAACATTTTGTATCTAGATAAATTTGATAAAATAATTTTATTAATTTTAATTTTGATTTACAAAAATAAATATCTAATTATTAGAACAAAAATCGTTTCACTACATCTTAGAGTAACATTAGTAAAGTTTGGCATAAAATTGTGTAAGCAACTCAATTTGATGTTAAATTTTCTTTTGTTCCTTCTACACTTGTGATCTAATTAATAATTAATTATACAAATATTTATCGGATTCTTATGTGCTTCTTTATTTTAATAAATCGATTCTTTCTAAATTTTAAAGTTAAGCTTTCAATTATTAGGCTAATTTTTTATTTTCTGAATCTTTATTAGTTTTTTCCAATTTTTTTAAAAACTATTGCATCTTTTCAGTGTCTTTCGATTCACAAGTTAACTCTGGAATAATCAATCCTGGTTTACTCAATAATCTGTTCCATTAGATACCTATTATTATGATTCAGTCAAACCTTTGAAAAATTTATGATTTTTTATTTCTTCAATAGATTTGTGTCCTATTCTTTTATTAAAGTCAGGTTCCAATAATTTTACGATCAAATCATAGGCTTATTCTGAAATACAATCCTCTCCATCTCCAATTTAAGGCCATTCTATTCTCATATTCAGAATGTTATCAAAGATTTTCTCTACAGTGTCTTCATTAAAAGGGGCAATGCCACAAAGTAGTTCATACATTATAATACCCAAACTCCAGTAATCTGAACTAAAATTACTCACTGAAGTTCCCAATATAATTTCAGGAGCAATGTAATCAGGAGTACCAACAATTCTTTTATTTAACAAATTAAATTTTACTTTTTTGTTTTACATCCCTATTTCTCAACTAAAATCGAGCCTACTTTTTTGAGTTATTTATAGATAGGCTAATAGCCTGATTAATCACTGAATTGTTCTACACAAGTAGGTATTTCTACAGTATTTTAAGTACTCAAATTGTCTTTTAATTTTAATCTGCTATTCACTCCCTATTCTGATAGACCAAAGTCAGCAAGTTTAGCATGTCCTTAGCAATCTAATAATATATTTTCTGGTTTTAAATCTCTATGTACTATATTCTATTATCTTAAATATTCTAAAGCCAAAACAATCTCAGCCATATAGTGTTAAACATAAAATTCATCAAGTGCCTAAATTGATTTATAATAGAAACTACCGTATATTGTTTTAAAATGCTGGCTAGGTCTCCTCCCATCATGTATTCTTGTACAAAAATAAGATACTGTTCATGAACAAATGAAAAGTATGCTTTAACGACAAAGCTGCTATTGAGAATTTCGAAAATATTTCTTTCTGCTTTTAACTATTCCAAGAATGCTTCTAAATTCTATGATTAAAATTTCAAATTACTCTTTAAGCACAATCAATTATTTTCAAAGCATAAAGATCTCCAGAGCCATGTTTTTTCACTAAAAAAACCCATCCGTAAGCCCCTTTTCCTAATAATTTAATAAATTCAAAATCCTTAATTCCAACCTTTGAAGATTCATTTTACTAAGGTTAAACACTTTTAATTAAATTGGAATCAGAATGGTACCCTTTATCAATCAAAATTTCATCCATTGTGTTGTCATATAAAACAATGGGAGATTTGCATATTTAATTTTCAAAAAATTTACTTTTTCTTTGGGGATTTTTACTATTCAATTACATATTATCAATTTCCTATGATTAGAAACTTAATTTGTTTTTCTTTTTGTATTTTTTTTTAGGAACTAAATTAATTATTTCATTATTATTATTAGAATTTCCAGATTCCATACTAGATTTATTAGATGAATTTTCGCTATCTTTTATGGATTATTTGCTGATTTCAATTATTTTATTTGGAAATTTTACTTCCTCTGTAATCTCCTCTAATATTTACCTTTTCTAATTTTTCGTTAAGAGTGGTTGGATAGAAGCTTTAAATTAGGCTAATTTTTATATTGATTTTTAAATGTTTTCTCTTGATTAGGTGAGTTCATTGCTAGATTAATTTGGCGTATTTTCAACCTTAAGTTCATTAATGGAAGAATTTATCGTTTAGTTTGTCTCAATTTAAGAGAAATAACTTGTTTTTACCTAAATTAAATTAGATGATTATTTAATTGATTTAGGAGAATCTGATCCGTCACTCAACTTAAAAATGGAAGAATTGATTTTAAATGCTTTTCTTTAAGATATAAGTTTTGAAGATGATGAAATTTAAGGTGATTATGGTGCATCTTCTTCTTCCTAAATAGGTTCTGTAGATATTCTCTAAGAAGGAGAGGGAGAATTTTAAAATTTTGGCATTCTAAATGAAATTGAATTAGACTTGGTAAATGCTCTTTTAATCTTACTGATGTTATCCTAATTTTGATTAGGAGACCCTTCTAATGAGTTATTGATGATATTTTCTTATTTTTTCTAATAATCAAGTCTATCCAATAGGCATTTATGGGTTGCATTAATAACAGTCAATGTTTCTTGGCTTTCAATACATTAACTGGCATTGACTATGTCATTTAATAGCACTAAGGTTTCTATCAATAAAGTTCATAATATTTAATTACATTTAGTATCTTCAACTTCAGCAGAATTATTTAATGTTTTTTCAGCAAAGTTAATAATTTATGTCATAATGTTGACTATCGTGTTCAATTCTTATTAATATTCGTTTTGATTGTCATCATCTTCATCTTAATCATTTAAAGTCTAAACTCTTCTATAAATATATTTAGTATTATGATATTATCTCTTCTTCGTTTTATCTCTCATTCTTAAATATGATACGAATTATAATACTTTTTAATTGCCAATTTAACTTGCACATTCCTCTTCTCTAAATATGCTTACTCGCAAACATTTGCTAATTCCAAATTTAGTTCTAATAATCTTTTTTTGCTTTCAGCTTATTATTCGCACTTTATGCAATGTTATTCCATTAGAGTTGCTTAGACTGGTTGTTCGCATATTCTGCATATAAACATTTTAAATAACTTTTTAGAGACTAATGCTAGATCTGAATTCAAAGAACTATATCGTAAATATGTCAATATACTTTTGTATGTTTCGAATGCATAGGTTGGACCATCTTAATTAATTTTTTTAATTTTGTTTATTTATCCATTTTTTACTGATAATGTCCAAAGATATCCTAAGTTTTAAGGATAAAATTTTAAATGATCTAATTGAATATATAAAATCAGAATGGAATACTTTTATAATGATTTTCTACAAATCGATCTTCGAAATTGTCCTTTCCTTATTGTGTTGTCATCAATTTTAGAAATATCTTCAAGTAAATTATTAATTTTAGTGTTGATATCCTAATAACTTTCAAAGTTGTCTGATTGAAAGAATGAATAAATGCTGAGCAAAGATGTTTCTATGATTTTGACTTATTCTTTCTAATAAAAGTGATAATATGTTAAAATTATTACTGCTTACAATTTATAGTAATGTTATAAAATTTCAGCACTTTATTTAATAGCCAAAGGTTGGGGTTTTAATATTTTTATTTATTATTCTATAAAAAAATTAGTCACCAATAGTTAATCTGCCTCCATATACTTTTGTATTAAAATTAAATAAAAAATTGTATTAAATATTGGATATATTTATATTATTGTGATGATCCATCAATAAGGTTTGACAAATCCAGTTGGGAATTCTGTGGCTGTCTTGAACTCTAACATTTCTGGAAATCTATATCCTTTATGATACAATTCCCTGCTCAATACCTGCCATAAGCCTGGTTTCATGACAGACAATTAAGTTCTAAATTGATAATAATTTAATACCTGATATATTATCCATCGACCGTAGGATCTGCGATTATTTTAGTGAATAATTTATTTGGAATAGGAGCAGTGTAAGCTCTCCATAATACTAACATATGTACAGATGCAAGTATGGGTCCATAAGCTTTATTAGCTCCCTTTCTGTTGGCACCTGCAAAGAGCCATTGTGTTCCCAAGAGCGAGAAAGGCAAAAAGGCTAATGGAGCTGAAACCACTATGTCATTGAGCACTTGACTGCAATTCTTGAAATTGAACAGCATCTTGTTGTTCATAATATCATATTCTATACTTCTCTACTCAAATATTAATCCAATAAGACTTCCATAACTTCGAAATAGGATTCAATACTCATGGCTATATCTGATCGAGTACCACCCACATAGGAGTAGAAGTTGTTCTTGAACATTAAATTATTTTTATTATTAATAATCTGTATATTTAATAGACATCTCATATCAAACCTTTCAGAGCGTAATTCCTAATTTCTTATACATACTTCAATTGTTCCAAAGGTTTCAATTCTTCTGCCACTTTAACCTACAGTAATAGATTGTAGATGTCTATTGTATCTAAATCTAAGATTTCAGACTCCATCTAGTTCAATTCTTCGTAGTTCATCTTAGGCACAAATTCCTAGGACCATCTTCCCAAAATTATATCTAATTCTTTCATTCCTAAATTAGTGCATCTGTGCATGAGCATTTTTTGATAGGAATGTAAGTCTTTGGGTCTATTTGGAAGAATGATGTTTTTTGTAAATTGTTCTGCTACTCTTTTAGATATAAAATTTTTAGATGCCATTTTCTTAATAAAAATATTAATTCTTATTATTAAATATATATAAACATATTTCAATGCTTTATATGCCTTACTTACTTAATAATGATTTAAGATAATTTTAATAGTTCTTGCACGTAATTTGCAGATAACTCATGCACTTCTGATTATGTACTATTGTCTATTTTACTGCGAATTTCCATCAGCTCTTTTAAAGACAATTTATCCATAAGAGATTTCCCATTTCCCTTTGAAAAAACAGGTTTTTCTGTTATGCTACTCGAGAAGGTTGTCCTTTTGGGTTGCTAATTATTTGATACTGCTAGAGGAGTATTGGAAATGAATCTAAATTTGTTAAAAATATATTACGGTTATGATAATTTTGTTATTTGATTAACTTCATTATTTCCCAAACATTCAATCTTATTATATATACCACTCATCTTTCGAGATGAATCAGTGATATTTCTTTTGTGATTGGAAGCATTTTATTATTAGACAGGACCATTATTTGTATTCATCGTTTTCAATAATTCATCAAATGATGGCACACTATCAATAATTATTTTTAATACCTTTTTCGATGCTGTACATCTGTATGCAATGAATTTTTAGCTGATTTCTTAACTGAATTCTCTTCCTTTTTTACACTACTTAATTTTGATTAGCTTGGACTTGACATTCTAAGATATAAAGAATCTCGAAATTTATTTAAATTGAAATCTTCTTCACCAACTAATAAATTTTTTTGACTCAGCATTAACGATATAATAAAATTAATAAATAAATATATTTTAATATTATCAAACTAACTTTTTTCGCACATAAATTATCCAAGTTAGCCCAATTCTAAATTATCTAGATTCAACATCATAATTAAATATATATCTCTCCATTTATTTTCATTTAGATTATCAAAATAAATGATACTTAAATAATATATATTTAATTCATAAATATATTTTTGATAATCTTAATGTGCCACACCCTTACAATTGGAATTATTCTATTTACCATCTATTTGGATCAATAATGTGTAAATTTGATTTAATGAAAGACTAAAAAATCACGCTTAAGCAGGATATATTTATAATCTTTCAAAGCTTCTCATTTAATGTAAAATTGTATTTCTCCAATAAAATTATGAGTTTATATTTAATAACACAATTTGTATATATTATTATTACTATTCATTTCTACTAATTCTTAAATAGCGCAAAATGTTTATGCTTCTATATTTTAATAATTGAACGGTTAAGAAATATTTTGAGGAATATTTTATACAGTTTCTTACTGTTTTGACGTTATCTTTTTGGCCACAATCTATATTATTATTTTGATTTTTTTATTTATTATATTATAATCAATATAAATAAAAGAACTGTTTCGGTTGAATAGACTTTGGATTAAATGAAACCTTTTAGATGATTAACTTATATATTATTACATTTTAATTCAAATTTTAAAAAGTAGCAAACTTATTTTAATATTGAAAGCAGAACCAATTTTATCCAACTAATAGGATTGTAAATTTAGATAATTATAAATAATTGCAAATTAAAAATGAAAAACGGCATATTGCTTCAAAATTAGTTATCATTATCTAAAATGAAAAAACTATTGCTTCAATTAGATGAATTGTAAGAATAATATTTGGATACAATGGAATAGACTTAAATATAACTATCCAATATAAACAGTAATTCAGATTGTAAAATAAATATCACTTAGATTTACTCATCCAATAAGCCTTTTGAACTGTTAGAAACATTACAAACCTATTTAATGGATATAAAAAATGCAAAGAATCCTATATACATGAAATTGAATCAAAAATTAATGTAACTAATTTTTAGCTTAAATAAAGCAAAATCTGTACAATAACAAATCAAATAGTAGTTAGAAATTCTATCTGCTCTTATGAATAAGCTTAAGTATAAAAAGGAATGCTAGATTTTAATTACTACTTTTTCTTTGATATTAAAAAAACGATAAAAATTTCAACTTAAATTATTATAAAAAAATAATCAACTCTCAGATAACTTGAATACTCTTTCTGAGCTTCTAATAAATTAAGAAACTAATAAAGATAATCTAAAATAATATTTTGAAATATAAACTTTATAAGACATTTTAGATAAAAAAGTAGCACTCAACAGCCCTACAAAAACTTTAGATATAAAATCAGAATCTAAAACTATCAAAATTAAGGAGTAAGATAAAAATTTTGGAATTAATGAAGATAATCAAAAAAATTTATAAATGTATTACAATTAACCATAATTGTATTACAATTATTATAACTATTCAATGTATCAGCAATATTGTTACTTTAATTAACTGAAATAAGCTGAATGTAATATCTTGACTTCCTAGTTACTCTACCAACATTAGCCTTATGTGTTTAATTGTTTTCTTTAAATGTAATAAAATCCTTAATAATAAACATGAATTAATATCAAGTATTATCATTAAAAATATTTCAAATTACTATCAAAGTACAATATAATTGTTTTCATAAAACCTTTTTAAAAATTATTAATTTTTATGAAATCTTTTCTATTTTTCAACAAAATCTTGTCAAATAATAGATTTTTGATATTCAATATTAAATATGAAATTTGTATATGTAATGTGAAGACCTTTTAAAACATCTTTATACTGCAAAATATAGATATCATGGTTATATTAATTATCAAAGTTGTTATTTCAATTATTAAGGTGCCTACGTTTGATCATCATCCAACCAAGCAACCCTATTTCCCTTTTCCCAAATTCCAACTTTAGTTGTACCATCAGGAAGGATATATTTGCCTTGACCATTCTATTTTCCATATGCCCAAAGACCCTCATAAGCTAATGTTATTTTTTTAATTACCTTTGCCATCTGGCCATGTAAATTTACCGAAACCATGTTTCTTATCAAATTAATATTCTCCTTCATATCTTCTTCCATCCTTCCAAGTATATATTCCTTTACCATGCATATTATTGTTAACCCATTCTCCTTCATATCTTCTTCCATCACACCAGTTATAAATACCAAAGCCATTAATCTTATTATCCAACCAATTTCCATCATAAGTTGAACCATCACTCCACTAATAAAACCCTTAACCATTTTTCTTACCAGCTAAGTAGTTACCTTAATATTTGGATCCATCGATCCATTCCTCAGTACCTTAACCTTCTTATTAATCATTCTTCCAAAATCCTTCATATTTAGCTCCATTTAAATGAAGATATATGCCAAATCCATTTGCTTTATCATCTACCCAATCACCTTCGTAGATATCACCATCAGCATGAGTGAATTTACCTTTTCCATTTGCAAGATTATTCATCCATTAACCTTCATATTTTGCACCATCCGGCCCTATTGATGAATTATTTATTTACATGTTTAAATTCCGTAACCTTCTCTAAACACTCCTTTCCATTATCCATCATATATTGCACCATTCTTAAATTAATAAGGTGGTCTTTTTTCAAGTTTCTTATTCTTATTTTGATTTTATTGCATAACATTACTCTGCTGTTTTGATTGTTTTGTGCTATCTTAAACATCTTCTAAATCCTTATTCTAATAAAAATATGAACTGCTATTCTGCATATTAAAGAGTTAAGCTTTTGAGGCATTCATGTTCATATCATCATCTTATGAAAAATTAATTTTATTTCTTTGCTATTCATCGTTTTTAATCTAACCTCCTTCGTCTATGGTTAATCCTATCAAACCAACTTCTGATGATGTATTTATATTACAACTCTAAGTACATTCATTTCCCATAGAATTTAATCAGTTAAATAAGCAAATTAATTATATATTTATATTGAATTGCATATATAATATCAAACTTAAGATAATATGGGAAAATGCTTAATAACTTAAATATCATTTATATAAATTATAATTAAATAAATTACTTTTGAGCTTACTCTTTGAAAAAATGGTTTTTAATTAAATAATTCAAATTCCTACAATTCTTCTAAAATGATATTGTTGGCTGGCACCTTATTGTTAACGAAATTTTATAAAATCCTTCGATCTAGAATTTAATTGATGGTTTGCTTTATTAATTTTATTTTTATTTTTCAATTAATCTTCTAAATAAAGATGATATTTTTTAAACTCTATAATGTAGTAAGATTTAGTCTTTTTAACCACGTAATCTGGAAGTAAATCGTTAATATTGTCTTTAAATTAATTTTCATTAAGAAGACCATAGCCAAATCTTTAGAACTTCATATTATCTTTTGGGAATCTATTTGTTTTAACATAAAGAACTTCTAGATCAAGTAATTAATTTCTTCCAATTTACTATTAGAAATATAGAATAACCTTATATTTCAACTCTGATTCTAAGATCTAAAAGTTGTAGATATCAAATTTCATCATCAACAATGGTTAGCACTTAAATTCCAATAGAATTTGTTCATAATACAATTAGTCTAAATCATAAAATAGTAAAGTTGATTTCTGAAGATAATGTTTTGATAGAATATTTTTAATTTTACTATTTTAGTATTCTTATATTTCATCCTTTGATTGGTAGAATAATAATAAGTATTAGATATTAAATTAAGTTTGGTTTTTTGTTAATAAAGATAGAGAGAATGAGGATATTTAGGATATTGTGTAGAAATAATGAGATCACATTTTATTTTGATATCAATAATATATAGTATGGTTATTAAATAAGAATATTAGAAATATGATAATCGAAATTATAAGAATATAGAAATGAATGTGTTTACAATATAAAATAAAAGAAGAATAATGATATATATTATAAATAATTAGAAGTCATAAATAAAACAAGTTAGATGCTTTGGCCGAGTGGTTAAGGCGGCGGCCTGCTAAGCCGTTGGGATTTCCCGCGTGAGTTCGAGTCTCACAGGCATCGATTTTTTTTATTTTTATTATTATTACTTATACTTTTCCTTATTTCAATCTATTCATATTTCACATTCCTCTTATTCCATTTATATCTTTTTATATTCTTAATTATATATATCATTTATTTTTTATCTTCTATTTATATTATTAATTTATTCAATTTTCTTATAAATCTTCTGAACTAGAATCTTATTGTTAATAAATACCAAAATCTACCTAGAATTATTAGTGTTATTTAAAACAAATTTGAAAAGTTAACTCAAAACAATACCTATTATAATCATAAAAAACTATAGATTAATATCCTTAATTAAACAAGATTTCATATCTGACAAGTGTAGAAAAGTCATTATCAAAATAAATTGAAATAATGTTAAGATTATAATATAATGATGCGGTAGAATTATGATCCATCTTCTAGCGCCTTTTAATTATGAATTATTTATTATATCATGTTTTGAGGTTCGAGGAATGATCTATTCAACTTAGAAATTAAGAGGAACCTTTAAAGCTACCTTAATATACTGTTACTTGAAGAAGAAGAATGGTTTAATAGAGATGTATATTTTGAAGCGATTATCAATTTCATGGCGATAAGTGTTGAATTAAGAGCATTAACTTTTGTATCTATTGGTTTAGATACGGAAATATTAATTACAATATATATATATCATCATTATTGTACGATTAGATATGGGACTGACATTAAAAGGGATGACCTCGTTAAAAATGAATACAAGAAGTTTTGTATATTGTAATAATTGAAACTTTAACTTAAGAATTTATAATCCTAAGCTGAAATTTTATTATATTATTTTTTTAGTTTATAATTTAATCTAATGGGGTGTTGCTGTTCAATTAAATCTCCGAGTCAAACAACTCTTGGAAGGGAAGTTGAGTGTCCAAAGTGTTAATAACTTTTCCCATCTTACACAACTAATCATGCTGTAATATATAAAAATTAAATTTGAAGTTTAATGATCACTTAGATAATTGCCTATTGTCTTCTTAATAAAATTTAAATAGAATAGAAGATTACCGAGGGATAAAATATTGGGAAAAGGTTTAAAACGAATAAGGATTCTAGTGGGTACTAAAGGAATACAACCCTAGTCTCTAAATAAATGAATAGGTAACTATGAGAAATAAAAAAGAATATTTAACAAGAACCTTTTGGTTAAAAGCAAGTTTGGTTCAGAGCTAAACTAGAAAAACTTAGAATTCCATGGCAAGTAAATTAAATAAAAAATACATTAGAATGGATGCACTGTTCTATCTGTTTCATAAAATCAATTATTAGAATCTTCAGTGGAGAGCATAATGAAATTGAAATCTCGTCTTTTACATGGAGAATTGAAAATAAAATTTCAAGAGGATCAAAAAGTTTAGGATGCAGGAGGTTTGCTGAGAGAATGGTCAACTTCTATTTTATAATAATTAGTTGATTAGGGATATCTGTAAAAAACTGACACTAAAGAACTCACATACAAATTCAATCCAAATGTTTAATCAAATACCATTGACAAAAGATAACTCTTTTCCTTTTTAGGAATAATTGTGGGAAAATGTCTTTTTGAAAGAATCCCACTTAGTTCATTTTTAGATCGTACAATTATTAAACATATCTTGAGACAGAAGATAGTGTTGGAAGACATCAAATATTTTGATGAAGATGTAATATAATAAGATTATTGGTTTAGCTATTTTATTCTTGGCAATATTTATTAAATAATAATTCTGATTCATTAGATCTCTATTTTTAGTTAGAATATTTTGGTAAGACTATCAATTTAAAAGAAAATGGATGTGAAATCAAAGTTACTAATTCTAATGCTTAGGAATATATCAATTTAAAGTATCTTTAATTATAACACATCCTAGTATATTCTACTACACCTCATAGTTTTTGGAACCTTATCTCTCAGATTTTCTCACAGGATTCTATCAAGTGATTCCAAAAACTTTATTAAGAATTTTCAAACCTCAGGAATTAGAAATGATCTTATTTGGACTTCCATTTATAGATCTTTAAGATTGGTCCAAATATACAATATATAAAGATTGTTCTGCAGAGGATTACTTTATTAAATGGTTTTGGTAGATCTTAAGCACTTGGAGTTAGGCTGAACTATCTTAATTTTTGAGATTTTGTACTGGTTCAACTAGAGTTCCAGTGGAAGGTTTTAGGTAATGAGAATCCCTAATAATAGTAAACTCGAGAGCAACAGAGGAGAAATATCATATTTCTGTATTTAAGCCAGTAATTTCGATTAAGAAAATCCATATCCTAAGGCTCATACATGTTTTAACAGATTAGAATTACCAAAGTAAATATATAGTTTTGTAAAGGTATCTAGATATGAAGAACTGGAAACAATGGAAGTTTTTTTGAAGGCAACTATTCACGAAGCATTGGAAGGTATTTTTGGTTTAGAATGATATTTATAACTTATTATTCGATTTTAGATTTAATTAGTTAGTTTTAATAAAACATTAAAATTTATCAACTTTTTTTCTTTATTATTTTTCTTTATTGTTATTGAGGCTATTATTATTATAGTTACTGTTGTTATAATTAGTAATTGTAAGTATTGGCATTATAAATAATGTTCAAATTTTATATCTTAATTTAGGGTTAAGATTGTTTTATGGGTTGAGTTGCTTTTAATTATTAGTTTTTGGAGGGCGCAAATGAGAAACCATTCCCAATACTAAATCCATTATATTATGTTTATGGCAATTTATCAACTGAGGTAGTCTTCTTCATATTTGGCAACTCCCTCTCAGCCGTATGTTAATCAGATATCTTATAATTATACGCAGTACTCTACATTAAAACATGGCTACTCAAAAAATTAGGAACTGGTTTAATGTTCTACAATTAGGAAATTAATACTTTAGTTCTGATTTGATTTGTGTGTCCAATCTGATTTTGTTATTTCTATTAACTCATAAGAGAATCTCTTTTTTAATTAACATCATTTTAGACATGATTCTATCTGCTCTCTATTTATTTAACATATTCCTGTGCTTCTGGATAGTCAGCAAAGTAAGGATGCTTTAATGCGTCCAAACAAGTGAAACGCTCTTTAGGATCCATCCTCAACAGTCCTTTCACTAATCCTATAGCCTTCTAAGGTAATTTACCAAGATATCTATGTTTATTATTATTAGTTTATAAATACCTTCTCTCTATAGTCTCAGGCTTTCCAATTTCAGGGAATTTCATTCCAAGAAATCTTTGATTCTTTTGAAATACTTCCATTTGCTCATGTGTTAGAGGACCAAGTGTTTTTTAGATCAAATATAATTGATCAGTTTCATTCTCTCCTGGAAACATAGGTTCTCCATCAGTGAGTTCACATAGTAAACAACCTATGGCCCATAAATCTACTCCTTTTCCATAAGTCTGATAATTCAATAGAAGTTCAGGAGATCTATACCATCTTGTTGCAACATAATCTGTTAAAGTGTCTGGTAAATTGAGACTCTACAAAAATTAATCAAAAGCTTTACTCTGGCAAATCCAAAATCAATAAGTTTTAAATTGTTTTCATTATCAATTAGAATATTTTCAGGTTTGATATCTCGATGAACAATATCATGATAATGAATAAACTCTATAGCTTTTAATAATTAAAATGCAATTTTCTTAAGGAATCCTTACTTACAATATTAAATGTAATACATCTAAACCATTAGGCGAGGCTTGTAACACTTCGAGTAAATTCTTCTCCACATACTCGAAAACTAGATAGATTCTCCCTTTTCTTTTACATCATTCAGATAATTACCTCTTGAATGCTTCGAATAAATCAATAATATTGGGGTGTTTCAATAGTCTCAACATCTTGACTTCCCTCTAAATACTTTTTTTAACAATCTCATTATCCTCTGTCTCTTTGAACTTCTTAATTGCCACTAATGATATAAATAACTGTCAACCAATCTGATTATTTTCTTTATTTTCGCATTTTAGCACGATTCCATAAGCTCCCTCTCCTACTACTCCTTTAACTTCATACTTATTCATTGAAACTGAATATTTATATTATTAATATCGATATTATAAATTATCTAAATAGGAATTACTAAGAAACAATCTAAAAGTAGACTCACAACCCTGATTGATTAAGAACAATACACCATACTAAGTAAATTTTAATTACAATCAGTTATTTAATTATATTATTATAACAAATGCAGGAATTATTATTCTAAAAAATAAAAGAAAAAGATATAGGTACTCGAAATCATATTCAGTTTCATATATCAAATAAGTTTTGTTACAATTAAAGTTATAATCAAAAAATCTACTGAATTTTATTCAGAACGAAATATTCTATGCATAGTATTAATAATATCAAATAAGATTCAATAACTCATTTTCATAAAAGATTTATATAAATTTAAAGTTACATTAATAGATCATCGCAAGCTTTCAAAAGATATTCACTGATTAAATCAATAATAATAAGATATCCCAACTAATGAGATTAATTAAGATCATTAATTAACCAAAATTGCTTGGATACTCTTCAAATCTATTAGTATGGTGATAGATTCATATACAAAGATACTTTACTCAGCATTATCTCAATTTCAGTTAATAGAGTCATAAAAATGAGTAATTTTTTCAAATCAATTGAAAAATTAAGAGAAACAGGGAAATTGAATAGAAATCCATAACTAAAAGAAATTAAGTTCATGAGTTAGTAGTCAGAAATTAAGTCGTTATAGTTTGATTTGTTTTTAATTTAATTGAAAATAACTTATTTGAAGTTGTAATTATTAGTCAAAGATTCTTACAATTTCTTGATTATTATCTAGAATGTTCTCCACGTTTTATTTATTTCAATTTTAAAGGTGAGTATAATAATTCATTGCACATTTTGATTTGTTTTGCGGTTGTTGGTTCCTAGGATATTATACTGATATTACTTTATGAAATGAATTATCTAAGGGACTTGGATCTTACTAAGCCTTTTAAAAGTCTGAGATTAAATTTTTTTGATTTGGAACCATAAGGCTCTTTTTAAATTGAGTTGTGTTGAGCAACTTAATTTTAGAAATATAATTATCTATTTCAATCATCAATTTTTTTTCAATTATAAACCACTTTACATCTCTAACTGATTCAGAATTGAGAGCAAATGAAGACCTCATTTAATAAAATATTGTCAACTTACTTGTGATATCCTTCATTATCAAGATTAACTCATAGAATTGAAGAGCTAAATTAATGTTATTTTTATACATTCCTTAATTTGAAATGAAGAATAGGAATCGAGCATTTCCGTGATCTCGTTTCTTAAAAAGGCATATTCTACTAAACAATCTTTATAAATTAGGTAGGCTATATCTCGGATGATGAGAGTGTTTTAAGATTTATGTTTGAAGTTGAATTGAAAATATGGGATGAAGCTGAGTTTAAAATTAAGTAGATTGATTATTTTGAATAGCCAAAGAAATTAAAGTTTACGGTTATGTGAATCATCCTAATAGGGGTATTGTTAAAACTTGCAAGAACTATAGACATCGAAGTTTTGTGAGATTCTTTGTATGTAATTGAAGTATATATTCATAAATCCTTATTCATTTTAATTTATCAGTTCAAATACTTAAATTTACTAAAAATAATCAATAATTTTAAGATTACATCAGATACGTTGAGAAACATGGAGTTTTATGATTATACAGTATTCATTTTTTGATCATTGATATTTTGGATTGTTAAATTCACATGTTAAGTAGCCATAGTCTTACTATGAGTAGACTGAAATGTTTGCTTAAATTAGGCATGTTGATGGGTTTCAAAATATTTGAGAATCATCTCTATTGATTAAGTGTAATCGCTGCATAAAATGACGTGGAAACTGTAGCATCTCTTGAATTGTTCATTGACTGTTTCAGGCTAATGCTTGAGAATTTCATCCAATTTTCTAAAATCCCTGGAAATAATTTTGATATCCGAAAGTCTGACTTGATTAAAATGGGAATCAAGTATGGAAGATCCGACTTCTTTCTTTTGAACAACCTTTTTTTACTATGAACTCTATTAGTGAAATAGAGACTTTATAAAATTCATTTATTAATTTAAAGAGATATTCGAGAGTTAGGATAAAGAAATAGATGCTTTTTATATCTATTAAGATTGAACCATCATATGCTCATCTGAATGTTTATGCTGTAATCAAGAATGATAATTAGACTATATAAGTTGAATAAATATATAATTTACAGCAAAACATTAAATCATAAACTTGAATTGTATACAACAGAGCCCCTGTAAATGTCTACTGGTTCCACAGACATATAACTATTACTCCTTTCTTAAACATATGATCGAGAAGAAACTCGTTTGCTGATCATGAATAGAACAAAATCCAGGAACCCTTATGAGCATGCACATAGATAACTAATTCCTCCAAACCATACGAAGTCTCCCTTCCATATAATCTCGCATATTGAACTCAAAATGATGGGAAGCCAACAGAAAAGATGAACCAGAGTGTAATAGAACAGAAATCTTGTGTATTATTCTCCTACAACAATCTGACTATTCTGTTAAATTAAAGTTCTTCTAAAAACTCTATAATCCTCATGACCTAATTTGTTAGATTGGATTTCACTGAGAAATCTTGTTATTTTAAAAAGGAAAAAAATGCTTGATCCAAAAAAAAATCCAAAGGGAACATAGAATAAGAGGAATTCTCCTATCCAGTAATCGTTTTGAGTTTTAAAACTACATGCATAATATTATATTCCATATCCATTATAAGTAAGAGGAATAAGAGCAATCAAAAAAGGAAATAGAATCGAAAAAAATTTAGCATTCCTTTTGTATTTGTAATATCTCTCATCTGTGATATCTATGTTTTCCACTATGGTGAGAAATGTAGTTAAGCAAAAGAAAAAGTTAACGATAAATGTGGAAACACTTGACGATTACTTCAATAGAGCTTATATTACGCAAAGAGCCCCATCAATCTCTAATTTATATTTCATTGTGTACATGGAGTAGGATTACTGACAACAGCGATGACATAAATTGCATCACTTATAGACAATATTGCTAGTAATTTTGCTGCTAGATTGGCACTTTTTCTCTATTATAAATAATCAAATAACAAGACTGAACATCCGATCAAAGATAATACTGAAATTATTATCAATAGTGTCAAATAAAGAGCACTTCCCTTTTCTTGCATTTTTGTTTACTTTAAAGAAATAAATTAAAGAATTCTAATAGTAATTATGATTTATTATATATATAACTAGGTAATCTTATTTATCTTAACAATCTAAAGTAACAATCACAAGTCTGATAGCATCATGATATATTTATCCAAGTGATTTTAATTTCTCATTCCTTAAATCTAATTTTTTGTTAAGGCTAATAACTTAGTCAATGGACTGCCTTGTCGACTTAACATTGGTGTGTAGTTGTTCGAGTATCTTTCCATGAGGATATGCTTTTTTTTTTCATTGACAGTCCTATTTCTACCACGTTTAATTTAGGTGTTAATTTTATCATTTTCATAGATATTAGCAAAATTCAATTTTTCTATTTGTTCTGTGGTGCTCTTTTTTCTGAGATTGAAAAGTTTGTTCCTAATTTAAGGTTGTTTGACGGCAAAATCACTTAGATCTGGAGTTTTATTGTAATATTTTCTATCTTAAACAGAATATGTCTTTTATCTGACTTGGTCGATGAGAGAATCAGGTACTCTTTTAGGGTGATTCTTAAGTTTATTCAAATTTACATGAATTCCTGTAAGAGCATCAGTAAATTTGGCTAATTCTTTTAAATGCATTTTATTATTTGAGATTGGATATCTTTATTAGAGCGATAAACTGAGTTTATTCTTGCTATTAGATCGAGCTGTTTAATTCTACATTTGGGTTATTTATTTAGTTTAGAGTGTCTATTGCAATTTATTTTTATAGCTTTGTTTATTTTGAATTTTATCTTATGAAATTTGTTTTCTTTGACAGAGATAATTGGAGTATCGATGAGATGCTTTTTTTTTGAATAACCAAAACAGGGTTGTTTGAGAATTATGCTTCTATTCTTTGACTTGATCATAAATGCTATTGATATCATATCCTAATTCTAATAACATTTTTAAGGCTTATGTGTCATAATTGGTAATAACTTGATCTATTTGGACAACGACTGATTTATAAAACTAATGCTGCTTGATTCCATCGAATCCAATCCTATTTTATGGATCTTTAACCAAGAGTTTCTTTAAGAGATCTTAGGCAAAGAATGAAACATTTTTGGGTTATTCGTAATCCTCGTACTTAATCATTTCGTATAGTTTCTTGGTGTTGTCATGTTCAAAAGGTAAGAAGCCACACAACATAACATAGAGGACAATACCACAACTCCAAATATCACTCTTTTCACCTAAGTAAGGTTTTCCATCTATGAGAATTAGATGAGAGTATACGTAACATTTCAGGTGGTGCATAACAAGGAGAGCCACAAGCAGTTTTGAGACATTCATTGTTTTTGTAGAGGTTACTAAGTCCGAAATCAGCAACTTTAATGTTTCTTGATTCATCAAGTAAGAGATTCTCTGGTTTCAGGTCTCGATGAGTAATTTGTTATGAATGTAAATACTCAACTGCATTTATCAATTGAATAAAGAGATGTGCGGCTGTTGGTTCTGACAATCTATAACAATCTTAATATTATAATACTGATGCTTTTTGACTATGTAATCGAAGAGTTCTCCTCCCTTTGCATATTCCATGACCAAATAGAGGTTCTCATCTGATTCTAAGATCTAGGGTGTTACAAGGTTGATTGTACCTCATACAATTTTATTATATTTTCATGATTGACCTTCTTCAATATTGAAATTTCCCTTTAAACTCTAATGGCATCTGCATTTTTTTCTATCTTGTTCTTCTGAAGTATCTTGACAGCAACCTTACATTAAGGAATCATCTACATATTCTTTGCAAATGGTATGATAACCCAATTTCACTTTACCAAATGTTCCTTTCCCGAGAGTCCGATCTCTGAAATTATTATTCTCATACCTAGGATGTAATTTTGCACCTTTTGGGATTACTCACTATTAGCCATTTAGACCCCCTCTGAATAAATAATACTATTTTATTAATTTAAATACGGTACCCCATATGTCGATTACCTCATTATTAAAATTTTAATGGATTCGCCTGTAGAATCTTATAAAAATGGAAATTATGAACAAGCTCAACAACTCTTGAACTCCTAGCCAAACAAACTTATTGAGTGCAAGACTCTCATCAAATTGCACTAGATGAGGAGCCCAATACCGATGGGATCATGCATTTCCAAGACCTCCTCCGATTTACTCACTAAGGCTCAGACCCTCTCCAATGAACTCCAAGGGTAAGACAAAGACTTGCTAGAAACCATCCTGAATTACTTCTTGGATAAAGAGGTCAAATTAGGAGGTTCAGATGAACACAAGTTCTATTTTGGGCTCAGACAATTGGAGCTCTAAGAATACGAGGAGGCACTCAAAATCTTCAACTCTCTAGGTGACCTTGAGAACAAAGACGATCAGAAACACAAACTTCTGGTCTTGGCTGAGTGTTACATCAACCTCAATCAATACTAAAAAGCCACTAAGATTTTAGAACATGCAGGTGAAAATAGTTATTGTTATGCTTTGTTGTCAGACTGTTATTTCAAATTGAACTAATAACAGTAAGGACAACAATGGATGAAAGAAGCATTGAAAATTAATTAAGGTTGCTATTATGCACTAAACAATCAAGCCAAATACGATAATATTGATCAATAAATTAAAGTTATCAAAGAATTCTTAGAGAAAGACCCCTCCAATTCTAGATTGATTAGAGAGCATATCAATGCATTAATCACCAAAGGAAGTGCTTAAGTTATGAAGTCAATGGGAGAATATGCATGCAGGCCGAGGGGAGAATTTATCAATCAGTTGTCAGAACAAGTAGACAAACTACCCAAATGCAATTCAACTCTTTATCTCTAAGCACAAATCCATTACTTCAATTACAAGAATGCAGAAGCACTTACGGTATTCGAATAATGTATTCAAAATAACTACAGGATCTTTGATTCCAAATTTTACATCGCTTTAATTCATAAAGATTAATTCAAATACAAAGAAGCTGTCTTAGAATTCAAGAAGTTAAGTTAGGAAGTCACAGGACAATTGAAAGATGATTGTCACTTTTGGAGAGTGGTAATGTACATCGAATTAAATGAGTTGGATTAGGCCTTAAAAGAACTAGAGTACGTTAGACCAAATGCTCAGAACTATACTTTAATTAGTAGACTCTACTTTCAAAAAGGAAATAAGCCTTAAGCAGATACATGGTTGAAAGAAGCATTAAAATTAGATAGCAACTGTTTTTATGCCAAAGTCGAAAAGGGTACTTAGGATGCCAAGTATGATTGCATCTTACTGTTGGAACAACTTATCAAAAATGATCCATATAATATGTGTGCTAAATAGGCACTTGTTAAGTACTTGATCATTCATTCTGAGAACTCCATTGCATATGCTTGGGGAGAATACTCATGCAAACCTAAAGGAAAGGAAATTCTAAGAGCAGTTGAGTTAATCTAATAAATTAAATAGGTAAGAGATTGTGTTCAATTGGAATATTTCGATGCTATTTGTAAATATTATTTGAATGACTTGAAACAATCAGAACAATTGTTTAATTATTGTATAGAATAGAATCATCAATTCTGGACTTGCAAGTATTTCATGAGTTTAATCAAAAAAGATCAGATGAAATTTAAAGAGTGTCTTGAACTCTCTCTATAGGTTTTGAATCACGTTGACGAATTTAAATAGCAATGTCATGCCAATAGAGCTTGGATATTCATTCAACAAAGTTAGCCAGATAAAGCCATTAAGGAATTGGAGAAGAGCACTCATGGATGTCAATATTATGTATTATTGGGATAAGCATACATCATGAAAGGGAATAGTGTACAAGCAAACACATGGTTTAATGAATCATTGAAGGTCAATCCTAATTGTCTCTATGCCAAGATTAATAAGGCCATTCTGGAGTAAAGGTAGGATGAGATCCTTAAATTATTAGAGGGAGCATAAAAATCAGATCCAGATAATTATGTCATTACTTGGTATCGAGGAAAAGTCTTGTTCAGATTAAATAAATTCGATTAAGCTATTTAATTGTTCGAATAATCCATCAACAGTAGATATGTCATGGCCTATGCTTCTAAAGCCAAAGTCCTCAGAGCTTAACAGAAGTTTGAAGAAGCATTAAAGACCATTGAATAAGGCTTAACTATTGATGAGCAGTTGCCTCCCTTATTTATTGTCAAAGCCAGCATTTTGTATGATCAAAAAAAGTACGAAGAATCCATCTAGACATGCAATTTGATTAATGATGATTAGAATGTCCATGCTCTGAGATTGAAAGCCTTATGTTTGAGAAAATTGGATAGAAAGGAGGAAGCATTGAAACTGTATGATTAAATACTATAGATTGATAAATTTAGTATTTAATCGTTTATAGGAAAGGCTCAAATTATTAAAGAAAACGGGGATGTTTATGATCTGATTTAATAATTGAGTGATATTGTTATGCATAAGAAAATGTATAAAGCAACAATAAATCCAATAGTTGTGCGTAATTGTCAGGATTTAATAAGATTGAATCAAGAATTTGAAATTAAAGGAGGAGTGATCCAGAAGGTCATCGTTCATGGATAAAATTTGGATAAATAGAAATAGGAGTTTGAATAGTTGACTAAACAGAAAGATGAATTATGTGATGAGAAGATAGATTGTATCATGAATCCAATTAGTCATGTCAAAGTGGACTCCACTGAAGAAATACTGAAGAAACTGAACATCTTGTATAAGTAGATGTCAGAGATGTAATAAAAATAACAAACTTAATTTTATGAATAATAGCTAAATAATAAAACATATTAGGAGTGCTCGGTTGAAGAATAGAAGATTTGGGGTTCAATGAACAAAGAGAATCTATTTAAATAAGTATAGTAATGGGATTAGGATAAACAATAGAATGATTAGAATAAATATAATTACTCTTTAGTATTCTACAATTTAATGCTTAATCATTTGATTTCATATGGGGAAGTACAAAATGATAAAATTACTAAAAATGAAGATGTATATAAAATTCTAACTTTGGGAAATAGCTTTGTTATTTTAGATGATATGATTGATAATTCATTCACTATGATTAAGATGATCAAGTATGAAAATAGAATGAAGTCGTTATTAAAAGTGATAAAAGAAAATTAATTAACAAATAAATGTGATAATAATATATAATTGACCATTGCATTATGTGCTCAAAAGTGTGCTGATCAAATCGATTTTACAAAAGAGTCATAATAAATCTAATCACACGCATTTAAATATTAAAACAAGTTTTTGAAAGATTAAATTGAGGAGTATGTGAACAAATCACAAATCCCTGAATTATAGTTGTTGAGTGGAAAGTATGCAATAAAGGATGTAATAGTGGTGATTTGTTATATTCAACATAATTTCATTGCACTAATCAATAAATCAAAGCAAGTGCCACTTCATGATCTAATTTCAGAAATAAGAAACAAACATTTTGAGTTAACTACCGAGAGTCACCCAGTTCACTAAAAGATTAATGAGTTCAATTCAAATTACACCATAAAGGATTACAAAGTAAACCCCATGAGAGACAAATAATCGGGTGATGATGGATGTTGTACAATAATGTGAAAAGAGATATGAAACATATATATCTAGATTATGTGCAAATAATTTAAATCACTTGCGTGCCTTACGTCTCTTTCTCTTGAGTCTTCGCATTCTCTTCTTTCGCCACTTTTCTCTCATTTTTTATTTATTTTTAATATTAATATACAAAGAAGATTTAAATAAATTTAAAAATTCTCGCAATTTAATTTAATAAATAATATCATTCTAATATAATTTATGATTATTCAGTTCCATCTTTCATTTTAAAAACATATGTAATCTATTTCAATTTGACTCCATTCTGAGTAACAATTTTTATTTTCTTTACTATTTTGATACAACCAGCAGGTTTAACCACTTTGCTTTGAGTTTATTTATCATTATTCGTTTCCTCTTAATCTTATTATTCTTATTATTCTTCTTACTACTCCAATTAATCTTCTTCTTTCTACTAGAACTAGGGTTCTTATTGAAAGTCAGTCTATTCTACAGCACCAACTTCTATGCAATCATCACCTTAGGCATTTCCTTCCTTGATTTATACGTTTTAATCCGTATCTTCTTGTTCTTGATCTTCCAAGTTGACTTTTTCCACTTCATCAATCAATTCATTTTCTTGTTACTCCTGTTTCTATTTGGTTTACTTTTTCTGACCCTTCATCAAAAACTTCTTGGAGTAATCCATAACAGTAATGTATTTGAATTTACTATGTTCGCCAACATAGACCCCTACTAGCTTGTAATCCTTGTCGAAAACATTGTGTCTGTGTCCTCTGTCAGGTTTTCCATCGTCAACAATAAGTTACAACAAGACTTAAATAATTACACTGCCAATTACCTTCCTATCCTGTTACTTTGCCATAACTAATATTCTACCCAGCTGGCCCAGGCTTCCACAATCCATATCGACTAATTCTCTTTGAAACGTTGGATCCGTCAGTGCCAGTATGACCATTTGTGCCATTCTTACCTAAGATAATAGTTGACATCCACAATTACCCAAATCAATTCCATGATCTCTGGCTGACAATTCCAGTCCTTTCTCATATTGAAATGGAGGCAAAGGAGGTTAAGTTTTTAAAAAGTCGATACATTCTTAAACACAAGCAGCTCCTTCCTTGTATTAAAGGGGTTTCTAACCCGGCATATGTAGGATATTGCCTTTAAAATATTTCAATCTTGCTTCTAAAGGCGGTATACCAATAGTAGGATCAATTCGCAATTAATTCTAGTATTCAAATACTTCTTAAGCTATTTTTTCAAAATCCATAAAAAATATAATTAATTTATTAATCCAGAAAAAGATAAGTAATAATAAAGTAACCAGCCAAACAGAAAAAATTGATATTAATTTGAATAGGTATAAATTTGACAAGAAATCTGAAGTAATTAATAATAATAACTTTGAACTTGAGAATAAATTCTTTAATAGCAAATATCAAATAAACTCCCTAATTTCGCACATTTTGATAGGATATTCCTACAATAATTCAGTATTTTGATTATTGAAGAAAGTTTAATAAAAATAATAGCTACGATTTGATCCTCTTAACTATTGACATTAAATTAAGAATCAAATATATATTAACAAAATTCAGTATATTTATTAATCATTGATTAAAGGTTAGATTTCAAAAAAATGATAATTCTGGTTATAGTAGAGGTGCAATAACAAAAAGAAAGGACACACATATTTATGGAAAATCTTATTTAAGCCAATTTGTAACTGCTATAATTGCTAGATCACTGAAGGAACTAAGATTAAGTATGTTTCTCTGATGTAAATAGCCAGAGTATGCATAGAAAGTGTAAGAAATAATTGTAAAAACTAAAATAATTTACAGAAGTTATGTAATTTTTGTGTAAAAATCTGAAATATTAAGTAAAACTTTAATTATAACTCCATCATAGAATCATCCAATATTATTTAATGATAAACTAGTTTGTTTAAGAAGGATGGGTCATATATTGCACAACTTTTTAGAGTCTTTATATTTGTTTATTGAATTCAATTGATATAAAAATCCAATATTTACAAATAATTTAATGTATTTTAATTAATATGGGGGCACTTTTAGATGGAAATAAATATGTTCATGTATTACTTCTTGGAGCTTAAGATGTAGGGAAAACTAAATTCTTATATGAAGGATTGCTTTAAAACAGTAATAGAAAATTCTATTCAATAAGAATACAAGGATCCTCCTTATAAACCAACAGAAGGGTATAACATGGAATGTATGAAATATGAATAAACTACATATGCTTTATGGGATCTGGCAGCTTCACCTGAAGTAAATCTAAATTTATTCTAGTTCATGACACTTTGGCATGTGTTTTATTAGTTTATTCCATTTAAAGTTACCATCTTTGTTGTTAGAGTCATTAAAGGAACAAAAGCCTAAAGGTCAAAGCATTTTGATAGCATGGGGTAATCAAGATAACTGTTACATCGTTTGATGACTCTCGAAGTGTTTTAAACTAAGCCTCTTCTCCTTTTAGTGAATGTGAAAATTAATTAAATTCTAGATCGAAAAAGATCAAAGTAGTTAGCAAGGTGATAAGCAGGAGGCACTCAATGAAGCTAAGGCTTGCTTAAACTGGGATGATATCAAAGTAAGAGACAAATAAGCTATCGTGCTTGATGTAAATGCCTATTTGGATCATGAATAAGTGCTTATGGCAATGGATAAAATGTATAAGAAAGCAGAAGAAGAAGATAGTAATAAAAAAGAGTGAGTTAAATATTATTATATAAGTTTATTAGTATCACTTAGAATTTATTTTGTATAAACTATTGCATTTATGAAATGTTGTCGTTTTCTTAAAAACTAATTTAAATGTAATTATCAGTTGTTTAATTATTTTATATAATTATTCAATTCCAATAAATATTGCTATAATTTGAATTTTATACTGTTCGACTCAAATTACCCAACGTATTGTTGAATTATCTCTTGAAAGTCTTTGTTATTTCCTAATTATTGTAGTTTCTTTTTGAATCTTTCTCGGTTCTCATAGATAAGTTTACATTGTTCATATAAAAGCAATGGCCAAGCAAGACCTTCCTTTCTCACATATTTCTCAGTGTCGATTGTCTTTAACAATTCTACATTTATATACCTATCATCAGTCATAGTGAGGTCATAATTTTGCTTAACGAATTGAATGAACTTTTTCTTTAAAGTCAATTTCCGAGTGGATTCTATCCTATAATGAATTAATAACCTATGACATCCCATTTTTAGAAATTAAAACATATATGGGAATGGGATCTAATTTTTTATCAAATCCTGAATGAATTTAAAAAAGATAGGATTTATTATTCCATATTAAATTAATTATTTTTCGTAAATTGATCTCTAATAATTAATCTACTAATCATTATTCTGTTCTTGCAGATTTTACTTAGAATATGTTAATATGGATTAACTATTATTTTTTTTATCGATCTTAATTTGTATTTAATAAAGTAGATATCCTATTTCTAACATATTATTCTTCATAAACTTTTGTTGAGCATTCTAAAATGTTAGAATACCAGCTTCAATCTTCTAAAAATATTTCCCACAAATTTTGTAGATCTTCTTCAATACAATTTATACATTGCTATCTTCCATAGAAGCACAGATCTACTCTTGGTATTCGTCAAATTTCTTTAACAAAAGTTCTAATGAAGATTTGATCACTTAATTGAATTTTATGAATTCATATTCTGGAAAATACTATTGAATTGCTTGTTTCACTGCCCTTATACTTGATTCATCATAGTAAGACAGTGATGAATTTATTTTCAATAATTCTGCATCTTATTTAATTTTGACCATCAAACTAATTTAAAATATCAACTATTAAGAGATATAAACCTTAATGAAGCCTTTCCTATCTTCCATATCTTATTATTTGCATACATAACTAATTTTAAACAATTTGATTATGTCTGGCAAAGCAATTTCTTATTTTAACAATAGCAATAATAATATTTTGAATATAAAATACTTGCCATTCTCTTTTGTACTAACCATATTTTGTGTTTATTGTTCCTTTTATTGATCTTTTTTATTGTTTTCAACAGGTTGTGTCACTGTGATTTAATCTTGAGATGAACTTACTCTTTTTTTAATATTTTCAATCAATTCTATTATTTTTTGACCATTCTTGGAAAATTTCTATTTATTAACTTTACTTGTTATTGTATAAATTTCATCTAATTGTTGATTGTTGCTCAATTGTAACGAACTTGTTTCCATCATGGCTTCATATAAATAATTTAAGGTGATTTAAATTAATAGTTCTTCTGAATTCATTAAAAGTTCTTTGTAATAGCAATCAATCTGTTGGCATTTTTAATCTTATTTAATCATAGTTTTCAACTGCTATTCAATTGAGAGACTGCACTTCAGCAGTACTTTGTCCCCTTTGAATTAAATAAAACCAAAAATTTAAGGTACTTACGTTCCTTATGCAAACAATTCGATTAGCAGACTTTTAATCTTTTATTTCATCAGTAGATTGAAAGGATTGTTAATTATTTCATCTATTTTGAATAAAAACAGTTGCACCTTATGTACTGGATTTTCTTGAAAATCATATTAAAGTTCACTTTTAGCATTTTAACACAGTTCCCAAAATTCCTTTAAATCTTTATCCATGATGTCTTTTGTCAGTTAAAACAGGTCTGTTTATTCTAATAATTTGTATAGCATCTAGGTTTTGGAATGAGATTTAGAGTTCTTCAGCTGCGAAAACATTTTATTAGTTGATTAAAAGAAACCAAAGATAATGGTCATTAATTTTGGTATATTTTTCCTTCTTTTAATTTTACATAATGTATTTAATAATAAATAAAATGATTTTGAGAAAGAATTCAAAGTACGAGTCAAGAAGACAAATGTTGTATGAACTTTCTAAGAAGGCAGAACTTCAAGAGTTGACTTAAACCATATTAGATGATATGGAGGATCTTTAATATTTATATAAATCATATTCATAGAATTATTTTGATAGAAACACTGTTGAAATTCTAGGAGATGATCCTATATTGAAAGGATAAAAACTAATGTAAAAGATACTCGACAGGGATAACTATGATTACAAAGAGAGAATAAGGAAATCTTTAATAAATTTGCATTGTTCAAATTCAATATTCCCTGAAATAATCCACTTTTTAAGAGTGGATAATAATTGCATTGAAATAAAGTACTGCAATGAACTTGAAAGAGAATTACTCAAATATGACTAAGAGAAACTAGAAAGAACGGAAGTTTATAATCAAGTTGAAGAAGGTTCAGACCAAACTCTCATTTTAATTCATTTAATGTGTTTAAAAAATAGGATCACAAATCAATAGGATTTTTTAACATATTTCAATACATCAAAAGATTATCAAGCAATAAAGGATTTACATGCCAAATGTTAAGATTTGGAGTTTAATTATTTGGAGTAAACTACACAATAAATAATAAATATCGTGTCTGACTTTTATTAATTATTTTCGACCTACTGTTAAATGATTAAACCTAGACAAGAAAAATGTACAAAGCTGATCTTTAGAGTTCTACTTTAATTATTATTGTATTAGAACATTATCATACCTGAATTACTGAGATTTATGAAGATGATCAGAAATAGTTCAGTTTACAATGTTTCATATAGTTTTGGAATGATTGTGGTTAAACCTACTGTAAAGCTCTTGGCTTAGATGAGTTAAATTCCTCAAATTAGTAATCAGGTTGAATTATTAAAAATCAAAAAATTAAATTTAACTTCTAATTTACCTAAATATGAAAATTTCTATAGATAAGTTTTGATCCACTTCCCTAATATTTTATAAATAGATACGAATTAAGTTATTGTGAATTACCTAGAAAAGCTAACTTAAAACTATCACCGACATATTGTTGTTCTGGAGGATATCTACTTGAGCACAGAATTTTCGTAAATGATGGATTTGATTGATAAAATTTGTGGAGTGTAGATTAAATTCATTATGAATTTGGATGTCAATTCTGAAGAGGAGTTTGAGGATTATGGAACAAATGTATTGAAGATTGGAACTATGTTATTTCAATTGAGAGAAAAGATATTTTAAAATAATAATTCTACTAAACTCAAACAAAATAATGATCTTATAGAAAAATTCAAGAAATTCTTATAACATGAATCACAACATGAAAGATCATTTTCTCATTTGTTGAAATATATTGTTTGTAATAAAAATGATTTAATGGTTGATATTTCTGATAATTATGACTAAGAACTATTGGAAGATCAGAGATTTTAAGAGTTCTTGTAGAATTTAGACAATAACGAAGTTCAATTAGATTGTGATAAGGGAGAGACTGAAAATGAAATACTTTTCAATTAAATTAAATTAATTTATCATCAACGAGAATAACACTTGGATTTGTTGAAATAATTAAATGGCAATTAGCGTTGCGATTAATTGATGAAGGATTTGTAGAAGAGTGAATTACAACACAAAGAATATTTGGTCAAACTTTTGGTGTGCATTCAATACTAAATATATATATGAATTTATATTATTGAAATCATATAAAGTATTATATTAGTAAATCATGATTAATTGACGTAGTAATATTTAATAATTCTAATTATAACACTCATTTTCAACTTCAAAATGGAAAACCAAGTTAACAATAGCCTAACTGATAGTGAAATTCAATAGAACTGTAATAATTTATTCATTTAACAAAGACGGAAACATTCAATTGCTCAATTACAAAAAAATTTCAGAGCCTGCCACCTTATTTGTTTAAGGGAAAGAGTATTTTTAACAATACCACAAATTCCTAGCAGGATACACGCTACTAAAATTTGTAGCGTCATTTGTTATCGTATATTAAGCATTAATAAAATAGATTATATTGAGACTAACATTATTCTCTGACGAATAGCCCTTCAAAGATTACAACTATATTTTTGATGTTGCTTACTTAGAAATATGGATGTACCTTTCACGTAAAAGTACATCGTCATCATAGTTTCACATAGTTTCTTTGGATTCATCTATTACATTAAGTTGATACTACTCATTGATAACTCAATGTAATCTCAAAGAGTGGCGAAGGAGTTGGGATACTTGATTGAATTTTATGTTCCAAGCAACTTTTCTGATCAATAAATGGAAAACTACATCGATGAACAACTGATAATATAAAATCGAGAAATACTTATACGATAAGGAATAACCGGTTAGCAGGATGATTAAAGAAGAATAACTTAAATTGGGAGTGAAATTAAAGTACAACTCATTATTAAAAAAGAAAAAACTATTGAAAAATAATTAGTGTTTAAATCTACATGGAAAAACCTGTTTTATTGCTTTCTAATTCATCCAATTGTGGAGTATCCTCTTCTATTTCCAATCTCAAAATTCTCAGGATGAGGTTGGAACCTACAAATTTATTACGATGTACAAAGGATACATTTTCTCAGTAAACCTAAATCCTATTTGTTTAGGTTGTTTTTATTGGAGTGTATCAATACTTAGAAATTTACATCACGGTCTTGTTAATAATCATTTTTTTGCCAATTCTTCTAATTTACAGTCTATGCCTTTGGTTCAATAAGTACTTCAATAAGAGAAATTAAAATACAAAAATCGATGACTCTTTAAATGAAGCCTTATTCAGTTCCTTAGATAATGTAGATGGTATTTACTATTAATAAGTGATTATTAGACAAAGAGTGTTCAATATGCATGACTCAATTTCAGGATTAAGAATACATAGTCACACTCCCTTGTTCATCCACTCATAGATTTCATTCCTCTTGCATAAGATCTTGGCTCTAAGTCAATAATAAATGTCCTTTGTGTAGAAGTGAAGTAAACATCTCCTCAGAGGACATCTTATGAAATATTTAATAATTTATAGTTTTTCTAATTTTTAAAGAAATCTAAAACCCTTTTAAGATGAAAGAGAATTAGTTCTCTTTATCTAAATCATTTAATTTTAAATTTCTAAATTAAAGCTGCATAATTTATAATAATTAAATAAAGTATTATTTAAGTTAAAATGATAAATTTAAAAGAAGAATAACGAATTGAAAAAATTAAGTTGGTGAACATTTTTGGATTACATTTTAAATACACTCTTATCCTAATTATAATTAACACTTTGATAAAAACATAAGGAAATGAGTCTTTTTATATAACAATTACGTAATATTTAACTCTGATGATTTTTGCCTTTAATTTTATTGCTGCAACCTTTTTAGTGTGTTTAGAAAAAGAATTCCCAAAATTGGAGTATTTCCTAATCTATACTGTAAATATTTTTGTATTTGTTATTCTTTTGGTTTATTCATTAAATTACTACCTAAGCATGCAGAACGATGATCCTGCCCTTCATTTATACATTAAAGCCTATATGCTAATCTTATTACAAAAGGTATATACCTATTCTTTATGTATTTTACAAATAGGAAATTGAGATATTGATCATCAAGATTTTTCCATTAGAGTTTATGAACAGATTTGTGAATAGCTTCACATCTTGTATTATAGCAGCCTTAATTTTGTCTCACGAGGACAATTATGAATGCCAACATAGATACTCTATGATATTGTTGTCTTTGCTTTTAACTAACCTATTGACAACTATTATAAATGTGATATTTACACTAATTCTATTTAATTAGAACAAATAATAAAAAGAAATCAGAAACTTTGCAAAGTAAATATCGATTTTGATAATCATAGTATGTTACTAACAGTATTGTTTATAATTCATATTGCACAATATATTTTTACATTATTTAAAACCAATAATAAGATTGATTAGGAATGTAACTGTTTTAGATTCATTTTTGCAATCCAGAATTATGTTGCACCCATAAACTTGATTTGCTTTTGCTCTGTTATAGTTTTGGAGGTTCAATATTTTAAATAGAATTTGGAACATTAAAATTAATTGGAAAAGAACGATGAATAAAAAAAAATGTGTATATACTTACAATTTATATTGATTTAGATAGTGCAAACATTTAGATTTCATAAAATTAAAAATTGCAAAATAAACAATCAATGAAGAGTTTGAGTTCTATTGCCAATCCAATGGAAGCAAGTTCCAAGTATTATTAGCAAACGCCAAATTTCAGAGGGTATATAGAAAAGTATATTTTAGTGAAAAAGTAGAACCAAAATTATAAAAAATGGGAACAAGTTAATTTGGAGAATCATAGCATAATCCATAAATGATAAATTCATGGGGGAATGTCTAAAATGGGAAACTATTTGCGTTCTCAATTAAAGAATAAAACGATAATATCGAAAGTCAAAGAAAAGGAAATAAATAAGTTGATGAAAACTTTATTCGACAAGAAGAATCATAGATGCCAGAGATACTCTCATAAGTAAATAACCCTATGGAGTCTGGAAGTGTGATTACAATTCATTGAATATAGTTAAAATGAGTAATCATAACAATTTCAAACATTTTATAATTCTAATTAAAGATTTTAATGTCTTAATTTATGCATATTCAAAATATAGCAGATATTATGTTGAATTGATAGATATGGATTCTATTTAATACATTACAATCAATCAACAATAGTGCTTACTCTCGAATTTCTATTGGAATTGCGATACATTTGATCTATAAACCAAATTAAAACTTTGTGTTTGAGGAATGGTTTAGAAGAAGAATAGTTCTGTTATTTAAAGAATATCAAATGTAAAGGATGCTAAAGTGGTTGTAAAATAAATTATATAATTTTACATATTGAAATAATAATTTACGACTTTAATTGACAGGATAGAGAATCTATTTTATCCTGGCTAATTTAGATATACTTAAGTTAAAATTATTATTCCAATATAATGAATAATATGAAATCATTGTTACTAAAAAATTCTTTTGACTTTTCTAACATCACCAAGAAAAATGTCTTTAGGAAATTTGGACTTTTATTTTTCAATGCTCATTCTATTGTACTGTAATCCGAAAGAAAACTGCATAATTTCCTCTTAATTTAAATGATCCGATTTACTAATTATTTTAGATACTTCGATTGTTCTTTTTTGAAGTGGAGTCAAATTTCTTTATTTATTTGGTTGAGTCTTAGTATAATCAAGTGATTTCTACAAATCTCTTATGAAAATTGGGGAATCTGCTACATCAACCTCAAGGGCTATCTATTCAATTATGAAATTACTTTTTCTGGTTTTTTTTTTTAGTATGACTGTGCTCTTTCCTTTAATTTTGGAAAATATGCAGTAGGCTAGTCAAATTTCTGACTTTCGATTTGTAATTGGTATTTGGGTCTTACTATTTCAGTTTTTACCCTTTATCTTGAATCGGAATGCTCATTAAATTGCCTCAAATTGGTTGAATTCTGGTCAAAAATGTGTTAGGATTCAAAGATCTAAGATTCTAAAGAAATATTGAATATTGTATATTGCTCATACCAGGAAAGAGCGAGGTATTTTACATATACGGCTTTTTGTTTGATTATACTTTTTTAATAGGTGCAAAATTGTGTTCATTATCTCTGTGTCGATTCTTGTTTGCTGTTAAGGTGAGTCGATAATAATGATTATTATTCATAATTTTTAATATCACATTCATTCGGAACTATGCAATTAAAATCCATTATAATTCTGGTATAGTCGATCAATTGTTCAAGTATCTTAGAAGATTGAGTTCAATCGCGTCATCAATTGAAAATGGCAAGAGTGGATTTAAATCACAAATCACAATTAATATCCCTTGACTCAAGATTAGGTATATAATAGTAGTGAATAATCAATAACTCAAATATTAAATGAAATAATCAATAAATATTATATAATATAAATTAGCAAAGAATAGATCCTAGAAGTCTTAAGAGACATTAAGATATCAGTTATTTGGAGTGTTGATGCATGGCAGATGTTAAAGTGTGGAGAATAATTGCATCCGAACTATCAGAATAATGATTATATGTATTTGTATCATTTTACTCTCATTAAATGAGTTGCTTATTACTTTTTCTTTTTGATAGCTTCGTTGATTTTAGCATCTGAATCTGGTTTCTTCTGTAAATTAAATAATATGGGAGACATCTTCAAAAATGCTACATTCGTTTAGTTAATAGCTTCGAAATCCTCAAAAATTTTAAGTGAAATTGTTGTCTTAACCGAATCATCTAAGGAATGACTGAATTCATACTCTCTTTTTTATCTCCAAAGGATGGTTCATCACTCTTATTCTTCTTGTCCACCCATCTCACACTTTTTTAATCTCCACCTCCTTCTCCAGTATTCGAATGAATTGCACTTTTATTTTTGTGTTTGAGGGTTTGACTCTTAAAGTTCGTAAATTGTTATTATTTGGCATGAGCTGATTTATTTCTCATAGATTGTTTCATTTTATCATCTAAGAATAAATTTGTTAATCTTACTGTTGGATTTGATTGATTAAATAGATCTCTGAGTTTTTACTGTTTTCTAACTATTGCGATGATAAAAAGATTTTAAATCATTTGTATGATAAGAGAAATCATTATTAAAATCAGGTTATGATCCATCAACTGAATTATAATGGCTGTAATGAGACTTCTTCATAGTTTAATAGGAATTCCTTCTTTCGAGTTCAGAATCTACATACTATAATTCAAATATACAACCTGCTTATTGTTCATACTCATGAGAAGTATGCATAAGAATCCATTCATTTTTTAGTACATCTGCACAAGTATATCTATCAGCAGGCTTTCTAGCCAACATTTTCTTTAACAAATGTTTGCATTCACTACTGATATTATCCCAAACTGATTTCTAAAAACTGATTTCACATTTTCTATTATCTTCCAAAACTGCTTAGTAATTTTTTCCCTTAAAACAGGAGATGCCTGATATTAACTATGATAAAACAGGAGATTATACTGAATAAAAGATGACTCCAACTGAAAACACATCTCCCTTGTCAGTATAAGGGAACAATTTGAAAATTTCAGGCGGTATATAACCAGGAGTTCCTGCTTTTGATACTAATTCCTTATGATTGATAGGTTCTGCAAATCCAAAATCCACTAATTTAATGATGTATTGATCTCTTGATTTCATCATTATGTTTTCTAATTTCAGATCTCGATGCACAAATTCATTGCTATTTAGTTACTCTAGTATTATACATATGCATTTCATGTAATGCTTCACAAACACCTTTTAACATGACTGCAGCAGGCTTTTCAGGAATCCTTTTCTTTTCCTTTATCAGACTATAAAGATCGCCATCTGAGACTAATTCCATGATTAATATTAATTTCTCTTTCTCTTATATGACATCGTACAATCGAATTATGCCAGGGTGAATAACTTTACGCAAAACCATGATTTCGTTTTTTATCATAAGCTCAGCTTTAATAAGGAACAAATGGTACCACAAACTTAGATTTATGTTGAGATTATTCAAATGTCTCCTTGAAATATGTTTTGGCTGCAAACATTTACTCATTGGATAGGTTCTTTACCTTATACACCTATTAATTAATCACACCTATTATTTACTGAGGCAAATGACCCTTTTCCTAGAAGTTCCATCTAAGTATATAGTTTATCCATTCCAGACACGATACAATAATCTTTGAGATGATTGAAGAATTCAAGAGTCAATTGAGTTTTCCCATCAAATATTGATATTGAGAGTCCTTAGTACTTTTCGATTTAAACTACTAGTAACGATTCTTTTTTTGTTTTTTGTTCCAATAGATGAGCAACATAATCCATAGTTATTTATAAATATCCTTTAGCCACTTTATCAGATTCCTTATTTATATTTAAATGTGAAACCTTTTTGTAATAACTTAGTGTTCCATCTTTACTCAATTTGAAAAAATAACCCTTCGTTGACTTTTTCTTTTTTCCCACTCTCAACATTATGGCCTGAAATCTTAGATCCTCTTTGCTAGGATAAACATTCTTGCAATTTTTTCGATCCCAAAATCTCATTTAATTGACCAGTGCCGGTTAGGGAGCAAAAAATGGCCACACAACTTCTGGTTCAACTTAATGTTTCAGAGGACTTTATTATTTCACTTATTTCAAAGGCTTATCGTTCTTTATGGCAGATCCTTATGTTTAAGTTTTAGGTTAAGTAGCTTCACCTTTCATTTTTTAATTTAATAATAATATTACAGTTCTAATATATACAATTTATATTCCACCATTTCGTACCAAAATACTTCCAATCTCCCTTACACATTAATAAATTATCAATAAGGTCTTTAAAAAATAAAATAAACTTCCTTTTTTTTAATTTGTGTTGCTATCAATATAAATTCCAATTTCAAATTACACTTTTGAAATGAACTAATAATTATAATGATATTTCTCATAAGGATACAGTCATTGTAGCAAAGAACATTCCCTGAATTTGTTGCTTGGTTTATATATAAATATATCTATTATACATTCTAAACATCCTTTAATGAACACTCATTATCTTAGTGATTTTTTTGATCAATGCAAGAATACTGAATTATTAATTATATGATTATATAATTTTTATTATGAAAGGAGTCGTTGAATAATAATCAAAATTACAGATTAAATTAGATTAAGTGAAAGTCCCATCATATTTAAAGCTTATTGAGGAAACAGAACAAATTCATGCCAATATGCTCAAAACTCTTTTAAACATCTAAATCAAAGATATCCAAGTACAATCAAAATAAAAATGATTTAGGATCTCTTTTACATTCTCAAACCAACATAGCAACTTTATAATTGTGTTTGTGGTTTATTATGCTTCGTGGCAGGTGTCGATAAATCTATTACAACTGACTATTTGTTTTTACGATAGCGAGATTGGGTCACTAGTTCTAGTCAATTCTGTAAAAACTATGAATAAATTAATGCAATTTTGACTAATCTGTAATCAAATCTGATGAAAAAGAAGATCAACATTTCAAATATTAAGGAGGCTCAAAAGTATTATAAAGAAGAATTAAAAATTCAAATCAATTCGATCTCTGATAAACTTGAAAAGATTTTGACTTTGTCAATTAACTATTACACTTCATTCTATAAGATTCTCAAACTCAATTAAAAGTATGAGTAGCAATTGAGGACTCCTCAAGAAAAGAGTTCAGATGAATTAAAGTCCTATATGCTATCAAAATTAAATAATCATTTCGGAGACGATGATTCAGAAGGAGTCGAGGAAGAAACCTAAATACAAAATGAATAAGTTTAACCTATTCCACTCACTCCAAAAGATTAATCGACTCCCTTAAAAACGTTGGGTAGATTTAAAGATTTTAGATCTTATTAAAAAGGCATTGCTGATCGTCAAGAAACATCAAAGAGTCCAAAATTACCTTATTATTCTGCCAGCTCTAAAAAATAGTATTATAAATCTAAATCCCCTTTATAAAACTCAAGTAAACCACAGTAGGAAACCAATTATTTATTGAATGAATATATGAGTTTTCAAGATCAAGTCAGTGTTAATAGTTTTCAAACTCAACCTTTAGAATAACTAAATAGTTCAAGATATAATAAAAATATACCCAATACATAATTAAAGAGTGTCAAAAATATTAATAAGAAATCTTCATAATCCAAATCTCCTGTTGGTAGATAAAAAGAGATTTACAAGAAAAAAGAAGTTTAAGTTCAAGAGACTCCTAATTTAAATAAAATAATTGAATAGATTTAGAGTAATGATCCTAATATTGAAAAACAATTAAAATAGGAATTAGAACTGATTTAAAAATAGATAAAAAAATTAGGAGCTACAAAAAAATAATTAGAATGGCAGGATGAAAGATAAGTTAATATTTATGATTAATCTTAGAGTAAGAAAATTAGAGACCAACATGAATAGTAATATTTGAGTGAGCAAATAGAATAAAGTAAACAGTTCTTAGAAAATAGACAATAGTTTAAGGAAGAACAAAAAGCAAAATTGAAGAAGGAGGTCAAGAAGGAGATAAAAATAAAGAATGAGGTTCAGGACTTCGAACAGCAGAGAGTCTGGTGTTTGTTTAAGGAGTTGGAGAGAAGTATTATAGAGAAAGAAGCATTACAAAAGGATGCTTAATGGATGGAATAATAGGTTTGTATAAAAAATTAAGGAATTTAAAAATATTGAAAATCTAAATAAATATTTTAAATAATTAATCATCAATGGCCAAGTCTAAGAATGCAACAAGTCATCATAATGCCCGTAAGCATCACAGAAATGGTATTAAGAAGCTTCCAAATCAAAGATATACCTCATTGAATGGAGTAATTAATCCTATAAAATAAAGTGTAATTAAAGATTCGCAAAAAATAGAAGATTTGCTATAAAGAATGACCCATCCATCAAAAAGAATAAGAGTGTTGAAACAAGATTGGCTAAGAGAAAGGCTAACAAAAATATCCATTGATCATGAAATACAATAAAATTATCATACATTAAATTGCTAAATTCATATGTATAAAGTGTCAAATATTGACAACTGATTTGTTATTTTCAAACCCTAGTTTCTGATAGATAAGATTATTAGTTGAAATCAAGACTTATTATCTTTCCATTAATTGCTTGAAGTCATTTTTCAAGAGACTGAATTAATTAGTGATTTCCTCATTCAAACTATTCTCATCCTGTTTAGTTTTATGCTATCTATGAGTCATTTTAAAATTAATCAACGTCTGTTTTAATCTAACTATTAATTGATGGTGTTATTTTCTAGTCAAAGTCCCATTTCTAAAATATATTTGAATTTAATTACTTATAACCAAGAGCAGCTTTGGCTGTAAGTATGATAACTAAGGCAGCCTCATGCTTAAGCTTTTCTCTCAAAGCCACTCTCTCTAAAACAGTGATTGCATGACCTTCAAGTGAAGTGACCTTTAGAGATTCAATTAAAGTAACAACCATAACTGAAACTACGAAGATTCCAAGAACACACACAATAAAGATGACAAATCTGCCTAAATCAGTTCTAGTGTAGAAGTCACCATAACCCACAGTGGTTATAGTAATTATGATATTCCATAGAGCATTTTCAAACAGTCCTAGATTGTTGCTTGAGGAATCATTTCTTGAGAGTGGTCTTTCGCAAATCCTTACCGCGTATCCAAAAATACAGATTAAAGATATCAAAGCTATAAACAAGGCAGTGTATGGCATAGTTCTTAATAAGGATTTTGCAACGAACATGTAATTGGATTCACATGCATATAAATTACAAACTCTTTGGGTTCTGTTGTTATACCAGAAAGTAAGGGTTAACAAAGTTCGATATAAGTAGATGACTCTGCAAATCATAATTAAGGCTAAGATCTCATTCACATGATAATAGGCTTCACTCCCTTAAATCGAATTGTAAAAGTTAACTCTGATTCCTTTTGTGAATGGAAGAGGAATAATACAATAAACTGCTAATTCTATGAGCATGGGCAACCAATCGTCAGTATGCCAAATTTAATCTCCTGGAGCCATCGATTTTCTTGATTTCATCCATTCAATATGAGCTTAATAACGATAAACAGTTAAAAAAATCAATAGGCAAGATGATACAAATACTAACCATAATAGCCATAAGGATATCTAAAATTATCCTTAATATTACATCTTTCATAGGATCAGTATCAGAAATTTCTTCATATTCTAAATCATATTATATAACACTAATTCCCAATCCCATTAAATTGAATGCAAAACAAACCTATTCCATGAATAGAAATTTGTGAAAATACATTTTTGTCACCTATCAAATATTCCCACATTATACTTTTCCATCTTCCAATCCTCCTAATTATTAAGAATTTGCCATGAAAATTTCAGCAAGTGATATTTTGTTTTAATCAGCTTTCCTTACCAATTGATCATTCTCCTATTATCTTCTATTTTAGTTTTACTAATGAAAATAATACTCATTAGAATTACATTGCTCATTTTAGCTGTTAAACCTCCAGTTCTACCTTTCATTTTATTATATAAATATATAATTAAATTAAAATTAATAGCATTTTACCATCATTTGCTTCACATCCAAATTTCATTCAGTCCATTTTTACTTAAGATCCATTCTTAGTGTTATTCTAATTTATTTTAAAGTTGTCCTGTCTTTTTAAAACAAACTAAAATTGGTTCGGCTTCTTAAGCAAGATATCGAAGGATTCTAGAGGATGATCAAGAGGGTTGAAAAATATATAAAAATTGCAAGATAATTTAGGAGGTTTTTTGATATCATAGAATCAATCTTTTTGGTTATATTTTGCTTTTTTATATTTACCATATGATTTTGATCTAATCAAATAAAATTAAAAGTTAATTGAACCAATTACCATCTATTTAAACTAACTGCTTATGTTACATAAACCTGCAATTGGATTATCAGATTAAAAATTTTGAATATTTTTATTTAATTTTATATATATAAATTAAAATGAAAATAACATCTATCACTTTGTATTAACATATTCGTAAATTATATCAAGTTTCTCCATTAAAACCATTTGTTAATTGCTTACTGCTGTAATCTATTAAACTGCTTATCCTAAGGCTTAAGAATTGTTATTGAACATCTGAATCAATTCTAATAAATAATTGGGCAATTATAGTTTCTTATCCGTAATAGTTTATTAAATAGGTCCTTGTATGGTTTGGTTAATTTAATCTTATATAAGACTCAATTCAGAACCAATATAAGCTTATTACTGCTACAAAGATTCTTAATTTACAACTTAAGATGGTGTAGTTTAATTTGGCGAAGTATTGCTTGTCGAATTAGTTAAATTTGTTAAAGCGATTATTGATTGAGAATTAGTAATTAAAGGGATATGATTTGATTGTTATTAAGAAGGCAATTGTGTTAAATTCTGTGATTAATAGCTTACATTTGAATTTGACTTCTAAAATTGTTAATTCAAATTTTGATGTTAAGTATTTAATGGATTCTTTTCATTTTATTGCTTTTATTTATGTATCTATTCGTTATTTTATACTGAAAAATTCTATATTTATGCTTAATTTATTAGAGGATAAGCTTATGATTACTGATAATTTTTTGAATGATTTGTTAATATTGTATTCTATTTCTAATCATTTTACTTTATTTCTTATTGCTTATTCTATACCTGCTGAAAATCTTGTAATGGTTACTTAATGGGTTTTTTTATTTTTTTATCTTAAAAATATGATAAATCCTATAAAAGTTATAGTTTCTCATTAGTATGGTATTTATTTTGAGATTAGTTTGAATAATAATTAGAATAAATCTTGTTTGGATTGATGGTTAATTAGTTTTTCTAATTTATCTCATCATCGATAATAATTAAGCATTACTTTTACTATCCTTTACTTTAAGAATTATAATAATTATATGAGGCATTCATATCTTTTTAGTTTTTTTCTTTATCCAAACGAATTAATTTCTTTTTTTAGCTTAGTAATCTATTTTGTTTGGCTTCTTTTCTTATTAATAAACTTTGTTATTGATTACGGTTGTCTATATTTTATACAATGTTATTAATTTTATTTGAAATATCAATTTATTAAACTAATTTTTGAGTTTATATAGACAAAGGCAGCTTCAAGTTTGAATTATTGAAAATATATTTTTCTTGAGTTTTGCAGTCTTCAAATGTGGAGTATTAAGCTTATATAGCAGCCAATTTTGCCTATTTTTTTAAAGCCTTTTAAGCCTTTTTATTTGGATCGCTCTATTTAATTTTATCAATTTGTTTCTTTTTTTTTGCATCCTGATTTTAGTTAACATCTATTTATGATTTTATGGATTAATTTTTTATTAATTTCTGTTAAGCTTCTTCTTCCTTAACCTAAGTTTATGAATTTATAATATTTTTCTTTTTCATTCCTCCTATGATTGAACATTCTTTGTCATCAGCTGGTGATAGATCAATTTAAAAATCCACTCCAGCTCTTTCTTCTAACCATTGACGTATAGTTTGTAATGGGATTTTGAATAAATAGCTCACATATTTAATATCTACTTCTGTTGGATTGTCCCCTAATTTCTCAAAGGCCGAAAGTTTCAATTCGATTTCACTTTGGGTTTGCATATTCATGATTATTTTTTGGATTATTATTTTTGTCGTTGACAAGTATATTTTCAAATAAAAGCAGGAGAATTGTCCTTAATTATTTTTACTTTTTTTTATATATATATTTATATACATAACTATATTTAAGTGGGTTTCAAGTAACATTCATAAACTTAGAATTGTTAAGGAATATATTAGAAGATGAATACATTCATATTGAATGTTAAGTTTATAAATATGCTGACGAAATTGAGGTTTATTCAAATTAAATTATTGAGAGAAAAAAACAAATTCTTCATGAAACATTTTTTACTTAATCTCACATTTATTAGATGAGTTAATTGAAAAGTGTATAAGTTTGGTTTGAATATTTTGAAAACTTAAGGAGTTTGATTTATAGTTATTTTTAGAATTATACATCATTCTTAAAATTAACAATCCACAGAACAATCATCAATAGAAATTGAGAAATAAGGATTTCCCTTAATCGGACTCTTAAATGTGTAGGCTTAATAGATTCCCAAAGTAAAATCAAAAGCAAATAGTCCAATAATAAAGATAATTAATATGAGCTAGCTCTATTCTTTTTTAAATTTTATGTGTAAAATAATAGTAAAAATGGAAGATACAAATCCAATTGCCATGTAAAATAATTGGTCTTTAATTTATACAGAATTATAATCTATGCATATCTTAAATCTCATTACTTTCCAAAGTTTGTCCAATCACACATAGATCAATCAAAAATTGCACAAAAATCATTGTTCTGATAGCCTTTAAGATCCCCATTCGGAATCTTTAGATTAGAATGCAACAGGGAATTAAAATTAACCCCGCCCCAACTCCAGCAGTTCCACTAAAGAAAAACGAAATCAATGCAATCGAAATCAATAATAGACTTTAATTCAAAGGCCTAATCTAATAAAAATTTGGATCATTATGCATGTGTTGCTGATAATCATTCGCTTACTTACTGTAAAGATAACATAGAATTAATGTTCCTAATATATAAATACTTATGGTAGATATCCAATACCATAGACCACTATATTCGAATGTAATTAATTGCAGCTTATTGCCTCCTCGTAATACAAGGAGCAATAGTTGCAAGAAAAATTATAAAACTACAATCTCCATAAGGGCACATTTCAAATTTTTTTCATTGGTAGGTTACTGAATGAGGCTCAAATAAGATTAGGTTCTCTGGGGGTTATTAATTAAGTTTTCATCCCAAGTAATCTCCTTCCTCTTTGATTCAATTTCGTGACTTCTTGATCTATCATATTTTAATGTTAATAATATTATCCAAATATATTCTAAGCCAATCGTGATCAACACTATTATTTAATCATAGAAGGCTCTGTTAAAATAATTTCCAAGGTCGGTAAAAATTACAATAAATGGGAAAAATAGCTAAGCAGCCTGCACATCAATAAGGTCGATTTCATTTTAACAATAGAGAAATAACAGATAGATAGAACTTGACACAATAGAAACATAACTAATAAATCTGAAATGGGTACTATGTAATATTAGTTGCTTCATATTCGTTGTAATGTAATAAGGCCATCAATATAGAGGTTTTTTGGATTTCTGCTCCCAATCCTACTAATGAAGATAATGCCACTACAAAAACTTATAAAATGTGAACTATCCATTAAATAAACTACATACTAGCCATCCAGTATGGTAAATTGATCTTCTCATCAAAGGAGTAATGCTAACACCCCATACAAGTAACATTATCAGTTGCATCACAAATCTTACTTCTGTAGAAGTACTCCTCATTGCCTTAATTAATTAGAGAATCTTACAAGAAAGCATTATTTGGAAATAAAAACTATGAAAAAAATATAGAAATTGAAATTCATAATAATTTATTAATTCTAACATAAGAGCATTATATTTTTCAAGAAAATTAGAAACAATTTGAATTTTGTAATAACTATATAAATATGTGGAATATTTTATTGAAAAACTAAATCATTATTTATTATGTCTCATTCAACTCATTCTTAACTAAATGAATCTGAAATACAAAAAATAACCTATCCACATTTGGCTGATGTGAGATATGAGGAAAACGCAGAAAAGGTCTTCATAGGAATACCAACATAGAATCAATTTATTCAGAGTGGTAATACATTCTATAAATCCTTAGGAATACCAATTCCAACAGGTTTTCTTGTCACCCCTATGTACAACACAGATTCTAATGGAACTAATCTTCCATTTGATGCTCAAGGATCAATAATCCCGATTCAAATTTAATGTAAATATTGCAAGAAAGCTGGAACTACTTTAATGCAATATAGATCAGGCCCATAAACGTGGATTGTTGCATTTTTCATATTTATATTCTTCTTGCCTCTTGTGTTTCTGCCTTTTGTATTAAAGAGCACAAAAGATAGAGTTCATTACTGTCCAAACTGCGGATAATGTGTTGGCAAGAAGAAATTCAAACTTTGTAATAGTGATTGATTAGTATATTGTATTAAGATCAATTTTTGATTAAACAAATAATCCATAAATTTAAAATAGATCAGTAAATATAATTGAAAAATTCCATATATTTTAAGTATCTTTAAAATCACATTTAAAAACCTTAAATATTTAGTGTATTATAAGGAAGCAGTTTGTCAAATTTATGAATTTTCCTATACATCATGACCATTATCTACGCCTTCTTCTTCTCCATTTAACTGTTTACTATCTAAATTGTACTCATCTTCTGAATCGACCTCGAATGACAATTATCTATTAACTGAATTAAGTTTAGGTATCACTTCTTGTAATTCTCTCCTCCATAAAACCCTAAATTAATAATTGCTATTACTGGTGAATAAAGACCTTCTCTTCCAATTCCTGAAGAAAAATTAAATTAGAATGATTAACTTTATATGAATAGGGCTTTCCAATTTAATAGTCATCAATCCTCAGATCATACACTGAATCTGTGGCTAATAAAATATCAAAAATATCTTGACATTCTTATTTCATCCTTTCTTCATAGCTGATTACATTTTCATAATTAATCTATTGATAATTAATGTTGTTATCAATTTTCTCTTCTTCCTAGATATTTTTGGTGGAATCAATTTAATTCTATGACTCTTCGTTTATATTGTTTTGCTACTGATCTAAGTTTGTTTCTAACATTAATCCCTATGAGTTTTACTCTTAAACCGTTGAATTGGGTATATTCTACTATCTTTACTTTCTGAAGGATCTTGGAGAATTCTTTTTAGAATCCCATAATTCAGCCTCTCTTAATTCACTAAAAGGTTTGCCATTTACAATCAAATGCAGTGGCCTTTATTACCCATTCTTATCCTAAAATTGATCTTCAAAGTTTTATTCTTATTATCTAAGTTATTCTTATCGGTGTTCAGACAACTCTTACTTTTTTATTCTAATAATTTCATTAATTTCATTTAATGTAGCAATATTATCTGAAGGTCTAAGACTAAATGTTCTAAGTATTTCTCCTTTTGATTCTGCAAGTAGAATTGGGTCTTCAATTATTATATTTGCTTTTTCGGATTACTTCCTTAAATATTTTTTTGGTTTGAATTTTTAGTTGAATTCTCTGAGTTTTTTAATAATTAATTATTTCTTTTCTATTTCAAGTTCCTTTTGTTGAAGAAGCTCAAGATCTTCCTATTATTCAATTTTGGGTATCACTTTATTTCTTCTTCGAATATTATCATTGTCTGTAATAATGACAGCAGACTCAAAGGTTTCTGGTAGACGAGATTATTCTGATTAATTTTATTAATTTTTTTATTTTTACTTATTTTTCTTATTAGATATCTTCTTATCAGGGATAATTTATTCCTGATGATCTGATTCAGATTTAAATATTTCTGATTCATTAGCATAACTGGGTTCAGTATTAATCTTATGTTCAATTTAGTAAATGGGATATTATGCAATTTGCTCAACTATTTAACTAGTTTAATTGCTTAAGATTTTAGGAGTAGTAATTTTAGATTATTGGATCTCATGAATAATTTGATCTGCTATGATTTATAAATTGTTCTAAAGAAAGTTATTCATTGAATCTTCTTTAATTTGATAATATTCATTGTAATCACTCATTTAAATGATATAGTTATCAGGTATTTTAATAGTGAAGGTTTTTTCTTGAATTCTATTGACAATTTCTGCATACTATTCCATCATAGTTGTCATTCTTAATAAAATGTAATAGGTACTTCAGATCATAATTGAATCTGTCATCTCTTAAGAAGGTTTCCTTTTATTTTAATAATCTCTATTGTAAAAGTTCACTTGATATTACTTATTTGGTAACAACTTTATTGTTTCCTAGAATACATATCTCCATAGTTTTCATGGATTTTTCTATAATGAATGAAATTCATAGGTATACTTTCTGTCTGAACTGTGTATTTGTTAGAACACAAGGATTTGTTCAATGATTCTTCATATTTTATTTATTGGAGCAATTCCTTGGATGAAGAGGTTATTTTACTGCTAATCAAATTGGATTTGTAATTGTTTTTTTTGAGGAATGCATCAACTTTCTTTTTGAAATCAGAAACCATTAGTTTAGTTAAGGTTTCATTATATTTGGAGGAACTCATTTCTGGATTACTATGGATGGATAATGATAAGTGTACTTAGAGACTTTGAAAGTGTCTTTGTTTTATTTGAGATTATAGATAGTAGTATGGTGATAATAATTGTTGGAGTCATCTTTTTAATTGGAGAGAGCTTGCTTGGATTGGAATAGTGGAATGAATTACCAGTTTTTGTTAGGTCAAACGCTTCTTTGATTTTGATGTGGTTAATTCTTAAGAGAGACTAAGTTAATACTCTCTGTGTACTTTAAACAGCGATGGTTAGTAATATTGGGTAATCGATTATAACGAGTGAGTTTAGAGCAAAATTACTCCATACTAATTTTTTAATTCATATTATTCATCAAAATAATTAGAAGGATTATTGTAGTCAAACCTAAAAATTGGGATGTCGATTTTGGATTGATAAAAATAATGTATATTGAATCTTTGGAGAATGATGACTATAGTGATAAGGATGATGGAACCTTCTTGGGGAAATTCAGGAATTCATTTCTTGAGATTTCAACCTACCAATTACACAAGCACAAATAGAAACAGAAACAAATAGGAGCAGCCACTGATTTCAAATAAGGATGCAGACAACTGTTGACATTCTATCTATAACAGAAGACTCCCTTGCCTGAATTGATTTATGCTTTGAACATCAGCAGGAAATCCAGATCCACCCATGAAGTAGTTGACCTAACCATAACACCGAACAAAAAGTTCTATTGTTAATTGGTGAGTGAGGAAGTCTTAATGAACTTGGGTATCGATATCAATTACCAATATTAACTTGATCAAAATACAAGTTAATAGACCTTTGATTTTATTTTGGAGGAGATACTCTAACAATTAGTAGAACGATAGTGGTTGCAGATGCTATCTCAACCCAAAGTTATATAGGCAGTGTTAGAAATGACATTAGAATACATAGCTTTTATGAAGGAGAGAGTCCAAGTGATTTTGCAAGATCCCTGTGTGATTGAGTTCATTGAATAATTGAGATTGTTGTTGGATGAGAAAGAGAGGAAAAAGGTAGTTTGTAATGATGTCATAAAGGAAACATACTAAATCCTAATTAAATTGATGGATTGCATGAGAGATCCAGAGATATTCGAATAATAGAAGAATGATCTCTACAAGGTGAAATCAGAACACATCCATTAAAGAAAAAAGAGAAAGCAGAATAGAGAATACAAATACAGTTTGGAAATCAACTTCTGGAAGCAACGCTCTAAAATACCAGCTTATTTTATTTATGTGAACAGGATTGCCATGCCAGAAATCATCTACTCCATTAAAATTGACAGACCTGAACGAAGGAATTTCCCTAACAAAATTAAATTACGATTGTATACAACTGAAAAAACCATTGAAGCCTTGTATACCCAACCTTCAACTAAGGAGTTTATGGAGTCATTTTACATGAATGATGTGGTTCCTAATTAAACACTCAAGTATTTGGATAGGTTGAAGGCAAAACGATACTTCGATGATGAAAGAGTGGATGACATTTATGCCACCAATCTTATCAATGGAATAGTTGATGCCATCTATGAATAGGCCCAAAAAGATGTGGATATCATGGATAGATTGCATGACTGTCTCACTTCCCCTTGTGGAGGCTTTTTGATCGTCAAATTGCATCATCTGCTGAAACAAGAAGATCTTTCGCCCAGAGACATTGTGGAAGATCTGTCACAACGCATAGATAAACTCAAAGAGTTACTCAAGGGATACAAGAGATCAGTTCCATTGCCTATCAATCCTGATGAATATATCCCAGAATTAAAAATGGAGTGATCCATTATTATTAATATTAATATTCACCCATTTATATTGTTATTCATCTTCCCTCTTGTTATTATTGTTCTCTTTGAATCTCTTAGGCATTTCCTCAAATTCAACTCCCCTCATCTTTATTTTAATAAAATATTTAATTATTAAATTTGTGGTGAAATGAGCATGGTATAGAACCGAAATTTATTCACATTACTCACAGGAGCAGCAGTCTTGACTGGAGCCAGTGTTCTACTTTTAAGATTTCTGAAGAAACCCGATGCGTATCTCTGCTTTAAATATCAAATAGGAACTCAACTATTGATCCTCAAGTCATTGATAGGGAAGTCATCATCAAAGTCTTGAAGGAGTTGAAGAAGGAGCTTTTCAGTGTATTTCAAAATTTTGCAGCTGTCGCCATTAACATTAAACAACAATCCATGGGCAGAGCCAGACCTGAGGACATTAAAATGATGCTCTTAGAACAACGTAAGACTTCAATCTCTAATGTAGCCATGTTTAGAGGAGAAATAGAATAAGTCGAAGAGATGGTCTATGGCCAATTCAGAATTACCAAGCAGTAATTTGAGCACTATTGCTAACATATCTATCGTGATGACCCTACTATCAAAGAGCTCTAAAAGCAAATGAAGGAATCTTTTGATAGATCCTTTACAGGATAATCTCCAGATCCTAAAACTGATATCCCAGCCTTTCTTACTGCAGATACAACTTTTGAAATCCTAGAGAAGGTCATGACTGAAAGTGCCTTGAAATTGAATGAAAAATTGCTTGAATTACAAGAAAGAGGTGAACAAATCAATTTCTAAAGTCCCAAAATGATGGAAATCATGCAATCACTCAAAATGGATAGTTCTAAGTAAAACTATTACTCATACTAGAAAGGACATCCTAGAATAATATGGATTAAATAAATTTGAAGATCCAGGAAGCAAAATCTTACAATATGCCACCTAAGTCTACAGCCAATAACAAAATAGCAGTTTCAATCTCAAGATGAAATAATTAGATATGAAATATCAATAAATCATGGAATAACTCATCATGTAAGGTCCCATGAGCAATGAAGAGTTGAAACAAAGAATGGAGTAAGTCCCATAATAAGAATCATCATTCCCATTCTAAGGTGTTCAAGATGTTCAAGATCCTAAAATTCCTCCCAAACAAGAAGAATAGAAATAGCAAGAAGAATAACCCTAACAAGCTCCATTGGAAAAAGGAAACGAAGGACCCGAAAATCAAAATCAAGAAGCTTAACAAGAATAAATACAATAAGTGTAACAACAACAAGAACAACATGTAAATCAACCCTAAGACAACCCAGCCCCAGAATAATAATAGGTGTAGGAAGAAAACTAATAAAGCAGCTGAGTATTTTTATTACAAATATGATCATTATTAATATTAATTATTTGATGGATACTCAAAAAGTTGGTATTTTAAAAGCATCCAAAAAAGATAGTCAGACCTCATAGAGAAGTGATAAATTTAAGAACATTATTGCTCAAGGATCAAAAAAACATAGAATTGTATTTATAGATGAGATAGACAAATAATAATCTCTGAATTAAGTATACGAAGTTGAGAACTGGAAAATATATAATGTTGAAGAACCCTTAAAAGACGCTAAATAATCCTGCGGATGTATCATCATTTGATTCTATAACATAAATTCACTTCTGCATATCTCACCCCCCAGACTTTTGGTTAATCTAACAAATCAATCCACCTCTTATTTCATACTCTGCTCACTCCCACGTATTGGACACTAAACCAACATTTTCATATCGAGAGTCCGTTATTTTAACAAATATATGGATGTCATAAATATTATCAAGTTCATGTTCTGTCGAAATCAAGTTATGTTAATGGTAGATACCTTGAAATCTTAATCTTTGAGATATAAATATTATTTCTAAACTTAATTCACACTCTCAGCTAATTGCTATATAGATTAATAATGACTCAAATTCTAATATAATAAAACTATCTTATTATATTTAATATTTTAGCTACCATTTATAATTTTATACTGAAATATATATCAATATTTACAATATTAGACTCCTCATTAGAATTCATGATATAGGAAGAATAATTATGTGATTATAAATAGTTATTCTTCATATTATCTTAATCTTAGGTATTAAAATAAATAATCAACCTCATTTTCTTGATTGTAGATTTAGATTTTTTTGTTTGTCAAAGATTAATGATGAGAATCATCTATTTATAAGAATTTATAGTAGTATTGCTTTCTATAAGGTCTATTGGATTTGGATGAATTGGTTTATGAAATTGATTGTTTTGTTTTATTGAATTCAATAAATAAATTAAAAATGAATGAATAATAGTAACCTATACGAGAAGCCCCAATGTTTTTCAATATATCGAAACTATCCTAAGGATCATTATAGAGATATCAAGTAAAACTGTTGGCTATTAAGCTAATTAGACATTTTATTAGAAAGAGCAGCCATTCTTAGAATAAAATAGCACATTAACATTGGAATAAAAGGTGTAGCTTCATTTTGAATAATTGAAATTAGATGACAAACTAGTATTGGAGAAATTCTTAAGATTGAAAAAGGATGAAACATAAGCAGCCTTAGCTAAAAGAAATCCTCGTAAAAAACCATGATTTTATTATAAAATCAGAAATACAAACTTTGTTATTATTAATGATATCAGTCCTTTTCATGGATAGAGCTTTTTAAGGCTTTTTCTAAATTGATAATCTTCTGTAGTTGTTACAAAATCATATCATTAATGAGTTTGAAGAATATGATTAATTTTTTCCAAGTTGAAGATACGAAATTCAAGTTTGTATTCAATCCCTTAATGTTTTAAACATTGGCTGTTTCTACTCTCTCACCTTTGAATCGATTCTTTTGCTATCTACCTGGGAATAAAAGTTATATTTTAAAATCCTCATTGATATATTATATATATTGATCATTTCTTCAATTCTAAATATTCAGCATAAGTCAATTTAGCTTTTGAAGTTTCGTAAGTGGTCAAATCAATCTTGTCTAACACATTTTAGTAATTCTTTCTGTATCCTGCTTTTGCAATCAAATGTTCCAATGTAGTATTGATATCCCATTCTTATTCAGCTGCTACTTCAGGTAGAAAAGTAGCTCCATATTCTAAAATGAAATAGACAAGTTTTACCTCTGCCCCCTTCTGAGAAATCAATAATAATTCCGTGTTTCCCAACTTCCCATTGATTCCATTTCTTTCCTTTCTAAAAGTTGACCAACAAACTCACTCCAACATCTAGTGTATCTAGTTCTTTTGTCTGTATTGGAGGGAACCTGCTATCCTTAAAGGCTGACATATAAGTATATTTTGCTAATTGTTGAGCTAGGGGACCCGGAGAAAATGTTCCAATGCACCCTCTCAAATCTTCCTTATTTGCATGAAAAGTCACAAAGACAGGGACATCAAAATCTTAGAAGGTTGGTTTTGGTACTTCTTTTTTTTGTAAAGATGCAATCAGGACATCAAAACAATAAGCACAATGTATTGGGAGAGCTTAATTAATTTACATAATAATATGATTGGCTATTTGAAAAAAGAAAAACTAATTGAACCTGGATGTATGTAACTTTTTAAAAAAAATTAAGCTGATAAGGTTATAGTTTCAGGCAAGATTGAGAGAAAAATATTCGAGAACATTGAAATGGACCCTCAGGAGAAAGAGTAGCTTAAAAACTTAAAGTTAGCCCTAGTTAACTTTGCACCTTTGAGATTACCCAAAGAGTATTTAAAATAATATTAGAATAGATGGTAAGATAGTGATTACTTAAGAATCTTAGCTTATTGTGATTATGAGATCTTCAGCACCATTCAAGTAATATATACAGATATAATAATGAAGGTCCTGAATGAACACCTTAGTTGGAGAAACAAGATTAATTTATCACATATTCCAAATGATGTCGTGGTATATTTTTATTTAATCTAAAAGTTAAATGGGGCAGTTTACATACATGGACATGACAAGAATTTTAGACCAATCATCATAATAAACTTATTGAAAGCTCTAAAAGTAACATTTGTATGATATTTGTTAAGTACAATCTTTAAGATTTTAGAAATGGTTTTGATTATTTATTCAATATGCTAATTAGAGATGTTTTAATATCTTATTATGTTGAATCAATAATAATTTTAATAGATATGGGAAATTTAATGCAATTGCCTCACCTATTAACAAATGAATTGATGGATTTTTTGAAGAGTTGTGAATATAATTATTATGGAAGAATTCATAAGATATACATCATTGAAGAAATTTATAATTGCTTGTTTAATAGATTAATCTAAATCTTAAAACCTGAATCATAAGATAAAATAATCTTTCTTTAAAAAAAGGATCTCTCTCAACTAACCAATTAAATAGAACAAAATCAGTTAGAAACTAAATTTTTGGGTTTCTAAAATGAAGTTTAAACTAATTTTTGGTAAACAGATCAAATTTTAATTTAGGCCTCCAAAAAATCTTTCACCAGAGAAAATTGTGAAAAAGGATCGAAAAGAAGAAGTCAAGACAATTTTAAGTAACACAGACGAAAATGGCTCTAAATCTTAAAGAATCCTCTAAAGAAATCGAAATGAAAGTATTCAAAGTAGCTAACTTTTTCTCTAAGTTTACAATGAGGAACAAGAAGTTGTTTTATCAGAGAGCCATTTAATAGAATATGCTGATTCTTTTAGCAACATAGTTGAAGATGTAAAATATACCAATTTAACTTTCAAGCCTCCAGATTCTCAGTTTTAAATTTCTTACCAGAATTATTACAAAGGTATCGATTCTACTCCATTACAATCAACGACAATAAAGCCTAAGGATTTTCAAAGATCGGAATCAGAAAATTGGAGCAGTTCAGAACTACAAATGAGTTCAAATCTAGTTATTTAACGTCAAAGACGCAACCCTTGCTGTCAAAGTTCTTCGACCTGTTAATTAATTTGATCATATGAAATAATTTAACAATCAGTAATTATAGACATCGAAATGCTCATATTAAGATTAATAATCTAAAATCATTATCTAAGTTTTTCGCTGAATTTTGTATGAGTTGTATAAAAGGTTTGCATAAATCCATCGCTGACTGACTTCCCAATTTTCTTGGCTCCTTTAAAATCATAATAAGAATAAATATACCATCAGAGTTTTATTTGTAAAAGTTCATCGCAGTTCTACCAGTTTAAGCAACTAATCTCTCCCTTGGCATTTTGTACCTATTTAATTTTGAAATCAATTACATTTGTTCTAACGATCCTTTGTATGCTTTAGTTTCTAAAGATCTCTTCTATTGTTTAACTGGAGGGAAGTAGGATGTCTTGCCTCCACCTTGTTTACCCCATTCCTTTTGATTTAGTAATTATTAATTGAAAAGATCAATTGGATTACTCTATTAATTTAGGAATTATACGTAGAAGCATTATCAGGGAGGGATATAGGCGGTTAATCAGGTTTCGATGATTTAGGTGTATCAGGAACACCAGTGACTAATAGATTTTCAATCATTTTAACATTCTTAAGTTATATTCTTTCAGTCTGGGCAGATTGCAGAATGGGACTTTCTCTTTTGAATGGATTTAACTATGACATTCCAGCATTAAATTAGACTTATTTAGAGTCAGTAAGATGATTGGGATTGCTTAAGTTTGCTTTATTTTTTTTTAGTAAGATGGATTGTTGAGTAACTTACTGGTCATGATCAGGAATATTAATGTTTTCAGATGGCAGGAATTATTATCTAGTTTATTGTAAGGTCTGAGCATCTGTAATTAATTAGTATTCTGCCTTTGTTAATCTAATTTATGATGCAAATTATGCTGCATCATCTCCGGATACTAAATTAGACCCTGATAATTTAATTTACAAATTTTCAGCTGAATCACTAATTTAATGTCTTACCCCTTCCTTCATTTTTTGTTCATAGTATAATTTTACTCCATTATTCATTGTAAATACTTCATAAGGAAATTAAGAAGTTTTATCAATTCTTAATGCTTTGTCTCCAATTACTTCTTTTGCAGCATCCCTCCGTTCTTATATAACCTTATATCTTAATAAGATACTCTATTAGGTATTTCCTATTCTGGACATTATGGTCTATTGACTTTGGTTGAGTCCCTTCTTCCTCCCTTCTTTACACTTGGTTATTGATCTTGTTTAGTTTAATCTTTCAACTCAACTCTCAATTTTTGATTGGTAGGCTACAATTTGTCCATTTTAATTGCTCTAGCCAATATAATTTTTCCATCAAAATCATAGGTATATTTTTAAGTGGCCCCATCCTTTTTCTCTATCTACTGTTATGAGTAAATTGTTATACTTGACTTTATAATTTATCTTCTTTCTTTTTTTACTCTATTTCATTCTTCTTCTTCATCTCGTACAATTTAGCATTTCTAAGTTTATCTTCAAATTCATCCTCAAATTCTTCTTAATAAACTTAGATTAACTTAGCTGCCATTTGATTCGGGGGAGGAGGAGTAGTAGGAAGTCTAACTGTATTTTTTCTAGTATCAAATAATTTTGATTTCGAAATAGATTTGCTATTATCATTATTTAATTTGTCATCTATATCCTCTTTTTCTTAACTCTCTACTTCTATAAAAATAAGATATCTAAATACCTGGCATAACTAAAACTCTATTCCTTCTCCATCTATCACTATAGATTGGTTCCTAAATAAATTGTAGTTTATTACTGGTTCCTAATCTTCATCTAATTGACAAGTTTCCTCTTCGATACCCCCGTCATTTAAATTGCAATTCAATATTAAATTAGTTTGAGCCTATAATTCATTAATTGCGTTAATAGGAATATTTCTTAAAATGAACTGATTGATGTAAATAGTATATATACTCTCTCTTATGCTTCTGCAATTGAATTCCTGATAATCTAATTACTCAATTGTCTGCAAATCAATAAGGACTATGCAAATGTTCCATAATTAGATATAACTCCTGGTAATTCAGTATATATCTACTTATTGATAATCATTTTACTTGATCAATATTATAAAAGAAACTCAAATGCTCATCTTCTGAAAATTCAATCATTTCTCTTTCTGAAGCATTATCTGCTACGCTTGCACTCATTTATTAAGATTATACAATAAATTAATATATAAAATTAATGGGTTGTTTGGAATTTTGGGTAGTAAACAGTTTTCTAGCAAGTGCAGTATTCGTAAGATATCAATCTAAAATTTTAGTTCATTTTGTTCTTAGTGGTTGATACCTAATACCCTCTTTACCCCTATGCTGTAGCATCCACTAAAGATAAATAGCCTGATAAAAAACCTAGTGCTACAGCTTGTATTGTAGCTTCTTGTGTATTAGTTCTAATAATGATTTAAGCTCTATCTTTTGATTGCAATAGGCTTACTATTTTGGAAAAAGAGCAGAGATCAAAGAATAAAGGAAAGTTAACAATATCCTCGTTTGGCTGCTGCTTAAGGATTCGAATAATAACAATCATCTTAAAGAGGACGTTCAATTGAATTGTGAAGTGTATAGTAAACATATTTAAATTTATCTATTACGGTATTCTGCCAAAATGATGCATTGTTAAAATGATAAATATTTTGAACTATTGTCTATCCATATATATATATTTGTATGTGAAATTACTCAAATCCAATGGATGAAATGTGCATCCTTATGATATGGGTCTGCTAGTCTTTCTAATGGTTGATTGAATGTTCCATCCTTAAATATATATAATAAGAATACCCAATGTGCAATATGAGTTGGGCGACCATGCCACTTCTTAAGAATGTGTAAACACCAATTTGTGTCATTGTATAACAAGTGAGCTGGTTGTCTGGCTCTCCAAGCTAGAGATTCTGATATTCTGTTTTAGAAGGTAGGCATTTCCAAGAAATTTAATGCACTGCACACATTGTGATATTGATTAATATCTTTGCTATAATCATATTAATTCTTTATTACTTTGTAAATCTATCTGATTGAGTTGATATCACCATTTTACCATGATAAGGCAAAATAGATGTAAAATGATCACTCAACTTGGCCAAGAAGATCCACATGACAAACACTCTTGCGTAAAAATTACGGAGTGGTAACTAAGTTATTTTTATTATAAGTATGTACTTCTCTCAAAACTAAATATCCTAATCCAAATCCTGACAACCATTTGGTCACTGTCCATTCTCTCCAATATGTATGATTTGGTTTAATGTAAATATATTTGTTAATAAATTCTTCGCATGTATATGATTAGAATGGTCTTGCCAACTAAATTAATCTAATAATTGTAATTACTTTTGATAAATCCTTCTTGTATCTCTCACTAGCTGATAAAAAGAATTCTTTCTTGCTTCTATTGAACACTGGTGAAAAGTTTTCATCATCAAAGTCCAATGATTTCAATTCAATATTCGCAATCATTCTGTCATCATATGCATCCTTTTAATATACATCAAAATATTACTTATTCCTCTTGTGTTGGATGCCACAATTTTGCTTTTCCCTATACGACTGGCATAAATAATTAAATAAATAATTATATGATATTCTAAGTATTTGTAAATATCTATTTAGCATTCTCAAAACTTTATAATTTTAACTCAAGACTTTTCTTTTCTACCAATTTTAGAATAACAGTAGGAAATCATAAATTAATTGAAATCTTAAAAAAGTATTTACTATTCGGAAGGCAGTCTATTTTTTGTAGTTTGATTTGAAAAAATTATTATTACAAATATATTCTTAAACAAGTAAGTCTATTTTAAGATTTCTGAGAGAGATATTTAGTTAATTATGATGTTATAAGACTTTTTATAAATTGGGAAGGTGAAAATTCAAAGCGGCTTTGTCAAAATGGGATTTTAGGAAAGATTTAAACATAAAACGAATAAAATGGGTTTAAGTAAATTTAAATATTAATTGTGTTGTCTATTAAAATCTTTTAGTACAATAAGAAATTAATCCAAAAATAATTCTACACAAATTTTATAGCTTTGCAACAAATCATTAGTAAAATGCATAATAATTTATTTACCATTATCAATTACAATTCTTCGAATTTTATGTAATAAATGCTTATTAATGTGAAAAATGGCTATGATTTCTACATTATATAGAATTTGAATGAGGATAACATCTAGATAATGGACCTTGGTTAGGAATAACAGTCTGTAAAACACCTAAAAATTCTATTAATAATTTGATTTTATAATGGTTGTTACAAATGAAGAAATAATGGAAGGTTTTTCAGGAGAGAATGCCCTTTTAAATTTGGCGGACTAGCTAAAGAATGAACATGAAGCTAGCACTTTCAAACTAGTGGTCGAAAGAATTTAAGATTTATTCACATAGCAAGGGCAATCGAAATAGAAATATTTTGCAATGAAAGTAATATCTTTAATCAAAGAATCAAGCTGATGATGTTATTGAGTAAGAAATAACTATTCATCAACAGTTTCATTAAGGCTAAGAATCTCTTTGATATATTGGGAGAACTTGCATTATGCGACAAAGAAAAACCATATGAGTAGAGAGCATATAAGATATTTGGGGCTAAAGAGGGTAAGGTGAATAGTATAAAATAATAGATCCAAACTTTAGTCATGGTTTCTATGATATTTTGATGGAGTGCATTTCATATTGGGGAACAAAGTACGCTGCCGATTAGAAGGGGAATCCAACAATATTCGCAAAGCTTCTTGAAAAGTTGTACAATCAAGGTTTCAAACCAAAAATTGAATTACTTCTGTTTGAGTTAACTGAAGAACAAAAGGAGAAATTAAAAAGTTATAGTATGCCAACTGAATAATAAAAATAAAAAATCAATATGAATGATGTTAGTCTAGATGAACTGAAAAAAATATATCAAGAAATGTTTGCTCAAACTAATGATTTGGTAGAGAGTTTGGAACAAAATTTAAAAGGAGAAGATTAAGCAACGGAAATTATGGATTAATGTAAATTGTTAGTTTATTTTAGTGATGGAGAATGCCTGTAACGATGCAGAAAAACTAAAACCCAATTTGGAATTATTGCAGGCAAATCAAAATTAATTAGGTGAAGGCCAAAGAAAACAGATTGGCTATAGATATAAAATAATTACAACCTTAATCGAAGAAAACAAAAACATGCGTGCAGAAGGATTTACCAATGAAAACTATTAGATCTTTCGTTATGAAGTCCTTTAAGCAACAAGAGAAATTACAGGATCCGAAAAACCAAAACCCCCAGCAAATTATGGAAAACCTACGTAAAAATAACCTTAATAATAATAAACGAATACATAACCTGAATAAAGAGTCTAATAATAATAGATTCCAAAGCCACCTCAATATACGGACAAGAGGTAGCCCCAGACCTAACAATAGCCTATAAGGAAAGAACCTGAAATTCAAAAATAGATTCAACAACCTGCTTACTAACCTCCATTATAATAAAGCTATCCATATGTTAGAACACAATAGCCATAACATCATTAATAGACTAAATAATAGAATTAGCCTTATTAACAACCAGAAAGGTATATACAACCTTCTCCTCCTCCCCCTCCTTTTAAAAAATTACCCATAACCAGATCACAAGAGCATTTTTAAAGCCCAAATAAAGGTTAATTTGAGGATCATTATGATAATAGGAGTTAGAGTTCCCAGTTTTCAGGGAAGGATTTCAATTTGAGAGGACAATAGGGATTTGTATCAAAGGTTTATGAAGGACAATTTATACCTTATGATGATAGAAATTTCTCAATTTTGGAAGAGATTTATAATAATAATGGAATCAACAGAATAAAAAGAGCAAACTTGAAGAATAGATGTTCCATATTTGAATCTCCAGAAATTCAAATTGGATTTGATTCCAATTTAGTTTATCATGAGATAACAAATCGTTATTATTTAAGAATTCGTTTGTGTTTTGGAAATAAAACATCAACACTATTGTAGAATTTCCAATATTCATTCGAAGGAGACACTTGTATGGGTCTATGGACATAGGATCCAATTCATTAGCATAGCCAAACATTATAAAGAGATTAAATGGGAAGACTGATATTGAACCCAAGTTAATAGATGTATGTTCCGATATGCATTAATTACAATCGTGTTCCCTATTAAATAATATCAGGAAGATTTAGTTACGAGATGGCAGACGAAGAGGATAGAAGGATTTCTCATTTTGCAATTCCTTGTTTGTTAACTAAATTTATGAGTTTTAGAGATACGACTATAAATTCCTTCAAGGCTAGATGGGAGTACAAATCCAAAAGCATATTAAAGACAGAGTAAGTATTTCTAAATCCTAAAATCATAAGATCAAAAGATGATTTTTTAAAAAGTTTTGGGTCAAATAACATCATGAGATTGAATGAGGACGAATTTATGAATGAAGGTACTTAATGTTCTTGATTTTAGCCGAAAAAGACAATGTCGAGACTGAATTTGGGCTAGCGTTTACATTGGGCAATCCGTAAATAGAATTCCTACTGAAAATAATTGTATTCCCAAATCAAACAGTATTGTTTCAGATTATACCTTACTAATCCTACTAAACTTAAGCAGAAGCCTTTCTAAACACCCTAGTTTTTATATTTTGTTTGCCAGATTGACCTATTATTTAATTTAATATTAATTTTTATTATTATAAGATTGATCTGACAAGGGATATGAGATAATAAATTAGTGAGTTTTATAAAATTATTTGCCATTTTGACTATTTATTAATATATATATGATTATAATAATAAATAAGAGATTTTCCTAAAATATAAATAATGAATGAGCTCAATATATTGCAAAAGATTGGGAATGGAGCATTTAGTTAAGTCTACTTGGGCACGTACAAGAGTAGGTAAGTTGCAATCAAGGTAAGTGTGGAGAAGTAAGTTAGGTGTTGGACAAATCAGTTCCCAGTTATTGTGAATTGTTTAATCGCGAAGTAGAAATTCTAGAGCAACTGCAACATCCTAATCTAGTGAAGTATATCGCGGTATATAGTTTAATCATTATCACAGAGCTATGAAACATTTGACAAATTATACATCATAATGGATTATGTAGAGGGTTCAAATTTGACTGAATTGAGCAAATCCAATTTGAGTGAATAGAAGATCAAAAGTATAATAAAATAATTACTCATTGTTTTGACTTATTTACACAATAAAGACATTACTCACAGAGATATCAAGCCTGGTAATCAGGAATATAATTAATAGATAACATCTTGGTTGGACTTGATGGCAGAGTGAGATTAATAGATTTTGGCTTGTCCCAACAATCTGAATCTAAGATCTCATACGACAAATGTGGAACCCTCCTCTTCATGGCTCCAGAGATGATATTAAAAATGCCATATCTAAAGAGCGTAGACATGTGGAGTATTGGAATCATCCAATATCTACTCTACGAGAGGAAACATCCCTTTAATTACGAGAATCTCATAGAGAGCATTCAGGCATACAATGTCAACTTCACCATCATGGACAAGTCAGCATAGAACTTTTTCAGAAAATGTGCAGCAATCAACCCTGAAGCCAGAATGTCAGCTGAACAAGCCCTTATGCATCCTTGGATTACTGGAGAAGGAGATCTAGGACAACCCATCACCATACATGACAGGATGGCTATCTTCTAGAATAAATAGAAGTTAATTAGTTTGATAAATGCTCTCACTTTCATTAAATATTGCACTTCCTTTGTTAAGGCCATCAGATTAATTATTCCCTTAAATGAATAAGGCTCCTAATAAGAGATTACGGTTAGGCAACAGAATTAAGATCCCACTCAAAGAAAATCAACATCGAGGATTAAATAAGCCAGGTCAACGAGTCAACTCTTCTTTGAGACAAATGTTGCCAGTCCACTAAAGAAACAATCTCCATTCAGAATTACTTAACAAAGATAATCACAATCAAAATTGTTACAGCATTCTAATTCTATGCAGCTTGCTCAAATGGCTAAAAGAGGGTCATTAAATAAATTACCGTATTATTCTATTTTATAAGGATATTAGCCCACTTAATTCAAGTAATTCACCTATAGAAAAGAGAAGAACTAATATCAGAATGCGTTAACTTTGATTCATATTATTATTTATAAATAAAATACAAAGTTCTATAATCTCTATTATTAATATTTTATTTCTCTTAATTGTAAAATTATAATTTTTAGGAATGCTCTCTTTTCCATAAATTCTTCTCTTAGAGTATAGTAATTTGCAATTTAATAAATTCATTCTAAATTTACATATTCATCTAGGTAATTTTGAGATTTTGCTCAAAATCTAAATTAAGTTTAGAATAAAACTCCCTATTGTGAGGAAAGACAAGTTTTAATTAATTTATTTAAATTTAAACATGTACAGAACAACTAATTCATCCTATGGAAGTGGCGTTGTCACAAGAAATAAAGAGCAGATGAGTTAAAAGACATAGGATGTAGATCCCATACGGATTGGGATTGAAAATATCGGCAATACTTGTTACATGTATGCAAGAACAATAAGCATCCTAGAAACTCAATGTTGCAATGTTTATTCAATACTCCTGCCATTAGTACAGCTATGAAGTAGTACAAAGACAATAAAAACAGCACTGAGTTGTTTAAACTATTTTATAAAATATGGTTTAGCATTTAAGCAGGAATAGAACCTGAACATAATGACATAATCCAATTTAAAAAATTGATGAATCAGCACAGAGAATTTGATAATTTTAATCAATAAGATTGCATTGAATTCTTCCATGTTTTTTTGGACATTGTAAATACAGGTTTTCTCACATAACCCTTCTTTGGTTAATTGACCTATTAAATAAGTTGCTAAAATTGTAATAACTCTAGCAAATAAAGTGAACAATTTATCAATTTATCCATCTACATCGAGTAATCATGTAGACTGAGTCAATTACTCTCTGAATATTTCAAACCAGAATAATTAAACTCTTAAGAGAAATGCAAAAAATGTCAAAAGACAAGTCCCTTAATAAGACGATCAAACTTGAGTGCTGCTCCTTTAGTGTTAGTAATTTAGTTAAAAAGATATGATTCAAGGCAAGCTAGATCGAACAATGCTATTGAGATAGAATAAAGTCTTATTCTTAAAGGATTTTGTGATTAAAGTCCTTAGTACAAATTGTATGCACTTATCAATCATCAAGGATACAGTATTTATAGTGGACACTATACATGGTAAATTATTTAAATAAACATCTTAGTTTGATTAAGGGAAAAGACTGCTGGTATAATTTTAATGATTAAAGGGTTTCGGAATACTCAAATAAAGTTGTAGATGATGAATTATAAAAATCGTAGAACTCTTATGTATTATTTTATCAGAGACAATGAATGTAATTAATAGATTTTGTTATCATTTTTCATTCTCTGAATTATTCTACTTAATTATTGATGGCTCTCAATAATTTATAAAATTGTGGAGTTGAAATTATTAACATCTCTTTGGGGTAACACTTGAAGAACTTTCCTCTTTAAGATTTTTCTATCATTATTTTTGGATAAAAATATTAGCAATTAAATTAAAATAGATTACTATATTATATCAATAAAATATCCAAACAATGACTTCCTTTTAAATTTATCCTTTCTTGTATCTTCTTAATTTAATAAAGAGTATATATTATTAAAAAAACTTTTGGAATATATATATATAATATTAAATTATTTTAAATTCTCTAGGAAAAAAGTATAAGTCATTTTAACTATTTTTTTCTTGCTGCCATTTGCGCTGCCATTTGATTTCTGGAATATATCAGTAACTCATCCTCTTTGAATCTCAATTTTCCTTAAAGCAGACTTTCATTATTGGGTATCACATGTACTTCCTCTCGTAAATTTGATTCTTCAACAGATGAAGCCGCCTATTATTCAGTCAAAGAAGATATATCATTAAATGGATTTTATTAGAATTTTCTACTTTGAATTAATGTGGAAACATTGACAGAAGGGGAATGATATATTGGAGGAGGCTCAGTTGGTTTGACAACCTTTACTCCTTAGCCATAAGTGCCAATCAATTTTTCTATCTTCTACTTATATTTGTCAGACATGGTTTACGATGGAATGTTTAGACTACTTGAAAACTTTTTCATTTGATTAAAACTAAAATCGGTTTCAGAGCAATAGAATTTCTCTATCAGGTCACAAATCTTCTATGGGGATTTATACATAGTTCCTTTATCATTGATTAGGTGATACAATTATTGTTTAATACCTTCCAAATAAATGTCTGAGGCAATATCAAATTGCTTGATCTCATATAATTAATTTAAAAGTTATTTTATTGTTATCAATAAATAAGCCAAACCTTTAGCCCAAACTTAAATTTCCTTTTGTCTATATTACTCAAGTATTTTCTCAATAATATAATTATAACGCATATCGGAATATTACTTGAATGCCTAGACTAAATAATGAATATCTTAGGTAAAGCTCTTGGCAAGATCCTTAATTTACTCTTTATTGCCATCCAGACACTATTCCACTTTTTATTAGTCAATCTCTTACGATTATATTTATTCCATCATCATGACTTAAATTTCTTTTGGGAATTATATTGTTTAATAATATGTGCTATCCTGTAAGAATTTTTCAGCTAAAGTCTGCTTTTCTTAGAGCTAGCAACTGGATAAGTTACTGAAAGTGTACTATTTGAGTTTCAGTATAATATTGATAAGAAATTTTAGGAAATCTTTGTCTTATTATTTGGATTGTTAAGTTTATTATGATATTTATTATTTTTACTATTATTCTTGCAGATCTTTTATCGTTTCTTTTAACTCAGCAATCTATTTTAAGAGATCCCCATTGTCCATGGTTTCCTCATCTTAAATCGGTATTATTTTTTATGGTCTCAGAACCACATCCTTACATCTTTATGCAAACATCAGGGTTTAAAGAGTTTCATTAGTGCTTTCAGCTAATTTTGTGATGGTGCATATAAGGGAAATCTGTGATTCCCCAGTTAAATATCCCTGAAGTGTTCTGGTTAATTTTGATTCCCTATAAGGAACATGTTGTTAATTAGGTTATCCCAATGCAGCAATAACATTTCCTAAGGCTGACAAAGATTCATTTATGTAGGTGGCTTCATCGAGTCTTAAGCCTTTGGATAATGACTTTTTATTTCTTTCACTGCCAGCTAGATCAATAAAAGCCACTTTGGAACAGATGACTTTATCTTGAACTTACTTTTTTATATAAATTGTCAAAAGTGTGTGTGATCTGGAAGAATTGACATTCATGACTTGAGAGGCTACTACTCTGTTTTTGATCCCAAAGGAGACTAGTTATATTCCGTCATTTTGATCTTCAATAGAAATTTGGACAGCTCCCTGTATATATGGAATGGAATCTTTGGATTCTCTTATCTACAATTATTACCCATTGTTGTTTAATAGATCATATATTTTATCCATGTATATCTGAATGAAACTCATTTCGATTTTAAAATTGCTGCCATTTTCATTCTGCTCCTTAATCTGCTGAAATATATCAGACATAGCCAATTGGATTACACCTTTCGATTATTCAAGAAGTCCCATGGTGTGAGTCTTACCAGATCCTGTTTATCCATACACAATTACTACTCCATTTGCCTTTCCAGCAATACAATCTTATACAATTTACTTACTGGTTAAGTTATACACTTCCTCTTAAGAGGAATTATCTAGAATAGTGTCGAATTCAAACTATCTGTTTGTATCCTCGAATGTATGGACTGCGAGATGCTGATTAGATAATTTCTTGACGACTGACTTCTCGTTTGTGAGGTTTGGCTTTATCCTTATGTAGATTTGCACTTTCTCTTTCTGCTTATTAACAATGTTGGCTTGAATGGGCAGGGTTTTCTCTATATTCTATGAAATGAATTAATGATTTAGGGGAGTGGCTGGACTAGGAACACTCTATTATTTTGGAGGTGTTTGAGCATTGATGTGAGGTATTTTAGGAACATAGTTAGCTTTTAAACTACGTTGGTAGATGGTCTAGAAATCAGTAGTTTATTTAACTGGAATTTCCTGTTCAGCAGCTGTTTATGTTTAAGATCTACCAGTTGCTCCACTTCTCTTGGATATTAGTTCCTATTGCCAAAAAGTAACGTTGTATAAATACAGTGATGATTGTTGATGTTTAACGGGTAGGCTAAGTATCAATTGGAGAATGAAATCTCGTTTACGATTTTTAAGTTTCTTTTAATGGCGTTTTTGTTCTTTATATTGGTGATTTGTTTGGAGTTTTATTTGGTTAAGGAGACAGGTCAACATTAAGAAATAAAGGCCTTTATTTCATTTTATAAATTAATGTAACCAAAGAAATCTTTCGTTGGTCTTGCTCCTGGACCCATTAAATTTAATATCAAGTCATATGAGAGGCCTGGATTCACAGAGGAAGAAATCAAAGAAATCAAGGAGGCTTTTGATATATTTGATGAAGATGGGTATAATTTTAAAATAAAAGAATTAAAGTGGTGGAGAAATAGATCCCAGAGAATTAAAGACAGTGATGGCTTCATTGGGATTTGCAACTGATGAATAATTGTTAAACAATTTAATTGAGATTGCTTAGACAAACAAAAAAGATGGAAGAATAGATTTTGATGAATTTTTAGATCTAATGACAGTTCGATTATCAGATATAAAATCTAAGGAGAATTTGAAGGAAGTCTTTGATCTTCTTAAACCAAATGAAAAAGGGTGTTTAGAATTGGAATCTCTGAAGCAAATTTGTAGGGAAGTTGGTGAAAATATTGATGAAAACGAATTGAATGAAATGCTAAAGCGAGCAGACTTTGATAAGGATGATATGGTAAATTTTGAAGACTTTTATAAAATTATTACTTTTTAAAAATGAATACATGATATTCAAGATATATTATAAGATGGTAATAATAATACATTCCATGCAAATAACTTAATGATATAAAATATAAAGTTTAGATTTTCCTAGTTTATATATATAATTTATAGATAATATTGGAACCCTAATATATATTTTGTTTGTCTTACAATAGTTGCAATTTACTTAATATTTTGAACTTAATTGATTTTAGGTTTGAGAAAAGAATCATTTGCCAAAAAATATTAAGTTCATAATAAATTAAAAATATATGCTAGTCGTTTTTGTTTTTTCATTTTTTTCTCTCAAATTTTTTCATAATTATTTTTAATGAAAACAGTGTTGCTTATTGCCTTGATCACTATTGCATTCACTGCTAGAGTTTAGTAAAAGAATTTTGCAAAAATCACAACTGATTTGAAAAAAAGCACTTATGGAAATGCACTACTTCATTTAGTTGAACTTCACTCAATGGCTGGAGGACCAGTACAAGAATTGATTGATGCCATCGAAGAGCTTATTAATGACCTTGAAGAAGAATTGGAAGAATTGGAATTTAATTTCTAATAAAGAACAAACGAACACAATTCACTAGTCATTGGATTTGAATAAGATATTTAGGATGCTGTGATTGGTAAAATCATAAAATTACAATTTAGATGTTAACAACACATAAGATACCTTGGATAACTTACTTTTCCCAAGAAGAGAATAACTCGAAGTCAGAATCGAATAAATTCAAGAATATTAAGAAGCCAATAGAAAAAAATATGAAGAAGCTGTTCTTACTAGAGAATAAGAACATGAAGATTTTGAATTTTAAGTAGCAGAATTAAATGATGCCACCGCTGCTGTTGATGATGCTCTTGCCCTTCTTTCATCCCTTACAAATCCATCACTCCTCCAAATCAAGAGATTTTAAAATTCATTGAAAAATATTGAATCCAAAATCAAATCTAGATCCAAGATGGCTCCCATGATCAAAGCTCTTATCACCTTAGCTTCCAATCAAAACTTCTCAGATTAAGGAATCATTGGTCAAATTGTAAACGCTCTTAATGAATTCAGAAATGCTATTGTTGATTCAATTAATGCTTAAACAGCTGCCGAAGCTGATGCTTAAGCTGAACACGAAGAATACTTGGCATAATTGGATGCCGAATTCGCTGAATTCTAAAGACAAATCAATAGACTCAATGTTGACTTGACTGCTACAAATGGTAACTAAATCATAATTAATCAAACTAGAAAAGATCGATCAATTAAGTGAATTCAGAGACTAAAGAGAAGCCGATAGAAAACAATATATTGCAGAACTTGAGTTAGAAAATAATACCTATGCCGAAGAAACAGATATTTACACTAACTTGAAGAACGAATTCACAAGAGAGTTAGGCATCAGTGAATAAGCCTTATCAGTTGTTGAAAGTGCCGACTTTACCAACATTTAAGTTTGAGAAATAAATTAAAATTTCTTATTATTAAGCACAAATATATTTTATATATCTTAAAATAATTTCTTTTTTGTTGAACGTATTTAACTATATAAATTTGATAATCAAACTTTAGAATATATTTTGATAACCTTACAACTTGATACAACTAACTTTTCTCTCTCTTTCTCCTAAATAGGACTCAATTCTAAATCTGATAAAGGCTCTACTGGACTTTCCTTCGGACTATTCCTTTTTAAAAATATTATTACTAAATTCGAGGAGAATCTGGCTCCTTATTATAATAGTTTAAGTATTCTAAATATGTCATGGCTGATTGTTGTCTTAATCTAATATCCATCTTAGTTTTATATTATTATTAATGATTATAATAATGAGATAATTTATACCACACTTACAGGTAACATCGATAATCAAAATTCTTAATATTGTTCATTGATTAATCCCTTTTTAAATTTTAAGAACATCAGATAATTCTTTAATAACATAATTGTCTAAGAAATCAGGCAAAGTCTTTCAATTGAATTTCGTTCGACCTTTTCCTTTAACAAAACCTAATGAATAGAAGACAACTTATTTTTAGAAAATTTAAAAATATGGTGATTTTATAATTGTTCTTAAATTTTTCGAATTACAACATTTATGTATAATCGTTGTCAGGCTCATTAAACAAGTGGAAAAATCAATAAATTCTCAAACTTATATGTAACAATAGTGAAAATAATGATAATGATTACAAGTTTTAAATTATTTATTATTTTGATTTAAAAACAGATCAATACTTAATTGAACTCTAAGAAGAGTTATGAGATAATATTACTCTGAGGTACACTGTTATTCTTTTTCTTAAAGTTTTTCATTCGAATTCTCATTTTGAATAAGTAGATTATCATATTAAACCATAATACTTGTAACCTCAAAAGGGAAAAGTGAGCAAGTTTTGAAAAATTTATAGAAGCATTAAATGGATCAACACTAAATAAGTATCTATTTAATGAACAACTACGAATTCTCTTAAATAAGTTCATTACATTAACAAGTTAGAAGAAAAACTGAGGATTAAATAAAAATATTAGCAACTTTTAATAAATTGATGGAATATTTTACTTCTTAAAGTATGTATTATTCAGTAATATGTAATAATAGACCTAAAATATTGATTTCAGAACAAAAATGGATATAAAGCAGCTTCATTCAAAACTTTGCTGTTATAAATGTGTCAAATTAATGACTATAATTGACTGCTTTATTTAGAATTATTCGTGAGGCAAAACTAGGATAGCCATCGTAAGTGTATAAATTGAATAATTTATTCTCGTTTGTAAAGATGACCTAAATTAAATAAATTATGCTAATAATGATTTATCGTACTGACTACAGATGATTTTAAAAATGCTTGTTTACTAACCGAATTAAATAATGAAAGTTGATAATGGAAATATATTTATCTAAATGTTATAATAAATTATAAATATATTAAGAAGATGAGATATTTCAGTAATCGTGAATAATTAAACTGATTAACATATATAAATTTCCGATGGCCTATTATTCTATTTTCAATCCTATAGTATACATGTAAATTACCTATGAACATAATACATTTTTATTAGATATTAGAGCATTTTTATAATAATTTTATTTTATACATATTATATCATTTTCGTAAAAATTTCCTTTATTAATATGAGCATCTTAGCCAACATAAAATAAATCCTTTGAAATTATTATTAAATAGTTAAAATGATCCAATTATAAATCCATTACAAAGTTGAATTTGAATAGGCTTTATATATTTCAGGTAAATCAAAATATTTAGGACAATGGAATCCTGAGCAAGCAATACGAATGACTTGGACTTAGGTATAAATTAAATTGGATATTAGAATGATATTTGGGTAGCAGAGGTAGCTTATCATAGTATGGAATATAAATATTTTATTTCTCAGTATGAAAAGGTTGAAAATGTATACTGGGAGTCAGGTCCCAACAGAATAACAAATAAACATTCAATTGATGTCTGGAACCACAGGAGAATATGTTTTCAATGTCTAAATCCAAAGAATTTCTAAATCTATATTGCTGGATCGTAAACTTCGATGGGTCAATTTTAGAAAAGAGTTCAAATGAAAAATAAGGATGGAATATCCTAGTAGAAATTTCTTATTAATATTGATGACTCTTAAATTCAATATCAATATCATATAGTTGACAAATGTGAGTTTTCCAGTCCAATTTATAATGTGGATATAAATAGCTAATGTAAACAGTAGAAATATCTAATTTAGAATAATACTATAAAGATGCTCTGCTAATTTTCTCTGATGAACTTACAAATCTAAAACAGATGGTATTTTAGCTTAATAAAAATATTTGTTATGGTTATGTCCCTAATGAATAAAATGATTATCAAGTATTAAAGAAAGCAAACTTAAGAGCAGTTATAGAATTTTGTAATATGAAAGAATAGAGTCTACTTGAATAAAAAACAAAAAATGAGGAAATGATACATTTGATTATCAATCTTTATCATTTCAAATAGGAATGTTTTGCTTAAAGTCTTCTTTAATTAATTCAAGTTCTAATTCAAAAGTATTAAGTAATAAATTGAATATCTATATTACTAGTTACTTTATATATGCAACAATTCTCTTACTCACCTGAGGAAGTACTTATCCGCTTATGAATAACTCTCTTTTAATCATTAGAAATGAAACAATAATAATTTTTTAATGATATTACTTTGAATCATCACAAAAATTATAAATCATTTTTTTCCAATTAAGGTAGTTTACCTATAATTCCAGTACTGAGTGTTGATATCAACCCAATTATTCAGGTCTCTATTAATTTGATCGCCTTCATTATAATTCAACAGTATCTCTTATTCTGGATAGATATCTTTGAGAGCATAGATGGCTAACTAAAATTTTCCTAAATTTAGTATTATTAAATACCTGATGAAAATATTTGTCTGGTTTTACAATTCATTAAATTGGAGCTATTGTGATTAATGAATCTGCTTTCATTTCCACAGAATCTACTTTCCAAAGAATATTTGTCATCATTTAAAGAATAGTTATAAAATGTGAATGTATCATCAAATTGATCTCGAATTTCATCTTCATCATCAATTAGTACTTCTCCTATGTATAAAATTATTAATTCATCCTTCATTATATAATTCCTTGCAAATACTCCAATTCCATTGCATACTCCTGATCTTCCTAATAAAGTAGGTTTGACATTGTTGATTAAAATCTATGTGTTTGAACAAACTAAATTTGAATCGAGAGTACAGCATTTGCATACTAATGGATCACATTCTACATTGTCTCTTCTACAAGAACATTTGCTATCTATTGAGCATCTATCTTTGCAAGCACATCCTTTTAGCTTTTTTGAACACCAATCTTGCTGACAGTCACAATATTTTGAACAAAAATGATCACAATTACAATTTTCACATTTGAAGTCTTATTGATGACAACATGGAATATACAAATTTGCATTATTAAATGGATAATTCACAAGAGCTGCTTTGTCTTGATTTTCCTGAATCTATTTAAGTGCTTATAAATATTATTCTTTAATTTCCTTATATCTATATCTAGCTTAAGTGAAAATTGAGATACAATCCTATTAATAGATTTGAGCCAATAAACATGGATCTCTATCAATTGTAATAGGTTAAAATTCTTCGTTTAATTCATTGTTATTTGGTTTCTTTCTTAAAAACTCAAAGTTGTTCTTATTTTTGTAACATCTGTCTCCACATTGGTTTTAAGCATTAGCTTTTATCACATCTAAACACCATTATGGTTTTTTTGTGTTTGGTTTTTAATTTAAGATACAACAAAATTCTAAGAAATTTTTTATTTAAGCCAAATGGTTATTAAATTTACATTTACATTTATTTTTGTACAATGAGCAGGAGTTGCAAATAAATGCAAAATCTTTTTAAAGATATTCGTTTGTTCTAAATGATTTAAAGGATAGATTCTAAATTGCAGTCAAATCAAATTATTGAATTAGATTTACTTTTTAAAATATTGTTTGCTTTATTTCAGAGAACTGATTATTTTATAATTGTAAATAGATCTATATTAATGAATTTAAATTGATTTCTATAGTTACATTCTTTTTAATTATTTATTTTTAGAGGTACTCATATATTTCTTCCAAAGATATTTTTGATATATTTTATTTTTCAATTAAATATAAATATTGAGAATAAATTTAAACTAGAATTTATTATAATAATCTTACTAAAGTCCATTTGATTGAGCGCATACTTTTTATTAAGGGTAATCATTTCTTTGACTCCTTCTGGGGATCTCCACAATTGTTTATTTACTTTAAGAACGTCATGTTTATATTTTTCTCTTAATTCTGAAGTAAAATTGTACTTAAAATTTAGATCTTGGGTTTCTTGTCTCTATATTATACACAATTATTACTTTTATGTTTTGATCTATTTTTAAATAGTTTGTATATTGATGTATTAATTATGGCGCAATGTTGTGAACAATAGCTTAATTATCATGAGGAAAATATGGGGCCTATTATTCTGAAGATTATAATTATTTGACCACCTTAGTCTAAACACTTAAATTGGAGTTCCACTAAGTCCTTGGATATTTAATTAGTTTGACATTTCTACGATTCACTTTCAAAAACTAATCATGAAGTTAACAATTACATTTTCAATTTGAGGTTTCAAGAATAATTTTAGTTTTGAAGCTATTTATTCCTGAGTACTATTGTCCTCTGCTTAGATTTAGAATAAATCCTCTATATTAACGGAACCATTCTACTTAAGATTGTAGTTCCAAAATGAATCAATCTCCTCCAATTTTACATCAGTCGAAGAATTACATTATACATTTTATAATTCACTCTAAGGGTGTAACTTTTTTGTTTCCTAATCCTTGTCCATTGATATAAATAGTTTGAAAATTTTATTATTTGGTCTAATTTTTAGAGAATTTAATTTTTAGTTAAAATATTCAGAGTTACTATTGTTTTATAATCAAAATAACATTATAAAAAACTAATATAAATCAATTTTATGACAAATAAATTAATTACTGATTTTGCTTGTGCTTAAAATAGATTGGTTCTTATTGTCCTATATAAGTAATGGCTAATGATGAAAATTTATTGATTTTGCATAATTATAGAGCAAATATTGAATAAAATATCAGTATTTCTTAATTCTCAAAAAAACATTTTCCGAGATGGAGTTATCTAGAATTCTTTAGGCAAGCCTTTACTAGGACTTTTATAAAATGTAAATTCCATTTAATTTGGACTTTAAAGCCTAAAATTTGTTTTTGACTGTTAAATATCTCTTTCATGAGGAATGTGAAGACTAGTAACTCGTTTGAGATCCGTTCTATCATCGATTAACATTTCTATTAATCTGTTATTTTTATCATTTTGCTCTTTCAATTTTATGTTCTCTTGTAGTAATTAATTAATGATTTATTTTCTCTGATTAGAATCTCTATCTTTAAGTAAAGTGTTGTTTGTTAAGCAATTCAAATGTCTTTGATCCGTAGCATAAGTTAACTGATGTCGACTGCTCTAGAAACTAATAACCCTTTGACTAGAATACCTTATTAATGCTGCCATTTGTACTTATAAAACAATCTAGTTTCTAATTGGTCTTAATCTCATGACATCGACCATTTGAGCGGCATTTGCTACTTTAAGGAGATGTTATTCTCTTCACAGACATTAAATTCTTATGAATTTTACAATTAATAATTAATTTATATATTATTTTTAGATACATAGCTTTACTCATATAAAATATTTTTTTTTGCTGCAGGGTTGAATTAAGAATTCCTTAGGCAATCTAAGTTTATTCTCCTAAGTCTTGGGACTATAAAAGGTGAATTTGTATAAATCAGCAACAACTTGAGATGATTTAGACTAAGGCATTACGGGTAGTGTTTTTTTATCCTAGTTTGGTTCTGTGTTCATATTCCCTTATTTTTTTATTTTCTTATTAGCCTATGAAGAGGATACTAATTCTTTGAAGGCAATTTACTTTAAAGGCTTAATTCGGTGAAGATGAATGCTGTTCTCATGCAAATACTTATCGATTAACTAGGATTATAATGATTTTTCTATTGTTTAGTTTTTCATAACTAAGTAATTAGAAAATGCAGTTTTACTATTTTAATCAGAATATTTAACTCTTCTCAAACTGTATTTGGGAATAAAAAAATGATTTTCATCTATTTGTTAATCCAAAATTTGGTGACTTTATGAATATTAATGAGATTTCTTCAATTGAACATTGTTTGGCTGCTCTTGTTTATTGATTATTATGTTCGACATAGATTCCCTATTATTTTTGAATCTTGTTTCAACAGGAGATGAAAGCATGTGAGTATTCAGACTTATCTGAATAAAAATAATAAATATAAATTTGCAGCTAAATAAATTCAAAATATCTTTCTTTTAATAACTAATTTAAAAAAATGATCATCTTATTTATATTTTAAATTACTTAAATGTTTCCTTTATAGATCATAAAAACGATCATAAAAATAAAAGAGTATTACTAATACAATGCAAGCATATAGAATAATAAAATCTTATGTTTTTGTTTACTACATTCTTAAATATGATATTTTAATTGTTATCAATATATGCCTATTAATGGATTGCAGCCATATTATATATTGATAGTAATTTAATTGTATTCAATCTTCAATTAACAAGGTACTATTTATAATAAAGAAATACTTGAAAAAGTTAATTTTTATTAATCATAAAATAAATTAATTTGTAAATAAACCGAAATAAAATATATTGCAAATCTGTTTATTCAATGATTATTGATTAGCATTCTTTAGTATATGTCATTATTATATTATTACTAATGTTCTTTAATGTGAAAGTGTCAAATTCAGCATATTTGGACAAAAGCGTTGTAGAGACAATAATTAGAGAATGAATTAAGAGATAGTTATTGAATGCCTGATTTAATTTAAAATAGCAGGGATGTCAACTGGCTTGAAATAACTCACGAGATTTATATGTAGTTAGCACAAATAGAGAAGTTATGACGATTCAAGATTTATATGGAATATAATGTTCTGATGCAGGAGAATCGGCAAGAAGTAATTAGATGAAGAAAGGAGCAACAATATCTTTGAGTAATGATTATAAGTGAATGAATTATAATACTTTAAAAATGTATTTGTTATTTTAGTTAATAAATTTTCCTTTCTGAAACTTCAAATGAATTGCCAAAATTCGAAATGTAGCAGAGATATACCTTATAATTCGATTTTGAATGGAACTCAAGTCACTTGTGATAGCTGTTCAAACGCATTTTACTGTTCAACTAAATGTAGGGATTTTGATTGGTAAATAATGATTGGTAATTTGGTAGGGAAGGATACCATTATTTGGTTTGTAATGGTTTATTTGAATTAGTTCCGAAGGTCTCTTTAAGTTAATTGAATGATGAGATGGATTTGATAGGGTCAGGAAGTTTTGGATAAGTTTATTTAAAATAACTGAATGGATATAATTTTGCAATAAAAAAAATCAATAAATATAATGGGAACAGGGAACTCAAAATTCATAAGCTACTTAAGCATAAATACATAATTTAATTATTGTAATTTCTGGAGTAAGATGATAATTTATATTTGGTACTGGAATATGCAAGTATATTATTAAAACAAACTTAGAATATGGTCACTTGACAACAAATTTGTGTATTGATCCCAAATAGGTGATATTGCAATTGTGTAATGCTCTGCAATACCTACATTCATAAGGCATCATTCACCGAGACATAAAACCAAGTAATGTGTTGATAGACCATAAAAAAAATGTGAAATTGTGTGACTTCGGTTTGGCTACTCATATAGACATCATTAGTAATTTTAGTGGGACTTATGAGTTCATGGCTCCAGAAATATTGAGGAACTACCCTCAAACTTATTCAGTGGACATCTGGAGCTTGGGATGCTTACTGTATTGGATGCTTGAAAAAAAGCCAATAATAACAGGTATAAAAGAATCTAGATATGGTAGGTACTGAAGCAGAAATGATAGAGTAGATTCTGATATTCACAGAGCCCAAATTTACAATTTTGGATCCATAAGCAAAGGACTTAATTTTGAAGATGCTAAATCCCAATCCCAATGAGAGGATCTCGTTGAATCAGATATTCTTGCATCCATTTCTAACAAGAGATGATTAAAATAAGGCAAAAGTTGAAGAGTCCTCGAATTCGTATTCAGATGAAACCCAAGCGAGTTATCATCCTTAATAAATTGCTTCTTAACAAAAAAGTAATATAGCGGATAGAACTGTGTTCTAGAGGATTGCCAGTTTGTTTACTTGCATGGCTAGAGATAAATGAAATCACAATGACTAACTAATAGAGTTATAATATATATATTATATTATGACATAAATAATAAATTATATAATAATAATTTATAATAATAATATGAATTATTCTATGATATGGGGGTTCCTATGAGCATAATCATGATATAAATATATTTTATAAAAATTTATTTATGAGGAATTGCATTAGATCAGCTTTTCGTTAAAATCCTTAACTCCGAGGTGCATGGTCTTAAAACTATTTATAAAAGCCTGGGGAAGGAGCATTAAAAAATGTCACCTTGATTCCTGGAGTAGGTATTGGACCTGAAATAACAAGTAATGAAATATAGCAAATTTCTAGATAGCGTAAGGACTGTCTTCGAAGCATTACACGTTCCAATCAAATTCGATGTGTTAGACAATTTCAATTTCGAGAATGACGATTCAAAAAGACAACTAAGAAAAAATGAATGCATTCTTTTGGGTGTGATGACTGAGAAGAATTAAAAATACACAGACAACTACAAGTTCTACAAATACTTAGACTTATATTCCAATATTACTTTTGCCTTCTCTGTTGAAGGAATAAAACAAAGACATAATAATACAGACATAGTCGTGATAAGAGAAAATACAGAAGGTAAATATCATAATTAACTATCTCGCAGGTGAATACTCAGGTGTCGAACACGAAGTCTATCCAGGAGTCGTAGAATCAATCAAAGTGACCACTAAATAAGCATCTCTAAGAATAGCTGAATATGCATTTGAGTTCGCTCATCTTAGTGGCAGAAGAAAGGTCACAGCTGTCCATAAGGCTAATATCATGAAGCTCGTCGATGGTCTATTCTTATAAGCCTGCAGAGAAGTGGCTCAAAGATACTCATTTATTAAATATGAAGAAATGATCATTGATAATTGTTGTATGTAATTGGTCAAAAATCCAACACAATTTGATGTGATGGTCATGCCAAATCTCTATGGATCTATTGTATAAAATGTTGTGGCTGGTATCACTGGAGGAGTTGGTATGGCTGCTGGAGCATCAATTGGTAAAGATCACGCTCTCTTTTCCCAAGGATGTAGACATACAGGAAGAGATATTGCAGGTAATAATAATGTTATATATTCTAGGCAAAAATGTTGTGAATCCTTCTGCCATGCTTGTTTCTTCCACTCTTTTATTAAGACATCTAGGTTTACCAAACTTTGCTGATTAAATTTGCAGAGCTGTTTAACATACAATTTAAGACAAAAATGTAATCAATTTTTTCTATTGTTTTTAGATTAAAACCAAAGATATTGGTGGTAATGCTACAACAGATCAATTTACCAGCGAAGTGATTAAAAGCTTAGGAAGATGATATTTTTATAGATTAAGTCATCGCATCTGTATTTATTATCATTATCATAACATTCGTCTAATAACTTTATATTATGGTAGAATTAATAAGTTCATTTTTGTAATAAAATATTTATTCGCTTCTATATAAGTATTTAGTAAAGTTTGAATCCTTAATGTTATAAAATTTGTTATTAAATTGAGTTCCTCATAGTTAATCAAATTTTTAATAACCTATTTTTTATGAATAACTTATAATTTATTTTTTTATTAATGCAAAACCTAATAATAAGTTTCATTAACTTATAATAATTAATACTAAATATGTCAATATTATACATAACTTTAATATGATTTATTATATCCAAACAATATTTTTTGAATTGATAAGATAAATACTTTTTTTTCAAAAAAATTATTTTTTTTTATTTTTCTTATCTTAATAGGTTTCATTCAATATGGTTTACAAATTGGATACTTATAATTATCTAGATTTAAAAAAATAATTTGCATTTTTATATTTTTTATGTTAAATAGTAAAATTTATTTATCACCTAATTCAACCAAAAACACAAACTCATCATAGATTTTATCTCCAATTTATAGAAGTTCAAGTAAGCAGATCTCCAAAATTATATAGGTTCTGGTAGTAGAGCACACATTGAGGAGATTAGATTTAAGCATTCATAAATACAAATAAATGATTAATATTCCTTCAAAAAAGAAGTTTATGAGGAAAAATTAAATTAGATTGATGAAAAGTTTTAGAAAGCTCATAAAAATGATTTACAAAGAATCACATCATTATAAAATTAGTTGAATAGGATAAGTGAGATGTTATCAAATGAATAAAATGTTAGAAATGTATTTAAATAAAATTTATTGATAGAATAATAATGATAATTTTAAGAAGAAAGATTTGAAACAATTAGAGACACATGTTAAGAATGAATTAATGAAGGACAAAATAAGGAGAATAGATAATTAAGCCAAAATTACAAATTAGATTGATGAATAATCCCATTATATCAAAATGCAATTATTAAGATAAAGGTAATACAGACAAGAAACTGAGGCACAGTACTCTTAAGATCTTACAAATAAGATGCATGAATTAAGAGAGAATGTTGAAAACGAAAGAAGAGAAAGGTAAGGAACTTATATATTTAAAGAGATGTGTATTGCTAGAATATTATAGGTAGAATAGGAGAATAAGTTCTCTCAGTTTAAGAAACAATAAATACGGAGAAATAATAGAGGTAAGAATCTCAGAATCAGATGCAAATGATGATTCAGGAAATAACAAGCATTTTATCATTGTAATTAGCTGAAGAGAAATACCAAAGGGAGGAAACAGAGAGAACAATTATTAGGTTAGTCAACGAGACATGTAATAGAGTAGAAAACTCATTAAAAAAGTGATTTGAATTAAGTTAGCATTTTATAATTGTAATTTGCTTTCCCAATTATTATCTTAGTATTACTTATATACTTATCAGTAATTTAAATTACCTATTGATTCTGAGATCCATTCAAAATGCAGTGTTAAGTATAGGTTGCTACCTATATTTATAATAATAATTGTTTTTGCTTTGAAATGATTAATTTCTAATCTTTTTCCATTTTCGCCTTTTGAGTAAGAAAGGTAAGTTAGGAATGAATTAAAGGTTTTGGGGTTATCATTATGAATGTCTTATTCTTTTTGATGAGAATGATGCATTTATTTTGAATAGCTCATATAAATGTTGTAATTTGATAATTAATTATATAATAAAAGGATGCTATCATTATCATAAATATAGAAATCACATCAAGTGCAATCTTTAAAGCAATTGAATAGATTTAATTTAAATTCGAGAAATAGAACGCTTGATAATGCGGAAGCCAGTAAAATGAGAGCTAAATATATAATTCATGACAAAGAGAGTCTTTATGAGGAAGTTTAAAATCTGAAATAAGAAAACAATCAATTAAAATTAGCATTGCGACAGTTTTAATCTAAAAATTAATATTTCAAGAGAGAAGTGCAATCCTTTTTAAAAGAGGAGAGTGTTCCTCAGAAGAATAATGTTAGAATAAAGTAAGGGTTTTTGGAGAAAATCACAAAGTTGGAAGTATATTAAACATTTATGTAGGACATGAACCTTAAATTGCAACAATAATTATAGGAATAAACATCATATATCAATCAATTGCAGAGTCCATAGAACAAAAACAACGTAGAAGGACTGTGTATGTCTCTTAGTGAAGACAATATGAGAATGACGTAATTAATTTAGCAATTGGAATAGTCAGTTATATAAACACAAGTACTGAAAATTTATTAGATTTAGAATAATTACAGTAAAATGAACATTAAATATAATGCAATCTTAAATAAATATAAATAAATCAAGAATCTTAATGCATAATTACTATTGGAGATTGCAGAACTAAAAAAGAAAGATACATATTTTCTTGAAAGACCTCAACAGAAAGATAATAAGAAGATTGAAGAATAATTGCAGTTGGGTTATGATCAAGCCATGGTTGATTTGAGAAATGAAAGACAAAAGAATAAGTATTTGGAAAACCAAATGCAAAAACTGTAGGCAGATCATTAAGAATAAATAGAGAATCTTGAAAAAAGGATTGCTGAACAAAAGAGACAATTTGAAACTTTGTAAAGAGAATATGAATTAGAAAAACTCTAAAAATACTAATCAAAAAGAACTATCCTTATAAAAAACAATGGACCTCAACCTCCTGAAGAATAAGGATAATTATAAGAAGAAATCGAAATGTAAAAAAAGAAATTTATCAATGTGGATAAAAATGATATTTTAGCTATTGCAAGATAAGTCAAATTGAATTTGATTGGATTGAAGATTTCAATTTAATAAGTTGAAGAGTTCTTATTGACAGATGAGATACTAACTTAATAATAGTTAAAGTAAAATCTGTCAAATAGAATCTTTGGTTTATCATCAAATGAATAAGTAGAGATGGCAGCCATCTATTTAGCCGATGTTGAAAATGAAACTGAAACAACGACTAGTGCTAGAGTAAGAAGTATCTTTAAAACTTTGATGGAAAACTATTAGATCCTAACTGTAGAATAACTGAGTAATATCAACCAATAGATAATGAAGAAAAAGAATGAGATTTCAGACATTATAATGAAGAAATACCCAGAAACTTATACAAGTGGATATATTAATATTGATGTAAATTTATAGAATTATTATAGGCTTATTTGGAGATACTTAATTCAGTGGAAATATAATTAAGCAAAATAGAAATTGATCATTTTTATGCTTTAATCTAAAGGTAAAATAGATCATCCAGAATATTTCTATAATAAATACACTCTCCTTTCGATGTCAGTTAAGAAGAAGAGGATTTAGATGATTAGCAATAATAGAATTTAAATATTGGAGATGGACAGCCTGAGAGTGTTAAAATGTCACATAGTGAAGTGTTAGTCGTAAATAATCATAAGGATTCTGACTTAGTTAATTTGATTGAGGATGATGATGATAATAACATTTAGAAATCCAATTAAAAGAAGGTGGAAGTTGACATTGAGAAAGAAATAGAGAAGGAAAAAGAAAAAGAGAAAGAGAACAAACAATATGAAGAATAAATTAAGTAATCACAAAAATTGAAATTGGAATTGTCAGTAGAAGAGAAGAACCCATTCCAAGATGTGTAGCATATAGAATCGGAGATGAAAATGATTGATTCGTAAGAATTAAGAAAATAAAGTTAACCTGAATTATAATAATTTTGAATTTAAATAATGGATAACCGATTAGAGAGAAATGTCAATAAACTCATGGATCGTTATAAGAAAACAAGTCAGTAGATCGACTAGATCATGTAGTATGAACCCACTCCTCAATAACCTGTCACATATTTTATCGGCAGATCTAGGCCAAGCAAACTCAATGATGATGAGTAATTCTTCTATCTAAAACTCCTAGCGATGATTCTTCCAGAGAAAGACGTAGGCAAAGTGGCTCCTTGGAGTAAATAAGTAGATTGAGGGATACCTTGAATGCTAAGGATTTGTAGGAAAAAGAAAAATATGAAAGAATAAGAATATTAAATAAGGAGTTAAAAGTACAATTCTTAATAAGCTACAATAGATTACACTTAAGGAATACATGACTGTTAATAAAGAGTTGGAAGGTAAGTTAGCAGTTAAGGATAAATAAATTAGAGCATTGGAATAAGAAAATAGATAATTAATGGATTCTATTAATAAGGGTGATGCTAATACAAAAGAAGTCAAGATCAAAGCAGAGACGTCTGAAAAATTGATTGAAGAATTACAATAGCAAAATCACATATTAAAATAAAAATTAGGAGATAAGAAATAAAAATTAACTGCTTTGAGGGATTAGTTAAAATAAGCAGAGACAGTTTATGAAGAATAAGGTTAAAATTTTGGGAGAGAACTTGAACGAGTGTAAAAATTATGTGAAGATTTTTCAAATGAAATGTAATCATATTTATTAGAAGTAGAAAAAATCAAGAAGAATAAAATAAGGAGTTGGAGGAACAATTAGGATAATAAAGAGATGAATTAATTAATAGGGATGAGCAAATTCGATATTTTGAACAAATGTATTAGGACATTCGATACAGAGACGCTGATTAACAATCTTAGATAGAATATCTAAATTAATAGGCTAATTACTATAAGTAATAGTTAGATTAAGCTACTTATAAATAAGATGAGGCTTATGCATAATTAGCTAAAGTTGAGAAGCAGTAGCAAGCATTTTTATAGAATTAAGAATCAGAAATTGAAAAGAGGGTTGCTAATTTCAAAGATTAACTTGAAAAAAAGAAATAAAAAATTAATGAATAAAAATAATCAATTGATAATTTAAATTAAAAAATCATTGATTTTTAGAGATTGCTTGATAATGAAGATAAGAATCATTAGATTCAACTTTAAGATTATCAGAAATTACAGTAGATCAATACTGAACTCAAATCTGTTGTTGATAATTAGTAAAACAAATTGTTAACAGCAGAGAATAGAATCTAAAGTCTCGTACTTGAAATTTAAGATTAGAAGTCAGTGTTATAGACAAAGAAACAAAAGATTGAAGAATTTGAATTATAATCTCGACAAGATTTTCGTACAATAGAATAGGTATTCTAAAAATATAATATTTTAGCTTAAAAATTAAGTTCTTCATTTATAGGAACAATTAACAAAAACTTAACAGTATAATAGAGATTTAGAAAATGATATCTAATTGACAAAACATGAGAATGATAAAACAATGGATGAAATTGAAATTAAAATTGATCATCTTGTTAAATAGTTGGCTTAAAGTAAGGAGGAGGTTAAGGAATACAAGAATAGGGAGAACGATTTTAAACAAAAAATAAAATCATAGGAAGAGGAAATTCTCAAGCACGCTTAGAAATCAGCTAAATACAAATAATAAATTGAATAGAGTCAGTATTCATTAAAACAAGTAAATCATATAAGTTAGTTTATAGATTGAAGAGAAGGTTAGAATTTATGAAAGTGAAAGGGAAATTCAGTCAAGATAAGTGTTGTAAGTGAAACAGGAATAAGTCACAACATAGAATAAACTTAGAGTTTTGGAAGACATTCATTCCCTAATCAAAATGCATAAAAAAATTTGATTATGAAATTTATATATTAACAAACTAATTATACAATAAATATCTATAGTATCATTTAATCATTAATAATAAATAAATTATCAAATGAGCAAGCTTAGCTACTTCGAGTTGCTTGCATAATTATATTTAAAAGGGGAATCTTGGGCATTTCCTTATATATGCAATTTTGCTTCTCATCAAAACATCGAGCTATCAAATAAATAGTTCATAACATCCTAAAATTCGATTATTGTTGAAAATGATAAATTAAATACTACGGGATTTAGCAACACTATTCAATTCTAAGGTTCAAGACTGTTAGATTTGGATGACTTAGTTTAATCAGGTAAAATATATGAAGATGATTCATGCTAATCATTAGTTCAATAAGTTTAAACAAGAAATCAAAAGAATAATAGTAAAGTATCTAAATCTGAATAAAAATAAAATAAAATGAAAATTAAGATTGAATAAGTGTAAAGGAAGGAGAAGAATGTTCCTTTGGGCACTCAATGTTAATAGTTGCAGTTTCAAAGTTCAAGCCTTCGTCCTAGATGTGTGAGGATTTATTAAAGAAACGAAGAACTATGTATGAAAAGATTTTACTTAGTTTAATTGCTATTTGAGGAACTGTAATAAATATATCCTCAGTGTACAGATTGGGATGTAATTCTATTATTAGATTTGTCCAAAAGGAGTTTTGACACTGCTTTTAAATTATTAAAAGAAAGTAGTTATTTTATATAATACTATCTATAAGGTAAATATAATCTATTTAATAAAAAGTACAATCCATAAGCAATCTTGATAGAAATGGATTAGAAAATAGATGGAAAAAAAGATGATTTAAAAATGGAATTAAATAATATATAAGTGTTTTTATATCATCTCATTCAAAAGCGGATACGTAGACATTGTTTCTGTTAACAATCTTATCGTTTAGTTGTTAATATTTCATCCTTAATATTTATAAATCTTATTGTCTCCTAGTAATTTCCATTTCAAGTTAATTTATATCTAATTTGGATGGTTAAAAGTATTTATTATTTTTACTATCTGATTAATAAGGCATTTTATCAATCACAGTGTTAATGGTATTAAGAATTCTGTTCTATTGGGAAGCGGATCTATTTCTATTCTAGGTTTCATATTAAATCAGTTGTTTGACAAAACCTGAATTTGGTTTGACTTAGGGTCTCCTTGCAATAACTGAATTTAGAGTTCTTTGAAATCCCCAATTGAACTTTTGCATTATGTACGCAATAACCACTGATGCACTTCTGGAGATTCCAGCGAAGCAGTGAACCATAACATTTGTATGTTATCTATGCCTTTCAATGAATTCATTAGTTTTGGGGAAAAATTCTTGAATGTTTTGTTCGGTGCAATCGGGAATGTTGATGACATGATGAATTATGCTTGGAGAGATAGTTACTTTAGGTTCATCAATAACACTAAGCAAGGCTCCTACTTATAATGATGATAATAATTCTTGGCTTAATGCACAATCTATATCCGCCAGATACAAACCTCCACTAAAATGATTAATTCTTGACTTACATCTATTGATTGTTTTTGATTATTGGGTCAATTATGCAATCCCACTTGTTTAATTTTTATATCATTTAACAGACAAATATTTAATAAATAAATAATATAATTAGTCAATAGGTATTCATATTTATTTTACATTAATTACGATATCTTCTTAATGTAATTCATTATTAGTTTAAAATGATAGTTGATTATCTTTATCTTTTTCAACATTCGGTATGATTGTGGCTTATTCATTTTGATTTATTTTTGTTTGGACTACAATTTTATCAGGGTGTTTGTAACAAGTGAATCTAAGTTAATGAAATGGAGATTTACTGTTTATTGTAGGACTTGCCTTTATCCTTAAATTGAATGTACAATAAGACTCTTCCAATCTAGTAAAGCACTTTTTGCAATGATGGCAAATTATACTTGAGTAATTTATCAGACTAGGCATATAAAAGAGTTCCAAATTTGGAATTATTATCTTATAGAATAAGTTTGAAGTGATTATCTTCTTATTTGATAACTTTGATTAAGGCATGACTTCTGGACACTGAAATATCTTTAAGTTTGATATCACAGTCAGGTATTCTTCCAATTTTGATCTCTGCTTTATCTTAGAGTTCCATCACCTAAATGATTCCCTCCTTAGATTTGTCATCAGAAGTAATTTTCCAAATCATATAAGGCACTGTAGGCTTTTGAATTTGCATAATACAGAAGATCTATCTTTAGTAAGTATATGTGCTTTTCAATGGCATTTTGCAAATTTCACATTCCATTTTCTTCCAGATGTATTAGGTTGAAGATTACTGATTTTTAACTTTAATTGATTACTAAATCCAAACTTATAAACAATGAAGATGAACATATTTCATGGAACCGATACCTGTAATTTAAGTTAAATTAATTTACATTTGCAAGGACTAAAAAGAGGATTTGAAACTGTTGCATTTTTTTAAAAACAAATTCTACATTAACAACCATCTGGATCTAGATCTTGGGACTATATTTCTTCATCGTTGATATCAGTTTAGTCTTTTTATTATTGCAATGCATCTAAATCATAATTAAAATCGAGTAATTGTAATTTCATCCTTCCTAATTTTATGATATCTCCTGTTTATAATTCCCATTCCTTTTTGTTTTCATTTATATTTATACATTCAATGACTCAAATTCTGGTCTTCTGCATAGTATAGCCCACACTCTTTAATCTGATTTCTAACTCATTCCTGACAGAGTCACGTAATCTTATTCGCAATCAACTTTAAGGAGCTGAACCTGTTTTTTAACATATTCCTTCATAAAATGTGATAATAAATTTACATTTTCACTTAATGCTATAATTTAATTATCGACCATAGAAAGTGTTGCTAATTCATATTGAACAACTTGGTTACCTGAGAAATCTAGTTCCAGCTCTTTTCGACATGCTTGGTGACTCTCAAAATCGAATAAGTTATGACTTTCTTTATTCCAGATGAAAGCAGTTATGCAAACTCTGTAATTATAACATATATTCACTTATATGCTGCAATTTAAATATTTCCATCTATTTTTTTTTATTTCATTGACGCACATGATCCCATTGTTTATTAAAAATTATTAAATAAATAAATATGCTCTAATAATCTCAAAATATTGATTACTTGTATATACCAACTAGCAGGAATTTATAATCGCTCCTTAAAACAGCAAAGCTTTCGACTACTGGTAATGTTCAATAGGCTTATTTGATTAAGTCCTAATTGATAAACCTAACCAAAAGTCAAAAATACGAATATGCATTAACCAAAGACGGCTCATTGGTCAAATTCGGACATCAAATAACTAAATATTACAACCTCTTTAGCAATTTATTCATTCTATCTTATACCGATAAAAGTTTTTTATTGACTTCGTACGACAGAGTTAAGGAGTATCACTGCACTGACCAAAAATAATTAAAAAACTGGATAGAGCATCTCATAAGATTTTGCATAACAAGGGGCCAGATCTAAACTAGATATAGATTCCTAAGTTAAATCAACAATGGAAATTATTCGAAAGTAATGTATGTTAAAAAAAGGGCTATCTCATAGAGGACAGTAAATAGAAACAGTTTGTATGTAAGACCTTCCAAAAGACTGATTTGATCAAAGTTACAAAGCTTAGAGATTCAGTAATCGGCGAGATGTTGCTACTCAGACCTATTGATCATCCAAATGTGATTAAGCTATTGGAAATTCATGAGGACAACAAATAAATATATTTGATATATGAATATGCGAAGGGTGAGTTATTTCAGGAATTCTAAAAGAAGAAATCTGAAAAATCGGAATTTAGCGAATAATAGATAAGCAATTTTATGAAACAAATTTTTGAAGGACTTAAACATATACATTCCCTGAATATTATGCATAGAGACATTAAGTTAGAAAATATTCTGGTCAAAGATTCATCAACTATTGTCATTGCTGATTTTGGGTTAGCAGCCAAGAAAATACCGAAATTTGAATATAAAAAGTATGGAACTCCAGGGTATATTGCCCCTGAAGTACTCAATTTGAAAGTTTATAATGAAAAAATTGATATATTTAGTGCTGGAGTAGTTGCTTATATATTATTGACTCAATAACCTGTTTTCTCAGGGAACACCATCAGTGCTATATTAAATTAAAATACTGCAGGAAGAATTGATTTCAACAATTCAAAATTTCTTTGTCTAAGTCAAGATGCACAACAGTTTTTATAGAGAGTCTTATGTTTAGAGGAAAATTAAAGACCCTCAGCAGCAGATTGTTTGGACTCTTCCTTTCTATAACTCAAATTTCTAAACTATGAATTAGGAACACCATTATAGTAGAAAAAAGATGTACTTATTTCTATGAATTAATAGGTTAGATTAAGTTATTTGGGTTCTTCAGTGTTACCTGAATAGATTAACCTTTCAAAAGCCAAAAGAAGATCAATGAGATAGTATATATTGTTGAAATAGGCTATCAATACTGAGAAATAGAAAGCACTAATCATGTAATAAATAGCTGAACAATAATAAGGAGAAGAAGAGGATTAAGAAAATCTGATTGTTTAAGAAACAGTAAAGAATGTAAAAATAGCAATTTAATTTAGATAGCAGGCTCATTCTATACTGAGACAAAGAATGGGACGAACAATGAGTAATTATCAGAAAGTGACTCAGGGGAGAGTATGAATGGAGAATCATCTGAAAGTGATGATGATGATGATGCTAACTTATTTTTGGAGGATGATTCATGTCATAATCTGTCTTCAAAGCTTTCTCAATTAGGTGGATTCGAAATTAAAATGAAAAGATGAATTAGGTTCAATATTATTAAGAATATATTGATTCTATAATAAATTATTGAGTCATAATATATTAGTAAAATTTTATAATTGATGATTATAATAATTGTAGAGAATTCCAGATATTTATTGAACATATTATTGTTTTTCATATCTTCTTCTTTTTCTTTTTCATCAAATTTACCATATTCTTTTCCCAATTAGGTGGTAATTTAGGTTATTGTTTTTCATTGTCAGGTAAATTGGTCATGGCGCATTCTAGTCTTCTTTCAAAATCCTTAATTTCATCTATGCCTTATTCACATTAACTATATGTTAGCCAATTAGTCATAAGATCTTAATGTGTTGTAATTTTCGGCCTGAAATATTGAAAAACAAGAGAACCAAAATGAGACTCAATGAGTTAATTGAATTTGTAGATTCTGCAAATCTCTCTTAATGCAAAATTTATCTTGGTGTCTGAAAATATTCTATCTTAGAACTTAATGCGATGATATTCTTATATCTAAATTAATTTTAAATTTACTCTATAGCCATTACTCAGTTATTGGTATTTTCCCAACTCCTAGGCTATATTCTATATTCTTATCCAATGACTATTCAGTTATTCAATGTAGAACTTTGCCGAGTCTTAATCGTTGTAACTATAGGAGTGTAAATTGTTTTGTACTGTCTACTTGTTAATCATATATTACATCAAGATAATTTTTTACATAAATTTCCATAAGAGAGGCAACTTCATCGTAAGGACATAGATCGATCTTTTCTCTTACATTTTCATAGGGCTCTCCTTAAAAATACAATTCTTTAAATGCCTAATTTACTTAATCCATTTTTTATTATATTAAAGTAAGAATGAAATCATAAACAAATTAATTATTAGAAAAGATGAACAAGTGCCATATTCACATCAAACAAAATTCTAAACCATCAATTCACTTTAAAAAAATAGTTCTAACTTATCATTGGAGCCTAGCAGTAAATAAATTATAAAAAATTTTCACTTTAAGATGCAAATAGCCTTTAGAAAAAATCAAAAATCAAGATCTATACATTAAATAATCAAGATCGGAGTAAAATAGTTAGATTTTTAAAAACAAATAATCAAATAAACATGTTCGATATTTATCATAATAATCCCAGAAAGTTGAAACTTATTCTCAATTAGATTCTGATTTTATTTCAGAAGAAAGTAATGATCCAGAATAATCATAAAGAAATACTCATGCTTAGAATAAATCTTAAAATTTAGACACTGCAAAAATAGAGAATCAGTAGAGTGAACTTAAACAATCAGCTTATTTTAAGTCGTAGAATAGTTTAGATCAGTTAAAATTCAATGAAGAATTTTTAGACCTATTTAAAAAGCAGAAAGAGCTGAGTTAATTTGGATAGTTGTGTATTATATGTATTTATTTTCATCAAAGGTCAAAATAAAGCCAAAGAATAAGAGATGTTAATTTAGAAGATAATTGAAAGCAGACCATGCAAACCCCATCAAGATTTACATATATTTCTTTCTTTAATGAAAAAGCCATAGATTGAGGTTCAACAACACGCTAAAATTACACATCAAAATGAATAGCCTGTATTTCTAATTCTTATAATATTCTTCATCAGCCTGATTTGCATGTATATAATAGTTTGATTCATATAATTAAAATTTATAATGCAAAAACGATTCTTTATTGCATTTTTAACTCTAATGCTGGTTTAGACGAAATCAGTAATGAAGGGTGTTATTGAATTTACAGCACCAAGTTGTTGTGACCCAATACTGAAAAAGGTCACGTTTCCAGATAAATTTGTTGATATCCCTTAAATTTTAGTAACAATTAGAGCCATAGAATATGATGCAGGTCCTGTAGGATTTTTCTGCTAAATTTAAGATGTGACTGAATAAGGTAACTGCAGAGAATCTATGTAGATTTTACATTTTAATTGACAGTTCTCCATGCCACATTAAAAGTTTTAGCATATGAATATATTGCGATTAATTAGGATGAAGTTGAATTTGGGTATTTCAATGTTGATGCACTTTCAATTTTGAAGAAGGCAGAAGCTGGAGATAAAGTCATACCATCCTTATTAACATTTAAAAGAACATTTACTGAAGACCCTATAGTGTAAGTATTCCTAGTCGGAGTGGAATCATAATCAAAGCTTATATAATTTGAAGTCTCTCCATTAACAGTTTCATTACACGGAGTTTAATTAAATTTCAAGAAGTTTGGAGAGACAAGCGTCTAGAAAGTCTAATTGGCATATGTTGCTACATAGTCTAGCAGGGAATTAGCATAATAAGTTACACATACTGGGTAAAAGTAAGCACATATTGAACCTGTTGATCATGAAGAGGAATCTAAATCATCCGAAAAAGTGGAGGAAACCAAAGAATTTTTATAATTAAGAAGCAAACCTAAACTCATTTAAATAAATGGGATTAATGGTCTGAGATTTACATCATTGCCAGTAGCTTTTATGTGGCAAGGAGATTAAATTGATCCTACTGCTTTGAATGTGAATTTGAGAATAACATTGGATAAAGGAAATTAAGCAGTTTTGGGACTGTATTATTTCGAAGAAAAAGAATATAAGAAATGTCCTATTGTTTATTCAATGTGTAATTACTAAGGATCAAAAGTATACTTGTGTAAAGATGTATCTGATTTCAATTCAATCATGAGATTAGCCAAAAGTATCTATATTCCAGAGAAAACATCTGTTGTAGTCTATTAGGATCCCTCCTATAGTGGAGCAAAGAGCAAAATTACTAAGAGTATACCCTGTATATCTGATTGGTTTACTGATGTGGCTGAAACAGAGATGTCAGATATTAAATAGTTTCTGTAAATCAACCAAATGAAAAGGCACAAAGATTTAGAATTTAAAGAAATTCATTTAGAAAATTAAAAGCAATTGAACAAGTTTAATATGGTTTAATTACCTCGTTGGAATGAAGCTGAAAAAATTGAAGTAGTATAAGCAATATTAGATTCAAATAGTCCTCCTGCAAATTCCTATAAATAAGAGTTAAGTATAATTATTCTTTTAGTATTTTAGTATAAAAATTAAATGAAGAAGAAGAAACTTTTCTCAAAAATAGACAAATCTATTGACTGAATTCAAATTTTAGTAATAATCATTAAAATAATATAAACTAATGTTTTATAAATATTTATTCTCATCTACTTATTCATTTAAGGAATTTTATTTGATATTTCTTCAATATTCTCAATTAATTAAATACAAATAATAAATTAATAATATTATTTTTTGGTCATGCTTTGAGTTATCTAGCTTAATGCAACTATTGTCTTGATTCTTTCCAAACTTGTTAAATTTCGTTGATTTTTAAATGGTCCAACGAAATTACATAAGATTATGGCAATCAACAAATTCTCATTTTTATCTGAATTTTATTTTCTTTTTTTTTTTTACCTATTTTCTTCAAAAAAAGCAAAAAGTAAAATATTGTCATCTCGTCACTTTCATTTTTTCAGTTTAACATAATTAAATAATTTATACCATATTCTAAGAAAGTTCTTAATTGCTTTGTACTTTGATTGCCCTAATGAGATTTCTCCAAGATTATAGGTTATAAATCTTGATTTAAATAGATTAAAAGTTCAATATGCTTGAGTGAATTGCATTCAAAATTTTAATAACCTATTTTGCTAACTAAGTCCCTAATTTGATGATTTCTATAATATTGTGTAACAAAGAATATCTGAGAACTTCAATGAAATCATTCTAATCAGTTTCATCTACCTAAAGTAATAAGTTAAACGCGGATATTTAAGTTTATTTTTAATTAATTAAACAACATTTCAATAACAATTCTGTCTAATTATTTACATTTGCCTTATTTTTAAGTTCTTTCAGTATTTATAATAAGGGACTTAATTAAATCCTTGAACTATATTTCTCTTAAACATCGACTTTTGAAGATTGCAATCTAAACAATTTATTATTATTCTAATCTGTATATAGATAATTTCTATTATCTGATTCTTCTAAATACTTTGTTAAATGAAGCTATATAATTTAACTTAATTTTTTGATATTATAATTATCTAAATCTCTAATCAATGTACTGTACTTATGATTTAGTTCTTCAAGCTTTTATTCAACTGAAAATTAATTATTGATTAATAATTTACATGTTTATTTATCATTATTAAATTGATTATAAGAAACTTTATATAGTAGAGTTCATTATTGAAAGCATTGGTAAGGAATGATATGGGTGATTAAAGTTTCCATAAATGGATATCGGAAGGTCTCAAGGCAAGAATATTAATAATATGCGAGATAATATTAGAAATAGAATAATATTGGTTTTTTGAAAATATTATCAATCATGATTTCATATATCAGGTGATTTATTAACCAATCAGGTATAATTTAAGAAATAAAAAATGCTAAAATGTAAAACTATTAATGTTCTTATTAATAGAGAGTTTATCTAAAATTAATTAACAAGTATATTTGTCAAAAGTAGTGGGTTCAGCAATTTAAAAATATTAATAAAATTTATTAAAGTATATGATATCAATCATTTTCTAATGAATTAAAGACCAGCTGGATTATGCGTTTAAATTGATAAGAAATATTCATAAACTTCCATTAATTCTTTTTCGGCTACCACTTTGGTTGAGCCAGGTTAATCAATAATCACATCTAAAATTAAAAACTTTGTCAAATATTTAATGCATCTGGTTAATTAACTAAATTGAAAGCCAAAAACAATTTCAATGAATGGCTTATAAATGCGCTAGAAATCAAGAACGTCTTTCTCTGAAACTTTATTTTCCACTATTCTTTGATAAGTGCATCCACAATATTGTTTTAATAAAACCAAATAAAGTAAGGATGCAACTATTTCTCGATTGGTAAATTAATATAACTTGATATCTAAAATGGCACAATCTAAAAAGGTCATGAAATGTCTAAATAATGCATAGGATGATTGGGTTGGTTATTTAATTTATAGGTTGGGCTAAGGATAGTATATATCCCATTAGGATAGGTACCATGAAGTCCAAAGATAAAGAGTTGGGGGATTGATCATCCATTTTAATTCAGTTAAAATATCTACTTCCTTATCCAAGATTTATTGTTCTGTGAAACCATAATTGCTGGCAGACGAAAAATCGTTCACTTTGGGTGGATAGATTTCCTAGAATAAATGATAATAATACTTCTATTTTACATGCAATTAATAGACTTGCTAAGCCACATAATTAAAGTTCTGACTTACTAACAGAGGCTCTGGACATATATCTATCCAAATTGTGAATACACAAATGAAAAGTCTCTCTCTTTAATGTGAATTCTTTACAGACTTCACTAATCCAGTCATATAAAATTGATCTCATCTATGGAGAGATGTGAGATTAATGATCAAAGAATTATGGATGAATTTTATATTCCAACTCTTTTTAATACAACAGTCTTAACGTATTTTCATCAAAAATTCCTTCCTTTTGATCATTAATTTCTATCTATTCTTGACATCCAATATCTATCTTCTTCAATTTGGTTCTTTGAGATTAAGCTGTTTTTTTTATTAATTGACTAATCTATTTTCTAATATCCTCTGTGTTAGTATTTTAAGAAGTTTTTTGTTTCCTCTAAGTGTCATTGCTATTCATATTTTCCTTATTCTTTAATCCACCAATTGAAGCTTTCCTTATAGTGATTTACTTAGGGGAAGGATCAAAAAGAGCAACAGCGCTTAAATTCTTGCGTCTTGCATCTTAAATAATTAGTCGACTCTGTAGAGGCTGCTTCATTCAAATTTAAATAACGAAAATAAACATAATTAACTTTATCTATAATTATCATTTCGAATCTCTACATCTACATCCCTATCATATTTGCATCATCTCTCATAGTTTCTTATAGGTTAAGGCACTCAAACCTATATACATTGAAGAAGTATGAATTTTAAAAATTTAAGAATTAGCTCATCCTATGCGATTCTATTTGATTGAGCTCTTAGATGGCTTGATGTAAAATATACCTATAGTGAAAATAGTTAATACTATAATGTTAAGTGTTTATCTACATATAATGAAAAATAGGTTTATAGAAGACTGACTGATCAATCTGTTTTGAACATCCTAATGGAAATATTTACGATAAAACTTGCAAAAACAAAATTGGGATATCAAAAGTCTTAGAGTATTTCTAAGAATGTATATATGATAATCTAAAAATATGCATATCCTATAATATCATATTCCATTTATGATTTTTTCTTCTTCACGGGTTTTTTCCTTAATTATGAATTCTATTCTATTTTATTTCTAATCAAGTTAAGATAGCTATTTTTGTGTGAACAGTTTTTGTAATGTTATTTTTGATATATATTATGTATTTATGTACTAATACTAAATAATATTGATATTATCATCATTAGCTTTGTGATTCATCTAAACTTTCAAATATTTTAGTTGAATGCTCTGGGTTCATAATGAGCATTTTGTTGTAGGAACTAGCGCATAATCCACTATATTGATTTGATCTACCAAATCTACAAGCCTTTGCTATTGATTTTTCATTAGCAACAATATAAGGTGCTTTTCCATCTTGAGGAGCCTAAACAATTCATCTGATTTCAATACCTAATCAAAAAAACAAACAACATATTCCATATATTTGTCTACTGATTTCTTAATTGCTCTTCCACATCCAAATTGGGAAATTGTTGCTATGACTAATTGCTCAGCATTTTGTTAATTTTGCTTCCATTTTTTCACAATTTCTTAAGGGTTCCATTCGACTCCTGATGATTCTACCGTTCTTTAATGAAAAAGTACTCCAAAATCACCTTTTAACTTAGTAGGATTTATATAGTACGTTTTTACAAGTACTGAGAGAATCAGGACATCTTTCAGCACAATTTTACGCTCCTCTAGACAATCCAATTGACCAAGTAGTTATTTGCATATTAGCAGCATATTCAAATGATCCCAAATGATTAGGTTGTCTTGCCTATGCTACTTCATTTCTTAATTGATTGATGGATCTTTCAAATTCGTATATCTATTTGGAAAATATTCCTTTAACGGTGGTTGTGCATTCTTAACTAAAGGAAACTACAAAGATTCCATAGAGCAGAATTAACATCATTTTCATATTATATTTATTATTCATTTCAATGCTACTTTCAATTCAATGTCTATTCTCAAATTATTTTCAGTAGCTAAATCAATGATTACAACCCCTGATGCTTAAGTGATCAATTCTATTGCTCTTGTCTATTGATCTGTTACAATATTGTTTTAATATTTTAGATATTTGAAATATATATAGAGACATATGATGTATATATATCCTATTGAACATATGGTTCAGTCTTTAAAATCTGAATTAAATAAGCTCATTATTAACTTGAGCTATTTCTTCTTGTTTATAATGTTAGTTTAATTGCATTCCTTGATTCAGACTTACATTTAAGCCTAAGATAATAATTGTGAATCAATTTATGGATATATTGTAGATAATCCAATAAATTAAAGCCTAAATATCTTATAAATTTTTTAGACAACTGCTATTTGTGTACATAATATTAAAGACCATATGTGTAACCACTCCAAAACAGACTATATATAGTTGTATTAAACCACAATGGAACGTTTTGAGTTGCACTTTCTTTAGCCAGATTTGTATATTTTGGCTTGGTTTCAATAACAAAGATTATATTTCAAATAGAAGACACTAGTAAGATTATTTCATATGTATGTAGATAGATTTGTACATTGTTTAAGATTAGTTAAAACTTGTAATTTCAATTTACTTGTTGCTTATTTAGGTTCCTCTTGTATTGTTTGGATTAATAATTAGAAAATCATCAATAGTCCATTGTAGATGATTGATTATTAATATATTCTGTAATGGGGAAGTGCAAAGGGAATATAAAATGTTCCTCTGTTAAACTTTTCCAGTAATTTCTAATTTCTAATTAATCAAAAAGATAAAGATATAAGTTGCTCTGTAATTGAAGGGAGAATGAATTGTAAATTACTTTTGAAATACGGTATTATAAATGATACTTAATTTTATTGAAGAATTGATAAGTAGTTTTAATATGCTTATCGCGATAATATATTTTATAAAAAATGAAAGTTGTGATTTTCTTTGAAGTTATCATATCGTTTGAAATCATTTGGAATTTGATTTATAGAATGGAGAATGATAAACTGGGATTTATAGTGAGCGCTGTAGTTCTGCATTATATAAATTTTTTGATCAAATGCATCTTAATCAATCTAGAATCTCAGAAGTGGTAATTTTGGGGTGCCTTAATTGTGAGTGAGTCGATAAGCATGGGATTATTAAGCATGCAGTGGTAGAACAAAATAGATCTGATACAAGTAAATATTGATGTATAGAAGGTTTTAATAGTTATATAATGTGGATGGGGATTGAATATACAATAATACTATATTCCTGGAATGTTCTTAGGGTTGTACTCCTTGATACTCGAATTTTTTAAATAAGGATCTTCAATATATGATTTGATCAAAACTATCATTATTCTGATTCTTTGTGTGCTCCTGGCATATAAGATGAGGCCAGAATAGCATAAGGATATGGAGGCTTCTCCGATTCCAAAGGTGGAACTTCAAATGTCAATAAAGTTTGATATAAAGAATCACATTCTTGAATTAGTGTAATAAATAAAGATATTATATAACTAGTCCTTGGCTAACCGAATAAAAATTTATTGTTTTTAATGACAAAATGCTCATGCTTTATGAGTAGGCTCAATTATTGTAATTTTTTGACAGTTCTGTAGACGAGGGGGAGGAAATGAGTGACTCAAAGTTGGTGAAACAATTGTTGGATTGCAAATGTGACTCCTTATCCACTGGCTTACTCAAACTTTTATAGGGGTATAGCTATTGCTATAATAGAGTCCATAACCCAAAAAACGAGCATTTTTGAAGCCTGATTTGAAATCGATTTGTTAAACTCTGTTAGAGAATGGCAACTCTATCTATAATTATTATTCAGCTGGAGAAATAGAAAGTAAACAGTTTAAATTGCAGAACTTTAAATTCAATTTTATAATCTTAAGTGACATCAGTTAATTTGAGAACATTCTCATTCTCCACATTGAACAATAGTTGGAACGTAAGAACTAATTTAGTAAGTCCTTACACACCATAAGTGTTCATTAAAATCATTCGAGTGCTAACAACTCTAAGACTGTGGACAACAATACTATTTCCAGTTCCTTACTATATAACATCTTTTAATCTGTTTCGCATGAATTCGGAACCTACTTGAATTGCATTATGACTGTAAGTAGAGAAGCCTTGAATAGTTCTATAATAAAGAAGGAAATTAAAGAAGTGTTTTTCGATCCCATTTAGATTAACTCATAATTACTTAATTACATCCTACGTAACATTCGAGATTACAATTCCATCTTACTACAATAATTCACCTTAAAACTCCAAGAATTTAGTCCCTATCAAACTATTATGGAAATCATCAATCTAATGGATAAACAATTAAATTTCCGATCCAACACAGTCAAAGTGGATTGTCCTGTCGATTTAAAGGTATACAACGATGCTGAGAGATACAAATAAATAATTTATTAATTACTCTCAAATTCTGCGCGATTCACTTCAGAAGGTACAATAACAATTGAAGTTACTCTGAATCAAGACAAATTAAAAACCAAAATTACAGATACTGGCATTGGTATGAGTATATCAGAATCTCAAAAATTAAGTGAGATGTTAAAAGACAATAAAAAAATGTTGAGAGTGTCTTCGAATTCAGTTGGTTGTGGTTTGGGTTTAAGCATTTCAAATGCTATTGTGTAAAAGATGCATGGAAAAAAAGGATTAGAATTCAAGTCTACATAGAATAAAGGAACTGAGTTCTAATTTTCTATTAGAAATTCTCAATAATTATATAATGAAAGTGCCTATCAAACTAGTTAAACTTATTTAAAAATAGTCAATCAAATTTATTATGTCGAATAGCAACCTTCAGAAGCCTCAATTAAGCAGATGTTGGCCTCTAAATACGAAGCCAGTTTGCGTAGTCAAAGCAATAGTGGAGGGATGCACAGAGGACAAAGACACATTAAGAGTTTCTCCATTAGGAAGCATTCAGCAGAAACTCAATAATAGTTTTTGCATCGGATCACTGACATCAATTAGATTAAACAGGATATCGATGCTGATTAGAATGATGATGAAGAGGAGGAAGAAAATGAAAATGATCCCAGCTTATATAAACAATCTTTAATCGTAATACCAAGTCTAGAAACTAATTTTAAGACCTAAATTGTACAATATAACATTAGTTCTAAATGTTGCAGTAGAGTTTTGATTGTAGATGATGAAGTTTTCAATATCATCTCAATGCAACTTATTCTTTCAAAATTTTCAGTCAAAAGTGACAAAGCTTGCAATGGTATAGAGGCTATTCGGAAATGCGAGGAGAAGAAGCTCAAACCATGCAAAATATGTAGTTGTTAAGGATATGCTGCCATTTTTTTGGACATAAATATGCCACTCATGAATGGGATTGATACTGTAAGAATAATCAAAAAAAAAATAAACGAGGGTTCCATTCCTAGAGGACTTTGTATAGCTAATACTGGATATTGTGATTTTGAAACCAAAAAATTCGCTATTGCTTAAGGTATGGATTATTATTTTACAAAACCTATCGATGTCAAAGAGTTAGAAAGTTATTTAAAAACCAAGTTTCCAATCAACTAATGATAACTATATATTATATAATTTAATTAATGCAATTTGAGTTAGAAAAAATTTTGACAAGCTTTAAATAACTTGCATGCTCATATTGCAACTAGAAAAACTAATCAACAGCTTACATTCAAGATGGCATGACTGACGAAGATGATGAATCATTTTTTTTAAGAATCAATAAAAACTCATTTTATTATGTTTACAGGGCCATTGAACCCAAAAGGAATCTAGCATATTTTTAAATGAGACTAACCAAAAGAAAAAAATATATATTAGCGAACATTGAAATTTTTAGGAAGGATTTATACGATAACACACAAATTAAGGCATTTATTGATGACAATGGTTATCTAAACTTTTCATTTCATTATTTTTTGAATGAAAATTGCTCAATAAAAGTTCCTTAATTATTAGATAAAAAAAAGATAGTAATCACTGATGCAATAAACAAATTTGAGATGAAAATTCACAATAATATGTCTGGGTTAAACAACGCAGTGAACCAAAACATACCCTCAAATAAGCAGTTAATAGAACCTTTGCCATCAGTGTAAAGTTTTGGAGTAAAATTAATCAAAGTGGTAAACATAGTAAAGAGTAATCCAGAATAAAAGAGAATCTATTATTAGGTTTAAGGTTCTAACAATCTTTGTGAAGATATTTACATAAATATAAAAGAGATTGATCAGAAATCCTATAGCCTTATTTAAAATGGAAAATTACTCAAACTAGAAAAATAAATCAACACACTTCTAAGTTTTTTAGATATTGACATCTAAGGTACTTTCAGAAATCTATTTTTAACAATATATTTGGAGAATGAGAAAAGAAAGTATTTTGAATTCAACCAATTGATGCCTCTATCAGAATTTTTTGAGAGAAAATTATAATTTAATGAGACATTTCAAATTAGAATACAACTACTAATATAGGTATTATGTGTTTCTTTATTAAAAATATTTTTAAATCTTGATTTAGGTTCCACTTAATAAGATATTATTCTAATTAATTCGAGAAAATAAATTAAACTTGACATGCTAGCATATTTAAAATGCTCTTCATGTAAAACTGAATAATAATCGGAATAATCAGATTAGATGGAAGAAATATTGAATTATTTTGAATTTTTGTTGCCTTATAGAGTAAAATATTTATTATATTAAAGGAAAGGCCCATCTTAATATAAAATCATAACATCACTAATGAGCTGTAAAACATGAAATAACTAATTAAACAAAAAAAAATAACTGTGAAACTTATAACTTAATAGTTAATTCATATAGATAAGCAAATATAATAATATGTAGGACTTTGAAAATGTCCTATAACATGATTTATTATGTTTCCAATTATTAATTAATTAATTTAAGTTTTGAGCATGATGCCTAATAATTAAGCGTATACGTATGATTAATTTTAATACATACCATTTTTACTTATTAATAATGTAGTAATGATTAATGGTTTTATGGCACAAGGCTAATGGTTTTTTTTAATATAAAACTTCTATAAGAATACAGAGTTGTAAATTCCTAAGTGTAATTTCCAGACGGATAAATATTTGATTGATATTTAGATCATTAGAGTATACATGTATCTTTTTGTGATATTTTGGTTTTGATTGTCATTGGAACTTATTGGATCATCCAGATGATATTTTGTCTCTCTATATGAGTTTGGATCTATAAATAGTAGAAACAAAGGAGATAGAAAAAGTTTAGTATTTTAATAATGTTTAAAATTAATCGGGATTTATGGATCAAAAACAAATATAAAGCATTATCAATAGTAGCAAGTGTTGGTTTATTGATGCTGGCATTTAGAAAGAGGAAAATAAATCCTTTTGAATCTACATACAGAAGAGTAGCGTAAGAGATTCAATAAAAAGTTTTAACAGCAAAGTATGTCATACAGACAGAGTTAAAGTTATCTAATGAAGATAAAACTCTTATTTTAAACAGTTCTATTCCTTAAATTCACAATTTTTACGAATCTAAAAAGTTTACATGTTTGGATGTTTTATTAACATTTTTGGAAGTATCATTGGAAAAAGGATTCAAAATGGGATATTTGAATGATGTGAATTTTGAGGATGCCATTTAAAAAGCTAGATAATTGGATTAAGAATTAAAGAATAAAGATTATAAGATAGAAAATATGCCTTTATTTGGAATTCCCATAAGTGTGAAGGACACCTTTATAGTAAAAGGAACATATCAAGCCTTTGGGTGTGGTGCTTATGCTTAAAAGAGATCGGAAATAGATGGAATACAAGGATATTTAATAAATAAATCAGGAGGAATAATATTCGCAAAAACAAATTTACCATAATTTGGATTTTCATATGAAAGTTGGAATTATTTATTTGGAAGATCAACCCATCCATAAGATCCTTCTAGAACTTCAGGTGGTTCAACAGGAGGAGAAGGTGGATTGCTTGCAGTGAATGGTTCTCCTTTGGGATTGGGAAGTGATAGTGGTGGAAGTATAAGAATACCTTCTCATTTTTGTGGTTTGTATGGATATAAGCCAAGTGCTAAAAGGTTGATAATGAGAGGTTAGGCAAAAGGTGTACCAACATGGGATGGAATTAGGAATATTGCATCATGTTATGGTCCTATGGGTAAGAATTGATTAATATACATAAGCTAAACATTTTCCAAATTTAGTGAATATGATGTAGGCATTGACAACCAATTATGAATAGGCTCCAATTAACATCAAGGATATAAATTTTGTGATGAAAACATTTGATGAGAAGGAGTGTTATAACAATAATAAGAAATACAAGATAGGAGTCTTAAGGAAGATCAATTTACTTTTACCTTGCAAAGCAAATCAAAGGGCATTAGATATAGCAGTGGAGAAATTGAGAGCATAAGGACACACAGTGATAGAATTTGACATTGATTAAAGTATTTATGAGAATGTTTTCTAACATGTTTATGATGTGATATTAGGTGATGGAAAAATGAAAGGAACTTATGAATTATACAAAGGAGAACCATGGATTTCTCATTTTGATAATTTTAAGAAGGCCACTCAATCATGTCGTTTGTGGAAGGAGATTTATTAGAAATGGTTGAAATTATAGGATCGCAAAAGAGAATTAATGATTTGGAAGGCAGGAGATCATGGATTGTCATACTATGAAAATCTTCAAATAACAACTAGATTGACAGCAAGCCAAATTTAAATGATTTAGATTTGGCATGATTTATAATTAGATGCAGTCATAAGTCCTGTGACTGCTGGAGTAGCTGTTAAACACAATACTGCATAACATTGTTTTAGTGGAATCTGTTATACATTCTTCTGGAATATGATTGATTTCAGTTGTGGATCAGTTCCTATTACAACTGTTTAGGAGGATGAGTAATATTACAATGAGGAATCATTGTTTGGGGCTAAGGATATTGAATATAAGGTCTTAGAAGAAACTATGAAACACAGTGCAGGATTACCAGTAGGCATTTAGGTTATCTCAAAACCTTTGGAAGATGAAGTTTGTTTAAATATAATGAGATAATGTGGATAATGAGTATTTAAATATATATATATAAAATGAATCATTGATATTCTGTTAATAAATTAATAAATCCACCTCCAATTATAACAAAGGGTATTGGAATGCCTTTATACAGACACAAACAACTCAGGATTCCTATGCCCATAGGGACTACAACACCATTACTACAAGAGTTAATTATCAAATGCACTATTGAACTCAATATAAATCCAACTGCAACTGCTGCTATGCCTTACAAAACTGCCCTAATAGTTCTTAATCCTCTGTATTTCTTCCAATAAGGCAATATCCCAAATATTGTGAAGAATCCAGGAAGGAACATAAATATTTCTGCCAAAATAGCCATCGGTATTCCTCCTATTAAGGCTCCAATATAAATTGCAATATTGAACATAGGGCCAGGCATACAGGAAACTAAAGCGAAGGCATTCCAAAACTGTTCTGTAGTCAAATAATTTGATAAAGAAAATTAAATCATAGGTAAAACTACATGGCCTCCACCAATAACCAAACTGCCAGTCTTGAATAGATTACTGCTCACTGCTATAGGCATCCAATCAATGTAGGATAAAAAGAAAAACAAAACAAATGAAATTCCATATCCAACCAATGATCTATAGCCCAGCAACCAACTATCAAAGCTTCGCTACACTTATTCTTCTTAAGGAATTAACAATTATTATCCGATTTATCGATCTGAAACATAATTTGAGATAGCTCCAATTACAATCATTAATACTGCAATAGAGGGTGTGGGAAAAAATGTCGTTACGATTGCACTAACAATCCACAAGAACAAATGAAATTTATTTTTAATGGCTCCATTTGATAATTTATAAGCTGCCTCTATTATCACTCCAATTGATGCATATTTAAATCCATTTATCAATAATTTTATCCATGGTATTGATAAATTTGGAACAGTGAGTCCTAGTACCATCATTACAAATGCTGATGGCATGCTAAAATATAGAAATGCTACTAATCCTCCCAAACAACTATGTGTAAGGTTGGCTCCTACTGCGATTACCATTTGAGTAGAAGTGGGACCAGGTAAGGTTTAACACAATGCAAATAATTCTTGGAATTCATCTTCAGTGGTGTAATTTTTAAATCTTTCTTTAAGCACATTTATATGAGCTAAGGGTCCACCATAGGTGATGAATCCAAGGGGAAACATCACGTCACCTAATTACTTTAAAGTCATTTATTTTGAAGAAGTATCCATAGGAATCATGATTAATAATTTTATTATATTTATTCAATACTTCCTAATTCACTCTCACTGTAAGTACCATGGAAAAAGGTAGATCCAGATCCATCTAACAATCTAAAATGACTAATGAAACAATACTTGTTTCGGTATTTCAATTCTAAATTTGATCTAAATTAATACACCTTTCTAATTGTATTCACCTTCAAAATGGTTGAATTGAATCCATATTAAAACACCAATATCATTAAGTTAATCTCCATGGCTATTGAACAAATATTATTTATCACGAGAATTTATTCCACCTATAACCAGTATTGAATGTTGAATGAGACAAAATATGAGATGATCAGCACTGACGTAATGATGGGGAATATCAATGTTTCACGATAGGATTCCTCTAAAAATGTGAATCTACTCTTCTGTCTAAAATCTATTAAGAAATACTCACTTTTCCAAGAATTTAGTACTCTTTACAGAGTCAATGATCCCAAAGACTAAAAAGATTAATTGGAATGCAAAAAAGAAGAAAAATTAAAGGACTTTTGTCAACAGTAGTTCTTTTGAATTAAACTTTATTGCACAAATCTATGAATTTTTATGAAAATCGGTATTCTTCATCACCAACAACGATATCAAATAAAATACAACCGGAACAACATAGGCCATTACTATCATTGTCTATTATATATTAATCCTTATTTTTACTTTTTAGGCAGCATTCCATAAAATCACTTTGTTTGTAGATGTAGCATACATAGTAAAAGATTGCCATACACAAATCGCACTCAAACCAATAAATGTAAATGACCATGAAACCTAGCAATTCACTAAAGCCATTAGACATCCCAAACAAATTAAAAGCACACTAACTAAATATTGAATTATCAATACACAGCAAATTCAAAATCGTAAATGTGATTTTATTGTCAATGCACTTCATATTTATTATAATGCAATATAAATCTATCACACCAATCAATAAAGCCAAAACCAAATAAACTATGAAAACAACTTCCATTAATTTTTTATAATTATATAAATACAATAACCATTTACTATGCAAATATAATCAATTACATCATTTGAAAATTTTATTCAAAATATTCTGCAAACAAAAATATCTGCTCATAATGTAAACTCATTCTATTTGCATAATTCTAAGCTTTCAATAGTGCATAGTACCCTTCTTTCTCGAATTTTAAGGTTCGTATTCAATTATTATAACATGCGGAATACTGAATCTCATCTCAATTAAGTTTAATATAATTTACATATGGAATGATAACAACCACATAAAAAGTATAACTCTTATTGTTTAGTGCTATACAATCTATTTAATAGATAAGTATCATTTTTATTCCGACCAAACCTAAGATTTTAAAGTGAGAAATGATATTTTTCAATTATTGAGATATTAAACCAAATTATGTTGTCCCAAACTACTTAATATGTTTGATATTCCTATCATAAATATCTATAAGTATGTATGCTTCTTTATCTATACACATCAATCTTAAATAAGAGGAATTTAACTTAATCTATACAAAGCTTTTTCCAAAATAAATTATTTCAAGATTCTATGTTTCAGATAAGGATTCGGCATTTCTAGCTCTATTTTGCACTTAGTTTTTAATATCAATAAGATCTTTTCGATATTGTTAGATCAGTGATAATCTATTAGTAAAATTTTACAAATTTTCAAATTTGTGTTGAACACACAGAATATCTCAAGAGATATAAAAACCATAGATATAAAGTTTATAAAACTCTATCAATTACGAGTATTTATGAATAGAATTAATTTTAATATTTTGAAAATAAAAGTATTATTTAATAGAAAAACCTTAATGATAAAGTTTATTATTCTGTACAAATGCTTATGATATAATATTTCATTTTCATTATGGTTTGTTTGAAGCCACTGGTTATTATGGTTATTATGGTCTAGCACCAACTTGAGGATAACTTGGATAGACCTAAAAAGGGGATAACATATAGCTAATACTGGGGCATAAGCTGGTCTAACACCTGAATAAGTGAGTGCTGGAGCAACAACTGGTTGAGCATAGACTGGAGCTTAGGCGATTGGTCTAGCAACTGAATAAGTGAGTGGTTGGACTGGTTGAACGTAGGATTAAACAACTGGTTAAACAGGGACGGTTTAGACTGGTTGATATTACTAAGATAGTTTATTGATTGAGATTACCACTCTTTATACTTCTCTCTCAACAGCATCATATTCAACTCTAGGTACTGTTTTAGTGACTGGTACGTATTCAGTTTACTACTCATAAACTGTTCTAGGGATGTACTCAGTTTAGTATTCAACTGGATAGTAATCAGTCACATATTTGGTTTTTGGTACTTAAACTTAAATAGTTTCTGTTTCCATTTCGACAACAGGTCTTTGATATTCTCTGTATTCAACTCTAGATTCTCCTTTGATTGGGGCTTGTTATGGGGCAGCTACAACTGATTGGGTGAGGATTGGTTGAGCAATAACTGGTTATTGAACAACGGGTTGGGGCACATATTAAACAGGTTGGGGAACGTATTAGACTGGTTGAGCATAAGTCACAGGTTGAGCATAAGTCACAGGTTGGGCATAGCTTACTGGTTAAACTACGCTGACTGGAGCTGGAATAGAACTTGTAAGAGGTGCTGTTGGATAGATAGGCATTCTTTTATATTCGATTAATATTATATTTAATATCCATTATGAAATAAATTTTATTTGAAATTTAATTAGTCACTTCATTATCTACGCATTTCTAAAGTCTAATTTGCATGTTTTTATATTATTAATTATAATTTATCAATTCTTGTTTCTTTAATTTAAATGAATAAGTGTGGAGATCAAATATTTATATTATTAAATTAATAATATGGCAGATGAATAAGCTGAATTCTTTAAGGAAGTCTTAAAGTTGATTTCTAACTTGCACTTTGAAAATAAAATCACAGAAGATTAGAAGTCAGAATTAAAGAAATTGTTGATGGACGACGAGGATTTCGTTAAACAACTAAAGGAGGAATATCAAGATGAAGGTCTCAAGGGAATAGTAAACATGATAATTGGTGACTCACTTTCAGATTGTAGTTTCAGAGATTTACTAGATTTCAATTAGGAAAAAAGAAAAAGATCCTAATCGTTAACTATTTTAACAGACTCTTCAGATTGAGTCGATTTCTGCTAATCTTCGCACTGTATAGGCATTTGATATATGCATTATTTACATATAAATATATGGATGTCATTCATAAAAAGTAACAATATATCTAATATGTCTAATTCTAATAATAAATAATTTTTTTATGAATGATTATTTGTAGAGGACACTTTAATGATGACAAAATATCAAAATTAAGCCTTATACACAAATTCAGAAGAATGCTTAAATAAAATAAGGATTATAATTTATTAATCAAATAAATGAATTTTCACTCTCTTCCTTTATTATATTACTAGTATCGTTATTATTTTTGGTTTGATTTAATCTCTACTTTAACATCATTTTTTTCTGTCCTTTTCCATATAATATTTAATTAATTTCAGTATTTAAGCTTTCATTTATTGAATGAGATTCATTCAGATAGTTTACTTGTTATCTGGCAATTACTTCTAATTTCGGTTTCCTAAGTTATTCTTCAGAACTTTGGATGGTTCTATAAGCAAAAGTAGGACCCCCTAATTTCTTTTGAATTGCTGGTTAATCCATACTAACTTATCTTGGATTCAATTTTGTTGGCCTGAATGAATATTACGCTTTGTAAACAAGACGATAAAAATTTTATTATGTTTTTGGAAACTCAATCTTCTTTTTGGATTCCATGATCGTCTTTCCTTTAACCAGACCTTAAAAAAATTAACCAACTGGTGCTTTTTATTCTTCAGATTCAATTAGATTATTCATTTTTGATTTCAAAGTTGGAAGTTAAAATCTCTATTCTTATTTAGAATGAATCCTAGGCATGCTCTGACTCTATAAATTATCTTAAAGTGTTGTGAGTGGACTACTTAACTATCTCATCTGAATTTATTATTTAATTATAACATTAATAATTAAGTTTTATAACATTCCTCTGAAATAATACATAACAAGTAATAAGGGAAAAAGTTAAAATAGCTAATAAAAGTTGTAAAATAAAGATTTATTTTTATATATAAATATACATTTATATGTCATGATTTCGGAGTTACACGATTTTTTTTAATGGCTTTAGGTTTTAAAGGTCCTAAAATTAGGGATAATTATTACTTTTTCTTTTAGATTTCTCCTACGTTTTACAAGGATCAATTTGATCTTTTCGATCAAGGTACTTATTAATGAACATAAAAGGGAATAAAAGGTACCGTTTAAGTTTTTTTAATCCTCTGAACTTTCTTGGTTTTGCACTTGTTTTTTTGACGACCAAATCAACATTCCATTGTCTATTAAAAATCTCGTAATTTTTCAATTATTCAAAATTAGCCATATCCTCAATTTCTTCTTTAAGATTAGAAAGTTTCTTATACCAAAATTCAATCTATTCTTACTCCTTATTTGGGAAGAGTAATAAATTATTCATTTTATTTCTCAATTCATCGAAGAAATTAATTTCCTCTATTAATTGCAATTATTCATCATCTAGAGATTTAGCCTAAAGAATTTTCTTTATATTGTATTTCGATATAATTTATGGGGCTGGACTCATTTAGCCATATTGAGATACCATTAAAAGAGGTGATTATTATTAGAAGTGTTTACTTAATCTATCTTTTCTCATTTTTTCAAGTACATCATATTTAATTAAATTTTTAGATGATAGATGTGGAACTTATTTGCTTCCTCTCCTCGAATTATGATTCTGTTCTGAAAAGCTTTGGTCTTTTAATTCATCTGGATTTTCATTCTCAGATTCACTTTAACTATCTATACTAAGCGGTTGCTCAATATTAGGAAATAAGGATTCTAAATAGAATTGATTTTCGTTTTTAAATTTAATCACTGTATCTTCAACCATCTTTTAATTAGTTTTGGGATTTAGGAACTTAATCTATTTTAATTTATTTTCTTCATTTTCATCTATTTAATTTACAAACACCGTTCTTAATTTCCTCTCCTGTGGAACTCTCTTTTTTTATTTCCTTCTGTATAGATACTTTTTGATTACAACTTCTTTATTAGGAATATAATGCACCATAGGACATAATTAAGTTTTATGAGATTTGGTTTTACAAATAAAACAGAAATTCTCTAGACAAGAAGATTAAGTTAAGAGATTGTGAAATTTTTAGTTTTCAAGATCATTTTGAGATAAAATCTTATGAAAGTAAGAATAAGGAATTGAAAGCACACTGGTGAATGCAGTACTTTTAAAAGTAATATTTGGATTTGCTTATTAGCTAATAAACTCTTCCAGGCCAAAGTAGTCATACTTTTCTAATGTTTGAATTATTTTCTATTTTAGATATGTTAATTATTGATACCTTCTTGTACATCACATCGACTTATCCCTATTCTATGATATGAATGTAAAACTCTTCTTTTGAGTGGATGATTGCTCCTGGCTGATACATTTGAAAGTTCACTTCCTCAAGCAACTAATTGAGAATGTCCTTTGAGAAATTATCGCTGAAAAAGGAGCATTTATTAAGTAGAGATTTGGCTGCTTCTATTCTAAGACTGTGTTGTAGATCTTCAGGAAGCAATTAGATTATCTCAGATTGCTCATTGACTTATTAAATGATTTCTTATTTTAAGTAGAAGTATAGTTATTCTCTCACTCTAATGAATATCATTCAAATAATTACTTAAATTATAAGGTCGGACTTATAGATTTATTGTGCATATACTAATTTATTGCTGTTAGTTTCGACTTGATTTTTTCACTGCTCTCCTTTATTTGGGTTAAGATACTTCCGATGGTATTAACTGTGTACGAGAATAACAGCATGCAGAAGAACATGTAAATTATAGTGAATATCTATTCAGGAGGATCTAAATTATATATAACAATATTTTACTTTTTGGAGTTAAATCACCATATCCAACTGTAAATGTAGTTACACATATGAAATAAAACGACTACAAAAATTGATATGACCATTCATCACTCTCGTATTTATTTAGCCAAGAATCCTCTTGATTTTGTACTGAATATACTCCAAAGACAATCCAAACACAACTGAATATATGTTATACTAATAAAATCATCGCAACTAATTTGATTAGATCAACAATCGAGGTTTACATTCGATTTAATTTGAGGGAATATTAGGATACATCAATAAATTTTAATATATTGATTACCTAAATATACAATAAACACAAGATGAATTTGGCCCAACCCTCTCCCAATATGTATTTATCTATTATCTTATCCTCTTGGATGGTAATTACTATGGTATAAATAAAACTGAACAATTCTAAGACAGTAGAAAAATTTAATTATTTTTTAAATAGTAAGTACCTATCCCTCACAGGTAATCCTTAATCATATGTGATCGTAAATGCTCTAATTACAATATCAAAAATCAATGCAATTGAGAATAGCACCAAGGGTCCCAATTATTTTGCATTAAAATCTTATCCATGAAAAACTATAATAACTGGAACCACGATTATTAGATATATTCGTATTGCAAAGCAAATTAGATCCCAAAAAAACTTAGTATTGCTCATTGGTTCAATTAATGGAATCTGGTTATGTATATGAGTTAGATACTACTTACATTTTGTCTTTATTGTTCTAAATTTCAATCTTAATTAAATTCTAATATCAATAAGTGAAATATATTGATGAATTAAACTCTTTTGAGTTTCTTGACTTCTTCCTACTTAAAATTTATACGAAGAGCTTAAATCATTTATCAAATTGAAATGTCTTAAAGTAAAACTGGATGTTAATTTGAATGGATTCAATAACATTTTGATAAAATCCTTCTGATGGAAATAAACTATAAGTTTTCTGAATGATTTTGATTATTTTAGTAAATCAACATGTCCAAATGTTTACAATCTTTCTGTAATCGTTTCATTTTTTGGAGTAACAAATGATTGAGGATTATTGTATTGCTAAATCAATTATTCCTAGTGTCCTGAATTGGATCGTATGATTGGAGACAATTTCTCTCTCTTCCTCATTTAAGTCTCATGAGATAGTATTTCAATGGCCGACTTATCTTGAGGATCCTCAACGTCAACTTATTATTGATTGGCTTTCAAATTCCCATGGTCAGATTTTTTGGGTTGCGGTTTCATAAGAATGATGATAATCAAATTAATTTAAAATAATATAAATAATTAGATATTTTTCTTTTTATTAATTGAATATGACTTTGTGGATACAAACTTAATTATTTAACAGTACTTATATGATAATATATATATATTCATTTTATTGGATATACCTAAATTGATCTTTTCATTGATCTTATAGTCTATTATTTTTTTCTCATTAATAAGACTGAAGTTAGACGGCGTTCTTGTTATCGTACCACCATTGACTTTCTGGGTAAACCTAACCTATTAACATTCAATCTATATTGATTTATGAAATCATAAGGGAACAACATGTATTTCATCCACCCATTTCCACTAATTAATTAGAACTAATCCAAACTCTTCGAGGTCTAGGTTACTATGTATTTCACAGGATGGATTAGTTTCTTCAATACTATGTTTATATTTGCTTTTTAATTAAAAGTCTGATATTCCTATTATTAATCAAGTTCAATTTTGTCTTCCAAATTTAGTTTAAGTTCTAAAATCTTAATCAAATACTCTATCTATTGAATGTCCTTCTCTGTATATAAATCCTTATGATGCAGTTTCTCCTTCAGAGACTTTAAAGTTTGCAGCTCCAATGAAAAGTGTATTTTTAAGTCCAAAATTTCCTTGTCAGACTTATGAGACTTTTGACAGAAATCGAGATAAGATCGGCTTTCAAGATCCTTAATTAATATTCCCACCGAATCCATATATTTTTTGTTGATATTTTCTAATTCTATTACAAAAGATTACCTTAACTTTCATATTGGGTTGTTTCCTCCTCATTAATTTGATATTTCTAGAAAAACATACTGTCATTTTTCACTTTGACCATTTAAGCAGCTTCCTTGATAATCTCTTAATCGTTGTAAGCATGATACAATTACTTAATCCTGATTGAGTTTCTTCTAAATTTTTATCTCTCCTAATTCTAATAGAAATTGAATTATTTAATGACCTTCTCTCTATCAGTAATATAATGGACTTGTTTACATAGGTCTGGTGGATGTCTCTTTGATTCACAAATAGCACATTTTAATTCTGTATAATTATTGATCTTGAGATTCCAGAAGACCTCAAAATCAGCTTGGTATTTTAATACAATAGAGTAGAACTTAGACCTAGGGATTACTAATGTGCTGACAAATCCAGAACTCTTATATTCATATTTGTTGTTTTTTTAATTATTCAAGAATTCACTCAATCCAAAATGTTCATTTGATTTAAAACAGCCTATCAATACCTTTTTATCATAAGATTTATCATAAATATCGACCTATCCAGATTCAATGATATGTATGAAATGATCATCATCATTAAAGATATTTATTGTTGATGAGGGTTGAAAAGCTTGAAACTGGAGATGTTTCAATAGTTCATTCAAAAAATCAGTTGAAAAATTCTTGTAAAAAAAATCACAATTCTTAAGTACTACACTATTTGATTCCACTGCTATTTGTTTTCTCAGATCATCAGATAATTAACTCAAAATCTCTGTCTGTTCCTTCGTTTATTATGTTTATTCTTGATACCAATAATAGTTTAGATACTCCCTTACTTAAAATTATAATTGATGACTTATTTTTTTATTATGCATGTACTGGTTAATGAAGATCAGTTTTTTATTAATGATATCATTATTGTTTTTCATCCTAGTTAAAATTTCACCTATCGTATTCAAACTAAATGACAGTTGGAATGTACATACAAAAACAAATAAAAAGGCAAACATCTTTTCAGCGATATCTAAATTTGATTTTAAATGATTACTTATTGGATGTATATCACCATATCCCACAGTATACATAGTTACACTAGTGTAATACATTGATTCTATATATAAATCTGTCCATACAACATGTTCCAAGTTGAAAAAGGTAATCCAATTAGAATTTCCCAAAATTAGATGATATTTTCCAATTATCAACCATATACAACTAAAAAAATGTTAGATTATAAGGAGCAAGCCTATCAATTTAAATAATTCAATTAAAGATGATACCAATTAGCCCATTAAGAAGGATTGTTGCCATGATCCTATAAAATTTAATAGATTTTTTAATTAAATAAAATATAAGAGCATCCATAATTTAGGCCAGCCTCCAAATAATATGAATTGGTTGTTAAAATCGAATTTGAAATAGGCCATTGCAAAGAGCAAACAAATTTCCATCATTTCTATTAAGTTAGTAATATGATATTAATTTTTTACTATCTAATAACGATCCACGACAGGTAGGCCTTAATCATAATAAATAGTGATATTTCGTAATAGTAAATCAATTGCAAACACTATCTATGACACGATAATGATGTAATCGTAGTCTTCAATCAGTTATTCGAATGTAATGATGATGGGTATAATATACATAAGATAAATTCTGAATACATTTAGGAGAAGATCCCAAATGATTTTGATTTTATATGATGGATCTATCAAAGGGATCTATTCAAATAAGTACAACATTTTTTATTAAAAATTTTCCAGACCTTATCTGTATCGATATCGTAACCTTACGAAGAAGTCAACTTCATCTAGACTTGGATACTGCATGACTGTTGACTTGGATTTGCCAGCATAACTGATAAAATCTTTGATGTTGCCAGAACTTTTATCATTGATGAGATAGTAATGTTTGGGTTTAAATGATTGATCTGGTTTGATGTACTTCAATAGTTTTCGAACAAAGAAGCCAATATGATAATAGATGATTAATTTTTGAAAGGGTTTGAACACAGGCTAATTGAAACCAGGGATATCAGGACTCGGAGCTTCTATTTTCTTGAGTAATATAATTGATGATGAGTCACATTCATTATTTACAGGAATGTTCTTGCACATAGATGTATCTTATTAGCCAACAGTATTAATATTATCTAGATGCACGCTATTAAGACTATGCATTAATTGTATATAATAATTATAAATGTAAAAACCTAAATTTTTAATCCACAACTTTTTTTGATAATAATATTATTGATTTAATTTATAATTCATTCCTTCTCATGTATTAAACCTTTAACAACCAAGTAATCAAAAACTCCTGTGACACGTTCTTTGTCTAACTTGAAGTTTTGTAGTGCCTAATCTTTCTTGATGATTCCATTTTTGACTGATTCCCTCACAAGTACCTCTTTGAGTATCAAGTATTCTTATTCAGTTAGTCCTAATTTTTGACACAATTAATATTCCTCTTCACAAAAAGATGGACCTGATTTATGCTTATCACGTCCCTCCATCAAAGGAATGAACCTGGTTCTTCTTTGCATGAACCTTTATTTTTATGAGTCATAAACAAATGAATCATTTTGTTTTTATCTTCTTTGATATTGTTCATCTCTCTTTCTCTTATCAGCCAAATACTCCTCAACCTCTTCGAAAGTCTTCATGCCTAATTTCCTATAGTATCTCAACTCCTCTATCTTAGCTCTAAGTTGTTTTTCTTTGATTAGATTCTACACTAATCTTTCGTGATCTTCTGGCTTGTTGAATCTTGCAAATGGTTTCATTAAGTTATGTAATTCCTTCTCCTCTTTTGATCTAGATTTATCTTAGATATTCTGTTTCTTTAAATTGAGCAAGTCTCTTTCAATAACGAACTTCTTTCTTTTGATTCTCTCATCCAATCTTATATTGTAAATATCAAGAACTTTTAATTTCATATCGATTTCAAATGGTTTGTCATCATCATTGAATTCCATTTCTGCCAACAATAGTTCTGCATCATTATCGAATTCGATGTCAAAGTCTCCTCTTTTGGGCATAAACCCTACTATCTCCTACCCACTCTATGAAGACATGTTGGGTGTTAAACGACCGGTTTTAGTTATATTCTGTTCTTCCTTTATTCTTTTGGGAGCTGTTTACGCTCTTTTTGGTTTAATTAATTCAAGCGTATCTTGGTTTCTTTTGGATAATAGTGGCATCTGAAAATATATAAATTTTATAAAAACAAACCTTTCTAAATTCCCCACTCAAAATAATATCATCATAATGTTGTGCTATTTCTTCCTGTGCTTTTTCTCCACCAAGCATTTCAGCTATGTCTTGCCAATTTCCAAATCCCTTCTTCTCCAATCCTTCCAGCAATAATAATTCTTCTTCAGCTGTCCAATCCTCTACAAATATGGGAAAATTCAATTTGTTTATTATAGAGTAAGAATGGCTAATTAAGTGAGATTCTGCAATATTAGTAATCATTATACCAAATTCTTGGAGGTTTAAAAAGCAATTCATGCAAATATCTATCGCATTTGGACAGTCGTTGCATAGAATTCGCGCTTATTTTGTTATATCTTTTTCACAGTTGTCACAATGAACTTTGTTATATGGAAAATATAGATTCTAATGTAAAAATCAAATAAATACATGATAAATAATTTCCTCTCGATTCCCCTCCTACTCCATCTTTTAGTTCTGATTTTTCTTTGTCTTCTTTTTTCCGCTACATATTAAAGCAATATTTACTTTTCTTTGTCACTCAAGAACTTCCTAAAACTTATATACTATTATACATTTTAATATTGTGGCAAATATACTGTTTTAATTAAAAATAATCAAAGGATAATTGTAAATATTTGTATTTTAATTAAAATTAATTGTCTCCATGGGATGTCACTAACAAAAGCTTATTATAGAGTAAAAATAAATAACCGAATCGGAAATCAAGATCAAAATTGAAAAAGTAACTCTACCTACTATCATAGCTCAAATAATACGCAATGCTAAGAAAGAATGAAGATATGTTTAAAACTGTTTAATTTGAAGACCAATTGCAACAGTTAATGAAGTATGACAACAGGAATAATGATTAAGAGGTTCTCTTACTTTCTAAATTGTGTTAACAAAAGAAGTATCTTGATACTGTTAATTTCATTATTGCCTATTGTTAATTATTAAAAGATTAAGCCTATAAAATTACTGCATCTCAAGGTGAAACTGACAGTGTCTAAGGATTAATGACTTATATAGAAAGTATTATCTATGCTTCTTAGATGTTGAACTTGAAGCAATCAGAAGAATTTAATTAGTTTTTTTTATTCTATTTCAAATTGGATGCAAGTAATTTATAAAATGTAGAACCAAAAATAAAAGAGATGTATTAATCCTTCCTTCCCAATTTTGATGAGATCAATTAATATGCCTAAACTTTTGCTATGAAGAGTAAAATAATGGAAAGTGATTTACATTTATCAGCAAATCAATTTAAAATAAGTTGTTAATATCCTTAATTATAACAGAATACTAGTAATTTAGGAACTTCTTCTCATGGAAATCTCAAATTGGAAGACTAAATCCTTCAAACTCATCCTACATATGACATATAAACAAGTTAAATCAATGACGAAAAGAAAAGTTCTAATTTAAATCTCCGTGCGATATCTATCAAATTCAATCTCAGAAGGAATATTGAGTTATAAAGTGAAATGTGATGATATCAAATAAACTAATTTGAAGATTTAAATAAATTTTAAACGAATTCTTTCTTTGTGTTTAATTTATAAATAAAGTATAAAAATCTTGTATTAAAATTCACAAATTCTGATATAAAATCAATACCTTACATATACGCCACAAGAATTTCTATAATAAATTCTCTATTCTTTCCATACCCAAGATATTAAAAAATATGCTATTAAGAGTAATGAGTCGGAATTATTAAAATCCAAAGTTCTTTTTGAATTTACTTCCAAATCTATTACTATAAAAACAGCTCCAACAAATTTAGGTCTTATTACAATATCATATTGATCAATTGCTCCATCTTCAAGTTCATCCTTATTGTTGCAAGCACTTTAATCAATCTTTATATATAAACTAAATAATTAACAATAATTAAGACTGAGGTAGAAATTAATTATAATTTTTTACTTATTTAGATGATAAACTGGTCAATTATCCTAATTCAAAAATTCTATAAATAACTGATATATAAATTCTATAAAAAGTTAATGTAGAAAATTTATTCAAAATCTTAATTTGTGTATTATTTACTATTCTCAATATCAAGAATCTCTTAGAAGTCTGTAAAATTGAAGTAACAACGATCTCCTTAAAATTCCATTTTATACTATAAATTAATTAAATGATATTATTAAATTGAACAATAACCACAATTTCCATCTGTTTCATTTATAACTTAAATACTAGATAGGAAATGCATTCTATTTATTATTAAAATATCGAACATTTTCTCATAACATTAGCCATGAACAGATAAAGATATTATAAGAATTGAAAATATTAATTGGTGCAATATAACATCTCGAAATGGCCATCAATAAGTGATTCTACATAAGTTTCTGATTTTTAAATGTAATTTCATTTTAATTTCTATTCTCAAATCTTATTATTTTTCATAATTACTGTTAGCAAGTTGTTATGATTTCCTAATTTGTTTGTTGGGATTCAGAGCATCAGAAATTTTGAATACAAGAATAATATTATTCTTATTAATGGATGTCTTCTTTATTATTAGATCGTAGACATCCAAAATAAACATATATTTCAATTTTTTTTTTAATTTACATCTTTACCTATTTTTTATTAAAAATGGGAAGCTATTGTTGCGCTTAGGAAGTTACTTATAGTATCTTAATTGTTGTAATAAGGTAATGAAACTCAAATTGAGACCAGACCCATAGATTTCAACTCTACGGATAAGAAATATTCGTGTCAAGCTACAAGTAATTTATTTTCAAATTTCTGCTTTTCCAGAAAAAATAACATTGCTAAAAGTCAGTCCGGATCTATTTATACCGATGAAGCGCTAAGATATTTATAGTGTTTATTCACTTGGGAAGGCCTTGGGAGAGGGTAATCTTTATTTTATATTTGAGGGGCCTATGGTCAAGTTTCGACAGTAACCAACAAAAGAACAGGTAATTGATTAAATGCTACAATTAGGAATGATCAGAGCCATGAAAGCAATAAGAAAAGATAGTTTATTTGAAGAGGAAGAATAAAAATTATTTTAAGAAATGAATATTTTAAAAGATCTTGATCATCCAAATATAGTTAAGTTGTGTGAGTTGTTTTAAGATGAGAAGTATTATTATCTTGTGACTGAGTATTAATGGTTATGATGAATTAGGTATCTTTAAGGAGGGGAGCTTTTCGATAGAATCTAGAGGGCTAAAACCTTCAGTGAAAAGGATGCAGCTCATATAATGAGATAGATTCTGAGTGGTGTTGCTTATTGTCACACCAAAAAAATTGTTCATAGAGATTTGAAACCTGAGAATATTGTATTTACATCGAAAGATGAAGATGCTCAACTCAAAATAATTGATTTTGGGACTTCAAGAAGATTCGAATCAAATAAAAAAATGACCAAAAGATTAGGAACTGTATTAATACGAATTTAAGTATAGCCTTATTATATCGCACCGGAAGTTCTCTTGAAATAATATAATGAGAAATGTGATGTGTGGTCATGTGGAGTGATCTTATTTATTCTATTAGCAGGATATCCTCCATTCTATGGAAAAAAAGAAGTAGACATTTATCAAAAAATAGTCAAAGCTCATGTGTCATTTCACAGTATCTTTTTATTCTCATAATTTCTAGCTGCAGAATGGTCTAGAGTTAGTGAACCTGCAAAGCAATTGATTATAAAAATGCTTTGTAAAAATGTAGACGAAAGAATCAGTGCCTAAGATGCCTTAAATGATCCTTGGATGAAAGAGCACAACTAAACAAATTTAGTTGATCAACAATTTTTAAAGAACCTTTCATAATTCAGTGCCAAAAGTAAATTAAAATAATCGTTGCTCACATTCATGGCATGTTAGATGATACAATAAAATGAGGTAGAAGATATTCAAAAGAAGTTTAAAGAACTCGATTAAAATGGAGATGGGACTGTTTCTAAAGAAGAACTTATTCAGGCATTTTAAGAGAAACTCTTGAATAAAGATTACTTTGTAGAGTCATTGGAGGAGCAAATGGATAAGGTTATTACGTAGATAGACACCAATTTATCTGGTAAAATTGACTACACAGAGTTCATCATTGTCTGTCTGTAACAACAAAGGATGTTAACTGAAGAGAAGATAAAATAAGCCTTTAAGATTCTTGACATGGTAGTAGTGTACTTTAATATTAGGATGGAAACAATTTCATTTCCAAGGATGAATTTCAATAGGTTATGGAGGGAGTGGATGATGTATTATGGAATGAGTTTTTAGAAGAATGTGATGAAGATAAGGATGGTAAAATATCAGAAGAAGAGTTTATTCAAATTATTATGAATAAAATCTGATGCTATTTATATATTTGCTTTGTTAGGTCAATTTTATTTTACATGAATATAGAGAATCCATTTCATTACTTTCACCATTATTTATTTGGTTACTAAATTATTTTATATAAAATTTTATTTATGCTTAAATTTCTATTCACATCGAAGCTCCCTTTAAGATTATTTAAAAGGAGTATAGCATGCTTCTCATAACAATCAGGTAATAAGGAATAGGAGTATTTCTCTGATGGAGAATATGACTCTGAGTCTAAAGCTCTTCTCAGTAAATTTGAAGTATATTAACATTTTGTAAATGCATAAACAACCGAAGAAGTTATAAAGGCTTTCAAAGACAATAATTTATCTTACGAATAGATTCATTTTGCAGCATTTTAATTGATGAACATTGTTACGCATAAGCATGTTCAACATGATAGTTAGTTAGATGCATTTATATAAGAAAAAATCATACCTAATTTTGAGAAATTGAATTCAGAACAAAGTGTTACAATCATTTAACTATTTTTAAAATTGTAAAGTAAATCCTATAGCATTAAAATCAAGAGACACATAGATTAGAATTTGAGAAACTATACATATCTGTAATTGCCTTATGTATTTTCATTTTACTCTAAACAAGGATGGAAAATGGCACACATTGGTAAAATCCTAAAACAGTAATTGTCTACTCAGACTTTCACTGCTCATTCAATATGTTAAATAATTAGGGGTTGCTATATTGAATATAGTACTCTCAAATCAACTTAACACTCAGATTTGGCCTACTTAGCTTGTCAATAATTAATTAACCTTATAGACAATTTAAATTTTCATGGCTTGGTTGCTGTGTTTAATTAACTCGCAAGAATGCACTTAGATTAAACTGCATTTTAAAAAAGACTGCCAGAGGTTATTTATAAACTCTCTGAAAAGTTCATTGAAAACTTCGATTAAATCTCATCGTATTCCAAATTGAAACTCTTAGAAGCATACTCTGAACTTCCAGAATCATTCCCTAATGAGTTATTTCTAAAATTATTACAATCCTTTGAATCAGATAATTTAACTAATGCCAATCAGTTGAAATTATACATCTTTTTAAAGATTCAGAAATAGAAAAATTAACCTTCAGCTGAAGTTCTTCAAATGCTAATAAATAAAGTTAATTTCGAAAATATTACAGAGCCTGCTTTTCTGATAAAGTTTCTCGACGTTGAATTCGGAGATGAAAACGAAAACAAAATCAATTTGTGTATCAAAAATCTAAAAAAGAACTACAATTCTTTTAGTATAAAATAAAAGTCTGACACTATAAAGGTGATCATAAAGTAAAATAAATTAAATCAAATTTTGGATCTAAATTAAATCAACGACAATTTATTTCTAAAAATCATCGAATCTATGCATTATTGTCATAAAAATATTGAAAATTTCAAATCGAATCAATAATAACAAAATATCAAGGTATCTGTTCAATCTTTTTTTGAATAAGTAGGAAAACTAGATTATGATCTAAAACTAAAAATTGCATCCTTAATACTTACTTTAGATCCCTATTCAAATGATCCCTTCTATGAATTTATTGATAAACACATCAAATTAGAATCCCTACCAGAACCCTATTTCTACATATTCATCATGAGATTAAATAGCAAATCTCATTTTAATTAGGAAGTGAGAAAAAGAAGTGAACAACTTCTTCCTACCTTTGATCAATTAAACAAAATCATAAATGAAATCACCAACATTGATTTCGCAAATGATAAATTAGTGAAACAAATAGCCAAATGGTTTATCACTTTGACTTAGAAAAATAGCCTTGATAAATCTTTTAATATTAGTTCATCATTAAATCTGTTGTTCACACTTATTCTTAACTGTCCTAATCATTCAATTCATAATATGAGAGGGACTATCTTGTAAACAATTAGAGAATTGATTGAATTATTTACTAAACTATCCAATTCGTCTCAACAGAAGTTTGAAATTGATATTGAATTGCTAATAAAATTTCATCAATAACTTTAATAATTAGAACTAAGAACAAATCTAATAAATAATATCTGTTAACAACTTTGCAAATAAATTGAAAACTTGAATGACCTAGAGAAATTATAAGTAGCAACTATAATCACTGAAATTAATCTCCATCAATTTCAGAGTATTCCAGCTATCAATACATTTTTGAATTCAGCAATCGCAGTGGAGATGGATACTTATTAAGCTATTTTAATGAAAACAAAATTATTATTGTTTTAAATCCAAAATTCAGCAAAATTACGATAGACTTCAGATGAAGTTTAATTAAAATTAATGATAGATTAATTAAAATAGGAGATCATAAAAACAGATTTAAAAAAATAGCAAGAACATTATTTAGATGGTTTAATGATTTTGTTAGAATATGATGGTTGGAGATACAACAATTTAAAATATGAAGATGATGGCTTAAAAGACTTTATCGAATTATATTTTAATAATATTGATCATTTACTAACCTTGAATAACATGAGACCAGGCTTGAAAGCTATTCTGAAGACAATAGGATAGTTTGATTCAAAATATCAATTTATTAGAAACTATGATAAATTATTTAAGAAAATGCTTTTAAAATGTCATGATCTTAGACATTATGAAATACCTTCAATTCCTATTTGTTTGGATTTCATAGAATTTTCAAAGAAATTCAAACTAAATAATGATGACACCATTCAAGTTCTGACTGAATTAATCAAAAAACAAATAGACAATTTAAAATAAATCTAAATTGTTGAAATTCTACAAAACCTTTCTGAATAAAAAGTCTACGTGGAATCATTATTTGATGGATTGAGTAAACAAATCTCTAGGAAAGTGCAATTTTATAGTGCATTTGAATTGACAGATATTCTTAACTCTTATGCCAAAATTGGATACTTTAATGAGTCATTAATATTGATTATTTTGGATAAGTTGTAAAGTGAATAGAGACTTTAAGTTAATCCTATGTCATTTGTATAGACTCTATGGAGTGTATTGATTAGTTTATAATACTTAAAGAAACAAATGAACAAGAGTTATTATAATAGATATGAAAAATTGATTGTCCATCTAATGAATGAGTATGTATCCAATTATATAATCTAGAGTATCCAAATTTCCAAATTTCCCTATGAATTCCAAAATGCCTGTCATTTTTCGTCAGTTTATGGACATCTACAATCTACTAGAATTTAGTCTGCATTTGGATTTATGTAAGAATGTTTAATATGTATTATTTAAGAATTAAATCAGAAGCAATAGTAATTGGGAAAATAAATTATAGAAAATGGAAAAAAAATAGTTAATACTAAATTAATTCCTAATTAAAAATTAAATTAATAGTTCAAAAGTCTAATGCAATATCTTGATAAATCTTAGATTGAGTATAAAGTAAATTATTACTTTGACAATCAATATGTTGATTTCTATATTTAAATGAGAAATCACATAATATCGATAGATAATTCATTATATGTAACTTATGATATGGTACATAATTGTCTTAATCAAGAAACATTACACTGGTTTTCATTATTTTAATAAATGGATACTTGAAGGAGCCACTAAAAAATATGAATTAAAGGAAATTCGAATCAAAGCCAATGAATGGAATTAAATGACTGATGATCAGAGAAGAAAGATTTTGTTAATGTGAAAATTTTAAAGTTTGCAATATTAAATTTCATTGCGTTTTCAATAAAGATTGTCAATAAGAGTAGAATATAAAGAATATTATAAATTCATTATTCGAGTATCTTTCATTTTAGATTTTCTTTGATCGTTCTCTTTTTTCCCTCATTAATTTAGGTTACCTTATCTGATTGATGAAAAAAACAAATTAAAATTTCATCAGCAAATCGAACTTTATTGTCCAATAGAGATTTCTCAGAATATTCTAAAGTAGAATTTCCTTCATCACTATCACCAAAAGATTTCTCTATAAAAACTATGTGAAGTGATATCAGTCCAATCCCTGGTTTGTTCATTATTAATTTGTTTTATTATATATTTTATATATTAAAATAGTCCTTAGAAATAATTTAATAATTACAAACCCTTATATATAAATAAAGACTAATTGATAATAATTAACTAGGTTTCCAAACGAATACTTAAATGTATCAATCCATTTTGAATCTTATTGAAGATATGATGGATAAGTAAACCAATTTCTTTAGTAAATTACAAAATAAAAAAGATGGTTTTAGTTTAATTTAAATAACAACGCCAATATGAAAGTGTAAAGCAAGATGATAAATATTCAATTGGATGCATAAGTATTTAATAAAAATAAATTTATCATTGTTTTTTATCTAAAAAGTAGAATAGTCTTTAAAAACATCTTGGTTATTTTTCATCCCAATCACATTAATATTTGATTGCAATGATTTAATAATGGAACTACAACAGATTTCATTTTCCGCCATGATTAAATCAAAGAGAATATAATTCTTTATTCATGAACAAATCAAATTATTGTACTCTTTGATTATTTTAATAATTATTTTTCTAGAAATTTCTAATAGAAATGGCTGAATACATTAGTCTAAAAGAGGATGGAGGAATTTAAAAGTTAATTCTTCAGGAAGGATAAGGGGATTTGCCTTAAAAAGGTAATGTATGCGAGGTACCAAAACTATTTATCAAAGATGTTCTATACTGGAAAATTGGAGGATGGAACAGTGTTCGATTCAAATGAAGGAAAGGATATTTTTAGTTTCACTTTAGGCGAAGGAGAGGTCATTTAGGGATGGGATGTTGGTGTTGCATCAATGAAGAAGGGCGAAAAGGCGCAATTAAAAATTAAATCTGATTATGGATATGGAAATTAAGGAAGTCCTCCCAAAATACCAGGTGGGGCTACTCTTATTTTTGATGTCTAATTGGTTGATTTCAAGGAGAAATAGAAGTAGAAATGGTATAAGTAATTACAACATTTTTAGGGAATTGAGTGATGAAGAAAAAACGACTGAGGCTAAGAAATTTAAAGATTTGGGAACAGCTGCTTTTAAGGAAAAGAATTATCCTGAAGCCATTAAATAATATCTTGAGGCTGTCAGTTATTTTGAGGCAGAAACAGATTTTGCTCATGAACAAAAATTGGCTTCTCATTTAAACCTTAGTCTTTGCTATTATTATACAAAGGACTACAAAGAATCTCTAGATCATGCATCAAAGGTTATAAATGATAAACCAAATAATGCTTAATTAGTTAAAGCTTATTATAGAAGAGCGATAGCACATAGTAGTTTGGCCGATTACAATGAAGCCAAAAGTGACTTGAAGTCAGCTTATGCTATTGACCCAAATAATTAAGCTGTTATTGAGGAGATGCATGAAGTTCAAAACAAGATAAATCTATCAAAAAAAAAGGAGAAAGATATTTATGGAAAGTTGTTTTAATAATCATACTATGAAGAAGAGGCTAATCCTATTTCTTTATAAGAAAGTGATCCCAGCAATGTAACTACATACTTCGATATTAAAATTGGAGATGATGAGCCAAAAAGAATGGAATTTACTCTATTCCAGAAATCTTGTCCTAAAACAGTCGAGAATTTCAGAGCTCTTTGTACAGGTGAGAAAGGTGTTGGCAAATCAGGAAAGCCTTTACATTACAAGGGTTGCGAATTTCATAGATTGATTAAAGATTTCATGATTCAAGGAGGAGATTTCACCCAAGGAAGTATGGATTTTATTTATATATAAGATGGTACTGGCGGTGAAAGCATTTATGGAGAGAAATTTGCAGATGAGAACTTTACTCATAAACACACTGGAAGAGGGTATTTGAGTATGGCCAATGCTGGTGCAAATACAAATGGAAGTCAATTTTTCATTCTTTTTAAGGACACTCCTTGGCTTGATGGTAAATTAACATACTTAAAGTGTAGGCAAACATGTTGTGTTTGGTAAAATAACTAAGGGTATTGAATTGCTTGATGTAATTGAGAAAATTGAAACAGATTAGGACAAACCAAAAGTTAGTATTGTTATAGCAGATTGTGGAGAAATAAAACAATGATAATTCAATGTAAAATAATTATTAATTGTTATAATAAAATGGTTTATTATTTAATATATCTAATATATATATAGTTAATACTGATAAAATCATAAAGTTAATAGTTTTGACCTATTAAAAATGGGATTGATCTTTAAGCAATTAATATTTAATTTTATTAATTATAATGAACTTTCACTCTAATTGGAGATGTGAAAAAATGTAATTTATTAGGGATGTTCTTGTTCATAAAAATGTGGTCCCTATTCATTTACAAAATAGGATAATGAAAGAATTAGATTTTTAGATCAGAGCCTTTGCAAATATAAATAAAAGTTCATTCTCTCCCAAAAAGAGCTGCAATCGTCGCCTTAAAACTCTTGATCAGAGTCCCTGCAATGTAAAATATGAAAGAAGTGTGAGCATGAATTATAATAAGGATTAGGACTGTTTTAGATGTAAAAAATTCAATTTTCAGAATAAAATCATAATCCATTGCGATACTGGTTAGCACATGTTTCATGAAAAGTGCATCCTTGATCTATTTAAAGAATAACTCTCAGATACTGAGCCCCATTTTTCTTGCTTTTGTGGGATAAAATTACATCCAGAGTAAGTGAGGCAGCTTAAAATAAGAGGTATAGAGCAATTAGTTAATTAATTGTATGAATAATAACTAAAATGTATTACTTATTAACTACAAATTCAGAATTGTCTAAATCAAATGTGTAATTTTTTTTGGATAACCAGTTCTCAGAAATCAAGAAAATATGGAAGACAACTTAAACCTCTCAAAAAACACTACTGTCCTTATTGTTGATTGACGTTATCTTTATTTTTAATATTATTACCATGTTATAAAATAGTATACATAAAATCCGTCTATCAATATCCTCAAAGTTTCATAGAAGGGTTGGCCCCATGTTGTAAGAGAAGATCAGCTACATCAAAATTGTTATGGAGCATAGCATATTGGAGTGGAGTATTGCAATGTTTCTAAAATTATAAGGCATTCGATCTTACATCAATTTAATTTATGTTAACATTAAAATTTAGCATATGTTTAACAATACCTTTATTTCCATTTGCAGCTGCAAGGGAAATAAATGGAGTTCCATCTTCTGTAAGACCATTTAAATTGAAATTTCTATGAACATCCATGAACTCCTAAAATTAATCTAATAGTCCGTGCTCAATTAAATTTGTTACAATCTTTTTTTTAGATCTGTTTGTTTTTATCATCTAATCATACAGTAACAGGGTTTCTAATTTAACACTCTAAGGATTTGCATTTTTCTTGGTTTTAAATTAACATTTACATTTTATAAATTTATTTATTGCTTATTCGACTTATTTGAATCTGAAATTGAATCTTATTGAATAGAATCGAATTTAATAGATGATACCATAGAAAGATCTTTACCTGACTCTTATTTCTTCATGGTTTTTTATTATACTAAATTATAGTCTTATATTTATTTAGTGAACTATTGTTGAGATTTAGATATTGTTATTTTATTAATTTCACTTACTGAATCCTAAGATGTATCATTTTGATTCTTAAAATAAGAATCTAATTTTTAAATTGATAAGATATTATCTCCAAAATTTTTAGAATGAATCGGCCTACTAAAACTTTTTCTTCTGGGAAATTATTTTAAATTCTATAAAATGTTTATTTATGGGAGTTCAGGTGATCCAGCAGCACTTTCTTGACCGTGCCTATTGGGAAACACTTATATGCTAGCTCTTTGTGAAAGTAATCCATCAATTAGTTGATTTTATTTTTAAAAAGTTCCACTTTACCAATTCTTTTGCTTTTTTAAAGAAATAAGAATTTTTCTCTTATCAATTCCGTTTATTTTGTCATTACTTCCATTTTCAATTGTTTCAAGATTTGGAGCTTCAAATTCCAAATCATCAATAGGGTTGGTATTGCAAAAATTACCATTTAATATATCTTTATAAACTTGATTGTAATATTGTGAATAAACTTTAAAAAATATTGGATTTGTAAATTCTTCTTGAAATGTTGGTACAATTTGATTAATGTTATCCATATATATTTATTAATCCATAGTTGTGTAATCAACTGATAATAGGTTGTTTTTGGATTTTAGATCCAATTCTGAAATTATTAAAGTGAGTTTAAACTAATGAATTTTTAAACTTATATTAAATTTTGGAGAAATGGAAATTACTTTTTTTGAAATTAATTATTTTTATGTTTAATCTAATTACTCTGATTAATCATCCTTAATTTCTTATATTTAATTTATTTATGAGTTATTGTGATTTGATGTAATACTTAATTGAGAATCCTCATTTAAGAAGTTTATCCTAGCTAATATTAAATATATATTATACATTCCATATGTTTGTATATCATGGTAAAATCTGAACAAGTTTTCAGTCTTAAAATGATCAATATTGGTATCATTATAAATTTTGGTTCGAAAGAAAGCTTTTCTCTATTCCTAAATATCTTAGATAATTTATTGATTGTTATTCATTACTTTTAAAAGCTAATTATTAATCTCGATTATTCTATACAATTTCAAATGTTTATCAAAATACTGACTAAAATAAAACTTAAATTAATTTTAAGTATCTGTGTAGTATTATTTTAATTCTACTGGTTGAAAGCACATATTCTCCAACCATATTCTAGATGATCTCTATTATGCTTCATATCGATATGATGGTTATTTTATTGTTCTTACTAATTTAATGACTTAATCAATTTATGAATTAGCTTTTCTATGGTCTTTGAATTCAAAATTTTGCATCTTTTATTTTAATTATTTCTTCTTCCTATCATCAAACAAACAACTTTACGAAATTCTCTTTTGTTAAATATCAAGATGAGAGCATTCAATATCAATATCTATATTTTATTATATGATTTAGTTATCAACAGGGATATCCTGATTTTATTCTGTGAATTGGTGGGTTAAGAATTATACAGATTCTGTTTAAAATTGGTGATTATTTGTAGTGAATTTATTTTTAAAACTCCGATTTTCTGTTGAAAGTGTGCTCAATGAATGTTTCCTCTCTTAATTATAATTATTTTTTGGTTAACCTATCCGTTATTCATCTGATCTAATGATTTTGGATGTGTTTGGAGAACTTGCTGGGCTGATAAAATTAGAATGAAGGACATATTTAGTATAAGTTGTCAAATTACTTTTTAATCGTGAATTTTTAGATTTGTCTTCCCTCCGAATTAGGTATATTGGATTTCGAGGGGAAGATTCAATACTAATTGATTTTGGTTTGTTTTTACTACTGTCTCTTTAGGAATTAATTTTCCATTTAAGATTACGCTTAATCATATATAATAATATATAATAATGATTCATATCAAGCGACTGTTAAATCATCATTAAAATATAGATGAATTGCTGGTATATACCATTAACTTTCAGGGACTCCTAATTATTCAAATTCGTCAGTTTCATCAGGGATTCCATTGGCACTCAAAGTTAATTCCATATCCAAAGGCTTTCCCAATCTCTTCCAAGTATAACTGGCAGCATGTGCATTAATCTGTTTATACCTATCAAGAATTTCATTTATAGTTTCTTCAGATGGTACCTTAAATTTGAGTGGATATTAAAAATACTTCAATAATGTCTTCGTGATCTGTAAGCATATTGATTATTTTGACCTTTCTGGTTTTGTGACTCAAATTGCCAATACAATATTGTTATTCGTTGTTCCACCATCTTGAAATAATCAAATGATAATTTATTACGGTTTTGAATGATCCCCAAGCTCATCATCTCCACAAGGGTCAGATGATGGAATGTGTAAATATCTGCCCTATGGACAATAATAGGTTATCAACCCTGTATTGACATCTACTTATCTATTCAAAATAATCATAAAAATTCGTTACTTTCTGGGTTCTCCTGTTTATTTATCGAACCAATAAGATATATCACTTCCAGCTATTTTGATTAATGGTTCGCATAGTTTCGATGAAATATTTTCTTAGACAAGTTATGTAAGATCCCAAACCTTCCCGAAAAAGCTTACCCACAAATCATTGGCTGTATTATGGACAGAGACATCGTAAGGAGTATAATAGGCTCTACTTTTGTAATCTTTAGGCAGATATTGCTTAAGAGATTAGTCCATTTATAATAATATTAATTATTCATAACTTCATAAGTTTCATCTATAATAATAAACAACTTATGATGATGGCTCCAAATCCAAAGATTTCAATCCAAAAGATGGCTGTCGTTTTGATATTTGTCAATTTCTCAACTCTAATATAGAAATTGTTAAAATACCCTTTAAATCCAATCTTATTATTCTGCTTATCGAACACTATGACATATTTTCTCATGACAATATCACCAAATATCATAAGATTCATTTAAGATTCTACCTCAATTCCTATATAACACATTCCTTAAAATGAGAAATCGAGTATCATGTAATCAGTTATATCTAATTCTAGAATAATCCCTTCCAAAAACATTGCTATTTTTGGATAGTTATCAACTTCGCTTTTGGGAATCGAACAAGGACAAAACATATTACCATCTAATAATCTGCAATTACTTAAAATTAATTCCTCAAATATTGATAATACAACTTTCTCAGGTAGGTACAAAAGTGAAGTTCCTGAATCAATTAGTGCTTCTTTGTATTTCCCTGCTTTAATAAACTATCCATTGACCGAAATAGATAAGACCTTTACCGTCTATTCTAAAATAAATTTAATACCCAATAGTCATTTCTCAAAACTCTGACCCATTCCACATTATTCATAATTTCGTTCGGAATTTCATCGTAGTAAAAAAGTGATTATTCCTCTTTACTTTTAAGTTCCATTGCAAAAAGGTTCGATTTTATATTACCTTCTTTATATGCTAAATCGAATATATTGTCTATCTCTTTCTCATTGCTTAAACCCAATAGACCATCAGATTATACTGCATCGAATCCAGAATCATAATAAGTGAATAAAATATTTGTTAATACTCTTGTGTTACTATCTCCCAATAATTATACATAATCTGAACCCCAAAATCCCTTGCAACTTCCTGAGGCATATTCGATTTCATCCGATTATGAATAGTTCTTGTAGGTTGTTGATTTTTAAGTATAAAATCTCTTACTCAGGTGACATTTTAAGAGTGTGCATTTATCGCTAGGAACCCAAAGGTATGGGGAGCCTGTATCAAATATTACACTTAACTACTAATTTGGAGTTCCCATTTGGATTGGACCATAGTACTACACATTNCGTTTATTTATCAAACCAATAAGATATATCACTTCCAGCTATTTTGATTAATGGTTCGCATAGTTTCGATGAAATATTTTCTTAGACAAGTTATGTAAGATCCCAAACCTTCCCGAAAAAGCTTACCCACAAATCATTGGCTGTATTATGGACAGAGACATCGTAAGGAGTATAATAGGCTCTACTTTTGTAATCTTTAGGCAGATATTGCTTAAGAGATTAGTCCATTTATAATAATATTAATTATTCATAACTTCATAAGTTTCATCTATAATAATAAACAACTTATGATGATGGCTCCAAATCCAAAGATTTCAATCCAAAAGATGGCTGTCGTTTTGATATTTGTCAATTTCTCAACTCTAATATAGAAATTGTTAAAATACCCTTTAAATCCAATCTTATTATTCTGCTTATCGAACACTATGACATATTTTCTCATGACAATATCACCAAATATCATAAGATTCATTTAAGATTCTACCTCAATTCCTATATAACACATTCCTTAAAATGAGAAATCGAGTATCATGTAATCAGTTATATCTAATTCTAGAATAATCCCTTCCAAAAACATTGCTATTTTTGGATAGTTATCAACTTCGCTTTTGGGAATCGAACAAGGACAAAACATATTACCATCTAATAATCTGCAATTACTTAAAATTAATTCCTCAAATATTGATAATACAACTTTCTCAGGTAGGTACAAAAGTGAAGTTCCTGAATCAATTAGTGCTTCTTTGTATTTCCCTGCTTTAATAAACTATCCATTGACCGAAATAGATAAGACCTTTACCGTCTATTCTAAAATAAATTTAATACCCAATAGTCATTTCTCAAAACTCTGACCCATTCCACATTATTCATAATTTCGTTCGGAATTTCATCGTAGTAAAAAAGTGATTATTCCTCTTTACTTTTAAGTTCCATTGCAAAAAGGTTCGATTTTATATTACCTTCTTTATATGCTAAATCGAATATATTGTCTATCTCTTTCTCATTGCTTAAACCCAATAGACCATCAGATTATACTGCATCGAATCCAGAATCATAATAAGTGAATAAAATATTTGTTAATACTCTTGTGTTACTATCTCCCAATAATTATACATAATCTGAACCCCAAAATCCCTTGCAACTTCCTGAGGCATATTCGATTTCATCCGATTATGAATAGTTCTTGTAGGTTGTTGATTTTTAAGTATAAAATCTCTTACTCAGGTGACATTTTAAGAGTGTGCATTTATCGCTAGGAACCCAAAGGTATGGGGAGCCTGTATCAAATATTACACTTAACTACTAATTTGGAGTTCCCATTTGGATTGGACCATAGTACTACACATTTCCGTAATTTGATAATTTAAAGGCATCCATTGATTTCAAGACCTTGAATTTAGAAAGTGGTATCTAAACAGAAAGAATGGATTGAAAAAAAGTAAAAAAATATAAAATATGCATTAATATTGTTATTAAATTTTCCCAATAACATTTACTAAATGATTATGAATATTACATAATGATGAGTTTGTTTCAAAATTATTGCTATATACATTCCTCTCTAAATTCCTCTACTAATTCATTAAAAACTAAATTAGAGATATCCATGAGTACATAAAACTTGAATTCATTATAATTAAGCCAACTCAATTCCTCATTCTAAACCTATCATTGTTAATAAGTCATACTTCCTAGTGAAGGTAATCTATCTCAGCCTATTCCAAGCTTTTTTAGGGAGCGTTCTTAACGACATTATTGAATTTTGAATCTTTAGCTTAATGGTTTGACAGAAATTATTGACTAGTCAATAACTATTCATCATTCCATTCTATAGTTTCATGGTAATTTTCCAAATGCTGAAATTTAAGCTTTTCATCAGGAGTTTAAGAAGTAGAAGTATGAGTTTTTAAACGTTTATTCTCAAAATCTTCATTAAGATTGTTATATAAAAGAGTTTCATTTTAATTTGATAATTCCTATAAAGAATTTTTGTAGGCTGAATCCGAAAATGCTGAAATTGAATAGTTTATAAACTGTTGAGAATAGGAGATCTGAGAAAACTATGAATACTTCTATTATTGCAAAAATCTAAGTTCTTTTTCAGTTTAAATAAAGGTATCATATAATCCTTACCATCCTTTTTCAAAACTGATTTTATTATTCTCAATTTCTTCATATTGTTTAGTGACCCATTTTTCTAAAGTTTGGTATCTTTCTTCAAAGGTCTTAGGAGATATTAATTTTTGTTCAAATTCTTTGGTCAAATCATTATGTTATGATTTCTATCGTTCTTGCACAATTAATTATCTCATTTTTATTAATTCATCCATTTAGTTTCTATTCAGAATTTCATCAATTTTTTTAGAGGCGAATTATTGAAACGGTTATTCTTCAAAAATCGATTCATTTTCTTGATTTATTGATTATGTAAGGATTTATCTCATTAATTTTTCAGAACACATGGCTTATCTTATTTCACTCATGACCATGGATTCCTATGAAAATTGAGGAACTTAGATCTCTAATTTCTTAATTTAAAATTTGGTAAGTGAGCATTCCTAAGAACATTACTGTGTGAATAGTTTCAAATCTTTAAGTACTTCATTAATAGTTTTTTCCTAAACTTGACTCTCTAACTCAGAAATATAATTGAGAAGTTCTTGCCATTTCAATTTTTAATACTTAACGAATTTACCAGAGATTTTAGGACTACTTTTAAGTTCTTGCTTCTCCTTCTTTTCAGACTCCAAATCTAATATGAAATTAATATCAGTTTAATAAGTAAGTTAATTTAAGGTTTGTTCTCTTCCTTATTATATAGATTAACTATCTTTTTCGAATCGAAATTGGCTTCTGAATGTTTCTTCATTAAACACTTCTGGTTATTTGTAGTAGTACTATTCGAATTATTAATCTAAAATCAATTTTCTTGTGATGTATCCTCGCCATACCTTCTAGATTTTAGTTGCTGCAGAATGCATTCTATTAAATTTAATTTCGAGAATGCCAAACTCTTTAAGTTAAATTTTCTCGTCTCTATTCAACGAGAACTCTTCAGTTAAAACCTATTATTATTTATTCGAGGTTGGTTAAGAAGGCAACAAATATGGATCCGTGTCTGTTAAATACTATACACAACTGCTCTCATCAAAAAATGCTTAATATATTTTAGAATATCGAGCTTATAACTTTTTATATTTTTCCAGCAATTCTCCTTCATAACCAGTGAGTTAAGTTATTATCTCATTTTTAGTTTTTAAACTTGAATTTCTTTGGGTGAGTTCCTTTTTTTGAGTTATTGAAGTTATACTTCTTTTTTTACATTTTTATTAAGATGAACTTTCTATAATTTAAAATAATTTTACTTTTCAAAATATTTCTACTATTTTGCAATTATTTTTTAGTCTCCTTCTTTCTATTCATTTATTCGTTTTATTTCTACTACTGATGTAATTAATTTTTCTACTTTAAATGTAATCTATTATTTTAAGTGCTTTAAGCTTTTTTAGGGATATCCTTTTCAAAATGTGATAATCCTTAAGTTTTCTATCCTACACACTATTAGCGAAGTTATACTTTGTAGAAGCAGTTAAATTTTTTTTTTGGGAATTTTGTTTAAAAAATCCAATCCCATCTCCTATCTTCTCTAAATTTCCTTTTACTTTGATTCTTTTCTTACAAAATTATTTTTTTCTTAATTCGTTAATTTGTATGTTTTAGAAACCTTACGCTTTTCAACTTAATCTCTCCTCTCAATTCGATATGAATCAGTTGGTATTGTTGCTGATGTGCCTCTCTTTTTAACAAGTTTATTTGCTGAGATATTGGTAGTATTACAAATAAGAGAGGTATTCGTTGTTAATGGATTCCTTTAAGGACTTCTTGATAATCTAAATTTTATTTTGAGACATACTTTTTTTATTTCTTTTGTTGCATGATCGGATAATGATAAGTAGGGATTAACGATTTGATTACGTAATATAAATTAATTTGTATTTTTTGAAATAAATTAACTACTTCTAGAGTGATCCTATGAAATAATTCCCAATTTGCATCTACATTCTTGAAAACTTTTTCAATTATTACTTATTCCATAATATTACAAAGCTAAAACAATTACATTTGTATTCGACCATTCAAATCAAATGAAAAAGATGGATTGAAATACTATTAGGGTATAAAATAACCTACCTTAAACACATATTGATTTAGAGTATAAATATCTTGTCATTTAGAATTTAAGATAATAATCTGTATCTAGCAATATCAGGGTTATGTTTATTTGATTTATTGGTGATTAAAATAATAAAGGAAGAGAAAAATTAGAGTTATTCATAATTATTTAATATTAAGAATGAAAATTAAATATATCAACATACAATTTTAATTGGTATAATAAATTATATAACTGAAAAATAAATAAGTGTAAGCCTTAGTCATATAAAAAATAGGCATCTTATTTCAGCTAATACATATAACATCAATATTACAAAAAATCTTTATAATAAAACATCGTTAAATTTCATACCTTATTTTTAATTAAAGTTTATCACTTAATAAAATTAATAAATCAGTTTTATTTTGATGGAAATGAAAAGAGGGTTTTATTAAAGATTGATAATCTTTGAAAATTCAGGTTTAATCATAAATTGGTGAGTAATAAAGATGTTGAAACAATTAGAAGAAATTTTAATAAAAAATACAAAGAAACTTTTAGTTGGTCATAAACTCATTCCTTTATTTACTATAGGGCCTATTATTATTCCTCAGTGAAATGCTAGAGATTTTTAAATGAAATTTCTAATCCTGGATTAGAGCCTATGGAAGTCTAAGGTTAAAAATCAGACGCCTTTATGATATCCATTAAGGTTTCTTGCTTTTCATGAGTAAAAACCTAAGCACTTTTAGCTCTACCGTGACTTGCTTAAGGAGTTATAGAACAACTAATTAAAAGTTTAAAAATCTATTGGTTTATTTATATGTTACTCTAACGCAATCCATATTTTATTCTCCTATGATATCTTAGACTAAACCTTTTTCTTAATCTAGCAATTTAATTGGATCATTGTTTTACTCAAGCAACTAAAAAGATTAATTCGATAAATACTATTTTCATTTAATAAAACTTTTCATTTCCCAATTTTCGTTTAAGGAAGTCAGTTAATAGTAAGGATCTATTAGGAGATGTAGGAGTATTTGGATTGAAAAAGATATCAACAAAGGTGAATGATTTTTGGTTTTTTAATAGAGTAGGTTAGCTTTCTAAATCTTAATTTCGTTTATTGTTATTATCATCAATTTGAGTATTAATCGAAATAGACTTTTAATATTTTAGTTATTTGGAATTGATTTCGTTGGATTCTGTTCTTTGAGTGGAAATAGGGGTTTAGGCCTTTTGTTAATCATCAATGTAGTCTGGAAGAGTATGTAAATTGGAAACTAATTATTTTGCATTTAATTTAAAATGTGGACTGTTTTAATCAACAATATCTGTTTTGTAGACCTAATAAGGAGTGTTGAGTTTAGACTAGCTCCTTCTCGAACAGATTGGGGATTAGCCTTATTATTATTTTGATTTTTCAACTAAGAAGTGTATTGAATTCTGTTGCATTCTGTTGCTCTTTTTACTGGATGAGAATCCATTATTCTAGTGAGTAATATTAAGAGGTTGATAGATTTGAGATAGTTTTTATAATTCTGTTTGAATTTATGGAAATGACAGTATTTTTGAAATTTCTGGCCTTTTTTCTGGTTATTTCTGTAGCATTTCATCTATAAGATTTGATAGAAAATCTGAATAGTGATCAGAGATTTTTGTATGTTATTCATTAATAATTTTGGTGGCCAAAGCCTTTATTTAATATTAAATTTAATACATTGATTGATTCAGCAGTAAATGGTTTTTGTAATGTACACAATTCATAAATGGTACATCCCAACATCCAAATGTCAATCTTATGATTATATGACTGGTTCTGACATAATTCAGGAGAGAGATAAAATGGTGTACCTAAATTATTCGTTTTCTTGTAATTAATACCTATTGAGGTTTGTGCCAATTCAGACGTGCTTTCTAAAGTTCTAGAGATGCCGAAATCACCCAATTTCACCTAGGATATTTAACTTATCTTACTATTCCACCACTGCAAAGAAATATGTTCTGTACTTTGATGTCTCTATGAAGTATCTTTTGAGAATGGAGATAATTGAGCGCTACTGCCAATTAGGTTAACCAGGCAAGAATCTATAATAATGCATAAATGAAATACAGAACTGTAGGTTCTTGAATGAATTGATTATTATGTTTAGCCTCTTTGATTTTTAAACTGAGATCAGCTTGTATTATTTTTCAAAAGTTTACCATTCTCGGCATATTCCATTAGAATACACAGTTTATTATTGTGGACAAACGAATCGTAGTGTTTAATGATGTTCATATGGTCTAAAGATTTGAGAACCTTAACTTCATTGAGAGGGTCAACTACAAAGCTTTCCCTCATACTTAAATCCACTCTTTTAAGTGCAAATTGCTTTGAATAGAAAGATCTAACTTACTTTTCCATCACTTTTTCTTGATACCAAAAGAACATCACCAAAATTACCTTTACCAATTTTTCGAATTCTCTCAAAATGATCCATAATTCGTTAGATAAAATATTAAATAAAATCATCTCATTTATTTTTAGTTTAATTTTCATAATTAGAGTAATTTATCTAAGATGGATAAGGAATCACTTCATATCTGATGAAACATTTTCATAATTTAAAGTTATCAAATCAATATTGGAGATTCAAAAATATTAAATTTTTTTTGAATAAATTCTTTCTAAGTTTAATATGATTGTAGAGCATATTGATGGTTTTATTATATCGTTAATAATTTAATATCATAAGGAGAGAATTTAATTTTATAACTTAAATGATCACTATAGGCTTTTTATAATAGCAATAATTTTATTTAGAAAAACAGTCGATTAATATTGGGTCTTGTTTGCTCTATCGGTTGTGCTTCCATAATCTAAGAGAATGAATATAATAAGAATTTTTGAGACAAAAATTAATTAAATTCATTTATGCTACGACATCGAAGAGAAAACTCTATTCACCATTTGTATTTACGCCTTCCTTTATAAAAATGGTTTTCCTTTTGGTTGTGGAGGTTGACTTCCTGAGGTACAAGTCGATTTTTGAGAATGGCGAGAGTCTGTGATGAAAGGGTTTTGGAGTATCTTAATGCTACCTCTTCCCCTTAATATAGTTGTGGAATGTTGACTTATTGATTTCTAGTCTGAAACATTAGAAAGTAGGGATTTTTACTGTATCTTCAGTGGTGGGACTTTCGGATTAGGTTTAGAATCAGAATTAGCCTTTTTTAAGGATATTTAATGGAATATATTTTGTAGATTGTTGTGAGTAAGGTTGGTTTGGCTGTTTCTTCTTTGACATTGCTTGAATAATGATTTTTATTAGTATGAGTCGTCTTTTCTACTAAAAGTAGGAATCTCGAGATCAGGAGAACAAATAACTTCATAAGTGCATTTCAATTTTGGTATTTTGAGTTTGGGGTTGTGAAAAAAGGAAGCTGTCTGATCAAGATTATTTTCCATTATTTATTAATAAAATTTTAAAAATGAGGTACATATTTTATAAATAAATAATCCCAAATTTTAATTATTTTTTTGAATGAAATTCAATAACAACAAATAACTTTTATAAATAGAACTCATTTAAATAATCATTCTACTTTGGGTATCTTGTTTCTACCAACATCTTACTCTTCTTCATCATCATAATATGCCATTCTCATTTACTTAGCTTAGATGCTTGTCATTCCAGAGATAACAGATTCACATTCACTTCTTAAAGGAGTGGCTGCGACTGATGATGTTTATTACCTTAATGGTGTTTGTATTCTACTCGGTCTAAATCCCAAAGTAGCAGTACGTTCACTGATTAATCTCCTCTCTCTATCCTCTTTCTCTCTCCTTCTCAAACACTCTTCACTCTTCATTTCATGTTCTCTCTTAGCTTTTTCAATGGACAACTCAATTTCTCTTTTACTCTTTTTTTCACTCTCAATACGAGAAGCTCTAGTCTCACCATCTTCTTTGATACTAAAAAACATGGGACCCATCTCAGCCAACCATTGAGGATCAACAGCACTCACACAATGCATATATTCCTTAGATGTCATAACCAATTCATGGTAAACAACATAATCAGGAGCATAACCTAGAGAATACAAAGCACTTGAAGGGTGTAGTTTACATGGCATACCTGTACGTAAATTTATATAATCTCCAACACCTTTAATTTTTGCAGCATTCTAAAAATATGCTGAACAAATAGCCTTTCTTACAACATCATAAGAGAAATTACAAGTACTCATTTTTAATCCTAATTTACCTGCAATATCCTTTAATTAAGCTCTCACTTCTCTTACTTTTCTCATACTCTTTGCTTAAACAAAATGTTCATTACACCATTCAGGTGAAAATTCATGTCTTTTCCATTACTCAAATACATTTAACATAGTTAAATGATCACTTTCTCCAACAAACAACTTCTCTCTAGCAGCATCACTTTCAGCTTCTCTATCTTTAGGTCTATAAAATATGCCTGGAACACTCAACATACTCACCACAGTTAAGATTTCTTCAGTGCATCCCAATTAATCTCCTTTGATTAACATTTTGGACAAAGGGGGATCCAATGGAAATTCACTCATTTTTCTACCAAGTTCAGTTAGTTCACCTACATTATCCAATGCTCCCAACACCCACAATTGATACATAGCATTTAAAATAGTATCTTGAGGAGGAGGATCCATAAAATCAAAATCTAAAAGATTGTTGATATTTAATGATTTCAATAACAAAACAACATTAGCTAAATTAGTTCTTTATATTTCAGGAATATTATTTTCCAACATATCTTATCTATAATTTAATGAGGAATACAATCTAAAACAAATACCAGGCCCAGTACGTCCAGCTCTACCTTTTCTTTAATCTGCATTAGCCTATGATATTGGAGTGACTTATAATGCATCCATACCAATTCTTGGATTATACACTTTCATTTTACAATATCCAGTATCAATCACATATTTTACACCATCCAAAGTTAGAGATGTTTCTGCTATATTAGTTGCCACAATACATTTTCGAAATTCACTTTTTTCAAAGATCCTTGCCTACTCTTCAGATCTTAATTATGAATATATTGGTAAAATTAAAAGTGGAGGAGTAGCTTCACTTAATTTATTGAGTTCCTCAGCTAATAAATAGCAAGTAGTTTCAATATCTTCTTGTCCTGTCATAAATATTAAAACATCCCCAGGAGGTTATTGAATATGAACTTCAATGGTTTTCTTGATTGCACTTCTCACATAATCTTAGGCAGGTGCTTTTTCGAATCTGACATCAACTGGAAAAGTCCTACCTGGTATTTTATAGATAGGCACTCCTCCAAAGAAATCACTGAACTTTTTAGCATTCATTGTTGCAGATGTGATAACAATTCTAATGTCTCTTCTCCTTTATGCCACTTTCTTAAGAATTCCAAATAGAACATCAGTATTCAATGATCTTTCATGTGCTTCATCCATAATCACAGCAGAATATTTCTCAAGATCAGGATCTTACAAAGATTCTCTTAATAAGACACCATCTGTCATGTATTTGATGACAGTATCTTTACTAGTATAATCTTCAAAACGAATGGCATATCCTACTTTACTACCTAATTCCACTCCCATTTCTTCAGCTACTCTTTTAGCCACTGATACTGCTGCCACTCTCCTTGGTTAAGTACATCCAATAACGCCAGTATTAGTATAGCCTTCTTCATATAAATATTAAGTCAATTGAGTAGTTTTACCTGATCCAGTTTCTCCTACAATAATACAAACTCTGTTATCATGTAGCAATTAAACTAATTCAGATCTACAGTGAAATACTGGTAAGTATTCTCTTTGTTCTTTGATTGTTTTATTTCTAGCAAAATCACTTTGACCTTGAGTGACTCTTTAAAGGGCTGTTTAATATCTTGAAGATGCTTTGAAATCATAATCTCCATCTTCATTCAATAGATGTCTGTCTGGATCCATTTCTTTTTTTCTATCTAAGTTCATAACCTTTCCCATTTTTGATCCACTTAATTCCCAAAATCTCTCCCTCATTTTAGTTTTATCCTGTTTCTCTCTCATCAACATTAAGACTTCAGATCCTTGCTTTGCCAATTTAGCCATGTCCGAATTAGGATCCTTGACAATTTAGACTTATGTCAATTAAGTTGTATAGACCACTTTACCATCCAAAAAGGGAGGTTTAATATCATGTACATGTATGACAACTCTTTTTTCGTTCTCTTCTTCATAGAAATCATAAGCATCTGCTTTTCTCTTGAAAACATCTGATGCAATCATACGATTGAGTTCCCATCTATTTTATTCTTAATTCTTTTCTGATTGTCTCACTGTTTAACCTTTGCGTTTACTATATTCCTCAAATTTAAATTCTTCTTTTTAACCTTTAAAAACTTCACCTCCCCAATCTTATTAGGAAGCATTACCAATATCATCTTCATCATAATCATACCATTTCCTATCTGATTCTTATTCTATGTTTTCCCATTCAAATGCTGTATATTCATTTAGTAATTTATTGCGTTTCCTTTCCTCTTCCAACTTCTCTGAACGTGCAGGTGGCTTCTTGAACCCATCAGCATCTTCTTCAAATTAAGGTTGAGCATTTTTCTGCACACTCGAATTCTCTGTACCTTTGAACAACATAGGGCCAGAAGAAACTTTAAACTAGCTGCTTACTGAAGACGAACTTCGATAGAGAGATTCCCTATAAAAAGGAGCCTATCTACCTTTACTGTCATCTCTAGAACGACTCTCCCTATCCATTCTTCTATTTTCAATTAAAATTTTTTTATTATTTCATTATAATGCTCATAAATAAAGAATTAAGCATATAGATTATTAATTAAAATAAATATAAATATATGGAAGAGAGTTTCGCAAGTAATCCAGAAGATCCCGAACATTCACATACCAACAAAGAATTATCGAATAGCAGTCAAGCCTTCTTCAATTTTATCAAGAGTTTGGTGGGAATAGCAATATTGGATTTACCTTATTCTGCAAACGAGTGTGGTTATGCTTTGGCAAGTATATTGCTCCTGATCCTATCCTATGGAACAATTAGAACCAGCTTAATGCTAATTAAAGTGGCTGAAGAATCAGATATTCATTATTATACCAAAATTGTGAAGTAATTCATGGGACCAATCTCAGCTTCAATCTTGGATGTCTTTTTATCAGGTTAGTAAGTATATATATCAAATGTTATTTTAGTTATTTGCTTGTATTGCATATATAATATTTTTTCAACAAATGTGTTAGCTGGCACTATCTAGCTTACCTAATTATGTTAGTATCATCATATCATTATTGGTGATCATTCCATTATCTTTAATCAGGGATTTGCATTTCTTCCATAATACTAGTACAGCAGGATTTTTTATTGCAGTCTTTGTTTTGGTTGCAATTTCAGGAATTTCTATATCTTAATTTGGAAAAGCTGAGGATGTTGTCGCATTCAACGCATCGGGTACGTTTAAATTTATTGGGGTTGCTATGTTTGCATATGAAGGGATATGTACTACACTCCCTGTAAGATATTCAATGAAAGATCAAAAGAAATTCCCATTTGTATTTTTGAGCAGTTCAATAACATGTTTGTTTATGTACGTTTCTTTCATAATAATCAATTGTATAGCTTTGGGCTCATAATTACAATAAATTATTGTTTTTAATTTGCCTAAAGATAAAATCTGGGCCTTTGCTTTGTAGTTTTTATATGCCATATCAATTTTATTCACATACCCTGTTCAAATATATCCTGCATTTACCATAATTGAAAACAGATTAAAAATAAGAGACACGAAGATCATATGGATTGTTGAAAGACTTATTGTTACATCCATTTTATACGTGATAGCCTATGTCATTCCAAGTTTCAATACTTTTCTAAATTTAATCGGAATGGTGTTTGGAACATTCCTACAGTTCATTTACCCGATAACTCTGTATTTGCTATATTTCAAATCCAGCCTGAGGATATTTGAATGGGTTGAAGCTTCACTTGTAATGTTTATGGGGGTGAGTGCTGGAGTTCTGGGGTTATACTTTTCAATAGATGATTTAGTAAAATAAAATAAATGATTACAATATAATAAAATTATTATGTATAATAATTACATGAACCCTCGAATGACTATGAACAACAGAGGCTAGCAACCTCAATAGCAAAATGGTCTTAGAAATGATTACTAAAGTGTAGTTTAAGTAAATAGTGTAATCATTTTATAAAGGGTATCTAATCTTTATTGGGAATCTCATTTTCAGCAGTTTAATTGTGCATATTTGGTTCAATGTTGATGGATAAAACTAAAAAGTTATTGGAATTCTTTAAATCGGGAGCTGTCACTTCAATTAATAAACTTTTAACATTGCTCCGAATCAAGCAATTTCTTAAAGGGGAATTGACTATGACTTAGATAGGTAAATCAGTAGTAAACACTAGTACTCAAATTGGTAAGTAATGGATAATTGCAATTCGATTGCTTTTGTTAGTTGGTATTCTTAAATTAAATATGCAGTCATTCTATTGATTGGTGCGTTGTTGGCACATATGAAGAAGAAAATCAAAGAAAAATAAGAAATTGAAGTTGCATTAAAGCAATAAGAAATCGAAGAAGCAGAAGAATAATAATAATAAGATAATCAAGTTGACGCATCTCAATTACCTATACAATAAAATGATTTTTGGAATCATAGTGAAGAAAACACATCGAATTAAGAGTAATAACCTTAACAGTAACAATAATCAAACCCTGTCCCAACAATTAACTACCTTAATGATCTCCCAGTATTCTCCAATACCGGTAATCCAAGTAAGCCATGGATGAAATGATCAATTTTAATATTTTAATATATATATATATTTATATCATAAATCCTAATAAGCATGCAGACACTATTAAAATTATTTACGAAACCTCGAATTCCAATCATAAGTTTGAGTGGAGTCATTCAATAGAAGTCCGGAGCTAAAATATAAGATCAATTGGATAAAATCAAATCTAAAAATCTATGTGCTTTGGCAGTCCTAATAAATTCTCCAGGAGGCTTACCAGTCTAAAGTGACATTATATGTCAAAAATTAAACCTATTCAAATAAAAGCACAACATACCTATTTATACCTTTGCTGAAGATGTAGCAGCATCTGGAGGCTATTTTGTACTTTGTATTGGAGATAAAGTCTTTGCTGATCAAAGTTCATTAGTTGGAAGTGTTGGAGTGATTAGTTAATGGCATGGAATTAAAAAAGCCTTAGAAAAGTTAGGAATTGAAGCACAATTCTTATCTTCCAATGACTAAATACACGAAGTAGTAAACAGTGCATTTTCAGATTTTAATCCAGAAGGGGCAACATTATGGGTCGATAAATTGGAATATACACATTAAATGTTTATTGATCATGTTAAATCATACAGAAAGAATATAGCCGATTAAAATGTATTTAAGGCTGAAGTTTATAATGGAGAATAAGCAAAATAATTAGGATTGATAGACGATTTTGGTAATTACGAAGAAGTCCTTAATAAACTACATCCAGGATGCAAATTTGAATATGTTTCATTTCCAAGTAAAATGGAAGAACTTAAATAATTAAATAAAGCTTGAGTTTATTATTTTAAATATTTTAATAAATAGAAATATGTTCCTTTAAATTTCTGAATTCCTTTCAGGTAATGAATTTTATCAAACCTCAGAACTTTTTCTTCACATTTTTTTCAATTTTATTTAAACAACTTAAGGTGAGGGAATATAAATGTTTGATTAAAATTAAATTAAAAAACAAAAAAAATAACTAATAATTAGAATAATAAAAAATCTATTCAATACTAGTTATTGATAAAAATTTAAATGAAAAATAATGCAAATGACATATCTTCTAATTTAATTCTGAATCAAAAAAGATTGATAGGAGGGAAATGAGTTAAATTGTATTTTAAATGTCAATTAATTGATGTTTTAAAAAGAAGTTTTATTATTAATTTAGTTTTTTCATGCAATTTAAATTTATACCTGAAGTTATTGCTAAATATGTTTCCTTTTCGATTTTGTTTTGCAATAATCGGAGTCCTAACATTACCTTAGAATAGAAGAATTCAGAAGTGAGTATGTAAAGAAATAAGTTTTGGATAAATATACTTTAATAGTATTTGAGTTTGAGTCAATTAAATCATAAGGATGAGGTAGTTAATTCATGTACATTTTAATTTACATTTTTCACTTGGACAAGTTGAGTATTAAGCATTAATATTTATAATATAAAAAATTCTATTTCCAAATGCATTTATACTTTTCATTATTTATAAATGTACTTCTGGATATTCTAATAATTATTGGGGATCACTAATGAAGATAAATTTTGCTCTTCATAAATTAAAATTAATGTAATTAAGAAATTCTACTTAACTAAAATTTTAGTAAATTTATGATTGGAAAATACAAAATATGTGAACCAATTGGTTAAGGCTATTCATGTAAAGTTTATAGGGCACAATCGTAGGAAAATAATTAATTTTATGCTATAAAAGTGATAAATCATTAATAAATGAGTGAACCCTAGATCAAGTTGCTAGGAACGGAAATAGAAATTTTGTAAACTTTAAATTGTTAAAACATCATCAAATTGTTTGAGATTATAAAGAACTCTTCGTATACATTCATCATAACAGAATTATGCTAATATGGGAGCTTAGAAGGTATATTTTATAAAATACTTCATAGATCAAATGAATAAAAATAAATAGTTTAATGAAGTGCAAGCGTTGAATTTTTTGAATTAAATGTGTAATGCCTTATTGACGTTAAAGAAGTAAAGTAATAGAAACTCGTTATTTAGAAATAATACATAATGATATTAAACCATCTAATATCTTTATTTCATAGAATTGTTTCAAACTAGCCGATTTCGGATTCGCAATCAAAGAAAATTCAAATTACCAATTTAATTTCGGAAGTCCTCTGTACATGTCGCCAGAAACACTAACAAATAATTAGCATACCTATTAATCAGATATTTGGTCTCTTGGAATCACACTCTATTAGCTAATACATGGTTATACTCCTTTTAAAGCATAGAATGAGAAGGAACTTCTACTTTGTTATCTCAACAATCCTATTTAATTCAATAAGGAAATCAGTCCTAAGATGCAAGCGATAATCTCAAATATGTTGGCCATAGACCCTTAAAAGAGAATTACCATTGAGAAATTACAGATATTAATTGTTGAGAAGGAGAACAATATGACATCGTCGTTCCATTAACGAACTAAATCTTTGTCGTATGATAAGTAGCCGTTCTAATTTAAGGAGCAGACATTGAATATTTGTTTATTTGTGAAATCGGTGAGACAAGAGATCCAGGATAATGAATTGTTGACGTATGCCCTCACTGGATTAATACTTTACTATACAAAACAGGAGCAAGGTAAACTATAAAGATGTTCTAGAGAATGAATACAATTAGATTACAGTGATTGTATAGTAATAGAAACAGCCAAATATCTTTTAAATGGTAAAAAGCGATCTCCTAAAATTTTGCATGTCGTAATTGATATTCAGTATTAATCTACTTGCTGATTAGCTGAAGTAATTAAATCCAGTATATATTTAATTAATATTAATCAGAATTTCTATCACGTTTAAAAAGGCAATGTCAGGTTGTTGGTTAATTTATATAATTTATATATGTTTTTAAGATCTGGTGAATAGAACAGGCCATTAGCACTTGCAAGTTAAAACATTACATTTTAAGAAGCCTAACAATTGCTAAGCTAGATAAATATTTGATTTTATAAGCTATTATTATAATTAGTATTAAATTTGTTTAGGACAACAAGTTAATTGATTATAAGCTTGCTGCTATCAAATATATCTTAAATACATTAAATTAATAAACTCTCACAATTATTGTAATTATAACCTATTATGACTTTAATTATAATTATTATTTATAATCAACAACCAAGATATAATGATGAGATATGTAGTGGCAATAAATGATTATGAAACTAGAAATGATGTGATCTATTATAACTTCCACATCAATTGTTAAAAAGACTTTAAGAGTGTCCATAAGAGATATTCAGATTTAAAAGCTTTGAACGAACTACTATAATCGAAAAATAATGAATTCAAGCTGAAATTAACACTCCCTAGATTTCCAAAAAAGAAAATATTTGGGAGAACCAAAAATTCCCAAAGTGATGTTAAGAATAGAGTAATTAAATTCTTAAATTCTTAGGCCTAAGAATTGTAGTAATATTTAGAAGCCATTCTCAATATTCCAACCATATGGTCATTTCAATTTATACGAGAATACTTACCTAAAGTGCAATTATTAGAGGAAACATGCAGGTTATAATAAATCAACACTGAATATTCTAAAGATCTGTGCTGGTTGCAGATGGATGAGCTGAAGAAATCATTTCTACAAAGGCAAGAGCTGTTCCAATCAAACAAAAAAAATAAACAAAAGGGAAACAACAATTCAGGGTATTATCAGAGATATCATTTTACAATAAACGAATTTACCATTCAAAATGATTTTGTTCAATATCTAGTCATTTTAACAGACACCAAAAAGACAACTAAATATTAATTCGAAACCAGATACAGCAACCTTAGGGATTGCCATAAATTATTAGAAAAATATTAATTCAAAAATTTTCTGCCTCAATTTCCAAAAAGAAGATTGATAGGATAGACTATTGATAATCCATAACAAATCTAAGATAGACAAGAATAATTATAGAGATATTTAAATTAGATATTTAGTGTTTAAGAATTTGTTGAAAGTGAACCCTTGGTGTATTTCATCACAAGAATCAAGCTAGAAGGCAAATCTATTAGATAAGGTTAAGCAGAAAGAGTAAGCTAATTTTCATAGTAAGTAAATGGATCTTCCTTCAATATTAGTTAAGGAATAGAAGAACTTCGTTAATAGAAATCATTTTGATGGGCTTGAGCCTAAATATATTGTTTATGCTAGTTTTTAAATATTTATACATCACTTATATAATCTAAATCAAGTATTTGAACGGTGATCAGATCATAGTTTTAAATTATAAATATTTTCTTATCATCAGATATATTAGTTATAATTAATTTTAATATTATCATTAATTTAATGAAACCTTGGAACAAAAATAGAGCGAATTCGTTATTGTTAAAAGACTCAGTTGGAGCACCAAAGTAATCAATCTACACTATTCCTAATGATATTTATTTTGGCAAAGCAATTGTTCATGATACTGAAGGGGCATAATAAGGTAATATGTTATTTTACTTTAGTAACATCAACTTGGTATTATCATAATAACAGTGAATAAAATCCACCTGATAGAGATTTTATGAAATTGAATAAAATGTGTATTTCAAGCAAGTTGTATGATCAGAAACAATTTTATCTGTTCAGATAAAGTAACGATGCAAGAGTCTTTAGAAGAAGAGGATGCAGTTAAATTGAAATGAATTTACCTGACGAAAACTTTCGTTATGGCAAACCCTATTTACCTTAATCTCCAATGAAGAATGTGTTAAGTGGCAGTTATATGAATGAAGCAGAACAATTAATGGATAAGAAATATGATGCAATAACAAAATATAAACAATAATAAAATAAAAGACCGTCTACAGCAACTAAACATACTAAGGCAAGTAAATTAGCTTACTAAAGCTTAACCAAATCTTTAAACAAAACATAGCAACCATAATTCAAACTGAAAGAATTTGAAAAAGTAGAACCAAAAACTAAAACAAGATTTTGATATATATATTTAAAAATAATTTATGGAATAAGAAAAAAAAAGAAAAAGTAGTTTTTTCTGCACTATTTGATTCGTCTATCTAGTTGAATCGCATAAAATTATCTATTAAACCAAATAAGTTAACAAAGAAATTTAACTACTGATGACAAAACACTTTAATCTCAATAGAGTAGACATTCCGAAGAATTCAACTGTAAATTAAATCAATAACAAAGCATTACTCTAAGCAAAAAAGAAAGATTCTGACAAAAATTATTTAACGAATTAGAAATATTCTTTAGTAATTTTATTAATAAATTTATAAGCCGAATATTAAATTCAAAGTAATTCTCTTACTTTAATTAACAATTAATAAACTATTTATACAAATAATTGAAATTGATGTTTAAAGCCTAGGTCACCTTTTGGATTGTGTTGATAAAACGCTATTCGTAAAGGGGAATTTCTCAAATCTTATGTGATTAACCAATTTGAAAATTGAATCATAAGTTTATCTATCTAAAAAATAAAGATTTAAGTGATGTGATAAACTTATAAGAACTTTTATTCCTTCATTTAATTTTACAAAATTTATAACTAAGATATTTATTTTGAGATTTACTATGTCCTATCATATCTAAACCAATTATGCATTTGATGGAAAGACGTAATATAATCATAAGATATTTAGAGTAAAATAATCATAAGATACCTAATATGAAACAAAATAAGCGAAGAAATTAAAGAAGAAATTATCCTTTATTATTAAGCAATTATACAATATAAATCCTAAGAATATTAGTTACTTTCTCTCTGTATTAATAATTATTGATTATTTTAAGGTATTAAAAATCATTTTTCAATTGATTTAATTTGGCCCAAAAACCTATAAAATCACAAAAAATAATGGGAAACTTACTATGGCGAATTATAAATAAGTAATACCAGTCGATTTTGATCTAATTATATTAAATTGTTATGACATCTGTAATAAAAAGGTTTATTAAACAAAACCTCAAAGTAAGAAATGATAATATTAATATTTAATTTAAATTTTGAATAATGTAAGACCTCGTGGCTTAGAAAATTGCTTAATTATCAGAAAAAATAGCAGATAACATTGATTTCACTAAAGCAGGTATTATTAATTCTATGGTGTAGAGGAATTGTATAAAGAATTAATAAAAAATTTGAATGAAGATCTGTCAATTGAATAATTAAAATAATTGGGAAATCAATTTGTATATAATAGAATAATGAGTTTAGCTTGAACTTTTATTAGTAATGCAATAGGATGAATTTATTTAAAGAAAAAGAGCAAAGGAAGAAACATAAGATAAAGAATAATTATTACATAAGGAATATCCACAATTATAAGATAAATTATTAAAATTAAAACAAAATTGTTAAGAGATTGATTTTAATGCTAAAAAAATAAATGAAACTCTTAAAAAATTGCCAGAAACAGAAGAAGCTAATAGAAAATCAATGAAAGATAAATTTTATGAAGATGTAAAAGATGTAAAAGATAAGATTCAATAAGAAGAAGCTGATGCCTAAAAATTCGCTGAAGAAAATTTAAAGTATACATGTGTTAATATGTAATAGAATTCGTGAGGAAATGCAAGCTTTAATTGCATAATATGAATAAAAGGAGAAGGATTTTTGGGAGAAAGTAAAATAGAACGAAGAGGAACAAAAAAATGATACCAAGAAGTATATGGAATAATTTGAAAAAATGTAAGGGGATGCTCAAAAGGCAATGCAAGAAAAATAATTAATATAAGATGCATAAAAGTAGTTAAATGATAAAAAAATGAAATTATAAGTATACAAAGGAAAACAAAATGAATTTGTTGAGACTTTTGAGAAATCAACAAGCACTTTTTAGAATTTAACTGTGGAATTCTTAAAATTAGCTTTTAAAGTCAAGGAGGATGAAGAAAAATTCATTTTAAATTAATAGAGAGCTGACAAAGCTAATTTATTAACAGTAGAAATAGCATAAAAAGTATATTTGTCACAATATAATTTAGAATGCAGATTTAAAATTATTAATTGAAAATATTGAAAAAGAAAAAGATAAACTAAGAGCAGAAATCTTAGAACTTAATAATCAAAAAAAATTATAGAGTCAAAATTAATAATAATAGTAAAAAACAGATGCTGAAAATTGATTTATTTTTGGCAATCAATATAAAATAGTCATTCGAATATATTATTGTTCTTTCTATTGTTAATTATCAAATCATAAAATTCTTTAAAAAGGTTTAAGAATCTCAAAAAGATTTTATTCTTTTTAGTTATAAGTTATTTTTCAAAACAAACCTTTAGTTTGCTCTTTAAATTTTAATTATTTTATTGAACATGAAGTTATCATAATAATTAAGATTATATTTATTTTAATTGAAGTTTATCTTAACTATTTTCATTTTTTTTGGTAAAGAATTGTATAATTAATAAAAAATAAGAATATTTTGTTAAATAAATAATTTTAATGGAAATTGAATACGAATAAAATATTGTTCAACAATCACAAGATCTTCATAAAAATACCTCTGTAAGACTTAGTTAATTAATTTTAGTATTATAATTCTGGATTACCTCTATCTGAAGAAGCATAAAAAATCTTAAATGCTCAATAATTAATTACATCTGGAGGTTCTCCTTAATTAATTCAAGAAAGAATCAAACAACCTGAAAAACAAATAAAAAGCATCATAAAATATAAATTTATGAATGATGGAATGTGGATGAAGTAATTTTCTATTTAATGTTCTAGAATATTAATAGATAGGAATGATTACCCAGAAATAAAAGACACACCTATTATAGCTATGAATGCTTAATTCTAAAATGATGGATTTGAGTTTAATATTAACGTGAATGAATTAGTTGAATATGCTTTAAAAATTCCTAGAACTAGAGAGAAAATAGTTCCTGAGAAATCAAAAATATACGAAAAAAAACATTATATCTACATAGCATTATATAAAGAAAAAGAAGGTGATTGGTGGTCATTGAAATACTGACAATATTACAGTAATTAATTTTTAACCTAGAATTTTTATTGTTTTTTTATTATTGATTATACCTTAATAATTAAAAGAATCCTGGTCATCTAGTCACTCCTAAAATTAATAAGTTCATTATAAAGTTAGGACTACATTAAGATTGTACTCTTCCATTTATTTCTATCAAATTCTCAAACACATCTAATCGTCAAATTAAATTTAGTAATAGTTAATTTTGAGCATAATGACATTTGAATTAATCTCAATTTTAAAGAGCATTATTTGATTATTTAAAAATACCTAATATTCTTAAAGCAAAAACATGAACTCTTTTGTACACAAAAATATTCAAAAAAAATTGGAGTTATATTGGATGAATAATATTCTCAAAGATACTTCATATAAGGCTTTATGTGTGTTAATTAATGTAAAGATAAAATATTTATTTGTGACTAATATAATTACAAATAAGCTAGTTAAGGATGTAATTTATTTCAGAGAGACTGAGAAATCGTAAAATACCTTAACTAAATTATTTATAATGTTCTCTTAATATGTAGACAAGACTGAAAATATAAATTATCAAATATTCATTCAATTTAAATAACTTAAGAGATTTTAATTTAAGTCTTTCAATTTTTATTGAAATATTTAGAGGTGCAATAATTAAAACAAAAAAGTAGGTGACTGATTAATTTTGACTTTGATTAACTTTTTACATCAAATACGAATTTTCTATCTTAGTGACTCTTCGGATTTATGATATAACATTCACTACTTAAAATTATAATGAATGCATAAAGTTAAAATTAAATTGCTATATTACCAAATTTGATTAGATTTATTACTAATTAAACACAAAACCTTTTAATTTTTTAGAATTCATGAAAAGATGAGATATAAAATAATTATTATTAATGGTATTTAAAAATTGTGTTGTGTGTGGAAGGAAATCAGAAGGATTGCTGAAATTGCTTCCTCATTTCAAATCCTCTAAAGAATACGAGTATATCCATAAAAAGTGCCTATTATTTTACAAATCTGATTGGAATCATAGGTTGGCAGTCAATGAAAAATTATTTTACAAGGATTACTTGAGGCATTGTTCAATATGTGGGAAAAAAAACTATAAATAAGTTGTTCATTGTTCATATAGGTATAATTAGAATGTGTAATTCCTACAAGTTTATGTAAAAAGAGCTTTCACTTTGATTGCGTAGACAGCCCTAAAATATCTAAGAATGTTGAGAATGGTCATCGCCCTCCTTAGTTATTGATATTTTGCTCATACCATGATTCAATCTAAAATGTTGTTACTGATTTAGATGAAGCGGTTAATTCCCTTTATACCTCTTACATAGCTCAGAATGAATAATATGAAGAACCATATTCTCGTTATAGATCTAAACATAAAAAGAAGCATAACAAGAAATATTCCCATAGAAGATCCCGTTCCCATAGAAAAAAATCAAGAACTTCAAGCAAAAGTTTAAAATTCAGCGATGGAGAAGAGTCACAATCAAAAAAATCGAATTCTCATAGTCTGTTGGTGATTCCAAAAAGTATAATAACTATGGATTTGATTAATTAAACCTTTTCTAATAAATTGGAGAATAAAGTACAAACAGAAGTAGCTGCTAAAACACCGCCACGAACCATAAATTATTAATAATAACAATAAGTTCATCATTAAGAGTAACTTTTAAATTCGGAGCCATATATTTAATAATAACCTCAATAAATTTAATAAATAGAAATTGAAAATCAGAAAAATGAATTGATAATCTAATAAATTTTCCCTCAGATCACTAAAATAACTTTAGAAGATCCAGAATTTCCAATGCAAGAAAGAGAAACAAAGAGGGATTAAGCTATTGCTAAATGGTGGGAGAAGATTGAAGATGTGTTTTTTAAAGGAGAAGTAAACATGCCCTTAACAAAATTAGAAGAATAAATAAATTTATTTTAATGGCATGAATAAATTTTAGATTAAGAACTTTTAGATATCTCAGACACGAGTAATTTTGGTAATGCTTTGATTTATAGGTAGAACCAATAATATAGTTAAGATATCATTATAGAGACTCCATGAATGTTGTATTTCGAACTTCACAATCTTCCTATTAGTACTCAAATTGTAAAACAATCTTTTAGATTTATACGATATAATTTTAGTGATTATATTGGTCGAACAAATACCAAAGGATAGATCCTAACAAATCTAAGACTTTATAGATACCCATAAGAAAGTTTCCCTTTGACAAAGAATTTATCGATGTTTGAAAATGAAGTACAAATATTAATTTGCTAAAAAGGAGCCAGTAGGAAAAAGTCTTGTTTTTCAAGAATCCTGTGAATTAAATTAGGAGGATTTTGATCAATGCGTTTAATTGGAAGATAAAATTAAACTTTAGCATTAATTTTTAGAGTAATAACTTGATATAGAAAATGAGACACTGGAATAATTGGATATTGTATACCATGCATTAAAAGAGGACCTAAATGAAGTTGTTCAGTAAAACAATTTTATGAGGAAAAATATTAACAATTAAATATTGTCTACCCAAGATTATTAAACTTTAAAAAACTTGAGAAAAAAATAACAAATGATGATGGATATATTAAAATGGTCGCAAATAGTTAAAGCTTTTATTAATGGATATAAAGATAAATAAAAAGATGTTCTTAATACCTTTTACCCTTGTTTAAATTTAGATTCTCAATCTTCTTAAAAAGCTTAATTAAAAAAGAAAAAAATACACTCAAAAGAAAATACTAAACCACTTGATACTGATTGCAAAATATGTTTTGATTATCATAACACAGATTTTAATCCAGTTATTTATTGTGGAAGATGCTCAACAGCATTCCACAAAATTTGCTATTGCTTTTTAGGAAATCTAGATGAATAGGATGTCCTTTGCGATGCATGTTAACTTGAACAATACTAATTAGGAACAACTAAAAGGAGTATTATTTCAGATTTAGCGAAATGTGCAATCTGCAAAAAGTTAGGACTACCATAAAAACAAATTGATAATTAATTTTATCATGTTTCATGTTTATTGCTAACGAATTCAGCCATCATAAAAAATGGGGTGTATAAATTAAGAAGTAGTTAAAGTGATATTAAATAATTATGTAAAGATAATGAAGCTAGTATACCTTAATGTGCAATCTGCGGTGATATGAAGGGTATCGATTATTCGTATTTTAGGTTTTCGATTTACATGCTTTGGTAATGAAACAACAATCCCTTGTCGACATGCATTCCATCCTTTATGTGCATATCTTCACGGGCTCACAATTGATATAGAAAGTGAAGATCTAGAAAAATGCTTTGCACAACTAAGATTTGGTTTATTGAATGTTCAAATCAAATGCGTATTACATTGTGGAAAGAATTTGGATAACTTACTGCTGCAAACTTATTATAGGTAATAATTAATAAGAATCATGTTTAGAAGATTTGCATTAAACTATGACAAAGCAGCCTAATGTGGAGGTTAAGAAGTCTTTTTAGAAGATTTTAAAACAACAAAGGGATATAAATATTTATACTCAAAACAACCCATATCAAAGAATGAACACCAGCAACTATGATTTAAGAGTATTAAGTTTAAATTATATAATTTTATTGATCCTATAGATTTTAACCTTTTTATGTTTTTCCCAATTTAATATATTCTGGCATTCTTAAATTAATTAATATGACAATAAAGCATCTCAATAAGACCATTATATATAATTAGATGATAAAAGCCTTTTCGTACCATAATTTTTAGATGAAAAACCTTTAATATTTTTAACTGTTTGACAAAATAAACTGTCCTTAACAGGACGAAAGGATGGTATATGAAAGTTAGAGAAAAAAAGGATTTAAAAATAATGAAGAAAATAAATACAAAAAAAATATAAGCACTATAGCGTAATAATTACTTTTGATTCAAAAATAGCGTATTTATAATATAAATATAGAAAATGAAATATGATTATAAATTTTTAAAGAACGAATCCTAAGAATAATTACTTCCCTATATTTAAACTAATACAAAAACAACACAACTTGATCACAAAGAAATTAAAAAGAAAATAAAGATGTAAGTAAATTTGAAGAAAGTAAAGATTAGATTAGAAATTATTAGCCAGGTAGTATCCCACTCCAAGATCTCTGTCTTAAAGGGTATACTATTGGACAAAGGATGAAACTACGATACCAGTTATTCAAAAAAATCATGATTCTAGTTCGATTATTGAACATTCTTCAGAATATTTTATGAGACAAGGAGATTGGAAAGAAGACATCCACAGCCCTATTAAAGCAACAGTAGATTTAAGTTCAAGTAAATAAACCCCACCTAAATTCTCCAACATTAAAATACCTAAATTATAAATTGCAAGAAAAAAAGAAAAAATTGAATATTAAGGAGAGGTAGTTACTAATAGATCCAATTCATCAAGTTAAAAATTAGATTTAAAGGCTGATTATTTTTACAATATTATTAACCCTTTGAAGAAAGAGACTAAACCAGATAGAAATGTTAAGTAGGAATGTTTTAATCAAGCATTTCATATATTAGAAGAAATTATTCCTGCATCTATTATAGTTAAATAAAATCATGGATTAGTTTAATAGTCATTATCAGAAAGCGAAATTAAAGTAGAGAAGAAAAAAAATAAAGCGTCTTTGGCAAAAAGATAAAAAGCAAGACCATGCATATCTGATCAACCTCAGCCTAATAGTCAGCCTGAACCGCTTGTTCATATATAAACTCAGATTTCGACTCAGTCCAAAGCATAATCTTAGCCTCAGCCTTAACCCCGAACATAACCTTAGACTCAACCATTACCCTTGTCCGATCAACCACAACCTCAATCACTACCTCAACCAAGACTTCAACCAATAACTCAACCACAGCCGCAACCATAACCATAACCTTAGACTTAAACCTAGCCACAGAATCAACCACAGAACTATAAAAAAGGATAGAGACTAAAAACCTGCGTAATGTCATATGTTAGAAGATTAAAAAGATGCAAACTAACCCATGCTTAAGTTATAAGAGATCACGTTTTTAGCCCTCATCCATATTCAAAGGATCATTCTATTGAATTTTTCTAAGCAATAAAAGATAATCAAGAGCCTGTTGTCACCAGATTATTACAAAAAGTTCCATATTTGGTTTACGATTTTGATAATGCCCATATGACTGGTTTACATTGGGCAGCAAAGAGAGGATTTCCAAACTTAGTAAAAATTTTAATATAGCATAATGCTGATGTTGATGCTAAAGATATTGTCTATAGAACTCCTTTATATATAGCCACAGATTATGCTCATGGCAAAGCTTCCGCAAAGTATATAGAAATTATTTAAATATTGTTATATAATTAAGCCTATCCATGGTCTTACGATCATATACAATATTCATCAGTTATAAGAGATGATAAAAAAGTCAAAGAATTATTTGCTGTAAGTAGAAAAATACATTTAATAATCTTGATAACTTCCCCTCAATTAAAAGATCAAATTTGGAATAAAGAAGTACCTGCAATGAATGCAATAAAAAATGTGGTAAATTATCCTATTAATTCAGAGCACATAAGAGGAAAAATAAAGCTCAAACACAAATGAAATCCTCAAAGGTAATCCGCATATGGATCCAAGATTAAGATAGTTTTATACATAAAAATTAGTTCACCTTAAACGAAAGATTGGAAATTAAGCTTACTAGGAGATTGAGAAATAAATTTAGAATGAACAAGGAATTTTCGAATATGTTAGAAAGTAACCATTTCAAGCAAGCTGAAACATAGATCAGCAGTTTTTTATTTGATAAATAAAGATAATTTTAACACTATAAATATTGAAACCATTCAAATTGTTCTTAATTTAATTGGTGCTAACCTAAATATTTATTATTAAGATAGCATCAATATTTTATATAATGGACTTGTCATATGTTGTCGAATTAAATATAATTATCATAAATTAAATTAATTTTTAATGCCTACTGTGCTTTCCAAAATTCCTATGNAACAGGACGAAAGGATGGTATATGAAAGTTAGAGAAAAAAAGGATTTAAAAATAATGAAGAAAATAAATACAAAAAAAATATAAGCACTATAGCGTAATAATTACTTTTGATTCAAAAATAGCGTATTTATAATATAAATATAGAAAATGAAATATGATTATAAATTTTTAAAGAACGAATCCTAAGAATAATTACTTCCCTATATTTAAACTAATACAAAAACAACACAACTTGATCACAAAGAAATTAAAAAGAAAATAAAGATGTAAGTAAATTTGAAGAAAGTAAAGATTAGATTAGAAATTATTAGCCAGGTAGTATCCCACTCCAAGATCTCTGTCTTAAAGGGTATACTATTGGACAAAGGATGAAACTACGATACCAGTTATTCAAAAAAATCATGATTCTAGTTCGATTATTGAACATTCTTCAGAATATTTTATGAGACAAGGAGATTGGAAAGAAGACATCCACAGCCCTATTAAAGCAACAGTAGATTTAAGTTCAAGTAAATAAACCCCACCTAAATTCTCCAACATTAAAATACCTAAATTATAAATTGCAAGAAAAAAAGAAAAAATTGAATATTAAGGAGAGGTAGTTACTAATAGATCCAATTCATCAAGTTAAAAATTAGATTTAAAGGCTGATTATTTTTACAATATTATTAACCCTTTGAAGAAAGAGACTAAACCAGATAGAAATGTTAAGTAGGAATGTTTTAATCAAGCATTTCATATATTAGAAGAAATTATTCCTGCATCTATTATAGTTAAATAAAATCATGGATTAGTTTAATAGTCATTATCAGAAAGCGAAATTAAAGTAGAGAAGAAAAAAAATAAAGCGTCTTTGGCAAAAAGATAAAAAGCAAGACCATGCATATCTGATCAACCTCAGCCTAATAGTCAGCCTGAACCGCTTGTTCATATATAAACTCAGATTTCGACTCAGTCCAAAGCATAATCTTAGCCTCAGCCTTAACCCCGAACATAACCTTAGACTCAACCATTACCCTTGTCCGATCAACCACAACCTCAATCACTACCTCAACCAAGACTTCAACCAATAACTCAACCACAGCCGCAACCATAACCATAACCTTAGACTTAAACCTAGCCACAGAATCAACCACAGAACTATAAAAAAGGATAGAGACTAAAAACCTGCGTAATGTCATATGTTAGAAGATTAAAAAGATGCAAACTAACCCATGCTTAAGTTATAAGAGATCACGTTTTTAGCCCTCATCCATATTCAAAGGATCATTCTATTGAATTTTTCTAAGCAATAAAAGATAATCAAGAGCCTGTTGTCACCAGATTATTACAAAAAGTTCCATATTTGGTTTACGATTTTGATAATGCCCATATGACTGGTTTACATTGGGCAGCAAAGAGAGGATTTCCAAACTTAGTAAAAATTTTAATATAGCATAATGCTGATGTTGATGCTAAAGATATTGTCTATAGAACTCCTTTATATATAGCCACAGATTATGCTCATGGCAAAGCTTCCGCAAAGTATATAGAAATTATTTAAATATTGTTATATAATTAAGCCTATCCATGGTCTTACGATCATATACAATATTCATCAGTTATAAGAGATGATAAAAAAGTCAAAGAATTATTTGCTGTAAGTAGAAAAATACATTTAATAATCTTGATAACTTCCCCTCAATTAAAAGATCAAATTTGGAATAAAGAAGTACCTGCAATGAATGCAATAAAAAATGTGGTAAATTATCCTATTAATTCAGAGCACATAAGAGGAAAAATAAAGCTCAAACACAAATGAAATCCTCAAAGGTAATCCGCATATGGATCCAAGATTAAGATAGTTTTATACATAAAAATTAGTTCACCTTAAACGAAAGATTGGAAATTAAGCTTACTAGGAGATTGAGAAATAAATTTAGAATGAACAAGGAATTTTCGAATATGTTAGAAAGTAACCATTTCAAGCAAGCTGAAACATAGATCAGCAGTTTTTTATTTGATAAATAAAGATAATTTTAACACTATAAATATTGAAACCATTCAAATTGTTCTTAATTTAATTGGTGCTAACCTAAATATTTATTATTAAGATAGCATCAATATTTTATTTAATGGACTTGTCATATGTTGTCGAATTAAATATAATTATCATAAATTAAATTAATTTTTAATGCCTACTGTGCTTTCCAAAATTCCTATACCTTAATCATTTCAAAATAAGGCACTTTCAGGAGCATTGCTAGTTTTAATATTAATGATTGTAAAATCGAAAAAAGAGGCATCATCTCCTAGAAAGATACCTAGAAGACAAGGTTAAGGAAATGTTGATAAAGTATTTATAAACAGAATTTTGGATCTATTGAAAATAGTTATTCCTTCAATAAAAAGTATGGAAGTAGTGGATTTGAGTGTTTTAACAGTATTTTTAGTTATTCGTACTATGATGAGTATCTATATTTCATCATTAAATGGTAGAATAGTTAAAACAATTATTAATGGTGATTTGTAAAAGTTTATTAAAAAAGTATTAATAAATATTATATATAGATTGTTTAATTAGGTTTAGTAGCTGTGCCTGCAAGCTTTGTTAATAGTTATTTAGAATATTTGAACAAATCACTTTCACTAAGATTTAGAAGGAGATTGACTGAATACTTTCATGATTAATACATCAAGAATATGATCTTTTATTAAGTTTCCAATTTAGATAGTCGAGTTACTAATCCTGATTAGAGATTAACTACAGATATAGAAAAGTGGGCAAATTCATTATCTCAAATATACTCTAATTTTTCTAAACCTGTTTTAGATATATTTTTGTTCTCAAAAAAATTGGCTGTTTCTATTGGTTACTAAGGACCTATGTATGTGTTTTTATGGTATTTCTTCTCAGGAGTATTATTAAAAATAGTATCTCCAGCATTTGGTAAATTAACTGCAATTGATTAAAAATTGGAAGGTGAATACAGAAGTGTTCATAGTTAATTGTTATATCATGCCGAAGAAGTAGCATTTCTACAAGGATAAAATTGGGAAAAGCTCAAAATTAATTAATCCTATCAATAACTCAATAAGCATTAAATAGTTGTGAATAAACTCAGATTATTTATGGGTATTTTTGATGGGCTCCTTGTTAAATATGGTGCAGTTATGGCTGGATATGGTATTATGGGATTACCTGTGTTTGGACCTAATAGAGAAGAGTATTTGAAGAAAATTGGAAATGATAAAAGTGCCATTACAAGAGATTATGTAAGTAATAGTTCGCTTTTAATTAATTTGGCAAAAGCAATTGGTAGATTAGTTGTTAGCTATAAGGAAATATAATAACTAGCTGGATACACAAGAGTTGTTTATGAAATAAAAGAAGTATTGTCTGATCTAACCTCTGGATATTATAAAAGAACTTAAGTTTAATAAGAAAATGAAACTGGATAAGTAGTAATAGATTAAGGAAAGCATTAAACAATATAATTAGATAAAGGATAAGTAAGTTTAATATTTAAATATTAGATTATTTAAACTGATGACATTATTGAATTTGAAAATGTACCTATTATCTCTCCTAATGGAGATACTCTAATTAAAGGGATGTCCTTTAAAATAACTCCTGGAATGAATGTTATTATTAGCGGACCAAATGGATGTGGTAAATCATCACTTTTCAGAATTTTGGGAGCTTTATGGCCAGTCTAAGGAGGTACTTTATATAGACCTGCTATTGATAAATTATTTTATATTCCTCAAAGACCTTATTTGCCTCCAGGAACTTTAAGAGATTAAATTATTTATCCTCATACAAAATTATAAATGTTAAGAAGAAAGATAAATGATTAAGATTTGATCAAATTATTAGAGGATGTTTAATTAGAATATCTTGTTTATAGAGAGAGAGGTTTAGATGCAGCAAATGACTGGAATGATGTGTTGAGCGGAGGAGAAAAATAACGAATTGCAATGGCTAGATTATTCTATCATAAACCATAATATGCTATACTCGGTATTATAACTAATATCTTGATTAGATGAATGCACATCTTCTGTTAGCATGGACATTGAAGCAATCATGTACAATAAAGCCAAAGCATTAAATATTACTTTGTTTACAGTATCACATAGGCAATCATTGTTTAAATTCCATGAGTATATTCTCAAATTTGATGGAGAAGGAAAATATTGGTTCAATAAATAAAATATCTGAGAATAAATATAAATAATAAATTAGTAAAANACAATATTATTAACCCTTTGAAGAAAGAGACTAAACCAGATAGAAATGTTAAGTAGGAATGTTTTAATCAAGCATTTCATATATTAGAAGAAATTATTCCTGCATCTATTATAGTTAAATAAAATCATGGATTAGTTTAATAGTCATTATCAGAAAGCGAAATTAAAGTAGAGAAGAAAAAAAATAAAGCGTCTTTGGCAAAAAGATAAAAAGCAAGACCATGCATATCTGATCAACCTCAGCCTAATAGTCAGCCTGAACCGCTTGTTCATATATAAACTCAGATTTCGACTCAGTCCAAAGCATAATCTTAGCCTCAGCCTTAACCCCGAACATAACCTTAGACTCAACCATTACCCTTGTCCGATCAACCACAACCTCAATCACTACCTCAACCAAGACTTCAACCAATAACTCAACCACAGCCGCAACCATAACCATAACCTTAGACTTAAACCTAGCCACAGAATCAACCACAGAACTATAAAAAAGGATAGAGACTAAAAACCTGCGTAATGTCATATGTTAGAAGATTAAAAAGATGCAAACTAACCCATGCTTAAGTTATAAGAGATCACGTTTTTAGCCCTCATCCATATTCAAAGGATCATTCTATTGAATTTTTCTAAGCAATAAAAGATAATCAAGAGCCTGTTGTCACCAGATTATTACAAAAAGTTCCATATTTGGTTTACGATTTTGATAATGCCCATATGACTGGTTTACATTGGGCAGCAAAGAGAGGATTTCCAAACTTAGTAAAAATTTTAATATAGCATAATGCTGATGTTGATGCTAAAGATATTGTCTATAGAACTCCTTTATATATAGCCACAGATTATGCTCATGGCAAAGCTTCCGCAAAGTATATAGAAATTATTTAAATATTGTTATATAATTAAGCCTATCCATGGTCTTACGATCATATACAATATTCATCAGTTATAAGAGATGATAAAAAAGTCAAAGAATTATTTGCTGTAAGTAGAAAAATACATTTAATAATCTTGATAACTTCCCCTCAATTAAAAGATCAAATTTGGAATAAAGAAGTACCTGCAATGAATGCAATAAAAAATGTGGTAAATTATCCTATTAATTCAGAGCACATAAGAGGAAAAATAAAGCTCAAACACAAATGAAATCCTCAAAGGTAATCCGCATATGGATCCAAGATTAAGATAGTTTTATACATAAAAATTAGTTCACCTTAAACGAAAGATTGGAAATTAAGCTTACTAGGAGATTGAGAAATAAATTTAGAATGAACAAGGAATTTTCGAATATGTTAGAAAGTAACCATTTCAAGCAAGCTGAAACATAGATCAGCAGTTTTTTATTTGATAAATAAAGATAATTTTAACACTATAAATATTGAAACCATTCAAATTGTTCTTAATTTAATTGGTGCTAACCTAAATATTTATTATTAAGATAGCATCAATATTTTATTTAATGGACTTGTCATATGTTGTCGAATTAAATATAATTATCATAAATTAAATTAATTTTTAATGCCTACTGTGCTTTCCAAAATTCCTATACCTTAATCATTTCAAAATAAGGCACTTTCAGGAGCATTGCTAGTTTTAATATTAATGATTGTAAAATCGAAAAAAGAGGCATCATCTCCTAGAAAGATACCTAGAAGACAAGGTTAAGGAAATGTTGATAAAGTATTTATAAACAGAATTTTGGATCTATTGAAAATAGTTATTCCTTCAATAAAAAGTATGGAAGTAGTGGATTTGAGTGTTTTAACAGTATTTTTAGTTATTCGTACTATGATGAGTATCTATATTTCATCATTAAATGGTAGAATAGTTAAAACAATTATTAATGGTGATTTGTAAAAGTTTATTAAAAAAGTATTAATAAATATTATATATAGATTGTTTAATTAGGTTTAGTAGCTGTGCCTGCAAGCTTTGTTAATAGTTATTTAGAATATTTGAACAAATCACTTTCACTAAGATTTAGAAGGAGATTGACTGAATACTTTCATGATTAATACATCAAGAATATGATCTTTTATTAAGTTTCCAATTTAGATAGTCGAGTTACTAATCCTGATTAGAGATTAACTACAGATATAGAAAAGTGGGCAAATTCATTATCTCAAATATACTCTAATTTTTCTAAACCTGTTTTAGATATATTTTTGTTCTCAAAAAAATTGGCTGTTTCTATTGGTTACTAAGGACCTATGTATGTGTTTTTATGGTATTTCTTCTCAGGAGTATTATTAAAAATAGTATCTCCAGCATTTGGTAAATTAACTGCAATTGATTAAAAATTGGAAGGTGAATACAGAAGTGTTCATAGTTAATTGTTATATCATGCCGAAGAAGTAGCATTTCTACAAGGATAAAATTGGGAAAAGCTCAAAATTAATTAATCCTATCAATAACTCAATAAGCATTAAATAGTTGTGAATAAACTCAGATTATTTATGGGTATTTTTGATGGGCTCCTTGTTAAATATGGTGCAGTTATGGCTGGATATGGTATTATGGGATTACCTGTGTTTGGACCTAATAGAGAAGAGTATTTGAAGAAAATTGGAAATGATAAAAGTGCCATTACAAGAGATTATGTAAGTAATAGTTCGCTTTTAATTAATTTGGCAAAAGCAATTGGTAGATTAGTTGTTAGCTATAAGGAAATATAATAACTAGCTGGATACACAAGAGTTGTTTATGAAATAAAAGAAGTATTGTCTGATCTAACCTCTGGATATTATAAAAGAACTTAAGTTTAATAAGAAAATGAAACTGGATAAGTAGTAATAGATTAAGGAAAGCATTAAACAATATAATTAGATAAAGGATAAGTAAGTTTAATATTTAAATATTAGATTATTTAAACTGATGACATTATTGAATTTGAAAATGTACCTATTATCTCTCCTAATGGAGATACTCTAATTAAAGGGATGTCCTTTAAAATAACTCCTGGAATGAATGTTATTATTAGCGGACCAAATGGATGTGGTAAATCATCACTTTTCAGAATTTTGGGAGCTTTATGGCCAGTCTAAGGAGGTACTTTATATAGACCTGCTATTGATAAATTATTTTATATTCCTCAAAGACCTTATTTGCCTCCAGGAACTTTAAGAGATTAAATTATTTATCCTCATACAAAATTATAAATGTTAAGAAGAAAGATAAATGATTAAGATTTGATCAAATTATTAGAGGATGTTTAATTAGAATATCTTGTTTATAGAGAGAGAGGTTTAGATGCAGCAAATGACTGGAATGATGTGTTGAGCGGAGGAGAAAAATAACGAATTGCAATGGCTAGATTATTCTATCATAAACCATAATATGCTATACTCGGTATTATAACTAATATCTTGATTAGATGAATGCACATCTTCTGTTAGCATGGACATTGAAGCAATCATGTACAATAAAGCCAAAGCATTAAATATTACTTTGTTTACAGTATCACATAGGCAATCATTGTTTAAATTCCATGAGTATATTCTCAAATTTGATGGAGAAGGAAAATATTGGTTCAATAAATAAAATATCTGAGAATAAATATAAATAATAAATTAGTAAATATGTCAATTTTACAATTATAAAGTCATTAATTATACTAGATTCATATTTCGATTATATAAAGGCTAAATTACAATGAGCAACATATGAAAATGATGAATATAATTCATCAGTATTTAATATTAGTAGTAGCTATAAAACCTCTTCAGGGCAATCTAATTTGAATTTTTTATCATAAAAGGGGTTCTCTGGTTGATATTAATTGACGAGAATATGAGTAAGATTTATGGATAGGTAAGTAAAAGCGAAGTTGTTTGAAAAGAAGATAAATTTATGGAGAAAATAAAATATGATATGCAAAATTGAGTGCAATTATCGTTATTTCAAAATGCATAATTCTGAAAAGAAATTGAGAAACAACCATTTTATTGCTACCTAAATTTTGATGTTGAAAAAAAATAATCGCGAACAAAATCTTTCAAAAGCAAGTGAATAACTGTGTAATACCCTTATTCTGCATAAATTATAATCCAAGCCCTTCTTTGATATCGTGATCTTTATTCTATCAAAAGAGACTTTTTCTAATCCACTATTATTTTAGGTACAAAATTTAGGAAAAAGGTTTTAAATATCTGAGTTTTTTGGAATAAATTAATAATTTTTTTTTATATTTGTAATTATATCATGACATATCAATTTTGTCAAATCAAAGATCAAGATGACCAAACACGAATGTATATTTGTAACTCATTGGAATGTATTGACTTAAAAGATAATGAACTTTTATGTTAAAAATGTTTATGTAAACATAAAGGTTTGCACTATAACAAGTTAAAGGATTTGGCTATGAATCAATATTATGAATATATGCAAATTTGAATAATGGTATGGAAGAATGTTAAGAACTTAAAAAGAAAGTGGATGAAAAAATTCTCAATATTAAGGAAGAGATGCTAAAAGTATTGGAAAATTAGCAAAAGCAGATATATGGTTTCATAAATAAGTAATCCATGTAGTAAAAACCAATTAGGATAAAGATACTAATAAATGCAAGACTCAAATCCTTCACTTGATATACTAATCTATTATGCTACATTTTCAAATAAAAAATTATAGAAAAATCTAAGTTTGACAATACTATTGATGAAGAAAATAATTAGTGATATTATTGATGACTTTAATGAGAAAGTTATTGAATATCTTGTGATTCCTGATATTAATGACGATAGTAAAGCTACTCATAATGAACATTCTCAAGCTGACAGAGTAGAGGAATATAACAATTTAAAATAACAATAAAAAATGAAATAAAAGGTGTAATAAAATGAAATAATGAATGTTAATTAAAGCGCTCAAAAATTGGTAGATAATTTAATACAACAGTTAAAAGTTGAGCAAAAAGAACAATACTTGAAATATGTTGTAACAATCAAACANGGAAAATATTGGTTCAATAAATAAAATATCTGAGAATAAATATAAATAATAAATTAGTAAATATGTCAATTTTACAATTATAAAGTCATTAATTATACTAGATTCATATTTCGATTATATAAAGGCTAAATTACAATGAGCAACATATGAAAATGATGAATATAATTCATCAGTATTTAATATTAGTAGTAGCTATAAAACCTCTTCAGGGCAATCTAATTTGAATTTTTTATCATAAAAGGGGTTCTCTGGTTGATATTAATTGACGAGAATATGAGTAAGATTTATGGATAGGTAAGTAAAAGCGAAGTTGTTTGAAAAGAAGATAAATTTATGGAGAAAATAAAATATGATATGCAAAATTGAGTGCAATTATCGTTATTTCAAAATGCATAATTCTGAAAAGAAATTGAGAAACAACCATTTTATTGCTACCTAAATTTTGATGTTGAAAAAAAATAATCGCGAACAAAATCTTTCAAAAGCAAGTGAATAACTGTGTAATACCCTTATTCTGCATAAATTATAATCCAAGCCCTTCTTTGATATCGTGATCTTTATTCTATCAAAAGAGACTTTTTCTAATCCACTATTATTTTAGGTACAAAATTTAGGAAAAAGGTTTTAAATATCTGAGTTTTTTGGAATAAATTAATAATTTTTTTTTATATTTGTAATTATATCATGACATATCAATTTTGTCAAATCAAAGATCAAGATGACCAAACACGAATGTATATTTGTAACTCATTGGAATGTATTGACTTAAAAGATAATGAACTTTTATGTTAAAAATGTTTATGTAAACATAAAGGTTTGCACTATAACAAGTTAAAGGATTTGGCTATGAATCAATATTATGAATATATGCAAATTTGAATAATGGTATGGAAGAATGTTAAGAACTTAAAAAGAAAGTGGATGAAAAAATTCTCAATATTAAGGAAGAGATGCTAAAAGTATTGGAAAATTAGCAAAAGCAGATATATGGTTTCATAAATAAGTAATCCATGTAGTAAAAACCAATTAGGATAAAGATACTAATAAATGCAAGACTCAAATCCTTCACTTGATATACTAATCTATTATGCTACATTTTCAAATAAAAAATTATAGAAAAATCTAAGTTTGACAATACTATTGATGAAGAAAATAATTAGTGATATTATTGATGACTTTAATGAGAAAGTTATTGAATATCTTGTGATTCCTGATATTAATGACGATAGTAAAGCTACTCATAATGAACATTCTCAAGCTGACAGAGTAGAGGAATATAACAATTTAAAATAACAATAAAAAATGAAATAAAAGGTGTAATAAAATGAAATAATGAATGTTAATTAAAGCGCTCAAAAATTGGTAGATAATTTAATACAACAGTTAAAAGTTGAGCAAAAAGAACAATACTTGAAATATGTTGTAACAATCAAACATATAAAACATTTAAAATAATAGTTTGGAATTGAATTGTTTCTTTAGGATAATAAATCTATTTTTGGTGATTTGATCCTACATTTAATTTTAGTTTAAGAGGAAGAATTGAAATTAATATTTATAAACCGCTAACAGAGCTTGAAAACCAACTTAAAAATTGTTAGATCTAGGATTAGCAAATTTTTGAGGAGGAATGTAAAATAATTAAAAATGACTAAATATCATTAATCAACTTTTAAAAGATAAGGAAGAGTTGCAATAATCAATCAATAATTATGAAAAACAAATAAATAATATGTCAAATATTATAATACATCAAGAGATTGAAAAACTTTTTGATTTGATATCGAAAAACAAAAAATGAGAATTAAATTTAGGGTTAACATCTGATAACCCAAATAAATGAATTGAAAGATTTAGTGAAAGGAGTGTAAACACTTATTATTCAAAATATCAAAGCGGAGTCAACAAAATAAATAGTTTAAATCTATTTAGAACTATTTGGATAAATATATAATAAATGTGAGTCCTATCTTAAAAAAGATAAAAACGGCGATTGTCAAATTGCTTGAATTATCAAGCATTTAATGATACAAATTTATTCCAATATTTCCCTAAAAAATTATTTTGTTACTTTATTATTTAGTTTTTCTTCAATTTTCAGGATAAAATTTTAATATAAAAATATAAAGTTATTTCTTAATTGATATCTACATGTTGTTCTAGTTTCTATTAGACATTATTTTAATCTTATTAAAGAATTTATGAATAGATCTGGAAACTCCTTACATATTTACAATGGATGGATGTGGCAAACTTGGATTGAATATTATCATTTGTTTTCTTAATATACATTTTTTTTTCAAATTGAAAGAATTTCTAATTGTTTAGAAAAAACACACTAAGAAGACTACGACAGCATTTCTCAATATATATGCAAAAATTAAACCAAAAATATTAAAATAAACTATCCAATAGATTATTTCTTTAAGTATATTCTAATTAATTGAACTTCATATAAATTTTACATAGAAAATAAATTCAAAAATTCTAAATCAAAATCTTATCTTAAACTGATTTTGGAAACCAATAAAATAGCCACAGTATTCCATACTACAGACTGCTCAAAGTACAATCGACTTTTTAATTGCTTCTCAATTTAATTTGTCTAAATATTCAATTTCCTTACCTATAAGAATCAATATAAACAACAATAATCATATTAAAAGTAAAGTAAGTTAGCAAAAAATAAAAAATGATCAAAAAAAATGTTGTTGATAACTAATTATTATCTAATAATTTCTGAACATCATAAGTGTTCATTACCATTTAGAGTAAAGAAGTAAACGCTGTATCAAAGGAACTAAACTCTGATGAGTAAGGGCCTTATAAGGATCTCATAATCATACAAAAACTTAAAAGTATTAGGATTAATATTTTAAAACTGATCATAATCTAAAGATATGAGAATTAAATAGATTCAATTAAATTAAGCATACTTACAAAAATTCCTAAAAATAATATACTTCGAAATATTAGTGCAGCCACTGACAAGCCTAAAAAGTAAAAGTAATTTTAATAGGTTTCTGCAAGGTTTCCATAATCTTCAAACTCCTCAAGTTCAACCATCTTTTTTGGATTTTATTCAACTGAAAGTAATTTTAAGGCATATGATATACTAACAAAATTTGTATACAAAACTATTATATTCATAAGGAAAATAAGGGATATAAAGTATGAGAAAATATTTTTGAATTTTGTTTAATTGGATTAGATACTTTGAATTTCTTTGCTAAATGATATAATCACAAATACCATATATATCAAAAAGCAGATTGAAAAAAATAGCTTGAGATATGAAAATATTTTAATTTCATCTTCTATTTTGTCGAAGTTGGGTAATCTAAAGTATTTAATTTTAGGGGAGTTTGGGTGAATTCCAAGGTTTGTGTTCTCACAAAGTAATTCAATAAAAAAAAAATTTGAGTCCAACTTACTTTTAATAGTAAAAGTGATAATAAGAGCCAAAGTATTTACATCAAGATATTCTTTATTTTGGAACATTTCATATGTAATTTCTTTTCTATACTGCTGCATTGTTTATTTTGATTTTGTTAAATCTTTTATGTAACCAGTTTAATCGTATTCACCAAACTTTCCTTTCGTTATTCTTGAAATAGTAATATCATTTTTTGATTTAAATTACATCCAGTCCTTGTCCCCTTAAGACAATACTCTTGTTTCAATTGTATTTATATTTTATTATTCATAAAAGCATTTCAATCTACTCGATATGTCAGATCTAACTGTATACAAGCATTGCTTTTCTTTAACTTTTATGTTTCTAAATCTAACTGCTCCAATTAAATCATAGTACATATTAAATTGAGATTATTAATTACAAAGATAAAAGGGAAATTTACTAAAGTCATTAAAGTAAGTAAAAATACCATCTAATGTAGAGATATTTATAAAGTCTTAATTTTTACCTAGTTTGAGTACAGTTTCTATTTAGTTAATATGGCTTTAAATTACAGCTTAATTAGGGACGAGAGAATATTGAATGCAATTTAATATCAATAGTATTAAAATCAATAAAACTACCAAAATATTGTAGTCATCAATTTTTAAACCTTTTCTTTTGATATTTTTTTAGTCTCGTAGATCCAATTCAAATGTGTCGATTTAAAACATTTTTTAGAGCAATGGAAATCTTTAAGTAAAGCTATAATAACTTTTTGTCAAAGATTATTTCATTTTCAATATCATATTGCTAATCGCAAAATTTGCATCATCTAGACTTAAATCACCAGAAATAGAATTTTATAATTATTGATGAGCTAATTAACTATCTTCAGCTTAAATGGTGTAATTCATAAGGGTTTAATTGTTGAAAGTTCTACTTAAAAATTAGCTTGCTGCTTAGGATTCATTTATTTAAGTATTGGTATCTCCTCTATCTTAATACCCTTATAATTTTATAACCTTTTTTTTAAGAATAGCATTAACATATTTTTCCTTTTCAAATCTCTGCTCAAAATTTTCACAATACCTTTCAATTAACTCTGTATTTGGTATTTTAGTGAAATCAGGAGCTAGAAATTCATATTTCCTCATTTTAATCTGATATTAATTCTAATCTTAATTAAAAGTATCAGGTGCATATAGATTATCAAGTTCAATGATATTCCAATATTAAAGACAAACAAGCTTTAAATTATCAAAAGTATCCGATTTTGAATATCTGAAAGTAATTGTAACATAATCTTAATTATCTGCTGTCCTCTAATTTACTTGAGTTCGCAACTTAGGATCCAACAATTTAATAAAGCATTGTATTTATATGGTGTGAAATTTAACCATTGGGGAAATATATATTTTCTCATTATCATTTTCTATTTCTTTCTCTTGAATAAGTTCTTGTCCAATACAACTGTCAAAATATTAAAAGTACTTTTCCATAAAATTTGAGAAGTATTCCTAAGAAATTTTTTATTTATACAAAAATTACTGCTGAATTTGGGCCTTCTATTGTTGTTACAGACTAATTATAAATTATAGCTTATTTACTGAAAGATAGTAGTAGAAGAATTAGATTTTTACTCATTATTGTGTGATTTAATTTCGTTTATTTCAAGCTCCTTATTAATTTCAAATATTTTTTCAACATTGTTCAGATCTCGCAATTTCAATTTGATTTCATCATCTATAAATTTATTTCTTTTTTCTTTCATTTCAATTTATTCCTCCAATTCTAAGACTTTTGCTTGACATGCACATATTTTTTGTTTCAAAATTTGATAATGATTACTTTAATTGTCAATTTGTTAATCAATTTATTTTTCTTATTTTCGTTTTCTCATTTTATTATATTAATTTCATTTTCAAATGGCAGATGATGTTATGGATAATGAGAAAAAGCTAACATAATTAAAAGCTAAACTATTAAAACTTAAAAGTAAGAAAGAAGAAATGGAGGAATAATTAACATAAAAGGAACTAAGAAATAACTTTTTAGAAAAAGAATTGACTTAGAAGACAAAGGACTTTGAACTATTAGGTAAATATGTCACAAGCGGCTATCATGATGATGAATATTAGGAGAAAAAACCGCAAGGTTAATAAGTGTCAAAAATGCTGGAAAAATCAGTATTAGAGAAATTCAGTTATCACACTGATAAATATTTTAGATATATAGAGGATTGTATTAATTAGGAACAAGAATAAGCTGAAATAAAGGATGATGATAATCAATATCAAGCTCCACCACCAACTTGTGCTATATAAGTAAAATGTTTGAAATCTTGCTTGCCAAAAGATAAATAAGAAATAGGTGTTCCAGGAGATGATCCAGATTATGTGACTCAAACATTTCGATATACAAAATTAGAAACCTTCGAAAGTTTAAAATAAGCTGCTCTTCGTTTTTGGGGTTTAGTCGAAACAAAAGTAACTACTAATTATATGGAAAACAATCAAAAGTCTAATGGTTTGCAAAGTGAAATCCAACAAGAAGGAGGAGAATAATCTAAAGTTAGTGAAGGTAATGGCTAAGTTGCAATATCAGGATTGAACAACTCTTAATCAAGTAGATAATCTGAGAATGATATAAAGAGAATAGCAAATAGATTTGAAATAGTGACAGATGATTTAGAACCAGTTTAAAATACAAATTTAATTGAAAGATTTTTAAATGAATAAATCGCTAATCCAAATAAGAATACATTATGTGTTGTGTTGAGAAAGAAAAAAAATAAGTAATCACATAAAAAGGTTGGAGGTAAAATTCAAAACGATGGTAAAAGTCAAGGTATGAGTTAAGTTAAAAGTTATGGAGTTAGTCATGGAGGGTAAAGTTCGTAGATAGGTACTCAAACAAATTAATAATCTAATCAACAATCTAAGGTGGCTGGTGATGAATAATCAAATTAATAATAGTATAATTAATTAGAAGAAGACGATGATGACGATGATGATGAAAATGATCCTGATTAAGATGAGGAAAAAAGAAGATTAAAAATTAAATTATATAAAAAGTTTGCTACATTTTTCAAAAGATTTCCTTTATTAAGAAAAATGTTTATGATTGACAAAAAGGATATTGAATCTAGAGGAGTTATGATAGATAAAGAAATTAAATAAGATAAAAAAGGTATGACTTGTGACGATAATAACTTTTGTGTTATTCTCATATTGGCTGCGTTGTTTGTGTTAAATTACTTAGCACTTTACTATTTAGAAGACGGTCCTTATGCACAGACAAATTATAGAAGACTCTAATCCTTATTAAAAGTTGGAAGTATTGGTGAAGCAGGCTCATATAGAGACATATCAAAAGTTGAGGATATTTATAATTACTATTGCAATGTATCTGGCATACCTTACGAGCTAATGGTTCCGGAGTCGAATTTTCGGCAATCCTTTGATATTATTGGAGCTATTAGGATCAGATAAATAAGAACTAAACCTGCTGATTGTCAATACCCTCGGAGAAATGATAGGAAAAGTTAAATCTCATGTGTTTATACCTAAGTTACCTCATCTTCGAGACAAACCGATCAAATAGGGGATGGTTCAAAACAATGGATGTCATATCAAGCTACAAGCGAATTAGGAATTCCCAGAATTTCCAAAGGAACTTTTGATGATTATGATTCATCAGGGTATATTTTGGATCTGAAAAAGTCAGACTAAACTCTCTTGCAATATAAAAATAAGGTTATACAGGAATTATTTAATCATCCAGATTATTTAGTTGAGGGACTAAACGCATAAATTCTAACAATGACTGTGCGGAGTAAAAATGACGGGTCTTTTATATTTTTAGAGTTTTTGATTGAGTATACGAATAGTGCTTTGATACCTAATATCCCATTGATCATTCCGTTTAATTTAAATTTAGCTGGAAGGGGATTATCATAACCATATTCTGTGATTGCTTAAAGATCTCTTGAAAGTCCTTAAAATCCTATCGATTTTGAAGTTGGATTAATTATTTATTTAATTACAATCGCTAAAGTTTTTGTGGGTATTTTCTTTTTATTTTTCTAATTAATAAAAATAAAAACATATTTAACAGATTCAAAAGTTAAAGGATTAAAATATTTTATTTCAATTACATTTGTTTTGAATTGCTTAATAATTTATATCACTTTCAAAAGTTGTGATTTAATCTTTTAGTAGGATAAAATGAATTATGATGCAAATGAATTATTTATGAAAGAGGATTTTGTTGATTTAGGAGACCTTGCTGCTCACCATTCTTCTGCCTTGTTTACAAATACAATTGGATTGTGTTTTACGATTTTAAGAATATTTTTACTATTTAACTTCTTAAGATCATTTGAAGCAGCCCTTAGTGCAATAGAGCAATATTATTTAATGATATTTGCAAGCTTGTTCATCTTGGCTTTTGTATTAGTTGGATACACAATGATTTCAATGAGTCTGTATGGCCAATACAATGTTGCTTTCAGCACTTTCACCAGAGCCTTGACTTCATTATTATTGATCTTAACAGATTGTTAGGATTAATATTCCTTTTATTAATTCGATATTACTCTAGGAACTGTCTTTATGATAATCTTTTATTTCTTATTTTATACGTTTATGTTTAATATACTGGCAGTCATGTATATAGATTCATATAGGTAAAAATGATATTAAAAATTAGAATTATAATAGTAGATTAAGGAGAATTAGTTTAAGATAGTTGGACTTCAGATGATATATTTAAATTCTTTACAACTTGGATTCCAGATGGTTGCAAAAAGAAATTTAACAAAGCTCTTTAATAAGTCTAATTGCACACGGAGTGAAAGAGTATTGTTTAAATGCAAAGTTTAACTAAGACTGAAAAATAAATTATATTAATGAATTCTTTATATTTTATAATTAACAATTCTTTGCTTTAAGTAGTGTAAATTAAATTACTATAAATAAATCAATAATATATTAAGGATTAATAAAACACAAAATCTTTCATCATTAATAACCTTCATTAATGTACCTCAGGAAGTGTTGTAATTCTATTTTAGTTTTTAAAGAATTTTGACTTTTGAGGCTACAAATAAACGTTAATTTAATTATTCCTTTTCACAGGTGATTACGACGGAAACCCTGTAACGAATGATGAGCCCGGAGATCTAGGAGTTAGAATTGTTGGAGTATGCATTTAAGTATTTTTATTGGAAAAATTGCTCTTTTTATGTAAAGATTCAAATAATCCTGTTTATCTAGAGAATTATTATTTTTCTTTATTTATTAGCTTCTTTTGCTTCAATAAAAAGGATTCAATATAGCTATGTTTAATTCTTGTCTATGAATTAATAGGCGATTATTTATTCATTGATGCTTATTCCTCAAAAACTAAGCTACTTAAAGTTGGTCTGTGAGCGAATGATTTAATCATTATTTCATCTCTATGAATCTAGATTTCTTCCACGATATTTTCGCTGCTTGCACTATTTTTTGGAGTATTGAGAAATTAAGGGAATAACAGAGTTTGTTGCTTTCGTATTGTTCTTTTAAATTTGTTAATCGCAGACTCCTGCTCTTTCACTAAATGACTAATTTAAACACCATAATTCATGGTGTCCCTTTAGAATAATGATTGCTTACCACATTCAGAACAATCACAACTTTTTCTTTTCTAAACTTCTTTCACTTAATCATCTACTTTTTGGTTGTTAACGACAACGGTTGGGCTTTGTTCATTAGAAATGTGTTCTGAAAATTTGAGTGTATTTCTCCCAGTTCTTATTTTTGATAGTCTTGTGGGAGATATGGAATCTTTAATACTAGGTTAGTGTTATTAAGTTCTCAACATTTGTATAGGAACATATCTCCTTTAAAAAAATTTCATATTATGAGGAACACTAAGTCTTCTTTCTAATTTAGGCACATTAATATTCTTCAATTTTATGTTATTTTTTTTAATTACAATTCTAGACCTTTTTATTATTCCAGATGTTTATGGGGTGTTATGAACAGAAAAATAAGGTCTTCTAAAATTATTATTTTGCATTTATTTCTTGTTAATATATATTAAAAATATGATTTAATTTGAAAATCTAATATAAATGTCATCCTTTTTGCAGATCATTTTATTGATATGAAATACAATAAGTTATGAAGAATAAACTATTTATAAGAAGGATCTAGGTATTCAATCTTTTTATTATGAAGCTATAATTTAGAATTTTATACTTTATTATAAATCTCAATTAAATTACTGAAATGGAAAATTTAAAAATAAAAAAGAATATATATCTAATGACTATAACTCAATAGTTTCAAATTCAATTCTTAGATTATTATTAAGGTCTCCTTATCTTTAGAATATTCAATTATTATTCTCAAGAAATAAAAAATTGAAATAAAAAACTACTTCTGAATAACTTGAAATATATATACTAATTTACATAAACAAACTAAATATTAAACAAAGTTTATAATTATTTTTAATAATCCATTCAAATCACTATAAATATAATGAGATTATAAAATTACTAGATCTCTAAGAAAGATCAAGTTTTATTTAAAGAATACATATAAATTAAAATAACTTTAATCTCATAAAAAAATCATTTGGATTTACCTTAAATTATAACAGATACATAAATTTAAAATAAATGAATATAAATAATCAAATTTTGAAGTCATCATCATCCCTAGTTGAACCTCTCGATAGAGCTATATTTTAAGGAGTTTTTGGTATACCATATAAATATACAGGAGAATATTAATCTAAATCATCATCTTACAAAGTAATCTAATTGATTTAAGTATTATGGATAAATTATTAAAGCATTAGTTATTGTTGTTAATGTTATTAAAAAAGTTGAGAAAAGAGAGTTTAATCTATCTTTTAGCTAATTGGTTATACTGGTTAAGTAGGTTATTGAGTTTAATGAACCTTCTTAGGTTTCACAATTTTTTTTGATAGTTCCTTTGGTTTAGGTATTGACTTTTATTTTGCCTATTCTTTTTTTGCTTCTTATTGCCTTTGTCTATAATTTTTAACAATTACGAAAGGCTCTTTTGTATTGAAAATCATTTTATTTTATTTTAATTATTTATAAAGGAACTCCAAATATGTTTGTTATGCTTTTACCAAGTAATGAAATGAAAGAGCATATTTAATATGATAAGTAACTTTATATGAGAAGATTATTATGATGTTATTTATTATAATAAATATTCACTCAGTTTATAAAAGTTTTAGCTATTGAACTGTTTTTTCAAAGTAATCCACTTCTTTTAAAAGCACAGGAGTATATTGAAGTTACTATACTTTATCAAACAAATTTTAGATTATTGTTACGGTTGTGATACCATTCTTGTAGATTCCATAAGTCACTTATAATTTTTAACCTTTATTATTTGATGTTTTATACTTTTTTCGTCACACTTTTGATATTGTTCATATGATTGACAATCAAAAACAGGCCTCATTTGAATTTCGAAATTATCATCCTTAAATAATAATAATGGAATACATTAATTATCATGATTTCTTCAGAAAAAAAGACTACTTTTTTAAAGAGTTATTTATCTTACCATAAATAGGTTTCTGCAACTATTTATTTATTATCCTCTATTTTTTTAATAATCTATCTCACAATCATTGTTTCGACCCATTTATGTTTTTATGTAGTTAATATTTCAATTGCTCTATTTAAACTACATTTAAGGGGATGTACAGTCCTAACAATCTGGCCTTAAACATGTTAAATTCGATGATTTTCAAATTCTAATATTTATCTAATAAAAACCTTGCACTTATTTCCAAATTATACTTTGATTACTTTCAATTTCCTTCAATTACTCTATCGATGGTTCTTAATCTAGAATACTGAGTTTTTCCTTTGAATTTGATTTTATGGGGGTAGTTTCCTTTTAAAGGTTTTCTGCGCTGTCCATTATGAATTAAAAGCCTTCTTCCTTTTTTTATTGATAAGCCTCTTTAAATTGTTGGAATTCAGTTAATGTTTCTTAATCTTCTAACTAAATTACTCATATTAATAATACTAAAAAGGATATGAATTCTGGTTTTAAATCATTCACTTTAACATATTTATAAATTAGGAGTAGAGTATCCTATTTGCAAAGTTATTTGTTGGTTCCACAGACATGGAATGAAATGCCCATTTTTTTTAGTTGTTTAATACTTACTTCAGCAAATACTTTTAAGAAGAAATCAGCATCTAAATACATAGCTATATTTTTTACAGGGATTGTAATCATATTCTAGCATTTTTCTTAAGAATTGCATCCCACTAACACAAGATATATGTGATTAAAAATCTTTTGAAGTATTTTTTAGTAATTCAATAACTCCTTTTTGTCTTTGGTCATCACCTATCAACATAAATTTTAAGACTTATGATCCCAAATGTTGTGTTTTTCCAAAAAAGTATTTTTCCATTTTTCTGTTTAATGAATATATAAATACTAAAAGGTTTTGCTTCTTTCATCATTTCTTTCATTTAATTTTGCAATATAGTGAAAAACCATTTTTTCTTATTCATTAGAGGCTACTAGCTTAGTTTCTTCTCTTAAGTCACTTAATCCAAATTCATCTTTACTCATTTCATGAAGTCTCACATTTTAACCAAATCCTCCTTTTAAAAATTGTTCTACATAATTAAATATAGCTCACATTATATATTTAAAAAGTTTAAAAAGTAGTGCATTTAATTGTTTAGATTTCTTAAAATGTATTTCAGTAACTCTAGTATAAGATTTGATTATAGAATTACATTCTAACATTTCTCTTCTTTCGGCAATATTTTTTTTTGAATTCGATTTAATCAACTTTTTTTCAGGAAATTTAGGCAATTTGTGTAAAATATTCGAAATCTAAATTAACATTCATTAAATTTACCTAATCATAAAGTTTTTCAAATTCTGAATATCTTTTCGCTACTGTATAATCAAAGTAATCGGTCTTAATTTTTATTACGTAATTAACAAAATGCTTTTTGTGCATCGATATGTTATCAACCTCCTTGTATGTGTCGATAATTGAAATATCCTTTATTACATTATGATTCACAATCATAGAAAATATGCTCTATATCTGATTTTTTCATACATTTTGATCATTAATTGGCCTTTCTGATTGCTAACGTATTAATTCGCTATTTTCAAAACTTTAAGGTTCCCATGACTGTGATCTTTGTCTCTTCATAAATTATGTAGAAGAAATAAAAATTGTATTTATATATTTTTATCATTAAAAAAATGATTATAGAAAGAAAGAATTAAGAGAATACATTAGTTAAATCTCTTGAGAAGCAGATAGTTAAACTAAACATATGTAATTATAATGAGGAGTTTACCAGAAACTCTTAAACTTGAGTAGTTTTTTATTGTGTTATAATGATGACGAAAATGTATTTTATATGTCTAATTATTGCAATCTATTAATATGAATTAACAGGGATTATGATGAACAATAATATCATAAATTATAAAATATATTTTTGATTTTTGTTACCTATTATTAATTACATTATTTTATAATTAATAAGCATGCAATTAATGAATTAGCCTCCTTTGGGCAAACTCAAGACTGATGAAAAATAAATTGAATCATATAGATACAATTTTAAAAAAGGAAAATTAGGTAAAGGTGCTTATGGAACGGTTTATAAAGGAATGAACATTCATACTCGATAAAATGTAGCCATAAAGCTCGTTAGAAAAAGTGATATGAAGGATGTTGGTAATGTATGTGATAAAATGTAGATGACGAAAAATAACTTTTAAATGAAATTTAAATTTTAAAGAGTCTAAAGAATCCAAATATAATTGAGATCATTGACGTTCTATAAACAGAGAATAATTATTATATAATTTTAGAATATTGCAATCATGGCGATTTGGAATCATTAATTTATAAAACTCATTAGATAACACATGAGGACCATTTTCAATTTTTAATAGACATTCTGACTGCTTTCACTACATTAATAAAGTAAGGAATCATGCATCGAGATCTTAAACCAGCGAATATATTGGTTCACATAGAGAACAATAGGAAAATATTTAAATTAGGAGATTTTGGTTTTGCTAGATAGATCAGTAATTATAAAAATCAAATAATGGAAAGTAAAGTGGGAACTCCATATTATATGAGTCCTCAAATATTGAATGGTCAATAATACACAAGCAAAAGTGATATTTGGAGTATAGGATTGATGTTATATCAAATAATATATCAAAAAAGTAAGTAATATGTATTATGTTTAAGCTCCATGGTTAGGTAGGTCTGAGAGTGAACTCCTTTACAATATAGTTCATTAAAATTTGAAATTTCCAGATTAGCCTAATGTGAATGAGTTATGCAAGGACTTCATTTTGAATTGTTTATAAATAAAGGAAGAAAATAGGTTTTCTTGGGATACGTTATATCGTCATCCATATATTAGCGAATATTTTATAAAATTCTAGATGCAACGAAGCAGTTGTTAAAAGAAATTATTTTATATTTAGAATTATCTGAAATAGAAAATTCCAAATGTTGATACTTTGACTCAAATATTTTAGAAGGTTGATACATCTGGAGATCAATAGTTAAATTTGGAAGAATTCAAGTGCTTCATCTAATATCTTGACAATAGCTTCAATGATGATGATGTTAAATACATTTTTGATGAATTTGACAGAGATGGAAATGGATATGTTGATTTTGAAGAATTCAAACAATATTTATATCCTTCACCACCTAAAAAGGCAAAACTTTAAAGGTCTTTGCAAAAAAAACATATGTTGATATTATAAGAGTTATCGAATTTAATATAATAGTACAATATGAGTCCAAGGTAATTATTTCGGAAATATGATACTTCAAACAACAATGCATTAGATAAGCAAGAGTTATTTGCATTATTAAAGAAAATAGACTTAAATAATCAATTGTAATTAGAAGACATAGAAACTATTATAAGTGTGTTTGATGAAAATGATGATGGTGAAATTTAATTTGAAGAATTCAAAAAATGTTTGTAAATGATTCACAATGATGAATTATTCACAATTAATTCAAGTAAAAAAATGATTCTAGAAACAGATGAGAAAATATAAACTGTTCCTCAATTGAATAAAAAAATAAGTATTGAATAACTGCATAACCAAAAATATATTTAGAATGCTTAAAATCAATAAATGATAGTATTACAAACAAATCCATAGATATCTTTTAATCTCTGTTAATGTAATATTTGAATTGTATTATCATGTAATATTTATGCTATTAACTTGATTTAAATAATAAATAATATATATTAGATGAAACAAGAAAAAAATATTATAGTCTTCACTCAACAAGACTTTTAAGCTAATTTCTTAGTGAACCCAAATCCTCCCTTAGGTTCAGGACATGATGCTAAGGTCTATTTGGCTATGCATAAGCGAACTGGAGAAATGTTTGCCCTCAAAGTCCTTACTTCAATAACACCAGACCATCTCAATAATCTCCAGGTTTATTTTGTATTTATTTAGTGAACGAAATTAAAATACTTAAATTAATAGAGCATCCAGGCATTGTTTAATTGAAAGGCCATGCATAAGATTTTACTTGTGCATTATTAGAGTACATGCCACACGACACTTTTCTTAGAATATTGAAAAAAGGTCCATTTCACATATCTCTTGCTAAATCACTTGCTTGCCATCTAATCCACATACTATTAATTCTTCACAATCATTAGGTAGCTCATTGTGACATTAAGCCTGAGAATATACTGATAGCCGCAAATTATCAAGTGAAATTATGCGATTTTGGATTCGCCCGCATAACTTAATAATTATCTAGACCTCCCGGAGGGACACCTGGGTATACAGCACCTGAAATCTATAAAGGAAACAACTTAGATTTATTTAAATGTGATATTTTTGCTTTAGGAGTTGTCATATTTATTATAGTCATGGGGTTTCCTCCATTTTAAAGTAATGATCCTACCGTGAGAGATCAATGGTGGAATATGATACTTACTAAATAATACGATGTGTTTTGGAAGAAATGTGAATAATATAGATAACAAAAGTATCCTCAGGAATTTAAAGACATGATTATGTAGATGTTAGAGCCTGATCCTGACAAAAGAATTAGTATTGTCTAATTAATTCAGAACCCTTTTTTATAAAATGGAGCACCACATGAACAAATCGTTTAAGAAGTACAAAAGAGAGTCAAAAAATGATCAATAAATAAAATCATTTAATATATTATTTGTAGAGATGAAACGAATTCATTATTCTTGCACTCTTATCTAATGAATAAGTTGTAATAAAATATTAAAATAATTAATTATTTATGTCATCCCTCTTAAAACCCACACTGGTTAAAATGATATACCCAATCTGCTAAAAAAATGAATTCGCTAAATCAGAGAGTTCGGTTGAAGAGGATGTTTGCTTTATTGAATCCATAAGGGCGGAAGCTTAAAACCCTATGATAAAGAATTTCGATTAAGTTGATTCTCCAGTTGAATTTCAACAGGACCTTGAAGAGTTCTTGAACTCTTTAGATTGAACATTCCCCCAATGAGATTTACTGAAATCTCATCTGATTATATAATATATAAATCTTAAACTCTTCTTAGAGTAACAAAAATATATTATATATCTCTGCTCTCCTCATACATTTACTTTGATTCTTTTAATATTTATCCTCAATCGTTCAATTTCTATTTATATTTTTCATGCTTTTATTCTTTATTATTAAGATTCTATAAAATGAAAGCATATTTATAAAGAAATTGTACTCCTCAAAGCAAGTTTAAAATATCTAATATGATGTTTTTGATCTTACGGTAATGTAGAATCCCTCCTACACTAATAAAAATAACATATTTTAATAAAAAGAACAACAATTCACATTATAATTTTAAACATATTTCATTTATTTCCTTAGGCCTGAATTATTATAACTATATGTGTTTTCTTAACAATATACAAAGGTTTTATGCATAAAATTTCATTAAGAATATTAAATACTTACTTATTAAATATTCAGTTTTGCTCTATATTTAGGTTAATAATTATATTGCTAATTTGGTTGATTTGAAGAGAATTAAGTGATTGTATTGAGTTTTACACTTTTCTAATTTTCAAAGCTATTGAAATTCTAATATATACTCTATTTAAATATTATAACATTCATGAAATGAAAGTCTAAAATATGATTATCCCTTTTCATGAAGACTAAGAGACTATAGAAAGAGCGCAGTTTTTTATTTTTATATTGTAGTTTAAGTAAGACGAATTAATTATAATTATGTAGATAGATATATCATTAATGAATACTGCTGCTCACACTTTAAAATATTTATTCAAAAGGTCTTAAATTTCTATATATTTTACTTCATAGTTATCTTAAGATTCTATATAGCAATAAATCTCATCTGGTGTAACAGCTTCTTTTTCAGGACGCTTGATATTTTTAAAATTATTTTTTGCACTTTCAAAAGAAAATAAAATATTGATAAGTCTGCAATACAAAATCTTTAACACTATTTGACTGTATTTTTGTATAAATTTTGGATCTTTAGTATTTTCATTGAAATATTTGAAAAGATGATTGATAACTTCCTTAAACCCTTAAAACCATTCAGCTTATTAGTTATCTCTAACTTATTACTTCTAATCTTCACTCTGATTTTAAGATGTCTCTCGAGTACTTACACTTTAAAAAACTGAGTATATATCCAATGAGGTTTGATCTTTAGCCTGATCAATTATATTTTTCTCTTTGAGAATATTATTAAAAACCTCATATAATTCATTAGATTTTTGAGTACTAAGAAAATTCTCAATTGCTTTTGAATTTTTATGTAATTCTTCTTATAATTAAGCCATGCGCTAAACAGTAATCGTACTAGCGTCTTTTAAGCCATTTTCCAAAAATTAGAATTTATTTTCCTATTTGAAATTTTTCCAGTTTGTCAATGAGTTTCCTTACCAAGGATAATCACATGATTTTATTTTTCCAATGAGATCTTATAATATAAAATAACTTTGCTTTCTTAAAGCATATTAAGCTACTAATGAAAGTTTATAATCCCCTTCAGGATGTTCAACTTTAATTTAATCAGCTGTATCATTGAGTATAAAATACCGAAACTATTCCAAGTTGATTTACTTCCAGATATCATAATATTTGGAGTCCTATTATTATTAAATAAATCTACCTATATGAAAGAGGCATTATAAGGAAATTTGATATGTTTTATTTCTGATTCCTTTTTACTTTAAATTTCTGGCGTGTCTTACTTACTACCTGTTTCAACGGGTGAACTTATTAAGAGATCAAATTATTTTGTTTATATCTCATTCTTTTCTTACTCTTTTTGAGCTACCTGCAAAAGACCTGACTCTATTACGAAAGATTAAGAAATTCCTCCTCTTATAATTAATTTTTCAATAATCTGTTCTTCTGAAAAATTTTTATAGAAATTTATGTATTCTTCCGATTTACCTAGATTTAAGCTTTTGATGTATTCACTTTGATGTATCTCAAAGAAGGATAATCTTTTCTAACTATTATAAGTCAATAAACCGTGAATAAAATCTATCAGAGTTTAATGATATCTATTAGTCTAAGCATTTATGTGAAAACTGCTTTTCATTTGCTCCTAAATGTAGCCGTAATAGTAAACGAGTTCTGTATATTTGAAAATTTGCATTTTTTGAGGATTATTTTTATTTTAGATAGAATTTATAGGTCTCAATTTTACAAGATGATATAAAAACGCACCTAATAACCATGAATCAATTTTAAGGGCACTGTAATTTATTTTTTACATTTGAGAATTTTAGTTAAGTAATTCTCGTATTTATTCTGGTGGCGCTAAAATATCTAGGTTATCCTATTTTAAATCAGGTCCAAAACCAAAATCCATTAAAACTAAAGTTCCATAACTATTTATAATATTTTCAACTGAAAATATTCTACCTAGTATGCTTAGTTTATGGAGTTAAAATAATGCTTCTAATATTTAACCAACAAATAAACCAATTATTTCTGAGTTTATTGTTTAATTTCTACATCTCATTTTGGCTATAAAATCCAATATTTTCTCTCCTTTTACGTATCGGAAAATATAATAATACTATTAGTTGATTTCAGCCATCCTTAAAAAATGGCGAATCTACCTAACCTTTTAGATATTATCTTTTTATTCTCTCTCATCCAGCAAATATTCCTTTTTATAGTTGTTTGATAAAAAAAGTGCATAATACAATTCTGTACTCCCATATTATTTTTCTTCCATTTGATAAAATTCTCCAGAATGAGAAACAATTTCAGACATAATCAAAATTGGTTTGCTCATCATAAGTCAGAATTATAATATTTATAAAATATTATATTGTATCAAACAATAGGCAAAATACTGAGTTGATCTCTAGGTTTTCCTCAGGATAGATTATTAGATGATTATAATTTAATTTTGCTTCTATAAACCACGCAGAACTTCAGAAAATCAAATATTTTAAATAAAAAAACCTACATCAAAATGCCTGTGATATCTAAAATTTAATGCATTTTTATATAAAATTAGGATCATTTTTCGTCAGGACATTGTCTGATGTACAAAACATTATTACATCTAACCAACACTTCTCCTAATATTCCTCTGCTCTTTCCATCCACATACTCTTCTGTATTCAGCATCTATAGATTCATATTAATAAACTTACATGCAAGTTCATGTATTAGTCAGAACTTTTTAAAACCCCTACAATTAGATTATTAATATTATTACCTCGCAATTCCCATCCCCACTTTAATCTGACTATGATCTATTTTCTTGTGATTTCCTCTAGAAATGGTCTTGGATTGATATCTGAAACAGTCTATAAGAAATAAAATGATATATATACATCCATGAATTAATATTTAAATAAATAATATATTAATATGCAAACAAGCCCTCCATGCCAATAACCTGAAGCATAATATTTAGATAATTATGAAAATTTTGAAGAAGTAACCAAAACATTTAATTGTCTCCAAAAAATTCATTAACCTCTTGAACAAGAAGCAACTTATTTTTTGATACGTGCTCCAACTAAAGATAATGTTCATCGGGCTATTAAATACGGCATCTGGACTAGGTAGATATACTATTAAATCTTTAGTTCGAGTCGTAATAATTAGAAATTAAATGATGCGACCCGTCCAGTTTATCTATTATTTAATGTTACACAGACATCTCACTTTATTGGATTGGCTAAAATTGTCAGTAATTTCAGAGAAAACAAGCATTTTATGTATTGGGCAGAGGAAAATAAATGGTTTGGCTCTTTCCAGATTGAATGGGTAACAATCCTATAAACAAAAGGTCTTTGTAAGAGATTTACCATATAGCGAATTAAGCTCAATTTAATAATCTGGAGGAAAATGCATTCATGAATTAATTGATTGCACTTAAATTGAAAATGGGGATTTGATCTATACTGCCTTTGAAAATTAACCATAGAAAAGCTGCATGTTGAAGACCTTCAAGGAATTGGACAATTCAGAAGTAATTATTAATTTGTATTTTCTTAGAAAAGAAAGAGAAATGAAAGAGACTCCAATCCAAATTTTGCCATCTAGTTTTAAGAATATATAAGTGTCTTTGAATCTATGCCATTCACTTTTTCCGTAGCTTCTTATTAAAGAAGAAAATAGCAATAGATTCAAAATTAATGTTATTAATAATATTAATATTATTACTAAAGTCCTTGGTTCGGAGTTGGTATATTTTACTATAATTATAGCCTAACCTTCATTTTGGAATTAATAACACCAACTCTAATAATAGCCCATATAACAATACTAGTAATAATAACAATAATAACAATAATAATAATAGCAATAATAGCAATAATAATAACAATAATAATCTTTAAATAATCCTGGTTTTTATCAGACTTCCAATTACAATAGGCCCTAGACATAAAATCATCAAAACAATAAATTTTAACAAAAGAAATAATTAAATAATAAAAATAATATTCAACAGAGTCCAAAAAAATAATAATGAAGTTTATTAGTATATTAATATATAAAATGCGAATTAATAAACCTTTCTATTCTATAAATAAACACCAAATCTATTATTTTGTTGAACAACAGATATTATAAATAAAATAGTCCTTTTTTTATACAAATTGTTTAATAAATATTTTGATTGTATTTAGTTAAATTATAAGGTTTATGGAAAAAATGCTTAAAAGATAACCTTATTTTTTATGTATAATTAATAACATTTATCTAAAGAAATTAAAGCAGTTAATTTATATTGCTATAAAATTTCAATAGTGTCAAATTATTTCGCTTCTTTTAGATGAAAGTTGTAACAATAAAGTAAAAATAATAAAGTTATTATCTTCTATAAATTTGTTATAAAAGTATAATTTATCTTTATATCAATATGATACCAATTACATTAATTAGGAACTTTAAGATATTACATTTTATTGAAATTTTTATGTTTCATAATTCAAAAAATATTGTAATTTATTGAATTAAAATAATGAAATATAGAAATTTAAAAATAAATTTATATTACTTATACTTTTTCTTTAACATATAACTTATCAATTTAATATTATAATCATTTGAAGATACTTTCAAACAAATTCGGCTTGCTTATTAGTTTATCTAAATTTAACATCGGTTTAACATTCTTTTAATTTATTTAAGTATCCCCTCCAATTTTGAATTCAATTTTTTCTTAGACCTCATCTTCCTCATCTGTCTTCAGAATTTAACCTGAATAGTTTATAATCAATTACTTCCTCCTTTCAGACTGGATAAAGAATTCTTGCTATATTTTGTGTGCATGATAGATTAGATTTATTCTTGCTAGAGTGATTCTATCCAGTCGAATTAATAATCCCAAATGAAATCTAATTTAAAAAATAAGTCCCTAAATAACATTTTAAACCTCTTGTAATCAGGTTCTTCATCAAATTTAAGTTGTCTACAATGTTGAAAGTATTTAACAAATTCATTCGGTAATCCATGACATAGATCTTCAATGGAAATAGTTTGTTTGATTGTCTTGATTAATTCATATTTCTCTTCTCTATTATTTACATCTAGTCCTTGCCAAGGTAGTGATCCCTTTAGACAGTATAACCACAAATACCCGAGAGATTCCATATCATCTCTTCTGCTTTATTCTTTCTTTAAATGAAATTAGTATACCTATTCCAATATGCGTATTGAGACTAACATACCTGGCAGTTCCAATCAACCCTTTGTTTTCTTTGTAAGGAATGTGTTCACCAGTTTTTTTATCCTTGTATTTCTTTGATAAACCAAAATCAATAATGTAGATTGTGCTATATTTTTTGTTGATTCCCATCAGGAAATTTTCTGGTTTTATATCACGATATAAATATCCTCTTGAATGGAGGAGAGATATGATATCTATCTAAAAACTAATTGATCTTTTTCATTAGTATACCATTTAATCTATAAGCATTAACATCGTCTTTAATTCAAATCTTCTGTTCACTAAATTGAAGAGTTACTCTAAGTTGTAGCCTAGTAATTCCATAACCATCACAGTTTTATCTTCCCATTGCCCGAACCAATGTACTTTTGGAATACCTAAGAAAAGAAAATATAATATACCATTTCCTTAAATTGCAGATAATATTTAAAATTCATGTTTAATTTGAGGCATTTGAGCTTCTTAACTTTCCTATTTAAGGTTAATCAAATTCAAATTTTACCAATTTTATAGCCACCAGTTCATTAGTTTCCATGTTGACTCCTTTGAACACTTCGCCAAATGATCCACTTCCAAGCTTATTAGTAATTTTATATAAATTCCCTATTGGTTTTTCTTAATCAAATTGTAGCATTTTTAATTTTATTTAAACTAATAATAAATGACATATAATGTAATTTATTTAAAATTTATATTATAGGTAAACATCGCTAATAATTAATATTTAAGAAACTATTAATATTCAGGTTAATTATATACATGAATATTCTGATGCCTAATCATCATCAGGTGGGCATTAATAATAAATTTAAATTATTATATATATAACAAACACATAATTATTTAAATGAAATACGACATATATATGCGAATATTATTTGTATACATTCTCAATTTTTACATAAATTGAATCCCAAATATAATGATTCCAAGCTTCTAAAAAGTAGATAAGGCAAGTTTTATAAATATATTATTTAAAAATAACGGAAAATTTATAATTTATTATTAATTTTTGATCACCATATAATAATAGAAAAGAATGTAAACTCAAAATTAAGTGGTTTTGTTACAGAATTAATTATACAAATTTCCAATTCTAATTTTTGGCTATGGAGAAAAGAGAATATTTTAAGAATTAATTATATAAGCTATCATGAAACTGTATTATATTATATTCATACTTTTCCTAAATAATTATAATAAATTAGAAATGTACATCAAAGTGGACAATCAACAGAATACAGAAGCTCGAGCATTTTTGTAAGTAATTGATTCATATTTAAACATATATAGGTAATAAAAATGTGGCTAAAATATTTTGATTTCAATAAAATAAACTAATCCACTTAAATTTACCAATAAGGGGTTGGGTATGCTGAATAATTGATCTAATCAATGTATCAAGTACCAATGAACATTGGCAGTATAATTTATGCTTAATCATCCTAATAATATTCTTTAACTAATAATAGTATTAATATACTTCTAATACATAGTTAATTAACAACTGATCTAAGTTAATAAAAAATGATATAAAGAATAATCTGAAAGCCATTTTGAAGAAAAAGAACAAAATCCATTTTAAGAAAATTAATCTAATTATTGAGTCATTTCTTGATTTTCAGATTCTAATCTCCCAATCAAAGATAAATAATCTGGTATTAATATATATTACATTATTGTACAAAGATATTAGGGAATTATATCAACAAAATTTTTGATTAATTATAATTAGCAATCAATATTTAAAAACAATGGAGAAGCAATTATTCAATTTAAAAAAAAAATAAATCTGTGATGATGTTGAGCTATATAGTTAAATTATAATAACTATTGGTTAGATCAAAGTTTTAATGAATTGCCCTAAAAAGTGAAATTAAAATGGAATTGCATTAATTTGTGTAGTTAATTAATACATATGTGGTATGAGATCATAAGATTTGTTACCCTTAGAATACTTAAGTAAGTGTTGATCAAAAAATCAAAATTATGACAATTTATATTAATTTATAATTCAAAAGCTTTATTATATATAATTTATTTCATATAAAAAAAGAAGTTTGTAACGCTAAAAATTATTTATATTATATAACCAACCATCATTTATCCTTCTTTTTCAATTATTTTAATAAATATTAGACAAGATATGAATAACACAGAACAAAATCAGACTCCTGGTACTTCCGTAAAGGTATATCCAAGTGGATATGCTGAATATGAATTATTAAGTTACAAAGAAAAACCAACTCCAAGGGAGGACCTAGAATTTATACAATATGGGGAAATTGGAGTAAGAGATTTATTATATACATATAGGAAGACGATTAAAAAATAAAAGCCTAACTTGTAGGCAGCAAGGATTAATTGAATTAATGGATGATTCAATTCAAGCAACAAAAATAAGGCGAAGGCAATAAAACAAACAAAGCAGAGAATGAGAGTCGCTTAGAAAGGTATAAATTGATCACTATTCTAGTATATATTCGGGAATGATTTTACTTCGAAGATTGACAAGACTGATACTATAAATTTTATTTATAGGTCTTGTTGTAGGATTTTTTGCATGGGGATATTTTGTAACAGTGAAAAACTCATCTTGGAGTGCATTGAAGGATACTAGCAATATTGATATATATGTTGGCAATTGTTTTTTGAATGTGAGCCAGTCTGATGACTATTTGAAGGTATATTAACAAAAACATATATTAGTTTTCATTCAAAGCGAAAGGAAGTATGAGCCAGTAAGTGAATGGATCAGACGATTTTAGAATTATGGGAGAAATATTAGACACAGGTGTTGCTAATCTCACATTTTATGATCCAAATCCTGATGTATCTATGTTTAAATACGTTTTAGCAAAGGACTTGCATGATTGATTTGCAACTGCCAAAATAAATTGATAATTTAAAAATACTGTGCAAATATGAAACAGAGTGTGTAATGGCTTTTGGATTAGATGAATTAGTAGTTAATACATTGTTTAACGCTACGTCAGAGCCCAAGGCAAGAATGCAGATTAATGTGAGAAATTTAAAAACACAAAGTTTTATTTTTCATTCAGAATCATCGGGCAATTTGTTTTTGAATCATTTCCTAGTCACTGAGGCTAATATAAGAATGCTGAGTGGAGATATCATCATTTAATCAACTCAATCATACTTTTTGAATTATTCATCATAATCATAAGCTATTTGTACAACCGCATATTAAATTATAAACGAAGCATAAGAGAATTGTTATTTAGAAGCAAATCAACAGGAAATGCTTACCAAAACATGTGTTGGCTAGATGGATTTATGCTAAGAAGACTCCTGCAATACATTGCAAAAGATTAACATTATTGGTAATTCAAGTACAATATATGCCAATATCCTCCTTGATGTAGGTAGACCCTTAATCGATGGAGTTGACGAATTTGAATCATTCCAGACTTATCCTTTTTCGTCTGGAAACTTAAATTTTGATTAAGAGTCCCTCCTTAAAATACAATAATTTATGAATAATAGTGGATCCGCAGATGTTGCTGTAAGACTTGATGTTGGTGGTCACTACTTACTACAACACACGTATAGCACATACTGGTCCTTTTTCAGTAACCCTTCATATGCAGCCTTTTAACCATGGTGGTTATCTGCATTTTCGGCTACTTTCTTGAATCCTACATTTACTCATTTCTAAGTAAGCACAGATCCAGGAATGTGTCCCTGGAATCCAGCTTTGAATGCAAGATAAACATTAAAAATTTAAGAATTAATCAAGAGAACTTTTAATACTACTTATGGAGAAGCTATATTTATTTAAAAGGATAATTTTGTCAAGTAAAATGAAACGTTAAATGAAAATCTTACTTATCCTGGTTTTGATCCATTGGAAGAAAAGCAAAGAGGAAAGTATGAGAGTTGGTCAACTATTCAAAATATTGCCAATAACATTGTTTATTAACCATTACACTATGATCCATTTTTCATAGCAGCAATCGCCTTATCATTATTGTCCTCTTTAATATTTGGTATTGTTTGTATATTTGTATTGATTGTTTCATTACAAGGACTGGAAACCTATGTTTTGGAAACTTCTTCATAATTTTAAAATTATAGCGCAACAACCACCCAAAGCACAAAAGATAATTTAGCAGCTATTGCAAAAAGAATGATCTAAAAATTAGATCAACTAGCTTCTAAAAAGGATCCACCTATTTTATTAGGTGTATTATCATACATTTTTTATGTTTTTGGATAATAATCCTTCAAAAGTGCTCCAAAAATGTTTTGCAAGACTTTATTCAAAAAGAGTAATTAAAAATAAACAGAGTAATATTATAAACAAACCTTGGACAAAACCTATTTAAATATTGATGAGGAAGAAGTTAAAGAACAATATGAATAATTCTGTTTCCTTAACAAATTAACAATAGAGCCATTATCTTAATAAGAACAGTTGTTAGAATAATATGGTTTCGAATTTGCAGAGAAAGATGATGTGCTTATATTGTCCAAAATCAAATTGAATCCAAACGCTAAACCTTATTAAGAACTTACTGATGAAGAAAAAACATCTGGAAATTCTTTAGAGCTCTTTATGGCCACCTAATGTTTATTAACAGGAATTCCTGCGGATATTGTGCCATCTGATAAACTTGAAAAGGCATATATTAAATTCTGTGGAAAGACTTTAAGAGTTGAACAATTCTAAGTTAAAGATATCTCAAATGATTATGGTCTCTTGATATCAGATCTCAAGGCATTTGAATTAAGGAAAGTCAAAACTGGAATCCAATAAAGATAATCATGGTACATAAGATTTTTGGGTAGATGCACTCATTACATTCCATTTATTGAAGATTATTATCTTGAATAACCAGTATTTTTATTGAGAAGAAACACAGAAATTAATAGATTTTAATAAAACCCAATTAAAACCATGGGTTCTAAATAATTAAATGCTCACGTATTTTATTACAACTATCCCTTTATGTTTATTCAAAGCTTGATTTTTAACTATAAAACCAGAATCTTCAATAGAGAATATTCGTATAGAGAAGTTGAAGAAGGAAATGTCTTGATGGATTATTTTGATGCCCTTTATATGAATGGTTGGATATTATCAGACTTAGCTGTGGTTTTAGGCAACTTTTTGGTAACTGCAATTACAATAGTCCCAATGCTTTACTTCATCATCATCATTAACACATCATACTCACCCTTCTCTATTTATGATCCAAAGAACTTATTATTTATGGATGATGCTTTAAGTAGACCATGGACTATAACTAACTACTTCGGCATTTTGGATTACTGGGTCTTAGTCTTAGGTGTGTTATTGGCTTATTATGCAATCATTACATTCTTATTCTAGAGTGTCAAATACTTATTATCCTATTTCCCAGATGAAGTGGGTTATATGTGGGAGTTTAAGTTGTACTAGAACAAATTAATGAAATATTTCAATTGGTTCTAATGGATACAATTCTTGATATTGGCATTCAGTGTATTCTTTTACTTCGGATTAATAATCGTATGGTTACTTTTGGGAGCAATTATCAATCCTAATTATTATTTAGTTTACTCATCATCTGCCTTGTCATTAGTGGCATTTATTGCTGCTTAGATATCTTAAATCAAGACTACTTATGAATTAGCTTGCAATGAAATCAAGAAGATAATTAATGATATCTACTTGAGAACTTTTGGGTAGTTGGCTGGAGCTATAATAAAGGAAATCTAAAAGTTATCAGATTTATCAACTACTATCATCAATTCAACTAATATGGATAAAGCTAAAGAAATGGCTGATAACCTAGGTTTTGGTGAAGAACTCAATGAATTGTGTATTCTAACTTAAGGTATGATCGATAATGCTGGTTCTACTGATTTAAATTAGGATTAAATTAATTTCAAGCAAATTAAGGATAAATTTATACAAAAGGCTTGCGAGAAGTTTATAAGAATTGCAAAGGATTAATTCGATGTACCTGAAATCATAGCTGAATAATTGGTTAAGGTTAACTTTGTAAAGTTTGAGGAAATTATCGACCCATTGGCAAATCAAATCTAAATTTAAAGTTAAAACAAAATACCAGCTGGAATTGTTAAATGGATTTATGCAACATCTGTTAAATTGAGTAGGGTATTTTCTAAAAAGACTCCAGAAGAATAGAGAAAGGAATTATAAGTTCACTTACCTATCATTAGTGAGTTTTTACTTAACGCTGTTGTTGATGGCATGATGTTACAAACACAGATTGAAGACAAAGGAGCAAGTCAATAAGCATTCAAAAGTGTGATGCTTTCTCTATTTAATTTAATGATGGATAGCACACCTAAAAATATATTAGTTTAGGTTAAAAAATTATTTGAAAACCTCAAAGACTTTGTTGCCATTTCTCCAATTCCTTTGTAAGCTTTAGAAATGATATTTTAATATGCTCAATCCTTAAATGAAAATACCAATGTTGAAGAGGCAAAATAAGGATTAATCAAATAATTACTATCCTTATTTAATATTGATCAAGATTTGGCTGCAGTGTATCAACTTCTATTTTCTAAGCAGTAATCCTTGTTTATTGATAAAGAGATGTAGTTGACTCCCACTGAACAAGCAGGAGTAATTATTAGACTATGTGATAAATATTTCTTAAAGGACAATATGGATCAAACTCTCAAATCCAAATTTGAAATATTCATACTCTTTGCTATCAAATTCTTAAAGAATGACAAACCACCTCTCTCAGATCTAGTGAAACTATTTTCAGAAATTTATCCAGGAGATGATGGAGGAAATGAAGAGTATTTTGAGAAATTATTGGAAAAGAATTATGGTCTATTAAATGTTGGATTTTCAAGTTTGTAATTATGTACTAAAAATTGGAAATAAGAATTGCCTATCAATTTACAAGGTAAGTCTCTTGAATTTATTTTTGATATTTTGTTTGTGTCCAGTAGATTTTTATGGTCATCAAGCATTTTAGACAAAAGTACTAATGAAAGTGAAACTGTTTAAAATCAAAATGGAGCATGGAGTGATTAAATCTTCTCTAAACCTGCCACCTAAATTTTATAAAGAAAAGACAAATTAAATAATAGAGACATCATTGAACCAATCTCATTAGCATTCTCAATCTCTGAAAATGCTGTTATTGGATTAATTTTAACTTTAAGAAATGAAATTTAAGATACAATTTATCATAATGCTATTTACTATGAATTAGTTAAAATCACATCAAAAAATTTAGAGAGTAAAATGATCCAAGTCAAATTCATTTTTGAATTGCTTTCAAGAACAAATTTTGAAGATATTTTGATATACTTGTGCTCATATAAATAAGTATACAAAGGATTGATTGATAAACTATTGGATATAGTCTTTTCTTCCAAAGGAATGTTTAGAGTATTCAATGGATTTTTAGCAATTGAAAAAATATTAGATAAAAGTTTGAACATTGAATGTGGAATTGAAGAAGATAAATTAAAACAATATCTGCTTAGTGCAAAAATGTAATGTTTTGGTAAATAATTCAATGATATAATAAATAAAGAACCCAAAGTATTTAAGGAGAATCTTAATAGAATATATGATTTTAATTTTAAAGATATCGCTAAACCTATAGAATAAGATGACATCGAGGATCAATTAGTAAATCACTATAAAACTGAAAAAGTTACCTTCTTTACTTTCCTCAAGAAATCCCTAAGAGATGAAAAATCAAATAAACAAGAAAAGGCAGATTTCTTAGCTGAATTATCCAACCAAGTCCCTCTGAAATTAGAATACTTATACATGATTTTGGAACAATAATAAGGTGTTCTATCAAATAATACTTTAAATTCCCCTTTACTTAATGGATTGAAGGTTGAGCCATTCAAAAATTTGTTAGCACTTATTTCATTCAAGGATGCAACTAGCATATCAAAGGCCATAAAATATTTCATTGGTTATAATCCCAAATCATATGAGAGCATTGATCTTAACAAAATATAAATAGAACTTCAAAAATTTATTGATGTGGAATAAAATATTGCATCCTTCTAATTGCCAAATACTGTACCCTACTAATTCTAAAAATTACTGAACTTGTTTATTAACTAGATATTCCAAACCAGACTAGCAACAAGCACTTCCTTATATAGCGACTTATTCAATTACATTAAATACGAAATAGCTAATTTTAAAATAGATTATGATAGCAAAAAATAGTTTGAGTTATCTCCAGTTGTTTTCAACCAAAATTCAAAAATGGACCCAGAATAAGTGAAAAGTCTTTAAGATTTGATACCATTTTCTGAAAAGTTTGTTAAAATGATGTTCAATCAGAATAATTCAATTAGACATAAAGCAATCAGAGATGTATTATATTAATTATATCCAAAACCATAACCCAAATAATTGGCTAATCAATATCAAGAATAGATTAATAATCTCTAGAGTTTCATATCTGGATTAATGGATAAGAATTACGAAGATGTATTGGCTTTCCTAATTCAATATTGCGATTTCATCAAAGAAAATAAATTTAGAAAGTTTTTCAAGAAGGTATTGGCTATTGTTAGAGGGTTTGTTACTCAAGAAGCAGTCAAGGAAGAAGATAAATCTACCAAATAATTAATTTGGGCTACTTAATAATTGAAATATTTCATTAGCTCAGATTTAGATTGTTTCATGGAACTCCTTTAAACTTATTTTAGTACTGTTTTGAGTTCAGAGAAACCAAATCAAAATGCTATATAAGGATTATTCAGTTTGATGACTCCTAAACCAGATTTCGATGTCTTGGTGAATATCTTTGATTTAGATGAAGAAGCAATCAAATTTGCATAATTTTTAGTATCTGCCTTAGTGTCAGAAAATAAATCCAAATTGTTATAAAATCCACAAGTTCATTAATTGATTGAAAAGAAATTCGGAATTAAGGAAGTAGGTCCTTTGATTGATTTGTCTGGTATTTTAGAATCAAATTCCATGGATTCAAAGTCATTGATAAGCAAGTTAAAAATGGAATAAAATCCCACTGCCTCAAGATTATTCTAAGTTTTCTTTGCATTTAAGAGACAGTTAGTAAAAGGAGAATCTTGGAAAGAATTGTAAGATAATTTTAATTCATTGGCTGAGTAAAGAGCTAAAATATTTAAATAAGACAAAGAGAATAAGAAACAATAAGGTTAATAAAATGATATTGGATAAACAGAAGTACTTGAAGTCTTACATTGGTTCTCTCATCCTAGACCAACCAATTTCTTATATTTATTAAACAAAATTCAAATACTTGATCAATAGGAACCAGCAGCAATATTTGCAGCAGCTATTGCAGGAATTGGTAAATATGATAAATTTGATTGGTATAAAGATAAATAACCAGAATAAATTAGAAATAGATCAGATACTCTCTACTAATATTCTTAAAAGTCTGTGGATAGAGCATTGCTTTATGTAGCTTAAACTAGCGATTAAGATGCTTAAGAAGCCTTTGGTCTATTACAATTGGCAGCTGGTATTAATCCAGTCTTAGTAAGTGCAATATTTAATGAGAATCAAAATTCTAATCCATGCTAATAATAGATACTGTAATCAGAGTCAACTAATAACTAAAAAATAATAAAGGATTTCATGAAGAAATTCAATAATTTTGAATATGATGCATTAGCTTTAATAAAAATAATTGAATTTGAAACTTTAAAGAATTCATAAAATGAAAGACTGACTCCTGAAATTATTAATGATTTACTGAAATCCCTTGATTTAACAGTAAGCTAGTATAATGTAATTGAAGCCTTCATAAAAGGATGCTCAAAAGGAAAAGTGTAATACTATTTCCCATTATCATCACTTCTTCTGATTTACTCTTTAAAAAAAATGAGATTAGTGAAAAAGAAATAGGATACAGCTACCTCTTAATATCTAAAAGGTTAATTTTGCATCAATATGGCATTCACTGTCTTTGAAAGATATTTATACTTTTATGATAACAAAAATCTTACTCATTTGAACAAGCCAGCATTGGTGAAATTATTAACCCTAGGAATATTCGATACTACTAGATTACGATCTGAATAACAAGTTGACTACGTAAAAATGGAAGGAATATTATATCCTGGAATAAGTGATCCTCTATTAGAAATAAGAGGGACAAAGTATAATTACACTAATTAAAAAAGTGATAGTATTGTTGAACTTTCAAAGAACTTCAACGAATAATATGAAGAATATTGCAAAGTATTTTACAGAATTTTGCCAGATAATAATGGGTAAATAGAGAATAGACCAGAATTCGATAATTACAATTAGTTTTGGAACTCATTGTTTAGAGATATTGCCACTGGAGTTATTTCATAAATTTCAATGATCTATATTAATAGTAAATCCAACAAAAATAATCAAAAAGAATACTTTGAAGAATTGGCTAAGAGTTTACCAAAAGAATTATAGAAATTATAATTACAATACTCCTTGATTACCAAATTGATTCAATTAAATATCTCACAATATGGATACATAAGGTCTAAATATTGGGACAAATCTTTGGAATTGATAAAAAAGCAAATATTTAAACAAAGTGAAATTGAAGTCTTGGAGAGTGATTAATCTTCAGAATAAACTCAATAAATCATGATTTCATTAATCCAATATTATGCAGGACAATATACTGTAGCTTAAAAGGAGAAAGAAAGCCAACCATCATAATAGTTTTCCAAGTTCAGAGAAACAGAATAAAGATTCTTTGAAAGAATGTTTGGTGCAGAAAACAAGTAAAACACATAGAGATCTTAACCTAAATTCAAAGGAACTAAACAAAAAATACCTATAGATTTAAATTAGTTAATCGATAATTTATTAGGACTAACTTTAAATGAAACAGAGAGAAGAGAATTAAAGCCTTTAGTAGATCTATTTTATAATCCAAAAGTTATGAACACTTAATTTATTACTAAAACTTGGGGAAATGATTATCTAATAATGGATGCCTTAATGTTAATGTTAGTCAGAGTTTAATTAGAAAACTCGAAAGCTACTGGAAAATTCTCATCTTTGGCTACCAAAGTGCCAGCATGCTATTTGTATTATTCAATAGGAGATTAATATGAAAATTTAAGCTAGGATGATCTAGTTTAATTTAAAAATAATAGTGATCTCTTGAATTCTGGAATTGATGATTTAATATAGGATTGCAATGAAATCTAGCCATCAATTAAATCACCATTGAAATTGATGATAAGATGCTTCTTGGGTGATGTGGAAGCATGGTATGCACTGATTGCATTCAGTAGAAAATAAGAAGGTGTAGAGACTGAATTGTTATCTGAAAGAATGATAAGAACTTTTATCATTGAGTTATTGCTTTAATTCAAGAACTTCGGATTAAGAAGTCCTTTGTTAGACAGATAACAAGTATCATCTTAATCATTCCAACAACTACTCAAGACTTCAAAGAATCAGAATCTAATCAAGATTATTGAAACTGCACTTGTAAATACTTTCATGAAGGATAAAGAAGTGTTTCCAGAGGAAAGTACAAATAAATTGATTCAATTTTTAAGTTTTGTATTCGAGGGAAATACTGAGGTATTAGCAGACAACGAAAAAAGTGGATTCTTAGAAATATTAATCTAAGTATTAAAAATAGATAAATAAAAACAACCAGAATTTATATATGTTATCCAATTTATTTTATAATTGCTATTTAAAGGTGATAAATCAAATGCTAACTTTGCCTAATTTGAAGATTAAATTTAGGTTTTAAAAGATGATAGAAATAGCAGTGCATGGGAATTTGTCAAAGCTATAATCGAAGTAGATCATTCTAAAAACATAAATGTCTTAATTTCAAAATCCTATCAAATTATGAGGAAAAATAACTTAGGATAGTTCTCAAAATACTCAAATATTCTAGTATCCTTGAGTTCAATTGCTCATGTATCAAATTATCCTACTAGCAATGTTGATAATGTCAAACTTATGAATGTGTTGTTGTATCCAATATTATGGCTAGGTTCAATTATAGAAAATAGCAAAGAACCCTTCACTAAATTCACAGAATTCTCCTAAGGATTTATTGAAAAATCTGCTCCAGAAGACTTTTCATCATTGTTAGATCAATTTTATGACTTTAGTAATAAAGGAAACAATTCCGAATCAGCAATTTCAGAAAAGAATGTCGCCTTTTATAAGACAGCATTCTTGGCATGGTGCTAAAAAAATTAAGATAGTCAACTCTAATAATTCTTTGAATTCGTAAAAGGGAAAGTGTTTGATATTTCATAACTTCCACCTCCTCAATAAATAATAATTCAAAGTTTAATTGAATTATTATATAATAACAAAATTCATGCAGATCCAGAACAAAAGATTTTGAAATAATTTATATCTGAAATAACAAAGATAGAAGATTTGAAGGGTTAAAAAGAAGTTATCGAGGCTACCATTATTATGTTCAGTGGTTTATCAGATCCAAAAGATATTAAAGGAGAAAAGTTCCTTAAAGCCATTTCTACCTTATTGTCTAATTACAAAGAAATAGGAGAGATCATCAAAATGATTTTCCTATTTTATTAAACTGAAGACATAGAGAAATTGAAAGAGTTGCCATAGTAAATCTAGAAAGGGTGTTTCAGCAATCAACAGTTATATGATAAGAAGTTTGATAACATCCCATTATCCTAATTGTTCTTGATTGCATCCAATGCATAAAAAATGATTAAATCATTGGAAGATGCAAAAGAAATGAATGAGAAGGAATTGCTAAAGGCTGTTAAGCCAGTCTTGGAACCTATGTTTGGATAAAAATAAGAAAAAGATTTACAAATATTGGTTAAGTGCATTGAAGCCATCATTGCCATTAAATATAAGAAATTCAATGAAGTTACATCAGAATTCTTTTCAGTTATGAAAATATCTCAATCAAATAGTTAGCTTCTTGTTAGCTTAATGAAAGACTTTTAATTAGGTTTGTAATCACCTCAATAATTGATCAAAGAGAAGATGGCCTCTTTAGTCAATCCAAATACAGTTAGAACTATGCAATACATGAATTCAGTTATGGCTAAATTAAATGACAATCGAGAATTGTAATATGAAGATATGTTTAGAGTTTTGGATAAGAATGGCCAGAGATAAGTTAGAGCTTATGATGTGATTGAATTTTTAAGAAGAATTAACATAGAAATTACAGAACACAAATTTAGAGAAGTTTTGGTTACTATCAAAGGTGATTAAGTTAACATCTAGGCCTGCATGATAGATTTCTATGAATTTAAAGAAATCATGCAAGAAATTTCAATCTAAACTATGTTCCTAAGCTTAGAATATTTAGGAATTTCGAAACCTATGTTAATCAAAGGACTTATTGTGTTAATAGTATACTTAGTCATTGTATTGGCCTTCATACTTATTGGAGTTTAAGCATTTGCTATACCAGGTACTTTTGCAGCAATTGTTAATGCCGCCTTACCTATGATTGGAGGATTAGGATTGAATAAATAAGCAGCAGAAGAGAAATTGAAATCCTTAAATTTAACAGCAATTTTAGATGTTGTCAAAAAGGCTGTTAAAGTCATTCAATCAAGAAGAATATGATTTATTATTATTTTTATTATAAAATTATTTGAATATTTTAATTAATCATATCCATCTTTGAACTAAACCTATTTATGATGATGTTATAATCATTTTGATTGATTCTCTAAGATTCTTGCTATTTCCTTTTTTGTCCTTATATTTTGATGCAACCTCTTATAGAATCTGCTACTCTAATACCAATAATATAGTTGTTATTTTCTATTTTATAAATTTTTCTTCATCTCTTCAAATAGTTAAAATGTTAAATATAATTGAATCTCCTAAGGTGTTCAATACTACACACACTAAAAACAAAGGAATCCTAATTTTCATTATGATTATATCTTTAAATTATCCTACGATTATTATTTTCAAACAAGAGATAAGTTGGAGTGTTATTGAAGAAAATATATTTGATGATTACTTCATTGTTGTTCTTTAGATTAAATAATTTTTCTTTATTGAATATTACTTAATTAAAACCATATTAATAATTAAGATTTTAATCTAAATTTTATTCTAAAGTAATTTTACACCAAAATTTTGTGTAAAACGTTATTCTGTTTGTCTGATCTCTACAAGTAGCTAAAGCATCTCATTTATTGGTATTTATTATATGAATTTTTTTGATGTATATTAACAAAATAGGGAAATCTGTAATAATTAGATTCAGCTCATAATCTATATTATGTGGTTAATATTGAAAATATACTAAGGGATTACTTGGATTGTTTTTAACAAATTTATCTAAACATATTCATGCTGGTCAGTTTATACTTGATTTAAGTTATCAAAGATATCGTTAAAGGTTCAATTCATAAATAAAATGAAAAATAATATGATATGAAATCTATTAACATTCTAAAGTGTCAATTCACTGATATTCTATTGCCTATTAGGTTTGTTGCTTTAAAGTATCAAAAACTCATCGTAATATATACATTTAAGTTAAGACAATTAAATTTTGACATTAATTAGCCAAAAAGAACTATTTATCATTATACTTTAAATAACTTAAAGAATATAATCTGTATAATTATATAAATTTTTAATTAAATGAATATTTTAAAAAAGATAGTTTATGAAATATGATAAATATAGCGATGAATCGGATAGCCCTACTATGTGACAATTGCCATTCTCATCTTTGTAATACAGAGGGAAGAATTATTATACATTTGATTCTTAGATTACATAATGTAACATTTTGTTTTTATCATCCATTTAATATTATGTTATAACTATATGAATTGAACCAAAGAAACCTGAGGATATCAAATATTTTTAACTTATATATATTTTTTCAATTGGCTATAAAATTGGTAGATAAGATTACTAAAAACAAGGCTACCCATTAATTCACTCTAATGGAAGAAGGCTGATCTTAAATTCAATCGTTATACTCTCAAACCAATTGTTATTGCAGCCATTATAAGAAAAATAAGCGATACTTAAATCAAATGCTCCATAATAAAATCACAAATCGTCTTAATAATAAGTAATGATTATCTCCTGAGATATATCTAGTTTCTTGCTCTCTTCCTTAGGATTGAGTATTTCGCATAAAATCTATTGCAAGAGTGCATCGGGATCATAGTCTTCAGAGGGAGGGGATATATATCCAAGAAAAATCAATTCGATTCCCCAGCTATCATCCTTAAGTTTCAATAAAATGACTGGAACATAATTGCTTTTAATGCTCAATTCAATGAAGCATTCACAATGAAATGTATTTATATAGAAGTTAAATTGGTTCTGTTAAACCCTAACATAGTATTATAATAATTACCTTTCTAACCTTGAGCTATGATCTAATCCATATTGACCTAATAAAATTGGATTTCGATAACAATTAAGCATTATCATATTTGGTGAATTGACAAATTAATTGATTTTGTTTATAAATTACAGCTAAGTATCTTATTCAAAACTCCAACTACAATGTTATTCCCTAAAAAAAACTTTCACCTGATGGCAAATTTGTGATAATCCCTATTTAAATTACATTGTATTTCGAATAGAAAAACAATAATATTGTTCGATGTGAATTATAAATTAAATAAACAGGCCATTAAAATAAGTGGAGTTAAATAGGTGTAGGAGTTGTTTTCATCTATTCAAAAGTAATTCTATCTTAAATTAAAAATAAAATTAAGTATTCTTTTGTTAGTTCCTAATAATCCAGCTTGCTACAAATATAATTTTAATAGAATTACTAAATTTCGAATTTATATCACGCAACTCAATAATTTTAGAGTTTAGAAGATTAATTGAAGATATAATTTGGATTGGAATAATAAGTCAATGATTTTAGTCTTAAAAAAAAATATTATCTTTAATGATTTTCCTGAAACATGTTATACTGAGAAAATTCTAGATTCTCTTTGATTAAATTGAAAAAGCAAAACCAAATAATATTTAATGTTGTTTATCTATTTCAGTGATATAAGCTTAACTGATTAATAATTATAAATACTTCGTCTCACTATTAATACTCACTATAAAATTACTTCTATTTATATAGTATATATACAATTTAATCAACTCGAACTTAAGATGTTATTTTATTAATTTTCATTAAAATAAGAATCTAAAACCCTAATCATTTTCTAAGATATCAGATTAAAAATCCAAAAAAAACTTTACAAATACTAAAGAAGAAATTTTATTTTTATTTTATCATAACAAAAATATGTAATAATATTAATTATTCAATCTCATTTTTAAAGTCTTCTATCTTAATCAATTAACCTATTTTATATTGTTATTTTATATGATCGTTATAAAATACTTTGAATTACTTCTAAGTTGATACTAACAGATAGATAGTTAAAAATATTATTTTAATTATGGTGCACATTTTCTAAAACATTTAAGAATATAAAAAATATCAATCATAAGCCAGATCAATTAAAAATAATAGTCTGGTTGAAATCAATTAAAAATACACATCCAAAGCGAAAATTCATAAAAAGTAGTCCTTTATCATTTTTTTCAATAAAAATTAAATCTAATTTAATATTAGAATTGTTAATCTAATAATCTGGTAACCCAATTTTATAAACTTGATTCTTATTTGATAATACTAACCAATATTTGTGTTTATTTTCAATGATGTTTTATTATTTTAAGTAAATATTAATTAGAGATGAAAATTAAATATACATACATATAATAGTTTGCTAAATCAATGATCATATAGTCTGGAAGTATTAATTTTTTCGACTTTCTGTATATAATCATCGACATTATTTTTAGACTTTAGCATTCCCATTATTCCAAAAGAATTGGGCCTATCATCGAATGAATGAGAGGTAGCTACTCTGTTGTGAAATTGCTAATTTTTTAGTGGTGATTTTTTGGATTTTTGTATACAATCCATGAGTCTTTTGATTGATTCATCTAAAACTTTTTGATTTTCCTATTGTATTTTAAGATGTTAATATTATTATTCAATTTCAAATTATAAGTCTTCACATGCATCTTATCTTAGATGCAGCTCCTTTTTTTATTTGATCAATTAGGTCTCTTTCTCCTCAATCTACTTCTATTATTCTTCTTTTAAATTTTGCATAACTTATTTCTTTTCTATTTCTTTTATTTCTTAATCTTGCTATTGCTTAATTAATCTTTAATCTCTGATTTGCAATTTCAATAACTCAATTTAACCTTTGAGAAGTAGATTTTTATTTATAATTAGACAATCCTTCTAAAGTATCTCCTATAGATTTTACTCAAATCTTTCATTCATTTTCTATGAATTAATAATAGTAAAAATGTCTTAAAAAATATATTTAAAAATACAAAATTTATTTATTATTTCGATTGCTTAAGAATTAGACATATTAATCTATTCCTATAACTAGCAAAAGCACTTCAAAGATCATAGGAAGGCGAATATAAACAGTAAAAGTGTGATAAATTTAGACAAATTCCTTGTCTTTACTTTGATTCTCTATCATTTGTAATATTAATCATTTGTGTTACGATCTCTATAGACTAGTAACTGAAGATTCGGAATTTGAATTAGTATTAATCATCTCTTGTGAGTTGTACTTTTTTACTTTCATAATCTCTTATAGGACTTCTATATCTTCTACAATATTATTTAGTTTTAGAATTTTTCTTCTTTGAGTGTGAAATTGAATCAGATCAATAAGAATGAGACCTAGGTTTGATATTCAATATATATCTAATCAATAAAATCAAAATACTGTTATCTACCTCCTTTTTTATGTAATGCGATCTTGGGTAGTCTCTAAAGCTGAACCTTTTTAATTTTGATTTTCACTAATTTTTTTCAATTTATTCATCTAAATCTTAAGGTATATTTCTAAATTTTTCTATTCTATAAAACATCAACTAATTACATACAACCATAGGATCCATTAAAAGCAACGTCTTTTATAATTAGCAATCTTGATGTCTGAATCAAATATTTTGATAAAATTGATGTAAATACAAAAAAATTAATTGAAACATTTTTGACAAGAGAAGAGAAAGAATTGAATAATTAATAATAGACATCTTTTCATCTACTAAATTCAACTCAAACACTTTTACATATTATTCATAGAATATTATTAATTATATCGATTATAATTTTAAATTAAGATATCCTTTTTTATAATCCAAACCTAAAGTCATCAATATATCAGATATTTCAATATTAAACTTATAAAATGAGCATTAAATATATAGTTAATTTTATTATACATAATAAAAATCTAATAATTAATGAAAGGCATTTTGTCTCGTTAATCCAGTTTATCAAATATCAATCATAATGTAAATTAAGCTTTAGGAATATCATCTTAATATGATTTTGAAAAAGGCATCCTTGTCAATGTACCTGTTGAATTGCCAGAAGTCAAGAAGAATAGTAATTAAAAATTGCCCAGATTAATGAGAAGAGAATAGAAACTTTAGAAATTTTTTGTACTTAATCCTAAACAATAAATCAAATCTATTGAAAGAAGCAAAACCAAAAGATTGATTCCCTATTAATTGATTAAAGTAGAACATCCTCCAATAGGCTATTACAAACTTAATGAAAGTTCTCTAGTACATAAGTCTGTTGTAGACATGAGTAAACAACCGACTGCTCGAATACCTATAAGATAATACAAAAGTAAAAGCATAGATTAAGAACCTCAAATGCCTCTCCCATAATTATTGGAGGAGCCAAAACAAATTAACAAACCTCGAGTTACAGAACTATCTAATCTTAAGTTATAAGAATGGATACAAAAGGAGTTAGAATAATTAAAAGATGCTAAAAAATTGTAGTAAACAACATATAAAGGATTCATGGCTAATGAGAAAGAAAAGAGCGATAATTTTCAGAGACTTTTTGAATTAACTTCTCTAAAATTAAAAAATTCATATGTAAAGTATTTCTTCTGAAATTAATGTTATTGTTCATCATAATAATAAGACAAATAGATAATAATTAATTACTATTCTCATTTGAAAATCCTACTCAAAAAAGACTTCGAATCCCTTTCCCATGCCTATTGAACAATTGCATGTTCTGCTTCCGTAAATTGTAATACAGTAGCAATCACAGGAATTGTTTTTTGTTTCACCTTAAGATTAATTGAAATAATTACTGAATATTCCTCTGTAAAAAATCGTATGATAACATTCTTAATATATTAAATATTTGCATTCTTTTAATTCTCTTGACATAATCTATCAATTTTAATATTTTTTTCTCTCAATTCCTTAGTAATTTAATCAATAGTATTCTCTAATAATTAGATTTACTATCTACCATTTTCAAAATGCTAGATTTCTGTTTTAAATTATATATAAAAATACTTTGTTCTCGCTCCATTTTTCTTTCTTCCTCTATTTCAAGTATTCTTTATTTATGCTCCTTTCCTTGTTACTCTATCAAATTACTTTGCTCCTATTACTATTAGATCAATTCATAAATTGTTTAATTCAAAGTAATTAAGTGTTATTTAAGGGAATGTAATTATGGACTACAAGACTTAGCTTATATATTAATTTACTTTCAATAATTGCAGCAATAGTAATTTAATCTTTGCTTCACAATCTGCACTTTAATCGACTAAGGTTAAAGTAGTTTCTCTGATTTATTCAGATTAGTTAACTACTTCATTAATATTTTGCATGATTTCCTATTTATATTTGTCAAATTCGTTTTACAAATCATTGAATAAAGTTAGAATTTCTTATTTTTTCTTCTCACTCTAAAAACATTCTTATTACAATATTTTCATTCTCTAATCGTATTATTATGCAACAACCAAAATATCATCTTTGGATTTAGAATAATCTAGTAATTTAATATCTTCATGCAATTAAGAATTTAGTTGTTTGTTGAATTCGCTTTCCCTTACCCATTCAATTCCATTATTTTTAATACATATCCATTCTATTTCTTCTACTTTGACTTTGGCTAAAACCCTTTCGCACACAATTTTCTTTTCATCTCCCAAATATTTATTTACTATCTATTCTAGATTTTCGTTTTTTTGTTTTTCTTCCTATAATTATTGAGTTTTCTCTGCTAATTCTGCTCTTAACTTATCGATGGTTAATTTAGCTTTAATTATTAATTATTTTTGTTATTCAATTTTTTCTTCCATTAATAATTTATGTAATTAACAAATAAAATACTTTTTGGAGCAATTATTGCTTCATTTCTTCAATGGTACAATTATTCCTTTTTCATTGGCTTTATAATTGGATGTTTTACTATACTTTGTGTTCAATATAACTACATTATGGAATATCTTAAAAAACAGCATTAGAATTATAAGATTACCATCACCAGTGGTAAAATATTCATGTCAATTAAAAGTTAAGCAAAACTTCGAAGAATATTTGCATCCAGTTAAATAGAAGAGAAAACACTATATAAATAAATTCAACACCGAATTGCAAATTGAAAATCCATAACCTAAATAAGAGGATACTTAAATATCCTAACAAATTTCTGTCTAAAAATTATATAGAAAAAAATTCTTAAAGAAACTTGATGTCTATATGGATTTTTTGGAAGGGATCAAGGTATTAATTATCAAAATATAAGGAATCTGAACAATAATTCGGTTCACAATTAAACGAATTAGATAGTAAATTACTTTCTGAAAATGAAATTAATAGTATCGATAAATATTCTGAAGAAGGAAACGAAATTATTCAACAACTTACTGGAATCTAGTTGAGTTCTAAGTTATTTTTGTTCTTACCTTAATGGAAAGACTTCAAGAAAGTGTTAAAATAAATTAGTCAATACCATATTGAAATTGCCTCAGATATAAACAAAGTGAGTATTCAATTAGTATCACTCAGGAAAACCTACACGAAAGAAGTAGAGGAAATCAGAAAACAAAGAAAGAAATTAAAATATCAAACGGTCGAATGCTATCAATGTTATTAAAAGATTCTAAATGAATTCAATTAAATTGAAAAGGATTTGTAATCCTTCACTTTAGCTCATTAAGAAATGCTAAAAAGGAAAGATGATCCAACACAAATCATTAAAAGCGAAATGAAAGTCAAATTGCAAATGCAACAATCAGATACCATAAGATTGAAATTAACAGATGCCAGAGATAAAATCAAAGAAAATTAAATAGAAATCAATGAATTTAATCAAAAGATGCACCTTTTCTAGCTTAGTTATGAAGAATCAAGAGTTGTATTTATAAAACAAGGTTTCCAAGCATTTTTAATAACATCTGAGAATTATGCCAGTTAATTTTAGACTTAGATCTCCACCTTAATAGTAATTATGGATGAAGATTATTGTAATGATATCTCCCATTTATATATTAGATTAAATATACCCCTCGAGATAACACAGGAGTCCAAAATCCCCTCAAAAGCAGGTGTTGGAGAATTAATAATAAAATTAAATAGCTGAACTTGATATCAATGAATAAATTAAGGAATGTTAAAGACAAACTACTTATTTACTTTAATAATGGTAAATAGTGTAAAAGTATAATGAAGAATTGGAGTACTTCTTTAGAGATACTATCTAAATTTTTAATCAAAAATTAATAGATAAAGATTTTACACTAGTCAAGTTGCAAATTGAATTAGAAAAAAAAGAAGTAGCAGATATTTTCAATGTTCTGTTTTCAAGTTTAGTGGGTGTTATTCAAATAATTAAAGACTCAAATAAACAACTTGTAGACTAAATAGAAAGAAAACGATAGGATATTGCTAAATGTAGATTAGAGATGTCAATTGGTAAAGAACTTGAAACTTGTGCATTAAGAGATTTAAAAAAGTTGCAAAGTCTTAGCACTGATGAAAAAGCACTTGAGTAGTATCAAAATGATTAAGTCGATAAATCTAAAACAAAGAAAGCAGCTTAACATTTTTTTAATGAGATGAAATAAAATATGTCAGAAGTGAAATCCTTAAATTTTGGTAAATTTTATGCAACTATTGGTTAAACTGTATCTAAAGTTCAAAAGATGAGTAATTTGAAAGAGGATGATCTTAGAGAATAGTAGACAAAATTAATAGAAGATAAAAAAACCCTAATTTCATTGTAAGGGTATACTTTAAAGAAAATAGAAGATATTCTCAATAAACACAATAAATAAGTAGCTAAAATGAAAAAAATATTAATTGAAGATTTGGGGAGATTTGCTATTTAAATATTTACTAATTTAAGAATGATAGTTGATGAAAGTAAATTTACTATTAAATTTAGCAACTGAAAATATTTAGATTATGTAATAAAGAGAAATCTTAGAGAATGAAAGTAAGGAGTAAGTAATTTAAAATGAGAAAGAAGTCACTATTTGTCAAAATGAAGAAATGGTAGAAGATATTGATGTAAGTACTACATCGTTATTACTATAAAAACTCTTAAAAGTATTAGCCAATGATTGGAAGGAAAGTCAGTATTTTAAAGGGAAAATTAAAAAAGTATTACATAGGACACTAAATAACAAAAGAGCTGCAATGCTATCAGAGATTAACGTATCTGATTTAAAGATTATTGGGGATTCTCCATCATTATCTGATATATAAGCACTAAGATAGGATGCTAATGAAGTATTATTTTTGATAGATTTCAGTTTCTATGCGACTTAGACTTATCTTTTAGGGGGAAAGTTTTAATTGTCTTAAGTACAAATTTCCTCCTTACATGGCCTAAGGAATATTAAGTGCCTATTGAAATTAGGATTACAATTACTACTTTTACAAGTAGGGTTAGATTATGTTTTGTCCCCACTCCTCTTGGGAAGAGTTGGTATAATATGAAAATAAGTTTTAGGCTTTCCATAATAGGATAACCTGCTATTAATTTAGATATTGAATTAAATCTCTTGTAAAAATATAATGTTGCCAAAATCTAATAAATTACTGATTTAATTAGAGAGGCCTTAATAGGAAAAGTGAAGCTAATGACATACCCTAACAAAGTATCAATTAAGCTGCCTTTAAGTAAGAAATGAATAATGATTGCCTATTTTAAATTGTATAGATTCTAATCATTTTGAAAGAAGAAGTTTTCTTATTTTTCAAATTTCTAAAACTATTTTTGTTATCTAAATATAAAATATCAAAAATTAACATATATTACTAAAGAGAAAATTGGAGATCTTTAATACTTAATATCATTATATCATCTAAAGTATTTTAATAAAAGGATTAGGTGATCACAAAAAGTATGTTTTATGGTTCATAATGGAAATATATAATTGTTTTATATTAGAATATTTCTACAAAATAGTTCAGTCATACTCATTTAAGATCAAAATATTTTGAGACATTTATTAACTTTAGATCTTATGCATTTAGATATTAAAATATATGATTTTAATTATTTAGATACCAAACATTATTATTAAATAGCCAATCGCAAGCTATTAATGTAACATTATTATGGTCATAATTTGATGTTTAATTACACTTATAATGATAGTAATTAATATTATTAATTGAATAAAAACAATTGTTAAACTTAAATGGTAATTTGTTAATCATTTTTCAATCAATGTAATCAAGTATTCCAATTAAATCAATATTTTGAGACTTATGATAATAAATCATCATTTTTTTATTAATTAATATTATAATATAATTTTATATAAAATGAAAGATTTCACTAAATTTGTTCTTTGCGCTTTAAGTGGAGCTATTGTTGGCCTTATATATAAATTAAATAAGGCTAAAGTTAATAAAAATCAAATTGAATTAGATACTCTTAAAAATTAGAGGAGTGTTACTGTTTCCTTACTAAAGTATAACATTTAATTTTTAAAGGGATACCTTTTTGTTAACAGATGATAATTCAGTAAGTTTGTTTGTTGAAGGCGAGGTTGTCTAAAACACAGAAATGCTAAAAAGTGCAAATAGCAAATATACAGGGGTTTATATAAAGAGATCGAGTTATGAAATAGAGGTTGTAGAAAACAATGGAAGAAAAACATAATAAAGAAGATAAACCAGCAAAACAACAAACACAACAGATTCTTTTATTTTGCAATCGCATCTAAAAACAAATGAAACCTTGCTGATAAACAATTTTTCTGGCACAATAGTTTTGCCTAAAGTCTTAAAACATTAATAAACAGATCAAATTTTAAATCCTCCTGAAATTAGATCAATAGTGAGAGAGCCTTAAACGTAAGACATGTAATAATATTAGAGATGTAGAAAAGGCAGAATTTAAAGAAGGAAAGCTAAATAAATTTTTGACAACTATTTCAAAAATTGGAGTGGAAATAGATGAAGACATTTTATGTGAAGGAACTTTTATTTGTGTTTATGGCAAAGTTGTTTGGGATAAAGTGTAAAATACATTTATCATAAATGCTCCTAAATATTTTGGTGTGAGCAAGGAATAAATTATTGAATACTTTGAAGCTGACTAATACTTTTTAAAATTTATAGGAATACTCTTAACAATTGGTGGAACAGTATTAATAAATACATAAAATAGGCATTTTCTATATTCGCTTTAAAATATTTATACAAGACCTTATCTAATAATGAAGATAATAAAAATGCAAAGTGAAGAAATCTAAAAACAAAATGAATTATCATTAGATCACATTATCATAGCAGAAATTCATACTATCAATTATTTGTCATTACTATATATTTAACCATACTCTGCTATCATAGATTATAGAAATAATATTATTATTTATTAAATATTACTAAGCTCATTATTGTTCTTCTTCCTCTTCTTGAATTGTTTGCATTTCTACTTTTTTAACAACTCTCTTCTTTAATTTTATACCTGACTTCAAATTTTTCCATTTTATTGCTAGTAACTCTTTATTCCTAGTAAATAATTCATCTTATAGGTCTTAATTCGTTTTGATATTCTCTTTCCAACCAACTAATTCATTAGATAATTCGATTAATTATTAGCTTACATTAACTCCCTTCAGAATTTCAAGATTCAATTAAGAAAGTTTTTCTAATAACGAATTACAAAAATGAAGGTCTATAGAATCAACTGCTCCATGTCTTTGGTTTAAGATATCCCTAAAATATAAATAAGTCTTACTCTTATATTGCAAATGCTTCCTTAATGTTATTTTCTGTTTTGATATCTTTGTTATTCAAATTTTTATAAAGTTATTGAAGTTTCAACTAGTAAAATTGTTAAAATTTAACAATATAAGTTTATAGTTAAAACTTGGGGACAGGCTTCTGTAAATATTTTGATTTGGCTAGAAATTGTTTATGGTTTAACCATTTTCTCATTAAGTTTAATCCATTCTATTTTATAGTATCTGACTAGTTTTAATATCTTTCCCAATTTTATAAACAAGTATTATAAAGTTATTCAAGTTAATTTTAATTATATTTATTGACTATCTATAGATTGGTGATTGGCAAGTCTAAATAATGGTTTATGAATAATGAGTGGTTTGGTTTAATGTATTCATTTTACCTAACTTACAGGTCTTTCAATATTATTAACTTAAGTCTTTAGTAAAACTTATATTTTGAATCAAATTCTATTATTTTACCTATTTATTCAATAGCTTCTTTTGTCAAAACAGGTAAATTGATAATAAAAATGATAAGCAATAAATTAGCGTGATATTCGTAATGCTCAGAATTGCAATTATCTAGGAATTATCCTAAAAGATATAAATACTCTACAAGTAACTCCTCATTTTAAATTTTAAATATAGGTGACTGAATTTTGTGATCTTCTACCTCTTTTAAAAATTCAACATAGATATAAGGTATGCATATTTAGAGCTTCTTCTCTTCTAGAATTGAAACCAGAATAGTTAACCCGACCCTTATTAAGTGATAGAGCCATTCATCTAAGTATAATTAACTCTAAAGATCAGCACTGAATTCTGCAAAACAACCAAAAAGATCATCAGTAATATTATATTCTTAACATTCTAGGAATTCCATATATTTAATATAAGGATTAATCAAGATTGGCTTCTTCATTTATTAAAGTGTAAAAATAGCCAAGGGTAATTCGTTGACATAATTTAGTATGTTTATAGCTAAAATTACTTTCTGATGACTTAATTTATCTTATGGCTTTTGAAGGAGCGATATGCTTTCATTTATAAGGAATTATTTAATTTAAGAGGGTAAATTTGGATTTCTAATATTGGTCTTGATTAATATCTTGGTAAAATCTAATTAATGAAGGGATTTAATTTAATTTAAAATTGAAGATGAATGTCTATCAATTTCCATATTTCTAATTGGTGAATCATTGAAATTTTTGAATTTTTAGAGGTTGACTGTTTTAGGAAGAAAAATAATAGGTAATACATTCTTTTGTTTTTATTCTAAGTAATACAATTATTAAAAGATTGGTAAAAAATGATTTCTATATACAATTTAAGAGTATTACTATTTTTCACCTATTTTCTCATATATAAGGTAATAAGTTTTAATTGACTCCGATAATTTGAAGAATTGATCAGAAAGAGTCTAAATAAAGGATTTATAAATAGCCTTCAAAACCACATGATAAGGAGTCAAAACATATTCAAATCCAATATCAATAAATTTTAATTCCTATTATGATACTTAAGTTTGATCCTTTTATACTTCTTTTTACGATTAGTGTAAAACTTACATTAGACCAGAAGTCAAATATACAAGAGTATATTAAGAATAGTGATCCATGATTTCTCCTTAAGGTAATGAAAACTGATACAGGAATGCGAATGAATCAATAATATTTGAATTTTTACAAAATAGTTGAATCTGATTTAAAAAGTAAATGGTAATTTCAACAAGTAATGTGAGATCTACTTTTTTTTTTTCATGTGCACCACTCGTCTGTATGATTAGATGAGATAGAATTATTGATTCTATTTAATTCAACTATTAAGTGTAATTTAGATTTGAACTATTTTTTATTTGACTATTTTTAATAATATCTTCTATAATATCTTGAGTCAATTATCTTTTATTATCAAAGTATTTAATAGTAGTTGAAAATATAGGGTTGAATTTTGAATTTTTTGTCTAAAGAGCATCTTAGATGTCTATAAAATATTAGTATTTATTCTAGTTAAACTATTCCTATTCACTAAGTAGTTTATTATTTCTATTTTCCTTGACTTTCTCTATCACATTAACAATATCTGAATAATTATTAAATGATTTGCACAAGTTGAATGCATGTTCATAATTTAGTTGATAGATGACAGTCTTCCAATACCCTAAGCCAATCAATTCTTTGTAACAAGTAATTCCAAAACTATTGGATAAATTAAGGTGTTCTTCAAATTTAAATTATAAGAACACAGGATTTATAGATTCTAAAATATTATTAATAGCCAACTAGGAAACTGCTGCTTATTATAGTATTTGCTTTCTATAGAGTTTATTTATAATAATTTAATAATTATCCTTCAAGGAGTTCCTTGTTAATGGAGTGTAGAGTGAAGCCAACGATACTAAGTATCTACCTATATATTAAGCCAATTTGAATTAGTTGCAAACATAAATGCATAATTTATAACTTTTGAATTGCTCTAATAGATCTAGAATCAAGTAGATGGTATCAATATCTATATTATCCAAATCATATAAGAAGTTGATCATATGGTCAAACTCCTTCTCATCCCCAGTTCTATTTGACAGGAGAGTAGCCTTATGTGTCTGCTTTTCGATGTGAGTCTTGAATTCATCAGAAAAGAATTAAAATTTTTAAACCAATTACTGTAAAACATTATTCTTAATAAAGATATTAGACCTGGATTTTAAGAGTGAAACGTTAGATGGCTAATTCAATAATAGAACATTTGAAAACTGTGATTCGACACTAGAAGTAGCAATAGATTTGATTAAGGAGTTTTATTTATTTTTCAACCATTCATCTTCTGGATCAAACATTGAGAGATGATCAAAGGATTCCTCATTTTGAACTTAAAAAGACTCTGAGTCATCAATTTCAATTATATCTTATTTTTCTTGTTTTACTATGCTCACTTAGGATGTTTCAAGATTGTTTTCAGGGTTCTCGACTTATTGCGATTCATTTATCTAAGAATTCTCAATTTAGAAACTTTAAGATTAATCTTAAACATCTTCTTCGATTATGCATGGCTCCTCATTTAAAGATTACTCCTCCATTTCTTTTTCCTATTACTCAATCTAATCTGTCATTTCTTAAAGAAAACTAGGAAAGAATTTATTCAAGAAAGCCATTCTTTCTTCAATTGGAAATTCATTCTTATGCAAATTTAATAATTCAATAATTCTTTGCCAATTATTGGCTTTCTTATAGCAATCTAGTGCTCTTCTAATGTCATCGATCTAATAAAATAGATTTGCAGCCTCTTCAAAATAGCCAGCAAAATATGCAGACTCAGCAGTTTCACCTTTACAATCAGTTTATTTATATTATTCATAAGCTTTGATATATTCTTTACCTGAAAAATAACATTATGCTGCTCTTAAAGGGAAATTAATCTCCTCAAATAACTTTGCTGCTGCAATATAATTCTCTCTATTCTCATTAAAAATATTAGCTTAAGTGGCCAAAAAATAGGCTTTGGATTTCTTTGCTAGTATCTCATCACCTGAAAACTTAAAGCACTTTGCTGCTTAATCATAATTGTTGAGTCTAAACATTTTGTATCCTTACTTTTTCCAATTAGCCTAATTATCTACAGTATGTTCAAGGATGAATTGAGTGTCAGAAACCTAAATATTCTTTTTCTAAACAATAGTAACCACATCCAATTTCTCCCATATAGATTGCATTATCTATCTTTTTTTAATAGACTGATCAAATATTATTAACCTTTTCTTCGGTCTGGTTATAGCCACATACAACTATTTCAGGTCTTAACACAAAGAAATATATTCCGAAAAGGAATCCTAGACGGATTTTATTTTTTTTAAGTCACCCCTTAACTTAAGCTATTTAATTTCGATCAATTTATTCTATGCATTGTAATCAGACGTTACAATTTCAGATTGATGAACTATAAAATATGTAATATTGAGTACCTGTTTAGTAATTTTTAAATCCTTCTTCAGTCATATAGACTGAATCAACTTCGAAGTCATTCAAAATTTTCCAATCATCTACAGAAGTAGTGCAATCATTAAAGAAATTGTACAGAATTACATCATCAAATTCTAGTCCTTTTGCTTCATATATTGTAAGAACCAATGCATTTTACAGTTCTTAAGGTAATTTTTCTTTAGATTCTTGATCCTTAACAATGATAGCTTAATTACATCCAAAATCAACTGTCTTGCGGTCATTAGTGAAAAACTCTTAAATATAAGATAACAAGTCTTAAGGTTAGTCTGTATATAGGACAACAGGCTTTGGTCCAGTTAAATCAGATGTTTCCTTCTTTAATCTATCAATTTTGTATGGGAAACAAATCTCTAAGACTCTGATAACAGAGTTGGCCAATTGCAGAATTTAATTGTGTGATCTGAAATTAATATTTAAATCGAATAATGTTAGATTTGATTATCTTCTCCTTTGACTACCTCTGTAGTTTAAGATACAGTTTTATACTTCAAAAAACTTAAAGCCTATTCCTTTGGCGATGTTCTAAGCATTGTCTCCACAACAAAATAAACCAAATTCTGCCATTCTGTCCAATAATACCAGAACAGCTCTTGGAACATCTTGAAGCTCATCCAACATTAAATAATGCACACTCTCAATCACATCATTCCCTTAAGATAACTCATAATTAATATGATTAACTATATCTAACAAATCATAATATCCATAACTTTGTTTTAATCTTTCATAAGTTTCAAATGCTTTATAAAGTAATTTTGTCTATACTTCTGATAATACTCTATGGTAATAAGAATAATTCTCAAAATTCATGTATTTATCAGGATATTCATGCGAGGTTTCATGACCCTTGATTTTTGTGCAAATTTCACTCCAAACCAAGGTTGGATCAAAAGTTGATACATCATAATACTCCTACTTCAATTCTTTAACGATCTTAGGCCAAAACACTCTCTCAAAAACCTCCAATGTGACCTCTTGTAAATTGGTTTCAATGAATTCTTGATTGTCAATTAGACTAATATGCTTATATAGAAGATCTTCATTAAAAGGCTAAGCTGTTTAGTTTTTATCTAGTGTCATAAGACCAGAGGATTCATTATGCCATTGTGATAATTTATTTTAATATCCTCCATAGACTTTAAAGAAAGAATGGAGAAGGGAAGAATCAATAAGTGCCAATAATTTACGTAGTGTTAGGAAAACTGGGAATTATTGAATTTCACTAAATTTATTAAATTTTCCCATCTCTTTTTCAAACTCATTGATCTCTTCATCTTCTATTTCATTATCATTCTAAACTTCCTATTGATTATTATCATCAATATCTTTATCATTTTATTAAAGTGCTTCAATTATTTAGAAGGTGCTCTATTCTAAATCTATGTTTTAGGATTAAGGATTCACTTATTAATCCTATTTTGCTCTTTGTCTTTTAGTATTAATTGCATTTTGGATGTTAGTGACTAATTAATCGTATAATCTTTTCACCTGACAGGCTAATAATGGACTTGCAGTTACAAAGATAGTCTTTAATTAAGAATTCTATTCTTATTATGATAATATAATATCTGTAGATGATTATTTTATCTAATCTAATTTGATTCTCAATTTGTACAAAATGTCTGTAGAGAATAATTTTAAAAGTGCACATGTTGTCTTACCTGTTCCACTTCTACCAATTACTAAAGCATCACCTCCATATGAAATCACATTTCTTTACTCTTCAGTTAATTTTACTCTGAAATTTGGGATGTTTTTTATGATGGTTAATAGTTATTATGAAGAAGGTAAATAACAATACTTTCTTATCATCTAATTATTTTATCTTAATTCATCTATCTATTATAATTTCTTATAATATTTCTCTTCATCTTCTATTGTCATCCATAGGTTTAACTTATGATTATAATTAAATTAACTCCCCTAACATAACAAGGGTTTAAACATTCTTGGCCCAAACAATAAGAATTGATTTTCAGTGGATTCCCCAACCCTTAAATACTTAATTTTTTTTTTATCTTATTCTTAAATAAATTTCATGTCGGTAAAGAAGTTTGGTTTGCTTTATTGAGCTTTAAGATATTTTTCATATGGTTATGGGTTTTTCTAATAAGAGCCTTCATTCAACTCGACAAATATCAATTCATGAATAAAATCAAATTAAGTTGGATGATCTGAATTATCCATTAGAGGGTATTTCTTGGGAAAAACTTAAAACTGCATAGTAATTCGGCTTTCAATAGCACAGTCTAATTCAAAGTCATATTAAAATGGAAATTTGATACTACCAACCTACATTTGAGTCGCATTAATCCATTAGTAATATTATTTATTAAATTTTCCTTAAAGTATGCTCTTAATTAGAACAACAACCCTAATTACTTCATCTTCTTTGAGAGTTTAAAACTTTGATAGGAATTATTCTAAATTAATAAAGTATTGTACTTGTAAAACTAAAATCCCAAATCCTTTAAGGGAAAAAGGTATAAAGTGGAAGACTTGATAAATACTCCCTTATTTCTTCTTCTAAATGTAATGTTTATCCCATATATCTATATTCATTTAGATTATTTAAAGTTTAAAAGTATAATACAAAAATGTTTTTGACATTTAATTTTTCCCCAAATTTTTGGTTAATATTGTTTTAAATTTGCTTTATAGAACTATCAAGCTCTGCTTTCTCTTTATAATACTAATTCAATATGACCTGACTAAACTTAGGTTTTTGAATGTTTTATTTCATGTTTATTCTTTAATAATAAAATAAAAAAAGAATTTGTGTTTAATTTCTTAAATTCCATAACTTAATAATTATATTTCGCAAACGTTATAGATAAATCAGAATTTCAATTTTATAGTCATGAAATAATCTTCATGGTAAGAGTTGACGTTAGATTTTATCATTTAAAATTTCTAAATTATCATTATTCTTTCACAATATAAGTGTAATTAATATAGATGAATTTAAGAAATAAAGACTTACTAATAATAAAAATTTTTTAATATTGTATATATATAAATTGTTGTTAAAAAAGTACAAAAAGGTATATTTTTTTTTTCATTTTTCTAAAGATAGTAATTGTGCTGCTATAGATCCTTAATATTGTTCCATATTACCATTTTAAAAAGCACCATTTACTAATTGTTTGTCTATTAATTTTTGATTTCCGAGATAATTAATGATTTCTATGCAATAATTTTCATTGACTGGTTTAGTAAAGCTGAAAAAGTCAAGTAACTTATTTGAAATAGAATTCATTCCTCTGTTTCTAAATTAAACATTTTGATCTCTGTAATGAATATTAGATACAATTAAATTCTTGACTTAATTATATTTTTTACATATCCTTACTATCCTATCCTCTTATCCACTCATAATATTTGATACTGGAAGTTAATATTGAATCAAACTTTAAACTTCTTATTTTGAATGTCTTTATACTTAATATTCATTTTCCTCGAATATACAATTATGAATATCTTAATAATTGATTGCAGCACTTCCTCCTTATTAAGTGCTTTCACTGATTAAAAGTATGTCACTTAACAAATTTTCTTCTTTCAACCAATCTATCATTTTGTTTAAGATTTTTTCCATATTTTAATATAAGTATTCATCATACTAAGAAAAGTTTGAATTAAGTGGCTATTAAAAATCTTGTTCAATGCACATTCCATCAGGTCTAACTTCTTAATATGAGTATTTCTCTATAATTTATTATAATTCAACTTTCGAAAGCAACTTGAAGTTCTCTTTTATTTTCTCTTCAGAAAATTCAAAGAAAAGGGTATCAAAATAATTTTCACAAATCCATTATGGTATGGATGATTTAAGAAAAATGTTATCCTTTTTCCATTTATCAAAAAATTCTAATAAATCACCATTTGATTCAAAATAGAGATTATTCATTAACTCTTATGAATCTTTTTGAATAAATTCGATAATATCTTTAAGTTAATCTGAAAATTAGAAGCAACTACTTCCAATCCATTATACATTTGCAACATCAATATTCATATCAATTATTGAATTAAATAAATGATTAAATTGAATTTATTTTTAATTATTGGATCTTCTAGCAATTCTAAATTCATTAAGTATGAAATGAACATCTAATTATTAAACAAAGCATCCCCATAACTTACCTCCAATTATTTCAATTTTTAATTGCGGTGTTAATTTATAGTATTTCTCATCAAAAATTTTATTAATTGGATTCAAATCATAAAATGGATCCTTAGAAAATTAAATTAAATGATTTTAAAAATGCTCCCAAATCAATGCATAAACCTAGCTTTACACTAAATGATTATTTTTGAGTTCTTTAATAATCTAATCTGCTAAGTTGCAATATGTTTTGAGTCCTTGATATAATTATATTAGTGAATCTTCATATTCTCCTGCATACTTCAAATTCAACTTTTCAAAATTCATTAATCTAAAGTTTCTGACAAAATCTGAATCTAATTTATAATTTTAGAATTATCTCTATTTATTATTAGATTTGTTGGCAATTAATTAGTATTAAAAGGCTGAACTTATATCTTTGAGTAAGACATCCTCAAATTGCATAATTTAAAGTGGAATGCATTTCCTAATAATTTTTATCAATTTCTATCTAAAAAAAATATTCTATACACAATTTACCCTTTTTTTTAATCATTACAAGAAAATTTTATGTAAGTTTCTCCTAAATAGCCCAACAATTTCTCATCTGCATATAGTTCAACATCTTCTATTAGAAATTTTAAACAACTAACTAATGATCTTTATTTAATAGATTAGCCACTTCCCATTGATTAATTATTGAAATTTAGCAACCTGATTCAGCAGCCATACTCCTAATTTATAGAATATTTGTTTTAATATAGAATGCATTATATATTTATATACGAGATCAAATATTAATCTTTCTCCAACCATCCTTTTGATATGAAGTTTTAGTTGTCATTATTTTAGCTTTTAAAGGAGAAAGCGAAGATGGTATAGACTCTGGTAAGAATTTCTCATCCTCAGATTACAAATAATTCAATTCAATAAAAATTATGATATCTCGAATGAAATCAAGATCATTTTAAAATGACCCATTTATTTAAGCTTCAATTATGGATTATTGCATCAGAAGTTTAAATTCCAATACTGCCAAACGAGATAATTAGCCCAATTTGATTATTCCAATAATTTAGGGAATTTTGAAATCCAGCTCCTCATTATTACATCTCAATAATGTACAAAACTAGTTTGAATATTTGGATAAGTCAATATTTTATTCAAGTCTTTTTGATATTTTCCATTAAAATTAATTTAGTAAAGGATGAGTACTTACCCTATATTTATTCATTAAAATTAATATTTAAATATACTTACATTCTAATTTGGAAAGCAATGATAAAAATACAAATGATTGAAATTTAAATAGAACATTACATGAAATATAAAAAGTCAATCGAAGAATCTATTTTTTTTTTTGGAGTAATTGATGTTTTCAATATTTTTTTTAATTACTTTTTTTAGAGAGTCTTAGAATTGATTGACTCTTTCTTGTTCCTCTGATTATTTGACTTTGGCAAAACGATAGAAGAAAATGCTATTTCTTTCAGCATTTCTACTAATATTGCATTCATCCATATCTAATAGACTCGTAATTGCTGAATCATTTTGAACTTACCACATTTAATCCTATTTAGTAAAGAAAGATCTTCTATTCTTATATAATTTATTTAATTTGATACCAAGCTATCTGATTTTACAGGAGAGAATAAGGCAGTCAATTCCATGAGAATTCTTGAACGTCGTTACATTTTCTCACTAACTTCTTGACCTAAATTCTTTTTTTTGGTTCCAGTAGATTTTTATTCCAAATAAAATTACTTTAATTATTTTCTAGGAACAATGTCATCAAACGCTTCTAATTCTGTAACTAAAGATTTAATTTAAGGAGGCTATTATTTTTCAAAATAATCTGCTAATTCATAATAAATTTCATTATGTCTTCTCAATTAGTAAATTGGAGTGTTGTATTTCCTATTGTCATCTCTTGTCAATGATCTCAATTTCGTTATTAACTCTTATCTTGAAAGATCAGTAAAATTGCATCTTTCTTCTGTATTACGATGAGTCTCTGCTAGTCTATTATACAATTAATACAAATCTTCATTCGGTTGTTATCTCAAGCCTAAATTAATATCTTTACTTATTCTTTCATATTCACATTAATCTTTTAATTTGATTTTCCCATCTAATTACCATCCCTTATATTGTTTTATTGGATCATAATTTTATTTGAATATTTTGAAACCAGGCGGTCCAAAGTCACCTTAAGTAGCATCCAATTTGCAATGTTGGGCTTAACAATATTTAAGAGCCTTTTTCTTTTCTAAACCAGCTCTTCTTAATTTTGCAAATACAGTTGCATTTTCTTGATTTTCTTCAGTAAATTTACGTCTAGGTATAAACCTTTGACAATCTCTAAATAAACCACTAGTTAATTTGTTTGGTTTTTCAAATGGAGATGAACTAAATGCAGTGTCTCTCATAATAATATAATACGATAATAATATAATTAGAATTAAAAATCATGTATTACAGAATCTTTACTCTCAAAAGACCCTTCAAATTTACAATTTATCCTACCGATAACTTTTGTGACTAATCGGTCTAATTTTGTTAAAATTATTGACCTTTTCTTTAATCCTAGAATGCTTAATATTTTTAGAAAATCAAAACTGCAGCATCAACTTTTTTTGAAGTTGCACTTCCTTTCACATTAATAATTTACTCTTTCTATAAAATAATATTTGAAAGCGTTTAGAGATGTCCTTCATTATCAACCCTTTTAGATTAAACTACCATAACATCCTCATTTAGATTCAATAATACAATTTTAATTGACAGATAGTTTGGATTGCTAACTTCACTATAAATCTTAATCGGCTTAATTCATTTCTCTAATCTTAATTTTAATCCTTTCTCTTTCTCTGTGCTTTTTATATCATATCTTTAAACTCTTAGTTCTATTTTACTTTGTTTTCAACATTATTTTTTGATTTTATATCTAGTGATTGCACACTAGTTATTAAGATTTTGGATTAAGATTTTATGTGCTCTTTAGATTCATCATTTCAGAGTAATGAAAAGAAATTTAAAATTAAAGGCCAAAATTCATTTTTTTAAACATTGATTTAATATAAATATGCAAGCATTCGTTTAATGCTCTTCGCTAATAATCAAAAACTTGAATTTTGAAACATTCTATATTAGAGTACCCTCTTGTTTGACCTGAGGTGATCCCTCGTTCGATTAGAATCTTTTCATTATCTCAACGATCTATTTTACCTCATTAATGGATTTGTAAATCATTATTTATTTTTGAGTCTTAGAAATATTCTTGCATTTGAAGATGAAGTATTTAATTATAATTGAATTTATATATTATGATATCTATTTCAACTAGAAAGTAGAAAAACTAAAATGTTTAAGATAGAATCTGATATGTTCTATCTTCCATTCAAGTGGCATATCTAAATTAGCATTTTATTATTTGGCTATAATATGTATCTTACCAAATAATTTGAGTTTTCACATTATATAATGGATCCATATTTAATTTCATCAATCCCAGCGAAAAACTCCTTTTTTTTATGGCTATTTAATTCTATCACTAAAATGTTCTTTCTGAACACATTGCTTACATAGTTGAAATTGTATTCAAATTCTTGGCTTCTGATTACACAATTTTTTGCAACTTGCCAATATGACTGATACTCTTTTAAAGATAAATTTAAAAATTGAAAGCAACTAAACAACGAAATTGGTAAATAACATATGTAATTAATAGTCTTTGTTGTTTAAAGCTTTATGTTTATAAAAGAAATAGAAAAAGGCAATTAATTAATATTGAATTCAATTACTAAATCTTCAGAAGAATCCTAATATAATTATAGTGATTATCTCTTTAGAGTTCCAGTTGATATTTCATTAACAAATTAAAAATTTAAATCCATTTTATAACCTGAAAGCTTATTGGAATTCAAAAAAAAAAGATGTAATATCATTTTCCTTTCATTCAATTTATCTAGTTTACATCCAATTTCTAATTATTTACATGCAAAAAGTATTGATTAATTAGATAAAATTGATTATCTTAAATTTTCAATATTTTAATTGTCTAAATTTAAGTTTTTCCATTCAGAATAAGAGGAAGAGACCTGACCTTTCTAACTATTTTTCAAACGGTCTCTATAATATTCAAATGGATTTGTGAAGGGAAAAATAATCCTTTTCTGGCTTTCTGTCAAAATAGGCTCATCACAGATACTTTATTTGAGAATCGAATTCTATGGATAAAATTGTTAAGCAGTTTTTGAGTATTAACCTACGGATTCACTTCTCTTCTTAGTTTCCAACTCTTATTATTTAATCTGTTTTAATTCATAAATTTCTTTGTTTTATAATGCAATTTATTTTGATTTTAATTGCATTTCTTTCTAAATTTGTTCATGCTATTCATTCAGATTATCATATTGTTTTTATAATTAATTGTGCTTGTAGTCAAGAGTTTAGTAATCCAATTAAAGTTTTTAAAAATCTTATAATTATTTCAACAATTAATTATTACTATCAACTTTATCAGTCTTAGCATAAACTATTTATTTTAAGCTAGAAATCTCGTTAATTTTGTCTTATAATTCTTAGGAATATTGTTGTTATTTAATTTCATATTTTTCAATAATCTAATTCACTTATTATTTTAATTTTAGATTTTCTTCCTTTAAAAGTTCCAACTCTATTTTGTCATTTACATTATAATTTTCTCGTTTCTATGATGAGCTTCTATACTATTATTAAGAGTGCTCTAGTCTTCTTTATGAGACCTAGCTTAAACTTAATGAGGGTTAAGAAATTCTTGAACTGTTATTTGCTTAGTCCTATTTGAAGTTTTAGATTTGCTTTTACTTAATATAAGTATCCTAAATTTAATTAATTTAGCCTTCTAATTTGACTTAACCATCAATTTATTTTAAATTTAGATTTTTTTTTTCATTCAGGTGTGATTATCTTTAAGAAAAACTATAAATTTAATCAAATCCTTCAATTTTTAATCCTTACTTCAATTGACTAACTTATTCATCAAAATTATTTTTTTTTGTATTTGAATAATAATATTATTACTATTATTGCAATAATAATTATTATTATTACTATTATTATTATTGTTGTTGTTGTTGTTGTTACTATTATTATTATTATTGTTATTATTGCTATTATTATTACTACTATTATTACTACTATTATTATTATTATTGCTACTATTATTATTACTATTATTGTTATTATTATTACTACTATTGTTATTATTATTATTACTACTATTACTATTATTATTACTACTGTTATTATTACTATTACTACTACTATTGTTATTATTCAATTAGTATTTCTTTCTCATTTTTCTTTATTTGTTCTTTTTATTCTTCCTTATTATTAACACTTTTTTTTTAATTATTCAATTCTTTTTCTTCTTAATTTTATTATTAATCTCTTTGATTAGTTTACAACTAATTATTAATTGTACTCTAGAGTAATGTTGAATTTTAATTTTATTGGTTTGCTTACACGTTATTTAATACTTAATTAACTATTGCTTTTGGAGACTATTATTCTACGCTTTTAGTAAGGGGCTATGATGTTTATTTTGTTTATTTAGTGCTGGTATAGTCAGTTTATTTATTTATTTTGGTTTAAACTTCATTCTAATTAATATCATCGTTGACTTCTACGGATAAAGATTTATATATCTGTTTTTTATTATCTTATTGTAATTTATCTTTTGAATATAATTCTGATTGAAGGGCTTAAGCACCTGGTTTAACATTTTCAGTCTAATTTAATACTAGAGACTAATATTTCATTTATATCTAATATTCTGAATTATTATTACTTTATTGTCCTCCTATAGAATATCTGATTCTTTTTGTTTTGATTTTTCCACTTGATCGGCATCCTAAACAGTTTCTTCTCGGATAACAGATAGAGTTTGATCTGGTTTTGTGATTACAGGTTATTTAATAGATTAGACTTATTATTGATTCGGCTGCTATTTTTAATATGTAGAAATGATTGTTTATGTGGGTTCAGGAGTTAAAGCTGATTAAGTGAATCTACTGAATTTTTAATTAAGTTTATTCCAATCAAGTTTTTTTATAAGGTAATCTTCATAATCTTGTTTGATCTCACGTATCATTTCCTATTTAGAAATTAAATCATTAATTAAATTCTCCTCACCAGAATCAATAATCTGGATTAAAATCTATTCTACTTATCCATTGTATTGGTCTAAATTATTTTTGAATATTTGATTTAGGTTATTGATAGTCTCATTCGTTTCTTAATCTTATACTATTTTAACTAGATTTTCAATTTAAAAGTTAATTTGTTATAACAATTATTGTCCATCTTAAAAGGTTTTTTAATTAGGTATTGATTGTTTTAATGGCTATTCTTTAGATGAGTGAGAGGATAGAATAAATGATTAATTCAAAGAAGATGGATTGTCATTGTATTCTTTGAAGTAAGTGTATTTTACTGGAAATGCAACACCTTATGTAATTAAATCATCATAGACAACTCTGAAATTGCTCTAAGGATACCAAAATGCCCAAACTTTGATGCAATCTAGACATAATTTCATTAAGCTATTTCCAATTGATGCTATTTCCTTGGCTTGCTTATTAATAAATATGTACATGGATTGTCAGAGAATAAAAATTTACCTCTGATATCGCTTTGATCATACTTTCTGAATATTGCAATTTATTTCATTTTCGAAAGAATTTTATCATTGACTTGTTTGTTAAATGGATCTGATTTTAAATCCATCATTTCTTTACATAGCTAGAATTAGAGGATAATGTTTTACTCTCAAAGCTAATAATTTGCTCATTGGAGTGCCTTCAGTCATTGTTGCACATATTGCCTCACAAATAATTGGTGCTATTTGACTTAAATAAAAATACAAAATACCTTTGTTATTCACGGAATGCATCTTTGTATTTTTTAACTTTTGCATAAGCTTCTGAAGATTAAAAACATTGCTGAATTTCATTAATCATACTTTAATGGTCCATTTAAATTAAATAAATATTTATATTTCAGTTGAAAACATATATTTTTCAATTATAAAAAGTATTCTCATTAAGATTATTTGATTAATCCAAAGAAGATTAGATCAAATAAATATTAAGATAGATTTAAGAATAAATTCTTCATCATTTTTCAGTTATATATATATAATTTCGTTTGTTTAATTTAAAAGGAAGGTGCGAGGGTTTCCCCTCACTAGCAGAAATTGAGCGATAAAGCCTTTCCAAACGGAAAGTTTTGGAGCCTCACTGACGCCGGTTGTGCGATGGCCAGCTTAACCCCACACTGCTAATCTGCATGATCATCAGCAGTGCTCGCCAGGTAAGTGAATTGAATAAATCCGAAAATTTACTTATATATTTATAATAAAAATGTTATTTTATGGGTTTGATATATTTAATATTATTAAGATGAATAATAGATTTTAGAGTATTAGATAACCAATCACTATGTTTACGAACAATTTCAGATGTTTTAATCAAAAATTTAGACCCATATTTATGGTTGAGATAAATGACCAAGGTTAATGGCAATTATTTTGAGAATTTATTATTAAGTTGGACAACCAATTTAAATAAATGATAAATTTGAGTTAACTTTATGGTTGACGATTGCATCATTATTTATAGATATTAAGGGAATGTGAAATTTTATATGATTACAAAAATAAAAGATAATTAAAACTTAGGAAGTTAATTGATGATAATTTAATAAGATAGTATCGAAATCATTAATTGATGTTAATTTAAGACTATCTGATTTTATTGACATGATGAAAAAATAATAATTAATATATTTTTTTAATTACAATGAAATCAATATCATAATAGACAAGATCTCTGATTTAGAAATAATAGGAGTTAGGGTTGATTGATTCTAGGATTTCTTAATTAAAATAATAATTACAATTATAAGAATCTAACAATCACATCATTGAATTTAAGGTTAATAAAATTTTGGAAACTAAATAGAACACATTTAAGGATTAGTCTGATGTATTATCTGTATTTTATTTACCTAGCATAGTAGAAGAATTGAAAATCTGAACTAAGAATAAGAAAACAGGAACAGTAAAATTAAGTTATTGAAACAATTACAAGAAGAAGATTCAATAAGAAGAAAAAGAGACTTAGATGAGGAAAAACGACTTGAATAAGAAATAATGAAAGAACGATAAATGCTATATCAATTACAATATAAACATAGTTAAAATGAAGAGCTCTAACTTAAATAGTAGCAGTTCTAAAAGGTAAATTTAAGCCTTACATAGTCTTGTAGATATAAGAAGAGAAATTTAGAATGAAATAAAAATTAGATATGCAAAGAATTGAAAAAATTGAAAATGTTAGAAATTCTTAAATAAAAAAGAAAGCAGAACTTTCAGCTAAATTTGATTTATAGTAGTAAGAGTATTAATTAAAAATTGAAGAAGAATAATAGTTATTAAAGTATGTAGTCATTTGAATATAGAAAATTGTCATTCTCTTAATTTAGATTCTAAGCACTTAAAGATGATCTTGATTTAGCTCAGAAGATATCCATAAGAGACTATACTAATTCTGCAACAAATCAGGCTTTTATCAAACAGCCTTTAGATTAATCCAAGATCAAAAAAGCCATTTTCACAAGTCCTTATGCATAAATCCCCTCCATACTAAATCAAAAGTATTAATGTATGATTTACCTAGAAGTGTGGATAAATTGAATCTGCTCTAAAAATTATTGAAGCCTTCTTTCAAAGATCAATAATAAACAACTGAAAGGTTAAACAAGAAAAATAATTAAACTCATTTCAATACTTAACTTTCTGATAGAACTTATACCAAAGAGAATTCATCTAAATTTGATACAGAAGCTAGTAAAACCAAAAAAAATAAATTTTAACCTATTAAAAAACAAAATACTAATTTGGATACTCCAAGGAAAAGTTCACTTAAATTGAATACAAATTAGAATCAATAATAAAACTAGTAATCTGGCAGCATCTCTAACCCTTAAGATCAATAGCAGATGGAAGAATCTTATAAAGAAAATGAATAGCAAGATGATTATGAATAAGAGAACTATAATAATTCAAAGGATTATGATGAGTATGAAGATGATAATAAAACTCCTTTGTAAGATTAAGATAAATAACAAGATGAAAATTAAGAATAAAACAAATAAAATGAAGAGGAATTCTAAGATGAAGAACAATATCCAGATGATAATGATGAAGAATAGTGATTGTAATTATTTATGTTTTAAAACATGTACTGATTAAAGTACTGAATTGACTTTAATGGATATATACTTACCAATTTTTCCCTTAATTCATATAAATTAATTAAAAACTTAAATAAAATGGGGTGTTCATTATAAAAACCAAAAAAATTCGAAACAATCAGCAAGCGTTATTCGACAAATGCAAATATTTGTATCTTCTTTTTTGATTTTATATAGTATCCCCTGACCAAAAATAGAGTTTGGAAGTTTATAATCCAACACTTGGAAAGCTTGTCTAAGTTCCAATTCTTGTACCTGCTTCAAAAAGCAATATCATGAAACGAAGAAGTAATTAACTGACCCCTGGATTATGATACCTCAAGATATTTTGATAAATATATATTTTGTATTAGATGTTTATTGAACTCATTCTTAAGAATTTTTATCAATTCTTTTCATATTTATGACTACGTTCTATTGATTAAATAAAGTAATGTTGTAGTGATTTACAATCACACTATCTTTATAAAAAATATTATAATATCACAAATAATACTTAAAATCCACAGTAACAAACTATTTTTGATAAATATAAAGCTAGAAATCATAAGTTAATTTCATAATTAAAACTAATTATGGATTATTAATCACAAAATTAGTTTTTAAGTTTATTAACATTATAATGCCTCCTCCCTTTCTTGATCTGAAAATGTATTTGTTACTAAAATGATGTGTATATAAAAGAATTATTTTATCAATCATAGTAAAATTTCAAATTTGTATAGACAAGTGTGTGTTCAATTTCTAAATCTTTATAAAATTTGGAAACAATTTTAAGTTATTATATGAACAATATCAAATATTAAAGTTTAAGATGATAAATTCAATTATACTGTTTTATATACAAATATAGTAGCATTTTGACAAATTTATTTTTAAATAATATAATTAGCATCAATAAATTAATTGAAAAATTTTCAATATTATAAGCTGGTTCTAAATATTTTTGATCACAATAAATTAAATCAATAGCTTATCCAATTACGGTAAAGTAAATCTTTTGTTAAATGTAAGAATAATTTGATAAATTTTAATCTTCATTAAGATATTTTTGGAATTTTTTTCATTGTCTTAAAATCGAAAATTTAAAATCCAATAGTTAATTTCTTTTTTCAGAATAAATTCAGAAATACAAATCTATTTAATATCTATAGAATTAGAATTTCTTATTTTTATTATTATAATAATATAAAAGGATAAGAAAATTGATTAGAGTTTAGTTTTAATTTATGAGAATTTCTTAGTTATTTAGTATGAATTTAATATAATTTTAATAAATAATCAATATTAAGTTTAAAGATGGGTAAAATAATTTTAGAGTATTTTGATGGAAATCGAATTTATGTCTGCTCAAAATGCCATATACATATTTCAAATTACAAGAGTAGAATATCGAAGGTAAGAATAAGAAGATGATTTTAGAATTTTAGGGGCGGATTTGGACAAGCATTTTTGTTTGAGAAAGGGTACTTAATTAAAAATAATAAGTATCAATTATCATGTTGGGCAATCTGAAGTTAAGGATTTGATGACTGGAAAGCACACAGTATAAGATGTGATTTGTAATGGTTGTAATAAAGTGATTGGATGGAAATATGTATTAAGGATTGTGTTGATTCTTCAATTAGATTAAAGCATATCGAGAGTCGGAGAAATACAAAGAGGGGAAGATAATAATAGAAAGACGTTTCATAAGAAGAATAAAATGGAACTGATATTATAATGTATATTATTATTGCATGCAGAAATACCTTAAGTATATGCGAATTGGTGATAAATAAAATCATGATAAACAGTTGAATAATTTATATATATTAAAAATTACGTTAAAGGGGATGTTTCAGAAAATGTTAAATCAGCAAATGAAGAAATAAGTAGGGTCAGTTAATCAATAAAAGTAGGAAGATGTGAATCGAAGAGTTGTAACAGAGATTGAGGAGATGGATCACGAGATGAAAACCTTGCAAGACATCTCAAATCTAAAAGCTCATTTGAAGATGAATCAGATTGTGAAATAACCCTTCAGGAAAAATAAAGACGAGCCTATTACATCCTTTTAAGTTGCAAAATTTGAGAATCAACTAAAATAAATACAACAATAGACTATCAAATAGTAGATACGCAAACCACTCTCGATTGAAAAGAACAGCGCTAAATCAGTGTTGATGCCAACATCCACTGAGAGACATGATTATTCCAATTTCACATATACAAATCTGAAAGTTGTTGGAAGCGGATCCTTTGGTGTTGTACACAAAGTAAATAATTAATAAATAAAAGGCGAAAGTAAATGAGACAGGGGAAATTGTGGCAATAAAAAAGGTGTTATAGGATCGAAGATATAAAAATAGGGAGTTGCAGATATTGTAAGAATTAGATCATGTCAATGTTCTCAAGATGAAACATGCATTCTACACTCCTGCTGAAAATAAAGATGAAAGCTACCTTAATGTAGTAATGGAGTACTTTTCTGATACTCTTTACTCCTTCAACAAATCATTTATCAAGGATTTAAAAAAGATGCCAGATATTCTAGTCAAGTTATTTAGTTACTAATTGTTAAGATCGACTGCGTACATCCATTTATATTCTTAGATATATTTCATTATTGGGAATATGTCATCGAGATATCAAACCACATAATGTTTTAGTTAACCCAGAATCAAATAAATTATAGTTATGCGATTTTGGAAGTGCAAAAAAGTTAATGAAAGGAGAACCTAATATAGCTTATATTTGTTCTCGATGCTATAGAGCTCCTGAATTGATTTTCGGAGCAACAGATTACGACACTTAGATTGATGTTTGGTCTGTAGGTTGTGTTATAGCAGAATTAATTAATGGAGAACCACTATTTTTGGGAGACTCAGCTGTTGATTAAATGGTTGAGATTGTAAAGGTACTTGGAACTCCCACAAAAGAATAAATACTAAGTATGAATAAGGATTATGATGTATAATCTAATTAGTTTGCTAAAATCAAATAAAGAAATTGGAATAAAGTATAGAAATAATTTGTATTCAGGTCCTAAAAACAAAAGATACCAAGGCCATCGATTTAGTTTCAAAATTACTCACTTTTTGTCCAAAAACTAGACTTACACCATTTTAGTCATTAGCTCATCCTTATTTTGATGAACTGAGAGATATTGGTTAGTTAAAAAACCTTTAAAACTAGATGAAGATTTGTATTCCAGAGCTTTTCAACTTCTCTAATGGTACTTATTGTGATAATGCTCTTTAGAAGAGATGTGTAGAATGACGTAATAGGAAATGATTCAATTAATACCTGATTGGTATGGAATTTCATCTAAAATAGTCAAAACAGAATGTTGAATAATAATGAATATATTTATTTAATATGAATGAACCTATTTTTCATTACTATGGCAACAAAGCAGGTGTGGAAGGGGCAGATTAAATTAAATAAGTGATAGATGATGCCACTCGAGGATCTGAATATTACAAAAGATAATAGGAGAAACGATAATAAGTTCTGTAAAAAGTGAATAAGATGTAGATGGAATTGGACAGCTATAAAAAGAATGAACAAAAAATCAAGGAAACCAAAGAGATTATTTAGAATAAAGTGAAAGAATTTTAAATTAACACGGATAGAATTTGGGCGCATTTTGATATGGATATGTTTTATGTAGCTTGTGAACTATTGGACAAGCCAGAACTTAAAGACAAACCTGTTGCTGTAGGTTAAAGTATCGTTTCCACTGCAAATTATGTGGCTAGAAAATTTGGTGTTAGATCTGCTATGCCAGGTTTTGTTGCAAAGAAACTATGTCCTGATATCATCTTTATTCCTTGTCACTTCGAGAAATATAAGAGTGTTTCAAATGTATTGAATTGCATTACACTAGATTTTTATGACGATCCTTAAGAAATATGACGACAATCTAGAATCTATGGGGTTGGATGAGGCTAATTTAGATCTTACAGAATATATAAATAATTCCCAAGAAGATCCAGCAATATTATGTGAAAACATCAGAAAGGATATCCACTTAGCAACTCAACTCACAGCCAGTTGTGGAGTTGGCCCAAACAAAATGATTGCTAAACTTGCCTCTGAAATTAATAAACCCAATGGGTTGCATGTTGTTGAATAATCAGCTACAGCAGTTCTCAATTTCTTAGAAAAATTGCCTATAAGAAAGATTCCTGGAATTGGAAATATCACTGAGTAAATCTTAAGTGGTTTAAACTTTAATACTTGTAAGGATGTCAGAGACAGAGCTGATGAACTCTATGTTATCTTTACACCTAAAACATTTGAATACATTTTTTACTCTTGTTGGGGAGTGGCTAGAAACTATCATGTAGAATTTGAAGATTAACATAGTATAAGTTGTCAGCGAACATTTTCTAGCATAAGCACTTAAAGAGAATTCGAAGATAAAGTTGATTATATTGCTGAAAAACTAGCAGAAGAAATGTAATCAGAAGAAAAAGTAGGAAATCATCTGACTTTGATTATCAAAACATCCAAATTTGAAATACGGAGTAAATCATTGTAACTTAATTAATATACAAATCAAGCCAAATAAATAGCTATATATGGAAAACAATTACTTAAGATAATGTAATTAGATGAACCAATAAGATTACTTGGATTAAAAATGAGTTCACTTGCAAATGAAAAATAAATTTAAAAATAATCCATATCTACCTATTTCAAAAGATAAATTGACAAATCAAGCGGCTAAGAAAATTTAGTGCCATCCATTAAAGGTTCAAAATCTCATCAAATCACTGAGGAAAATGACTCATTCAATAAAATGTCAATTCAACAGCAGGAGCAATCTAAACCTGACATCTTAAGTGATGATGAGGCTAGTAGTATTAGTAATTAAATCTTATCTGGAGTTAATAGTAAAAGTCATTAATCTCAATAACAACAACAATAATATTAATAGAAGTAGTAAGCATAGCCAAAGTCCTTCCGCTGTCCAATTTGTAATAAGGATATTGATTGCAAAGGAAATAACACTGTATTAAATAAGCATATAGACAGATGCATAACTTAATAAAATGTCATAGTAGAATAATCAGATGAGTCAAATAGAAATTTTTCAGGTTCAAAAATCAAAGTTCCTTCAAAAATTGATAGTAAAGCTTAGAAGAGCTTAAACTTCTTTAAGAAATGAAGCATTTTAATCTATTTTTTCTAAAATACATAAATTAATCTTATAATATTAGGAAATTTAATTTTTATCAAATAATTTTTGCGAATGGATTTTTCTATTAGTTCTTCTTTACACATTTTTAAATATGTTCATCAGCTATCTTCGAATCGAATTCTCTCAAACATCCTTTGCAGAATTTTTTTGCATTTAAAACCTAATTATATTTTGATTGAACTTAAGGACTTCTGTAAGGAAGAATCTCTGTTTTTAACTTATTAGTTTTTGGTGGAGAGAATTGAGGTAGCTTTGTTTTATTTTCAACAAAATAATCGAATCCAACTCTTTTTAATTAAGAATTGAATGCACTTCGCTTTTATTAGAAGACATCTTTGCAAACTTTATAATGTTTAAGTAAACTATCCTTATTGAATTTCCTTCCGCAGCCTTAAGGACAGAGTATTAACTCTTCTGCTTATTCTTCAGCTTTCATAAATGCTTATTATTTAAAATTTATAGTAAATGATTATTGAATATAAAATCACTAATCAGTGCTGGTAATTTTATTAAACCGGAGGAGTTCTGGGAATCTTTGGTCTAGAGGCAAAGGCTTATGCTGACTATTGAGGATTCTTTGGATTTCCATTAGAAATTTTGTTGTTAAAATTCACATTTGGAAGTAGACTGTCAGCTATGAATGGTCCTTCTATTGATAATGTTATGTATGTAATTACATCCAACGGGCATTTTTTCCAACTAAGACTCTCTTAATTATTCTTAATATGCACTTCTCTACTATAGTTCTTTTTGCATGATTGATTCCATCAACTATCTTTGTTACTCTGCTTACTCACTGTCTAAAGCAAATTCATTCTTTAACAATTCTTCCCCAACTATCATATCATTGTTCTCTAGATCGTCTTCATCTTCATCATCAACTGGACATTCCTCATCATCTTCTAAATCATCCACATCATTATCTTCCTCCAATTAAGATTGATCATAGTCATCATCATCATTTTCTAACTATTCTATCATATATTGAATTTATTTCTTGAATCTTTCATCACTGATGGACAGTAGTTTAGGTAGTTCTTGAGGTATATTTAATTAATAAGCATATTCTCTTAGATCTCTTCTACTAAACATGGAATAGAATGTCCCATTGGTGAATGTTCTGATCTAATCATTAGGATATTCAATTAGTTCGAATAGAACTTCAAATGCTAATTCTTTGTGAATAGATAGAGCATCTCGACCTCTTGAACTCAATGATAAATTCATTATCAAAGCTGTGATATATTCATAGGTGTATTCGCTTAAATTAAATTTCTCCTACACTTTAATAATGAATTATTACTCTCTTTAGAATGTTTAAGGCAACCTAGATAATGTCATTGTCAAGCATCCAAATTTGGCTTTGTCTTCTCAAAGACAATTTTTATAAAGTGCCAATTGCATTCTTTCTTTTGATTGAATCAGTTTAGTCTTTCTTAATCAATTCAATCAACAGTTTTATTAATTATGAATTACCTGTCAAATATGTTCTACCATCATAATCAGAGGCCAATGCATTCATCAATTTCAAAGTCTAGCATTAAATTACTTAAGGAGATTTCATCATCAAATATTAAGCCAAAGCAATGTTTCTTTAATGAGTCCCAATTAGATCATGTGTTTAATATGCAACCACTACTGATCTTCTTTCCAATGCACTCCTGGCCCTTGTGATTCTCCATCTCAAAGCCTATAGAACTGTTGCAACAAGAACTGGATTATTATTCTTTGTAAATAACTATATGATCTTCTCATAATTCAATGGGATGTATTCTTCAATTGATTACTGGATTGGCATCATTTCTATAATTTAAATTATAAAATACATTATTAATTAGTGAGATCTGATAGATCATGGTCAGGTTAAGTGATTCTATCAAACAAGGAGATATCCTATGATTTATTTATTAGTTCATCTAAGTTCTGACTTAAGAATCTATCACATTAACCAATTTTCTTTTTAAATTGTTATAATTAATCTGGATTCTTCTTGCTATTTTCTATATATTTGATCATGTCCTTTTCCATCTTCAACATCTCCCCTGTAAATTAAAACCATTTTTTCTAGGCTTCTAATAGATTTTATTATGCAGTTTAATTAATATCCTATAGAGCTTAAGCTTGCTAAATATTTTTTCTCTTCAATTCATTATTCTCCAATTGCAGCTGCCTAATGTTGTCTGCAATCTTTTTTTAGAATTCTTACTACTAGATATTTTATGATCCTTCCTTTGACAAAAATAATCTTTTTAAAATGCTCCCATTTTGATCTTAGCCATAAATGGATTGGATGAATTCTTTCAATCTGAATCTCAACTCAGCAATCCATTCGTGAGTAAATAGATGCTGAAAACTTGGATGTATTTCAGGATTTTTGACATAAGGTAAGGCATAAAAAGGTAACGCTTCATTTGTCTTTGATAAATCACCCCCTTTACTATCGAGATATTGCTTAAATTGATTAATCGAGTTTTTATCCATCACACCCTTCTTCTTAAAGACAGGGTGAATCGGGTATATAAGGAAAAAAATTTAAACAAAAAATTCTAGCTTCCAAGATTCATGATCTTGTCTCTATTGAATTGGGATGTATCGACTCCATGATTCCAGAAACTTCTCTCTTTCACCTCTATCAAAGTGACCCAAAATTATATTTTCTGTTTCATTACTTTATTCTGTTGCAAATTAAGATTCTATTCTAAATTACTCTAATGTTTTTAAGCAATTGCTTCTCATAAGATAATCTTAAACTATATTATTTAATTGATCTGTCAATGTTCCATTCGAATCAACTAATTTATCAACCTAAATTAATAAAATACTATACCTACTATATTGCAGATTAAACTCGTTTTTGTAGTGCATCGTTTTTACGATTAAGCCCAGAATCTACTTTTGCTCTAACCTCTTTCTAAGACTAAAGTTTCCTATTGTTATTATTCATCATAACGATATTATTAAAAATTTTATGAAAAATATTTATTTCTTTGACTTTAGTTTATCTGGAAATAGATAATCAAAAATGAAATTCAATCATGATAATATAATAAATGAACTCCCATCTTCATAATTAAAAATGCACAACTCACTTATAAAACTATTTAAATAATTTATCAAGTGCTCTACTCGATTAAGTATTGGGCCAAATATAATTAATGAGAAGGAGACTGACTAAGGCAATAGAATGTTCCTGGATCTAAATGCAGATAATCTTTTATTTTCCGTTATTATATAATTTGAGAAATTGAGATAGTTATTAATAAGAGACTTTATGGGGGAGAGACAATTATAAAAACTTTAATTTTTGGGCATAATTAATTCGAATCTAAAACCTTATCTTAAATAATTTAAAAGAATTTAGAGAATTAAATTATTCAGAAAATAACTTACGTGGTTGTATCCAGAACTTCTAAGTTGAAACACAAAAGGAACCTTCAGTTATCTATAATAATTCTAATATTTTAGTGAACAATCATGTGAACCACATATAAATCAAAATTAATTCTTAATTTTTTGTAAATATTACAATAAATCTACATAATTTTTAATAGTGGAGATAAATTATATCTCGATCAGTAACATAGAGCTAAAAAGATTATTAAAAAAAAGGATTTATTAATATATTTAGATCCACCCTCCAAATTAATTAATATAAAAAAACTGAATATTTTGAAGTAACTCATTTAAAGAAAATAATTTGAATTTTTGTAATAGCATAGAATTACTTTGTTGTTTCCAATTAATTTAGAGGACAGAGTCAAAGTGAATAATGTAAAGTTTTCCAAAGCAATCAGTATTTGTATGCATTAATTTTTTTGTTTTAATATAATCTTGTCCATAGAAATGTAAATCATTTCTCCTAATTCTTTAGGGCCTCTAAGACGTCTGATCGACAATTTGGACATTTCGTACTACTTTGAAGCCAAGAATCAACACAAGATTTATGATATATATGTTTGCAAGGCAGCTATATAATTAGCTCATCTATTTAAATACAAAGTTTATACCTTTTTAGAATTAATTACAGCATATACTGCATTGTCTGTTTGATTTGCCCATTTTCATCATCTTTAATTTTTGTAAATATTTCTTCGGAACTCCATTCGACTTTTAAAACATCTTATCAACACTATTCTGCCACAATTAGAGTTGAAGCGACTACATTTACTATATTTTGTATTATATACCTATATTTCTTATCTATATTAATTAGCAACTAAAAATTAAAAGCTTTATTACCTTCTTCCCATATTCTTTGTGAAACTCCATCAATTTCATATTATTATTATTATTATTACTCTAAAATTAATAGATTGAATACCACTCCTCTCTTCAACTATTTAAATCATTCTCAAATTCTTTGTTCTTTTAATTTATTAGTTTTTTTTCTGTTGTTATATTTATTAATCAATAATAAAATGAAGATAATTTAGTTTATAATTAAATATGTCAAACAACCCTTTGCCAGTATTCATTACCAGCACATATTGTTATGTTTTCCATTATTTAAATAGAAGAACTTTTAAAAAAATCACCTATCCAGTTGATTTAAAGAAAGAAATTCTTGAACATTAATTTTTAAATCTATATTCTTAAAGAATAATTAAATGATGTAATATAAATTTAAATAAAATAATGGCAATTATATTTTGAATTGTATTATCTAACTTAAACAATAATAAAATTCATCTTTAATTACAGCAATAACTTATCTTTCAAAAGAAAAACAAGTTAACAGGTAACAAATCTAAAAAAAAGAGATATTAAAGACATTATTAATTAGTATACACATAATTAATTCTACAATATATATCAATAATTAATACGACATTCAAATTTATATCATCTTTTAAATATCACAAGAAATAAATTAAATAAATTAGATATAGTAGGATTTGAAAACTTGGGTATTGTACAAATTTTAGGATCATATATTAAATTTTAATTACTATGTTGATAAGATCATATATCGTTAGTACACTTGTTGAATTTCAACTAATTAGAGAACAAAAAACACAAAATGAAGGATGATCAACCAAGATTAATTTGCTTTCTCTATATTAGGTTCTTATAAACATATGAGATTTGCCGATACTAAGTCTTAGAGGAATTCAAATTGCCTGGATTAGTCTGTATTATACTAGTTTGGGAATTATTAAATTCATTGTTATATAGGGGACAATTTAAATCTTTTATTTAAAATAAAAAGGACATCATCTTAAGTAACAAAATAAAATTATTTTATTAGAAAAATTATGGATCAACAAACACAAGATTTACAAGAAAATTGGATAGAGGTAATCAAATGAAGTATTTTTTAAGCAAGTCGAAACATTTGAAGATTTAACATTGAGCAAAGATTTACTAAGAGGCATCTTTTCATATGGTTTTGAAAGACCATCAGCCATCTAACAAAAAGCCATCAAACCAATCATTCTAGGAAAGGATGTCTTGGCACAAGCATAATCAGGTATGTTTATTATCATTAAAATTTTACATAGGAACTGGTAAAACTGGTACATTCACTATTGGTGCTTTACAAAGAATCGACCCAAACCAAAGAAAGACTTAAGTCATCATTTTAGCTCCAGTTAGAGAATTGGCAAAACAAATTTATGATGTGGTTAAGGGAATAGGCCAATACTTAAACATAGAAGCTTTCTGTTGCATAGGTGGTACCTCAACCCAGGAAACCAGAGAAAAATGCAAATAAGGAGTGCACATCATCATTGCTACTCCAGGCAGATTGATTGATATGATGAAAAACAAATATTTGGATGCCACATTTATGAAGTTGCTTGTTGTAGATGAAGCTGATTAAATGTTAGACTAAGGTTTTAGTGATAACTTCGCAGAAATCCTAAAAATGGTTCCAGGAGATATTTAAATTGGTATTTCTGACATTTAAGTTTTTGTTAGCATTATTTAGTGCTACTTTCCCATAAGAAATTATTGAATTGAGTAAATAGTTCTTGAGAGAAGGAACAGCTAAGATTTTGGTTAAGAAAGAATAATTGACATTGGAGGGTATTAGATAATTCTACATTGCAATCCAACAAGAAGATCAAAAATTCAGAGTCTTGGTTGAATTGTATAAGAATCTTACAGTTTCTTAATCAATCTTATTCTGCAACTCCAAAAAAACCGTTGATGATTTGTATGATAAATTGACAGCTGAAGGTTTCACTGTCAGTAAAATCCACAGTCAGATGGAACAAAAAGAGAGAGAATAAGTAAATAATTTGTAGCTATAGTAGGTTATGTAAGAATTCAAAAAAGGAGCTGCCAGAATCCTTGTTTCAACAGATCTTATGGGTAGAGGAATTGATGTTTAATAATTGTCATTAGTCATCAATTATGAATTCCCAAGATTAAAGGAATAATACATCCATAGGTAATACTATGTTAATATATTATTTTAGAGTTGGAAGAGCTGGTAGATATGGTAGAAAGGGAGTTGCCATTAATATGGTAGCACAACAAGAAGCAAATCTCTTGCTAGAAGTTGAAAAATATTACAACACTAAAATTGATGAAATGCCCAAAGATTTAGCTGAAGTAGAAAAAGAATTAAGTTGAAATATGGGTATTTGTTATAAAAGAGTATAAATGTCAATTTAAATTATTATGTGTGTCTTGGTGCGATCTTTCCTTTTCCTGCTATATATAATTCATAATTTTGGTTATTAAAATATTTTAAATAGTAGTTAAATGATAATGTTATATGAATCTAAGTTTTATTATAATATGGATTATGCTCATTAAAACAAATATGATGTGTTACAATAATAAAGATTTAATTTATAAGATGTTACATCGACTAGTTTAACTAATCGTTCAAGCTAAAGAACAGCAGGAGAAATAAGTTTCTTCAAAAGTTAGGTTTCTGTCAGAAATAGACGTTGGCTAGAGTTCTTAAAATACATAAGCAATTACGTCAGAACAGAATTCAGAGGACAATGATGGTTACCTAGTAATAGTCCTTTTAATTTGTCTCTTTCTTCTTATATGTGTATGTGGCACGATCGTCGAGGTTAGCCGAAGAAATAAAGTTAAAAAAGAAATTAAATAGAAATTATTGCAAGAAACACGTTTATCACTTCAATCCAACCTCATTACACTCAATAGTATGTAAGATTAGTTGCAATTTTCTTTTTGGAAGTTAACCAGCTTCAATTTTAAGAATTTCTCTACTCAAAAAATACTGAGATTCTAGTCATTTCTCACTTCTCATAATAAACTAGAACTTTCAATCAAAATTGAATAAGATTACAACCCTTGGTTAGCTGAAGGACATATATCAACTAACTCAGAACAAGAAATTTAAATTCACTTGAGAACAAGCCTCGATTGTGAGATATTGGAAAAAAGTGATAGAAGTGACCATTTGTATTTACTACAATAGTTTAAGGGCAAATACAACAAGGAGGAATATAAATTCGTTGGTTCATGGAGCGTCTATGGTAGTTAAGAACTTAATAATTTGAATTTTTCTGGAGAATTCGAATTATCAAAAATACTTACTTGATAAAAATCACTAATTTATTAAATTTCTTTCATTATTTTTAACAACATCATTTTGATATATAATTGTATCTATTCCATATATAATTAACTTTAACTGAATTTTCTTATTTTTTCCGTTCTCTCAATTAAGATTAGGATCTTAGTTACATAATTCCTAAATTGATTTGAGATAATGTTCAAAAGATAGAATTTAAAATGTATTTTGAAATAGTTATTGAAATATGGAATAATGAACAAAAATAGAAAATATATTATTCAAATACTAAATATTGACTACAATATTGTATAGATTATTCAATATTCAAATAATCGAATCAAAAGGAGTGTTTATTTTTCTTTTAGAATTCATCAGTGACACATTGCAATTCCAATTCTTTAGATCATTTATTTAGAAATCTAATTAAAATATAGCTCCATTTCTAGCATAGATGAATGGATATTCAGCATTAGTTTAATGAGAATTATTTCTTTAATAGAGATATTTCAGAGTTTCTGCTATGAACCCAGCATGACTCAAAACTAATATATTAATCATCCCTGATCCCTTAGAATATGAGCTGAACTATTAAATAGAGGGATTATATAAATTACTCGTATCAAATTAAGATGCAAGTGAATCTCTATATGAGAACTAATGTTATATAATTAATTACAAATTTATAAGATTTTTTGTATATTTAATCTCTAATCAGTTGGTCGAGAAAGGTTTCCACTCTTTCTTAGATTTCTCCATTTAGACTTGAGGATTATTTAGGTTTCGCTAAGGCATAGACTTCCTAATAAGACTTTAACATTTCATTGCCCTAATCAACTTCCCTTAATAATGTTGTATATGTGATGACTCTTGGTTTTAATTTCAACTGGCTTTCAATATGAGAATAAGATTCTATACATCTTTAAGCTATTAACTATTATACCTCTTATAATCACTAGTGTAGACTTAATCAAACTTTACAGAGTGTAAAAGATTGCCAACCCTCTTTGATTACACTACACCTAATCCACTCAAACCAAATTCATTCTTGCCTGATACTATTTTTAGACTCTGATACATTGATTGTCCATGTCTTATAAGATAAACCCTTAACAACTACATATCCAAATATTTTTATTTATTATTTTGTACTTTTTATGTTTATGTATATAAAAATGAATAGTAAGTACAATCAATTACAGTATTAAGAGTGTATTTTGGGTCTTCTTATCTGTAGGTAGTAATTATCTGAAGTTTTGATACAGAATTTAGTTTAGGTTTTTTGTTTTTCATTCTTCTCTGAAAAATCTCTCTTGGGAGTTGATGATCCATAATATTAATTCTGTTGACTCATACTCAAGGATTTGTCCTTTTAATACTACCTTATTCGAATAGTTTTTATGGTTCTATTTGTTTAAGAAGTGAATGGATTATTATGTTTATAGGCATTTTTATTACTATTTTCTTCTTCGATGTATGAATTACTAAGCCTTTCATTCTCAAAGTCGTTGTAACCATTGTTCTAGACTTGATTACTATTATCGAATTGAATCTCAATATATTTATTGTTATTTCGACAACTTTTATTGAAGCAATGAGTGTTATCGATTATTTTCATATGATTATTGAATGATGACTATGTTTTTTTAGGTGAATTTGATTTAATTTCACTCACTAATTTTCCTTATTCCCAATTTCCCTTTAATACCATGCCATCAACATAATGCATTTCTCCATATCCATGTTTGTAATCATTGATGAAGGCACCCCGATACTCATTCCCATTAGACCATTTATATATTCCATATCCATTTTTCTTATCTTCATCATATTCCCCTTGATATTGATCCGTTGGGGAATCTACTCTTCGTTTCCAAATTCCTTTCCCATACCTCAATCCATCTTTAAAATAACCTTAAAATACCGCCCCATTACTCCAATAGTATTCTCCGTATCCATGCGGTTTACCATTTAGATAGTTCCCTGAATACAAGTCTCCATTGCTAAAGTATTCTTAACCTTCTCCGTTTTTGAGCCAGCTTTTGAAATGTCCCACATAGCGATCCCCATTGCTTTGAATATATTCTCCATATCCAAAAGCTACGTTATTGCTCCATTCCCCTTAATATTGTTCTCCCTTCAATCCATGCCATGTGCCTTTTGAAAGAATTATTGAACTTTAGTACCTTAACCCTCCTTAACCCCTTGGTTCCATTGCCCTTCATACACATCTCCATTGGCCCAGATGAATTTGCCTTACCCGTGAGGTTTTCCGGTTACATAATTGCCCTCATATTGAGATCCATTGGCCAAGAATTCCCATCCATACCCTTGCTTCAGATCATTTTGCCATTAACCCTCATATTTGCGTCCGTTTTATTATAAAAGTATACCTATTTAATAGAGATCTTGAATTAACCTTTTCCATGCCTTTGATTGTTTTCAAATTACCCATAATAAATATAATGGTTGGTGATTGCTAATTTGGCATTAACCTTTTGGAGATCAAGGAAATGGAAATCTTGAGAATGAGGTTCATAAACCTTAATTTACTCCCAAACTGTTTAATAATTCATAATAATCAATATTAGTTAATATAATCATTCTACAAGTATTATTGATTCAGCAATATCACAATCTAAAATAAACGACCCCAAATTTTTAAAAAACTATTTTTCTCAACTTTAAGGCGTTGACAAAAACATAATTTGGTAACAGGTCACGAATGAGCGAAAGTTTTTCTTATGATTGTAAGTCTATTAGACAATTAAAAGCGAGTATATATTACAAATATTTAATTTTGTAAATTACACACTTGTAGAGTAAAAATTATGAGTGTTACAGAATCGAATTATTCAAAAATCAGATTTTAATTCATATTTCTAATTAGAAACACTTAGTATGATTTAAAAATTTATGATTTATTACTATCAAAAGTCGAGAGATTTCGAATAAATTTAGATTAATTTATTCATATGTACACAATATGCACTGAGAGCAGAACCGCAAACTCAGAATCTGTAGATCTAAGTGAGAAACTCACAAAGAGTTAAGAAATAATATTGAAGAAGGAAAATTTAACGAATGCGATGGTACTTGAGGACGGTTTGGTTTATATTGGTGAGATGGAAAATGATGAGCCACAAGGGTTTGGAATTCTGATCTATCCAAATGGATCTGTTTTGGAAGGGTAATATATTGAGGTTAATATTTAAGTAATTGGATTAAAGGAAAAGCAAATGGGATGTGTAAGCTATAGTATAGTCAGGATGAATAGTAATTGCATAAGTTATTCTGTTTAGTTACTCTGGAAATATTCTTAATAATAGATTTCAGGGATATGGTGAATATGTTAACCATAACTCTTCAGTTTATAAGGGATAATGGGAAAATAACGAAAAGCACGGTTACGGAGAGGAATATTTCAAGAATGGGTCCATTTATTGTGGGAATTTCAATAGAGGAATGAGAGAAGGAGAGGGAGTATACTTGTCAAGTAATGGATCGAAGTATGACCTTTTTTAATAAAATTTAGATATGAAGGATAATTCAAATATAATAAGATGGAAGGAGACGGGAAAATGTTTTGGGGAGACGGTAGTACATACAAGGGTTAATTCCAAAATAATGATATAAATGGATATGGAGTGTACACTTACCCAGATGGAAGTTATTATGAGGGATATGTAATTGTCTAACTAAAAATGTAGTTTAGGAATGGGAAAAGAAATGGTATTGGCACATTGATCAGATATGATGGATACCAAGTCTATGGAGAATGGGAGGACGATAAATTTTATAAAAATTGATTATATTATTATTATATATACTAAACAATGGGGTAAATATTTCAGAAACATGCAACTTAATTTGATCCATCCCTCATAGTTAAATTAAAAAGCATAACAATGAGAGAACTTTTTGATTGTGTTGATACAATAGACAAATATTACCCTTAGAATTGTTATTTGAATTTAGAGTAATTCGATGATATTTTCGCAACATTAAGTGATAATTGCATCGATCTCTTTCATAGATTGGCTGATTAGACTGGAGAGGATGGCAAATTATCAGTGCATACATTTGAAGCATTGGCTGCATTTGCAATATTCAGTGGAGAGAGTTTCGAAACGAAGTGTATGTTTGTTTTTAGATTATTTGATTTTGATTTGTCTAACACTTTAGAAGAGTAAGAAATGGTAAGTACATTGTAATGTGCAGTAAGAGCCATGTGTAAAATAGCTGGACTGGTGATTCCATCTGTAAGTATGTTAGAGAAATTGGGTTATGTTTGTTTTTAGATGATGGACGAAGATAAAAATAAGCATGTTGATTTTGATGAGTTCTATGAATGGACAGTATAATATGATGAATTGCAAGAGTTTATGTTATAGTATTCTGGTACTTAAACTTATTAATATGCATTAAAACGAATGGTAAATGCGATGGATGAATCTGAGTAATAGTTTAATAAATGGTTAAGAGAATGCAAGGCTCCGTAAGTACCAGCCATTAAATTGCAATAGAATTTATATCTCATTTATAAGGGAATTGATGAATTATCAATTGACACTCTTTTTTATATGATCATAGAATATACATTGAGATCAAAAAGCATTGGATAGGAAGAGAGTTCACAATAACAAAAAGATCTCTGGGCTTGGAAGGCTGATCATAAGAAAAATTAACACCTTCTCTAAAATATCTCGGTTAAGAGGAGTGATTATTTGGATATCATCAGAGCATGGAATGTTTATTCTATAACTGATGTCAATCAATTGTCCATTATCAATATCAAGGATCTCAAATTACTTATTTGGTTGTATGAAGATGAAGAACCAGATTATTTTAGAATCAATCAAGAAATGTCAATCATAGATACTAATCACAACAACATCATCGAGAGATGCGAATGGATGCAATACTTATGTTCTGAAGAATCTATGCAAAGAAGATAAACTCCGTAGGTGTTAATGAAGAAAGTGTTTGACAATTACGATGAGGAGTAATGTGGGTTGATACCCATCATCTATATCGATAAACTATTGAGAGATACCTTCAAGTAGCAGATGAAGAAGATGAAGGACTTCAAGAGTATATAGAGTGTCAATAGTTTGATTCAACAATTGAAGGTTGAGTTCATGAAGTAGGTTAAAAAGAATAATCAATCTCATTTTGATTGGCAATCATACTATTAATTCTTAGTTGAAGCGACTAAGACTCATTCATCACTTAACAAATTGTTGAATTTAAATCGTGACTGACTCTTTTTATTTACATAATAATTTATTATATATTTTTCTTATATGTAATTCGACCAAAAGAAAACTGATGATTTAAAGCTTAATCCCAAATATTAAAATCTCTTAAAATGGGGATTAGATAATGGTGTGATCATTAAAGATGTAGATCTACCAGCAGCCTTTGGAGAACTCACTGGCGTTGTTGCAACATAAGATATTCCTGCCAATACAGTATTTTAATATTTTTATAACTTTAAGGCAATCATCTGTGTCCCTTAAACTTTGATTATATCCTAAGAAAAATGCAAGTTGAGTTCCTTATCCATTGTCTATGATAAGCATCCTGAACTATTCAATGAAAATTAGACTTCCGATGCTGAATTCAATATCCTAAGTAACAATTTACATCAGGGGCTTAGTTTTTTATTTGTTCAATGAGAAGAAAAAGGGGGAACAATCATTTTTTTATCCATACATTCAAGCCATCTAAACCAACAATACCTTAATAGATTGGACCAAAGAAGAACTTAGTTATATTGAAGATCCAATTGTACTAGATGAATTTGCTATTGTAAACGAGGATATAAAAACCCTATGGAATTACGCCTAAGATATATTTAATGAATTTAATCAAATCTTTGGAGAAGTAAAACCAACTGATAAACAAGATTTTTATTGGGCTGCTTAAAGTGTTATGAGTAGATCCTTTGGTTGGTCCTTGAAATCCACTAGCATGATTCCTATTGCTGATTTTCTCAATCATTCCAACAAGGCTTGTACTCATTACTTTGTTCACTCTAAAGTTGAGAAGCTCGAATAAGAAAGATTTCAAGCAAAGAAAAATAGAAGAAATAACCAAGATTCTAATAGTGATCTTGAAGATCTAGAAAATATGGAAGATTCATTTATTAGATTGGTGCAGGAGTACTATAAAATAAAGGGGAATAAAATCAATTTAAGTGCTCTCAAGATACAATAAGATGAATCTTAGATCAAATAATTTGAAGATTCAAAGAAGACTTTTATTTTACATCACTAGGAATATCTCACAGAAAATCAATTGAAAAATCTAGATAATTTGGAAAATCTGTCAAATGAGGATAAAAGATCAATGATTAATTGGATCAATTATGAGAAAATGAAATAAAAACCAGAAGTCAACCTTTGGGATTTGGGATTCGTTACATCCTCAGATAGTGAAGACAATGATTCTGATGAGGACATTGAACTAGCCAGAAACAAGCAGTTAGAATCTGTGAAATAAAAAGAGTTAATTGAATGGAAAGTTAAAATAAAAGAAGATAAACAAAAGTAGGGGATAAATCAATAAGAAATTAAAATAGAGTAATAAATTGTTGAATAAAATTAAGAGCTAGATAATCAATAAAACTAAGGAGATAATACAGATAGTGAAAATATTTTAACAATCTGTCTAAATAATGGTATTATTGTTAAGTATTATCCTAGAAAAGAAAAACTAAGTAACCATCTAAGGTATGGCTATGCAATAGATCTAAACTTAATAGATCTAAACTTTGAAATAGAACCAGCAATAAATAATAGAATAAGATGAATAGTAGGATAAAGAGAGTGAGAGGGAGGACAGTGAAGAGTCAAACTGGGAGTGGCTTGAAGAGAATGACTAAGATGCTTATTTTTGTATTACAACTACAGAACCAATAAAGTAACATGAATAAGTTACAGTGTCTTACGGAAGAAGAACCAACAGATTCTTACTCAGCTGGTATGGATTTACTTTGCCTGAAAATAAATACAGCTCCTTTAATTTTAGAGTAAGAAGTTGATCCTAATAAAGTTATGGCTCAATACATAAATTAGTAAAGAGAAGATGTAGAGTTAATAGCAGATCTTTGACACTATTACTATTAATAAGTTGATTAGTTCTAAGGAATGGGACACGGGCATAATCAAATTTAACGGATATGAAATTCCTGTCTCATCAATTACAAAGGAATTCAGAATCAAAAAGAACAAACTCAATATGGACTTGATTATGTATTTGAGATTGTATCTAATGCTTTATAAAGTCTAAGAAAAGGATGTGTATATCACTATACCGGTTTCAGTTGATTATGAAGTATTTGTGATGCAGTTTTGTATATAATTATTGTAGCATTATCTTAATTCCTACTCTTAGGAACTGGCCTAAGACATTAAAGAATTAGATACATAAATATCATTCTCAAGAAGGTTTGCGGTAGAGATTATCATTTATTGTAGCTCCACATAAATAAAGAACGCAAAGAAATTCTTATCAATTAGGTTATGATTCTATTGGAGGCTATTATTATCTTAAAAAAATACCAGGAAAGCAATGATTTGAAGCAATCGTACATATCAGAGATCCATAATAATGTTCATTACAAGATGGAAATTTTACGAGGCTTAAAGGGTTATCTCAAATCAATTCATGAATTTCTTTGATAATTATATGTTTAATCAGTGAATTTATATCATTATTTTTATTATGTTTTTTACTTAGAAAATAGTCAAGTTTGTTATATTACCCTATAAAAGTGGTACTCTTATGAATTAAAGCCTTAGCCCTTCCAATTAAATTCAATTTACAAATTGGAGCGAATATGGTTGGAAATACGCAGGAACATGAGGTTTGCATTAATAATAAATAAATTGTGAATAATCATTGTTGTGTTGTTTTGAATGAAGATGAGATAGAACTTATAGTTTTGGATGGTCCAGTCTTTTATAAGAATGCAGATGGAGAATTTGAATAATTGGCCAAGAATTCTGTTCTTAGGTACAATGATTCGTTAAATTAGTTTAAATATTGAATCCGCGGATTTTTTAATTCGTTTAGGCTAAACTATAGAAGCTAAAGTTTAAGTGCTTGATGGAACATAGAATCCCTCTCAAGTCAAATAATAACCTTAAAAGGAAATATCAAAGGAACCATAGCAGGAACCCAAAGAATTCAACTTACAAGAACGACTCTCTACCATTGAAGTCAAAGTAGTAGAGAGTTTATACACATCACCCTAAAATGAATTGCAATTTTTTAATTCTAATCATGAATAAGAATAAGTTAATGTTGATTTAAAAGAAGATGAAGATATCAACTCTGTCTCTTTTAATTAACAAAAAGAAAAAAATGCATCAAAAAATAAGGATTAGAGGGATAAAGACGAATTGAAAAAGAAGAATGAATCTAATCAAAGATCAGATTTGTTTTAATTCAGTGATTATGAGTAATAAACGGAAATGTTATCTCGTGGAACTCCTGATTTTAACAAAAACTCAAAGGATAAGAAAAGTGGAGCAAATAAGACAAAATAGAAAAAGAAATAATCCACTTTAGATTACTTAATTATGCCATAACGAAAAGATAGGGAAAGTTCTCCTAAAAAGAAGAGCCATCATAAATTGTCAAAAGAAATAAAAAAAGAAAGTAATAGGATGAGTCAAAGGAAGTGCAGCAGATGGAAGTTTTATATTGCTTTTTCAGGATTTCATCCAAGCAGAGAAGAATAATAATTTTTATTAATTTAGAATATTCAAGTATGTTTAGAAGATTACAATTTTAATATGTTAATAATGGAAGATAATGTCTCTTTGAGATCTATTAAATTATTGATCGCTTTGGCTAAAGGAATCCCTATCATTTCTAGAGATTGGTTAACTAGATCAATAAATTAATACGAGATTCTTGATCACAACTAGTATTAAGTCAAGTTTTCTAATGAGTTTTGCAAAGAATACAATTTTGATTTTAAGCAATACTAAAAAAGACTCCAAAAAAGGTAATGTTTAGTGTTATATTCTAGTAAGGAAGCCAAAATACTACCTTTAGAAGGAGTGACTATATTTGTTCCGAAGAGAATGAACTACCATATTGAACATTTCGAATTAGAATATTTGATAGAATCCTTAGGTGGGAAATTTGTACATTAAGTACATGATGATGATGGAGAAGCATAGATTTATATGCTTATACCTAAAGATCAAACAAAAATTGTAGGATATGACTAATTCTAACAAAGTCCTATTGAATGCCTATTCAAGAGTGCATTGAAATATAAAAATCTCCTTTGATAAATTTATAAAATATATGGTATTATTATATTTGATACTCAATATTATTAATGCTACTTTACTTAAAGATGTCAGCAAGCTATATGAAGAGCTTAGAAATTAAGCATAATATTTTATAACACAGACACCAAAAAATATGATGGATTCAAATTTTGGTTTTAAATCTTAGATAATTGACTTTTCAGATATTAATGAAGATGAGGATGAAAATGAAAATGAATATTATTATACAGAACAAATTCAATAAATACCTTTTGTTTAAGAACTAGAATAACGACTGCGAATTTTATAAGAAGATCCGACAAATACAGGACCAATCTTCAATACGACTGTTGATGAGTATTTTAAATAAGGGCCTTTAAATTCACTTTATTGTGGTTTTGGACAATAGATTTTATTGAATGTCACATAATATTATTGTTCTTAATAAAGAGTTACTAAAAAATAATATGATTTAGAAACAAAAAAAGATCTCTGCGATATAAGATATAGGTTGACTTATGGATGCTTATGCCCACCTGACTTTTATGATATTTAGTGTTTGAAATGGAACCGAATAATTTGTGAAATAGATTAACCATATAAAGATTGTTAGAGTCTCATTGATTAAGACTATTACAACTAAAATATAGATGGTAATCCTCCTTGTTTTGAATTTTAAAGTGATACATATGTTGAAGTAATTATCTAGTTTGAATGTAGAATGTGAGAGCAGTTTGTAGAAACAATGATTTGCAATTGCTCCATCCTTCAGTGTATTCTTCAGAAGAACACTTTGAAGTCATTTGGAGTAATTATTCAAGAGGAATTAGTGGTTTATCATTGTTAATGTATAAATTTTCTCTTCCTAATCCTAAAGATCCGAATGACCCTTAATTTTATATTCAATTCGCTCTTTCAGAAGAAGAAGAGAAACAACTCTATAAATTTGACTTTTAACCATTATTTCTTGATTTAGAGAACTTGAAAAGCTCATTTTAGTTTACTATAAAGCCTTATATCACTTATATTAATTGGACCAATTTACAACTGTCCAAAACAACATTGATATAATAAAACCTTACTCAAAGCCAGCTTTTAGGTTAGGAGTATGTAACAATTACAATTAATGCTGAGAACTTGATTTCACTTTTTGGTAGATACTCAATTGAAATTGGACTCGTCATTAATATCACTCATTTTTATTCCATTTATAAATATGTCCACTAACTCGAATTTCAAGATGCTCTAATTTACAAACCATAATCTCAACCAAAAATATTATTCTTTGAAGATCTATCATTTAAAGGTTATTTATACAATTATTCTTAGAATCTGTTTATGAATAAGTATCAAATCAAACTCTCCAAATAGAAGTACTTGCAATGATATTAATATTTTTGATCACTTTATTTTTATGCTTTAAATATCGATACTTTTTGTTTACTAGGTAAAGAAGAGTCAAATAGGAACAATACTAAAAGGCTCAGACTCCCAGAAAGGAAGTAGAAATTAATAAACAAAATGTATCAAATTAAAGTTAGGGATGATTTAAATTTCCTTAGATAATAATATTATTTAATTAATGATAATATTATTTACATTCATTGCGTATTCGTATTCTCGATGTGCATTCTCTGTGGAATGTCAAGGAAATAATTGTGATCCATTAGAAGTTGATACTGAGCCATTTGTTGCTCGTGTTTCATAATGTCCCCATATGGATGGAACCATGGTGTGTTGTAACAAGAACTAAGATGACCAAATGCAACGAAATTTCTAAGCCATAGATGCCTCTTTTGGCAATGCTGGCGGTGGATGTGATATGTATGATATATTGTCTCATTCTTAGTTGTGCCTATAATTTGAAGAAGTTCTGGTGTGAATATACTTGCAGTCCAAATTAGAGTAAATTCTTAACCACAAATGGATATACAAACATGAAAGACCCTCTAAACCCAAAGAACATATTGAAAGTTTAGTTAGTTGAAATTAAAGTCAAGCCTTAAGTGGCATGTGTAACTATTTTATTTAAACTATGTAGGACATGTGGTCATCTTGTAAGAGAACACAATTCGCTTCTTAAGTAACAGCTATGAAAACTCCAGGAGGATTCTTTAATTTCCAAGGAGAACAGGCAGTGTATATTCTTTGATATATGTCTTAGTGGTTAAGCTAAATAATTCATATCAGTCAAGTTTATTGATAATGACGAAGAGACTATTAACTTTGATTTTGTCCCTGATTGCAAATATGATTATCCTGCTGGTCCAGATGGTAAAATAGTTACACCAGATGGATTTGTAATATCCGAAAGATGCTCTTGTAATAACTGCGATCTCATGTGTCATGACGAAGAAATACTGTATTAAGCTACTGGTGTTTTCGAAGGCTTTAATGGATACTTGGTATTATGGGTCTGGGCAGGAGCCATTCTAATTGCTGCATTAATTACAGGATTTAGACATTATAGATCAAAGGCTGAGAACGAGATCTTAATAGAACCTATTTGATTTTGTTCTTTATTCATTGTTAATTTGTAAAATACTATATTCATATACTTTAATTTTTATGATATAACAAAATATCACATATCAAAGATGTTTCCTTGAATTTTGCTATCGTTATTTTCAATTTATTTTGTTTTTGAATTATTTCTATTTAATTTATATTTAATAGTCCATTTTATTAATACCAATGTTAGTTAGTTAATTAAAATGCAGATTTGAAATAGCCGGTTTTACTTTAAATAATAATCAATAACCTCAATTATAACCAATTTAATAATATAAAAACAATGTAATAAAGACCAATTGCACTGAAATATATATATAGACTATTACAGATAAGAAAAGAGACTCTAAATTGATCACTGGAATCTGTCTTCCCATCTAATTCTTCTTCCATTCTCCCATAATCCAGATTTAATCTAACCATCAGCCATGATGTATTTGCCTTTACCATGCTATTTACCATCTACCCACTCCCCTTCAAATATCCTTCCATCTGGCCAGAAATATTTACCCCTTCCATGTTTTTTATCCTCGTAATACTCACCATGATAAGATCTTCCATCTGCCCACTGATAGACACCGTAACCATGCATTTTATTATATCTCCAATTACCCTTATACTTTCTTCCATCAGCCCATGTATATTCTCCCTGAAAATAATAAAAAACATTCTTACTTATCCATTAATTTTGTTATCAAACCATGTTCCTTCAAAAAAGCTTCCATCTGGCCAAATATATAAACCTTAACCTTGTTTCTTCCCTTAAAAATATTCTCCTTTATAACTTGAATTATCAATCCCTTAATTTAAATTTAAGCTTACACTTTTCTTCCCCTTATCCATGCTAAAAATCATTTTGCCAATAGCCTTCATAAATTGCTCCACTTGATTACCTATAAACTCCATAACCATTAGCCTAATCGTTGTTCCATTCTCCTGTATATGTATCTCCATCTACATGATAAAAGCTTCCTATCCCACAGGCTTTATTATCTTTCCATGATCCTTCATACTTTGCTCCGTCTGGCCAAATTTATGTTCCGTTCCCATCTCTTTTATTACCCAACCATTCCCCTTCATATGATGCACCACTCTTAAACTAATATTTCGGTCTTTTATCTCGAAATGTATTATTAGGATTTACATCTATTTGATTTAATTTTTAGCTACCTCCATATTCTTCTGAATTGAAATATTTCAATGTATTTTTTCTTTGTTTGCTTTAACTTGTTTCTTGTTCATCCTTTTTATTATTATCATCATTGCCCGACTTGATTTATTGTAAATTTTATCTGACTTTATGACCCTTCCATTATTTTTAGATTACAATCGCCATATCAGCCAACAATTATTCTTATTGATGTTGATCTTGGTATAGGAATTCTTTATTCTCTTTTGAACAATTCTAATTTGTTTATGTCTATTTTATATTAATAGATCTAAACCTTATTCTAATGACTTGAGGCTTAAGATGGCTGCGAAATCATAGATATTCCATTTCTATTACTTTCTGTTTTTTTTGTTATATTTATTTCATATAACAATTCTTGCTTATCTTTTTAGCATTATCCACAATTTGAACAGTTAGATCCCATATTTATTAAAAATTGTTATGAATTTATGAAATTACAAAATAAATAATATATCAATTTTCTATTGATTTGCTTGAGTACCTAAGTTTTTTATTGATTATTGTATGCATTCTAATTAAAAATATAATTAGTTTTACATCTTATTTCTGAAAAAAAATTGAACTAAGTAGCTATATTATTTTTTTTGGAATATTATCTAATAATACTTCCCCTTGTAAGCCTAGTATATTTTATTGATATTAACACAATAATCAACTTTTTCATTATTTAAGAATAGAAAAAATAATTTAATATTACAATGACTTGTAATCCCTAAATGTTTCCAATTCAGATTAGATATCTTTATTCTCAATAGTAATATATTGACTATTTATCTGTTTGATCAACTTTTGTTTATTTCTATAGATTTTTAATTATAATATTAAAAATGATTAAAAGACATACTATTAATTTGTCTTTCCTTTATTTTTTATTTTGGAAAAGGTATCTTTCATAATGCAATTTCATTTTAGGAGAATTCTATCTACTAATAAATGATGAATTTATTAATGAATCTCTAATAATAAAAAACTAAACCTCATTTATTCTCTTCTTGAATTTAAGCATTATATTTATACCTTGAAATATCTTCAATTTATCATTTTTATGCATATATCAACTATAAATATATTCATAAAATAAATGTAATTATCATTTCAGAAATCAAATTAGAAGTGCGTTCACATTCGACTGCTGGATTAAACTCACTTAAATCAATCAATTTAATCTTTTTTGATTTCTTTGCTCTTTCCATAATTGACAATGCTTCAACATTAGTCAAACCCCCAACAATCGATGGAGCAGATACTCCTGGACACCATGCACTATTAATAGAATCGACGTCAAAAGACAAGAAGATAAAGTCAATATTTTCATCATTCTCAAATTCTGTTAATACATTATTCATAGCACTTAAGCCTTGATTTTCGGCATTTAATCTTCTGATATCTTTTTCCATGAAATAAACCTTCCCCCCTTTGTTTAATACATATTGATAATGTTCATAAGAGCAAGTGCAGCCTTTTATTGCAAATTCCACAAATTTACTATTCTAAAAGCGCTCTACATCTTCAAGCATGCTTCTGAAAGGAGATCCTGAATGACATTAATTCTAATTAAGCAATGGTCTAACATCTAGATGAGAATCTATGTTGATAACACCTAATTTCTTGCATTGCATTCCATCAACTAATCCTTTAAAATTAGGATAGCTTTAATCATTGCTACCACCGATAACAATCACTTTAGCTTAAGGTAATTAATAATAAATTTCACCAACATGTTAATACAGATACTCATGGGCATCTTCTAATGTTAGTTACTTAGGTACAGCCCCAACATGTATTACTTTTTATGATGGATTACATGCTTGAAGTTTAGATTTCAACACTAGCATAATTTATTCATATGCATTTTCTCCTCCAGCCCTACCTTTATTTCTTATTGTGCCTTCATCATATGGGAAACCAAATAAGACAACAATGTTGGATTCATCTTTGAATTTAGGTAAATCCTCCATTTTATAATCGATTGTTATAGAGGGTTTACATTAAATAAAATCAACTTCCTAATTCATAAAAAAAATATTACTAATTTATAATTAATATTTCAAAATTTAATATCATTAATTCCAATGTTATTTGCGCCTTTCTATTTGATCTGCTACCTTTATAAATATATTTTATTTAATCCTTAATTTTGTTTTTTAGGTATCTAGTTTAATTAATTTCTAGCGAACTAATCAAACACTGATTACTAGTCTATTGATTCATTATCACTATTTGTTTAAGGATCAGGAAGAGTTGGTCTCTTGACAACAGATTTAAAATTTTAACCTGTTTGGGAAAACTTTTTAGATCTTTCAGCCTATGTGATAGAATGCTTTTCATGATCAAATCTTTAATTCAGAATATTGAATTCAGATGGAGAGATTTAATTAGCAGCCCAATCCTCATCATCTGAATCATCTCTTGATTATTTGAAAAGATCTGATTCAGCTGCCTACTTCTAATTGTATCCTTTAAAAGGGTTAATGGGTTCTTCAATCTATTAATCCTTTTTTAACTAAGATTTTGGTTATACGCTTACAAAACCTGAAGTCGGAACATCCCAATCATCATCTGCATCATTTTTATCATCTTAAATAATTTCCTTTTAAAATTTCTTTTATTATGCAGTTACACCTTACTCATAAGCTTGATCATCGGCTTCTTCATTTTCTATATCCCATCCAACATCATCATCATCTTAATCCACCAAAATAATATCATTCAATTTATTGTGATTATTTTGATCGAATTCATTAATTTCCTATTTCAAATCTTCAATTTCATTTTACATCACATCGATTTCTGAATTTTAATCAGCAGCCTATCTAGATTATTTTTATCGTTGAAGCATTTCCTATTCTTTTTGCTCCTATAGTTTTTATTCTTCTACTAATTGATTAAGTTCTTCATCCTTCTTTTTTTATTCTAATTCTTCCTACTTTTTCTATTCCTCTTAAATTCTTTTTGCCTCTTCCTCCTATTCCTTAATTTTCAATTCTTCCTATCTTAATCGTTCTGCCTATTATTCTTCTTCAATTTTCTATTATTCAGCAGCTCTTTATTCTTGCTCAATTTTTTACTTTTAATTTAATTCAGCCAATCTCTCCTCCTCCTTCTATTGTTCTAACCTTTGTGCTTCCTATCTCTCCAACTCTAATCTCTCTTCCTCCTTTTATTTTTCTATTCTTTATGCTTCCTCTCTCTGAATTGCCAATTTTTCTTCCTCTTTTTATTTTTCTAACTTCAAAGCTTCTTCTTTCTCCAATGCTTATCTTTGTTCCTCCTTTTATTTTGCTTTCCTTTCTTCTTCTTACTACTACTAAATTATTAATTCTTATTATTTTTTTTATTCTTCCTAGATTTATAATTCCTTTTCTTTTCTAATTTTTTCGAGTTCTTATTATTTAATTTATTCTTATTTTTATTGTTCTTCCTCTATTCTTTTGAGTTCTGCCTCTCTTTCTAACTCCTATTTTCTAATTTCTTCCTGTTTTTATTGTTCATCCTATTATTTTTGTATTTCTTTCTTCTTTTAATCTTCTATTTTATTCTATTCTTCTAATTACCTTAATTGTTCTTATTGCTTTTCAAATTCGATTCTTTATTATTCTTCGAAAATCTTCTATTATTACTATTATTCCAGTGTCTATTTCTATTGCATTTCTAATTAGTCTCTTTATGATTCTCCAATCGATAATGGTTCAGACACATCGTTATTGGGCATTTATAAGATCACTTCCTCTTGATATCTATTTGAATTATCTTGTTTTGGATCAAGAATTTCTTATTTGAAAGTGAATTAGGAATTTTTTTGTAACATTTTCTGAAATGGTTATTGACTACTATAATTGGGATCTTTGTATTCAATTGATTCATCAATTTTAGGGAAGGATGGTTCCTCGTCTTATTCATGATGATTGAACTTTTAGCCATTTATAGAATCTTCAAAGGAAAACCTTTTGGATTACTTTGATCGATTAGTTTAAAAAAACTCAGGAATGACTTAATGTGACTGTGAGACTGATGCATAGTTGATGTCCTCAAAAAAGTTCTCTTCTTTTTGGGTTTCCCATATTAAACAGATCCCGAAGATTATCGTTACTATGAATGAATCAATACTGCTGATGAATAGTTACTCTCTTAATTGATCTCTATATGCAAGAAGTACACTGGCTATTAAAGCTGGAATACAGCAAAACTAAAATGAATAGATAAATTAATTATACAAATGCACAGAGTCCATTGATGATATTCATACCAACCATGTTTTCTACATCTGATAACTTACATTTCAAGAATCTAAACCCGAAATATCTAGAAAAGTAAAATCTTGTCATAGAGAAACTCAGAATTGACAATAAATTTAAAAAGATGTATGCACACGAATTGGATTTCCTTGCTGAATACCATAAATTGAAAGCAGTATCACCTTAAGTACAATGTTTAACAACACATAAATTAATGAGATTTAATAGTATATGAACTCCAATTGCAGCCATCAGTAAATAAGTTTCCAACTTCTCCAAAAGGTAATCCAATTGTAGGAGTAGTAACACTGCCCATGATCCTATGATGATTAGACCTAATAAACCAACAGCTGATCCTGGAATAAAAGTCTACAATTGCTAAAATACAATACCTCTGTTTTCTATATTTTAGCCACAACAACACTTAAAATCATAATTAAAGAAACTATGGTGAATGGAATGGGTATATATTTGTTTTCTTATAAGTTGGATATCACCTGTTACTCTGTATCAGTCACTTTCTCACATATATTTATATTGTTCAGCTATTTTATTGATATACTATGTACATCTTGATATCCAGTTGGACATGAAGTCACACATGTTTAATCTAACTGTTTGTAATTCTACACGCAAGTGAGACATCCCTTTTCATCACAAGTAGCACACTCGTTAGCACATTTGATACAAACATACTCTTTTATGTAATAGTTGGTTTAGCAAGACTAAACACATAAGCTATTCAACATATATGGTGAACTGACTGGACATGTCTTACATTCTAGACCATTTACACAAGTAGCGCATGATGATTAACATGCTAAACATTAATAATCTAAAGAGTAGTATTTATTTGGACAATTCTAATAACATTTACCGGTCAAATGTTATTAATTCTCTGGACATTAAGTACATACTGTGCTTGATGAACATTATAAGCAAGAGGTATCACAAGCATAACATACAAAATTTTATGAATAATATTTATCAGGACATTTATCTTAACACTGTTTTGCTAACAAGTATTTATTTGTTGGACATGAAGTACATTCGGTTTCTGAAATGCAATTACCACAAATGTCAGGACACTTATTCAAAGTAGTACCTGATTTATAATAACCATTTGGTACTGTTGATACACAACTATTATTAAAAAAGTAATATCCAGTGAGACAATCAATACATATAGTATTGCTCAAACAATTATTACAAGGATCAGAACATAATGTGCAATCACTTCCATCCTTAAAATATCTATTACCACAATCAGAAACACAACTTAGTGATGCCTTTTTATAATAATAGTTAGCAACACAAGTGAGACATACAGTTGGACCAGTGTCACATGTTTTGCAAGGTGAAGTACATGCAATACAAGAAAACCCAACTTAAAATACTCCTGTTGGACATTAAGAAACACACTTGTTTTGATATAGTAAATTATTTGTTTCACCACAGGACGTACATTTAGTACTTTAATCAACACAAGTATTACAATTATCGTTGCAAGCAGTGCATATACCATTAAAATCAAATTATTTCTCAGTGCATTTCAAAACACATTTTCCATTCTTAATCTCCTAAGTTGTCTCATCAAAACAGCTTTAACATAATGAACTGCTTGTACATTCTAAACAATAATTTGGACATGATTTACAGTTATTACTAGAGTCACTATAATACAATGATCCACAAGTACTCAAACATTTCTTATTTAAAAAGTAAATATTTTGAGTTATTGAAGTATCAGAATAACAAGACAAACAATTACCTGAAGAATCACATTCTTTACAAAATGCTGAAGGAGTGGGAGTACACAATAATTTAAATATTAATTTAGACCTATCTGAACTTTTCAATTCATCAATGATATTTGTTCCTTTTTATGTTCTAATATTAAATAGATAATTAGATGAATAAATCTTTGGGTTCCTAATTAAACTGTTAAATTGAAATTGTATAAGTTTATCTGTAGTTGCAGTCTTTATCGTTATTGTTATTTCCTTACTGTTAACTGAACAAGTATCAACTGAAAATCCTATAATATTATCCACAAATGTTGCACAATCTTGTGAAACAGTAGAGAAGTTATCTGGCATAGTCACAATAATTGTAGATCCAGTAGGGAGTGAATTAGATAAAGTAACCGCAAATTAATAACTATCTACAACTCCTAATAATTATTTTTCTTAAATAATATCCTAAAAAGATATGTCATTTGGAAGAGCACTTGGCAATGTAGCAGCAGTACCTTTATCTGTGGTTGAAATCTTAAAATTATCTTTTGTAGTTTCAGCTGTTATTGTACCTGCACTATCTTTATTTACGATGTTATATATTAATGTATCATAATTTTAATTCTCAGCCAAATCATCATCGAATTAAAATGTAATAGTATACGCTGTGTTAATAACTAATAAAGTAGTCGGGGATGTGAATTAGGGAAAACCAGAAAATTTAACTGCGTTAACATTGCTTAAATCATATCCTTAAAGAGTATAAGTTATTTTAGTCCATTTAGGCTATTTAGTTTCAAATTTAGTTGAAATTGTATAAGTAGATTAAGCACCATTTTTATCATCTGATCTGCTAGAATATGCTAAAGTAATTCCGCTTTACTCTGTCATAGTTAAACTTCCAAAATTTGTATTTTTATCATATTATATACCACCACCTGAAGTAATCATAAATGAAAATCCTGTGGCAGGGCTAAAGGTGTATGGAGTTCTTATTGAATTAATTGTTAAAATTAATGATGTACCTCCTGGTATTGATGATGATAAAGTTAAAGTTACTGAGTTAGTTTAATCTGAATTAACTGTATAAGAACAAGTATTTACATTTGCCGAATTTAAATTACAGGATGGAGATGTTGTACTCCATTGAATATCACTAGGTAAAGCTAATTAAATAATAGAGCCAGTTACAATGTCATTTAAACTTGTAAATTTGTATTTTAAATAAGAACCACTTTAACCTACTTTGTATGATCCACTTTCAAGTTATAATGTTGTTATTATTCCATCATTGTATCCAGTCACTACTGAAGTGGTACTACTTGAATCAACTTAAAAAGTGTCAATATATGTTATAAAAGAACTAAAAGTAACACTCGAAGTTGGAGAAGGAGGGTTAGTAAACTCTAAAGATATTGTTTAAGTCTTAGTTGAATCTAAATTTGTTATTTTTATCAAACCTGATGAGGAGTCACAAGTACATCCAATTGTAGTTGATGGTGTTCCTGAACAGGATATAATAGTGCCAGCTGTTAAGCTTGATGGTTTTGGGAAAGTCATTGATTTGGGTCCTTCTGATAAAGAGTTTTCAAAGTTGAGGCTTATGACATAAAAAGATTTTTATCCAAAAACCTTATTTGGTACACTAATAGAGCTACTAAACGTTATTGTTCCTCCTGTCATTGTGAATGTCTTAGGTGAACTCGTGTCAAGTGTTGTACCTCCGCTTCTATAACTATAGGCAGAACATGTATGTGGCTTAGTTGATGCACCTGTAGTGGCATAAAACACTATAAGTGGTGTTTGAATTTTAGTGGAAGTATCAGCCTTGAACTCAAGGAAAGTAGTTCCATCAGCAGAGGGATTTGTAAATTAGTATGATTAAAAGAACTTGGCCATGGATTTAAACCCAGATACATCTATTCTAATGTAATCAGTGCTAACACTTAGGGTAGTTGGCAAATCAAATTCAAACCTGATGAGATATTGCGTATTTATTTTGAGTGAGGTTACTTCATTTGTAAAAGAAGTGTCTGTTGTCTAGTAGGCTTTGAAAATAGATGGAGATATTGTTCCTGTGCTAGCTACATCAATTAGTATGTGCGTAATGAATAATATAATAAACATAATAAAATATAATGAAAAATGTTTATTTGAGAGTATTTATTCAACTCACTTATTTTATAATGGTACTTATTATAAAAATAGCCAATGACGACACCGAATACTTTTAGGTTATATTCAGCATCTTGTTGACAGTTTTATCTTTGCCTCTAAACAGATACATTTCAAATTATGCAGAGCATTCGCAATTAATTTGCAAATCCTTATGGTAAGTCCTGAATCTTTTTTGCTTAGGTAGTGTTGACATGGGATTGAAAAATGATGGATTTCTTAGTAGATTTTAATATTTTTGGCTTGGTCTCACAATTCAATTAGATGTTGATACAATTTTACCAAATAAAATAGTTAGAGTGGGTTTTCTACTCGTTGTGATTGCTTCAGTCAATCTAACGACGTTTTACTTAATTCTGGATTCTTCATAAATTGGATTAATATGTGGGGAAATACTGTATACACTCATATTGGTATACTAGTTATTTGTTGAAAAGACAATGAAGAATCAGCATAAACAACAAACATCTAAAAAACCCAGTTCTCGCAGTTTTACTGAGAAATTAGATAGCCCTTAAGCTTAAATTTTAGATGAGGAATCAAATCATGTTTAAATATTGTCTTTGGGTCAACAACTACATCATTAATAACAACCACAAAGAGAAGCATCAATTCGTGAATAAATCGAATATTAAAATAGTTTCTATCAAACTCTATTCAATCAATTCCCTGAAGGCATAATAATTATTAATGATTAAAATAAAATTGAATATCATAATATTCAAGTGAGATCACTTTTGGGGAGAAAACCAATATCCGAAGAGCTAATTCCGAAAAGACTTGCTGAATTGAAAAATTATTCCTCTAAATTTTAGTTTGGTGAACAAGCTTAATTTGATAAAATGTTTGCAGCACTGAATAAAAAATTAAAAAGTAATTCTCATGAATTCTAATAATAACTAAATGAAGAGAACTCCATAATTAAAGACTGTTTTGTACCATTGGATGAACAAACGTATTACAATTATTATGAATATGAATTAAGTAAGGCCGAAACCTTAAGTCAAGAAATTGAAAAAGCGTTGCAAGATAAGAATAGCACTCCATCCCCTTATCAAAGATAAGTATCCTAATATTCTTAAAAGACATAGAAGGAAAAGATTAAATTTATTAAAGAAGTAAAGATGCTCTGTATGATTGAAGAATCCAAAGAAGAAATACTTAATGAAATGCATGAAGATCAATCAGATGACGAGGATTCTGCTGGACTGTTGATTTAAATAACAATCAAAGCTTATGTTTATGAGAACAAGAGGAATGTCCTATTAATCATTAGAGATGTGTCATTATTTAATCAATATAAAGTGTTATAACAGCAAAACTCAAATAAATCAAAAATGTTATCTTATGTTGCACATGAATTAAGGAACCCTTTAGGTGCTATATGCGCTATAAGTGCTCAATTAATTTCAAAATATTCATAAGATAAAGAAACCAGTAAAAAGTAAGTATTTTATATTAATGTAAGGTACTTGAAGCCATTAAAAAGTTCAGCTGAATCAATTTCAAGATTGGCTAATGATTTGCTTGATCTAGCTTAATTAAAAGCTGGAAAATTTAAATTAACATTTTAAGAGTTTGCAATTAAAACCCTAATTTTCGATGCAATAGCCATGATGACTTTCACGGTAGGTGCTAAGAATTTGCAACTGAGTTTGAAATATGATAAAAAAATACCAAGTCTAATAAAATCAGATCAATAGAGAATTCAATAGATTATATTGAATTTAATAAACAATTCTACTAAATTCACTAAGACTGGAGGAATAAAAGTGGAGGCCAAATTATTACAACCAAAATTAATTGAAATATCAGTTGAAGACACTGGAGTAGGATTACAGCCAGAAGATATAAAGAAACTATTCTAACCTTTTGGGAAATTGGAAGATTCAAAGCATTTAAACACTTAAGGAGTGGGTTTGGGATTGATGATCAGTAATGTGTTGGCATAGAAATTGAGCGGTGGAGATGTTGGATTATAGGTTGAATCTAAGGGATTGGGATAAGGAACAAGGTTTATCTTTAAAATATTAGACTAAAACGAAACTAAGAGTTCTGTTCATTAGTCTTAAGATACAAAGTACTTTGGTAGGAAGGAGAGCAATCTCTCAATAGTAAGGGTGGCAAAGAGAGATTAGTTAACATTATAACCAATGAGTGCTTCAATATACAGGGCAAAGGTGATCAGCGAATAGAAGATAGAGGAGAATGAAAGCACAATCTATTAGTTTTAATGTGAAGATGACAATTTTTAAGAGGATCCTGTGCAAGAATCTTATGAAAATTGTGCATGTCCAAGAATCTTAATTGTCGATGATGAACCAATAAATTTGATGATCTTGGGCTATTAGTTGAAGAATTTGAAGTATCGGTATTAGTAGGCAAAGAGTGGTTAGGAGGCCTTAGATTTCCTAAAGGGATGGCAAAGCACTTAGGAATATTGTTGTAATTGGATCAGATGCGTGATTATCGATATACAGATGCCAATGATGGATGGATATTAGACTTCAAAATTAATTAGAATGATGGAGAGGGAGAAACAGATAAGTAGATGTGCAATTATTGGGTGCAGCGGATTTTCTGATGAGGAAACTAAAAAATTAGGATTTGAGAGTGGTATGGATCATTTCCTTTCCAAGCCCGTCACTTAGGTAGAATTATAAACTATATTAAATTAATGTTGTTGATTAAATATTTTTTGTGATTAAAAATAGCAATGTCTTATAACTTCAAAACTATACGTCCTGTTATGCCTGCTAAAGACATGATAAATGTGATTTTATCTAAGACTCAAAGGAAAACACCTACAGTAGTCCATCCTGGATACGATATCTCCAGAATTCGAGGATTTTATATGAGAAAAGTGAAATTTACATAAGAAACCATTCACGAGAAGATTGATGCCATTTTGTAAGACTTCCCAAAAGTATTTGATATCCTAATATAAAATAGTTAGATGATATTCATCCATTCTATGCAGATTTGATTAATGTATTGTATGACAAGGATCATTATAAATTGGCATTGGGACATGTACATGCTTGTAGAAACGTGATTGATAATATTGCAAAGGATTATTGTAGATTACTAAAATACGGTGATTCCTTGTATAGATGCAAAATGTTAAAGAGAGCAGCATTAGGTCGTATGTGTACCACACTTAAAAAATTGACCAGTTCTCTGAATTATTTGGATGAAGTCAGAAAACACTTATCCAGAATGCCAGCCATCAATCCCTTTGAAAGAACTCTCCTAGTAACTGGATTCCCCAATGTCGGGAAGAGTAGTTTTGTAAATAATATTACTAATGCCAATTTGGATGTCCAACCCTATCCATTCACAACATAAAATCTATATGTTGGACACACTGATTACAACTTTGTACGTTGGTAAGTTATTGACACTCCAGGAGTCTTGGATCATTCATTGAGTGAAAGAAACCCAATTGAAATGTAAGCAATTACAGCACTTGCACATTTAAAGGCTTGCATCATGTTTTTCTTGGATATCTCAGAAACATGCAGTTATTCAATTGATCAATAGATTGCACTCTTCAAAGACTTAAAACCACTCTTCAAGAATAAACCTTTATTGTTAGTTATGACTAAAATAGATATTAAAAAGTTTGAATAATTAGATCCAATTGATTAATAAAAGTTGTAAGATGTCATCCAATCTGAAAATGTGTTCTAGTATCTATTTGAAACCTATTTATTAGTTCTTAATTGAGTAACAAATCTGGTGAGGGAATAGCCTTAGTTAAAGAAAAAGCCTGCAATTTATTAAATGAATGGAGATAGAACCTTAAACCTGAATAATTAACAGGTGGCAATCCAAATCTTTTGAGAGAAGAGTCAATTCTCTAAGGAGTCTATATTGCTTAACCTAAAAGAGTTAATCAAAATAGAATGCCAGTAATTCCTTAAGTAGTGGGTAAATTAAATAGACCAACCTTGAAGGATGTACAAGAATAAAATGGTGGAGCTGGAGTCTTCTCCTTCCCATTATAAGGTATTATTATATGTTGATTATTTTAATAGAACACTTTTTGTTAGACAATCCTGATTGGAAATATGATGCTGTACCTGAAATCATGGATGGTAAGAATATTGGAGATTTTGTTGATGCTGATATTCTCTAAAGATTGGAGGAATTGGAAAAGGAAGAAGAAATGATGGATTAAGCTGAAGTTGAAGATCCAGAAGAAGATGCTAGAGAAGAGATGTTATTAAACACAAGAGATCAAGTCAACAAAAAAAGAGAGATGATTAAGGAAGAACATCACATGAAGATGAAGCAATAAGTTAAATTACATAGACCCAACTTGGAAGATGCAAAAGAAGATTTTGCTAAAAAAGGAATTGATACTACCTTTTTAGAATAGAGAGCTTAGAAGTTTGCTGCAAAGAAGGTTATCTAAAAATAGAAAAGACAACAACATTCATCAGATGATAGTGATGATAATGATATGGATATTGAAGGAAATGAGAGAAATCAAAGAAAAGGAAGAGATGCTTTATCCAGAAGTAGAAGCAGACTTAGAGAAATCTCAAGAAGCAGAAGTAGAGGTAATAAGAAAGTCCTTACTGCTTAAGAATAAGTAATATATTCTATCTAACATCTTAGGCTATGGAAAGGATGTCTAAAAAAATACAAAGAAGAAGAAGAAACGAAGCTAAAGCTGGTGATGGTGATACTAAAATAGATTGCAAAATGCCTAAGCACTTATTTACTGGTAAAAGTGGAATTGGAAAATAATCAAGACGTTGAATTATTTGTTGTTAATAATACAATATAATGTTAATAAATCAAATTAAGTCTTCATGTTCGATTTTAATTATCTTCTATTTTTTCACGAAATTACATTCTAGAATGCCAAGTTCGTTATTTTCATTTAATTTATTTATGCTTATAATATATTGCATATAATAACTACTTAAGATTTGTCTTTTAACATGTCTATTATATAAAATATACACAATTTATTAGTAAGAATAGATTGAAAATCTACACAATTTTGTTCAAATATATTAATGTAATTATAATTAATATTACAAAAATGGATGATGAAAAAAAGAAGAAAAAAGGGAACAAAATAGACTTAAATCTGTTACCTTCTTCAATGAAAGAACGTTATGCTGCTATGGGAATACTTCCCAAACCGTAAATTCCCAAGGCTAATCTCTAAGTTGATGTACAAAGAATGAAACAGAAAAAGATTGAGAAAGAGTAACCAATCGAATAAAAATTGGAAGGCATTGAAATCAAAGCAAGTGAAAAAAAGTAGTTAGAAAAGTAATCTAAATTGTTAACTTTAGAGTATTCTAAATGCTTAAAAAAAAGGATGTCGATTACTTTGATGCAAAAGATATTGATAAAATGCTTAGATTTTTAGGTGTATCACTTACCAAGTCAGAAATAGATCTTATGCTATGGGTAAAACTATAACCTTTATAATAAATATAGGAAGTTGATGAAAATTTAGATGGGAAAGTTAGTTGGACTGAATTTTTGAATATGTACAAGAAATGTACAATCGATAAGACAGGCCTTGAACCTAAGAGTTTGTTTCATATGATTTAATTCTTAATGTATTTACCACCAGATAGGAAAGATCCGAGAGTAACAGTTGAAGTATATTTATCAATTTCCAAAATAAGGACACTTTAGAACTCTTGTATGTTAGATTCGGGAGACAATGTTTGGATTCTGAAATACATGCTATTTTTGGAGATGAGGAGAAAAACAAAGATGGCGAAGAGAAAGCTATTTCATTTAGTGAGTATATGGAAAAAATTAATGAGAGAGCAATTCAATAAAGAAAGCTGAGAAAAGAAGAATAAAAACAATAATTTTAATACTTCAAAAAAGAAAAGTAAATGGAGTGATTTCATTATGATGTTCAATAATAATAATTAAAATGATCAATAAAAGTATTTAATAATAAATTAAAAATAATGAATATGATATCATCCATAATCCTAAGAGAAGATGTACCAATATATTAGATGGGTGTATATTAATTTTACTATATGCGAACTGAATACAAAAGGCTTCATGATAAGTCCCTACAAATACAACCAAAATCCTTCTCCTTTGTTGATAACAACGTCGATTACATATCCATTTATGAAAGCACTATCAAATAAATAGACTTACAAATTTAAAAAAGCGATGTTCAAATAAATTTCTCTTCTGATGGTTTAGCAAATGCAATAGTGTGTGCATATTTAATTGACAAAGGCTTCGATTTAGATTCAGCTTTTTTTGTAATAGTATATAATTAATAGGATAGCTGATGACAGATTACCTAGTAATTGGACAGCCTTATGTTCAGTATTTGAATAGTTTAAAAAGATTTGAGGCTTAATTATAATCTGAACCAAGCTTGAATAGAAGTTCTATAATTCTAAACTCAGAAATGGATTTAGAGAAAACTATATAAAATTCTATTGTTCAATCTGAGATTCTCAACTTTCCAATATTTAGCTAAAGATTAATTGAAACCTAGAGGTATTATTTTATATATTAATCAGAAACTCTTAAATTCTACCTTCTGAATATTAAGCAACTTCTGAAATCTACAATCAATAACCAATCAGCTTTATATCATTTGGATAATAGGAACTTTAAAATATCATTGAAGAGTCTTAGATCAATAAAGTTTAATCTTCATAGATTTTGAACAAAAAATCATGAAAAAGTTATACTTATATAAATATAAATCAAACTAATTTGAAAATTTTCAGGATTTCTTAACAGAAGGTCTTCTGCTGTGTTATTATAATTATTGAATCACTTAAGGTGCTTTATTATTAGTAATAGTTAGCGGCTTTTCATATTTTTTCTTTTCTAACATTTCTTTTATCTATTAACCTTCTAAAATTAAACGACCCATTTAATTAATTTCTCTGTTGGTCTTACTTAATAATGAATTCTCATGAGATGTTAATTAAATTTTAGCCGCCAATCTATCACATTCTTATTACAACTATCTATTCATACCCTCCAATCTCTCGACGACTGATTGGAGATGTAAGATTTCCCTATCTTTTAGTATCAATTACTAGGTTGTTTTATCAAAATTCTAAGAACTTGTATTAACCCATATAAATACTTTTTATTAGTTTTTTTGAGTTGCTTTAACTCATCTTCACATCTTTATAATTCATTTTCAAGATTAGCTACTTATCTAAGTAGATCTCTATTTTAATCTTATAATTACATACATTATTGTGAGACTTCCTCAAAAGATCTAAAATATATAAAATAATACTATTCGGCTTAAACTCTATACAATCGTTCTTCTTCTACTTATTTCAAATGTATTTCAATGTTCTTATACTTAATTTCCATTTCCTATATTTTTTCATCTTGCATTTTGATTCTATCTATTAAGGTTTGTTTTTCCTTTTTGGATTACTCCTAAAAATTAAGATGTTCCTTGAGTTCTTTAGATTATTATTCTTTCAAACTATTTATTTAATTACAAAATTGTTAATTGTCTCTTTGCAATTATATTATCTAACTCTAAAATTCTTATTTATTATTTTAAAACTCTTTAATTTGCTAATTTTATTCTCTCATTTATTATTAGATTTACAAATCTTTTTATTATAATTGTTGTAGTTGTAATTACATTCTTTCGAGTTTCTGATCCTTCTCAATTAAGGAATCCTTAAGGATTTAGGATTCTTGCATATATTGCTCATTTAACTCTTACAAATCCAAGCATTATTATGATAATTTTCCATATTCGTCATTAATAGTTTGCATTTGTTATTAATACTACAAATTATGCATTTATAATTGATCACACTAGTTTTTTAATGAATGAAATTCTTTAGTTTTATGCTTCTCCTAGTTTTATAACTATTACTATAGAGTTGAATATCTCTCATTATAATTTTGCATCTAATCAATTTTGTGAGCATACTTATTTCTTTCTGCCTCCATTTGTTAATAATCTTTATATAGTTGTTATAAATTTTATTCATATTTATCAGATTGAAGTTTGATTTGTGTAATATAATTTTTCATCTCCTCCATTTTACCATATAAGTGACTTAATTCTTATTCTCTTTTGATTACTAATCTCTCTAATTCTTTAATTTACTTTCTACTTTACTTTTTGTTTTTCTTTTAATCAGAATTTTAGACATTTATAGGGTCTTGATGATAAAGCTCATTTTGATTAAGCAAATCCTACAAGTTAGTTATTTCTTATGTGATCAAATCATTTTCCTCTTATAATTGAAGCATTTAGTCCTTATACATATTGTTTTCTTGTGTCAGATATTCAATTTATTAGTTTTTTTGCTAGAGATATGTTTTAAATTAGTCATTGTCTTCTAGTAATTTATGATAGTATTGGCCTCCTTACTCCAATTCCTTTCTATAATCTTGCAATTAATTTTCAAAGAATTCATTCTCTTATCTCAAACTTTGACTCAGCTAAAATTGAGTTCGTAAATCATTCTTTAAATTCTCAATTTAATCAATCAATTCATTGTTTTCTGTTTCCAATTACTTAGCATTCTTAATATTATAAGGATTCCGCATACTTGTTGCACAATTTATAATTGATCCATCAAATTGAAATTTTGAGTCTGCAATACTTAATTGTGCTTCTCAAGATTCTCATATCTCATAAGCATCTCCTCAAGTTCTTCATCCTTGGAGGACATAAAAATATATAATTATTTAAAATAAAAGATTAACGATCATAAATTTATCATTTTTCTCCATCAGAATCTACAACTTTGATATCATTACCAAACAAATCATCAAAATCTGCTGCCTTATTAACTTCTTTAATTTTCTAAGCCACTTAATCTTAAATGTTCTTTTATTAGTGTTGGTAACCTCCAATAGATTGGGACATACAAGGTAATACAGGTGGCAACCAATAACTATTTATCATGCTCTATCCCAGAGGCATCATAAATGATGGTTAATTAGCCAATAATAATAATGGTTGCATTGTACTTTAGCGATTGATATCATCGATTGATTTTTACATCATAAACATATTGTGGTCAGATTAAGTGAGAGTAGAACATTTACTATTGTTATTCTCTTCTGTTTTTATTTGTTTGTAGATATGTTTCAAAATCAAACCTTGAAAATCCAACGTATTAAATGGAGATATAAATAACTTTTTAGTTTTCTTATTAAAAAGTACAACGCCTGATCTATCATTCTCAACTGAAAATTGATTGTCCACTCTTTTAATATTCAATAATTTTTTGTACAAGACATCGTTCTTATTGCTTGAAGTTAAATCATTATGAAATAAATCAAAAAAATCATCATTCTTTATTTTCTATGCTTCCTAATACTTACCTTCTGAAACACATAAATCAATATATAAACTTTAGATTGCCAATACTATAAACTACCATTCGTAATTATCAATCTCTTCAATTGGTGTTATTTTACCATACTTATTTGCATAATCCATTCTTAATTTTTACACCTTTGAAAATAATTATGGATTAATCGTTTCAAATTCATATTTTAATTTCTCTTTTTTTAAAAGAGAATTGTACTTATTCTTAAGAGAATTCTCTGTTCTCACTCTCCCATAAAGGGCAGATAATTCAGACCATTTCTTTCCTCTTATTAAAATGGTCTTCAGAAGATCTATTTCTTATTATTTTGACCAAGGCTCACTTCAAATTTAATCATCTCATTACTTGCAAATGTTAGGATCTAACCTATTAATCCATCTCTCTCTGCATTACTTAGGCTATCTGAATATTTTGTTAGGAGATCTCTTGTAAATTTCTCTGGCAATTTGAGACCATTTGTTTTCCTTCCCCAATCTACTAAATTCTCTTTAAGATATTGCTGAATTCATACTCATGCACTTGTTATAGTAGTTAATCCTCTTCCTCTGTCCATGGAGCCTCAGAAAGTGAGATTTTATATTTTTGTTCCCACTTCAATCTACATTAATGGGCATTCCGACCTATAGTCATTTTTGCTATATCTCTCCATTCCACAGGTGTCTTTGTTTTAAGAATAATTTTAATTACGAGTTAATTGATTTCTTTTAATAAACAATATCTGATAACCACCCAATAAAATAATCTTTTATCTTAATCATTCCATTTAACACTTCTTCTCCTTGCATTCTAACTTTATTTAGGTTGATCAATTCCTATACATATTTAATTAAAATAAGATTTTCGCTTCCTCGATTGATGGCCAATCGTCTACTTTTAAACGAAGATTGGAACCTATTCTTGCCAGCTACTCTCTTGTCTCTTAAAACTCCTTTGAGTTTTCAACAAAATTATTAAAATGGTGATTTACCACCTCGAAAGGGTATACTTTAACAATAACATACTAAACGTTACTAATTAAATCCTCCATCTCGCAACTGCCAGCTAGTTTTCCTTCCCTTCTCTCGGTTTGCATTAATAAAATATAAAATACTGTATTATTAATTCATTATTAACTACAGCGTTGAGAATTAGAGTAGCAAAGTGTTTTATATTGAAAATTAAAGTTTATTAATTTTTTACTAATTTCTTCACACATTTAATCAATAGGAAAACAATCCTTAATTACTTTAATTGAACGTACTTAGTTTTATCCAATAAAATTATTTGAATAATATTTTATGATATTTATACTCATTTTTCAAATTCTGGTTATAATTTCACATCTAACAATCTCACTAAATCATAATCATATCATTATCAAATGTAAATATCCTATTACTCAGTCATTTAACATTTGTGCATGATTAATCATTTTTGTTTATTATATCCTTTCTATGCTCTTGTTTATATTATTAATTACTTAAATTACTTTTAAATATAAATACTCTATTACTAAATATTTTAATCTATTTAAGTAAGCTTTCGCTCTCCTTTGGTTTTCAATTCAAACTAATTAAAGAAATATAATTAATTTATAAAAGTAATATTGAATCAAGTAAAATATTGAATTGTCATGTAGGAAATCTTCTGAGTTATAAGTTATTAAAGAGAATGTAAGTTTTAGAATCTTTATATCAATTACTAAAATAATCAATTACTAATCTTTAGTACGATAGCTAAATTTTATATATATTTTTATATTGTGCAAAAATCTGTTTTTTAAAGATATTTTATAACCCCCTCAACATGATTAAATAAAATTAGGAAAAACTATTGATTCTTATTAAGATCGTTTGTAATCTACTTAAATAGTAGTGAAATGAAAGCACCTATGTAATATTAAATGGCAATTTAATCATAATATTATGATATAATTTTTATTAAAAAATACTGATAATTGAATGGATAATTTATCAACTCATATATTTTTTTATAAATGCCATTCATAGTAGGCTGCTTCAAGTTAATATGAGTTTTCAACGGATCTTACATTGTGATCGGTTTCAATAAAGCTGGCTCCAATTTGTTGCTTTTTCAATTATTCAAGATATTTCTCATACAATATTTGTGGATACTGATCCTAAGGTACTTTCAATTTAAATTCTTCAAAACTCTAAATGGGAGCAGCCTTTATATTGTATTTCTGTTAAAGTTCCTGAAGAATTTAATCTAAATAATAAATAGTAAAGATACTTTTTCTCATATTTAATTATTCTGTATATGATACATTGGATTAATCAAAGTTTTCTTATATTTATTCTTGTTATATTGGTTAATCTTCTTGTTATTAACTCTACTCTGAAACAAGTTTAATGTTTTCTAAGAAGTTGAGATCAACTTCATCAGCCTTTTACAAATATTTTTAAAGTCTTTCTTCCCTGGGATTGAGAATTTTTAATTCTTGTTTAGGTTCAATCTGCTGTTCCTCTTAAACTAGTTCAATTTTGATTTCTGTTTCAATCAATGGACTAGAAAAATGTTATTATGGTTTTACAGATCTTAAATTATTGTTGTTAGCAAATTAAGCAAAGATTGTATCATATTCATTTAGAATTGGTTATTTAGAATGCTTTTTCTCATTATTTGGAGCAGGTATTCTTTATTCTTCTTCTTTAGATGGATTATTAATTTCTTAAGTTTCTTGTTGAATTTTATTATTGATTGTAAATTACTATTGATGAGTAATTTCGTCATCAACATCAAATTTGGAAATATGGGAAGTATTTTCAATCTATTGAATTAAATTTTCTGTCTGTAATTTTAATTAATCTTTAATTGTTAGTTTGTTATTTATTGGAGGTTCTACTTTATCTGTTATTGATTATTCAACTTCAATATTCTTTTTAGCTTCTTCAATCATTTACTAAATTTTAGGTGAAAACTTAGGAGCTCTATCAATATATTTTAATTCAATTAATTTTTCAGCTTTGCTTTCTTCTTGCATATCAATATTATTTCTAGATAAAAATGAAACGTTGATGGATTCTTTTGGGTTGAATTCTATGATGTTTATCTTTTTGGTTCTATCTTCTGAGATCTTTTCCAATTTCTATAATTCTTCCTCAATATTAATTGGTTTTGAAATTCTAGCCATATTAATTCCATCCTCTTCATCTTCGGATTCACTTTCGCTATCAATAGGTTCTTATTATGATATTTCATTAACATTAGAATCAAAACTATTTATTCCATTAGGATGATTTATTTATTCTTCCAAATTTAAAATTTATTAGCTTATCATCTTCTTTAAACTCTCCTCATGAGAAGTATGTGTTTATTCAACCTTATCTATTTTAATAGTTTATTCTATTAGATTCTCAACCTTATCCTGTGTAACAGTATGATTTTCTTTTTTAAAAGGTATGAATTTTTATAATGTTGGCTTTTCTTATTAATCATGAAATTCAGTACTAATTTTTAATTGTTTAGTTTAATCATTCCCTAACTTATAATAAGAATTACTAAAGTATAATAAGCATTCATCTTCACAGATAAAACTAGATTAAGCTATGATCGATAGAGCTGACTATTGTTTCATTAGGTTGTATCCTTAGAATGTTGGTAAATCATCAATCTTAGACTATAGAATATCAACTGCACCAGCCACAACACAGACTCCTAATATTTCGGTGTCTATGGATTGGAACTTAAGCATGATACCCTCATTTCTTATATCTAATTTGTAGATTAATGGCAGATACCTTATTAAAATGAGAAGGTGTTGCTTTATTATCTGACTCCAGTTAAGAAAACCCATGATTTAGGTGATTTAACAAACTATCTAGAGATTTTAGATACGAATACTTTAGATAAGGAATGAACACAATTTCTTTGACTTTAAAATTCAGACAATTCACTTGGACTCTATCATCAACGATAGCCATGTAACGATATTCTAAGGATTATTCTGTTCCACTCAAAACTCCCATTGTAAATCCTAGACTTAGTGAGGAAAAAGAGTACCATCGGTGGTCACGTTGTAAATCTTGCTGAAATACACTTAAGAATTATGATTCATGAGACTATTAATTGTTAAAGCAACCTAAGGGACACGGATAAATGGCTGATCAAATTAAATTTCCTTTATTTTTCATTTGCAATTTGTCATACTTAATATTATAGTTTTCCAGGCTAAAGACCTTCAAATTCAATTAACCCAATCTCTAATTATAATGGTATGTTTTTGCAAGTAACCAAATAAAACAGAAGAAGGCTAATTAGTTATACCTTCATAAAATTAATATTATATTATATTAAAAACGAATAAACAAATTGACATCAATCAATAATACTATTTTATACATGGATCAAATCAGATCCTCATTAAGTGATGGATACTTAAAGATATTTGTCGATTAAACACAAATACCTTATTTTATAAGTATATTGCTGATATAAATGTTAAAAAGAGGCAGCGCCATTATGCTAAGAATTAGATTATGCGTGATAAATGTTATGTAAATAAAACTTATAGTGATTCATGACAGCAATCATATCTAAATTTAATGAATGAAGTAAAATAGGGGATTCAGTCAAGTAGGATAGTTATAATCTCTCTTATGCTTAAACCTGTTTAAGAAAAAGATATTACAAAATTAATCAATCATTGATAGAATCAACTGATTATAAATAATATTTGTAAATCAAAATAATTGTACTGAGAGTAAATGGAAAATTAATTAATGACTTTATAGGGCTTATTCTTTTAATAATGATAATAACATTTTATAGTTGTTAACAGAAAGAATTGTAATAATAATGAATGGAGAATTATGTTTGACTTTCCTATGTAGAAAAGTGGATGATAATGGGGAGAAATTCAAAGAAATAAATATTTGAGTAATATAAATTATATTTTATTATTATGGACGATAGTATGAATCAAACATAGCCAAAAAAGAGGATATTCTACATTCGAAAGAAAGCAGATGAATAATAAAAATAATCTAGATTATATTCTTAGGTCACAGGACCAGAAGGAAAAGTGTATTTGCAAGGGGGAGGAGTATTTATTCATCATTAACTTAGTCATTCAATCCAGGTTTATCCATAGGTTCTAAAATGATGGTGAAGAAGCCTACTTCAGGCGTGCCATCCTAGATTAGTAGGGGATAGGATAAATAGGATCCAAGGGTCAGTACACCCAAAGGGCCAATCAGTAGAATTTCTGAATTAGATGAGGAAGAGAAGAAGAATGAAGTTGAGGGTCCTTAGGTATATATTCGAATTCTATATGTTAAGTTGAAAATGAAGAAAGAGCATATATCATTTTTGGTCAAAACTGAAACAGTCGGTTATGATAATGTGGTTGTTTCAAATAATGGAAGTGCCGCTATTTATTATGAATGGAAGAGAATTGAGAGCGTAAGGAAATAGCCTAATTCAATCTAAGATATAAATGAGGAGAGGTTCTTTTGTCATCATGATTAAAATGTTATCAAACCTGGAGAAAGAATTAAATTTGTGTTTAGTTTTCTATCCAAACAAGCAGGTGTGTTTAACGAAGAATGGGAATTGAAATGTGAGCCTCCGTGTTTGACTTAATTACCAAATTTGAAATTGACAGGCATAGCATTTATAGATGATGAATTGACAAATGGAAGAAAAGAATTTCAAAAATAAGTGAAAAACAAATTTGCATTGAAAATAGCAACTGAAATAGTTGATGATATATTTGAAGAAGTCAAAACCCCACCTCCACCTAAACCAGATCTAAGTGACCCTGAATAATTCAAAATTGAATTTGAAGAACTCAATTTGGGAGAATAATTATGGTTTACTCATGAAATTATGAACTTCTTTAATTTCTCATCAGATGAAATATGCTAAGTATTGAAATAGGATATACCTTGGAATGGAGATGTTAAATTGCTAAGACAATCATGTCATACTATAGATGAGGAGGAAGTTAAAGATTTAGTATTACGTAAATTGGAATTGTGGGTTAAGTTAGCCAAGAAAGTGCCAATCTCTAGGAATCCTATTTACAGTGTAGTAAAGGATTTATTAGGAGATGTGGCTAATCAAGTTCCTCAATTATCTGAGGATATGCGTAAAGAATTGCAAATTTGGGACTATACTTTTCATGAACCTGAGGATTTAACACCAGAGAAGGCTAAAGCTAAATTGGATGAATTCAATAAAATGAAAGCAAATTGGTTAAAGAATGCAAAAAAGAAGAAGTGGAATGATGAAATGGAAAAAGAATTGATTGAGGAGTATAAAACTAAATTGGGAGCTAAAGTGGCTGAAGCATTGGCATAAGCAGCTATCAAATTAGAAAATGATGGACAATTATTATAAGTAGGAGCTATGATGAAACCAGAATTAAAATGGAATGTATTTAGAAGGAGAAGATATTAATCTACTTATTTTTATGATTTACTTAGAAAGAAAACAATTTAAGATTCAGATATTGAAGGAAAAAAAATTGGATTAAAGATTCATCTAAAATTAGCTAATAGACCAGATGTTTATGAACTTAAAGAAAAGTTTGAGTAAACATTACTCAAAGAATAAGAAGAGGAAAACAAGAGATTGGAAGAAGAAAGATTGGAAAAGGAAAGATTGGCTTAAGAAGCAGCTAAGAAAAAAGGAAAAGGTAAACCAGTCAAATAAAAAGAAGTTGAAGTTGTTTAAGGTACTATTTCATTAATACTAATAGTCTAATAAAAGAACTATGATTTAAGTCATCTAGATTAAGCAACACTTTAAGAATGTGTTGACACTATCAAACTATTGATGGAACGATAAGCCAAGATTGTAGTATTACTTGTAAGTTATGACAATCCAAGTGGAAAGTATAAGTTTACATCATCAACTAAATTCTTTTATGAATGGTTAAAGACACATGTTGAATGTCCTGTCTATTTTAATGATGCTATCATTGAAAATTTGGATGAACAATTAGAAACTCAAACCTATTAAGAGAATAGTGTTTTGGTATTAGAAAATCTATTCTTCTACCCAGATGAAGTTGGTTACTCTGAAGAAGAACCTGATATTGAATCCAAAACACCATACAGAACCCTATTACCTTATGGCAATATTTACATAATAGGAGATAGAGTGAATTTCTTTTCAAGATTCTACCCTTCGATCATCCATATGAATGCAGATTAAACAATCCTATCATCAGCTATTGCAAAAGATATTCATATTTTATGTCATAATCTAATGGGATGCTAAGATCGAAATGGAACTCTCATTATAGGTGGAGACCTGACTGGTGATAAACTATTAACAATTGATCAATTATCTGGTCATCTTTCATCCATAATCTTATTGGGTAAATTGGGATTAGCATTCTATTTAACTATGTATGAGATACAAAGCGAGCTTGTGTCTGAAGCTGTTAGAGAGGTTATCAAAAATCTACTTAATGTTCTCAGAGATGAGTCAACTGAAAAACCTCCTTAAAGGTTAACTCGAATCAGTCATCTTCCAGAACAGCCAAAACCAAAGGCAAGATTAATTTGTCCACAAGATTATTTAATTACGACACTTCCTGAAGGATATGATCCAGCAAATTAAGAACATGTTTAGATTGTGACTAGTAGTATTGCACCTTTTGTACCTGAAGGCAATATCTAACTTGAAGAAGGAAAGATACTCTTAGATTATGGACCTAAGACTATTGAAATTGTTAAACAGGAAATCTAAAATGCCCAAAGATTATTTTGGATAGATGATGCCAATCTTGGATTATACAACATTTAAAAATAAATAACTGTTCCTGATTTCGAAGCTATTGCTTTACTAAAGAAATTAAGAGAGGAAGAAGCTGAAAGAGAAAGAGAGAGATTAGAAAAGCTAAAAGAAAAGAAAGGTGGAAAAGGCAACAAGAAAGGTCTCAAAGAAGAACCACCCAAGGAACCTATTAATAGTATTACATAATCCTCATTATTTTATAGTTAAAACCACAAAGGAGATTAATGTTCCTGTCTTCAATCTCACTAATACAGACCTAGGATTCTTTATTTATGAGATGAATCAAGAAAAGAAGGATAGACATTAACATGCCTAAAAGTAAGGCCATCAAGTTCCTTACGATTTCAATTAAGATTGTGTAGTCACAATTATAGGTGAAAAATTGGAGAAGGTTCTTAATTAAGAAGACTTTCAAAATATAGGCAAGGAGGAAGAAATTGAATAGGCTCCAGAACCAAGTTAAAAGGGATCCTAGTTCCCTTAAAGTGAGGCAGGAGAAGATTAAAAGGAACAAGAGGAAGAGTAAATTGAGGAAGAGAAAGTCAAGATCAATTAAGTAAATTTAATCAAATAAATATAAGGTGAAACAATTATTAGCTGATTTCTTTATATAGGATTAAGATTTCACTCTTTCATTTCTAGCTGGAAATTAAATTCACATCCAAACACTTGACGAGTATCCACCAAAACCAGAATCTGAAATTAATGAGGAGTAGTATTTTGAAGAAGATAGTACTCCTTGATATATATATACATATATATATTATATTATAATTAATGCAATAATTTGATGTGCCTTTTATCAGGAGATAAAAATAAAACACTGAAATTTGGAAGGGTCATCATTTTAAGGATTACTCATTTGAGGAAGAAAGATCTTCATAAATATATAAAAAATAACATAGAAGAAAAAGTTGTTATTGTCAATTATGTGGAAAAATGAGTTTATTTCAATATGCACAAATGAATCTCTCAACTTGTATCAATTTCTTTAAAAATATTAATATCATACAAGACAAACTTCAAAATCAATAAGAACTTCAAAAACCAAAAAAATAATTTGGACATAATCTATCATTTTCTTTTAGAAGTAAATCAATAATGGATTTTTAACACTTACTTTTTGAGAATAATGCGAGATCTAAATACAGAAAAAGTTGTGATTGCTCTGAATGTGGAACTCAAAATAACTTTTAAGTAAAATGCTAAAACTATCAGATGATCAAAAAATAATAATAATCTCCGACTAACTAATTTAGAATTAAGAAAACTATTAAAAGGCATTAATTTAGAAAGTTGTACACAGAATAATTCTCTCCCTCAAAAAATAGTGAACTTAGACATCTAAAGAAGAGAATGATTGAGTTGGATTTAAATGATAACTAGTTATTGACTAAATTTCAATTAAAAAGAACTAAGAATCCAAAATTAATTCATCATTAATAATCTTTAAATATTTTTGAAATCTCATCAAGATAAAAAACTGATATCTTATCTCCTCTTGGAAATAAAAGAAAACACTTACCTTATTTGTAGCTTAACTCTAATCGAAGTCCTCAATAAAGATTAACTCAGAAATAACCCATTTCAAACTATTAAAGAGATAATTTCAAAAAACATAATTAACAATCTGGCATTTTTTGATTGTTCTTTAATTTTTATATTTAATTTTTTAAAATTATTTACAATCAAAATACAATTATAATGTGCCTAACTTCTATTATTCTCCAAGAATAAAAAAAATAAAGAAGCTTTTACATAGTCCAAACAGAGAATATTTAGGATGAATAAAAGTAGAGAAGAAAAAGTTGTACTTGTAATAATTGTGGAAGGTTGAATTAATTTTAATTCAAGCATATGAATTTTCCTAGTTACATACAATAACTTTAGAAAATAAAAAGTAATATAAACCTTGAATGTAAGTCTTCATTTTAAAGACAGATCAGTTATGATAATATTAAAATTGGAATTATTAGTAATGATTAGAATTGTTAACGTTTACATACTTTATAACAGTATAAAAGATAAAAAAGTTGTGATTGCTAACAATGTGGGTAGAATACTAAGTTTTAAGAATTTTGCAAATCAATAAAAATCAATCGAGGGAAAATCAACAAACCCATTAGAAAATAGAATTTAGAATAAATATTTAAAGGAATAAGTCCAATAAGATAAGTTTAATACAATGATGATTACGAAAGGGAGAATAATTAAAATAATAAGAACATTTGCAATCTGGCTAACCTAATTGTTCATAAAACAAATAAAAGATCATTAGTAAAGCCTAAGAAATAAATGGTTGAAGGATTATAAAATAGAAATATTCTGAAGAGTGAACAAGGAAAATAAAGTACAAAGACAAATTCTAGTAGCAGAGAATTCGGAGCAAAACTTGAAAACAAAAAGAAACTAAACCTCCCAATTGTGAAAAGCTCTTATATGAAGACAATTGAAATACTAAATATCTATGAGACTTAAAAATATAATCCAAAATTTAGTAATCGATAATGAATGTCTATAATTAAATATTAATATTTATTATATAAATAAGGTTGCTTATGAAGAGGTACAGAAATAGAAGGAATATAACTATTAAAAGGGAAATAGTTGAAAAAAAAAATAAATTTTGTCAAAGCTTTGTAAATCTCGAAAAAAAGTATATTTTGGATTGTTCACATGGGTAAACCAGAAGAATTAGTTGTTATTGTGATGAATTTGGATAAATGAATAAATTCTAGATTAGATTCAAAAACATTTTGCCTGAATTCAAAACTAAGCAATCAATTCATGAGATTGAGATGAGAGAAAAAAGAAGAAGGCAAACTCAACTAATGGAAGATGTGGCTATTCTCAAATTTAGAAGAGGAATCCAAGATAATAGTAAGAGCAAAACGATAGTCTAAACATTAAAAATGCTCAAGACATCCAATTAGGAATTTGATGAGATAGTGAAGTAAATAAAATAGCCGTCCAATGTTGATTACATAAAGAGAAGACGAAGATATAGTTGTTATTGTGCTTAATGTGGGAAAATGAGTGAAAAATAAATCAGACATTAAAATGATCCATTTTTTGACAAATTTAATAAGTTTTTATAATAAATAAAAAACTAAAGCAGTACATCAAGAAGACATAAGTTTTAAGATAAACTAAAATCTCATATTTCATAAGAAAACATCAAAATATCATATGTAAGTTAAAATAAGTCGCCTATCAACAAATATAAATCTGTCTCGAGAACTACTAAATTACTTCTAGAATAATCACAAACCAAGATATTTTAGTACAATTAAAGATATTCGGCATTTCCATCTCATAGAGTTAAAACTGAACCAACATAATCATCACCTCGATCCTTTAAATTATATCCAATTCAACTCAACAAATTAAGATAGGGTTAATCAACATATAAATCAATTCATCTAAAAGATAGTTTCAAGACGCTAGCTAGCATCTATAGATGAAACATATATATATATATTGAATATCTTATTATTAAAAATTCTATTTCCATTATATTCAATTAAATTAAATTAAAATATGATTAATATGAAAAGAAATCGTGTGATGTCAACTGATGGGGTTTTGGCTGTCATTACAGACTAGCTCTTGACAGAAAACAAACCTAAATTCAGAAAACTTACTAAAAAGCAAATGATGCAAAAGAAACATACCAATGATTAAGATTCCTCATTTGAGATTATTGAAAAGAATACTCCTTAATTGAAGAATACCAAAATTAAAATAACTAAACAAGCACTGGATCATTTTATAAATAAGACATTTGTAGTTATCAGCGATGATGATGCTGAAAAGTTCGATAAAAATTCCAATTCAATAAAAAATGAAACAACTTCCAGATCCTCTTCAATCTTATCTTCCTCAAGCAGCAATTTAGAAAAATGTGACAAAGCAGAAAAAAAAGTCAAATTAGGTGAGAATTGAATATCTATATTAATAAAATAAATATATTATATGCAAAGATAATTTCCAACCTAATCCCTACCTATTATTAGCAGAAAAAGTGAAATAGTAAATTAGAAGAGGTTATTTGATCAATTGAAACTAGAATTTATTTTCCAAGTTGGATAATCTCTTTATTCATGCACCCAAAAGTTAAGTTTAAACAATACAACCAAAGGTTGATTTACTTGAAAAGAATTTAATAAAGAAAGAAGCAAATCTTTCTTTTTTTGAAGTGGGATGTAAGAAATTGGCTGCATAGAGAAAAAAGGAAACTTTTTTAATTACATTAGCTAATTCTATCCCATAAAATAATAATACAAAAATAGAGTCACAAACAAGAGTATTATAAGGAAGAAACTGATTGCAATAATAGGCTTAAAGATTTAATTGCTCAAGAAGAAAGACCTTAAGATGATTTAGCTGAATTAAGAAGGATGATTGCCTAAACTGAATAATACATGGTCGAATATATGGATGACATGTATAGACATTTTTTATAGGCATAAGGTAAATAAAAATGTAGTAAAATATAAATATGAAGCAAAAAAATAGGAATGGGGGATGATGCTTAATTAGTTGAATTTGTAGATCACAAAAGCAACAAATATTTGACCAAGTCCAAGACTACTACGATTATTAAAGATAAAAAATATTGAATTGCTATAACGTATAAATTAGATAATAGTTTCATACAATTATTAAATTATGAATTATATAAATGAACAAATCATACGCAATATAATATATCATTTTTTAAAATACACAATTTAAAAATTCATGTTATTGTCATATTACTAAAAGGTTAAGCCTCTTATAGCTGCTCATAGAGGATTATCCAGTCTTTACCCAGGTATTTTATAACTTAAACGTAGAAAATACATTAGAAGGATTTAAATCTGCTCTTTAATTTTCTGATTTTATCGAATTGGATGTCGTTTTAAACAAAGATGGACTTCCAGTGGTTTGTCACGATGCTTTTTTAAGTTTAGTAAGCGATGTGAAAAATCATGATAAATTTGAAAATCGAAAGCAGTCTAGAATTCTTTATGATAAAGAAAAATCAGATTGGTGGATTTCTGATTTCACTTTTGAAGAATTGAAGGAATTACATTTGAGTTAATGCATAAACAATCGTAAAAGTGAGTATGATGGACATCTTTAAATACCCTCTCTGAAAGAAATTGTCGAGTACTTCTTAAATTATAATTAAAACACTGAAAATAAAAAAGGTATCCTCTTGGAAATTAAGGATTTCGAATATCATTAAAAATATTGCAATATTAATATTGCTGAAATTATACATAATTTTTTGAAAGAATAAGGATTGAGTACACTTCATGAATGCTCTTAAAAATTACCAATTGTGATTATGGCATTTGAAAAATAAGTACTTTAATTTTTTAGTGCTCGTTGTGATCTCCCTTTAGCTTAATTGGTTTGGTTTGAAGATAAAAATATACCAACGATAACCGAAATAGTTCAATATGCTAAAATAGTTGGTTTAGATTTAAGATTGGTTTGGTAAAATAATTAAACTCATGAATATTATAATGAGGCAAAAAAGAATGGTTTAATTATTTATGGATGGACATTCTAAGATGATAATGAAGATATCAAGAAACTATTTGATGAATAAGATATTGGTAAAATATATTAAAGGAGTAGCACACTGCTTTAAGGAATTATAACAGAATTTCCTTAAGAAGCTGTCAAATTCATCCTTTGAATTATTTTTATTCATTTTCTTTGCTTAATAAACAATATTTTGAATAATCCTAAAATGTATAAATTTTGAATTAATTGTAATAATTATTATCAAATATTTAATACAAGATAAAAACAATAAAAAATGTTTAATAATATTATTTAATCAAAATATTACCCAATTATTGGAAGTAGCTTGATTATACTCTTCTACATTCATTATTCTTTACCTTTATTGGTTTTAGCCTATTTTATAATAGCATATTTTGTTCATAACTACCAAAGAGGTCCAATAAGGACTTATAATTCAGTTAATTTGGAAGGCAAAATTGTTATTATAACAGGAGCAAGTGCAGGAATAGGAAAGGAAACAGCAAAAAGATTGGCATGGTAAAATGCCACAATTATTTTTGCGTGTAGAGACGAATCAAAAACAATGAAAGTTATCAATGAAATAAAATAAGTAACAGGAAATTCAAAATTACATTATATGAATCTACAATTAGATGATTATGATAATGTGAGCGAATTTGTTAAAAACTTTAAAAGTAAATTCGGTGTTTTAGATATTCTTATTAACAATGCCGGTATTGCATAATGGTGGCATAAATATAATAAAAATAATCATGAATTAGTTTTTGCCACTAATTACTTAGGGCATTTCCTTCTAACTAGATTATTAATGGATTCACTGACTAAGGAAAGTAGAATAATAATAGTTTCATCTGTTATGCATGAGCTGATTAGATCAAAATTGAATTTTAATGATGTTTTAAATGGGAAATATTTAGAGAATTATAATAATACAAAATATTGTGGGGTTTTATTATGTTTGAAGCTATCCTAAATGTTAAAGAATACAAAAGTAGTGGCTCTCCATCCTGGAGTAATCAAAACTGAACTTTTAGATAAGGCTGGAAATACAATACTGTTGTAATTAATATAAAAGATCATGTTTTGGTTTTTCAGACCTATGACATTATCAGTAGAAGAAGGAGCTGAAACTACAATATATTGCACATTAATGCCATACAGAGAACTATTAAGCGGTGGATATTATGAAAAAAATAGATTAAGTAAGTATAGTAAGAGCATTGAGAAATTGAATTAAGTTGAGGAATTATGGGAATTCAGTAATTAAATATTAAAGTAATATTTATGAGCTAAAAATTATTCAATATTGTATTAAAATTTTAATAAAATTTACAATTATATACATAATAATTTTCAATAAAAAGAAACTTGATTCAAAATAGAAGTTATGTCATTATTTACAATATTTCTGTTTATTTTGAATCTGAAATTATTCGAATCTCTTAAATTTTTTGAAAGGAGCTGGGAATCTTAAAATAACATCTATTTTGAAGTCCAATTATAATAAGTTTCAGTATATGAAAGGTTTCATAAATATATTAGTATATTAGGAAGTTGACTTTAATTTGTTAATATAATTAGACTAGTTTATAATTGAAATCATAACCAAATTCTCGATATAGCACACATGCCCGAGTGGTCTAAGGGGCCGCACTCAAGATGCGGTGAGTCATTCTCGCGTGAGTTCAAATCTCACTGTGTGCAATTTTTTTTTTATCATCAATTTAAATTAATATTTATATTCATTTAATTTTTTTTTCAATAACCCATAAACATGAAGTTGTTATTTTATCTACCATTATAGCTTCATATTAGGATTATTGCATTTCTGAAATCGATGGTCCTTAACACAAATATTTATTGAGTGGTTAATAAAACAAGAAAAATGGTTTACCAATAATCAGAGATTAATTATCAATAGCTATAAAATGATAATTATAGAAATACTTGAAATAATGAATGATTATTGCATAGACGATTATGTGGCTCTGACTTAGTTACCGTTCTTGGATTTAGCAAGATTTTACTCATCTACACTCAAAAATTTGATTGTTTCTTAATGAACTAAATTTATAGGCATTTGATCTTAGATCTACTTTGAGGCCATCTGGTAAGTTTATTGTATAACCCACCAATCATTGACTATCATGTTAAATAAATAACAATACCATCTCTCTCATAGCCAAAACATGTAACTTCTTGCATTCCAGTAGATGTATATTTATTTTTGTGTGAATGTAAAGAGTATCCACTTTTGTAATTTCTGATTATTATTTTATCACTATCAAGGATTTCTTGGGCATTTATTTTCAATTACAATGTTGGTTGAATTTCAAAAAATTATTGTCTCTCTTCATTCAATTTAAGAATTTCCCAATTAGTATAATCACTTTCCTTTCCACATGATATTTCCTTATAATCTTTAACCTGTTTAGAAGTATAATTTTTATTTGAGGTCTATAAGAAATGAGTTAATTTTGTAGTTTAGATCTTTAAATGCATATTACTCTAAATGCTACATTACTTGGAAGAAAATATATATTCTCCTTATTATTGCAAAATCAATGGAAAATTTTCTTATCGTTTTTCACTCAATGAAACTCTGACTTAATTAGAAACTTCTGACTATTTCTCAAATTCGTATATCAAAAACAATTTAGTACTCAAATTCTTGAGAAAAACAATATCGCCATAATTTATTCTATTTGTATCGTCAAAAACTTTAACTATAGTCCAAAGTGTATAATGATTATATGGATCATCACTTCCAACCACGTAATAATTATTTATATTTATTGTACTAGTAAACAAAAATCCCTTTTCCTAAGTATTAAATCCTGTAGCAGCCAAATAACTGCCTGTCTTTGTGTTTCTAATTTGAACTACTTCACTAACCAGAATATCTTTATCAAGTTATTACATTAATTAATTATCTATTATATAAAAAACATTCACCACTACTAAATTCAATATGTAATTCTCGTTATAGAAATCCCTTTTTATGTTATAATCACTTAAAATTTTGATTTTTTTTAATTAGAAAAGGAAATTTAGTAACAATTGATATTATAAAAAATAAGATGTTGATTAAACATTCTGATAAATTATAATTTTTAAAATACTAAATATCTAGTTTAGTAAATTGATAAAAAGAACTCAACAAAATTCTTGATTTAAAAAAATGAAATACAATAATACATCTAATAAAATTAGTTCTCAAAATAATAAAAAAAATATAATTTTAGAAATAGTGTGAGTATCAATTCATAAAAGATGTGTTACATTAATTAAAACTAAACCTATGATGAAATTAATCAATTGGATTACGATAAAACATTACATCAATTAATATAAATTATGAATAAAATTCAGGTTAGTAGTAAAACCATATTTTTGTTAATTTCTCATAAAGAGCGAATGAATAATTTATTATTCCGAAGAATAATCTTTATTAATTAACCTATACTTAAAATCAAAAAGTGAAAACTCAAATATTTTATTATCGAAAGTAATCACTAAAACTTAGCTTCTTTAATCCATCTTTATATACTTTTAATGCTAAAATTTCTTAACTTTACTCAACAATTTTAGTCTGTTACTCATACAATAGTTGTTTTAATTATTCATTCTCTTATTTCAGCACTTCCATTTCTTATGCTTAATCATGGTTTTTTTGCAACAACATTAAGATTCTCATCTCTAGTTATTATTATTCTTCATTTTTTTATTACACAAGTTCTAACTCTTTATTTATGAAAATTACTATATTCAAAATCCTAAACATATTCTTGTAGCTTTTATTGTTCCTTCGCCTTATTAACAGTTTCAACTGCCTCACTTCTAATTCTTGTGCCATTTTTTTAAATTGAATTCATTTTTACACCTGAACTTCCACTAACTCTTACTAATTTTTCTGGAGTAATATATTTTTATTAAGGTATTGGAGAATGAGATTGATTTTGAGAATTTCTCATATATAATGAATGAGAGGGAGTTCTTATCATTTGAATTTGATTTATTTGAATTATTAACATCATAAATATGCATACTTTATAATAATATTCAATAAATAATTGATAATGCTTGTAACGACAGATCTATAAAACCATCCATGGCCAGTTTGGCTAACCCTTCAGTACCCCAACTGGTACCCCATGTGTTTTCAATAATCCAATATTAATATCCATTTTATTCTCCCCATCCAATAATTTTAATAGCATGTCCTCCATGAAACCTGGGTGTTCCTTCTAAAACCTAATACACTCCGTCTCTGTAAACTAAAAAGTCTTTGTAGACTTGCATAATTGCAACAACAGGACCTCTATTGATAATGTCTCGTTTTATATCCTAAAATTATAATGTCACATACATCCTTATTTTATAATTAGCAAAATGAATTAGCTTTAAATCTTTAGCATTTTTCGAGTGCTTTTGTGCATTCTTAGAAATTGTCATCACCTCTGAATGGGTGACATTCATTAGTAGTCAATCCATGTTTAATAATATATTCAGCTGACCTAGTTATATGTCCACCTGTGCACCCTTGATTTAATTTGCCATCACAAGATAATAGATTCTAAGCTGACAACTATTGGGTTTGGTTGACTTTACAGACTCTATCTGAGAAGGCTGAAGAGACAGCAATAGAATATGAGGATGAACAATTGCCTTGATTGAATATAGTATGAGAGCAATTAGGGTAGGATTCTTTGAAATTGAAATAGGTTGGAATTTCGAAATTAATAGGTACTTTGCATTTTTCTACGTTAATCTATTATGTGAAATCATTCTTAAACAAGGTTTTGGCTTGCATTAATGTAACATTCTAATTAGGTGATGAACTTACATGGAAGAAATCATTAGGTCCTAAAGTGTAAGGATATCCTTAAGAATTGTGAGAGTTGATTTCTGACTAATTAATGATGATATATTCTTTTATTTATTTAGTGAAGGACAAGACGACAATGATGATTATCCCAATAATGACTATTAGTAGATTTAATATTAGTACTTGATATAATGACATGTGTCCTATATGTAGTAAAGAAATTAGGTTTGGATGTTCGTTTTTTGATTGCTGTTTGGGCTAACTTCATTTTTTCATTTTATTATTAGTTTGACTAAGGACTTAGAGGACGCTATCCACGCATTGTTAATTAATTAATTTATTATATTACTAATTTGATTTGAACTTGTTAAGTGTTCTAGTTATTAAATATTTAATAAATAAATTTTATTAATTTTTACTTTTTGTTTGTTAATATGACTCATTATAGTAAGCACGGTAATAGTCTTATTTAATCCATCCTAGACCCGAGTGGTTAATGGTCAAGATTGATCGAAAGACAAAGGATACAACAGGAAACTTAAGAAAAGTAGGAGAAAGAAGAATAAGAAAATCGAAAGCGGTTATATCGGTATGATCATATAAATGAAAATAGAGAAGAATTGGAAAGGTTGATTAACGAATAGAAGCAAACTACTATTTAGAAGACGAAATACGATTCTGAATTTGCTGGAGCAATGCAGAAATTCTTACATGAAAGAGACAATGCTGAACAAGTGAAGTTGTAAGAACTTAAATAAAAATAATCTGAATTTATAAGATATAGTCTCGAATAAGAATAAATGAAGAAAGAACAATAAGTATTTCTATTTTAAATAACTTTTAGCGTCTCAACTTTCTTTAAGATAGATAATAACAATTTTAAATTGGAATGATGATGGATTAAGCAGAAAAAAAGGATCTCTATCTAAAATAATAGAAAAAAGAACAAGTCCAAAAAGACTTAGCCTAATCATATGCTTAATAAGAGGAATAAAAAAAAATGGACCAATATTTGGCTCGATAAAGAGAATAATAGATTTTATAAGAATAATTATAAAGAAGTCAAAAAGAAGAGGAATAACGATTATTGGTAATAGTTTACTTAATGAATTAGCATCTTAGCAAAATCAAATATGGATATCATCAAAATGAAAATGTTCTTTAGAAATATAATGATCTTTATTTACAAAAGGAGTATAAGGATAAAGAACTTCAACGAAAATTTATTGAAGAGGCTGCTTCGTATAAATAAAGATAGGAAGAAGAAAAATACATATTGGAAAGAGTTAATAAAGAAAAACTAAAAAGAGACACTGTTGATACAATACTAAATTAAATTCACTCTAAACAGCAAAGCTAGAGAGAACAATAAAACAGCAAATATAAAGATCAGGAGGTTTTACTTGGACTTCATTAAAAGTTTTAAATGCAAGAAAAAGAACAATGCGAAAAAAAGAACATACTTTAATAATAATACAGGTAAGATTTAATTATGCAAATTGAAGAAGACAAAAATAGAAAATAGCAAGAAGCATCAATGAGTATGGTTGAATTAAATATGAACAAAAAAATATTCGAAGTATCCAAGACCCTTATTAAAATAGGCTGAAGATGATCCTCAATTAGCTGGTATTGGAGTTGTTCCAGGATTATCGAATCATGTTGACTATGAGAAACTTAAATAAAAGTAACTATTTGTTTACACTTTAGAGCATATGTTGATGGTACCTTCAAAAAATCTGCTGATTCCTAAATGCAATTTAAAAGATAAAGAAATGTAAGTGCATATATTGCAGGCAATAACGTTACTTAAAATTATGGTTATTGATATTTATATATTATTCATTTATTTTGAGGGTTTTCTTCAATTATCTTAAAAATATCTTTTTTATCTAAAATTGAACTAGATTTAATGATTTTCTCCAATAGAAGTTAAATACACTAACAGATAAATGTATAAGTTTACTTTGATTTGGTAAAAGGCTGACAAAGAAACCATTAAATTATCTAAGAGGAAGTCTTCAAACTCGCCTTCAAATTATTTCTTTAAATATATAGACTAAATGGATTAAATGTATTATTCAATACTCTAGAATAAATTAATTTTTACCTAAGATGGCGTGTCCAATAAAGTACACATTTCAACGTCTTTCTTATTTTGAACCAGAGGTTTGACTACTTCCTAAGTTAGTTTTTCATTTTGGCCATAAGTAGAAAGAGCAACACCAATTAAATTCAAGAATTACTTCTTCCATTATTCCGGATCTTTGTAAAGAAAGTGTTCCTACATCTAAAATGCTATTAATAGCTTAAGAACTAATATTTCTGAATCAGTTATATTTTTTTGATAATAAATTTTGCAAATAATTCCCAATAAAATTAAATTTTTCAATTATAATGCCATATTATAAAAAAAGGATTATTAATTGGTAGACTTAGCTAATTTCATGTAAACTTGTAAAGCAATTATAGTTTCTTTTAAACTATTATTGTTGTATTGCTCTAGAATGTAAGCGATTATACCTTATAACTTAAGAGTAAGTTTATAGTCTTCTAATGATGCTTAGTACTCTTAATTTTAAGGAATTGGCTATATTGGCTTATTTTATCCAAATTTGCTTAACTCCTCTAAGATTTATGTTTTTAAAGTCTAATCAAGATCAGCCGATCCAAATATTCCATTAGTTTAAGATATCATTTTTTTAATTGCATAATCTAATATTACCCATTTGAACATCTTTTCATCTGGTTTCATTTTCAAAAACATAGCAAAATTTTCAATATATGGTGGTTTATGTGTAATTTGCTAATATTATTTGAGCTAAAATAGTTTTTATTTTTCATTAGCAATTTTAAAGTAGTCAAGATATATTGATACAATTGTATCTATTTAGCCTCTTAATTATTGTTGAATAACTTCTTATTTTAACTTAAGATTATCTTTCTATAATATATCTTTCTATTTTTCTGATAATAATTTTCCATATCCGTCTTGTAAATAAGTACTGATATTTTGACTGGTACTATATAGCCTTTACTTAACATGTTAATTTTAATTCTGATTTTATTTGGTTTTTTCATCCTTGACATATTATATTAAGTAGGCACTTTTAGAGTTTTACTAATCTCCAAAAGCATATTTAAATACATTTTATTCTGTTTCTTCCTGAACATGTATGTCATTAAATAAATACCATTTTTTATCATCAAAGTTATAGATGTATGCAAAATAATGGCCAGCATCAGGACTCCCTTCATGCATTAAAATAGATTATAGAATATATTTCTACTTTTTTAAGTTATTATAGCTTTAGGAAATTTTTTATACCAATTCATTTTTTTCTTTTAATAAGGAATCTCTTTTTTCTTTAAAATACTCGTGATATTGAGAGATGGATTCAATTGCTGCCTTGTTATCTTTGCTGTTCACATAGTAGGGATTTGATTTTTCATTCGGAGTTTATAATTTTAAGAACTATAAAGTGGTTTCAAGGTTTTAAATAATTTAAATGTTTCCATTAAACGAATTTAACAATTCCAATTCTTAGTCAATTTTTTTCAACCGATCACTCATTTATTAATTCTAAGTTTGAATTTCTTTAGCAATTTTTTGATTAGACAATAGGAAACGATCAATATAAATTTCTTTATCAAATTAAAAAGGGGAGTTGATTTTAGCAAAGGATACTAATTATATATAAATAAATTACAGAATTCTTTGTGAAATTCCACCCTTTGTAACTAAAATGAAAGAACTTGAGGAGCTTATGAGATCCAAAACGAATTGATAGCTTATTAATATAAACCCTTCTCATTTTTATATTCTAAGACTTGATTCAATTATTTTTCTAGTCCCTCCATTAAGAACTTATTACTCACATCGATTTGAATAAAATTAAATATTTCTTGTTAGCTATCTTTGCTTCCCATACCTTGAACAGTTAGTTAGGGTGTAAATTTGCCATAAAACAACTTATGTAAAACAGAATTTTCTGCTACAACTGGCGATTATCTTAATAATAATGACTTTTATGAAATGCAACTTTAATTCTATTCGTGTTAACAAACTGTTTGAGGGTAAACTTGTGATTATACAGTTTAATATTATTAATTGGGTTATTACCTTTTTTATAAGGATTCTTATAGGTAAGTGAGTCCCTCATCAATCCTTGATAGAAAATAGTTATTAAATTCACCAACATCCTTTTAGTCTCCAATCGGTAAGGCTTTACCAAAATCATCATAGATTGAATGTATGACTTGTTTTGGATCAACAAATTGCCTATCACTTCCAATCATAAGCACGAAAAGATTTTATAAGTTCTTTAGAAGTAAGACAGAATTTGCTACTCTTCTATCAACAATATTTTAAAGATTGATGTGATCAAATTCACATTAGACAATGGGTAGCACAAAATCGTAAATAGAATAATAAGTCTGAAGAAGAGAATTAAAATAACATGTGTTCCCTACATTTAACAATCCACATGGGACATTCTCTTTTCTAACTTTACCAACTGGAATATTTTGTTAATGTAACGATAAGGACGCTGCCATAGCTACTTGAATATCATCATTAAATTATTGATTGATTGGACTAATTATAAACGATTGATTTTTCATTCCCCATAACATTTATTGAAATTAAACCATATTTCCAGATGAAACCTCCCATGCATTCCTGATCTCTTATTCATTAAAACCATTACTCATATATTCTTTAATTAGATCATCATCTAAAGGTTTGTATAATTATTATGATTAGTGCATGAAAATATATATATAATAGATAAATTTAATATCAACTGTTTTTGAATTCAAATATGTAGTAAATTGAAGAACTTATATGTCCAGAATGTCAAATGATGTTTAACGAGTATGATAATTTACCATTGATGCTTCCAGATTGTGGACATACTATATGTTAAAATTGTATTTAATAAATGCTAATCAATTAAAAGTATATTGTGTGTCCTGAAGATGGGTAAACAGATTGTTAATACTAGTATTATGGCCATAAATAAAAGTGACATCTCATAATTTCCAAAGAATTGCCAATTGTTAAAAATGGTCATTAAACATAAGGCCTAATACTAATAAAGCAGATAATCAGCAAGAAATGATGATGCTGATATAGGATATCAACTCTAATTGAATAACTTAATTTAAAATGATATTCCAAATGATTTATGTTAGGAGCACCTAGAAAAATTGGAAATAGTATGCCTTACAGATCAAGTCAGAATTTGTACAAGATGTGCATTATTTGGATAGCATCGACATCATGAGGTTCGTTCTGTTGATGATGTTGTAAAAGAGATAACTCAAAAAGCTGAAATTATTATGCAGATATACTAAAAGATACTCTAAAAATAAAGTGAATTAACTGAGTCAAAGTATTTTGAACCACTATAAGAAAGATTTTCAATTGTACTTACTGAAAGTCATAATACAGTCAAGGAAAAATTCAAAGAACTGCATTAATTATTAGATCTCAAGGAACAGAGACTTATTGAATAATTAACAACTTTAACTCAATCACTAGAACAATAAACTAGAAAATAAATCAAAGAATTGTTACAAAGTTCATTATCTTAGGCGGAATTATGGAAGATTACAGCTAAGGATAGATTGGTTTATTTCTCAACCAAAACAGAAAATGGGGAATTGCCTTTAGATTTATTGAATAATTAAGACTATGTTTGTGTAGACAAGGGAAAGGGAATTCATGAGGAATTGGAGAAGATATAAAAATAATTAGATCTTAAGCTATAGAATATCAAAATAAAGAAATTAAGAGTTGATCTCAAAAAAACTGAAATCGATAAGTGTTTTGATAATCTCTTTACCATAACATTACAATTGAGTAATGTCAATAATCCAACCAATATGATAAAAAGTAGTCAAATTTTAAAAACTATCAATACTTTAACAGATTCAACATTATTGTAAGACATGAAAAGAAATGAGAGTTTTAGTAAATTATGTGGCTAAGATGTTTTCTCAAGTTTTTGTTAAGATGAACCAATGCTACTAAAAGATATATCTATGGCCGATTGGAGTGAGAGTCTTATGGAAGAAACCACAAATATTACTCAAGTGAGAAGTCCAAATAGAAGTAGCTTAGATTAAGAGGATTTTGTTAAAAATAAAATGGGATTAGGGTTGAAGGAACTGAAAGAAATTTAACCTGTATCGGTTTCTTAAAATATTTAATCGACCACTCCTACCAAACCAGAGAGAATTTAGATTAGGGCTTTAGAGAAACTTAAAGGCTCTTTTTTATAACCTAGTCCTGGTAGGAGGGAACTAGAATAGGTCAATTCCATTAGACAAGGAGTTAGTCCTAATACTAAAATTTAGGATTGCAAGAAGAAAAAAATGTTTAAGATCAATGAGAAATTTGAAAGTGTCTGGCAAGCATTTAAAAGTGATAATCTAGAAATTGCTGATTTCTCAAGTGCAGGTATATCTTTAATTATTATTATCTTAGATTTGGGGGATGAAGGAGTATAATTTATTGGTGACATTCTCAGAATATCAAAGAGAGTTAAACAACTTAAATTGGTGAGGAATAAAATCACTGACGAAGGGGCATGCAAGTTATTAGATTATCTAGTATAAAATACAAATTAAGTGTTTTAAAGTCTGCATTTGTCATCAAATATGGTAACTGAAAGGACTCTAGATTATTTTATTTCTTTAGTCAGAAATTCCTCTTCTGGTAGTTCCTTGCCCAAATCCTTATACTTAAACCAAACTTTGATAAATGCAACCAAAGCTAAAAAGAAAATTGAAGATTTAAGGCGTGTTGGATATTTAGTGAATATTTGATAATAAAAATTAATAATGGATAATTAAAAAAAATGCTTGTATGAAAAATTTGGAGGAGATTAATAAGTATCAGAACTTATAGATCAATTCTATTACAAAGTGCTCTTTGATAAGCTTCTTCGTGATAAATTTTTGAAGGCAGACATGAGTAGAGTAAGGTATCAATAAAAGCGATTCTTCTCTCAAATGATGGGTGATAAAAATACTTAATATACTGGCAGGTATTTACATTAATTTTATATATCTAGGGATTTAATTGAAGTCCACAAAAATCTGAACATTACTAACCAATAATTTGACAAATTTAAGACTCATCTCAAAAATATTGCCTAGGATATGGAAGTACCCAACTAAGATATAGATGAATTGCTTCAGCATGTTGAAAATCATAGAGATCTTATTGTTTTTTCAAAATGAGAATCATGTTTATGTATTTAGATATTCTTATTGTATTAAACCTGTATATATCCAAAAATTAATAAACAAATTTATTTATTTAATAAATCTGTTGAAATAGAATTGGTATCATAATTGACTCAAATTCTCAAATTGTACTCTATTTACAATTATATCAATTAGAAATTTATTAATATAATACAATCATTATTTTTTTTTACTTAGTTTTGGAAATGAACTTCCAAGGGTTGAAAGCGAAGTTTATAACTTTAATGGTTTTATCAATAGTTATTTATTCGAATTTATCATATAAGTATTATAATTCTTTTTATTAGTAGTGCTTAAGAATCTGTTGTCTGTTACTTTATGTCTTCTTTTAGGAGAAAATAAACTTAAAGGACTTTTAGGCTAAATCGAATTCTTTTGATTCTATAAGAATGAATGCGTAGGACTCGTTGTAATATTTAAAGATTTCAAAGAATTTAATGATTGGAGCTCAGATGATGAAAATAATCCGCTACTGTCCCTTCTTTTAGATCTTTCTTGTCCATCTGTTATTAATTTCAATAATGTATTTTATCGATTATAAGCTCTTTTAAGTCCATGAATATTTAATGACAATTAAGCGTTATTTGGCTAATCTTTAGATTCTAAGATTTGCAAATTCTTAAAAGAAGATTTTTTATAGAAGGTACTCATTCTAGCTATAAAAATATTTCTATTTATACATTCTGGTTTTGTTATCATTAATTCGGGTAGATTAAACTCCTGTTCCTTTGGTATTTCCCTAACCTTAAGTGGAATATTCATCGTTTTGAACTAAAATTAACTATGTGAACCACACCAACCACAATGACAACTTTTTCTTCTCGTCATTTATTCTAAATCTAATTCCTTAATTTGAATAGTATTCTAACTGTGAATGTATTTGTTCATTCTTGTTTACTCATTAAGAACTAATTAGTAATTTTCCATAGGTAAAAGTGCTCTCAAGTTAAAAGAGAATAGAGATTAATTCATAAAATTCAATTATTAAATATCTAATAAAACATCCATTTCTGCTCATCATGTTTAACTAAAATTATAAATAAATAATGACAATTTTTGATCAAATCAACCTTCCTCAACTTAAATTTTTCTCGTATATTATTCTAACCTTGCAGATTCAAATTATGTAAAATTTTGTTCTTTAGAGATTTCATCATATTTTTCTTCTAAATAAAATATCATAAGAAGAATTCAATGTGAATAAACCCTCGACTACTAATTGAAAGGAATTCATAAGAGAGAATACACAACTGATACTAATCATAAAAAAAATATTAAATTCTATATATTCAATTTCCTCAACTAACACATCTAATTAATGCTATCTTAATACTCCAATATGCATTGAAATTTAAATAAAATCAATAATTGCTAAACTAAGTTATGAATAAAAGAATTTAGATCATTGAAAATCTTAAGAAAAAGAGACTCATAAATTTTGAGTAGAGAAACCTTTTAACATTTTAAAAGCCAACCCTAATTTGGCAACTTGAGATTTGAAACAATTTCAATATAGGCTTTTAGACAATTACTGGTTATATATCCATTGTAGGATTGATAGGAATAGTAATTCTCAGTTCTTCATCATATGTAATGGCAAAAGCATCTGCAGGCAAAGGGGATTAGAAATAATTGCTTGAATAACTTCTCTCGTTATGGTAATCTTGATCAAAAAATTGTCTTATCCAAAATCCAAGAGTCCAAACAAAATCCTCTGTAGTATTTTTCGTATAATTCTTTAAAATACATTTTCTTCAATTTTCAAAATATTTGTAAAAATTCATTACTAATCTAATAGTAATTTATATTAGTTTAATTTGAGATAGGTATATATTCTTCTTTTTAATTATCAGAATTATGCTATCAATCATTATATTTGGAATGAAGATAAGTAAATTCTTCCAAACCATTTTAACAACATTTCCAAAATTCAGTTTTGTCAGTCTTGTTATTTTTCATTTAATTGTATTAAATTCAGTACAGTTTAAGCTCTTCTGAATAATTGAAAAATCAATATGACTAGCAATCGACAATTTTTATGATCTTTCTTTTAATACTCAAAAGTTGGTAAAGTTTGTTTTTGTTATGGGAGATCAACTTTCATTGATGCCATTATTGTATTTGTTTTACTAAGTAACCTTTTTTTTTGACAAATTAAATTTTTATTATATTGATCAAAATAAAACTGATAATTATAATATTTTTTGATAAATAATAATAATATTTCATCAATTGTTAGTTGGATTTGAAAAATATTTTCTTACTAAAAATTAAATCTCGATGATTTTTAAATCATCATTATCTTGCGATTCAATGAATTCAAAGATTTTATCTGGGGTTACATCACTATTGTAATCTGATTTAATATTCTTAAATTGAGTGTTAATTTAACTATAGTCAAATATGCGATTGATTAAATGACATAGGAGAGTCTTTAAGATCAGCCCATACCATTTAGTTCTCATTTCATCAAATTTATTTGAAACTAAATAATTGTATAAATATTAAGTCATATTTCTGAAGCCTTTCTTTAAAAATTCGGATGAAGTACAACCAAAAATATTGCTATCTAATGATTTGTTGTTTAAGAACATATGTTTATCTTATTCCACAGATTGTCTTATGTTTTCGTCGATTAGTTAATCTTATGTTAAAGCCTTATAACAAATTTCATGCAGATTTTTCAGTTGTATTAAAATCTCCTTAATATTTGAATTTATCTTCTGTATTAAAGTTAGCTTTGTATCAAGTTGTTAAAAAGCTGACCATTCTTCCTAATTAATAATCCACTAACTGTTTTAGGAATTTAATTTTTCAACTATTTCAATCATTAAAAGGTATGCCATCTTTTTAAAAACATATTCTATATAATTTATTTAACCAAATTATTTATTAGATAATAAAAAAACAACCTCCTCAGCAGTATTTATTAAAATGACAAATCTAAATTATTCCAAATTAATGATATTAAATATCCTTTCAAATTTACCCTATGATTAATTAATAATATACCCCAATTTCATTTTACATTTTTAATGGAAGCTTTAATGCATTGATATTTATTTGATCATTTTAATCCTTATTTTGTGAAACAACACTATCAAATTGAAGATTGAGAGGAATTCTACAATATAGTTTCAAAATACTTTAATTTCTGATCAAGATTTGAAGTTTGTTCTTCTTATTGAAGGGATTTATTATCTGAAATTTGTTGTAAATCACTAGTTTAAAGAAATTTATTCGAATCAACTCCATCCCTAAGCAAAATCTTTTCTTAAATAGGAGTTAAATTTAGTTTCTAATAAAATTATATCAACTCATCACAATTTCTCAATCTCAATTCTTTCTGGATATATGAAGATTAATAGACGTTTAAGAAAGACAACCTTTCATTTGAATCATATCTTAATAAAGACTCTATAAATTGGTTTAATTCTATTGGATAACAAGATTCCACTTTGATATTTTTATAATTTTTTTTTTGCTTCTAAAGAAAAGAATTATAATGCTTTATTTGTGAATATGTATCTGATTTTAGTTGATTATTTTCTTTAACCAAATTTATTGGTTTTAAAGTAACAAGATGGAATAGGAATGCTCCTAATAACCATAAATCTATTTCAATACCATATTTTATTCCCTAACCAACTAGATAAATAATTATATGTTACTGTTATCTTCTAAGCTTTAGATAACTTCAGGGGGAGCTAGTAGATTAAATTGAGGTTGCCTTAATTCTGGCCCAAATCCAAAATCCATCAATGTGATACTATTATCTTAAAGTTCAATAATATTTTCTGTTGAGAAAACTCTTCCTAGAATGTTTAATTTATGTAATTGATGCAAAGCTTCAAGCAATTATCTCAAATAATGATGAATTTTCTCTATCGGTATGGATTCTCGTTTTGCTCCATATATTTGAATTACTTTTGATATTGGATGTCCTTTTATAAAATCAAAAATATAATATTTTTTATTTAGATCTAGACAATTTAGGTAATGCCTAAGCAATTTTGTTTTTTATATTGTTGTTTTATTATTTATCTCATCTTCTAAAGACTTTTGATGAAATTAATTAGAGAGTGAAAGTGCAAAGAATAACACTTTCTGTGTTTTTTCTTCCATTTCATAAAAGCATCCAGAATGGGTAATGATTCTTTCTATAATTAAGTCATATTAGGACATTATTCAGATAGAAATGTAATTTTTGTCAATTTAATTAAATCATCATTTATATAAAATCATAAAATACTCCTCCATTCAGAAATTATAACATTTCCAATCACCTGAATTAATGAGAAATACTTTAAATAATATATTGATGATAACAAGTGATTTTGTTAAATATGATAATTTTATTATTTTATTATTTGACAAATGAATTTACTTCATGAAGTAAAATGCTTTAAACTTCGATCAAACTCATTAATAAAGATAACAATATAAGGATAGAAATAAATTCAAATTGAATATTAATTTAATCAAAAAATAATACCAATTATACAATTTTAATTTCTTTAATTTCAAATTTGATTAAATGAGATACTTAATAATTCTGGTTCTAGTGATAGGGAATTCATGCGTTGATCCAGAAATCGATGAGATTTTCGATTGGCCCTTTTACCCAGCTCATAAATTTAAAACCTATAATGGGTTTGTGGAAATATACAATGGAAAATAGTAACTAAACTTAATATTTTTGCAGAACCATCCATTATATATTTATGGAGAGTATCAATAATCCAGAGAATAAACCTTTGATAATATAATTTGGAGGAGGACCAGGGTGTAGTAGCTTGGCTGGACTTATTTCAGGAATAGGTCCGTATGTTAGAATATGGGGAAGCGATAAAATGGAATTAACAGAAAATCCATATTCATTGCATAAATTAGGGAATGTTTTATATTTGGATATACCAGCAGGTGTTGGATATTCTGAACTACATGATGATAATTATTAATGGAGTGATACTAACACAGGGCTTGATTCCTATGAAATAATTAAAGCTTGGTTACATGCATTTCAACAGTTTAAGGCTAGAGAGATCTGGTTAAGTGGAGTTTCATATTCTGGTAATTAATTCATCTGATAAAAGGTATGTATATACCATGTGTGGCAGAAGTTATAATTAATAAAAATAAATAATTTCCGGATGATAAAATTAACTTAAAAGGCATAATGGTTGGTAATGGAGTTTTGGTAAATGAAGATGAGTTTATTTTTAAATGGAATAGAGAATATTTAGTAAAAAGGAATTTTTTTGATTTAGTAACCTCGAATGTAATGCAAGTGTCATGCACAAAACATCCAAATTCAGCCAGCTGTTAAAGAGCTTTGGAAAGAGAAAAAATTGTAAGAAAAAATTTAAATCCCTATAATGTTTATGGATATTGTTATGGAGATTCATCAATATATCATAAAATAAATTCAGCATTATATGGAGATGTAGAGGATTATTCTTGCATCGATGATGGGATCTTAAATAACTATTTTAATAATCCAGAGGTAAAACAAAAATTAAAAATACCAGAAGATAAAAGATGGGAATCATGTAATATTGATATTTTCATGAATTATAAAAGAGATAAGCACAGCCATGTATTAATGAAATTTTTATTTGACAATAATATAAGAATATTATAATATTCAGGAAATGCAGATGACATAATAAGCGTTGATTATACTTATGCTTCATTAAAATTAATTGATGGTCTAAAGTAAATATCAAGAAAACCATTTGCAAATTATTAGACTTAATAAATGGCAGGTTGGATTGTAGAGTATAATTTTTTAACATTTTATATCATCAGAAGTGCTGGCCATATGGTCCCAACTGATTAAAGGGCCAATACATATTAAATGTATGAAGATTTTATAAATAGGGAATGAAACTATATTTTAAAAATCTTTTAAAAAAGAATTATTTTGTTTTTTTTAATTGGAAAGTTTGTTTATAAATTAATAATATTAATTATCTAAATAATTATCAGATTTAATTCAGGGTATGCCTTTGCATTAAAACAAATAATAATTTGGGTTCAATTCATTTTATATA